TCCGCAGACGCTAGACATGGGTTTTTCATTGTTTGGCGGGTGGCCGGCCGGGGGGCTAGATCGTCTGCCCACTGCCCAGTGCCCACTGCCCGGGGCACTGGGCACTGGGCTGGAGTGGGAGTGGCTTGATCCTGAGGATTCATTCCGGAGGAGGAATCCTTCCGAGTGCCAATAACTAATGGTTCGAACAATTAATGATTCGTCTCGGGTTATTTGCCTCGGGATATGGTGTATGGAGGTACTCCGTACTGGGTAAAGAGTAATAATAGGAAGTGTGATGTTGGGGATAGATTGGATTGTGATAGGTACTCTGTTCCATCATCGCATGGATGTCTTTGTTTAGGTAGGTAGGTAGGTCCCTGGCAGATAGAGTGACTGGTCTACGGAGTACTGGGACAATTATTCCCTGGCCGATCATGCCATGTGATTGGGAAGTTTCACGATCAATCAATCAATCAATCAATCAAGCATCAGCTGTCAATCAATCAAATAATAACTCCCCAATAATCCGATCTGATGTATCACTTCTTCAACAGATAAAAAAAAATAATTCCGACGGTGAGGAACAAACAAAACTCAAGCCAGAAGAAGAATAAAGACTACTGGAGAATGGAGATAAATCCGACGTACGCCGGACACGACCGAGCGAATGCAATTTACATGATTCAACCCGGCTCGGCTCCATGCATTAGTTAGCCACCAACCACCACAGTCAACCCGACGGTTTGTTGTTTGTTAACGTTGTCCCCGTAGAGTTGAAACAAGGTTGTCGGTCCGGTCGGCTGTGTCTGTGTCTGTGTTTGTCTGTGTTTGGCCTTGTGTGTCTGTGTACTGTGTACTGTGTACTGTGTCTGCAGCAGATCCTTTTCGTTCTTCCTCATCCTGCTGGAAATCCTCATGTCAGATCTCCCCGATCGGCTGTGAAACCAGGGCTGAACCGCTGAAGAGGTCTGTTCGCGACTTCGCCATTTGCTGACTGGCTGGCTGGCTGGCTGGCTGGTTGGTTGGTTGGTTGGTTGGTCGGTCGGTCAACCTTGCGGGACTATCGGCGGGATGCGATGCGATGCGATGCGATGCGATGCAACCGACGCAGGGAGGCTGCATGGCTAGTCGAGGGTGGTCCCTGAAGAAACGGATGATCTGCTGGCTGTTCCTTGGGGAGAGATTATTTACGGAGTACAGGGTGGTTTTGTTCTGCTTACAGCTACTACTACCACTCCAACAACATAAGTATTAACTAGGTGTCTATGTAGGTCCAAGTACAACACATACATCCTCTACACAGATAGTAAGTATGTCTAATCCTTACTGACTGACTACCGAGGCTGGAGGCATCCACACAACAACCAATTACCGTGATCGCAGGTGGACACTTCATCGACCACGCGAGCATGACGGAAGCCCAGGCTGTCTAGACACCAGGTACCTTCCTTACCTAGGTATAGAGTATCTAGTATATTCATGTTAGATACTTGTACTGTGTAATTTGTAATTTGCAATTTCCTCCCCCCGGTAACCGGGACGAGCGAGGCAGGCAGCGATGTTCGCGGCCCCTGATCCACTACTGCACCGAGTAAGAAAGTAACAGAAGCAGTCGACCGGACTAGAGCCGCGGAAAGCCAGCCGGCCACGGGATGGCGTTCTAGTCTTCTAGAAGGGGGAACTGATCGGATCGCCTGCGCATCCCTTGGCGTTGTCGGCGGATTCCCATTCCCAATCCCAATATTATTTAGGTTTGGGCATTATCATCATCTCCAATGCATGATATGATCCATCCTGATAAGTCAGTCAGTCAGTCAATCGCCTTCGGCTCTTTTTTTTTTTTCTTTTCTTTTCTTTTCTTTTTCCTGTTGAACACAACGCATCCACCCGCCACGCTGCTCCAAAACTCCAAACCCCAAACTCCAGTTTCCCCTTTTTGGGTATCCTCGAGCCAGCCAGGCCTATCAGAATATCAGATACGTGCCGGACGATGCATCCATCTATCAATCTACTAGTACTCCGTAACCTAGTATCTATCACTTCCGGTACATGTCTGGTAGGTGGATAGGGAGATAAGTCTTGGTCGACCAACCGGGTTGATGCAGGATCGCCCTCAGCCTCATCATTTAAGTAAGTGCCTCCTACCGGTACATTACATTGGATTAGGTCCGGTAGGTAAGTAGGTACATACTATACATCCATACATCCATACCTAGTCTGGGCCCCGTCGAATAAGACGCGCCGATGCGACGGGTTTGCCCCATTTCGACGCCAATGATCTTCGTCCGCTGTCCTCTCCTCTCGCCTCAATGTCGGAAATAGGTACAAACTACGGACGGTAGTTCGGCTTGTTTAATCTGACGAAAGGAATAAATGAATACATGCATGAATGGATGAGATACATCACCATGCCACGCAGGCTGCGGAGGAGGTCACGGACGCTGCAGAGAATCAGGAGCCAGACCCAGAGCCAGACCCAGACCCAGTCCTTTGTTCTGGGACACGGATCATCTCAGCGAGAAGTTTCCAGAAAACGCCGTCGCCGCCGCCAACCTGCTCTAACACCGTCTTTCTGGGTGGCTTGAGACGGGTTCCTGAAATGGCATATGCTGGGCGCGAGGTCTATGGATCCTTCTTTCTATTTATCGTGCACCATGCACCATGCTGCTTGATCGTTGGGGAGATTGCGAAGAGAATAAATAGATTCGGTAGAATAAGAACAAAGTACCTGTCCTAGGTTAGACAGCCACAGCCACTTACTTCCATGCTGATACCCACCTACCCAGTTGTCTCTGGAGTCTGGGTACTGGGTATAGCTAGCTAGCTGTCTAGCTCGCTCTAGACCAATTCCAACCATGCCTCTGGCTGCATTGCATGCACATGACCCAGCGCCTCCCCACCGATAATCATGCATTCTCTTGATTTTTAGCACTGTCATTATCAAAAGTACTAGGTGCTTACCTACCTACTTACCTGCCGGAGCGGACCTCCAACTCCGCGAACCTCTTGTCACAGTGTCACCCCCAGTGCTTACTGTTTGAGAAGTTAACAAACATACATACTTACTTACTTACTTACTTACATACGGAATACAACCTGTAGATATCTCGGACCTCCTTTCTACAGTATTCTGTATAATGTTCTGTACTTACTCCTTTCTTCCCTTCGCACTCACTCACTCACTCAGTAAATCAATCACTCAGTACATCAATCAATCAGTCAGTCAGCCACCCGTCCAAATCATCTAAACCACGCAAGGAGAACAAACCAAAACCATGTCTGATAATTAAGCCTTTCTCGGACCTACTACCCCCCCCCCTTCCCCCACTAGTAGATAGACCCCGTTCACATTCCACCCCTTCATCCATAGGTTACTCAACATCAACACTCAGTACGCAGTACTTACTACTTACATAGTAGTAAAAGTGTGGGTCGACCCGGATGTCTCCCGGGCAGCTGCCTAATCCTATTTTCTAAAAGCAACTACCCGGCGATCAAAACTATCCCGGATCTAAGGGATCTGGAACCGGGTAGTTGGGATAGATACTGGGGTGGAGGGTAAGGTTAGGTTAGGTGGAAGTTGGGAGTTGGAACAAAGAGTCTTCCTGCTCTTTCTTCGGGGTCTCTGTTTCTGGGTGGGTTCCCCGGCCGGGGTTTATCTTTCTTTCTTTCTTACTTACTTACTTACTTACTTACTCTCTATTAGACAGACACAGATAGAGACTGTATTCCTACTGTAGTTAGTTAGTTAGTTAGTTAGTTAGTTAGTTAGCTAGCTACCTACCTACCTACCTACCTACCTACCTAAGTAAACGTTAGACCCCAACCATGAAACAAATGACAAGCATCATGTAGGTAACTAGGGTAGATGCATGTAACTACATACATGTACATCCTTTTCAGCTCTAACCAACGGCGTACGTGCGTGCCTCTACCGGATGTACATACATACATTGTAGCACAGAGTAGATCTTAGGACCTGGATACATACATACATACCTACATACATACATGCGTGCATGCATGCATATACCCCCATCACCATCAAGGTTCAAAGTTTAGATAGGGGTTCCATCCGGACAAGACAAGACAAGACAACCTAACACAACGGACAGGGGTTCGGGTTGGGGTAGGGGTAAGTACACCCGTTGCTATGCGCCTATCACAACTGCTATTTACCTAGTACATAGGCCCCTACCTAGTACCTAGTACCTACCTACCTACCAATGACAGATCACCAGGTGAGGGAGGGGAAGGAGGGAAAGGGGCCCGGGCACTATGATTAGGACTGGGATTAGGATTAGGATTACCTAGCAATGGATGGTATAACTAAGGCAGGGATTAATCTTAACTGTTCTTTGTTGGGGGGGGGGGGTCTAGATCGGGCGGTGGTGTGGTGTGATGCGATGTGATGTGATGTGATGTGATGTGATGGTGTTTGGTGTGATGACCCTGGGGTGGTATTAGGCTGAGGCTTAGAGTCAGAGTAAGCCTTAGGTATCTACCCAAGTATGTAGGTGTATGTAGTTGGTTGGTTGGTGGTGATTGGCTGCTTTTCCCTGTTGCTGTGTATGTATTCTGTATTTTGAGGTCATTTGGCTATGGTATAGTATAGTACCGAGGTATGTATGTAGGTATGTAGGTAAGTAGGTTAGGTTGGAGGAGATTTAGTAGGCGGGGTTACGGAGTTGTTTATGCTTTACTCGGGGTAGGTGTTGTTTCTATGTGCTGCTTTCTGGTAGGCTAGTGTTGGATATGATGTTTTGGACGGTGGTAGTGATGATGATGATGGTGATGGCTGGTTTGGTTCTTGTTGGCGATTCCCATTGGGTTCGGTATACGTATACGTATATACATGCGGGCTTTGTACTCAGAAACCGAGTAGAGGGTTGGGTTGACGTAACTTCATGATCATTATATAACTAACTGAGACATGGTTGCATATGCGTACTTACTGGCGATATCCAATCCAGACACATAGATCGAACAAGAGTCCCATGACATTTCATTATTAGAACCTGACCATAGCCTGAATCATCCATGATGACATCCATCTTACTCCGCAGCAAAATCCTCCCCATACTTCCTCACACACCCAAACGCCATCTCGAACTATACCCAGTCAGCGCATCTACAAAACCCCTACCCCATAGAGTCAAAAGTAAAGCAAGAACTCACCTGTTCATCCGTCTGACAGATCAACACCCTTGTCTTTCCACTCCCCTCCCCCTCCCCGGAAAGTGAAACATCCACCACTGTCTCCCCACCAGCCCCCCTCTCATTCCTCCCCCCATCAACCCCCACCCCCAAACAGCGACACTTTTCCACAACCGCCTTCCTCAGCAGGCCACTCTTCTCGCCAATCCCGCCCGCGAAAACCAGCGCGTCGACCTTCCCATCCAGCTTGACGAAGTAATTCCCCAGGTAGCCCGCAATCCGGTCGACGACGATATCGAACGCGAGTTTGTGCTGCGGGGTGGGCGGGTCCGCGACCGCTATTTGCGAGAAGTCGGTGGTGCCGGTTAGGGCTTTCCAGCCGGATTTCTTGTTGAGGATTTCTTCGGCCTAGCGGGTGTTAGAACTTAGAGGCATTTGACTCGTCTTGCGTGATGATTATGACTGTGATTGTGGAAATGATTATGGATGTGACGATGGTGGTGCTAGTGGCGGGGATGGTGATGACGATGGCGGTGACAATGGTAACGGTGCCGATGATGACAACGGCGACGACGGCGACAGTGGGGGCGAAAAGGAGAAGGAGGAGGAGACGGAGGAGGAGACGGAGGAGGGGTGAAACGTACCGTGCTGATGTGCATTTCTTTGGTGCTGGCCGGACTGAGCTTGCCGGCATCATTGGTGTAGTGGAAAACCAGTCTGAAGGGGAAGGTTAATCCGGGGTTCTGGAAACGAGAGAGGAAGTCCTCACGAGGGATCAATATCACCGCTTCGAGTGGCACCCGGCAGTCCGGCCAAGGGTGTGAGGCCCATCCTGTGCGCGAGTTGTCAGTATAGGTTCATTTATCGATGGTTTGAACGCAAGTGAAGCCCACGTGGTATCAACTGATTTGCCCTCCTTGATCGCGCAGATAGAAGCCCCACTGCCAATATGCATCGCGATCACGCTGGTCTTCTCGACGGGCTTCTGGAGGAACTCGGCCACAGACCGCAGAATAAACGAGTAGCTGATGCCGTGGAAGCCGTACTTGCGCAGCCCGTTGGCTTTGGCGGTCTCCGGGTCGATCGGGTACGTCCTGACATGCTCGGGAAGGGTCTGGTGGAAGGCAGAGTCGAAGAAGGTGACGCTCTTGACGGAGGGGATCTCCTTCCTGCAGTGACGGATGATTTCCAACGCGGAGTAGTTATGTCTGTGTCTGGCTGTCAGAGGCAGCTCGGGTCCGATTGCCAGGGGCTCACGCACAGCGGAGCCAGGTCCTCCAGCTTCTCCAGATGGTGGTATGTCTCGTTGGTGATCACCACCGAGGACTGATAATCGCCTCCGTGGACCACCCGGTGGCAGATGTAGGCCAGATCATCCGGGCTGGCGACTTCGGAGAGCTCGGGATCGGAGAAGCAGCGCTGCAGGAGGCACTTGAAGGCGTCTTGCGGGGTGCTGAGGCTTTCCTTCAGCTCCTCCTTGTGCTGGGCCGAGCCGCTGCTGTACTGCAGCTTCGCAGGCGGGGCTGTGATGCCGGAGATCTGGGCGGCGGCGATCTCCTTGGGGGTCTTCTCGAAGGTATAGAAGGTGATCTTGACGGAGGAGGATCCGGCGTTGACGGAGAGGATGGACTTGCCCGCCATTGTGAGCGAAGCAGGGGATGCGCGCACAGGACTGGTACTGATCAGAGAGGAATTGAGGAGGTGACAGCTGGAAGATGTTGTTGTGTTGCTCTGGCGGGTTCCCGGTTGCGACGGCGGGTGATGTCACCGGCCTTCCTGGCAGGTGACGTAGTAGTACTAGGCAGTCGGACTCACCACTACTCACGCCTGTTTCTATTTCAACCATCTGCTCAATTTCTCTTCTCCCAGGCAATTAAACATTGTGCACTTCATCTCCGATCCCGCGAGCTTATTTATTCATTCGTACAGACCTGAGATCTCGGACGCACCGGATAGACTATATCTCGCATAACGAACTATAAGCCGCAGATCTGTTTCCATTCGAATTTCGATCGATCGATCGATCAACCACCATGCCTGGCGAAGTCATCGACAGACCAAACCCCAAGGCGGAGCCGTCACACATCCCCGACATTGTTGAGCAATTACAGGTCCAGCTGGCGGAAACGGCTCTGGAGGAAACCGACTACAATGCCTTGCGGAAGTTCCGTCAGGCTGCGACGTATATCGCTGCTGGTAAGAGTTATCCCTCGCCATTCCACTTCTCGGGCTAATGGTCGCAGCCATGATCTTCCTACAGGATAATGTGCTGCTGAAGCAAGACCTAAAACCAGAGGACATCAAGCCCAGGCTTCTAGGTGAGTATCACTGGTCGGCCCCGCATGCCTCCGCTCACCGTCCACAGGCCACTGGGGAACCTGCCCCGGGTTGATCCTGGTATACTCCCATCTGAACCACATCATAACAAAGCATGATCTGGACATGATCTATGTGGTCGGACCGGGCCATGGCGCACCAGCCATCCTGGCTGCCCTGTGGCTCGAGGGCTCGTTAGGAAGATTCTACCCCAGTTACTCACGAGATATGGATGGTCTGTACCAGCTCATCTCGACCTTCAGCACCAGCGCGGGTCTGCCAAGCCACATCAATGCGGAAACCCCAGGTGCGATTCACGAGGGTGGTGAGCTGGGCTACGCTCTGGCCGTCTCTTTTGGCGCGGTCATGGACAACCCCGACCTGATTGCCACTTGCGTGGTTGGTGACGGAGAAGCAGAATCTGGCCCGACAGCAGCGTTAGCTCTAACTGGCCCTGTTACGAAACATTAGCTGACAATGACAGGTCCTGGCATGCGATCAAGTACATCGACCCCGCAGAATCAGGCGCCGTCTTGCCGATCCTCCATGTCAACGGCTTCAAGATCAGCGAGCGCACCATCTTCGGCTGTATGGACAACAAGGAGCTGGTCTCCCTCTTCACTGGTTATGGCTACCAGGTGCGCATTGTCGAGAACTTGAAGGATATCGACGCAGATCTCCACAGCTCGATGATGTGGGCGGTTGGCGAAATCCGCAAGATCCAGAAAGCAGCGCGTTCCGGCAGGCCGATCATGAAGCCTAGATGGCCAATGCTCGTTTTGCGAACGCCAAAGGTGTGTATGACATGCCCACTGGACTCTGTTCTCGCTAACTGCTTCACAGGGTTGGTCCGGGCCCAAGGAGTTGCACGGGCAGTTCATCGAGGGTTCTTTTCATTCGCACCAGGTTCCTCTGCCCAACGCAAAGAAGGATCAGGAGGAGCTCCAGGCGCTGCAGAAGTGGCTGGCGTCGTATAGCCCTCATGAACTCTTCACCGAAACCGGGGATATTATCGACGAGGTGAAGGCTGTGATCCCACCTGATGACTCCAAGAAGCTGGGACAACGCGCCGAGTCCTACAAGGGCTATGTTCCACCAAATCTTCCGGACTGGAGGAACTTTTGCGTGGAAAAGGGCGCGCAGGAGAGCGCCATGAAGGCAATCGGAAATTTCATCGACCAGGTCTTCACCCAGAACCCCCACAGTGTTCGCATCTTCTCCCCAGACGAGCTGGAGAGTAACAAGTTGGATGCAGCTCTAGCCCACACGGGAAGAAACTTCCAGTGGGACCAGTTCTCGAATGCTCAAGGTGGCCGTGTCATTGAAGTTCTCAGTGAGCATCTGTGCCAGGGATTCCTTCAAGGGTACACCTTGACCGGTCGTGTGGGCATGTTTCCGTCGTATGAAAGCTTCTTGGGCATCGTCCACACCATGATGGTGCAATATGCCAAGTTCAACAAAATGGTTGGTTCCTGACGCTATTCCGTGAGCTCGTCACTGACCAAGCTGCAGGCTCAGGAGACGAGCTGGCACAAGCCGGTCAGCAGCATCAACTATATCGAAACGAGCACGTGGGCCCGCCAGGAGCACAACGGCTTTTCTCACCAGAACCCGTCCTTCATCGGGGCCGTCCTCAAGCTGAAACCAAAAGCCGCCCGAGTTTACCTCCCCCCGGACGCGAACACGTTCTTGACTACGCTCCATCATTGTCTCAAGTCGACGAACTACATCAACCTCATGGTCGGAGCGAAACAGCCGACCCCGGTGTACTTGACCCCAGAGGAGGCCGAGAGCCATTGTCGAGCGGGCGCATCGATCTGGCGGTTCTGCAGTACCGACGACGGGCTGGACCCAGACGTTGTTCTCGTTGGAATCGGCGTGGAGGTGATGTTCGAGGTCATCTATGCGGCGGCCCTCCTGCGCAAGCGCTGTCCAGAACTTCGGGTTCGGGTGGTCAACGTGACAGACTTGATGATCCTGGAGAACCAGGGGCTGCACCCCCATGCTCTGACCCCCGACGCCTTCAACAGCCTGTTTGGCACGGACCGGCCGATTCACTTCAACTACCACGGATACCCGAGCGAGCTGAAGGGACTGCTCTTTGGACGCCCCAATCTGGACCGGGTGAGCGTTGAAGGGTACATGGAGGAGGGCAGCACCACCACGCCATTCGACATGATGCTTTCGAACCAGGTATCTCGGTTCCACGTGGCGCAGGCTGCAGTGATCGGGGCATCTCGACGGAACGAGCGGGTTCAAGCCCGACAGCATGAGCTGGTCACGGAGCTGAACCATAATATTGTCGAGACGCGGAAGTACATCCTCGCCAACCGCACGGGTAAGGCCCCCCAATCCTCCAATCCCGATGAGTCGGATTCCTCATGCTGACAGGCGATAGATCCCGATGACACGTATGAGACGCCTTCGTTTGATTGAATGAGTCGAATGTGACATGAGCCAAGTCTGACGCGCGGAAGGAGAATGTATCATTAGCCATATACCTAGAATTCAAGGGTTTGTTGATTCATTGTGTTCGTGTTGGCGGGGGTCGAGTGGGCAGAGACAGGAGCGACATGGGGAGTAGATACGGAGGATCTGACCGACTACTTAGACGCTTAGACGAGCCAGATCCTGCCTTGCCGAGCTTTGCCGAAAGGGTCGGTGCTTGCGAGGGTACGCAGTAGCGAGAGTTGTGGTGGTTGCGACTGGCGAGGGGCGGAGTCGAGTTCAAGTAGGAAGGAAGACGATGCTGCCTGAGGCGAGGCGGGGCGGGGTCATCCATCCTTCCGTCGCTTGTCTTTTCCGATCTTCTCTTCTCCTCTTCTCACCTGTTATACTCTCTCTCTACTATAGTCGGATCCTGCCGCTCGTCTCTAGCGGAACCCTGATTATTCACGACAATTATCCAGTTATCTACTCCGTACATGCCTACTACTAACTACTGATGACCGAGCTGCTGGCCTGTGTGGTCTAACCATCTAGCGGCGACGGAGTTACTGCTCTCCGGGCCCGATCATGTACCTTACTGTCAGAACCAGGGACCACTTATCCTTAATAATTCCGTCTTATGTTCCCTACTATGTCCCCCTTCCGCGGCACCCTCGGGACCCCCGGCAGGCCTGCGAGTCGCCCTAAACCCCATTGGGCGCACCTTGCGAGCCCTCATCGGCATCGCCAACTCTTTTTTTGGGCCTCGCAACCACCTCGTCGAATGATGTCGCAGCATTCGCGCGTGCCGAATTATTAATGCAGAACGGCCTCTGCCTCTGCCTGGGCGCTCAATCAGATGGCCCCGTGCAACGGATGTCCCCGCCGTACCACTGATGCCCACGGCCAGGCAGTCAGGGAGACGGGGTTACGGAGGTTCAATAGTGGCGGAGATAGGCCCCGGGGTGTGGGAGCGAGATTTTGGAGGGATCGCGAAGGCTGCCTGCCCGTCTATCGTTCAATCCCTCTTATATCCGTCGGCGGGACTGTCTCGTCTCGTCTTTTCCTTCCTCCTGTCGCTGATTGGCACTGTCGTGGTGATTTCCCCTGCAAGAGCATACTAGCCCCGCCACTCTTAGGGCCCTAATCGCTTCGTCGCGGTGTCAAATCGCTCTCCATCCCATATATCTACCTCCGAGCGGTGACTCGATCTCATCTTGCTCATTTCTTCGTCGACACGCAGACTCACTCGCGCACTAGCTCCGACTCTAGGATCTAGATCTTCGGCGTCGCCTCTTGTCTCACCATGTCCGGCGTCAACAATGATGCCGAATATAAGTTCAAGCAGCAGCTTGGAGAGGGCTGCCATGCTCTCGTCGACGGATATGGCACGTCCTACGGCTACACGCCCTCGCTGGCCGCGGGCATTGTTTTCTGCTCCCTCTTCGGAGTCTCGATGCTCATCCACTTCGCACAGATGGTGTGGAAGAGGCAGTGGTGGTGCATCGTGTTTATCCTAGGATGCATCAGTACGTGAACCCTACGACTGCAGCTTTCTGCGTCCTGCATGCAAAAGACCCCGAACTGACTGGATGCGCCTACAGCGGAACTCCTGGGCTGGGGAGCGCGCACCTGGTCTGCTGAATGTCCCTACAACGGGAACGCCTTTCTCATGCAGATTTCCACGCTGATCATCGGTACGAGCATCTATCCATCCATCCAACATCCCTGAAAGTCTGAAACAACAAAAAACCAGACACTAACCCCTCAATCCAGCCCCGACCTTCTTCACGGCGGGTATTTACGTGATCCTGGGCCGTTTCATCCATCTTTTGGGCCCGGAAACCTCAATTTTGAGCCCCAAACTCTATCTCTGGATCTTCGTGACCTGCGACGTCGTCTCATTGGTCGTCCAGGCCGTGGGCGGCGGCATGGCCTCCATCGAGGTCAACAAGGTCAACGGCAACACCGCTCCAGGCACCCACACCATGGTCGCCGGTATCGTCTTCCAGCTGGTCTCCATCACCGTCTTCGTCTTTTTCGCCGCCGACTTCGTCCGCCGCACCCTGCGCATGCGCGTCCTGCAGACCATGACCACGACCGTCGTCCCGCTCCTCTGCGCCATGATCTTCTCCATCCTCTGCATCTACGTCCGCAGCATCTACCGAACCATCGAGCTGTCGCAGGGCTGGTCCGGCTACCTGATCACCCACCAGGTCTACTTCATCGTCCTCGACGGCGCCATGATGGTCCTCGCCGTCGGCATCTTCAACGTCTTCCACCCGGGCTGGCTGCTGCCCAAGTCTACCGTGAAACCGTTTCACGAACAGATTCACTCCCCCGGCGCTACGGAGATGCAGTTTATCTAGATTCTAGACCCTTTCCCCCCCTCTGTCTGTTTCCTTTTCTCTGGTCATATAATATATCCCGATCTTCGTTTGCCCCACAATCACACCCCCTTCTTCCTCGATTTCCATGTTTCGGGTTTCAGGACGGCGGGGCCGTAGGGTAGGGTAGGGCCCGTGTCTCATTGACTGATCGGCTGATTGATGGAGTGTATTTGATATCAACGCAGCGTTGGCTTGATTGATTCATTCATTGATAGATTCGGTTGTGGTTTGGCTTGCTTCGATCTGGTTGTTGGACAATAGATAGATAATGACATTCATCAATTTCCCCTTCACGTGCATTATGTTCTCATCCATCTGTACATGTAGACAGACACCACACCATCGCTGGACACAAACAGAAACAGCAGTAAGAGCAAGAGGATCCCGAGATTAGTCGCGCAGAAGCAGCAGCAGAAGACCGAAAAAAAAAAAACCAGCCAACCCGATCGAAACAAGAAAAATGAAAGAAAGAAAAGGTATCTCGCTCCACGGCTAACAGAATAGAGCACAAAGGTGGTAGATAGAACATACCCATACCCATACCCATACCAATAACTACTACCCATCCCATCATACCGTCCAGGTTAATTCGCCCGCACAACGCACCACAACGCACCACAACACAATACAATACAACTCACGCATCAGAACGCACCAAACGGCCGAAATAACAATCAAACTCGCAACTCGCAGAACCAGAGTAACTGAAACGAATCAGTTGCAAAACCAGTCGCGCCGAAACAGAAGAGGGATGGATTATCGAGTCGATCAAGCGATTAATTAGTTAATTAACCGGACTTTCTTCCTGCTTTGTTTTTTTTCATTTTTCTCTCGTCGAGATGAGTCTTGACTTGCGGTGACGCCACGCGTATTCAATCAATCATTTCACCCAAAACAGGCCAGAAACGCACTTTCCAGTCCAGACGTCGGATGTCAGAGGTCAGAGGTCAGAGGTTGTGACTCTACTCTCACACACTCTCTCTTGCTTCGCACTCCACACACATGATCTGAACCGGATCCAGGATTCAAGAATTTGAGTTTAAGATGAGAAGAGAAGAGAAGAGAAGAGAAGAGGAAAAGTAAAGAGGCAACTGACCCCGAACCAAATCATCATGATCAATCAACGTCAGACAGACAAGCCGGAAAGTTCAAACCCCATCCACAGCCTCCACCCACCCAAACAACGCCCCCGTAACAACGGCCGCGGCGGCCCAGACCGATCCCCAAGCCGCAGCGCCGGTCACATCAACCCCGTTGACGGTCCCCGCAACCTGCACCACCGTGTTACCCAGCAACAAGCCGGCCAGCACGACCGTGCGGGACACCAGCACCTGGGTCTTCCGGGTCAGGGAGCCCCACGTCTTCTGATACAGTGCGCAGAGGAAAGACTTTCCTTCTCCTTCTCCTTCTCCTTCTCCTTCTCCCTTGCTCTCACCTTCGCCCTCACTCTCGCCCTCACCACCATTCTGCTTCTTCTTCTTCTTCTTCTCCTCTGAGGTCACCTCATCATCCACCCCCGCCGAACTCACAAACAAAAAGTCCCTAACAGCCGCACCTGCCGGGAGGAGCCCCAAAAACAAGCCGGGCAGACCAGCAGGCCCCGCATGCACGGCCGAAATATCGGGGAGGTTGGCGAAATGTACGACCAGGAGGCGGGGCAGCCAGGGCGTGGCGTAGCTGGTGTACAGAGCGACGGCGAAGATGGCGGTGGCGGCGACGGTGGTGTAGATGGTTGTGGGGCGGTCCTGGAGGATGGAGCGGTTCTTGGGGCCCGGGGAGGAGAGCGAAGAGGAGGGGCGGAGGAGGTAGAAGGGGAGAGTGGTGGAGATGAGCGTGATCAGGTAGCTGGTTATGGTGGTGGTGGGGCGGACGGTGTAGAATGTTGAGAGGAGGGTGTAGGTTGGGAGGTGCGTGAGGAGGGTTAGGGTTAGGACGTCGCGGGCTAGATTGTTTAAGATGGGTGTGTTAGTTTGTTTGGTGATCTTGGGCTGGGGACTTGGGGATGAATGTATATGGGTTTGTGGGTTAGGATGAGGGGAGGGGAGGGAAGTACCGTCATATCCCAAGACCCAGGCCAGACCGACCTCGACGGCCTTCCAGGCCATCAACCCGCCCACCTCCCACCATGTCTCGAGGTGTTTGCTCACGCGACCGAGATCGCCCAGCGTGATGCCCGTGGTGAGGGTGAAGAGCGTCGAGCTGAGGACGAGGCTGCTGAAGACGGCCAGGGCAAAGCGCACGGCCGGGGGGATGCGCTCCAGTCGCGTCTTCTCGTGCAGCTGATGCGCGGAGGTCTTGGCTGTGTCGGCGCTGGATTCCGCCGCTGCTGCGACCGCGGACAGCAGGTCTTTCTTGCGGGGAGACATGGTTTTGCGCGTTTGGTTTAGCTTTGGATTTCGGTTGCGGTCCGGGTGTGCACACCCTTTTAGCTCGGAGCGGGTGCGTGTAGGTTGGTTGGGAGGTGGGAAGTGGGAGGTGGAAGTTGGGATGAAATCAAGAGGGATCGATCGATCGAAGCTATCATAGCTACGTAAGGGAGAGTGGCTGCGACGGAGCTACGGGCACCCCCAGGAACCAGGCGCGCAGAACACCAGATGCTCTATACCAGGGCGGTGAGAGAGAAAAGGACATTGCAGACAGCCAGGAAGAGTGAATAACTCTATATCTATGTTCATCAAGATGTCGAGCCGAGTATCTAAATAGTAAGTACAGTAGCGGACCACCCGTCCCGACCAAGTAGCATGCCAATATAGTACAGCCGATGCTCCCCAGCATCAACTCAGTCATCCTTCTTGTCCTCGTCCGCCTGGTCCTCCTCACGCTCGACAACAGAAAACTCCGCAGCGCGTTTCCGGCCCCAGGCATCCTGCATGACCAGCTGGTACTTGCCCTGGTTCCAGAGATCCTTGATCGTCAGCTCACGGGTACGGCCCAAGCTTTCGATGTCGTTGATGCGCGTGAGCGTGCCCTCCAGATGCTCGTCGAAGCCTTCCTGGGAACAGATCTCCTCGAACGCGTTCTGCATGGGGACCGAGTCGGCGCGCACCATGGCTCGAGAGTCGATCGTGAAGATGTTCTCGTGGTCGTAGTCCTGGATGAAGTCCGCGCGGGTCATTATCTGCCGGGCCTCGTGGAGAGGAATCTCCGGGAGGATGTGGCCCAGCTCCGCATCATATGTACGCTTCATCTCCTTTTTCCGTTCCACCAGTGCCTTGGCCAGCACCATCGCAGCAGACTGTCTCTGTTAGCACGAGGTGGGTTCGTGTGCACTGGCGGGCAGCCCGACTTACCGCGTATTTCTGCTGGTCCATCACGTCGTCGTCCATCTCGGGACCCAGGATCCAGCACTTGTTGAGGAACCATGTCTTCTCGGCCGTGCAGATGTTTTCGCAGAGCTTCATGTAGTCGAGGGCCTTTGCGACGCGGTTCAAGTATGACAATCGCCCCCCGACGAGATTGTACACCGTCTCAAGCTTCTCGTGTGACAATTCCTCGTTAAAGTACTGCTTGCGGTACTTCCTCAGGGCCTCCATCGCCCGCTCTTTCGGCAGGTCGCGGATCGGAATGACTTCCATCCTCGTGGCGTACTTCTTCAGGCGTTCATACACCCAGTACTCATCACTGTTCAGCACTGTTTCCGTTAGTCTTCAGTTCTGAATGCCCTCGGAAAGCACTAGACTTACCTGTCGTCACCAGACCGCTGGCCGCCCACTGCTCCGCCCGTTGTTGGATGGCCTCGAGGAGATCCTGACCATCGTGGTCATCTCTGATCAAGTGCGCGCTGTTGACGATCAAGACCAAGGGGGACTTGTTACTGCGTCTCCTCGTCAGAGCAACCTTTTCCAGCTTGTTGAAGGCACGCTCGATATCCAAGAGCGCGGTGGTATCTCGAGGACCCTTGATGCTGAAGAGACTTCCGATGTAGCTGGATTGACGTCAGTAAAATTCGTGAGAATACAATAAAAGATGCCGGGAACCTACTCCTCGTGGTACTCATAGTCCAGGGCCTTCCCGAGACGGATCCGGAAGATCTCGAGATCAGCGTGAGCCTCGAACATGGCACAGCCCTCTCCGTCAATCTTGCGCATCGCTTCCAGAAGCATCGACGTCTTGCCCGTGCCCTTCTCCCCAACCAGCAGATAATACCGGCCTTTCCCTATCTTGCCATTGATGATATCATCCATGCGCTTCTGCTCATCACGGGGCACCCAATGCTCCTCGTGATTGTACTGATGCTTCCCATCCTCGACCCCCGCCAGCTCCAGCGCCGGGTCTCCGGGCTTGAAGGCGTTCTCCATCTTCTCCAGAATCAGATACTTGTAGTACCGGTGGTACGCGTATCCCGCCAGCCTCCGAGACATCAGCAAATTGAAGGAACATCGCGACCGGGACCACTCACCCGAGAACCGCAATGGACGCGAAAGTCGTCGCGGCCGTCTCCATCATCTTCAGCACTGTCGACCGCAGAGTGGGTTCCGGTTCACCATTCTCCCGGCTCTTCCCCTGTTTCGTGGAGTCTTGATCCGCAGCGTCTGAGGCTGCCCGGGCCGGGCCCCGCGAGAAGCTCCGTCCCAGATAGGGGGTGACTGAGCGGTTCGTCCGGAGAGGGCGCCGTGGACCAGCCCGGGCGAGAGATATCATGGACCGCTGCACATGTTGATACGCATGTTGATACACCATTGTCCTCTGGCAGAGGAATTCCCTCGACGTGGATAGATATCTGGATCAAGAATCTCGACGGTGCCAGTAACAATAGTAGGTAATTAGACAAGTGCCGATCGCCGAACGGTTAATATCGATGGCACGTCAAGCCTGCAGCAAAGTGGACCAGCTAAAGGAGCGAACAGGGATTGTGAGAGACCGGCGAGTCGCAACCGCCCGGTCTAGATAGATGAGAATCGACGGCGTATCTATACGGGGTACATCTAGTGAGGTACTAAGGTACTGCTGGGTAGTCGGACAACAGGGTAGCAGTCGAGCACGGGGTCAATGGCCACCACCAAGCTCCCAGACAGAATACAGAATGCAGCGGGAAAGAGAGTGGGAAGTCGGAGACTGTCAGACAGACGCAGCGCGCAAAAGAAGTGAGCAACTTTGGGGCCAACGATTGTTACCAAAAAGTCAAAGTCGGGTACTCCGTACGGGGACACCGCAACGCTGCGAGCGCGGATTGGTTGCCAAATCTCCGGATGCTGCGCCTCCGATCCGAATGGATCCACCGCTTGGCATCTGCTTGGCATCTGCTTGGCTGAGCGGTGATGTGGCTGGTGCGTTGGTGCGTTGGTGTTGGTGTTGGTGTGGCTGATGAGATACCGTACTGTACGGAGTAGTTACCTCTTTAGCAGTACCTTACCTGCCTAATCGGGTACAAAAGTGATCTGTCCTATGTTGATACGTAGACACATCTGCTGTGACAGCCTGGATTACTTGCATCTCCACTCAAGTCTGAGTACATCCTCAACTTCATTTCCATCTCTCCACCTCGGATTCAGCCCATCTGCCCGGACAGTGGGGGTAACCTTCTAGAATCAGATAGGGGTGATTATTGTGGATGTGAACAATGAAGTAAGCTTTATCTGCTAGGGTCCTCCCTCCCCTATAGTAGTTAATGCGATATGGGTGGATGGGATAGGGATAGGGATGGCAATAAAGTGGACGTGGTCACTGCAGCCAGCCCGTGACGTGGTCTCTCCTCCGACATATATATTCTCCGTCGATCCGGATGAACGTATAGCCCAACTGCTTCATCTGAAAGCCTTCAGAGCTGTGATTCAGGCCATTATTGTCTCTCCGAAAGAGAGCAGAGAGTAGATGGAGAGCAGCCTCCATTATTGTAAGCAGGATACTAACTATATTTATACACGGGCAGATCGGGGTGCCACTGAAGGCATGATCGTCTGCAATGGCAGCAACCCAACAACAGATAGACTAGATACAGCCCCAAGGAGGATGGACACGCGTCGGCGGGCGTGGTCAGCACTCTATCGACGACACAGCGCCGAGTCTCAAACTTGCCAGAGCCCACTGGGCTGATGCTAAGGAGCGTCCCGTATCCACTATCTATAACTATAGTACTACTGGCCTGGTCGCCGGGGAGAGCAGCCAACCGCCCTAGTCAATTCCCACCGCCCGAGCCCTTCCGAGGGTACGCCGCATCCGCGAAATTTTCATCTGCCCGGCTTCCCCGTGTGCTTTCTCCGGCTTCAACTCTTCTCTCTCCTCCCTCCTGCCACTTCAATTCCTTTCTCCTTCGTGTCTTTTTGGGTTCCCTTTCTTGTCCTGGGTCCGGGGTCGGGTTGCTTTTGCTTCAATTGCCTCTATCCTTGTACCATACATATCCTTGACTTCTGTTTTTCTACTTCTACCTTTCCCTTCCCTTCCCTTGCCACCGCTACCCCGATCTCTTTCGCTAGGGTCGGTTCTAGACTGTGTGCATTAGTGCCACCATAACATCTTTCTCTCATCCAATACACTACCTATCCGACCGTCACAATGGCCCAGACCAATGGCGACATGGAGCACTCGAAAGGTTCGCTCGCACCCGCCGTCCGCAGTCCCCGGCGTCCCGGCGTCCCGGCGTCCATAGCTAATCGTCGCTGCAGAGACTCCCGAACAGCTGACCAACGGCAACAACACCGAGGAGGTCCAGGAAGAGGAGGTCAACGGTGGTATGTCGCTCCCCGGTCAACTCGCTCGAATTGCACACGGTTACTGACCGATCCAAGGCCTTTTCCAGATCTCCGTGAAGCTGCCTCACGAGCCCTACAAGATCCAGGTGATGGTGGGTGTTCACAACAGTGTCATGCGACTGGAGGAAGCATTGCAAGCCTCTAACCCGTATCCATAGGTGTCGAGCCAAGAACAGGTCCAAGATGTCCGCCAATCGATCGTTGAGCTGCCCAGCACCTTCCAGTATACCTGCTTCCACCTCGAATTCAACGGCCAGCGTATCAACGACTTCATCGAATTGTCCGAGGTGCCCGACCTGACGGCGGACTCCGAGATCACCCTCGTGGAGGACCCCTACAACGAGAAGGAGGCTCGCATGCACGTGGTGCGCATGCGGGAGCTCGTCGGAGCCGCTGGTGACCGGGTCGACAACCTGCACGGTCTCAGCGCCGGTCTGTCGCTGCACGACTCCATCTCCGCGGAGGTGTCCGAGGCGGCCGAGAAGGACCACTCCCTGTCTAAGTACGACATCGCTAGCTCCCCATCTCTCGACACCATCCTCCCCCGCGCCGAGACTCCCCTTCCCAAGACCGTCAAGGCCATCTCGCTCTCGCCGTGGAACCCGGTTCCCTACAACCTCCGCCAGAAGGGTCACCTGCTCTACCTCCAGGTCACCACCAACGAGGGCGAGCAGTTCCAGATCACCTCCCACATCTCTGGCTTCTACGTGAACAAGTGCTCGAACATGAAGTTCGACCCCTCCCCGAAGACCATCCCCAAGAACGGCCGCGCGCACTCGCTGCTCAGCTTGATCGCTCATCTGTCGCCGTCCTTCAACGCCTCCTTCGAGGCTCTCCAGGAGTCTAACAACCAGAAGGACCTCCTGACCACCTTCCCCTTCCAGAACGCCATCCCCAACAACCCGTGGCTCGTCTCCCCCACCGCCAATGTTCACCAGGCGGACATCACCCGCTCCCAGGAGAACTACCTGATCTCCGGCGTCGACAACGCTGAGACTCTGCGTGACTGGAACGAGGAGTTCCAGACCACCCGGGAGCTCCCCCGCGAGACCGTCCAGGATCGCGTTTTCCGGGAACGCCTGACCTCCAAGCTCTTCGCGGACTACAACGAGGCTGCCGCCCGCGGTGCCGTTCTCGTCGCCCGTGGTGAGGTCGCCCCCCTGAACCCCACCGAGGGCCGGGATGCTCAGATCTTCGTCTACAACAACATCTTCTACTCCTTCGGTGCTGACGGCGTTGGCACTTTCGCCTCCGAGGGTGGTGATGAGGCCGCCCGTGTCGCCGTCGGCAAGGACGTCCTCGGTATCAAGGCTGTCAACCAGCTCGACATCAACGGTCTGTTCACCCCGGGAACTGTCGTTGTGGACTACCTTGGCAAGCGTATTGTCGGTCAGAGTATCGTCCCTGGTATCTTCAAGCAGCGTGAGCCCGGTGAGCACCAGATCGACTACGGTGGTGTTGAGGGCAAGGACGTGGTGGCCACCCACCCCGACTTTGTGCCCGTCTTCGAGAAGCTGTCCAAGGCTCTCCGGATCAAGAAGCATGCCGTCTGGGACAAGGAGGGTGCTCGCCACGAGCTTGAGGGTAGTGTTGAGACCAAGGGTCTGCTGGGCACTGACGGCCGCAAGTACGTGCTTGACCTCTACCGCGTGACTCCCCTGGATGTTGCGTGGCAGGAGGAGGAGGGCAGCGATGTCTACCCCCACCGCATGTCCTCCCTCCGTCTGGAGCTCGTCGAGTCGTACTGGAGGAACAAGATGAGCCAGTACGTCAAGGCCGAGGTTGAGCGTCGTCGCAGCGTCAAGGCTGAAGAGGAAGCTGCTAAGAAGTCCGCCGAGGCTGAATCCAAGGAGGAGGGCTCCGAGGAGAAGTCTGAGGAGAAGACCGAGGAAAAGACCGAGGAGGTCCAGGAGCAGGAGCGGGTCGACATTTCCGGATTCACCCTGGCCCTGAACCCCGATGTCTGCAGCGGCCAGGTCCCCCAGACCGACGAAGAAAAGGAACAGTGGGCTCAGGATGAGAAGGAAGTGCGCGAGACCTGTGACTTCCTGCGCACCAAGGTCATGCCCGAGCTGATCCAGGACCTGCACGACGGCGACGTCGGTTTCCCCATGGACGGCCAGTCTCTCAGCCAGCTCCTGCACAAGCGCGGTATCAACATCCGCTACCTCGGTAAGCTCGCTCAGCTGTCCAAGGAGAGGGGCGCTCGTCTCGATGCCCTGTCCACCCTCCTCGTTCAGGAGATGATTGCTCGTGCCTTCAAGCACGTTGCCAACCAGTACCTCCGCAGCGTGCCGGCGCCGTTTGTCGCCCCCTGCGTTGCTCACCTGCTCAACTGCCTGCTGGGCGCTGATGTCAGCCCCAACCCCCGTGCGGAGATCGACAGCTCTCTCCGGGCGATCTTCCCCGAGGGTGACTTCTCCTTCGAGAAGGTCACTCCGGCCTCTCTCCGGGCCGAGCTCGAGAAGCAGGTCACCATCCGCTACCGCTTCTCTCTGGAGCCCGAGTGGTTCAACTCCCTGAGACACTTGCAGCTCCTGCGTGATCTTTCGATCAAGCTGGGTCTCCAGCTTGGAGCCCGTGAGTTCATCTTCGACAAGGCTCAGATCCCTGCCAAGGCTCCTGTCACCAACGGTACCAACGGCGCTGGCCAGGATGAGGGCAACAAGAAGAAGAAGAAGAAGGGTGGCGACAACTCTCCCTCCCGCGCCCCCGTGGAAGAGAAGCCTATCCTTTCCATCGTGGCCGACGATATCCTCAACATCGTGCCCATGGTCAAGGACGCCTCCCCCAGAAGCTCTCTTGCCGAGGAGGCCCTGGAGGCCGGTCGCATCTCTCTCATGCAGAACCAGAAGCAGCTGGGCCAGGAGCTCATTCTCGAGTCCCTGTCTCTGCACGAGCAGATCTACGGCATCCTCCACCCCGAGGTTGCCAAGCTGTACCACCAGCTGTCCATGCTCTACTACCAGACCGACGAGAAGGAGGCTGCGGTTGAGCTGGCTCGCAAGGCTGTTATCGTCACCGAGCGTACCCTGGGTGTTGACTCTGCCGACACCATCCTGAGCTACCTCAACCTCAGTCTGTTCGAGCACGCCTCGGGCAACACCAAGACCGCTCTGGCCTACATCAAGCACGCCATGGACCTGTGGAAGATCATCTATGGCCCCAACCACCCCGACTCCATCACCACGATGAACAACGCCGCGGTGATGCTGCAGCACCTCAAGCAGTACGGGGACTCCCGCAAGTGGTTCGAGGCCTCGTTGCTGGTCTGCGAGTCGCTCTTCGGCAAGCAGTCCATCAACACCGCCACGATCCTGTTCCAGCTGGCGCAGGCTCTGGCTCTGGACCAGGACTCGAAGGGTGCCGTTGCCAAGATGCGCGATGCCTACAACATCTTCCTCAGCCAGTTGGGCCCCAACGACCGCAACACCAAGGAGGCCGAGACCTGGCTGGAGCAGCTCACCCAGAACGCGGTTTCCATCGCGAAGCACGCCAAGGACATCCAGGCTCGCCGCCTGCGCCGGGTCAACATGAACCCCCGTTCTCTCGGCACCAAGATCCAGCCCCAGGTCGGCCAGACCGCCTCCGGAGTGGCTGGAGCCCGCGGCTCGGGCTCCTCGTTGGACTCTCGTAGCGTCGATGAGTTGCTGAAGTTCATCGAGGGCGGTGACGCCGGCTCTTCCAAGGCCAAGCAGAAGAAGCGTGCTGCCGCCAGCAACCCCAAGCTTCGTGGATCGAAGAAGTCTTCGGCCTAAGCTTTTCTTTTCTCTCCCCTTTCTCGCATGGCCCGTGGCCAGGCTCAAAATTGTTTTGGTTCCATTTTCTCGGACTATACTATACCTGTCTTAACACTTGAAGATATGATTTGGCTCTATATATCCCTGCAAAGAGTTGATATTTTGGATGAGCGGGACGTTTGCCTATCCTGTAGAAACCTCTCTACTCTCGCACCGCTGTTGGTGCTTCTGTTTCTCGTTTTTATACTGCTTTCCTCTGTTCCTTGTGATGTGCACAAGTTTTCTTTGGCGTGAGATGTTGGCCGCACCCGTGCATACAGAGCCAGGGGGCGATTCGCATGCTGTGTATTATATACCATGATCGGGGAGTTCCCCATGAGAGCTTGTAATGATGCTATGTGTTTTGTTACCTAGTAGGATAATGTTTCATGACGCTATACCACTCCAGTAGTACCAACACTACCCCGTACCTGCCTAGTTAAGAGATTAGACTCTTCATGGCCGATGGATGAGTAATCACGGCTGCAGTGCCGATCTGACTAAGGGACGCGCTAGGCCGCTTCCGGCGACGACCGGTTTTTACGTCTTCGGCGGGCACAACATCCTCCCTCCATCCATCCACCGCATCTTACTTTTCGCGTTTACCCCCTTGTATACTTTTGGTTAAGCATTAATCGCTGTATCATATCGGCAGCAGGTTTACCTTGGAGCCCTGCATCACATTGGCCTTTTGGCGTGCATCCGCAAGCAGCGTGATTATCAGAACGTACCTCGTATCCGGTCGCAAGTCCGCAGAACATGGACTATCTATGAGCAGCAGCACTTAAGACCAGGTCGGTACCCCTGCGCTTCGACCGGAACTGACAAGCCATCACGGACGCGAAACTCACACTCCCCCGATAGACCGCGACCTCATCGGCGCAACATGGAGGAGATCCGACCGACTGCGAAATGGGCAAACCGCATGTTGCGCCCCTTGACATCCATCCACCACCGCCTCGAGAAACACCACGAGATTCGCAAGAGCATCGCCGACGCGAGATCGAAAGAGAAAGACTCCGCCAGCGAGACCGACGAGAATGCGCGGGTCCCGACCGCCACCGCCGACGCAGCAGACTGCACGACCTTCTCGGACGAAGAACCCGACGACCCGGCCTGGATCCCGGGAAAACCGAATCGGCGCATCAGACACAACTACTCAAGCCGCGGGCAGAGGAACGGGGCGCGGAGACGCAGTCGGCTCTTGATCAAGAGCCCGGAAGTGCAGCGCACGCTCCCTGGCGCCATTGAGATCGCGACCCCGTTGATCACGGGAAGGACACTAGGGGGCGCGTCGGAGGCATCCACGTCCGCGTCGATCCGGAAACAATTATTTCGCAATGTGACGCTACCGTCGGCTGCGGGTGAGGCTGCCGGGACGGGACAGGGCGAGAATCGCAGAGCGTCGCGGACGAACAATGCCAACTTCCCGGCCTACCAGGGCTCGTGGAAGGAGGCGTTGGATTTCTCGGGCGATGCGGGTGTCGTGGATGTCGCGCGGTTTTTGGATCGCATGTTTATGAAGTTTTTGAATAATACGCGGGCGGGCGCGCAGCGGGAGGAGGGGGGCCGGGGGGCTCGGTCGTTGCTGGCGATGGCGGCAAGACGGCTTCCCGAGTTTATTGCTGATGAGCAGAGGCTGCAAGATGAGGCGGAGGAGGATGGCGAGGTCGATATGTGCGATGCCTACTTTACGGAACTGGAGGCCCATTATGCCCCTGGTGGTCGGGGATGGCAGCCCCTCCGTGATGCGGTGCGCGCCCAGGGGATCCACCTGATCTCGGAGATGATGTTGAAAGGTTGGGTCCCGCGGTTGGCGACCTGTCGTCTTTTGGAGGAGTGCCTCAACCAGGGAGAGTTGGACGCCTTTGAAACCCTATTATCTCGATATCTCACCACTATCCGAACATACGATTACCCGCCCGCGTTCGACCCCCCCGGCCCTCGAGCGCGCGGCGATGACCCGATTCACATACTACGCGTGTACTACACACGGGCGCCTGGACGGAGGTACTTTGTCTTCGATGAGGTGGCCAAACTGCTGTCGCGCCGTGCATTCCCGCCCGAGTGGATGGTCACGGCCCGGTGGAAGAAGTGCGTGGATGGCGCCATCCGGTCGCTGTCGACTGGCGATGGCGATTCCGCGGCTGCCACCCGGGCTATTGAAGCTATTGTCCTGTCGTCTGCGGGCGTCTTCCCGGTCACGGATTCACCTGTCGTCCGGGCGAAGGGAAAGGGGAAGGGAAGAGGGAGAGGGAGAGGGAGAGGGAAAAATGCGATGCCTGCGAAAGATACGCGCGCGAAAGATACTAGGGCCTCCGTCGCGAATTCGTCGACTCTCCCTCAAGACCTGTCTCCGTGCCCTATCCCGATCCAAGACGCGCTTACCAACCTCTCCTCGAGTCTCGTCACCGCACTCTGCGGGATGAGCATCGCGCGGTCGCAGGCCCCGGACGCCGACGAGCGATCGACGGGCCGGAAGGTCAGGTTTGTCGTGGGGTCGCTGTCCTTCACCGTGCAACGGGCCATCGGGCTGGTCTTGTCGCTGCGGGAGATGGAGGGCCTCAGTTTCCACGGCCTGCGCCGGGGCTATGTCTTGCTGGGCGAGTGGTTGCTCCAGTGCCATGAAACATCTACGCCGGAGGTCATCAGCCAGTCCAACTTGATTTCGCCCAAGAACGTGGAATCGTTCTGCCTCTCGTTAGCCAACCAACAGGAATGGGTCAAACAGCTCGCCGAGTTCGTCCAACAGGTGTTTCACTGCTGCGGGCACGCACGCAAGGGCGATCCCACCCGGACCCCCCGCGAGGTGCGGACGATTGTCTCCCGGCTCGCTCAGCTGACGACGAGGACGGGAAGAATGCCTCTACTCGGGAAAGTGGCCGCGGAAACGGCCATGGCCCTGGCAGAGATTACGTTGGACGAGGACGACCACGCGTGGGCGCTGGAAACCCAAGGACAGGCCATCTCCTCCCAGCAGGAGAGGCCCGCCGACGAGTATGAGTATGAGTCTGAGTCTGAGTCGCTCGCCTCGACGCATCAGCCATCCTCACAGACGGCGCTCGACCTGTACCGGTGGGAGGACAGCATCGGGGAATGGGTAGCCAGCACCCCAGCCCCTAAAGCCCCTCAACCCCCCAAGACGTCTACCAGCACCGACCGCGTATCGACGGAATCCTGCTCGACCAGTAGCCGGTCCCCGAGCCCAGCACCGTCGGAGACGGTCGCGTCGAGCGTGACTTCGTCTGCGCCCTCGGTGTCGGGGAAACGAGGACGAGGATGCGCGCAGGCCGATTGGACGCCACCGTTGCCATCGCCGTCCCCGAAAAGACTAAGGCTTCGCTCGAGCGCGAGGACGAATGCCGCCGCCGTCGCTGTGATGTCGCCCAGCGACGAGTCCACCCGCTCGGGCTCCCCCGTAGCCGCCCGCACACGCACGGCGCTTCGCGATCTGCCCCAGGCCAAGAACCGTGTGGTGCAGGTGCAGCAGCATCGTGCCACTGCCATGGCCTCTAGGAAAGTGGCACCCCAGATCGAGGTGGTCATCATCAATCGCAGCCCCTCTGCCTCTGGCCTCTCTCCCTCCACGATGGATCTGCCCGCCCCGTTGACGGTGTGCCGGCCCCGGAATGCGCGCGGGCGCGGGCGGCCCCCAGCCAACCGCCTGAACCTGAAGCCCCCTCCGCTGCCCACCAGTCTCCCAGACCCAAAGCTTGATCTGCCCCGGGTGACTCGCACGCGCACGCCAGCCGTGCAGGTGCGGCGTGAGATTCCTTGTTCGCAGGACGATAGCGAGGATGAGTTGAGTTTTCTGTAAGCGGGGGTTGCGTTGGTTGGAGTTGAGGGTTCGTGGCTGGCTTGGGTGCTTGGTGTTGGCGTTTGCAATTTTTGGGGCGGGTCTGGTTTAGCTTTGGGGGTGTGTGTCCCTTGGGAATCTGGGATCTTATTGATTAGAGTATTTGGATTTGGATTTGGATTTGGTCTTGGTCCCTGGGGTCTGGGCTTGGCTTATTGGGGACAGGGTTGAGGATTAGGATCATTGGTTCTGGATGATACCCGCCGGCATTATTATTCTGGCCCGAATTTGGATTGGATTCGGTAGTTAGTTAGTTAGTTAGTTAGTTATCGAGTGATTACTGGTGAGATACTACTGGTTAGTGAGATAGATTAAGTTGGCGTTTTAGGGTTTTTGTCAATGCATGCATGGTAGTTAGATACACGGTACTTGGATAGATAATCGGATCGGATTGGATCGGATCGAGTACGAAGTTACTTATCTTGTAGTACTTCTTATGCGCCCTCTCATCCTGCATCCTTCCATCTCGGGCGCTTTTACTTGTGTGTTTTTTTTTTTTTTTCTGAACTTCGAAAAGACTCACAATGAAACTGGCTTAGAGATTAAGTGACAGCCGCGTGACAGCGGTGTCAACTGTCAACAGTCAACAGTCATTCAGGGTGAACTTGGTTCTGGCGAGACCCGGTGTATCAGATCGGTGACTAGTGCAGACCTAAACCAAGGCGTGGGCCGTGTTGTCACTTTGATGGAGACAGGAGGAGACAAACGGTCAGGTCCGTCCGTCCTTTTCATTTATTTGATTATTAGCTGGATGGATGGATCTTGGCCCGGCTGGAAAAGAGAATAGCCAGGTAGATACTTAGATAGATGGATAGATATGTGCTATTTTTATTTTTGTACGGAGTACTATAGATAATACTCACTCCCTTGCCTGTACGCCGTACTATGCGGTACTACAAATACCTTCATAGTAACTAGTCAGTTAGTTATCTACTTAGTGGTAGATCCAACAGTCAGCATCCAAATCCTCCTAGTTATCTAACTAACTACCAGTTCAGTACCTACATAATCATCATCCTACTTAAGCGCCCTCCTCTTCAGCCTCCCCCCCCCTCCTTGCAGCACACTCGCCGATCGAAATGCTGACTGCTGACAGCTTCAGCCAGAAAACCCCGAACCCACCCAGTCCCGCCCTTCTCCGCCCTTCCGCTGAGATTGGCTCGCTAGTCGAGAGAAAACGCAAGGGTGCGTCCTGCAATCCGCCATCCTCAATCCTCTATCCTCTGCAGAGTCAAGGCAGCCAAGCCGCGATCGATTCTTCTGCCGGGCCTCCGCTCACTTTGTTTCACCCTCACTGCTTTCCCGCCCGCCTGCCAATGGCCTCATCGGTCTGGTGGGTGTCTGGTGGCTTGGCGTGAGGCAATTTGGACAGGAACGGCCCAATAATGGGGTTGACAAAAGGTCTGGGCGAGACCCAGTGCTTGGGCCATGCCGCCATTCTTATTGACTGACTCGACTCGGCTGGGATGGGTCTGGGTGAATCCATCCCCTCCCTGGCCGCTGTCCGAGTCGAGGATTCGAGTTTCGACTTTCGAGATTGGGGATTGGAGCTGGTCAGCCGTGGATGGGTCGGGTCTCTTGGACTTGGGCTTGGGCTTGTTGGGTCTTTTCGAGGACGAATGGAAGGATGGAGGACATTGTTAGTTCCTACCTATGTAGCTGTAGCTGTAGCTGTAGTTAGTGGTGGTGGTGGTGGTGGTGGTAGCAGCAGTAGCAGTAGCAGGAGTACGACAGGGACGCTGTACTCCCTCCCTCTTCCTCTTCTTCTTCTTCAGGCACACTTCTGCATCCCTTCTCCTCTCCTTCTTCCCTTCCTCTTCCTCTTCCTCTCTCTCTCTCTCTCTCTCTTTTCTTCATCTGACTGCTGGTAGTCTTCATTCGCCCCCCCCCCCCCCCGTGTCCAACTTTTACTTCTGTTGCCTGTTGGGACCTTCTCTTCATTCCTTTGGCCCAGAGCAAGCGAGTGACTGGCTCACTCCCTCAGATCTCACATTCCATTCCATCCATTCCTTTCGTTGCCCGCTGCTGGCCCCGCGACAAATCCCTCCTGTCCGGATCCTGGAGCATTCCCTGCGCTCACTCCACGGACCTAGCTTTGTTCTTTGTTGTTGGTTCTTGTTGTTGGACTTCTTTGTTGGATAGCATCATTCATCTCCTGCAGACACTGAGAAACAAAGCGCCCCCGAACAACACCATTGTTGGTGATTCCCGGCCCAGCCTTGCTCTGCTGGAGGTCGCGTATTGCTTTTCTACCCCGGGCTGCCCAGAAAAAAAAATAAACCGCAAGATTCGATAGACAATCCCTCGCGAGCCTGATTGACAGGGGTCTCTCGGCTTCTTCTTCTTCTTCTTCGTCTGTTTTCGGTGCAGATTGCGTGGACAGACAGAGCTGGTCTCTTGTACAAGAAACGATCCTTCTTTTCGATATTCACCATGTATTCGCATTCTCTTCTTCTCTGCTGGTCCCTGGCTGGACTGGCGTCCGCAGCCGACCTCGAGAAGCGTCATGGCGGCGGCTCCTCGATATACGAGATGCTCAACGACGACCTCGCGCGACTCAGTCTGCTGGTGCTGGGGCTGATGGCCGTTGCCATCTACGTGTGGAAGACGTCGCACCGACTGGCGAGCCACATGCGACGGCTGGCCAGCTTCAACAACGAGCATCAACGATACTTCGCCGCCCCCCACGAGACGCTGGCCAAGGTCAAGAACCACATCACCTACGCCCCCCTGTTCCGCAACCGACACAACCGCGAGTTCCAGCTCTCGCGCGCCGTCAACATGGGCACCCTCCCCAGCCGCTTCCACTCGTTCCTGCTGCTGGGCATCGTCGTCATGAACGTGGTTTTGTGTGTCGTCACCGTGCCCTACGGGTCCCAGGAGGACACCGTCGCGGGTCTCGTCCGCAACCGCACCGGCACGATGGCCACGGTCAACCTGATCCCCGTCGTGCTGTTTGCCGGCCGCAATAATCCCTTGATCCCCCTGCTGCAGGTGTCGTTTGATACCTTCAACCTGATGCATCGCTGGCTCGCCCGCATTGTGGTCCTGGAGGCCATTGCGCATGTGGTCGCCTGGTGTATCCCGAAGGTTCAGGATGGTGAGTTGTAATCCTGAGCGGATAGTCGGCATTCAAATGCTAATGCTCCTATAGAAGGTTGGAGTGTCGTTGGGAAGGTGTTTGGAGAGAGCAGTTTCATGCTCAGCGGACTGGTCGTAAGTATCCGCGATTGCAACGATTGAGCGTTTGCTAACTTGATATCCAGGCTGCCTGTGCCTTTGTTGGTCTCCTGGCCCATTCTCCCTCGCCTATCCGCCATGCTTTCTATGAGACTTTCCTCCACCTCCACATCATAATGATCGTGGTCTCGTTCGCCTTCCTGTGGATCCACCTGAACGGCATGATCTCTCAGAGCTACCTGCTGGTGGCCATCATCTTCTGGGCGTTCGAGGTACGTCAGCCCCAGACCGTCCAAACCCCACCCACTAACCATCCATCCAGCGTGCTGCCCGTATCTTCACTCTCCTCTACCGCAACTGCGGCCGAGAGTCCACAACCGCGCACGTCGAGGCCCTCCCCGGCGACGCCATGCGCATCACCCTGAAAATGGCGCGTCCGTGGACCTTCCACCCGGGCCAGCACATCTACCTCTACATCCCGGCGGTCGGTTGGTGGACAAGCCACCCCTTCTCAGTCGGCTGGAGCGACGCGGAAGAGTTCCCCGCCTGCGAGAAAGGCATCCCGATGACGCAGCAAGACCTCCTGGCGCTGCAAAAAACCACCATCTCCCTCCTCGTCCGCCGCCGCACCGGCTTCACCGACAAGCTCTTCCAGCGCGCGCAGAACGCCATGGGGGGCCGCATCTCGCTGCGCGCCTTCGCCGAGGGCCCCTACGGCAACATCCACTCCATGGACTCGTACGGCACCGTCATGCTCTTCGCCGGCGGCGTCGGCATCACCCACCAGGTCCCCTTCGTCCGCCACCTCGTCCAGGGCCACGCCGACGGCACCGTCGCCGCCCGCCGCGTCACCCTCATCTGGACCATCCAGTCGCCCGAACACCTCGAATGGATCCGTCCCTGGATGACCAGCATCCTGTCCATGGACCGCAGAAGGGAAGTCCTCCGCGTCATGCTGTTCATCACCCGCCCGCGCAATACCAAGGAGATCCAGAGCCCCAGTGCCACCGTGCAGATGTTCCCGGGCCGTCCGAACATCGACACCCTGATTGGCATGGAGGTCGAGAACCAGATCGGGGCCATGGGCGTGCTCGTGTGCGGTAATGGGGGTCTGAGCGATGATGTCCGACGCGTCTGTCGCAAGAGACAGGATCGTTCGCAGGTCGATTTCATCGAGGAGAGTTTTACCTGGTGAGGTAAAGTAGATTGTTTTGCAAACGGTCCGAGGGAGGGTGTTGGTTTAAGAGTGGTCGCCGGGTTGGCCCCCATTCAGCCACGACGCCATCGTCGCGCTTGTGCTAGCTGGCTGGACTGGGATATTAGTCTTACTCTTGGACCATCTCTCTCCCTGGGCTCGTAGCTGCCAATGACACGAGGTATCACTTCCTCTCTTTGATTTGGTTTTGTGCGACGAGCTGGTGTTTGGGTTTCGGGTATATACCTAGTCGTCCTGTTCTGGAAGTATCTACTTTATTATTTACTTACTTGGCTTTCGGCTGCACATATCAAGCATTTATTTGACTATTTTTATTTTTTGATGGGGATGTGATTTCATTGTAGATTTGATGTTGTTCTTCGCCGTTCATAGTTATCCATGATAGATTTGTTGCTTCAGCAAGCTGGGGCTAGTAGCGACTAGGAGTAGCTGGTACTACTAGTCTAAGCTCCATCCAGCTAACCGAAAGAGTCAAAGCTTATCAATCCATCAATCTACATAACTAGTTAACATCTAGACTACCATTACACAGGATGCACGGCCATGAAGAAACCGAAAGACCGCATAGATGGCATGACTCACAGCTTACCACCAAATAAGTCATCCTCATACCCAACCTAACCTATCCCATCCATTCTCCATTTATTAATTAATTATCTCTGAACTACGTACCACCCATCCACCCACCGGAGATACGCCATGGAAGGCAATCGACGCTGAATAAACCCCCCAGCTTAGAAATCAAATCCAGACTGGGTGGGGCGCCGCTGACGGAGACGACAACTTTCCAGATGGCATCATCTGCTCGCTCCCCTCCCGTATTCTGTATCCTATGATTCATCGTCCCTTAGATACTTAGATAGTACCCGTACCGACTTAATTACCATTGGCGCTATCACTACTATGAGCGGGGTTCGTGCGGCCAGGGTATATAACCTCTGTCGCATCCCCAGGGTTGGAGTTTCTGGCATTGCCCCTCCTGTTCCTGTTCGTTTCTTGTCTTCGACATTGTGTCTACACACCCAGGTCCAGACCCGGACCCAGATTAATACACAAACTCGATCTCGATCTTTTGCTGCTGCTGCTGCTTCTTCTTCGTCGCCCCGTCGGTCTGATACAATGGCTACCCCGGATATCACCCTCTACACGGCCCAGACGCCCAATGGGATTAAGATCTCGATTGCGTTGGAGGAATTGGGGTATGTCTTGTCTTTCTGTCTCTCTGTCTTTCTCTCTTGTCAGCGAATGGGCTGGGAAGTTGGGTAATTGCTGCACCAGGAACTGATGATTGTGTTAACAGCCTCCCGTACAAAGTCGAGAGAATTGATATTAGCAAGAATGTTCAGAAGGAGGAGTATGTTTCCATCCCCATCCCCCCCAAAACACTTATCCCCACCCTCTCTCATTCATCATGATATCCCCCACTAACCTCAACCGAAAAAACCCAGCTGGTTCCTCGCCATCAACCCCAACGGCCGCATCCCCGCCATAACCGATACCTTCTCGGACGGGAAACAAATCGCGCTGTTCGAATCCGGCAGCATCCTCACCTACCTCGCGGAACGATACGACCCGACGCACAAGATCTCCTACCCGGCGGGAACCCGCGAAGCCTACGACGTCAACAGCTGGCTGTACTTCCAGAACGCGGGCGTCGGGCCCATGCAAGGCCAAGCGAACCACTTCTCGCGCTACGCGCCCGAACGCATCGAGTACGGCGTCAAGCGCTACGTCAACGAGACCCGCCGGCTGTACGGCGTGCTGGACGCCCATCTCGCCAAGTCGCAGTCCGGCTATCTCGTTGGCGATCATGTCAGTATCGCCGATATCTCGCATTGGGGGTGGGTGGCCGCCGCCGGGTGGGCCGGCGTCGATATCGACGAGTTTCCGAATCTGAAGGCCTGGGAGGAGCGAATGGCGGCGAGGGAGGGCGTCGAGAAGGGGAGACATGTGCCCACGCCTGATACGATGAAGGAGTTGATCAAGGATAAGAAGGCCGCGGAGGAGGCTGCGGAGAAGGCGAGGGCTTGGATTCAGGAGGGGATGAAGGCGGATGCGAAGCATTAGATTAGGTTGGATTGTTTCTGTCTGTCTGTCTGTCTGTGTCTTGTAAATAGTTAGTATGTGATGTGATGGCAAGGTGACGGCCAAGTGACGTGGTGACTGTCAAGTGTCAGGAATTGTCTTCTGAAAATCATACAATAATATCATGTTGACTTGCTTCACTCTAAAACCCGACTGCTTAGTCATCCCACGTGCGTCCTAAAAGCTTGCCACCTCGCCGCCCTCGCTTTTGTCGCTGCCGTCGCCTCTCCTCATCCCGACCCGAGACCATCTTGCTTGCTCGCTCGCCCATCAACCCCATTAACAACTCACAGTCCTCCCCGTCATCATGGCCTGGCGGAACCAGGGTATCACCGGCTCCAACAACATCCCTCTGGGCCGGAGACGGTTTGGAGGCGATGACGGTCCGGACGACGACAGCCGCACCGCGACACCCGCCTCCGCGGCCGGCGATAGCGGCTACAAGCGTGGGAGGAGCCCTGTTCGTGGTGAGTCTTTCTTTCTTTCGTTCGTACTCAGAGGGAGGACGTCTCTACACAGTGGACTCTGCTGATATTTAATCATCTCTAGCTGAACCCCCCGTCGATGGCGTCAAGAAGCGCAAGAAGCGCAACCGCTGGGGCGATGCGCAGGAGAATAAGGCCGCTGGTCTCATGGGCTTGCCCACCATGATCATGGCAAACTTCACCAATGAACAGCTGGAGGCGTATACCTTGCATCTGCGCATCGAGGAGATCAGTCAGAAGCTGAGAATCAATGATGTGGTTCCGGCGGATGGCGATAGGTAGGCTGCTCCTTTTCTTTTTCTTTTTCTTTTTTTATGATGCCATGAGCTCACCGCTAACTCGGACAGATCTCCCTCTCCTCCCCCCCAGTACGATAACTTTGGCAGACGTGTAAACACTAGAGAGTACCGGTATCGGAAGCGCCTCGAGGATGAGCGCCACAAGCTCGTCGAGAAGGCCATGAAGACCATCCCTAACTACCACCCGCCCTCTGACTACAGGCGCCCTACTAAGACCCAGGAGAAGGTCTACGTGCCTGTGAATGACTATCCAGAGATTAACTTCAGTATGATAACTAACCCTCTAACTCCTAACCGTTGTTCTTCTGTATTCCTACTCTGTTGCTCGAGCCGGGCTTCTGATGAAGACGTCTCGCGTCGTCCTTCTCCAGCTCGCTTCTTGCTAACCCTTGCTGCTTGATGTTGCATTGCACATTGCTCCGTTTTGCTCTCCTTCCCCCGCTCACTCACTCTCAAATCCTTCTGAAACAGCGTGCACTAACACTTAGCTCTCTGCTACCTTTTCAAGTTGGCTTACTCATAGGACCCCGTGGAAACACCCTCAAGAAGATGGAGACCGAGTCCGGCGCGAAGATCGCGATCCGTGGCAAGGGCTCCGTCAAGGAAGGAAAGGGTCGCTCTGACGCCGCCCACGCCAGCAACCAGGAGGAGGATCTTCACTGTTTGATCATGGCAGATACCGAGGAGAAGGTTAACAAGGCGAAGAAGCTGGTGCACAATGTCATCGAGACGGTATGTCGGCTGGAACTTCTTCGCTGAGCGATCCGTGCTAACCGCAGACAGGCCGCCTCCATCCCCGAGGGTCAGAACGAGCTCAAGCGGAACCAGCTGCGTGAGCTGGCTGCGCTGAACGGTACTCTCCGTGACGACGAGAACCAGGCTTGCCAGAACTGTGAGTTTTCTCTTTCTTTCTCCCCCCTTCTAATATACGTGGCTAATAACTTCAGGCGGCCAAATCGGTCACCGCAAGTACGACTGCCCCGAGCAGCGCAACTTCACCGCCAACATCATCTGTCGTGTCTGTGGCAACGCCGGCCACATGGCTCGCGATTGTCCCGACCGCCAGCGCGGCTCCGACTGGCGCAACAACAACGGCGGCTTCGGCCAGCGCGGGCCCCGGGCCATTGGCGGTGGTGACGCCGTTGACCGCGAGATGGAGGTAAGTCTTTGTCTGGTAGGGTCTGTCGAATGTGACACTAACCTCGATAGCAACTCATGAATGAACTGTCTGGCGGCGCCCCCGGCGAAGACGGTCACGTCCCTCGTCGGATCGAGGCTGGCCCCGACCAAGGGTACGACGACCGGGATGCGAAGCCCTGGCAGCGCGGACCTCCTCCCAGCGACGTCGCCCCCTGGCAACAGCGCGGCCGCGACCGCCGGGACGACTACGGCTCCCGCGACCACGGCGGTCCCCCTCCATGGGCGGCGCAGGGCCCCCGCGGTGGCGGCGGCGGCGACTACGGCTACGGTTCGCACGGTGGCTACGGCGGTGGCTACGGTGCTCCTGGGGGTGCTCCCGGAGCGGCTGCTCCCTGGCACCAGCAGCAGCAGGCCCCGCCGCCGCCGCCTGGTGGGCAGGCGTACGGATACGGAGGATATGCCTCGTACCCTGGCATGGGCGCGCCGGGAGCTCCTCCGGGTCTGGGAGCGCCTCCGCCGCCCCCGGGCATGCCCTCGTACTACGGCTCGGGCAGTCCTCCTCCCCCTCCTCCTGGCGAGGGACCCCCGCCTCCGGTATGTATTTTTCTTTGCATCTTAAAACCGAAACCACTGCTAACGAACTGGATACAGCCTCCCAGCGACCAGCCCCCTCCCCCTCCTCCCCCGGCTTAGAGGCGACGGTCGGAAAAGTTGTGCATGTTACTAATCGATCCTTAACGAAGGCCGGTGGAATGGTCCGGTAAATTGATGATGGGATGCGTCTGCCTGGGGGTGGAATTGTCGGGTCTGCCGGCGAATCTGGAATTCTCTATGTATTAGTTAGTTCTTACTTGGCTATGGATATGACTATGGCTATGGCTATGGCCTTGCTTGCGTATGAGTCGAGTCGAGTAGACTTGATCTTGGTATGGGCGTGGGTATGAGCATCCGGGCGCTGCAGGGGTATCTGCATGGCTGCCCTGCGACTGATGTAGAATGTAGAGTGGACTGTAGTTACACTGTAGAGTCAATGAGTCAGACAGATTCTTATTTCCCGTAAGAAATATAGAAAGTCGGATAATCAGAACACCCATCATGGATTTATTTTATTTATTTTATTTCTTTCCTCTCCTCTCCTCTTCTCACTTTTTTTTTATTTTTCTTGAAGAATAATATTCTCTGGTACTGTTGGTTAGTGTCCGGCTCCACCTTCCATCATTATTTCCCCAGAGTTCAGTCACTCCGGCTCGGCTGCTCCGCCGAGCCCTTCGGCAGTTTGCCTTTTTACTTTCCCCCCTTCCAATCTGACATCGACATCCGTGTTTGCTTTTCTTGATTTCCCCTGCACCATAGATTATAGACTATGCAGCCACCCGCTTCCCTCTCCTCCCTTTCCGTTGGGGATGGGGGTAGGGATGATACGCAGGGAAGTGGAAATGCGGTCCAGCAGAATTACGGAGATCTCTCTCGGGTTCAACCACAGCACCACGAACACAAAGAGCAAAATATCCCTTCCCGGGCAGATAGCAGGGGTGGTTTACGAAGCATAAGGAGCAGAAACAGATCGAACCCCAATATGCAGAGAGAACAGTCCTCTGGTTCCGGTTCCGGTCCTGGTCAAGCAGAAAAATGGTACAAAGTCCATCTCTTCCGCGGCATGCGAAGGGACGTCCAGCGCCGCATCCCCTACTACTGGAGTGATTGGACCGATGCCTGGGATTATCGCGTCGTGCCGGCCACGGTGTATATGTATTTTGCCAAGTGAGTTTCGTTTCCCGTTTCCCGTTTCCCTTCGCTTCTTTTCAGGCTGGCTTTCCTTCGGTTATGCCTGGAAGAGAAAGAGATGCCTCCGAAATACTAGGTCCACTGACATTACATGGGTTGGGTTGCATCGCGTGTAGTATCCTCCCCGCACTGGCCTTCTCCCTCGACATGTTCGAGAAAACCAACCAGAGCTACGGCGTCAACGAAGTCCTCCTGGCCTCGGTGTTGGCCGCCGTCGTCTTCTCGCTCTTTGCTGCCCAGCCCTTGGTCATTGTGGGCGTCACCGGCCCGATTACCGTGTTTAATTATACCGTCTATGATATCATTGCGAGTCGCGGCACGAATTATTTGGCGTTTATGTGTTGGATCGGGATGTAAGTTTGCTGTATCTTTTTTTGTTTCTCTCTCTGATGCTGCGGCTTTCTCGAATCAAAGAAACTACGCTGACCAGACAGATGGTCCCTCATCATGCACTGGCTCCTCGCCATCACCAACGCCTGCAACGGCCTCACCTACGTCACCCGCTTCTCCTGCGACATCTTCGGCTTCTACGTCGCCTTCATCTACCTGCAGAAGGGCATCCAGGTCCTCACCCGCCAGTGGGGCTCCGCCGGCGAGACCTCCGCCTATCTCAGCATCATGGTCGCCCTGCTGGTGCTCATGGGCGGCTGGATCTGCGGCGAGCTGGGCAACAGCAGTCTGTTCACGCGTCAGATCCGCAAGTTCCTCGAGGACTACGGCACCCCGCTGACCATCATCTTCTTCACGGGCTTCGTCCATATCGGCCATATGCGGGAGGTCGAGGTCGCGCGCCTGCCGACCAGCAAGGCCTTCTTTCCGACGGCCGATCGGGGCTGGTTGGTGCAGTTCTGGGATATCAGTGTGGGGGATGTGTTTTTGGCGATTCCGTTCGCCGTGCTGTTGACGATTCTGTTCTATTTCGATCATAACGGTATTACCTGCCCCCCTATAGGAAGAAAAAAAAAACATCACTAACCAGACAAAGTATCCTCCCTGATCGCCCAAGGTACCGAATTCCCCTTGCGCAAACCCGCGGGCTTCCACTGGGACTTCTTCCTCCTGGGCCTAACAACCTTCGTCTCGGGCCTGCTGGGCATCCCCTTCCCCAACGGCCTCATCCCGCAAGCCCCCTTCCACACCTCCGCTCTCTGCGTGACCCTCGACCTCCCCGACACCGCCGACACCAACAAAGGCAAAACGGTGCGAACAACCTCGCACGTCGTCGAACAACGCCTCTCCAACTTCACCCAGGGCCTCCTCACCCTCGGCACCATGACCGGCCCCCTCCTCCTCGTCCTCCACCTCATCCCCCAATCCGTCCTCGCCGGCCTCTTCTTCATCATGGGCGTCCAAGCCCTGCAATCCAACGGCATCACCCACAAACTCCTCTTCCTCGCCCAAGACCGCGCCCTCACCCCCATCTCCAACCCGCTCAAACGCCTCAAACGCCGCCGGGCCGTCTGGGCCTTTGTTGTCGTGGAGTTGGTCGGCTTCGGCGCGACCTTTGCCATCACGCAGACGATTGCGGCGATTGGTTTCCCCGTCATCATTCTGGCGTTGGTCCCCGTTCGGGTCCTCCTTTTTCCGGGGTGGTTTGGCAGGGAGGAGTTGGGGGTGTTGGATGCGCCGACTGCCGGGGAGTTTGTTATGCGGAGTGTGGGGGGGGCGCATGGGGGGAGTGAGAGTGGGAGTGGGAGTGGTACGGATGAAAATGGGGATGAGCATGGGATTGGAGGGGAGGTTCTTGGCCGGAGAGACGATAGTGAAGGTGATGTGGTCGATGATGATCTGGAGAGGGGAGATGCATATGATATGCAGAGGATGGGGCGGGGGGGCGGGGCTGATACTGGTACTGGTACTGGTGTGAGGAGACGAAGTGTGGTCAGTGGGGAGTAATAATCCAGCCTGGATATAGGATATATTGGATTTGGATATGGTCGGGTTAAGTTAGGTGTGTATATCTTTTTTATTTTTTTTTATTTTTATTTTTTTTGGTTCTGTGGGTGGTACTGGTATAACTATAGTGACTGATTGATTGACTGAGTGCTTAGGTGTTACTGTCCGCGATCTGAACCTGGAGATGTAGATATGATTCATCTAGATAAGATTCTTATTTAACCCTTTTGGGATAGATGATGGACGGATGGATGGATGGGTTGGTTTGATTTAATGGTGGAGATGAGAATGTCTATCCCTCTTTCTTTCTTTCTGTCTGTCTGTCTGTCTGTCTGTCTGTCAATCTTGGGGTTATACATCATGTTGGCTACTATATAGGGGTTATACACCATGTTGGCTACTATATATGGGTTATAGACCAAGGCTATAGATGAGAGAGAGAGAGAGAGAGAGAGAGAGAAGTAGGTCTGTAGGACAGATACGAGGACAGTTAGTCAACTCTCATGATGTAGAGTTTATAAACATATAATATAAAATACGTTTTAGATCCTAGATCTTAAATAATAATAAGTAGTCTCACGACACCAGCTAGATAGCGCAATAGTGATACAACGATAAATCCCATCCCATCCATCCCATCGCCAGCAAAGCAAAAGTACAAGTCTGTTCATTTCTGGACTCTGTGTAGGTGGAGATGGAGATGGTAGATGGTAAAAACCAACGCCACGCTCCATCGCTGTGTGGTGGGTTAAGAAAGACTCAAAGTCTAGTACAACTAGAGTGCCAGGCCTGGCCCGGTCCGGCGCTTCCCTGGCAAAGCTAATTACTCGAGGTTGGAGGTCTGCCTGCCTGCGCAAGCATGTCGGAGTGGTGCTTCAAATGAGGATGGATAGATCGTGCCGAAGACTTCAGATTTAACCGGTAGCTCTTTTGGAATTCGGTGTTCCAGTCGCAACGGACCAGTAGAAGAGGAAAGTGGAGTGTTTGATGAAGAGATGATACCTTCCAGCGACCAATCTGAACACTCTAATGTCCCGATGACAGTGTTCAACACCACATATCGGAATCGAAGGTGTGAACCGTCCGTCCGGTTCGCTGGACGTGCCTCAGAAAATCGTCAAAGTAGCAGCTTTTGTCCGGGCCGACCCTATACAGCCCGAGGCAGTGCGAGTCGACTCCATTCCGCAGACAGCAATCTCGACTCGATACGCATACCAGAGGATCATTGTTCTGCGCAGTTTGAACATGGCTCGTTGGGTGGTTATCGTTCACGACATCACCGTTGATGCACGCCGGCTTGGCCTGGCCTGGTCTTGGCTTCCTGGACGCATTCTCTGATGCAGTCCAGAAGAGGACCCGGTATCTCCTGTGGATTGGGAGTGGCGTTTTTTATTTATATTCTGGAAATACCCTGCACGGAAACATTCTGATGCCGTGTGGTGCTGGTTTCTCTACCAGGAGCGAGCGCCGGCAGTGCTCAGAAGATTGGGACTCAGGTTGATAGGCCGACAGATAGGCTTTCTGTCCATAGCTGGAGTTGTCGCATGGTTCTTGCCCCGGAAGACCGGTTATGGCTTCGCAGATGCGTCTTTTGTCTTCTACTTGACGCTTTCCTGTCCGTTGTATCTCAACACTGCAGATAGGCTATAGACAATGATATCTCCATGATAGAAGCAGTTATTGCACTTCTGTCCCAACATCCCAGGATGGCATACTGCAAACTGGAACATGCATACACTCCTCGCCGCGAGGAGGAAGCATTAACCCCCCAGATTACCTCTCGAAGTTAGACATGACGGGCTAACTGGTAGGATAGTGTTCACTAGGAAAAGAGCGTAATCGCTGACTCGTAGGAAGTCGAATAAACGGGCCGAGGCCCAGATAATCCACCGCGACTGCCGGGTCTCCCATTTCTTGGCGAGGATGGCCATGTTGTCGGCTTGGTTCTTTACCAAGTTGTGGTTATGGCTTCGGGGATGCGTCTTGCGTCTTGCGTCTTGCGTCTTGCGTCTTGCGTTTTGCGTTTTGCGGGTGGGATACGTGGTTTGGCGGAGTGTGTCGCCATGGTGGTTTCTCTTCTTCATGCAAGCAGAGTTCTCTGACTATATCCAGGGCTTTTTGGTTCATTATGGTCAGGTCTATTTCGGAACGCTTGGTGGATATTATTCAGCCTGGCTGGAGACGATCTAGATGGAACAAGACACATATCAGTAGCTGTGGAAGGAGACAGGCAACAGAGAGAGAGAGAATATCATACTGATATCTTGATCGACCCTCCAATTGGAAGGTCATGACCTAGCGGGCGCTTGATATAGCGAGCTTGGGTTACCCATTGGGGTAGTTTGAAGGCGCAAATCACGGTCTGGAGCTGTCAGGAAGATAGAAGAGGACTGCAATGGAATCCGAGAGGAGGAGAGGAGTGGGGGAGAGGAAGAGAGGAGGAGGGGGCAATTGGAGGCGCTTTACGCTGCAGGATCCGGAAACCAATGAACTTGGCCAAGTTCTTCCGTGAAGGAGACTTTCCATCACTCAGTCTTGGGATCCTTCACGCCGGGGTGGCAAATTGCTGCTCGAGGTTACTTCTGGGTGGACTCATCGCAGGTAGGGAATAAAGAAAGGGAATCATCTAGGTTCATGTTCATCCTGGGATGTGGCACTCATGGGTCTGGTATATACCGATGAATCTATGCCGATCGTTTGTGCGTTGGCGTATATTTTTGCCTTGGAACTTGCTCTGGTTCAATCCATGGGTTGGATGGTTGGGTTGCATGGTGTCATCTGTATAGAATGAACCTGTAGGGATTGGATTCGTAGCCTCCCCGGCCTTGAAATTTTGTCTAGATTGTTCTGTTATACCCCATCTCCTGGGGGCTCATTGCCTGCATGGGGGAATGGGGGATCGACATCCCCCCCCCCAGTGCACCTGGTTCCGTCCCAGAGCCACCGGGCATGTTGACGTTGCGGTCCAGATGGTTCCATCCACCAGAAATGAAGACACCGCTGGTTGCTTCGCAGGGATCAAAACAAACCACGGGAAAGCAGGCCGGTCGTCCGGTATACTCCACACATCCTGATAGAATCGGATATCGTAGTCGCATACTGTCTGCCCGTCTTGACATGCCCGAGGCATTGAAGTAGATAGATGAAGCAATACAGATCATCCAAGACTGAGAGTAGCGGCGTATGGAGAGCTTCGAGGGCTCATCGGATGGCTTGCGCGGAAAAGACTTGCAGCTGATACGAACCGGCAAGTTGATCTGAGGGTCAACACCACCCTCCGAGTCGTATCTCTCCTCCCATCCATTCCGTATAGCCTCACTTCCTCCTCCAACCATCCTCGCCAATCAGTTCAATCCCCGCATGGAACCCCCAGCCGACGCACCCACCGAATTGGGAAGGAACGAGAGGCCGTTGTCCCTCGCGCCTTCCTCTTCTGGACAACCACGCGCGTTGTTGACCTGTTGACCCGGACGTGTTACTGCCCCCTCCTCCTCCTCCTCCCCCCCCCCCCCCCTCCCCCGGCGCGTCCCCTCCTCCTCCTCCTCTCATTTTTATTTCCTCCTCCATCATATCAGATCTCACCTCGCCTTCGCCCGCGTTCAATCCCTTCTCATCGCCCTCTCACCTCTCCCTAGGCGTTCTCGCCTCTCTCCACCTATTTAACCTCTCCTCTCTACTCTCTCATCCTCTTCCTACCTCTCCTCTCCCACCCTCCTTCACACTCCTCCACCTAAACACCCACACACCCACGCGTCTTCCTCTTAACTCTCTTCACCAGCTGTCGTCTCCCGGGAGACAACACCACTAAGCAACCACAATCCCGTTTTAAACCCATAATCCACGCAGACGAGTCTGGAACCGTCAACATGACCAGCAAGGATGAGGCTCCCCTGAGGGACCCAGCCTTGGATCGGCCGAAACTGAAAACCGACATGTGTCGGAATGTCGATCTGCCATTTTCGGCATTTAACATAAACCACCTGGTAAGTGTGCTCTCCGGATTGGATCTTCGAGCTGGCGACTTCGGCCGCCGTCGTTCGCCCTGCATCATGTTGTGTAATGGTCTGGACCCTGCGCTCCCTTCGGGGATTAAGGCCCATCCGAGTTCATGTATTCCCTCGACTTGCCCCCCTCCTCCCCTCTCCTGCGCTATCGTCCAGTCATTGATCCCCCCCCACTCCATTAACTACTTCTTGGATGGCTTCACCGGACACAATCCCTTGTCTTCTTTGTATTACATCCTCAAGATGCTTCTTCACCGGTGGCCTCTTCATCATTTCCACCGAAAATATTCACCCTGCCTATGAATCAAACGCGCTCCGCCACCAGGTTGCAGCGATTCACCTCTTCCAATCGACCATTGATGTTGGAAGCCGATATTCATCTCCTTGTTGGACTATCACTGGCACCATGGGCATGCTTCACAGCATGCAAATCCCTCAGCTTTATCAATTATTTAAACCCCCTCCTCCTCTTCCATCCTCCCTCTTCCTCTTCTTCCCCCACCACCCATTTCCTTTTTCCCACTATCTGATTTCTGCTACCCAATTTCACACAAATCCATTCAAGGCTTTCCTGTTGCGTCTGTTCTTTTATCATGGAAAATATAGAACAGATTCACAAGTTGGAGGGGGGGCTCCGCCACCTTCGTTTGCGGGATGCTGACGAGCTGGTCAAGTACAATATCCCCGTCGAGACTGTCCCTCGCCCGGGTTTTAACACCACCGGAAAGGAGGTTGACATGCAGTTGAATGCCTATCCGATCACCAAGTTCCCCAACCGCATCATCTATCAGTATGATGTGAGTGACCCCCCAACCCCCCAGCATGGACGTACCTGTTCGCTGACATGGTGCATAGGTCTTGATTGGACAGGGTACGGAGAAGGCTATTGTCCACAAGAAGGTCTGGGACTCGAAGGTTCGAAAGAAGGCGCTCAAGAGCATTGTGTACGACGGCCAGAAGCTTGCATGGTAAGTCCCGCAGTGTGCATCTCGAAGAAACCATTACTGACCCAGGGCAGGTCGATGATCTCGTACCCGGAGTTCAACCAGTTTGTCGATCTTGACATTGAAGCGGGACGTGAGGGCGGCAGAGTCGACAAGGATGGCAAGGTCACAAATGTCTTCCGCCTGGTGGTTCGCCCCACTCGACAGGTCAACTTGGCAGTTCTCAATTCGTGGCTCCAGGGGCGCACTTCCTTCGAAGACCCTGTCCTGGAGGCCCTAAGTGAGTGCTTCCTTTGTCCAAAGTGCAAGATATGAGCCAACGGCTATAGACTTCTTGGACCACGTTCTGCGGGAGCATCCGTCGTCCAAGTTCCATGCTATCAAACGTTCATACTTTGATCTGAAGGCCGATCAGGCGGACATTGGCAATGGTGTGCTCGCCTTCAAGGGCGTGTACCAGGCCATTCGACCCGCCCTTGTGAGTCTTTCCTCTCCTGTTGGCAGCCTAATCTAACCACTGCTGCAGAAACGCGGCCTGATCGTCAATGTTGACGTCTCGAACACCTGCTTCTGGGCTCGCACCAGCTTGACCGGAGCCGCAATGGCCGTCACGGATGCTAGAGACCATCAGCATCTTGTCTCCCTCCTCAGGGCTAAGGATGACGGCTATGGTGGAGTGACCGAGTCCGACACCTTCTATGAAGTCCACAAGCGCCTGCGCAAGCTGACTGTGACACCCTACTATCGCGGTTGCCCTGTCATGGGTACCATTTTTACCGTCAAGGGTCTCATCAACGGCAATGCCCGCCAGTACAAGATCGATTACAAGGACAAGGCTACCGGCAAAGTTACCAAGATGAGCATCGAAGAATACTTCAGGAGCAGATACAACGTTCACCTGAACGACTGGGCCCTCCCCATGGTTGAGATGACCAAGAAGGGTGTCGTCTATCCCATGGAGGTCCTCAACATCGAGGGCATGCAGCGTTATCCTTGGAAGTTGAACGAATGGCAAACTTCTTTGATGATCAAATTTGCGGCGTCTCGTCCGGCCGAGAGACTGAGCTCTATTATGAAGTCAAAGGCACTGCTCGACCATGCCCACGACCCTGTGCTGCAGAATTTCGGTCTTCAAATCGATAACACCATGATCAAGTCGAAGGCTCGCCTTCTCCCGAGTCCTGACATTCAGTTTGGTGGAAACCAGCGCATTTCCCCTGGAACTGCCGGTCGCTGGGATCTGCGCGGCAAGAAATTCTACCAGCCCAATAAGAGGGCACTTGAGCTCTGGGGTATCGGTTTTTTCCCCGGAAAGCGCAATGCGATCAACTTGAAGCAGGTGCAGACTTTTGCTGATACGTTCATGAAGACTTACACCGGCCATGGCGGTACCGTCACTCAGCGCCCGATCATCCTGGAACTGAAGGAAGACATCGGCGACGCGATCAAGAGGCTATTCAACGCCGCCGGAGCCAAGCATCACACGGCGCCGCAGCTGCTCCTCGTCATTGTCCCGGACAAGAATTCGTTCACTTACACGCGTATCAAGAAGTCGTGTGACTGCCGCTGGGGTGTGCCTTCGCAGGTGCTGCAGTCGGCTCATGTGGCCAAGGGCAACCCGCAGTACCACTCCAACGTTTTGATGAAGGTGAACGCAAAGCTTGGCGGATGCACTTCTCGTGTGGTGACGAAGACCAGCGGTGCAGCCCTGCGACCTGCGTCAATGATTATCGGTGCAGATGTGACCCATCCTCCCATGGGGGTGTGGTCACCTTCCATGGCGGCCATGTCGGTTTGCATGGACTCGTTTGGTGGAGCTTACTGGGGCGCTTGCGAGGCCAATGGAGACAGGCAAGAGATTATTGCACGCTCGAACATCGAGCACATGCTGACTCCGCTCGTTCGTGAGTGGATGTCTACCGTCAACCAGGGAGCAGTCCCCACCAATGTCTATTACTTCCGCGATGGGGTTTCTGGTGGCCAGCACCAGGCCGTGCTCGAGCAGGAGGTCTTTGATATGAAGGCCATCTTCATGAAGCTGACGAAGGATCAGTGGAAGGGCAAGTTCACCGTCGTCGTGGCGAACAAGCGTCACCATATTCGAGCGTTCCCCAAGGTCGGAGACCGCGTGAGTTCTGATAAGAATGGCAACCCGGTGCCTGGAATCCTGATCGAGCGGGATGTAACCAGTCCGCATGACTGGGATTTCCTTCTCTATTCTCACATTGCTCTCCAGGGTACCGCACGTCCCGTGCATTACCATGTCATCCTCGACCAGATCGGTCACAAGCCGCATGAATTGCAGAATATGATCTATGACCACTGCTATCAGTACATGCGCTCGACCACTTCGGTCTCCCTGTGTAAGTTCCCATCGCCCGTCTTTCGTTTGAGTGTGACTTGGCTAACCTGCGGGACGATGCAGACCCGGCGATTTACTATGCGCACCTGATTTCCAACCGCGCTCGTTCGCACGAGGACGTCCCTGCTAGCTCGGGTCCCCAGAGCGGCGCCATCATCAAATTGACCAACCCCAAGCCGAAGAACCGTCCGGTCGATCCTACCCTGCTCCCCATTTTCGGCAAGAATCACAACCGCCTTCCGTTCACCATGTGGTTCATCTAGGCAGCGCGACTGCGGAGGGTGGAGAGAACTTGGAGCGTATTTCCTTTGTTGCTATCCCGTCACGTCCAGTACATCCAGTCTGGCTTTTTTTTCCTTGCTATGTTATCCTGCGATGTTTTCCTTGCTAGTCCGGCTCGAGCTACGGATCGCACGTCCTCAGATCAGGTAGCATAGCCTAGTTGACCGGAACCGACTGCCTCCGGGGCGGATGGATCTGGACGACAGGGCAGTGCAGGCCAGAACAGAGGTGGCTTTCCGTGGGGTGCGAGTTGCAATTTGAGATTAATTGAGCTTTAGTTAGTTGAATCGATGCTTTAGTTAGCCTACCCGGCTTACAGTAGCGTAGCGTGCGACAGGGACGACTTGGAAACGTGAGCATCCCGTTTGTAGATCCCGAAGGGACCCCAGACCAATTCTGTAGGACAGACGGCCAGCCCAAGCCGAGAGATGTCCGTTACCGACCGACAAACCGAAAGAAGGAACCCAAAAAATAGGACGAGTATATCGTACGAAGCCAAACCGACAGAAATGCTATGCTCCCACCCTCTCCCCGTAGCGGAGCCATGCAGACGGCACGCGGCATCAGGCAGACGAGACAAGTCAAGTATATGATACATACGGAGTAGATATTAGACAGATAGTGGGTAAGTAGGTATTTGGTCTGTATGGATGCAGGGCGTGGGAAGTATAGGAGTGGGAAGGGGCCGTTTGCAGGATGCGCGATAGAGGAGAGTACTAGAAGAGATCTTTCCATCATTGTTTGCATAGACAGACACATTGAAACATTACATGCGGGGGGGGGAGGGGGGGTACAAGACGTGTACAGGTGTACAGGTAAGCACAGACAGGCAAGGACAGGGTCGTTTGTCTGTTGCGTACAAAAACAAAGTAGTTTGATGATGATGATGATGATGATGATGATTGATTGATTGGCCTGGGACTGGGACTTGGCAAGGACGAGTGAAAGAGTTGTTAGTTTGATGGTGGACGGGTGGCTGATCTCGTTTGCTGGCTGGTAGATAGTAGTGATGGTGATGGTGGTGGTGTGTCTAGCCAAGACAGAGAGAGAGAGAGAGAGAGAGATGCCAGGCCTGCCTTGGAACGATGGCATCCATCCATCCATCCATACTCACCGATTGACCGACCCCACCCCACCCCATACGGTAGATAGATAGATAGATACAGCAAGCAAACCATCCAGCCCATGTATGCATGCATCCATGCATGCATGCATACGATACGCTCCACCCTCGGAGAATTTCCCATCGCCTCGGCCCAGAAGGACGGCGCATATGACGACGGGTGTCACCTTACACCATCCATCCCATCTCCTGTCTGTCCCTCTTTACCTACAGTAACTGCTATACCTACTCCGTACCTGGCAAAGAAAAGAAAAAAAAAAAAAAAAAAAAAAAAGGTTAAATGGAACTAAAATATCATGATTCAATTCTTTCGCTTGCTGTAGACAGGACAGACTAGACTAGACTAGACTAGACTAGACTAGACACACCACTCACTCATTCACTTACTTAATGTTCTCTCTGCTTGGCCTGGGGACTGACTGATGACTGCGTATCGCACACTATCTCGTTTGTTTTTGAGGTGGAGAAAAGACAGACGGAAGAAAGAAGAGGAAAGGGGGAGGGGAGGGAGGGAGGGAGGTAGATAGGTAAATACGGAGGAATGTAGATAGACATGAGGTGTTTGGGGAAGATGGCGAGAGAAAGAAAGAAAGAAAGAGAAAAAAAAAAAAAAGGATAAATATACTGAAAAGAAGACAATGACGAAAGAAAGGGAATAGTGTAAAGTAAATCAGGGAAGAAAGAAAAAGGGAAGCAAGAAGGAAGAAAGAAGGAAGAAAGAAGGAAGAAAAAAAGAGAAAAAGGAAAGAAAATGCTACAATAATACAAAAGAACCAACCAAACCAAGCCTCCGAAGTGTGCTGTGCTCCTCACCGACCCAGTACCAGGTCCCACCGGCTGTAAAACGATATACCAAGGCAAGATAAGATGGTCATACACATACACATCATCACGCTTCGTCCGCCATCCCGTTCGGGAGGGCCGCGGCGCTGTCGTTACTTTTGGAGGCCTCTGCAGCCGCGCTGCTGTCCGCCGCCGCGCCCTCGCCCTCGCCTTCGCCTTCGACTTTGATGCTCGCGTCGCCGGTCGTGCCGGCTGAGGGGTCGGCAGCCGTAGTGGTGGCCGCGGTGGCCTTCGGGTTGGGGGGGCCTTCGTGCCATCCGCCGCGTCCTCGCCGTCCGCGCCCTGGGCGACGCCGCTGTTCTTCTTGAGCTTCTTCTTGCTGGGCTCGCCGCCGGACTTGCCCGCTTGTGGGGCGGACGCGGAGGCAGGCATGGGTCGCTTCTGCGGGCTGGTGGTCGGGCCAGAGGGCGCCGAGGGGGGCGGGATCTTGCCGGACGCGGGCAGACGAGGCCGGGTGGCCATGGGGCGTTGCTTCGGCGGCAGCTCGAGGTCTTCCACCAGGGGCTCGTTGTTGTTTGCCTGGAGCTTCGAGTGGAAGAAGCCTTGGACCAGGCCGATCTGCGACGGGAGAGTCTCGGCGGAGATGCGCGGGTATGGAGCGGGCGGGGAGAAGAGAGTGACGGTCTGTGCAGCGCTGCGGATCCATCAGTATGGGTCGAGGTCGGGCAGAGGGTAGATGCAATACATACCTGGTGTTCTGGGCCTGGGCGGCGTTGTACATGCGGTTCTGCAGGAGATGGAGCGGCACGCTGAGGGTCGCCAGGCCAAACTCGCGGTCCAGCCCCAGCTCCTTGAACCCGAAGAAGTCCTCGTCGATGTCCTCGGCGAAATCGCCCCCGACAAACTGCTCGCTGCCGTCGTGGAAGGCGCTGGACCCGTCCTCGCCGCCGTCGGCGAGGGCTGGTCGCAGGAGCTCGGAAAGCAACGACCGCAGACGGTCGTGGACGGTGGACAGCTTCGTGCCCAGCCGCTCCACGTCGTCTTTGATGTAGGATTCCAGCCCCTCGACGTCGATACCCACGGACGCGAGGGTGTGCAGAACGATTTCCGGCTCCGTATAGGCCCGCTTCCACTGCGGCGCAGTTGTAGCTTCGACCGCCGTCTCGGTGGCGGGGACTTTGGGGATCTCCATGTATGACTTCAAGGTCTCGCCGATCTTCTGGAAGAAGTCCGAGGCCACGTCCGTGACTGCCTCCAGCGCCGACGGCTGATACTCTTCAAAGCCGGTGTGGTAGAAGATCTTCGCCACGGATCGCTGCAAGGCCGCCCGGCAGACCCAGGGAGCGATGACAGGACCCCCGTCGTTCATCACATGGGCTGGCACGTCCAGCTCGACAAACGGCTCCGGCTGGTATTTCTGGAACTGATTCTGGTACATCTGTGGAGGGTTAGCCAACAGATGTTGCCAGCAGAGAGAGAGAGAGAGAGAGAGAGAGAGAGAGAGAGAGAGATGGCTTACCTGGGACTGCAGCTGCATCTGCTTGACAATGCCGACCTTGGAGCACACTTTCCGGGTCTCCTGCATTTGCCGCATGTTGGCATCCATCTTCCGCGCCAGTTTGCTATCAGGCTGAGTGAATGAGCCCTTGGGGAGGATTCTCAGAAACTCTTCCGAGGCATCCACAATGTTGCCGTCCGAGTCTTCCTTCCAGAACAGCTGGGCAGGCAGGTCGGGCACCGCCGACATGACATCGTAGTAGTCGGGGATCACTCGATCCTCGTCCACCTCGATCCCCTCCGCCAGGGTCGCACCAGCCGTGCCCGGACCCATGCCTTGTGCCGTCAGCTCACGCGTCTTGTCGCCTTCGGCATTGCCCTGCTGCTGGTTCCTGATCCACCGCCGCATGCCGGCCTTGGTCCGCAGCAAGGCGGGCTCGTCTGAGTTGAGCTTGTCGCCTTTGAAGAGACGGTGCCTCTCCGCAGCAATGACAGCGCGATCCTTCTTGGTGACTTGCTTCCAGACCTTGTACTCGGGGTCTTCGAATTCCACCCCGGACGCAGGCAACGCACTCAGTGCAGTGCTCGGTGTTATTAACCCGTCAATTTCCATCGCGTCCCCTTGACTTCCTGGCAGGCCCGCGCCGACGCCGACGCCAGCCGGGTCGGATGGGGTTTGCGTGCCCGGAGGCGGCGTTGCGAACCCGTTCTGAGTCCCCTCCAGAGCAGCATCCGAGTCGGAGCGCACGGGGCCTGGAGGCTGGGAGGCCTGGCTCTGACCTCCCGGAGCTGGAGGCTCAGACCCACTTGGGGTGTTGCGCACGGGGGCGGTCCCCTTCTTCGAGGACGATTTGCCCGGGGCTTTTCGGCCTCGGGACGACATGATCGGCTCATCGTCACTCTCTTCCGCGCCGTCGAGTTCCGCCATCTGCAGTCTTCGCTCCTCCGCCTCGACTTCCGCGCGGTCCCGGATGACGATTTCCGGAATGAGGGGGACGAGTTTCTCCGTCTCTTTCTTCATGTACAAGGCATGCTTGCGCAGAAAGTGCTCCGGGTTGGTGTTGTACTTGAAACAATTGGACCAGATGAGGTTGATGTCATCGACGAATTCCTGCTTCGACTTGTACTGCAGCGCCTTGAGCTTCTTGGTCATGGTTCCGAGGTCCATGGGATGCTTGATGACTAGTGCGGGGGTCAGCAACAACAGACACGTTCCTCTCTCGTGGGTCAGGGTGCCTCACTTGTATAGTAATCGGGCGCGTCGCGCTTGTTGACTCGAGTCAAAAACGCAGTGGAATGCTCGGTCATTGCCTTGAGCTCACTGAGCACCTTCTCCGCAGCTTCATAAAGCTCCTCCTGGCCGATCTTGTCCTCGCTGGCCCATTTACTCCGGTTCTTGCGGACCTCGCTCATCAAACTGCGAAGCTCGGCATCGGACGCCTGGACCATCGTCCGCTTCATGTCGATTCTTGCGATCAGGTTTTTCAGGGTCAGGCTCGAGGCGCCCAGGTTCGCGCTACTCAGGGATCCATAGCCAGTGGCATTGGGGTTCGCATTGTTGCCCGCGTTCGCCTGGCCCGACATCTCCGCCTCGACCTGTCGCTCTGACTCCTCTAGCCGCTGCTGGTCCAGCATGGCGTCTCTATCGTTCTCTAGTGTATAAAAGAGCGTGTGGAAGCTTCTTCGGGCGGCCTCTTCGGTTGCCTTCTTGTCTTCCTCTAGTTTCTTGCGGATGTCCTCCAACGTCTCCTTCTTGGTCTCGCGTTGCGCATCGGGCGCTTGCGACATGGAGCCGAACGGGCGACTGGGCGACGGGAAGCTACTGGCTTCCTGGGACGGGCCGAGGGACTTGGGCTTGGGAGGGGAGGGAGCCTCCTCGTCCTCGTCCTCGTCGTCATACTCGTCATAGTCGTCATCGTCCAGCTTCCTGGCGGGCTTTTTGGGGGGCGCCGGGGGCGGAGCGGGTTCGTCGGCGCGTTGGGTCTTTGTCTGGGGCTCCTCGGAGTCGGCGACGGCCGCGCGGCGAGCGTCCTCGGCGGACTTCTGGTTGGCAAAGAGGGTATTAATCTGCGCCTCGCTGCGCTTGTACAGTTCGCGGAACATGGGGATGCGCGGGTCCTCGTCGCCTGCAATATCGGCATCTGATATCAGACCGCCCGCGTGAGATCCGTCGGCATCGGCCGAGGCGCGCATCTGGGGGGTTCGGGAGCCGGACAGGAACCTGCTATAGCCATTGATGGACCGCGCGTCGTGGAGATCGTCGGGAGGACGCAGGTGGCCGGGGGGGAGGCCGGCGTGGTGGTGTCCGAGCGACATGCTCGCTCCAAAACCCCGGTTCTGGGGGTGGGCGAGGGGGGCTCGTCCTCCACGGTTGAGATCAGGTCCAGCTGGAGCGCGCGGGGAGGATCTGGGGCGCGGAAAAAGACATAGAGGCCAAGGGCAGGGCGGGAGGAAGTGCGGGACGATGATTTGAGGGAGCCAAGTGATGGCGGGGGGGTGGAAAAGTGATGCAGAAGCGAGGGCTTCTTTACGAGGGTCGCAGCGCGAACGGATGAGGTGAAGTCGAGCGTGAAGGCGGAACGCCGGCCGCAGGTTTCAGACCAACCGCGCAGTTCGGGAGTACTGTAGTAGTCGTACTGTAGTAGTGGTAGTAATACCTAATGTGGAGGAAGAGGGAGGCTGGGGAAAAGAGAGAATAGCACCGTCTAAGAACAGCAGGCAACTCAACCTCCCACGCTCCTCGTCGTGGGGTGGAATGCTGCAAAACCGGGGAGGTGTTGTTGGTGTTCTGGCATCGATCGCATCAAGGCATCGCGACCAACTCGATCTACGCCCGGGGAGCCTGAGGCCTCGGGCTGCCCCAGGCCTCGATCGTGACGGTACGGTAAGATCCGCGTATACGATACACACCACACCTGACATGGCATCATCCATCCATCCATCGTCCATCAATGGCTTCATCTTCCTAGCACTCCTCTTGCCCTCCCTCAACCACCCCTCGCCCCCCCCCCCCCCCCAACTCCCCCCGTCTTCCTCCGACCAACTCGCCCAGCATGCGAATCCGATATCCTTTCGCGGGTATGTCTTCCTCTCCTCCCCGATCCGCCCCCATCCTATCCCAACAGCCTCAATCCCCAAAGAAAGAAAGCATCGTGAGACAAAACGGAGAACTGGGCCTCAATCTCGAGGACACACATTACACCCCACCCACCATCCCCTTCCCTTCTCACCCATCAATCATATCCATCTCATCCCCCGCTATCGAACCCACTGACCTCCCACCCCAGGCGCCTTTCTCTTCCTCCTCATCCTCGCCGCCTACATCGGGCTGCTCCCCCACAGCACATCACCCACCATCCCGTCCCAACTCCAACCCAATGACAAGTTCCTCCACGTCGTCACCTTCTTCCTCCTGACCCTGGTCTTCTACTGGGTCTTCGACACCACCCGCCGCCGCACCCTGCACCTCACCCTGCTCGTCTGCACGCTGATCCTCGGCATCGGCTCCGAGATCGTCCAGGGCATCCTCCCCAACGGCCGCGCCTTCGACCCCTTCGACCTCCTCGCCAACATCGTCGGCAGTCTCGGCGCCGTTGGGCTCTGCAGCTGGTACCACCGCCGCATGCTGAGTCGTCGCCGCAAGGCCCGCTTCGGCTCCCTCGGCGGTGACGGCGCCGACAACGATGTCGAATTGGGCCATCTCCATGATGACGAGGAGGAGGGTCTCGGGCCGCAGGAGTCGGGTGTCATGAATCTCGAACAGGAGGTCGATAATTGGGATGAAAATGCCGTCGATAATTGGGATACCGAGGATGGACCGGATGATTTGGCTGGGGCGGCGGCGGCGGAGGACTCGAAACGCTCATCGCCGGGTGAGGCGGGACTTCATGGATCGGATGGGAAGAAGCGGAGTGATTGATTGATTGATTGATCGATGATTGATGTCCATTCTATCTATCTATCTATCTATCTATCTACCCACCCTACATACTCACTCTGTTACCTCCACCCGTCGTCTCTCTTCTTTCTGTCTTTCTTGGATGTCTACTCTCCATCTCCGCTACACAAAGCGGACGCGGGAATACCCCGAGAGAGAACGAGAGAGAGACAGAATGAGGGCGAGAGACACGCCATGCTGTGCCATGCCACACACACCACGTACTCGATTCCCCAACCAACCCCCACTCATCATCTCCATTATAACCAACCTCCCCTCCAATCTTCTCCTACTCGCTCGCTCACCACCCACAATCGCACGCCCCTCCACGACTGATCCGATATTCTCCAATCCAACCCCCCTTCCTTCCTTCCTTCCAAACTTCTCATCTAGCATCTCACCCTGTCCCACAACCCTCAATCCACAATCTCTATTACTGGCGGTCCTGTCCCATCCAATCCACTCCAACGATGTCTACTACGCTACGTTACGCTACGCAAAAGAAACAAAAAGTAATTCCTTACCTACCTACCTACCTACCTACCTATCTACCTAATCCACTTGCCACGATCTTACCTCGCCTTATCTTTCCCTTGTCATACATGACACGCCCGACATGACATGACATGACATGACCGGAGTTTCGAGTTGCCGCTTTTTTGCTCCTTGTTTTTTTTTTTTTTTTTGAAGTTCTCTTTTCCTCGGTGTCGATTTCTATACCTGATTTTTTTTTCTGCCTTGTCTGTTTTATGTTATGATGTTTCGTTTTGTTTCTATGTCTGTTTTTGTTTTTGTTTATTTGTCTGAGGTGCTGTGTGTGTGTGTGAGAGAGAGGTGCGGTATTCTGTTCTGTTCTGTTCTCTTCTTTCTTTGTCTCAATACTCCCGCTGCGGGCAAACGACCTGAATCCATGGAATCTGATTTGGTGTATATAGTTGGATTGAGGGGAGGGGAGGGAAGGAAGAAAGAAAGAATGTGAGGAAGAGAAAGAAAGAGAGAGAGAGAGAGAGTGCGGGAGGGCGGGACAGCGGGACGGGGATATTAATTAATTAATTAATATATGAATGAATCTTTGTCTTGCCTACCTAGGTACTAGATACCACTTTCGTTTTTGATGGGTTGGCGGAGTAGGGTAGGTAGGTAGGTAGGTAGGTAAATACTGGGTTTTGGGGACGGAGATATAGTAACCTCTCCTCTCCTTTCTCGATAGGTGGATGTATGGATGTATGGATGTATGGATATATGGATGTATGGATATATGGATGGATGGATATATGGATGGATGGATTCACCAACACCCACCTCAGTACCCAACTACCCACCTACCCATCTACCCACCTACCCATCTACCCTTCTACCCTTCTACCCAAGGTACCCAAGACGATGTACCTCATCTGTCTATTATAGGGTTTAAGGGTTTACAGCATCTACCCATACAACCTACCAACCAACGAATCATATATACCAAGACAGCCTCACTTATGATATGATATGTGACGTGATGCGAGACACAACCACTCAAGATACGACACAGTACACACAGATACATGATTCATTCCATGCCGATTCAAATCAAATCCAGTATGGTACACCAGTATTTCTAATGCGAGGGGGTCAAGTCAAAAAAGCTGGACGAGTGTCATCCTCCACTCTCAAATAATAAAACCAGTTAGGGGAGGGGGGCATCAATCAATCAATCGATCAATCGATGAGGGTCGTGAGTGCCAAAGGGACACCGCGACAGGTGACGGGCGGGTTGAATGGTCGTTGTATCTTCAAAATAGTAAATAGTAAATAAGAGTAGTGGTGGTAGTATTGGTGATAATCATGGTGGTGGTATGGTGATGGTGATGGTGATATGCAAGATGGCGCAACGGGCAATGCATGTTGAAGATGCAGATCATATCAGAGAACTCGTGGCTAGTCATAGTCATGGCAAGAGACAGAACAGAACAGGACAAAGTTGAGTAGACCAGAAGGGGAAAAAAAAGCATCAATAGGTGATTAGAATCTTATATGTACGTGGAAAGGTAAGTTAAAAAGTAGGTAGTAGTCTCTGGGGCTGTCTCATTCGTTGTCAGACACCTCTGGGGTCCCTGACCAGCTCCTGGTGGGTGTGGAAGAATGGCGATCTTCGACGGGCTCGGGCTCGACCTCGAGCTCAGGTTTGGCGGATGGGAGGTAATTGTCGTCCGACGACAGCTTGGCCATCTTCGTGGACCTCTCGTCCGACCGGCGTCCGCTGGAATCGACAGCCTTCCCGAGTTTCAGGTCGGTCTGCTCGCGGAGGACTTCGTAGATGAATTGGAGTTGCATTTCGTTGTAGACCATCATCATGCGCTGCTCGCGCATCTGGTTGACTGCCTCGAACACGGGGTCGTGGTCGGGGTCACTCGCGTCTAGGAGCTGGCCCGACTCGAGTTCCTGCAGGAGGTGGTCGAGTGCGATGAAGGTGCCCGTCCGGCCGACACCCGCACTGCAGTGGACGATCCGGGGGCTGTCGGGCGAGCATTTGGAACCAGATACTCGGATCAACTGCAGCAGCGCATCGCGGTCTTCGCCTTCGGGCTTGGAGTAATCCGCCCAGCCGGCGAAGAGGAAGTGCCAGACGATCTTCGACTCGGTGCCCAGCGTGAGCTGCAGTTTGCGGATCTCGGAACGCGACGTCGGATCCCACTGCGTTTCGAGGAGGGTGACCTGGCCCAGAAGGTCCTCGTCGGGTTCCTGGTGTTCGTCGTTCACGTAGGGTTCATACTCGACCCGTCGCAGAGGCATCGTCGCGTTGTCGTCATCCAGCGGGAAATACTGGGCGCATTTCTCTCTGCCTGCCTCGAAGGTCTGCGTAAGCATGACGATGACGCCGACCTCCTGACTCTCATGGAACACCATATGCCAGAAGTGCGAGAGATGGCCGAGCTTGGGTCCCTGCGCGGTCACGGATTAGAACAGTCCCCCCCATCCAAGATGTACACTTGCGCCTACCTGTGTCGCGATAAACCGCCGTGCGTGCTGGGACACCGAGTCCTTTAGAACAATCGGCGATGCGTTGATGAAATCGCACTCGCCTTCCGGCACCCGCAGGTGGATGCGGGCGTTCGCCCAGGCCTGCACATTCATATACCGATTTCTTGCCTTGACCTCGGGGTCTCCCTCTAGCGCCCAACGATGTGAGGGGTCGTTGGCGAGCATGCCCTCATGGATGCGGGCCCTCTGGATCCATTCGAGTTCTTCGAATTTCTGGTGGATTTCTGCCGTGACACATCATCATCATATTAGCTGAATCCTTGAAACGAAAAATAGAAGAACTGCGGTAGGCGCGCGCAAAAAAAGACAAAACGAGCGAGAGACGCCCGTCAGTCAGCGGGGATAAAGTCAACCGGGCGCAAACTAACCTAGTACGGACTGACACAAAAACGGCGGAACGGATTCATTATCGCGGGCCTCCAGCCCCGGGTCGTCATTTTCGGGCCCCTCTACGATCTCGAACCCATCGTCGTTGTCCTCGGGGAGCGCCCGCTTGGTCGCCTGCACGCTGGTGTCGATCTTGATGGTGGGATGCGCCATCTTGGCCGCAGCGATCCTGTGGAAGGCCCGAACCTTGCCCAGGACGCCGCGCGCCTTCTTGGAGACCCGCTTCCTAGTCGAAGTGAGTTTTCGGGGACCGGGGCGCAGGCTGAAGGTATCGGGCGAAGGGGAGCGGGAGGTTGGGGCTGTGATGACTTCCCCCTCGGGGGTGGTGGTGGTGGTGTCGGACGGATCGTCGGGGTGCGCGCCGTTGGGGGCGTGCGGCAGGGAGGATGATGATATCTGTAGTGTAGACAGATCGGGACAGCTGTGGAAGCTGCCCCTCGACGTAAGATTATGCCTGGCCAGGGTTTTGTTTCTCAAGGGCAGCATGCGCGGTCGGGGGAGAGGGCGAGGGAGAGGCAGGGTGACTTGTATGCCGGATGGGATCCGACAACCCACGACAGCCGTCACGCGCAGGCAGGAAGGAAGCAGAAGGATTCAACGAGAGGTGACTCGGGCAGCAGCAGGCGAGAGCGGCTAACGCGCAGCAGAAGAGGAGAGGAGAGAAGTGGATGGATGGATGAATGGATGTGAGCCCCTCGCGACACTTCTGGCGCGCAATGCTGTGGTTCTTCGTTCTTCTCCCCGCACTCGTCGCTTTCAGACGTGGCCAGCAGTCCGATCAGATCAGTCGAGTCATGGAATGCCACCGAGTAAGGAGTGGGAGCTGGCAAGGATTGTACCGGAGAAGGCGAGGGCAGCATTCGAGATGGATAGACAGATGGGAGAGGGGGGGGAATAGAAAGAAGCGCCCCCCGACCGCGACGATGGCAAACAGCGTCCCGGATATCCATTACGATTTTTATTATTATTATTATTGATTGATTGATTGATTGATTGATTGATTATTCAGGACGGTATGGAGACCGCCCTGGGAAGAGATTAGTTACATTACGACGGACGGAGGATTGATTAAGGGCTGATCCAGGGCTGATCCAGGGCCACAGGCGGTGATGTCAGAGCAATGCTGGCTGGAGGGAGGATCAGGGGATCCCTTCTGGATGTAGATAGAGACTTGGAACGACTTGGACGAGGCATGATTCAGAAATCCCGATCCGTCCACCGCCATCGCCAGCTTCGCCGCCCAATCCCTGCCGCCGCTCGGAGGAACGTTTCATCCGATACCCTCATCGGGGGCGGTGATTGGCCCGCCGCCTGTCGTTGCCACCCAGCCGCGGTGCCACTAGTCCCCATTAAGCTCAGACGTCAATCGATTACTTACTTACTGGTAAGGAATCGATGCTTCGACGCCCTTTCCTCCCCTCGGCTTCAAGAATCCGAGTGTCTCTCCCTTGTTGCCCTCTCCACTTCCCAGCCCCGACCTCCCCTCACGCAGGGAAAGAGTCCAAGCTACGTACGGAGTACAACATTACCCCTATCCCTTGGCTCGACGGCTGGTTCTTTGCAAGATGGCACCGTGGGGGCTCTTAATTCACAGTATGGAGGTGCGTATCAGAACCGGACTTGTCCTATCCCGTTATCCCGATAAAACTACTCCGTACGTACACACGGGCATCGGTGCTAACAACGTCTTTGCGTAGGTTTGGCTTGTAGCTCGGGTACGTTTCTGTTTATGATATTGACCATCACCATGTTCAACCGGGGCGTGGCGCTGACCTCGCCATGTTCGTACAGCTGCTGCGAAGCCAAATGTTTCACAGGATGGTCGGGAGCGCCTATCGCAGATTTAATGGCATCCCACCCCCGCCGCGGGATCAGTCTGGTATGAGTTCTCCCGCATAGGAATGCCCGTCCAAGTGGTCGAGACTGGTGTGGTTAATCTGCTCCTTGTCTAGATACGGACCCGAATAAATTCCTCCGGTTCTTCATGGAAGAGATCAGGGATCAGATGAAGGGGAAGAAACCGTCCAAAAAGGATTGATTCACGGGGAGGGAAAAGTAAGTGAAGGCTCTGCTCTTTTTCGGCGTTTTTTGTAGGGCTTGATATCCATTACTTTTTTATACCCAGCAATTATGGTGCTTTCGTTGCTCTCCTCTCGCTCTTCGATTGTCTTCATTCGTATCCCATGTCATGAACCCGTGGTCTATCGGATATGGCTTGGGTTGAGGTGGTTCGTATGTCCCTTGAACTGCATCCTTATTTCGTCAGAGGGGAAACGCCGCCTCGTACGCCTTGTCCGGCTGTTTGACCGTGTGGTGGAGTGGACTCCGCAAGGTGACACGGAGGCACGGACAGATATGGTCTCATAGATGCTGTTGAATCTCCGTAGTTATTTAGTTCAAAAAATGCCCAGGTTTCCATCTACCACGGAAAATCTATCAGTGCCATGATCACCACAGGGGACCTCACCTGGGATGGGTGCCTCGTACCAAACCCTGAGCGGATCAGCCATGTGATGTGTAGATCGGAAATCGGGTGGCAGGATCGGTATGTCTCACGCCACTCGCAGGGACGATGGCACGAGTTCGCATCGCTGCCAGGGCTACCTTATTCTGCGGAACCTGCATATGCAGGTGAGTTGATACGTGCCACCGCCCACCAGGCAGAGGGTAAGGCAGACTTGGGATACGAGACTCGATGAGTCATTTCCCTGCATAATTAGCAACCTATGTCGATGGTAAATATGCCAGCACTGGATTTCATAGTAGTAAGTACGTAGTTGGTGAATTAATGTCTGGACTTGACTAATCAGCATTGCATCGAAGGAAGTTAGTAGCCAACCACCCAATTAAAAGACATATACCGAGTATGTCCTGTCACACGAGCAACTTAAGCATCAGTGGCTAAAACGTCCCGAGTCGTCCCGCCCTCCAGGTTAATGGCGTTGGAACTTGGAATGCGCAGGGAGTCCGGGGTGAGGACGGTCGATGGAGTCGGAGGGCCCCCCCGTCCACGTAAACTTCTCCATACTCGGTCCATTTATTCCTTTAAGAGTCGCCAGAAGACCCCCCAGGCATGCTGGGACACGGCAGACAGACCGACCTGACCAAGGGTGCCAACGTTCCAGACACTCCGCGAAGCCTGCTGACGAGGCAGCTGGTTAATTGCGAGAGGGATCTAGAACCCCCATGGGCTGCCGATCACCCGACTGGATGTGCTCGTAAGTCGTAACGGTAGTAGTCAGTAGTATGTGTAGATATCTAGACTCTACTCTCGGTAGAGACTACTAGACTAAGTCGAAAGCCACGGGGCATGGAGATAGATGGTGGCACCGCACTAAGGTTTATGAAGGATGAATCATTACGAATGGGAGCGTGTGTCCCGGCGACGCAGGGTCCTGGTTAGCCCGACCCTCCCTCAGCCAGAAGGAGAGTCCGAGAGACGGCGTACTCCGTGTCTGTAAATTGCCGCCACTAATTATTATCGAGGCAGGCTGCCAGTGCCAGCAGTGGCGCACGGAGGGCCGCTACTGCAGCAGTCGGCTGAGCCGGCACGCGTCGATGGGTCTCAGGGAAGGATTTCAAAAAGAGGGTCTCCCTGTCCTGTCTGTCCCCGTCCCTGACTCCCTCCCTAGTAGTATCCAGTATCCAGTAACCCCGGAGTAGGTACTGTGTTAGCGTACAACTGCATAAGGACGGAACGTCGGATGACTCTGAGACCGAGAGAAGACTTTTTTTTTCTCTCTCTCTTTCCCTTTTCTGCTGTTTCCACGTTTCCACTGGGTCGTAAGTATGGGGATCGGACGGCGTGGACTGACGAACCTCGCCAGGCACACAACAATAATGTTGGTTTGTTTAGTTGTTGTGGTGCCGAGTCTTACATAAGACGCGAAGGATAACTAACTACTAGTTAATGAACCTGACCAGTGACCTGTGGTACGGTCACCAACGGTACGCCGGCAGCCGTGGTACGGACCTTAAAATAGCAGTCGGTGCCAGAAAAGGCGAAGAAGGACATAATTTGCAGCGATGGGAGGATCCTAGTTCGTGATCTCCTCCAGTAGACTGAAGACTACCACCACGCGAGGCCGAAATCCCGGTGCACTAAGCACCCGAACTAGCAGTGTTAGAGACTCTTGAGAGCCTTTTCAGAATACAATTGACGGCTAAAATGCCTTAGTCTGAGAGTCCGAGACCAGGCAGACCCAAAGACAGGCACTAGCCCGAAGTCAGGCGCCCGAAAATGCAGACCTGCAGGCCAGTGGGAGTCCCCCTGGCCGGGCTGTCTCAACTTGCAGCCGCTGAATGGCCGGCGGGCCCCCTAGTGTGCGCGCTAGAGGGCGCCCCCTCCTGGGCGCGATGCCGGGATTGGTGGTTTGTGTTGCCTGCTCGGCGAATCTCCTCCACCCGTGTTGCGCAGAAGTCCCGCCGGGCCCCCCCAGTGACCCGGTGCCCTTCCCTCGCCCTCTTTCATCTCCAGTCCTTTTCATCTCCATCCCGCCTCCTTACACTCTTTCCTGACCCATCATCGTGTGCCTTTTGTGTGCGTGTTATATCTGCAGTCACTCGTTAACCCCTCCTTTTCCCTCATCCACCATCTACAACGAACGAACTCATCCATCCATCCCATCTTGACAACCACTACTCCATACTCGCCTCGACTCCCTACGTCTAACGTACGATCGCTATCCACAGTATCTACGCTGTCTGAAGTCTGACTCCTGTCTCGGTCTTCCAGTCCGCTCGCACTGTCCATCCCATCCGGCTCTGGCAGCCTTGAGAACGCCTTACCATACCCTGATCCATCCGACTTGCCCACCATGCGAGCCGCCCGTCTCTCGTTCTTCCTCTACTCCCTATCCCTCGTGGCCGTCGTCGCTGGTCAGAGCGCCGCGGTCACGAGCGTAGGTAACGCCGTCACCTCTGCTGCCGCCGCGGCCACCACCGCGGCTGCTGCCACCACGTCGGAATCCTCATCCACCTCCACCTCCACTTCCGAGACCTCGACCTCCACCACGGAGAGTACCTCGTCCACCAAGGAAGCCGAGACCACCAGCACATCGTCGTCCAAGTCGGAGGAGACCACCTCTTCCACGACGGAAGCCCAAGCCAAGACTACCCAGCAGCAGGCGGCGACGACGGATGCACAGACGACCGAGGCTGCTACCACCAAGAAGAATGGAAAGACCACGGCCGACAGCACCACCCAGCAGACCACCGCCACCCCCGTTGTGAAGACGGTCACGACCATCGAGACCATCAGCGGAACGCCCGTCCAGACTACGCTTACCACCACGTCCACCCCCGCCAGCAGTGACTCCACCGGCTCTCCGAGTCTAAGCGGTACCTCATCGGATAACAAGAGCAGCTCCGGCCTGTCGTCCTCCCAGAAGAAGATCATCATCGGTGTCGTTGTGGGTGTGGGTGGTGCCATTATTCTCGGAGCCCTCGCAGTCGTGGGCTGGAGGATCCACGCCCGTCGCGCTGCGCAGGATCAGGACGAGGCTGCGGATCTCATGAGCGGCACGGCTGTGGGTGCGGGTGCTCGCGAGAAGGCCCCCAGCCCCGGTGGGGGCACGCCTTTCAAGTCTACGCTCGACCAATATCACAACCCCGGGCCCGTCAATGCCGCCTCCAACTTCTAGACTGACTCGGATGCTCGGGCTCTTGTCCGATGACATTCACGTTTCTCTGTTCACCTGCGGTCATGAAGCAGAGCATGTGGTCTGTGGTTAGATACCGCTCTCGAGACTGTAAATTTGTACGATTATGACGCAGTTATTGTTGGCGCTTCCGGCGAGGAAATCCTCGGGTCTGTCTTTTTCTTCTCTTACTCTCATTCTGGTCTGCGTTGCCTGCCAACCCACCCGTTCTGTCCCGCTTGATAGACCACTGTCGGCTCTCCGATATCACGCTCCTTTACTTAGCACAGCGATTTTTGTTCTAGCATTCATGGTTGGTCGATTCACTTTGATTCCCCCCTCGAGCATTTGTTTTCTTTCTCGTGAGACGAGGGCCACGGCCTGTCGTCTCCAATCTCTGCTCTGGATTACAGGTCCTTCGATCTTTGCCGCAAAAAGCTTTTGATTGTATGTATTTAATTTGAGAAATGACTTGAGCACATCCGAGCAAGTAAATCATACACGGTACATACCTTAAGCAGCCACTCACCCCAGTCGAATAGTCGAGGATCGTCAGGGCATTCCAGTTCTTCCTTGTCCTCCGTAGTTCCTCTGCATTGCCGCGGAGAGTCGCACAGGGTGATATCCGTAGCCAATAACCCGGCCATGTATCTATGTGCCTTCAACGTCCCTGCAGTTAGCCGCCGCGTGAGACGCCTCATATCGCCGTGTCTTATGTGCTCGCCGGGGTGTGGTCTGTAGCTTAACTTACTCCGTATATTTACGGAGTATCTACCTACTGTAGATAGTTATGTATGTGTTTATCCTTGATCGATCCGAGTATCCGACTCACGCTTCCTTTCAGCCAAGATCCAAGACCCTCCCTCCCTCCCTCACCGACTACCAAGCTAATATTCAAGCCATAACTCTATTTCTAGCTATCGTTCTCGGCGGTCTTTCTTCTTTGTCTTGCGTTGTTGGCGGTGTAGATGGTAGATCCGGATGGGAGATGGGATTGCTGATGGGGTTGTTTGTCTTGGTGGTTGGATCAGATTGGATAGCGGGCATGTGAGCTGTTGGATGGCTGGTGTTGGCTCTTTTAACCGGGTGTAGAGATTCATTGGTACGGAGTAGTCTGCTGTGAGTTCAGAGGTAAACTACCTCGGTTGACGAGATGCCGCTACCTATGCACATAGGTGACGAACACGGGTAACTCGGGGATGACCGTAGGCAGTGGGTGGGATACGTTTTGTATGGCTTAGATTCGTTCTTTTGATTCTGTGGTTTTATACAATGTTGTTAACCGCCATATTCTCCAGGCATACAAATAAACAGCAGCCTTGCAGCCTTGCAGCCTTGCAGCCTGATTCGGAATCTAACAGCCTTACAGCCTAAGGAATGCGATATGCCCCGAAGCAGCCTAGCGGCACGTGGCGGCGTGTCGGACGGACGCGCGCGAGAATCCCAGCCGCCCTCAACCCGCGCCGGTGGCTTTGGTCCCTCCACTGTAAATACAGTCGAGGCTCCATTTCCTTATTCCTCTCTGGCAGTAGCAGTATCAACCAGCTGCACGTCTGAGACTACACTGCACTACTACTTACTACTCCATTGGCCCCCCACAGCACAGTCCCCAACACGGGATCCATTAACCTCACCGCTCAACTTCAATACGACTGACGACTGACGACCGAGGCCACCTCGACCAGCAACCAAGCACAATGATGTTCGCAACCCACCCCATCCACCACCACCAACAAGACCACCCAGCACCCGCACCAACAGCAACAACAGGACCAACAATGCTCCCAACCTTCTCCCCCGCGCGCCCCTCCCCCCTCTCCCCCCGCCGCCAACAACAACCCCCCGCAGACCCCCAAACCCCCCAATTCAACTTCTCCAGTCCACTCACCAGCACCACGCCCCTCCGCACCCCCTACACCTCCACCTACCCCTCTGTCTCTGCCTTCGGCTCCCCGGAACACCACCCCCGCCAGCAACAAGAACACCAAAGGGGGTTCACCTTCTCCTCCCGCTCCAAATCCTCCGGCTCCCCCAGCTACGCGCAGCGCTATGCATCCACCATCGCGAACCCAATGGCCAAACATACCTCGCCGTCTGCGCGACGCAGCCTGTTCCTGAACCGCGTGAAGCGCGAGCGCGAGGACGGGCGGTTCGAGAATCGCGGCGAGCAGTTGGTGCTGATGGAGCATGTGGCGGAGGAGAAGCGGTGGGGGGAGAGTATGCGGAGGAGGGGGGAGAGGCTGGCGTTGGTGGGGGTGAGGAGGATGAGGATGAGGGTGAGGAGGGGGGAATTGGAATGAAGAGGGTATGTATATCTCCTTTCTATCCTGTCATACGTTTTCTTCTGATATGCATGTACATGTGCAAGTGCATATGCGTGAGTGATAACGGATAACTGACTGACTCCATTACAGAAAACATCGACCCGCACGCTCTGAACGAATACATGCAGTATATCCAGGAAGAAGAGGACGCGTTGGATCTACGTATGAATATGGCTATGAGTGCGGAACAAGCACAGGCTCAGGGACACATGATGGGTGCGGGCCACCCGTCCCATGGGCATGGGTATTATGATCCTGCTGCCGCTGCTGCTGCTGCTGCGTCGTTCAGCGATGAGGAGTACGATGATTTGTTCATGGATCTGGCGGGAGAGCCGAGTCAGAGTCAGAGTCATAGCCATAGTCAGGATATGGATATGTCGTGATTTGGCTCTGCGTGGTGCAGATTCCGTGTTGCATATAGTTGCATATTCCATGTTGCATATCGCATACTCTACGGAGTACACTGTTCATGTTTCTTGTTCTGGTTCAGGCGTTGGATGGATTGACGGGTGGATCACAGTTGGTTGGTAAGTCGATGGGCTGGTTGATTACTTACTCTTGTCTGGGATGGGATAGGGCTTGTCGCGGGACGACGATACATAACTTTACATAGTACACTTTTGTTTTTCTAGACATATCTAATAATGTTCGGGTTAGCTGGTGAAAATAAATGAAACTAAATAAACCGAGTCGACGTTGACTATCTAGCCCTTATATGCGACAAGGTGGTAGGTTGTTGGTTGCATTCCTTAAAAAGGCCTTTTAACCGGATTCAATTTGACAGGCTAGCAAGGTAATAATACACTTGAAGAGCTAAACTAGACATTACTGAGGAAGAAAGAAGCCACGGCAGCACGGTGACCCACAGGATCACAGAATGAGCTTCCCATATTGCTGTTGTGGACATGAGGAAGAATATCTCATCCTTTATTTCATCAGCAAGATTCAGCGTTCGCATAATCGAATCGAGGGAAGTTACTCTTCAAAGTCGTAGTCCCCTTTATCTGGCGGGTCTGGCCAGATAAGATCGTGTGCGCGTATGACAGCAAGGTCTTTGATTCCGTCGGTCAACGCTTTGACGAATCCACACGGGTCTAAATCGAGTCTCCGAGATGAATCAAAACTCGGAAAACTTTCATGGCAACGCGGATGAATTATATCGCTAATATATATCGGTGGCAGGCTTCCGACGACGGGTCCAGGAAACACATGCTATAGACATTGATTGTTGTCAGTTGCGTCCATGATCCCAGTACTGTTGCTATAGTTAAGGAACTTACAACAGTTTCCCCCCGTTTGTGGGGTTCAGAGCTATCATCCAGTTCCCAGAATTCGAGTGCTGCAGTAATTGGCCCAACCCAATCATCAGTTTTCACTTCTTGATAGCATTTCTCGTAAGCCGCCATGGTATTCGTCTCTTGTTTGGTACAGGCCTTCGTTGCTCGTTCTAGGAGATCTGCATGATTGGCTTTGCCGTACGTGTTTCCGAATTCGATCAGAAGATTGGCCATATTATCCTTAAACTCCTCGGTCTTTTGCTGTGTTATGAGAGTACGCCTGTCTTCCTGGATATTTGCCAACACGACAAGCTGTACTCGGCCGCTGCTGTTGAGCAGCCAGTGTTTCATATCGCGGGCCAAATCATGGTAAGATTCTGAGAATCCTGCCTCGAACATCACGGTTTGTATCCGTACACCAGTCTGCGGGTTAGTCATGGTATACGACTGATCAGGAGCTTTCCTATACGTTTGCGGTTTTTTGCCCAGACCGGGGATCATGCCCTGAAGAAAGGTCACGTCGCTCCCGCCCAAATAAACACAATCCCTCTCCTCAGACGTGAGCATCTGCTGCTTCAAACGTTGATGACATTCGCCAGCGAATCTAGCAAGACTGCCGTGTACGGGACGCATATCCCGGATGACCAAAAGATCTAGCTCGAACCAGTATGCATTAGGCAAGAGGGTTTCTTTCAAAACCTGCCTAAATTTTTTTGAAGTCCTCAGTGAGTCGCTAACTTGTATTCGTAACTTCCCTGAGCCGGAACCCCAGAATGATCTGATTTTCTTTAACACTTGATCCTGCTCTTGTTCGTCCGGTGGTAGCACGTGGTTGTTGTCACTTGGTTTGATTATGGAGTCAAGACTCGCCCCGACTAAAGGGGTCACGAAATTCGAAGCTTTGGTTAGAGTCGGCATTGCTGCAGGTGAAGACATGATGAAGAGGAATCAACTTGGGAGGTGGGAGATCCGGAACACCATCAAGGTAGTATGCGGAGGTGGAAGGTGCGATCAGGAAAGCAGATATTCTGCCCCAACGAACGTCATCTCTTTTGTGTCGCCGCCTCCGCCGCCTTTAGCTATTCTGCCACGGAACGTCACCGCCTTTGTGTCACCGCCTTTGCGGCGCCTTTAAGCAAGAATCCAGAGTCCGAACGACAGGCCTCTGTTACTTCGTTGACTGTTTTATTAATATTTTCATTGATGCTAATTATTCAAGTTGCATGCTGTCCACAAGCTTTTACTAATACAGGACACAGCTCTATCTTCCTGATATCCTACTAATGTGAGTTATGTAGTATATCTTATCTATATTATACTGGCTTTCATTTCTTCAGACTGGGTCCATGTCTACAAGACTTTCACCATTGTAGTAAGGGAACTTACTTAAGCAAGAGATAATTAGTAGTAATAGTAGTATATGCATGTATGTACACAGCCACAAAGCCACCAACCAGGGCACGACACGGCACGCTTTCAATATGTCTGGGTAGATGTGATTTGATTTGATTAGATTCGATATTATATGGATTCTGTGATATGCATCCACATCTATTGGACTCATTGCTGCGGACAATCTGGGATTCCACCGGCGCCAGGTCCAGCACCGGCACCGGCACCGGCACCGGCAGCGCCAGGACCCTCCATCCACGGCGCAGAGATCAATTCGTCGGGGGGGTTGCCGGCTGCTTGCATCTGTAGTATCAAATATTGTCAGTAGGTCAGTCATCAATACTCTTCCAATAAATAAGAGCGAAAGCAGAAGAAAAGGAAAGAGGAAGAAAGAAAAAGAAGAATAAAAAACTCACCTCCTGCATCTTCTCCCACACAAACTCCCTACACGCCTGATCCTCATCGGAATAACCAGTCTCCTCAAACTTCGCCACGATAACCTTCACCACGGCCGCCTGCCTCTCAAACCGCTCCAGATCCTCTGCCGACACCGTCCCCTTCTTGCGATTCTCCTCCAACCACGGCCCGAACTTCTCATCCAGCTCCTTCATCGGCTCATACAGGATCTCCTTGTTGGACAACTGCTCCATCATCCCCATGAACATCTTCGTGAGATCGCCCTCGTCCCCGCCATCCTCGCCGGCGCCGCCACCAGCCTCAATGGCTTTCAGGAGCTGCGCGACAAGGTCATCGGATATTTCGTCCTCCGAGGCTGCGGCCGTGGCTTTGTCGCCGGATTCTTTCATCCGGTTGATCGTGCGTTGGATTGTGTCGTTAAAGGTTTCGGGCGCGCCGCCTGCTGCTGCTGATCCTGATCCTGACCCTGTTGAAGCTGCTGCTGCCGTCGTTGAAGACCCCGCTCCTGCACCTGCACCCGCGCCCGCGCCACTAGACGACGCCCCATCGTCTCCCTTCATAATCACATCGCCGACAAGCTGCTTCAAGAAATCCGAGGCATTGATGCCGCTTTCCTCGAAATACTTGGCGAAGGTCTCGGCGTCGGCGTCGAGAGGGGGCTGGTCGGCTGAGCCGGACGCTGAGGAGTCTTTCTTTCCTCCTGCGCCGCCCATCATGCTGGCCATGTCTTGTTCCAGTTGTTTCAGGAAGGCTTCTTCGTCGAAGTCGTCGGCTGCGGGGGAGGCATCGGGGGCGGTGGCGGAGGCGGAGGCGGGTTTCGGGGTGGGTTTGAAGTCGTCGAGGACTTCTGGGGGGTGGGTTAGTTTTGTTTATCGTGTAGTGCAAGTGTAGGGTGTAGATTGTAAAAGAGAAGAGTGTCTAGAAAAGAAGAGAAGAGGAGGGAGGGGAAGAGTATACCATCTAGATCATCGAAATCGGAGTCATCATCATCATCCTCGGCGCTGGCGACATTCGCCCCGCGCGACGGCGCAGGGGTCTCGGAGGGCGCATTCGGGGAGGCTGGTTGGGCGTCGCTGGATGTAGCAGAGGGCTTTTCGAACTGCGATGACGATGATGCAGATTGGGAGTTGGGGTTTGCGCCTGGGGTGGTGGCGGGGGAGGCCGATGGAGAGGCCATCTCAACTGAGAACTGATAGCCGAGGTGGGGGATGAGGGGACGGAGGGGGGAAGATGGGTGGTTGCAGGTTATGTTAGTGGGGGTTGGCGGGGGTTGATCGCATAGACGCGTTCAGGTGCTGCGGAGGAAGAGAGAGGGAAGAAGGAGGTGATTGATGTCTAGAGAAGAAGCTGCTGATGGTGGTTGTGGTGGTGGTGGAGAGAGAGAGAGAGAGCATGTGAAAAGATAGTCAACTGCATGGAAAGGACCGAATGAATGAATAATCAGTTCCGTTCAGTCCATCTGCCGACTGGCGAGCGGGCTGCTGGCTGCTGGCTGCTGGCTGCTGGCCCTTCGCACCGCGGCTGTTGGGTTTGTCGCCATGGGGAATGGATTGGGATATGGATTTGGGAATTATGCTATTTGGGATGTAGATATATCTATCTTGTCTGGTGTACAGTTCACTGCAGTATTCTTGGTGGAGGATGAGGATGACATAAGGGCCACCACCAACGTCACTCGCAGACAGACGGGCGGCATCTGGAAGAAGGCGACGATGCTTCTAGTTCGGCCCCCAACGCCAGTCCGGTGCTTGCGGTGTGCCAATGGTCTTACTGACGGGCCGCCCAGCAGATCGATCATTCAGGGGGATACTAGAGAGACATCTACATAGTATCTACATGCATACTGCTCAACATCCCACTCCCCCCTTCCCCCCCCCCCCGCCAAGACGTCTGTCGATAGTTGCTGCTGCTAGTCAGGAAGTACTGTAAGTGTACTGTGTACTGTACTTAACTCGATCGATCAGACCATTGTTCTCAGGCGATCCCGTGGCGGGACCTCGTGATGTCCGACCACCGTTGCTTTGCCTCGAGCCGATGCTAGGAGCATTGGAGCAACGCCTCCGTCAGCGAAGTGCCTGACTAGCGGAGAGCTCCCTCCTTCATCGGAGGTTTCCTAGATCAGGATCATATGCAGTCAGATTTGTTCGAGGGAAGCCCGGATGTCGGCTGTCAGATCAGGTGCTCGTGCGGGCAGGGATTGTTGGTTCTTGCAGTTTGAGATCCCGCTGACTGACCGACCGGAGGAGGAACTGGGAAGAGGAATGCTGATGATGATGATGATGATGATGATGATGATGATGATGCTGATGCTGTTGCTGATGCGATGATGACGGGAGGGTCTGGTCTGGTACGGTACGGTAAGACCGCCGTCAGCTCACCGTGTAATCTCCCCCACGAGATGGCAGCTCCGCGTATTGCCCTGTTCGGGCAAGTTTGCGTGATTTTTCACGCCCGCCAGTCCGTATCACTGCTCAGTCTGGCGAAAAATGGAGCAGACACCGCAATAAACAGGCAGTGGACAGACAGTGGACAGACTCGGATGTTCAGGATAATCCTCAACAGCAGCTGTAGAAGGAACTTCCTCCGGTCTCTCCCCTCTCGTCTCTTTCCCCCGTCCACCGTACGACCACAGGGACAAGGAATCCGCCCCAGCTGAACCACGGAAAACTTTGTCGCAACCTGCCGGAACATCTCCGCGGGATGATGAGAATATTAGCATGGGAGGCCCGGTTCCGCCTGATGCGGAACCCTCTACGGCTGGCTGGCAGCAAATACGACCCTGCCACCACCGCCCTATTTAACTACGCTGGCCTGTTTTTTTTTTCAATACCCTTCCCCTGGCTAGGCTAGCCTGCCTCCCCTCAACCACAATGGCTTTGCTGTGCTGGGCTGCCCGCCCACTGGGGCGGCGCCGGACGGAAACACGTTACCACGTTCGCTGCTCTCCACCCGTTTCGGAGACTGCACCTGCTAAAGTGCAAATCTGCATGGCTGCATGGCCACCCAGGCGGACGCGGACGGGCCACCCCGTAAGACCATCGAATAGGGCAACTGTAGGGAGTAAAGTAAAGTAGAGTGACCGACCATTGACGGTCTGACCAGGGCGCCCGCCGCCCACGGAGGCCGTGACGACTCTTCGCCCTGCCCTGGGCGGATCTTCGGCTGGGTCTGACCTTGCGGTGGATCTCGTCAGTCGACTGACGGACGGAGGAGGTACCTAGTCCTGCGTCAAGGGTTGACGAGTGGCCGAGAGGAGAAAGGCTAGCAAGGAGGGCGATGCTGAGCCTGCGTCTCGGCAGTCGAGAACCAAGTGGAGGAGGATGGCGGTTCTGGTGGTTCCCGGTCTTGGTACGGCGGTCTTGGGCCTTTTTCTTCTTTGACACTCATGAGGGCGGGAAGGGCTGGAAGGGAGGGGGGGAGGGAGGGGTGGAGTCATGGGAGTTGGAGTTGGAGTTGGAGAGGGAGAGGAAGAGGGAGAGGGAGAGGGAGAGGGAGAGAAAGAGTTAGGGAGAAGGAGAGTAAGAGTTAAGGGAGAGTTCGTAGCAGATAGATAGAAGTCAAACAGTAGTCCAACGTTCCGTTCCGGGACGGGTCCAGGTGTTTAAAAAGCATTCGAGAATCGAGGTTGAATGTTCGAGGGTGATGTTCTCGAGCATGGACGGAAGGCGTGTGCCGTTCGAGGGCAACCAGTAAGTTTCAGCGGCGAGTGTCCGTCCCCGTCAGTAACAAACGCCCGCCCCCTCTCTGGGTGTGGGTTAGCATCAGTTGGGAATAATTGGGATAGACTGGATTTTTCCCCTGGAAAGTCTCTGCCCTTGACCCAAAGGGAAAGGCCACGAGAAAGGGTTAAAAAAAAAAAAAAAAAAAAAAAAAAAGGAAAAGAAAATCTCCCACGCCAGTGTATTTTTCTTGCTCCCTGTTCGTCCTTCTTCTCTTTAATAACATCCCGTTCTTTTTAGTCAATAATTTTACCTCACATCTTTCCTCCCCCCGCCTCCTTCCCTCCCTCTCTGCCCTTCCACTTCCTCCTGCTGGCTATCTCTTTATCCCCTCGACCAGTTTCCTTTATGTCATTGTCCTTGGTCGCTGCCTTCATTGCTGCTGTCACTATTGCTGCTCGCACGTCCCTTTCTGCCGCCCAGCCGCGCGCCTTCTGCGTCTGAACCATCCGATCCCATACTAACTACTCACCTCATACTTCGTGCTCTTACCCCGCCGGCTAGAAATTTTCCTATCGCGTATAGCCAGCCAGCCAGCCCTTTGGTCAGTTCATCACTCGCCGCGTCTGTCGGTGACTCTGGCTTCAGGGTGTCTGGGGGAAACTAAGTCCGCCGTCCGCCGTCCGCCGTCTTGATTGATATCTCCGGTTTATACTGCGTGTCTCTCCCCTCCCTCAACCCCAATCCCCCGGACCGTCCGGCGTGTCATCATCCACCTCCCCAAGCACGCAAGGGGTGCTGTTCCCCGGGATTCACACCCACCCATTCGAATAGATTCAACCCAATGGTCTCTATGGTTGAGACCGCCCAACCCACGCACAATGACCCGGCCCTGGACCCGGTCGTCCCTAAGACCGAGCCCCTGCCGGAGGGCTCGATCAGTTCCGCCGTGTCAACGCCGGACCCCGAAGGGGATGTGTTGACGCCAGATGTGGCCCAGACACAAAAGCGAAAGGGAGGCCGCAAACCTGTACGTAAGATCTGTCTGGTCTTTCCCCGGATCTGCCCTGCCCTTTATACCCTATTTTTATTTCTTATTGCTTTTCCCTTATCTCCTGATCCCCTGCCATTTGTTCCTGCGTGCAGTCCGGGGCCCCGCACTGCGTGGTGTTGATTATCATTTATCATTGCGATTGATCATCCCCCTCCCAATAATCCTGCCTCCCCTCCCCCTTATCGTCCTCTCATATTCCTTCCCTTCCATTCCTTCACCTTGCTTTATCTTTCTCCTGCACCTCCTGCCTTATCCGTCCCCCTTTATCTTTCGCTTTATCTTTCTTATTTTATCTCCTGCTGTCTGCCTACTCGTGCCTTCGCTAACCGCCCCCCTCTCCCCCCCCCTCAGATCTATGCCACCTCCGAGGAACGTAAGCAGCGCAACCGCCAGGCCCAGGCCGCCTTCCGCGAGCGTCGCACAGAGTACATCCGTCAGCTCGAGTCCACCATCAAGCGCAATGAGGAGTCCCTGCAGTCCCTGCAGCAGAGTCACCGCACCGCTGCTGATGAGTGCTTGATGCTGCGCTACAAGAACTCGCTTCTGGAACGCATCTTACTCGAAAAAGGTGGGTTCTTATCGCGTCCCCGGTGGGGAGGCCGACCTTCCATCCCCATACCCCGGGTCTCCCCACAGCCAATCCTCGTGGTTACATCCAGGCTAACCCGTCGTAGGTATCGATGTCCAGGCGGAACTCCGACTGAAGGCCGGGGCCCCCGGGGCTGGCGCGGGCAAGCCCAACAACCCCATGGCCGCCAAACCGCCTTCCAGCCTGGAGCGTGCCGCGGCTGCCAACCGCAACTCGGCCCAGAGACACCCCGGCATCGCGCCCAAGGAGCCCTTCGGCATGTCGCAGCATCGCGACGGTGCGTATGGTATTCCATCACCACAGTTCCAGGCCACGCCGCCCTCTCACGTCTCCTCCCCGTCCCACGCCAAGTCCCCCGGCTTCCCCTTCCAGGGGGCGATGTCGCCTGTCGGGGTCGACCCCCAGGCGCAGCGCTCGCAGATGCTCTCGCACTCGCGGACGCTCAGCCAGACCACGCCCCCGATCAGCATCGGCCAGCCGGACTCGACCGACCCGAAGTCCGCGATGCCGGGTGGCACCAACCCTCGAGCTCCCCGTGTCCCCTCCGCGTACTACCCATCGCCCTTCCAGAAGCACTATGACCAACTGGGTAAGCTGACTCCGTCCCACGGTGCCGGTGGCAGATCCGTCGTGGAGGGGAACCCTGTCATTAATGCCCGCATAGAACAGGAGTACGATGCCCAGGCCGACATGATCGACGATGAGCATGACTCGTCGACGGTGGGCGCGTCCCCGTATGTCGCCGGCTACAGCAACCCCGCGTCCGTCGCCGCTGGCTCCCACCCCATGGGGGCGCATGGTCTCAACCAGTACAACACCCACACGGGAGAGGGGGCCAACGGAGCGTACGGCAACACGAACCACCTCATGGGGAACTACGAGCCGATGCTGGATGCCGACCCCTTTGGGCTGAGCGCCAGCATGCATTTCCAGACCCCTTTCAGTTACGAGCAGAATAATACCACCCGCCATTAACCTTCTGTTTCCCTCTCTGTTTTCGTTCGTCACGTCCCCCGCCGACGGGGCGACTCGCATGGCGGCATCTCTTTCATAGCTTTCTTCTATGACAGGAAGACAAAAGTTGAAAACTTTGTGAAGCATTGCCTGGCGTTTTGCGGTTGATACCATTTGTTTCAGTTTCTGATGTTGTTGTTGTTTTGTTTGCCTCCCCCAAAAGGAACGGAAAAGCGGTCGGTTGTTTGGGAGGCGCTGGAAAATGCCGAAAAGAGGGAACTGGTTCTTGTACATGCATGCATGACTGGTCTCATGGACCCGAGGGCGACTGCGGTGCAGTTTGAGGCCCTCGGGCCGGACTCTCAGCTCTTGTGGACATATTATTATATGTTTCTGATGTTTATTTGATTTATGGCTGGGGATGAGCGGTGTCTCAGTTTATGGTGATGATTCTTGACTGCGGTGAAACAGTGGCTTGCATGGTGAAGGAGCATTCCTGCGGCATTGCGTTCATATTTTCAGATATATATATATATTATATTTTTTAGTATTATTTCTTCTCATTGTTTTTCTCATTTTTTATTATTATTATGTGTGTTTCACATATGCTTTTATGACCGAGCTAGTGGTGGCGAAGTATGTTTCTTGGGGGAGCTCCTCGAGCTGGTAGCTGTAGCTAGCTACTTGCCTGTCATTAGCTACCGGCGAGCGGCTTCCTGAGGGAGGGTATGGATGGAATGGAAGATCTACGAGCACGAGCCAAGCGCGCATAGTTTGTAGGAGGGAGTTAGTGCGTAGTGACGTCGATGTGTGGAAGTAGCAGTCGAGGTGGTGGTAGTAGTAAGTAAGTAGGAGTACTGCCGGGGGAGAGAGAGCCGTAGCGGGACACCTCCCAGTACTCCGAGTAGGTCCAGCAGCAGCACCAGCAGCAGCACCAGCAGCAACCAGCAGCACCCAGCAGCACCCAGCAGCACAAACCCAGAGTCATCGCAGCGTCATCCGCGAGCGTTTACCCTAAGCCCTAGCTGGCTACGACCAATCACAGCCCGCGATGCCGGATTCGCTTAGCAGCAATCCGCGCCTTACCGGATCGGGCGGGTGCAACCACAAACGTCGCTCTCCATCCACCGTCAGTCAACCCCTTCACTCCAACCACCATCCCATCCCATCCCCCCGAAAAAAAGGAGAGGCCGGATACCTACCGTCGTCGAGGTTTTCGCCCGTGTCGACTCTCCTGCGCCACTCCGTTCGGACCGAATTGCCGCGATAACAAAGAGCCTTCCCCGGAAGGCCCCGCATAACAACAGGCGTCATGGCGGAGATCCGGTCCAAGGTGCGTTTTCATGCCCTCGAGAGCTCCCTGTGTGCGGTCGCTGCTGGATTGTCGTGAGACGGGGAGTCAACTGGTCCGTGAGGTGTCCTGGAGGGGTCGCCTTGCCCGTCCGTCCAGGACCGAGTCGGGCTGTGACTCTGATGGAATCAAGCGATCGAGCGGTCGAGCGGGGTTGGAGCAAAAAATGAACGAACCTGCACGCAGCTTGCTGCTGCAATTCTGTCCATCCACCCACGAACCCCATCCAGCGCACCCACACAGCGGACCAAACACCTGAATGAGCACCAGCCAAGCTAACCCGTCTTCTTGAATAGAACCTCTACGAGCTTCTTGGTAATTCTCGCCCTTCCCCTCCCTGCCAGCCTGAGTCCTGCCCCGTGCTCCAATGCCCATCGTGTTTCCTCTTTGCTTCTTTCGCGCTTCGCAGATCCATCCACCCCGATCGTTTGAAGGATTATATCATCTCTAACCTCGTGCTCGCTGTTGCTCGCGCTGCGCTGCTACAGGCAATGACCCTGAATTGGACCCCAACAGAGCCCCTGAGCCTCCCACGAGGGCTGTAGACAGGCCCGCTGCCCGTGTTGGCAAGCGCGACGCCCCCAAGGAAGTCGTCAGCCAGCCCCCCCGTGAGAACAACAACGCCCGCCGCGGTGGCCGTGCTACTGGCAACGAGGCCGGTACGTATTCTACCTACGACCCCGCCTCTTCTGGTCCCCTCACCCCCCAGGGAAACATCTCCCGGCTGACTCTGATCGCTTTTGCTTCGGTTAGCTTTCCGTGACCGCAACGCCGGCCGCTCCAACAACCGTGAGAAGCCCGTTGAGGACGCCAAGGATGGCCAACGGCGTGGACCCCGCCGTGAGGGTGGTCGCCACGACCGCCAGTCTCGCACCGGCCAGACGTAAGCTATATGAAGACACCCCGTGGGAATGAGGCCGTCCGACCTAACATGTGATAGCGACACCCGCAAGCAGGTGAACCAGGGCTGGGGTAACCAGAGCGGCGAGAAGACCTTGGACGATGAGAAGGCCGGCGAGAAGATTGCCCACACCGACGAGGCTGAGCCCCAGACCCCCGCTGAGGAGAAGCCCGAGGAGCCCAAGGGCAAGTCCTACGACGACTACCTTGCCGAGAAGGCCGCCGCTGGTGACCTCAGCGCCAAGCCCATCCGTTCCGCCAACGAGGGCAGCAAGCTCGACAAGAAGTGGGCTGCCGCCACCGAGCTCAAGCCCCGTGACGAGGGTGCCTACTTCAAGGGCAAGGACGAGAAGTCCAAGCGCGAGAAGCAGCGCAAGGAGAAGAACTTCGTCGATGTCGACATGCGCTTCGTCGAGGCTCCCCGCACCGGTGGTGCCCCGGCCCCCGTGGTGGCCGTGGTGGCGCCCGTGGCGGTCCCCGCGGTGGTCGTGGTGGTCCCCGCGGCGGCCGCGGCGACGGTCCCGCTCCCCGTGCCGAGCGCAGCGGCCCCGCCTCTGCCTCCGTCACCGTCGACGAGAAGAACTTCCCCTCCCTCGGTGGTAAATAAATGCATGCATGCGCCCCGCATGGCACCATCCATCCCTTCCGTTCACGCCTAGGGACCGGATGATCCGAGAACAGGATTTTAAAGAGAGAGAGAGAAGAAAAGGCGCGGAGAACCAGGAGGAAATGAAGAAAACGGGAAGAAGGAGAACTCAAAAAAGAAAAAGAAAGAAGAAAAAAAATACTTAAGAGAAAGAAATTCTACGAATGAAGGTTTTATGTGTGCAAATGGCCCCTACCCTCCACAAGCAAATCCACCCCCTCCTTGCTTTCCCTGGAGACAACATATGCAAGTCAAATTATCTATCTATCTATTCACCCCCTAGGTCTAGGTATGGTATGGATATCCGATGCCAGGACAAAAACCGAGCAAAAAAAAAGAGACAAAAAAAAACAATCTTACGTATCCGGGGGTGTCTTCCTTCTTGTCTTTACCACACAAGGACAGGAAACACCCTTGTTTTTCATTTTTCTTAACACCACCACCACCTTTATTTTTTTTTTTTAAAACCTTTACTCTTTTTTGCCAACTTCTCCAACGTCTTCTTCTCCGGATTCTTTTCATCGACCTTGTTGTTTCTTTCGTCGCCTTTTTTTGCTTCTTTTCTTTTTATTGTCTCTGTTTTCCTTTTTTCTCTCTCGATGAATGAATTTCAAAATGTGGTTACTCCCATGTAATTTGATTTGAATGTCAAAAAATTAGGAAAGTGACAAACAAAACTTACTATGTTCCATACTGACCTACTGTACTTCCGTATTGTATTCATTAGTATATTAGTAGTTGGTTATTTGGAGGATGGGGGGGATGGGGTGCGTTGTATACTGTATGTACTATACTAGATGTGTATACTGTAGACTGTAGACAAGTAGATAAGTGGATAGATAGATAGATGAAGTGTGGAGTCATATACCCACCCCTAAGTAGATATCTACTATATGGTCAGTGGGTAGTGTTGCTCCTCTGAACTCTGAACCCTGATGTATTTTATCATTGTTCATATCAATGATTAAGGGTCTAGGGTTCATCACGTATGATGGATCAGGATCAGGATCAGGATCAGGGAATTGAACTAATGAGATAGGGTCTGTCTGTCCACTGACATGAACTCTAGACTATCTATATCTGGACTCGAGATCGATAGGATAGGATAGGATAGGATAGGATAGGTAGGGGTGACATGATACGCAATCAATCAAGCAATCGATCCTTCTTCTTCCTTGGTTGGTTGGTTGGTTCGCTAGATAAGTATCTATCTACCCCTGGTCTGGTCCCCTAGCCCCCGGTCAGAGTCAGAGTCAGAGTCAGAGTCAGAGTCAGAGTCAGAGTCAGAGTCAGAGTCAGAGTCAGAATCAGAGTCAGAGAGTCAGACAGATCAGGACAGATGGGGTCAAGTGCTAGTGCGGTTTGCTTAAATCTTAATCTTACTCTTACTGTTGGTCAAATCTGAGGTGGTGGTGGTGGTGGTGGTGGGGTATTGGCCAGGATGGATTGGTAATCGCACACAATACTTGATAAATAGATGGTTCAGTGTCTGATGGTCTTTCCGACGTATGTTGGCTATAAATAGACAGAGTAGACTAATTCTAGCCAAAAGGTATTCATCCAACTGAACTATATATATAGATAAATAGATATATAGTTGATAGCTAGATTGTTCGTGGCCCAGACACAGACATTCGTGTTACATGACCCAGCCATGCAGGTGATAAACCAATCACAACTCCAAATTCTCAGAGCCATATCCATGACTGTCGTCGCTGTCATCCTGCTGTTCATCGACACTGTCAGAAGACACCTGGAACTCCTGCACGGCGTCCGCGGCGGCCTGTTCCCAGTCCGACAGCGTGCTGGTCGAGAATACATTATTCCCGCGGTCCAGATAGGCGAGGCCATCCATGGCCCGTCCGCCACAGGCGCGCTGGAGAGCCAGGAAGGCGAAGTGGCCGCCGATGACGGGGCGAGCGTAGAAGTTCGGGCCGGGGAACTCGCCCTTGCCTTCGGTGTTGTGGAGATCCGTCAGCGGGAGGTCGGTGACTGTCTCGTTGACCCATTTGGCGACGGACTCGAGAACTTCGCTGCGGACATTCTCGCTGGCGACTGCCATGGAGAAGAATTCCCAGTCCGTCTTGGTGTATAGGTGGCGGCTGTCCAGGGGGAGACCGTATTTCTGCCGCACGTTGTGGTACCAGATGGACTGGCGCTGGTAGATGTGGCGGGGGACGAAGCCGGTCTTCTTGCTCTTGTAGGGTGGGGGGTGGAGAGGTTCCTGCTGGGAGGCGTGGGGAGGGATGTCGGTGCTCTCGAGGTGAAAGCAGAGCAGGGCATCGGCGTACAGGTTGTAGATCGTGGTCCACGACCCGTACCAGTCGTATGCGAGTTTGGCGTGCGTTTGGTCGCGAGACATGCCTAGCTTCTCCCATTTGGCGATGTAGGTGTCCGAGATGTTCTGCGGCGGTTAGTGGTGCTGGGGTTGAGATTTCAATGGGGACTTACCTTGTAGTAGGAGACGTCTTCTTGATCTCCAGCGACTTCGGCTAGCTTGCTCATGGCATTGATCCCGATGATGCCCTTGAGCGCCAGGTTCGTTTGGAGCGCGAGCCAACCGGCGAAATCATCGGTAGACACTGCTTCTTGTTAGCTGGGATCAGTCGTGCTGTATGGCTATCCTTACGTTGATTCTCCGGCTCCAGGGAGAACTCCACCAGGTAGCCAGTCCACTGTTTCCAGAGTCGGTAGCTGCGCTGAAGCCATTGCTCGGCCTCGCGCTTGCCTTGTGCGCCACCACCCCATCTTCCATCCTGCTTGTCAATACCGCCCTGCACCTGGAGGTCAACCAGAGGGAAGAAACCGGGATGGTCGTCGGACACGGGAGATTCGCCCTGTGTCGACCATACTGATGACGCAGCTGAGTCTTCGGAGTAGCGCAGCGAGTTGACGATGGCCAAGCCCATGATGAGGATATTTCCGCACTCCTCCACTGGCATATACTCATCGTTTCCATCGGGGTGGCCCGTGGCGTTGGGGAAGTGAGTTCCCAAGTCATGCATAGCATACGTGTTCGGGTACTGTCCGCTCAACATATGCTCGATCAGTGGCTCCAGGAGGTACGCCAGCCACCGCGGGTTGGTGTATAAGAAAAATGGGAACGAAGGGAAGATGACATCGATCGTCTGGAAGTTCCCGTTAGACGAGATCTCTTTCAGAAACAAGATCGGGTCATCTGGTGTCCCTGAAAAGGTGGTCGCTCCCATGACTTGGCGTGCAGAGAGCGCGACGATGTCAACATAATCGTGTGCGCCTGACTGGTACGCGTCCTTAGCCAACTGCTCAGAGTAGTTTGAGGCCAGCACGCCCGCATGCGAGAAATCGTGGTAGTGCCAGCTCAGTAGCGACTCCTCGCTGGGGAACCACGATCTCCAGAGCGGACGCATCAGGGTCAACCCGCGCGCTGAGGCATACTGGACGACAGGATCCTGGATCAGGGCAATACTGAAGGTCACGCTGGCACTGGTCGGACCACCCTTCCGGGCGAGCACGAAGGACTTGGAGAACGCAAAGACCGGCTCCCGGTCTCCAATCGCACGGAAGGCCTCATCATTCACATTGTCCAGGACACCTTGGGTCAAGAATGTCTTCCTTACTGCCGAAGCCTCTCCAGACTGATATTGGACATCCTGCATCGACAGGTTAGCGATTGACCAGCCTAGCATCGGCAAAAGGTATACGCACGCCAGGTGCAGTGAAATGGAGGGTGCCCCATTCCGCGCGATCACGGATCTCCGAGAGCAGAAGCTCGTTCTGCCTCTGGAATCGCCATCTTCGCAGAGTCGGCTTGTTGTCCTTCACATCGAACCCGTCATACTGCCAGTTGATATGGCTTCCGGTGTCTCCGCTCACCCAGCCGCCGTTGATGTCCATGTAGACGTTCACGCTGACCCCACCGTGAACATGGATCGTGACGTAGGACGCGGGAATCGACTGCCGCAGAGTCGATGTGGGGGTGATGGGGGACAGGAACGAAACGGTGATCTCCAGCGGAGGCGAGGCAGCGGTGGCAGAGTCGAGGCGGTAGGTCAGGTTGGTGGTCGACGCGTCATAGTTGGCTCCGAGGTAGGTGGGATAATCGACCTGCGAGGACCTGGCAGGGGGATTAGAGGAGGGGTGCTGATGTTGGGTTCTGTACAGCTGCATACCCGGACAGGGATTCATGAGGCTTGCCCAGCAGCGGATAGACGGTGCCCGTGCTGGGGACGTGGGCCATCAGGGAAAGGCCCACTTCCTCTCCAGTGTAGAAAATGGGCCATTTGGACCATGGCACGTCGCGGGCATTTCCCAGCCAGGTGCTCAGGTAGGGATTCCGCACGATCAGGGGCAGGACCGGCGGCGTCAAGGAGGAAGCAATACCAGCGGTCGCCTGAAGGGCGGCTGCCAGCAGCGCAAGGGACGGGCGCATTGCGGTCAATCAGGTAGATCCGACCGGCGGAGAGGATGGAGGGGAAGAATTAGAGGAACGCTGATGATGGAGGGGATGGGGAGAGCAATGCCATGAGTCTGGCTGATGGATGAAGGAGAGAGGGAGAGTCCGAGAGCCGGAGGAGAGGTCGGAGAAGCCAAGGGAAGGCCGGCCAGGGATCAGCATGCCTGCGGATGATGATGATGCAATCAATCGGTGGATCGTCGTCGGGTTTCAGGCCCACGATCAACCAGGCTGGGCCGTGGTGAAATTGACACCAATTGATCCCTTGGGATATTGTTCCAAGCAAAGTCATTGATAGGACGATAGTTACCACGCAATGGCGCAGAACTTGGTCAACTTGCGTAGCAACAGTGGCAGCAGCAGGCGGAAATGCGGGGAAAGCTGGGGATGGCGCGTCGGGGGGGCTGAGCTAATCCCTCACCAACACCATCCATCATCCCATTTTCTGGCCATCTGGGGACTGTGTTGGCAGTATTGGCAGTAGAAGACCAGTCCGGACATCAGTTGCGTACGAAGTTGATTCTTGGGGATTCAAAGCGTCTGCACCCAGCATATCCCCGTCTCCTCTGCACGGCAAGCCTGGCCCTCTCTCCAGTTCATGCAACGAGCGGACATATGAGCCGAATGAGGATAACAGGGTTGCAATCCCGCCTGCTTGCTTCTCGCCTTTCAAGCCAGCCATGGAGGTGGTGTGTGAGAGCTGTGATGGGCACTGATCGTTACCGCGAGTGTCTTTCTGAGACGAACAAGGACGATCGAGGGTGGTCGTATCCTATTTATAGGCAATAGGCTACTGGTAGGTAGTGTATCGCCTCTCAACTAGAAAGTAACCGTTAAGCATCGGTATTGAGAGGCGATAAAATAAAAGAAACTTCGGCGTGCAGGTAGACCGATGCTTAACGGTTACTAGATATTCCTAAGACTTTCTTTACATGCCACTTCATGGTGCCTCCAATCAGGGGCTGGCCTGGGCCAGAGAATGGGCCCTAACCCCCTTCGGTCTAATCACCCCGCGCGTGTCTGGCCCTACATTCGGGGTGGTTTCCTGAGGCTCCGTCGAAGTCACCCTCATTGAAAGAACAATGAGTGTTGTTCAGGTGTTAAAGGCCCAGCATTATTGCTTACATCATGTTAATGAATCTCTCGATGTGGGTTCTGTGGACTATCGCGAGACAAATATCTAAAAAAAGAAAAAACATGTCCCTGATATATCTGGGACATGGGGATGGGCAGTTGGATGTACTTCGTCCTGCATTCAAAGGAATTGAAAGATGCTGGCTATTCCGATGCTGGCCTGATAGTACTGCGACAGCCTCGAGAATCTAGTATTCATTTGATAGTCCATACTGCTACTATAGTCTCTAGTCTCCCCCAGCGATGGGCAGAGCGATTGACAGCCTGAGAACCTGAGAGCCTGACAATCGAGGCACTCCACATCTTGTGTGAAATGCAGCAAAGAAAGGGTGTTCTGAACTTCTGACGCGCAGCTGCTCATGTTGGAAGCAGGAGGGAGATTTATGCCTGTGCTGCAGCCAGCCATGGATCAAATGTTGGAGGATCGTGGACCTTGGCTGTCCGAGTACAAACTGGATACCTCAATCGCTTCGACTGGAAGAAAACATCCAAACATCACACCATTGTTGGAAATATATGTGACTGATCAGATCAGAAATGGGACAACTCCCTCCCCCGAGAGTGAAGCTGGTTGAAGATGGTTGAATTGGGCCGACGCGTGGAGGGCCGGACACGCGATGAGGCCGGCGACGCTTAGTTTCACCGCAAGGGACCACCGCCGACTCGACGCGGATGCCCACGCGCCTGACCCTCTCGCTCTCCGTCCCCATCGCTCCCCAACACCGCGCCATTGAGTCTCCTGACGGGAACCTCTGTCTTTGTCTGTGTCCTTGCTTCCTTGCTTCCAACTCTCTGGACGTGGCTGCAGCTCCTCGTGACCCGGAGTCCTGACGACGTGTGCGCGCGCGTGTTGTATGTGTGTGGCATCGTGACACTACACTACGCTACACTACTTTACTACTAGTACTTCCTCCGCGACTTTCTACTCTACCTTCCTCCTCCTCCACCCCCAACTTCTCTACGTCTTTTCTCCTCCTATAAACCCCCTCTTCCTTCCTCCCCTCAAGACAATAGACATGCATTCCACAATGTCCTCACATACCAGCCCTGTCAAAGACGGGCGGCGAGTGCTCGGGGAAAAGCCCGCCAACGCGTGCCTGTCACCCGCCCGCCATCCCCATCGCCACGCCTCTGCCTCCCCCCTCAAACGCCCTTTCCTGGACTCCTCCTCCTCTCCCAAGAAACTCCTACCCTCGCCCCTGTTCGCCGGCCAGAAGCGTTCCATCGACCAGGTAGAAGACGCCACCGACGGCCAGGACCACCGCGCGCCGACACCCTCCAGCGACGGCCGGCCACACGCCGCGCCCGATTCCCAGGATGACACCCCCCAGACACATTCCACGCTGGCCCATCCCCAGGTAAGTCGTACAGGTCGCCATTCGACCAATCTGCTGGACTGGGAATTGACTCCGAGGAACGCCAGGTTCAACCACGCGCCACGGGATCCGACGTGCCGGTTCTAGACTCAGATAAACAACAACAATCACAAGAACAACAATCGCCTGCCCACCCCGAACCAACACAACAAGACACTACTCCCCAGTGTACACCTGCTGTCCCTGAAGATCCAGCGACGCGCAAACGCTTCATCCAAGAGGTATGTGCCATCCAAATCACCCCCATATAACCTACCCTACACATACCCCCCACCCATTCATACTTCATCCTCCATACTCTATGCTCCATCAATTCCATACCAACACCCCCCAGAAAGCCACCCTCCTCCGCACGCGCCTCCAAACCGCCATGCGCCACGTCCGCGACCCCCAATTCGATCGCCGCGTATCCGAACTCGAAGCCCACAGCCGCAAACACCCCCGCCTATCGCTCCCCTCCACCACGACCACCACCTACAACCGTGCCGACCAAACCACCCCCACGCAAACAAAAGCCCTCCCCAACGCCAACTTCACCTCCAACACCACCACCCCACGCCCCGCCCCCTCGCAGCCCCAACAAGTACAACAACCCACCATCACCGTCTCCGGCCTCTCCTCGCCGCCTCTCTCCGCCCCAGCGGCAGAAGACGACCCCATGAAGACCCCCACCCAGAAGAGCCACAACCACAACAGTAGCCAGAGGACAACCACCGGCTCGCCCATGCAGCTGAGCAGTCCGCCCGCGACGGTGTCCAGACGGCGGACTGTGGAGTTCGGGGCCCGGGAGGAACAAGAACACGACGACGAGGGGATGGAGATGGAGATGGAGAGAGAGGAAGACATGGAGATGGAGATGCAGGGGGACATGGACGAGGACGAGATGCAAATGTCGCAGCCCGAGAGACAACGGCGGTTATCGCAGAAAGGGGATGCCGTGGATGGGTTGCTCAAGTTGATGAAGACGGCCGATCAGCATACTGTGGAGAACTTGGAGGTTTGGAGTGGTTGATTTTGTCAACAAAGAAAAAAAAAAAAAAAAAAGGAGGATTATTGTTTTGTTTTTGCTATCTTGGTGGTTGGTTGGTTAGCGTGTTTGTTCTGGATTTGGTTTAGAATTGGTGCGGTAAGGTGATAATTGATGGCTTGGTTTGTCTACATATGGGGATGATATCGCGCTGCCGACTACTTGGATGGTTGGTTGGTGGCTGGCTGGCTGTCATACATGTCCGACCTACATACCTTAGGGAGGTACATACATGCATACATGCATACATACATACATACATACATACATACATACATAGGATCAGATTCATTGCCATTGCAATGTTAGATAGAGTCAATGATACCACTATTGTCTTGTTTGATAGGATACACCACACCACCATTGTATAGCAGATTCAACATCTAACGACTCAAACAAAATCATTATGTACAACTTATAACCATCCATCCATCTATGTATTCCATCTACCTCACCTTCTTCAACTTATTCCTCTTCCTGCCCAAGACATCCCTCCCCTCCTCAATTTCGCCCATGGCCTCCCTCTTCGCCTCACCCACCTCCTTCAACACGCCTGTCCTGACCACCCGTCCCTCAACACTCACGCCCTCCTCCGCAAACTCCTCCATCTGTCTCCCCACCCTCTCCTCAATCGCCAACACCAACCCCACATCCCTCTGCCCGACCAACGTCACCGCCTCACCCTCCCTCCCCGCACGCGCCGTTCGCCCAACCCGATGCACATAATCATCCGGATTCCGAGGGACATCGAAGTTCACCACCAGACCGACGGACGGGATATCCAGACCACGGGACGCGACGTCCGTGGCGACGAGCAGGCGTGCCGCCGACGCTCTGAACCGCGCCAGATTGGAGTTTCGCTCCGACTGCGGCAGCAGACTGTGCAGGGAGGTGACGCGATGATCCAGCCGACGGAGCATGCGTTCCAGGAGATCAGCGGTCTTGGTATGGTTGCAGAAGATGATGACAGGTTTTTTGGCGTTGGCTTCCGTGGAGAGCAGGACGTGCAGGAAGGCTTCGCGGTGGGTCATGGGGACTTTGAGGTAGGTTTGTTTGAGGGTCGGGGGGATGGAGCCGGTGTTTTCGCTGGAGATTTCGGTGACGAAGATGGGGGGTTTGGGGGAGTTGGAGGGCCGGGGGAGCGATTTCAGGGCGCGCACTTCCGGGGTGAGCGTTGCGGTGAAGAGGAGGGTCTGTCGCTCGCTGGAGGCGGGGAGCGCGCCGAGGCAGGTTTCGACGTCCGGGAGCATGCTGCCGGCTCCGGGGGAGAGGAGGCGATCGGCTTCGTCCAGGACGACCATTCGGATGCGCTTCAGGCCGGCGATCGTGTCGCTGCCGGACGTGTTGATGTGGTCGGCGAGACGGCCGGGGGTCGCGATCACAATGTGCGGTCGTTGTGAGAGTGCAATTGCTTGTGGACGCATGTCCGTGCCGCCGGTTATGAGGAGGGGTTTCATGCTCTGGGGCGCGGAGATGGCTTTCATTTGCTCGTAGATTTGGAGCGCGAGTTCTCTGTTGGGGGGGGTTAGATGGTTGTTGTCGTGAGAGGGGGAGTTTGGGCCTCGGGGGGGGGGGGAGGGGCATGTGTACCTGGTCGGGGTGAGGACGAGGCCAAAGATACCGAACGGATCCTCCGCCCACTTCTGCAGCATGGGCACGGCAAAAGCGATCGTTTTACCGGAACCGGTGCGGCTTCCTCCAATGCAGTCGCGGCCGTTGAGGATCTCCGGGATACAGGCCTTTTGAATGGCGGTTGGTTTGCGGACGGCCATGGTGGTGAGCGCGCCGATCAGCCACGGCGCCACCTTGAGAGATGTGAATGACGACTGGGCGTCCTGAAGCCCGATCTCCAGCGCATCTTTGATCAGGACCGGCTCGTCCTTCTCTGCCGCGGCGGGCTGCTCGTCCTTGGCTCCCTTCTTTTTGATACGGGAGAGGGTGGGGAGCGGCGCCGGCGCGACGTACGAGTCCGTGGAGGACTCCGAGAGACGTCTCCTCTTGGGCGTGCGGGTTTGCAGGTCGGTTTGTTCGACCTCCGAGTCGGAGGACGAGTGGTCTTGGACTTCGTCCACCGCGGGTTCCGGGGAAAGTGAGGGCGCCATGTTGCCTGGTTGATTGGAGTTGCTGATGTCGAATCGAATCTTCGCCGCGATTTTCTTCCAAATTTCGCGGCAGAAAAAGTTGACCGCGCGGAGGCGGTGAATGGGATACAACTAGCCGGAATGGGTTAGTCTGTTGGGACGATCTCCGCAGATCGGACAAATCAGGATTGAGGGTGTTGAACGTATCACAGGAGGACATACCATACTAGTAGTACTGCCTAACTACCACCTTGTCTATCACGAGTATACTCCTACAGCCGGAGCATTGTAGTCTCCAGTTGAAATACACGAGAAATAAGAATAAAGATAACGCTATCCATTAATATGTAAAGCAGGCATGATTAAAAGAAGGGGGGAAAAACTATCAACTACAATCTCTCCATTCCATGCTGAACTGCACCATAAAGACTGTAAGACTGTACAAGACCCCACCCAGTGCAAGGAATCAACCAATATCAATCAATGTCGAATAATCATGTTCCACTCAAGGCCCAGCCGCCAAAGTTCTCATCGTGATACCAAACCAAGGGAAAAACGCCGATTCATCAAATGCAAACGACATCCAACAACTATACACTCCAGGAGCCACGCCGCGGCGGCATGCCATCGAGACCAGCGTGGGGAATAAAGGATACGGGCATAGGCTCGAAGGTGAGCGTTTATGCGTCAAGAGCTGCGTGACGGAAGGTCTATATCATCAAGAAGTTACGAACGGTAGATACCTGTCGGGGAGCAAAGGGTTAGCTGGGTCACTCGTGCTGCTGGGTAGGTAGTAAGCAAGGAAGACTTACCGGGAAATGACTGCGGTGCTTGTCCGCCTCCCAGCCCACGGGGAAGCGGGATATGTGAGATCGAACTGGGTATATCGATCCTCCGGATGAGATCGACCATCTTCTCCGGCGAGAATCGCCCGGCGTTGTATGCCGAGGCCGACGGGATGATGCTCAGCAGATAGACGATGTCGCGGGGCAGGGGAGCAGGCGATCCCTGGGGCCGGAACTGGGAGTTCTGAGTCTGTTGCGTGCGTTTCTGATCCATCTGGCGTCGCTGCGTCGTTTTGAGAGGAGATTCTGCGCGGACGAACTTGCGCGGCCGGCCCATGTCATCGTCGAAGTCCTCCAGCTGCCGCTTGGGCGAGTTGGTCGCGGAGGCATCCTGGTATCTCGAAGTAGGGGTGTCATGACGGGACATCATTGGTTCCGTGGGGTATGCCATCTTGGGTCTGGTCTGAGAGGGGGAGATGATGGGTCGTACGGCGGTAGGGTCGAAATTAGGGATGGAGTAACGGTGGGCAAATTGCTCCAGGGTTGGGTCCTCAGGGAACAACTCGCGCATGCGGCTTTCGAGGTTGATCACCTGCACCAGGTCCCCGTACCGCGACTCGTACTCGTGAAGGAATGCAAAGATCGGCTTTGTCTTGTGGACATTCTCGGGGTTTGCTGCCAGCTTCCTCACGGTCATCTCGAACACGGCCCTCGCGTCTGAAGAGTTATTAGCATTGTTCACCAAGTCACAAGTTAAACCATCAACTTACTGATAACATCATTGATGTCAATGAGATGCTTCAGGTATTCCAGCGCGAAGTTTTCATCGTCAGGGAACAGCTTCGCACCGCGCTCAAAGATCTTGGTCGCGGCGGGGTCTTTATAGCAATGATATTCAATGAGAGCACTGGCTATATAGACATCACTCGTGATCCGACCCCTCTTGCGGGCATCCGCAAAGATCTGCCTTGACCCGGGCATCTCACCAGGCTTGCCTTTGCCCTGAATGCGGCGCATCGAGCGCATGAGGGCGATCCAGCCGAAGGAGACGGTCCTGGACAGGATCCCGATCTGAATCGCATGGGCATGCCGGACCGCTTCAATCTGGGCATTCTTGACAGAGTCCCGCGCCTTGCTTTCACTCTGATCATCGTCGTCATCCTCATTCTTGGCCGGTGGGTTGCTGGTGTTCATCTTCGCGAAGTTGCCCTCCAGATGAGCGACGTCCTGCGCCTCCCGGGTACGGGCCTTCGCAATCAAATCGTAGAGCGAATCCAGAAGCTTGTCGTAGGGTTCCCGAACCTTAGCGCCCCGTTTGACGGGGTCCTGCTCAGACTCTGTATTGAGTTCCAGCCAGTCAGCCAGCTTGAACGCAAGCAAGCAGCTTTCCGGGTTGGCGTCGATTCCGTGCTTCAGGAAATCGCTTCCTTCCGTCTCCATGTCGTTGTGCAAGCAGAACTCGGCCGCTTCAAACCACATCTCGGGAATGAATCTCAAGGCCATGAGAGCTTGTTTGTAGACGTAAACCACTCGCGTCTTGTAGGCGCCCATGTCCTCATCCTTCAAGACCAGCGGGTCACCCTTCTCCCATTTGACCCAGCGTTTCCAGGTCTCGACCTGCTGTAGGAACTCGATGTCACCGTCCGAACCGGGTACGGGAGGCAGCCGCGGCAATGACGTCCGGTTCAGGTCTCGTGTGATGTTCTGGAGTTCGGTGAAGGAGCTGCGGGCGGTCATATAGGCCGGCGATTGCTCCTGCAGGAACTTCCGCCCCTATTTGAAACAAAAAGGCAATGTTAGCAGAGCTCAAAAAAGGCGTCTTTCAGTACATACCGTCAGCTTGTTCAAGCCCATCTCAAACTGATCGTACTCCTTCCACAGAGTATTGACCGCCTGCGTCGGGACGCCGATCGCCCTTTGATAGACCTTGCGGAGGAGATCCATCTTTTGCTGGTCCTGCCATCCCGAGCCTCCCACGTTCCCGGGGCCGGAGCGGATGAACTGGACGTAATCCGACCAGATGGAGCCGGAGTCCTTGTCGATCCCAATGTGCGTGAGAGCCAGCTCGTAGGCTGACGAGATGATTCTCCTGGCTTGCCCCGTGGTGTCTGTGGTGAGGGGATTGCGGCGACGGACGTAGTCCAGGTAGACGGTCCAGAGTTGGACGTCGGCGATGGTCAGCAGAATGCGATTGAAGATCTGCTCCAGGCGGAAGAGCTCATTGAGCTCGGACTCCATGCTCGCGTACGCCACCCATTGCTCGGCCTGCACACAGTGAGTCCATCTTCTTTCTCCCGCCGAGACATGATGGGGCACTTACAGAAAAAGGGAAGACCCTCAGGAAACGCTCATACACGTCGCGGGCGTTATCAATCCTATTGCGACTTCTGTGCTCGTTAATCAACTCCAGCCAGGCGGGAATGTCACCTCGGGGGTCTTCCTGGATGCGGTCCTCCAGGATACCGACCCGGTCGTGAGGCAGCCGGCCTCTGGCGGCGGACGGGGACTCTGGCGTGGCCGTGGCCGCCTCCTGCGCACTGTCCGGCTGCTGGGGAGGCGCACTGTACAGATCCTGGCCCGAAGTCACAGACGCATCATTTTTAGAAGCAGCAGGGAGAGAACTATTAGGGACATTCTTCGTGCTGGCAGACACCTGCGCAGCTTCATCCACAGATACATCAGGGGTAGAAGTAGCTTCATTTGCATTGCCTGAAATGGGTTGCGAAGGTATAGTATTCATGTCTTCGACACCTAGTACAGCTGGTGGCTCATAATCTGCATCACCCGCATCATCCTCATCCTCATCCTCGACCACAAAGCCCCCGATTGTCCTGGTCTTTGGCGGCGCTGCGGCCCCGGTAGCGAGGCCCGACGCGGATGCCTGAGACTCAGCTCGTGAAGGTGATTGGGAAGGGGAGCCATCGCCAGCAGGCGGACTAGGGTCTGATTCAGGGGGAGGGGGGGCAGAGGTAGTGGTGTTGGTGTTGGTGGTGGTAGTGGTAGTGGCAGCGGCCGTGGTAGTAGCCTGTTCAGGGGGGTTGGAATCGGAAGGAGTCTCGGAAGGAAGGTTTTCAGTTTGCTTGGAGTCTGTGAAGGGAACAGAATACTGATCTGGCAGTGTGTTTGAAGGATCATAATCATCTGAATCTGAACTATCTGCACCCTGCTCTTCAACAGCCTTGTAGTCCACAGACTCCACATTCATCGCCTGTGCCTGGAAAAAGGCCTGCTCAGCATCATCTTCGGCCATGACCAAGGGATGAGGTGTCGCTTGCGACACCTGTGTTGACGAGGGGGGTGGGTATCAGGAGTCTGCGTCAATCTGAGTCTGCGCGAGTCGAGTCTTGTTAGCGTCGGGGGCTCTGTGCAGGGAGCCGCCGAATGCGTGACCGAGCGAACACTGCTGGAAGGAACTTGGGGGGGGGGGGATGACCGGTCGAGAGGGCGCGAAGGATGGAATGGGGGGGGGGGGGGGGGAGGTGAATAAATGTGGATGAGTGAGGTGGGAGAGAGAAGAAGAGGGGGGATGAGAGGGGAGGGACGAGGAGGGACGAGGAGGGACGAGAGTAGGGAACAAGGGAAAGGCCTTTGCAGTCAGTCGGCTGGCTCTGTCTGACTCTGACGAAGTCACGGAGCCTGCCTGCCTGGCGGACTGAGGCAGAAGCTGCGGCGGGCGGCACGGCGCACGTGATGTGTTACCAAGACGGAAGGCGGTGGGCAGCGGGCGCGAAAGATGCGTCTCGCACACGCGGCGCGTCGGCGATCGTTTCTCAGGCTCGCATGTTTTAATTGCCCCGTCGGTCTGTTTGTGGTTTGTGGTTGGCACCTGCTGGCCGCATCCCCTCCTCTCTCTCTCTCTCTCTCTCTCTCTCCTCTCTTCTCCGGTCTCCCCCTTCAGTCCAGACTTCTCCTTCCTTTCTCTTCTCAATACCCTCTCTGTCTTCTCCTCCCTACTGACTAGAGCTTCCTTTACCTACACCACCTCTACTTGACTCTACAACCCTCTACACCGTCTACTACTCTACACCCCGCACTACTTGGTTCGATACCTCCTTCATCGGCGTAACGCCCCCTCTACAACCATGTCCGTCGTCTCTCTCCTCGGGGTCAAAATCGTCAACAACCCGGCGTCTTTCCTCGACTCTTATCAATTCGAGATCACTTTTGAATGCCTGGAACAGCTCCAGAAGGGTAAGCTGAGCGTCATCTCCCAGCCAACCTCGCCAACGCTGACCGTCTGCCAGATCTGGAGTGGAAGCTCACCTACGTTGGTTCCGCCACATCGTAAGTTGAAACCGATCACCATAGCGACCAGAGATCTTCTGTACTGACCGACTCAGCTCCGAGTATGACCAGGAACTCGACTCCCTGCTAGTGGGGCCCATCCCCGTCGGGGTCAACAAGTTCATCTTCGAGGCCGACCCCCCGGACCTCAAGCGCATCCCCACGTCCGAGATCCTGGGCGTCACCGTGATCCTCCTCACCTGCAGCTACGATGGCCGCGAGTTTGTGCGCGTGGGATACTATGTCAACAACGAGTACGACTCGGAGGAGCTAACCCTCCAACCGCCCGCGAAGCCGATCATCGAGCGCATCCGCCGCAACATCCTGGCAGAGAAGCCCAGAGTCACCCGGTTTGCGATCAAGTGGTGAGTGCCTCGTACTACGCTTTATTTTTGTGTGTGATCTTGATGGGCTAACATGTGTCGTTGCTAGGGACTCGGAGGAATCTGCCCCCGCTGAATACCCGCCCGACCAGCCCGAGGCCGATCTGGTGGACGACAGTGCTACGTATGGTGCGGAGGAAACAGAACTCGAAGCTGCTCTTATCAAAGAGCTGCAGGAGTCCGAGCCCGCCAAGGGCGAAGATCACGACATGGAAGTCGAGGGCAACGATGGTCCTGCCCCGAAGGAGGAGGAAGAGGAGGACATCTCAGATGCGGAGAGTGAGGACATTGAGGACGAGAGTGACGACGACGAGGAGGAGCTTGATGAGGAGGACGGCGACGATGGCGACGAGGACGTCGAGATGGGCGATGACGCCGAACAGAAGGACAACAACAACCCCACGACCCAACATCAGCCGGAACTGATGGTCCACTAAACTGCCTCCACACGCTGGGATCTGGTTATCTTCTTCTCTTCTCTTCTCTTCTCTTCTCTTACTCTTTTGATCCATCCGTCGAATGATTTTATGATTGGGTTGCAACGTTTCATGACATATCATCTATCATATCTTCAGGCTTTGCAGTACTTAGTATATGGCATAGAACCAACATAATCAAACCGCTTGAATACCATCTCTCTCCATCCGTCCTCTTTCCCATGACTCCGTAACACCCATGTCCAGCCATTGCCATTAGGATGCAATAGTACGGAGTACTTACTACTACCTACCTTCCTACTGTTAGACAGACTAGGTACATTCCTCACCGTTCAAAACTGGAGAACGCAAGGACCTCCGATGCCATAGCAACTGCCTTATCCCTAACCGCGCACATCATCCCAACGCAAGGCCCAGCCAGACCGACCATCCACTACTCTACTCTGTACTCTGTACTAGTAGTGCTCATTTAAATAGTACTTACTGTTCACCTCAGTCTCCGTCACTTAGGTAGTTACTACGTAGTAATATCTTCCCGCTCCGCTCCTGCACTGCAGTGTAACTTGCACAACGCCACCGTCCATCCATCCATCCGTCCATCCATTCATTCCTTTACCAACATAAGCAATTAATCCCTTCCCTTCCTTTCACTGGGACTATTGCTTATTGCTATGGATATGTATGGTACTACGACCAGTCCACCATTAACAGTTCACTATTTCAAGTTCAAATTCAATGATCCAGCACTGCACTGCACGTCGCTAGGCTTTTGCTTTTACATTCATCGGTGGAGTTCCATTGCAGTAGCATTTCTGTTGTGTCCGTGGAGAGTAGATAGATGGTATACCGGTGGGCAGTCGATATAGTTGGTTGGTTGATTCGGGGTGGAATGGAAATTGGGAAGTGGGAATATGGAATAGGGAGGATGAAAGGGGGTGAGAATGGTGGGATATTATCATATAATATGGTGTAGCAATAGTACTAGGTGAGAATAGCTGAGGATAACTAGCTAAGAATAGGTATGTAGGTAGGTAAGTAGGTAGATAACAAAGTTAATTAACCGATTGTAACCCTTGCCTTTACCTTTACCTTTACCTGACTGGCCTTGATTACCTCCGAACCCCCCTGAACTTCTGCTCGGTGCCCATAGTAGTAGTAGTAGTAGTAGTAGTAGTAGGTATGGTAAGTGTCGACCACTCCGTACATAGTACTACTATATTTACAACAGCAACCTGCGGTGAACCCGTACCTACTTAGTAGGTAGCAAGTACTGAAAGCAAGGGAACTGCATTATTCGAGGGTTCGTGCGGAGTACAGTACATAATGCTGATTGTAGGTAAGTAAGTGTCTTGCTGGTGTCCAGGTGTTGTAAGTTGGTGAGTTGAGTTGAGTTGGTGGTGAATAGTATTAACTGAGGGATGGGGTTACTTAAGGGACGCTATATGTATATGTACTATACTTAGTAGTAGTTACTAGTATAGTATAATTAGTAGGTCAAGCTCCAACCACATAGCCCATACTACTACTACTACTACTACTACTACTACTACTACTACTACTACTACTACTACTACTACTACTACTACTACTACTACTACTACTACTACTACTACTACTATTATTAATTTCCATCTACGATAGGGAGTGATTGTCTAGTAGGGGATTTGGAAGACAAGTCGATTTCTGGGATACTATCTATGTAATAACCTAGGTTCAGTTCGTCAACATGGAATATCGAAATTGGATGGCATACACGGACGGACATATCTAGCTATAGTAAGAAAAAGACGACCATAATTCTTGAATTCATTCATGACATACCTAATAAACCAAATGCATAACAAACGAAGAAACCCGAAAGAGAAAGAAAGAAAGAAAAAAAAAACGCCAACCGATTCCGGGTATGTATAAGAACAAATGTTCTAATGACTTCCTTCTTCCTCTTCCCCAAGTCTCCCTACAACAGCACTCCATTCCTCCAACTACCCTCCCTACCTCGTAGTAATAGTCCCCTCAAATACCGAACTTCGAACCCAGCGCTGTATATCCAATTAGCCCACGTCAAGACCCAAGGAAAAGGTAATAAATAGTGATAGATGTATTACTCACCGCCAAGAACCGCCTTCTTCTTCTGATTCTGAACGAACTTATTCACGTCTTTCGCCCAGTTACTGCTGCTCTCCTCCAGCCGATCCATGTTATCGCCCGCGAAGCTGAGTTTCTCGGTGCGTTCCTGCACCTGCCGCTGCATGTAGGACCAGTAGCCTTCCTGGCTGCCTGACTGCGTGGATGAGGTGGTCGGGGTGCGGCCTTCGCGGAAAGCTCTCCGGCGCTCTTCGTCTTCCTGCCGCATCTGCTCCTGCATGCGCTTGGAGGGGGGCCGGTCGGGGCCGCCGACTTGAGGGTGGTGTGTTAGTTTATTGGATTGGTGGTAACGCAAAGGGGGGTGGCTTACTGAGAATGTCCATGTCCGCTGGGGAGATGTATTGGGTACCGGAGATCCACTGGATGTTGGTGATGGTAGGTCGCGGGGGAATGACTGCTTGTGGGTTGTAGAGCTGGTCTTCCGACGGTCGTCTGTAGGAACTGTTAGCTTTTGGCGAGGTGGGTGGAGTCTCGAGTGCTGCGTACAGTCCATGTCCCGTTCCCCAGACGCTGAACAGTCCCACTTCGGAAGGACTTGTCCAGACCAAGACGGTTCCATTGGAGGAGATGGTCGCATCCGAAAGACGTCTCATATCAGCGATCTGGTTGATCGGACGGGAGCCAATCTCTTTCAGACCGGGGATGGAGAAGGCACGGGTGTGTCCGTCGCCAAACAGCCCGACGAGACTGTAGCCACGGGCCTCAGTCTTGACCACCGCGGCCGAGTCGCACAGGTAATCGTCCCAGGACCGATGCGCGCCCTTGGAAGTCGCGGGCTTGAAGATCCGGCAGCCAGAAACAGTCACCGCAATGACGACGCCGTTCACACGATTCCCGTTCCGTAGGCCTCCGACCAGGTTGGGCGTGGCCAATGCGAGACTGCCGTCATCTGCGTTGACCGGGATGATGCTGATGACCTTGTCGTCCAGCATATTCGTACCGACAAACGTGGCCATGTATTTGCCATTCTCCGAAGGCAAGATCTTGAAAGTCGCCAGGTTTCCTCGGTTGGTGCCCACAAAGCAGCAGATGCTAGAGTAGTCTTCAAGAACGTCAGTTTACCCTTTGAAGCTTTCAGTCAACCGCTCTTACCTTCGCCTTCCAAACTTAGCACGCCAAACTCAATCTTGGTAGGCCATTCCGGGGCGGGAATCGAGGAGCTGCGTTTGTTAAAGATGCTGCTTCTCTTGTTTACCTTGAGCAGTTCTGAGAAATGAGCAGTGTGGATAATGGCAGGCCCGCGCAAATCAATGATCGCCAGACCACCACCCTCAAACCCAACTGCAACAAAGCCCACTTGACTGTGTTTCAAGGCAGTGACCGGGCCCTGCTGCATGTTCAGGAGCGTCAGTGGAAGAACACCCTTTTCTAGTCCAGGGTCGACCCTGTGGCTGATCTTGGTCAACTTCCCAGGCCCCTCATTGGCACCCGGAGGCTCCTCACGACCATAGCTTTGGTTGGTTCCCCAGCGGAAAACCACAAGCTCGCCGGTCTTCAGGCCGACGGAAAGCTCACCAGTCGAGCCGCCAAGCGACATCTCGGTCACTTCGATGTTGCCAACACGGCCAACAGCCCGAGCCAAATCCACTTGGACGACCTCGCCGTTCTCAATCTCGTCGTCGTTACCGGCATCCCAAATGCGAATGGTTCCATCCGCGTGGGCCGTTGTCAGGACATTGCGATCCTCGAACCGCTTGAGCGACTTGTTTGCCTCTGCACCTCCGAGCAAGAACTTGGGTCCCTGGGATCTGCGCTCCTTCAGGCCCAACCATGCAGAACGATCGACCGGAGTCAGGATAGCCTTGTTCACGAAAGGCTGCACAAACGAGAGATAGGGATGAACCATGTTGGTAGGCGTAATCGGGTGTCCACTGGGGAAACTCATCGTGATCACTTCTCCAGAAGACAGGAGGGCGATCAACGCAATAGGATCATGAGCTCCGCCATAGTAGGGAGTGCTGCGAGGGATAGCACAGAAGTCGACAACCTGCGCACCCGGGGGAGTAGGAAGGACAATGTTGCGTTTGGGGGACTCAAAATGCTTCGAGATGATCGCCCATGAAGAAGTCTGGTAGTTTGGTGACGGGCCCAGGTCGATGAAGGAGAGTCCCTTGGTGGTCTCAGCCTTGGGCCGGCCACCCGCAATCAACAGTCCACTATCATCACCATTGTCCTTGACACACCATACCACATTAGTGATCGGATCCTTCATCCCACTTGTACCCGGCGAAGGCGGTTGTTCGGGGCCTACACCCGGCTGATCAACATTGGGATTCTGAATCGACCTGGCCATAATCTTGCGACCATCCTTGGAATCCCAGAACACCAGGCTATTATCATCATGCACCGTCAACACGAATATGCCATTCGGATGCCAAAGAGCCCTAGTCAGCCGGGGTCTGCGCAAATCTGGCGACGGGACGTCACCATTACCCCCCAGTGCACCCGGCGGGACCTCATATTCGAAGTATTTCTGAGCCACGTTTTGCTTGAATGAAAACGTCACCGCACCTTCCGGATACCCGACCAAGATTTTACCGATATCACGAGGCGAAAAGCTGAGACTGACGACGGGACAGAGCCGGGCTCGGGGGTTGCGCTGAGCCCACAGGTTGGGCACTCGGAACGGGGTGAGGGTCTCACGGTCTAGATCGTAGGCAATGATATCGCCTGAGCGTCGTTAGCAACACGATCTCATCATCATCATCATCATCATCATCATCATCATCGTCCCAAACACCCGCGGCATCCGCCATCCCGCGCCCCAGTATTCATTCCCATACCATTTTGTAGCCCGATGAACGCATAATCAAGGCTGGGGTCCGTCAACAACGCGCTAGCATGGGTCGGAGGAGCGTAGGAGACCAGGGTCTGTCGGGTCGCGAGGGAGTAGATGGTGATTTCGCTCTTGGAGTCGACGCTGACCAGCTTGTCGGCACAGAACTGGATGAACTTGGCGGACGCCTTCCGGGGCAAGGCGAAAACGGCCGCCACCCGCCGTTGACCGAAGATGTAGATCTGACCCTGACCGAACTGGGTGTCACTGGTTCCGACGGCGAGGAGCGACTGCACGGGATCGTAGGCGATAGCGCTAATCTGGGAGTTGATGCCGCATCGTGCGAACTATAGGGCAAGCATGAAAGGCAAGTCAGTATGGTGGTGTTTAGCCCGAAGGAGCGGTAGGTTCGGTTGGATGCTGGGGAGGGGGGGCGTGAAGACGTACATCTTCCAGGTTGAATAGGTCCGGCGACAAGTTCTCGGAGAAGTCCTTCTGGATGCCGGCTTGCTTTCCCCGCAGGAAATGCGCCATTCTTGCGGGACGGGACGGGACGGAGGGATGGCCAGAAGGGAGCGGATAAGAAAGGGAGTTGGGGATGGACAAGGATAACAAGAACAAACACTCGGATTGGGGAGCGGTGACCCCAGGGGAGGAGGATGTTTGAGAGAGGATTGATCTCGATCTACTCCGCGGGAAGAAGAAAGGTTGACGCCATGAAGTGGAAGTGGCAGTGGAAGCGGAAGCGGAAGCGGTTGGTGTTGGCCTGATTTGCAGGGCGGCCGATCTGCCCCGCTCGGGCTGGGTTGGTGGTCCCTCTAGGATCCTCCTCCCTTGCGCCCTCGTATTGGGACGACTTTCTACCATTTCAGTGACATCAAAGGGTCTGGTCTGGCACACTACTACCTACTCTACCCACTACTCCGTACACAGTGAGCACATATCCCTGCCAGTTGCCCTCAGCTTACTACGCTTTGTACTACTTCCCCTCCCCCCTCCCCCCTCCCCCCAAAGCTTCAGGATCTTCTCCCCTTGTCGCCAAGAACCCTACAGCCAGTGGATATCAGCTGCTCCTAGGCAGCAACGATTTTCATGGGCTTGCCAAGATCGCATTTCTTTCACGCACGCATGGCACCGGCACTCCATCGAGGACCGCCCGGCGCTAGCTAGACATACATCATCGAACGGATACGATCGCCCAGTCCGAAGCTTCCAGTACGTCGGACTGCATGATGGCACGCGAGACCTTGGGGATGGACTAATCGATAGTCCGGTTGGGGCTATGTTCCTGACATATCAATCGGAGTGTCAACCTCTCGCCTCCCAGGAAGGTGTTGCGCCCAAATGTTCCACCTTCAGTCCCCGCGGATCGTAGCCATCTCTGCGAGTACAGACGTTAGCTGCCTCCTGGCGTCCATCTCGGTGGTCATCCCCTGGTCACGGTAGTAATGGATCGTGACTTTGTGAACAGAGCGGTAGCAGGCATATCTGGGGGTTGGTGATTAGCTTCATCCACGTCAACCGTTCGCCCGGGGGTGTTTGGTGATTACGCACAATAGCTGCCGGGCCACATGGGACCTGCCTTCCGTCAATCGTGAGCCAAAGCCTTCCAGCACAGCCGGGGACGGCTCCCCAAAAATTTCCGCCATCTGAACATCCCCCCAGAGGGCATACTCCAGCCCGATGAGCCCGGACAGTTGCTTAGACTCGGGATTAAGGAGCACCTGCGACGGTTGACCCAAGCCAACAACTACGAGCCGCGGCGACGTCACTTCCTCAAGTGCAGGTGACAACCGGCGAACTTGGTGTCGGATTTCAGCATAGGGAAGATGGACAAAGGCGTCCTCCGAATCTCGAAGAATGCCTTCTAACAGCGTCACGAACGCCTCCCGCCAGGATCGTTTGCCAGACCCGCAGGCTACCTGTTCCAGGGACCCAAAGGAGTCAGAAGCATGTTGTCCGATCCTGTAAGCTAATGACCCCAGAGCTCGGTCGATCCCGTCCCGGTCCTGGATAGTAAGCCGGGGCTCCATCTCCTGTAACGTGGAACCGGTAACATAGTGCCGCATGAGGAAGGCCGACCCCATCGAGCCTCCCTGGAGACCATAGTGAACAAAGGAGGGGATGTATGGGGTTTCACTTTGCTTCAGGATGGAAAGGGCGCGAGCCTCAGTCTCCAGCAACAGCTGCTCCCGCCGCAAGAGGGGGGTCGTTGGCCCCGGGGAGCACTTCAGGAGTAGTTGATCGCCATTCGATAACACGATCCGATTGATGGAATGTAGATGGCCCCGTAAGGAGTAGACCCCTTTGACCTGCACCGAGGGAGAGAAGTGTCGCTGAAGGACCGCACCAATGGGGTCAGAGGGTTGGGGGTCGGGAGGTGATAGAAACGGCATGACGAGAGAACAGTCGGTGGTCGAGGGAGAGCCCACGTTTGCACAATCGCCGGACATGGTGAATGATCAGACGGTGGAAGAGCCAGGAATATAAGCCTTTTCCGCTCGCGCGAACATGGCAGCCTCGAGAAGGGGCCCGAGGGGAGTCAGGGACAGGGTCAAGCAAGAACGAAACTCTCTCTTCTCTCGCTCTCTCTCTCTCTCTCCCTCCCCGGGTATAGCGAGCCCATGGAACCTGGACCTAGCCTGGGGCATAAAGTACCTACTAGTAGGTAGGCGCGATGCAAGTCACTCGCCCCGAAACCAATGAAGGCGGATTGCATTGTTCGACCCAGCAAACCGAACTAACTGGTCGCAATCGTGTCTTCGTTTTCGGGGGGTCAGATGATTTGAGTAAAGGATGCAGCGAACGGCGAAGATGTAATATGGAGCATATGCCTGATGTGATGACATTAAGCGAAGGGGCGGGCCCCATAAGGATATCCGGGGACGGGGAGGGGGGGAAGGGAGGGGGCGGCATTGTCAAATCTTGACCGAAGAGGGAGATCTCCGTCCGAGATCTCCACAGTCGCCAGTGCCAGACTTGCCAGTGCCCAAGCGGGGAGGAGCTGGTTTGCGTTTGCTGGTTGAGGGAGCCCGATGAGATCAATCCGAGTTCGTCTCGGAACTGCGGGCTCGCCTAAGGCTCCCGCTCTGAGAAAGGCGCCATGCAGGTGAAACCGCACCGGTCCAATCGGATGCCCCTGTTACCGAAGACAATGACTCGGAGTCTGAGACCTTGGAGACGCTTAATGCCTGCTATTATAGGTTCAAGCCTTCAAGGTCTCGATAGATATTTACGTAGGTACGGAGTGGGCAGTATAGTAGGCTGTAGGCTGTAGGCTGTAGGCGGCCGTCGCTACACCTGCCTCAGTCGTCCGTCCAGTCTCCGCCATCCGCCGAACTAACATCAAAGTGCTAGGTCAAGGAAGGTTTGGAACATCCTTGTTCTGACACCCCTCTTTCATCCATCCGGACGGTCATGTTGAAAATAGTAAGCACTCTGGTCGGTCATCTCCGGTCCAAAACTTTACATCTGCATAAAAATGCTCTAGAACCTATGTGGCTCTCAGCCCGGATGGTAGCCGCGAGGGTCCCACGAACTCTATATACACAACTTTTCTTGCTTTTTGTCGCCGGAAAGCGCGGGGGGAGGGGGGGGGGATCCAGCCACATGTCAGGTCCAAATCAAGAAATGAAGATATTTTCAAAGCTAGGTATCTAGTCAGGCATATGTTTAAGATTCTGTGGGCTCGATAGTGGGCTCGACAGTGGGCTCGACAGTAGGCTCGGTGGTAGCGACAGTAGGCTCGACAGTAGTAGGCTCGGCTGCAGGCTTGACTGCAGGCTCGGGTGCCGGTGCCGGCGCCGGCGCCGGTGTGGGATTGTATAGCTCAGCCAAGTTGTACCCCTTCAGACGGTCATAGTCGCTCCCGGCAACACTAATGCTGATGATGTTCTGCGAGTTTGCTGTCAGTACTAAAGGATGCAAGGACCCAGCAGCGACGGAATCTCACCTGGATGACAACGACAAGGATGATCAGGTCGTAGTTCTTCAGATCAACCGGATGTTCGGGCCCGACGACACCCGCAATAGTCTTGATGACGAAGTCCCTGTTGAACTTCTTGTTACTCCTCACCATGGGTCGGATGGCATACTGGACCGATCTTGTTAGCAGATGCCCACGACGTCGTCCCTCTCCCACTCCGAATCAAGACTAACCTTTTTCGGGGGCCCTCCAGAATGGAAGTGAGGCTTGAGGATCTCCCGCGCAAAAGCTTCTAGGTCGACGCTAAGAGTCTTTCGAACGGATCTTGCAGGGGTCATGCGCTGAATCCATCGGGATCGTTTCTTATCTGGGTTGGCAGCAGCCTCGGTGCAAAGTTGATACACCAATTTCTCGGGGTCGATGGACTTGTCGAATCGTATGAATGAGACTGCAGAAGATTAGCATCGGTAGAACGTAGATCTTGCATGAGAGAGAAGGTGCCCACGCACGACAGGGGAGATCCATCCGGATAGCACGAAACGGACGGGACTTGCCCGCGCTGGGCTTCAGCCCCTCCACCTCCCTTCTGATTTGAGCCTCGATGTCCTCGTCATCGTCATCTGAGTTGGACTTGTCATCGTGGTCATCACCGTCGGTGGATTCCACGCTCTAAGCAGCAGCATATGTCAGAGGGATGAAAACCACACACCACACACACTCGACAAGACAGTAGATGATGGTTATGCTGAGGATTGCATTCACTGTACCAACCTGAGAGAAAAGATCCACTGCCTCTGGCATGCACTTTCCTTCTTTTCCCATATCGCAGGAAACAAACACTCCCCAATCACCGCCCTCGATGTTGCCTTTGCCTTGTTGTTTGTGCCATTGGCTGCCACCCTGTATCACAATGAGACAACTATCCGCAAGGTGGTAAGAGAAATCGATGGGGTGATGCTTGGGGGGGGGAGGGGGGCAAGCATCATTCCAGCATCTCAGGGGGAGAAGGAGCGAACCTTTCTCTTCTTCGCGGGCCCAACGGATGAATTACTAGGCATGGTTCTCTTCCCCGATCCGGCCATGGGCAGGAATTCAATGCGTGGGATGAGACGACGACGACAATACGGTGTCTGTCGGTGTCTGTCGGGATCTGTCGGGATCGGATCACTTGGGCGGCAGACTAGTATTCCAGACAGATCAAGGCATGCACGTCTGACTCGGGAGAGGAGAGAGCGGGCCTTGAAGTTCTAGATGCGCTACAGGGTGACACGCGCAGGACGAAAGAACCGGAAAGGCAAGGCGTGGAGGGGTTTAAAATTCCACATGAGGACTAGCGGGGCGGCCGGGAATCGCCCATCATCCCACCGGGTGGAGTGATTGGCGTGAATGCCATGGACTGTCACTGAACACTGGCCCTTTCGGCCGGAGCGTCCCTTGATTGCGTGGACATCTACAAAGTATCTACTAAACTACTCCGTACGGAGTAGTACACAGAAGATCAACCGTTTTGCGGCACCTTTTTCCCAGGGTTCCCGATATAGCTTATTTGGTCCGGCAAATCCATCGAACCACCCCCTTCTGCTATCATTGCCCGGAGAACTCTTGTCCGCAATTCAATCACCGAAGGCGATTCTATCCAGTAGGGTTGGTCTCTGTAATCTCAAGTCCACCCCATTCTCATTCACTCAAGCATGCGATTGCAAGGTGAGGGGTGAGGTGAGGTGGTGGTGGTTGTATGGTAACTGCCTGTATCCCCAACGGCGCGCAAATGACATCACGCCTTCATGACGTACGGCCACAACTGGGTCTCTGTCTTCCGGTTGTCGCACTCGCGGCGCCTATTTATAACCTTCCCCTCTTCACCTGGTGTAAACATTCCCATTTCCTCTCTCCCAAGTTCACCCTGCTTTTTACCACTACCAGCTTACCTGGAATCCAACTCACTCTACCTCCTATTACCTGAACTGTCGTGATGGCGAACGTTGACATCGCTACGCGGGAGCTTCGGAAGCCCATCACTGTCTCCGAGTACCTCTTCCGTCGCCTGTACGAGGTCGGCGTTCGCTCGGTGCACGGTGTCCCCGGTGAGCGCGTCTTGGACGATGACTGGCTTATGGCCACTCCTGCTAATTCCTGTGGATTGGACTAGGCGACTACAACCTTGCTGCTTTGGATTACTTGCCCAAGTGCGGTCTCCACTGGGTAGGGAACTGCAACGAACTCAATGCCGGTATGCCTCAACCCTTTGCGAGCAATTGACCCCCCCTTCCCCCCCGGATTGGAAGGAGTCATGGGTGTCTGACGCGGGAAACTACAGGTTACGCCGCAGATGGATATGCGCGTGTCAATGGCATGGGTGCCCTGATCACTACCTTCGGTGTAGGAGAGCTGTCGGCGCTCAATGCCATCGCCGGTGCATACTCGGAGTTCGTGCCTATCGTTCATATTGTTGGCCAGCCCAACACCAAGTCGCAGAAGGACGGAATGCTGCTGCACCACACCCTGGGAAATGGCGACTTCAATGTCTTTGCGAAAATGAGCGCAGGCATCTCCTGCACCCTTGGACAGCTCAATGACACTCTCCAGGCGGCGACGCTCATCGACAATGCCATCCGCGAATGCTGGGTCCGCAGTCGACCGGTCTATATCAGCCTGCCCACGGACATGATCACGCAGCAGATCGAGGGAGACCGACTTGACAAGCCCCTGGATCTCTCGCTGCCGCCCAATGACCCCGAGAAAGAAGACTACGTGGTGGATGTCGTTTTGAAATATCTGCATGCCGCAAAGAAGCCCGTCATCCTCGTTGATGCGTGTGCGATCCGCCATCGGGCGCTTGATGAGGTTCACGATTTGATGGAGGTTTCCGGACTGCCCACTTTCGTGGCCCCGATGGGCAAAGGAGCTGTGGATGAGACCCGTCCGAACTACGGAGGCGTGTATGCAGGAACTGGATCGAATGCTGGTGTTCGCGAGCAAGTCGAGTCGTCGGATTTGATTCTGAGCATCGGTGCTATCAAATCTGATTTCAACACGAGCGGGTTCTCGTACCATATTGGACAGCTCAACACCATCGACTTCCACAGCACTTTCGTGCGCGTGAGATACTCCGAATACCCGGATATCAACATGAAGGGCGTTCTGCGAAAGGTTGTCCAGAAGATGGGTAAGGTCAACGCCGAGCCAGTCCCGCATCTCTCGAACGCGCTCTCCGAGAACGAGAAGACTTCAAGCAACCAGGAAATCACCCACGACTGGCTTTGGCCGAATGTTGGACAATGGCTGAAGGAGGACGATGTTGTCATCACCGAAACCGGTACTGCAAACTTCGGCATCTGGGAAACCCGGTTCCCGGCGAACGTCACGGCCATCAGCCAGGTCCTTTGGGGCAGTATCGGCTACTCGGTTGGAGCCTGTCAGGGTGCCGCACTGGCAGCAAAGGAGCTGGGCAAGCATCGGACCGTCCTGTTTGTCGGCGATGGAAGTCTTCAACTCACCGTGCAGGAGCTGAGCACCATGATCAAGAACGAGCTCAACCCCATTATGTAAGTCATCTCTGCTGTCACTGTCATCGCGGACGGGTGCTGACGTTGACGAAGCTTTGCAATCTGCAACAACGGATACACCATCGAGCGATACATCCACGGATGGGATGAGAGCTACAACGACATCCAGCCATGGGATATCAAGGCCCTTCCCACCGTCTTCGGAGCCAAGGACAAGTACAAGGGCTACAAGGTGACCACGAGAAATGAGCTCCTGGAACTCTTTGCCAACGAGGAATTCGCCTCGGCGCCATGCTTGCAGGTAAGACAAAAGTTCCCTTCCCTTCCCTTGAAATAGCATCCAGCAGCGCTGACCAAGACAACCCAGTTGGTGGAACTTCACATGCCTCGTGATGATGCCCCGGCCGCTTTGAAGATCACCGCTGAGGCGGCGGCCACTCGCAACAAGTAATGAGGGTGGTATCTGATGCATTTCGATTGTAACTCCCTGCAGGAGCGCAGACGTCACTCTCAGAAGTGGTCTGGATGGAGATAATGACGTGTAATGATTCCAAATAATAATACCGAATATGATCATGTGTCACAATCTTTGTGTCTTCAGCCTCAATGGGCGTTGCGGAGACAGCGCGTATATCAAACCTATCCTATGCTGTTTAAACACTCCTCACTGCGTACTCTTGCTTACCCTGGCATACTCCGTAACGCAATCCTTCCAAGGAGACAACATTGTCACATGTAGTCCGTTTTCTGATCAGGGGAGAATGGGAATCGCTAGCTCAAAGGGGGACGAATTCGAAAGCAAAGCGATAGAGGACGCCAGGGATACGTAGGGACGTACGTATGTCGGGCCCGGATGGCTTCAATAGAGCGGGCGAGAAGACGATGGTACCGGGTACTTCCGTATCCTCGGGTGGGGTATATAAGGGACTAAGGTAGGAGGAGTACAGGGTACCGCCAAGCCAGGGACTCGGACTGCTTGGACTGCTTGGACTGTTTTTATCGGGGGCAGGCACCACGTGATCGGGCGGGACGTTAAGGCGCCAAGGCGGCCAGCGCATCAAAGCTCTTCCCTCGTTTGGGGGACGGATTAAATCATAAACCAGATTTGGAATAATACGATTTTGCCAGACTGCCAGACTGCCAGTCTTGCCAGTCTTGCCAGTCTTGCCAGTCTTCCAGTGAACCCCATAATTAATTAATCTATCGCGGTGGGCTGCTAATTTACGACCGACCGCGACCAATCTAGCGACGGGTCTACTGGTATGTTTTAGCTTCCCGTCGAGCCTTCCGCGGCTGCTTCCCCTTCCACTAGGGACTCTCTAGGGGACAGCCTGCCCACTACTCTATCAGGGGTTGATTACTGCAATTTTCCAGGAGATTGGGCTGACATCCGAGATCCATCTCGCTATCTTAGACTTAGACACGCCCAGAGACCCCCTCCGTCCCCCTCCGATCCTGCGCTCCTTTCCCGTATCTATCTGCAGCGCGACTGCGTGTGACATCTCCAGCCTCCCCCGATCACTTGGATGCCCGCCGATGGCTGCAGTCTGCACCCTCCGATCCTGCTTACTACCTCCTCCTCCTGTCGCCCGCGCCGATTGCGAGGCTACTACTATCTGTGCCTGATCAACGTGCTTTGAGAATAATCCTCTCCCTCGGCCTCTCCGTACCACCAGAGCCCATCTCCTGCCGCCGCCCGCGTCTTCGCAGCACCGAGAATGCGAAATCTCCTGGCCTTCTAAGCGTCCATGGTCTATATCCCCCCACAGAAGGGACGTGCTTGATTGCGCACGCAGTGAGGTATATAAGGGCAGATTCTTCTCGCCCCCCTCTCCCCACGGCGACCGTTTGTCTGTTTACCTCCTCGTGTCACCTTACACCACTTGCTTGGAGACATCGCAGACATCGCCAACATGGACGGTCAGCGGCCGCAGCAATACATACCGGTACCCCGCCTTCCTCGGCGACACAATCCTCGCAATCGCACATCATGCCTTTACCGCCGCCGCCGCCCCGATACGCCCCGACGCAATCCCAAGGCGTCATGCTTCCTCCTCCCCCTGGACCACCTCCAGGAACCGCATACGGTGCTCCGAAGCTCACCAACCCTCAACTCCAACATCAGAATACCCTTGGGTGGCAACAACAGAGCTGGGCGCGGCAGGCACTGTCTCAAGGGTACCTTCCGCCTCCTCCGCCTCCTCCCATGGTCCCTACAAACCAATCCCCGTACGGCCGTCCGGCGGCTCTGTCGATTCCCTCTGCCGAGTCTCGAACATCTGCAACCTATGTGCCGCAGCCGGGTACCTTTGGGCCGGGGGTTGGGATACCTCCGTTCGACGTACATGCCCCTCCGATGTACGAAAATATGGGGACCATGCAGTCCAGTGACAGACAACGGCTCGCGTCTGCGCAAGCCTATGAATATCCTACCACAGACTCGTCCACATATAAACGGGATGCGAACATTCCTCCTACGCCATCGGGTCGCACTCTCCCTTCCTCGCTAGCCGTCAATGACGGTGCTCATGACATAGCCTCAGCGGGCTATTCCGCAAGCGCTCAAAATGCAGTCCAACAGATCACGGCGCAGCCTGCCGAACTCACAAAATCTCCCAGCCATCGACATAATAATAGCACCTTGCTGGGCGGTATGTCGCCCAGCGAGGCTGCAGTTCAGTGGCCCCTCGATCGCGTCCAAATGTGGCTTGCAAACAACGGGTTTTCCAAAGACTGGCAAGAGACATTCGGAGCCCTGGAAATTGAGGGGGCGGACTTCCTTGAGCTCGGACACGGGTTCAATGGTCGGCCAAACCTGGGGAAAATGCACAACGTTGTGTACCCCCAGCTTGCGAAAGCATGTGAGGCAAGTGGCACTGGCTGGGACCCCATCCGGGAACGAGAAGAGGGGAAGCGCATGCGCAGGTTGATCCGCCAGATCCATGATGACGGGAGCTATGATGCCGAGATAGCTATCCAGAAGCGTCGCGACTCCCACCCGAACAGCGCTCCCGAGGCCGGGCCCGAAGCTTCACCGAAATTCACATACGAGCCCCGATCTGCAGGCCCAAGCTCAGGAAATGTCGCGAACAGCCCCAACCTCAAAGCACCCCAGCCGGCCTTCAGTCAAAGGCAGAGCATGCAGATGCGTTCCTTCACAGCGCCTATGTCCATGAACCACGACCATGCGCCCTCTGAGTTTACTGCCAATGATGGCAGTACAATGTGGCCTCGATCCGACTATTCGCGAGCCGTTTTGTCTACCATCGGCGGTGACCATCAAAGGCAGAGCCCCTCGGTTTCCAGTGAGGGCGGGACCTTCCAGGCCCCCATCCGGCAGTATGAAGACAGTCCAAAGAGTGGTAGTCCGGCTCTGCAGCATGCTCTTCTTGCGCAAATGGACCCTTCGTCGTCCGCGGGTGATTTGGGAGTCAAGCTCGAGCACTCGCGTGGCAACAGCTCCGATTCCACCACAGGGCGCCGATACTATGAGTCCATTAAGCAAGACGGAGCGCGCCCTTCGCCACAGGAATTCTACAACCGCCAACCCGGGGGAGAAACCCCCTCCTCCTACCCAAAGGACCACCGTACGGGGCTTTTGAACTTTTTCAAGAAGCGAACCAGAACGGGTGATTCGAACCACCCGTCTCCCGAGGAGCAATTTTTGGAATCTCCCACAAGTCCAGTGAACACGCGCCAGAACGGTTCCCACCTCCCTTACGCGAGGGCAGCCTTCAATGCCAGCGACATGTCGTTGGGTGAGCGCCCATCCTCTTCGTCCATGTCCGATCATGAACGTTTGACATTGCGGGCGAAACCAGCGCCGAAGGGCAAGAAATGGTCCTTCGTAACCTTGGATGGTTGGAACTTTCGCTTGGTGGACATAACCGAAATGGACTCGGTGGAAACACTGCGCTCTGCCATATGCCAAAGTCTTGGGATTGCGGACTGGACAGGCGCGCAAATTTTCCTGACGGAGCCTGGTCAGACTGAACATGACGAGGCGCTGAACGACACTAGTCTGGCCCTCTGCCGGAGAACGAAGTCGGATTCTGTTGGTTCGTTGAAGTTGTTCGTACGGGGCTCACACATGCATTTTGGTGCCACCAGCTCCTCTCACTTTGCCGGTCTGGGTGTTTCGATTCCTGACAAGAGCACTGCCTCGCCGACGTCCGCTCATCATGTACACAGGAAGCCACTGGACGATGAAGCGCTTAGCAGGATCTCGCCCCACAACCCAGCTAAGCCCACATCTCCCCAGGTTACTTCGCGACCGCAGCTGAAGGCTCCTGCTGCTAAACTCCCCCCACGGGAAATCTCACAGACTTCCCTCGGAGCATCCCCCGTGGATGGCACCGTGGAAGCAGGACTTCCTGCTAATGCAGAAAAGGCAGACTTGCTAGCTCGTCACGAAGAGCATTTGCGGGAGGTTGAACGGAAGCAACGGGCGTATCGCATCTCGAAGGTTCCGCCTATGTCACAGCCAAGAAAGGACGCGTATGGCGAAACCGGTTATAGGCGCGAAGGGGTGATTGACTTCGATTCTCCCCGTATATCGCCTTACGAAGACAAGAAGTCCGAAACATTGGTGCCACTTCGCAAACCCCCAACAGCACCTCACGAGTCAAGCACACTCACAAAGGTCAATTCATTGCGAAGGAGAGACAGCGACCGTCCTCGTGTTCAGCCTACAGCAACCCAAACTCACGGCCTGGGAGCCGTGTTGGCTAGCGTGGGTAGAATGACCAGCGCCATTGGAACGCCGGCTCCGTCGGTACCGGCGGCCTCGCCTGGTCAGGAACAGATGGAACCCTCACCATCGACTACGGAGCAGGACAATCAAACTACCCCAACGGTGCATTCCAGCCAGTCTTCCGCAAACGGTTCCTCTGCAACCCCTCAAGAGCCTAAACCAACCCTCCAATCTCGCAAGTCATTTGGGCCCGAGTTCGATTTTGAGGAGACCAAGGTTTCCTTCCAACGCTCCCCGGTGCCCCAGGATGACTCCGATGACGATTCGGATGATGGTCTCTTCGCCATTCCCTTGGTAAATACTAAGACCCCGGTCAAAGAAAAGCCACCGATGAGCCTCTCACCAGAGTCGCAAAGGAGGGCCGGGAAGCCGTCCCTTACTTTGAATACGGAAAACAGGCTGCGAAAGGGACTTTCCGTTAGCTTTAGGTCCCCGAGCGCTACACGCGAGACTTTTGCCAGCTCTGGTGGGGAAGGGCACGCCAGGAACGGGTCCTTCCTTGACATGACAACTTCCCCTGAGGAAGAGAGGCCGCCTCGCAGGGATTCGTTTGCCAGAGGCGATGTGTGGGCAAGCAGACCCCCCGTGGAGGGCGTCATTGACCACCTGGACGACTTCTTCCCTGATATCGACCTTGACACACCTTACTTGGAGGGGCAGGGAATGGGCATGTCGCCTCCCTCCTCGCCAGCAAGTAAGGTTGCGGCTGAGAACGATGTAGTCCATAAACAAAAGCCGGAGGGTCTGCCGTACACCACGCCACACCCCACTCCCCCGGGTGACAATAATGTCGGCTCTAGCGAGCCAACCATGAAGCCCCAAGAACCAGGCGTCGTTGCCCGCCGCAACATCAGCCGCTCCGGGGGCGGACTCACGCGAATGAAGTCCATTCGAGAAGTGGCAAAGGGTGCCAACCAGGCCAGTAGAAATCGGAGTGTGCATTCTTCCACTGGCAACCCGAGGTCGGGAGATATTCTGCGTCGCAAGAGCACGAAGATGTTTGGCGCAAAGATTATGCAAATCAGTCCGAAGCGTGGCAGCCGCTTGAGCCAGCTTGATCCTATCCCTCAGAACCAGGCCCCCCCAGGGAATATACCCCAGAGACAACCCACTTTCCGCATCATCCGCGGTCAGCTTATCGGCAAGGGAACTTATGGCCGAGTGTACCTGGGCATGAACGCTGACAATGGTGAGGTCTTGGCTGTGAAACAGGTGGAGATCAACCCTCGGATTGCCGGGACAGATACAGACCGCATCAAGGAGATGGTTGCGGCCATGGACCAGGAAATCGACACCATGCAACATCTCGAGCATCCCAACATTGTACAGTATCTGGGTTGCGAACGAGGCGATCTGTCCATTTCGATCTACCTCGAATATATTTCTGGTGGCTCCATTGGCAGTTGTCTTCGCAAGCATGGCAAGTTTGAGGAGAGCGTCGTGAAGTCGCTCACGCACCAGACTCTGGGAGGGTTGGCGTACCTTCACGATCAGGGGATTCTGCATCGTGATCTGAAGGCAGACAACATCCTCTTGGATCTGGATGGCACTTGCAAGATCTCCGATTTCGGTATCTCCAAGAAGACGGACAACATCTACGGAAATGATTCGACCAACTCCATGCAGGGCTCCGTCTTCTGGATGGCGCCGGAGGTCATCCAGTCCCAGGGACAGGGCTACAGTGCCAAGGTGGACATCTGGTCTCTCGGATGTGTGGTGCTGGAGATGTTTGCTGGCCGTCGGCCGTGGAGCAAGGAAGAAGCAATCGGGGCCATCTTCAAACTCGGCAGTCTGAGTCAAGCCCCTCCCATTCCTGAAGATGTTTCCATGAACATCAGCCCAGCAGCACTCGCCTTTATGTACGATTGCTTCACAGTGTATGTTACCTCCCCCTTCCTTTTCGAAATCTTTGACAATACTAACCCACTCCCCAGGGACTCGCTCGATCGCCCCACAGCCGAGACCCTACTCACCCGCCATCCCTTCTGTGAACCCGACCCCAAGTACAACTTCCTGGATACCGAGCTCTACGCCAAGATCCGCCACGTCCTCTAAGACCAAGACCCAGATTTCGTCAATAACAAAAGCTTCAAGCGTCTCTATCTTCCAGCGTTTCGGCCATGCATTTGTTCTCTCTTCCCCTGCATCATACCCAGCTCACGCAGCATTTCGCATTCGGTGTGCATAGTTTGTTCGTCGACGTTTGGTTGGGATTCCCTACTTGAATTGAATATGGCAATCTGGATATTCTTAGTTTTGCTTGCTTTGCTTTGCATCGTGTTTTGTTTATGAGACGTGATGAATGTCATGCTCTCCCCCCCCCCCCCTCTCTCTATCCTTCTCTTGCTACTGCTATGAAGATTCGCTACTTTGTATATACATTGGAAGAAGAATAAAATATATCTACCGCTCTTCATCATCATGATCATCACCAGACCTTCCATCCCTCCCTTCACAGGAGTAAAAACAGAAAAAAACGTAACGAAAAAAAATCCCCCGATCTAAGACTCCGGACTCGCACCCCGACTCATAGCATCATCATCACCATCACCACCACCACCACCCCCCTGACCAGAACTAGACCTAACGAACCCCACGCGAAAAATGCCCTCACACCACTCTGCGAACGTATCCACATCCCACACGGTATCCTCCCTCCCCTTGCCCTTCCTACTAACACTAACCGGATTCCCCTTACTTCTCTCAACAGAAGTATACATATCAAAGAAATCCTCATAAACCTGAATGACGCGATCCTGCACCGCGCCCACCAGCGTCTCCCTCATCCGTCCATCATCCAGATACAGTCCCAACACCCTCCTCAACTCGGGGACCTCCTTCTCGATATTCGCGCACATCGGAAACACAACCGCCCCCTCTCGCTGGTGCTGGTGCTGATTGCCCAGCGTCCGCACATCGACGAATTTAGCGGGTAAGGAGGCGGTCATCCGCGTCGCGAAACCATTGATGAAGTCGTTGATGACGGTGCGGAGACGCCCGTCGAGCTCCACTTTCGCGTCGAGCATGTTCTCCACGACCCGCGGGAGGAGGCCGTGGCCGACCAGCAGCATCAGGTTGCGGGGGTTGAAGAGGCCGCCGCGTTCGCGCAGTTCCCAGAAGGTGTTGGTTAGGCTGGAGAAGTCGAAGGAGACTTCTGGGGCGACGTATTCGATGTCGAAGGCGACGATTTGTTGTTTGAGGATGAGGAGGTGGCTCATTAGGAAGAGTTGGGCGTCGGTGGTGGATTTCGGTGCTAGGAGGGTGCTGGCGTGGTGCAGGGAGGTCGTGGTTTGGTGGACGATTTGGTGGGCGAGGTCGTCGAAGACGGTGGACTATATGTATTCGGGTTGGGGTTAGTGGTGTGGGTTTGTTTTGGGGAGGGATTGGGGGAGGGGGATGTACGTTTACGAGACGGTAGATTCGACTGAGGAGCCAGATAGCTTTGCGGAGGGTGGGATACCATCCGCTGAGTGCGCTTTGGGAATCGAGATCCCATTTGGAGTCTTGGTCGACGGATGAGTCGCCGTTGCCGTTGCCGTTGCCGCCATCTTCGTTTGATTTTGTGGGCTTGGGGAGATTCGCCAGTGCGTCTGTGGCGGCGATCTTACGGCCGGTGATCTGGCCCTCGGTCACGGATATCGAGACCTGGTTGTTGCGTGCCGGGTAGTCCAGGTCTTCGGGACGGGGCTTGTAGCGCTCGATTTCGTCGCGGAGGAAAGCCTGCGCGCGGAAAACCAGACGGGTTTGCACATCTTCGAGGGCGGGTTGGATCAAAGTGGGGAAGTCGAGTTGGTTGGCGTCGACTTGCTCGATCTCCTCGTCTTGGTCGAGCAGGTAGCGGGTTTGGAGAAGAGTGCAGAGTTGGCACAGTTTGATGATCTTGTCCTCGTGGATGATTCGTGGCCGGAGGTGGTCGTAGAGGGGCTCGCAGATCGTCTCTAGGAAGTCATACAGCCCCCCGTGGCCGTGGAACCACTCGCCCCAGAGCTCGAACTCGTCCAAGCACACGCCACGGATGTAGCTGATACTCGCACGGGCAAACGAAACGAGATCTTGTGATGACGTTGGCGACAGAGCGATGTCGCTGAGATTCTTCTGGACCAGCGGGATGATGAGTTTGCCGCGCGTGGCTGCGTAGTTCGCGTGCAGCTCGTTGAGTAAGCTTTGGTATTCGGCTTCTGTGCCTTGGTCCGGATCCAACGGAGGGACAGCTCGCTTCTGGATCTCGAGCCCGATCTGTTTCAGTTCTGGTGCGCCGACTCGGAACTTCGCGTAGAGCAAGGTAGACATGGTGGTATCGTTCAGTTGCTTGTCGGCGATTTTCTTCGACGCATCGGCGTAGACGTCTCGGAGGGAGGAAACGAAGTGCGTCCGGATAAGAGTGAGGGCGCGGGTCATGAGCAATCGGTATCTGGAGCGGTATACACCGGCCTCTTTCTGGTCGGGCTGCAGGGTAGAGTCTCATTAGCCTAGATGCAGGTGGAGCGGTCCGAAATCACTGACATGAACCTCCATATAGTCCAAACATTCATCGAGCCGTCTGAGCATATCCGAGAAGTCCTTCCCTCGCACGGTGTTCCCAGCCCCCGGGGCATTCAGTCTCCGCGAAGCCGGGTCGAGGAAGTCGTAGTTCTGGAGGTTTTCCTGGATATCCGCCGCAAGATCCGAGTCATGCTTCTGTGCCGAGAGCAGCCCTTCGCATTGCTTCTGGAAGTTGGACGTCTGCGATTCCACCGCTCCGAAGTCGTTCGACAGGCTAGTCAACAGGTTGAGGGTGGACGAGGTATCGGCGAGGAGCGAGTCGAGATGGGATTTAGACATTTGAAGCTCCTGGAGACAGGCTCTAGCAGCAAGAGTGGTTAGCATCCACCAGGGGCTTCCTCGCGGGGGCTGGCCGCAGTCGGCGCCGCTTACTGGTACTCATCGTAGCTGGCTTCCAGCAGGCTCTCCTCCACTTCGCCATACCATTGCGCAAAGTCCAGTTCATTGTGAATGTCGGTAATCGATTCCAAGCTATCTGGGATGGCCTCGAGTTCATTGATCTGCTTGATCTGCAGCTCCAGGGCCGGACCCGACGGAGCAGTCTGGCGTCGACTTCGCTGGCCGGCAGCTTGTTGGCGCATTGTGAGGGGAAATCCGGCGGAAAGGAAACGGACGCGACTGCCCCTGTGGCTAGACCTCGAGCATAACAGGCAAGCAACCCTCGATCAGGCCCCGGGAGGAAGAGGAAGAGGAAGAGGAAGCGGTGCCTCCTCCGTGGCTTCAATGCGCTATTCTGCCGCCTGTCGCCGCCCACGCTATTTGACGCAACGCTTTCGCATTCGCAGCTGCTCTCGGGCTTTCCTCGTGTCAAGTTACGTGAGTGACTCGCGTTGACTGCCAAAATTGGCCCCAGAACATGCCATAGGACGGGCCGAGAATCTTCCAACATCATGTGGACATATCGGGGCCGACAATCGGTGGCCTCCATCGTCACCCACTCATCGCGTCGCCTTGCTACAGGCAATCGGCCTGCCGCCACCCCGTCGCGGAGACGTTACGCCAGCGGTGGCTTCAAGGGATCCCCACAACCAGCCGACTCGCACTGGCTCCGGAATTCCTTGGGCGTGGCCGGTGCAGGTACGGCTGCATTTCTGATCTACGAATATGCGACGTCCAACCGAAACCACCCGGTCGAGAGCCCCCTGGAGAAAGTCCAAGATCTCTCCAAGTCCGCGGGCGATCTGAGCTCTGAATTCGTGCAGCACAAGAGAAGCTTGAAGAGCCCCGGCGTCTTTGTATGGGGCAACAACGCCTATCGTGTGGCCGACCCCAACTCGAAGGAGTCCGTCGTCAAGACCCCCCGGAACTTCACTTATTTCGAAGGCCAAGTGCTCAGGGATCTCAAGATCGAGGAGCGCTCGGGTGCTGCGATCACGTCGAATGGCGACTTGGTGCAATGGGGCAAAGGCTATTCGGAGAAGGAATTCAAGCCTGTCAAGACTCTGACCGGCAAGAACCTGACTTCGCTGTGCACGTCTAATGATCGTATCCTTGCCTTGTCCTCCGACGGCAAGATCTACTCTCTGCCGATTGCCAAGGAGGATCAGCTATCCGGCCGCAAGCTGAAGGAGGGATCCTGGGTGCCTTACTGGTCTGGGACGGCCGACGTCAGCTATCGCGTCCTCCAGCCCAGTCTGAAGCTGGGCGAGCGGGTGACTGCACTCCGCGGTGGATTGGACCATGCCCTTCTGTTGACAAGCTCTGGTCGGGTCTTCTCCGTCGCGTCTTCCACCGAAAACTATCCCTCCTTTGGACAGCTCGGTGTTCCAGGCTTGACCTGGGCCACTCGCCCTAAAGGACCCGTGGACACCCTCCACGAGGTCACAGCCCTCAAGGGCTCTAAGATCGTCCAGATTGCCGCGGGTGATTACCACTCTCTAGCGCTTGACAAAGACGGCAATGTCTTCGCGTTTGGCGACAACTCCTTTGGACAGCTGGGAATGACATTCAACCCAGCGTCGCCCTTCCGCGACGCTCCCACTCGGGTGCCTATCAGGAACCTTTACCGGGGTCCTTGGCTGACCAAAACCACCCGGATTGCAGCTGGAGGTGCCAACAGCTTCTTTGCTGTGGATGCACAACGGGCACTCGGTCCCGATGAGAACCTTTCCACCGTCCGTGACCTAGGCCGCATAACCGCCGATACCTGGACCTGCGGAAGAGGAATCTGGGGCGCTCTCGGTAATGGGAAATGGACTCACGTCCAGGATGCCCCGACCAAGGTTAAGACATTGAGCGGTCTGTTTGAATACGATGAACGCGCCAACGGCCTGTCGCCCATCCGAATCCACGATATCTCCGTCGGCACGACACACGTGTCGGCGGTGATGGCCAACCAGACCCACGTGGACGCGGCTCCCACGGCATCCTTGGATGAAAACAAGGACTGGGGCTTTGATGCACTCTGGTGGGGAGGCAATGAGAACCACCAGCTGGGTACGGGCAAGCGCAGCAACCTGTCGAAGCCGAGTTACATCCACGCGCCTCTGGAGAGCACCGACCAGCAGGAAGCCCGACTCCAGATCATGCCCCGGCACAAGGGCAAGGTGGAAGGGCGGACCGTGAGCATGGAGCAGCGGGTGGAGTGCGGACGACATGTGTCGGCCATCTACTCCGCAGTGTAATGTTTCTTCTGCTGTTCTGGGATGTATTATGATCACTACTATTTGGGCATGTATATTAGCTATCTCTATCTCTCTTTGGGGTGTGTCAGCGTTGAGTGGGTAAAAGTCCTGAGCCAGGGTTGTAATATTATTTGTGGCATTATATTCTCCATTCCACCCTCCACGCCCAATATACTATTCCTGTTGTTGTTGTTGTTGATGTTGATCTTGATGGTTGTTCCTGTGTGGTTGCCCCTCCACGGACCCCTCCATAAATGCCGAATGCGGGGATTGACCGGCAGTCAACTTGCATCGCGATAACCTCAAACCACTTCAACTCCCCAACTCCCCAACCCCCGAACCATCACCCAACTCCCTGCCAGGACCACTCAGAAACACCCCCAGATGACCTCCGCCCTCTCCCTGAAGCTCTCGATGCCCCCCGACGAGCCCTGATCGGCGTCGGGGCCCATGATGTCGAATACCCGGAAAATGTCATCATCCCCAGTGGATCCCCTCCGCCAAAGGGTTCAACATCCTCTCCGCCATCGGGATCGGTCGAAACCTTCCACAATGCCATTGAAATAACCTTCAATCCCCCCCCCCCTCCGAGTGCATTTCCTTCCTCATCCAACCTTTGGACCCTGTACATACACCTCATTCCCTTCCCTTCCGTCCGTCCCGCATCATGGCCGCCTCTCCGCCATCCAGTCGTGCAGAAGAAGTACAAAAAGTGAGTCACGCCTCCTCCTGCCCTTTCAAACCCTACACCAGCAGAAAAACTGACCCCCTCTCTCACACCAGCTTCTCACTGCCGTCCAAGACCTCCTGATCCCCTTCATCCGAAGCGCCGACGAGGACTCTCTCGGCCCGAAATCGCTGCAGCAGAACGGCACCCCCAATGGCGACATCCAAGGCGCCTCGCTCGTCGAGCACAAGAAACCCGAGGAGCTGCAAAAGCTACTACAATTGAGCCTCCCCGATCAAGGCACCGGACAAGACGGTCTCGTGGAGGTTCTGCGCAAAGTGCTCCGCTACTCGGTCAACACCTGGCACCAGGGCTTCCTCGACAAGCTGTACGCCTCGACCAACGCCCCGGGAGTCGCATCAGAGCTGATCCTCGCGGCACTCAACACCAACGTCCACGTCTACCAGGTCTCGCCCGCGCTGACTATCATCGAGAAACACACTGGAAAGCAACTGGCCTCACTCTTCGGCCTCTCGGGGCCCCGCGCTGGCGGCATCTCCGTACAGGGTGGATCGGCCTCCAACACAACCTCCATCGTCATCGCGCGCAACAACCTCTTCCCCAGCACCAAGAAAGACGGCAACGGCAACTACCGCTTCGTGCTCTTCACCAGCGCCCACGGGCACTACAGCATCGAGAAGGCCGCGCAGATGCTGGGACTCGGCAGCAGCTCCGTCTGGCTGGTCCCCATCGACGCGCAGGGCCGGATGATCCCCTCCGCCCTCGAGTCCCTCGTCCAGAAAGCCCTCGCCGAAGACCGCACGCCCTTCTACGTCAACGCCACGGCCGGCACCACCGTCATGGGCTCGTTCGACCCCTTCCACGCCATCGCCGCCATCTGCAAGAAATACAACCTGTGGTTCCACATCGACGGCTCCTGGGGCGGCTCGTTCGTCTTCTCCGACCGCCAGCGCCCCAAGCTCTCCGGCGCCGAAAAAGCCGACAGCATCGCCATCAATCCGCACAAGATGCTCGGCGTCCCCGTCACCTGCTCATTCCTCCTCGCCGCCGACCTCCGCCGTTTCCATCTCGCCAACACCCTCCCCGCCGGCTACCTCTTCCACAACGAAGACACCGACCCGGACACCCTCAACGGCGAAACCGAACTCCAGATCGACTCCCCAGAAGTCTGGGACCTCGCCGACCTCACCCTCCAGTGCGGCCGTCGCGCCGACTCCCTGAAACTCTTCCTCGGATGGACCTACTACGGCACAGCCGGGTACGAGCGCCAGATCGACTCCGCCTGCGACGTCGCCATCCATCTGGCCACCCTGGTCCAGAAGAACCCCAACTTCATCCTGGTCAGCGAGAACCCGCCGCCGTGTCTGCAGGTCTGCTTCTATTACGCGCCGGGCAGGGAGTTCGTTTACCGGAGGGGAGAAGGGGCCGGTGGCGTGGCGGATGAGACGCAGCGCGGGAAAGCGAACAGTAAGATCACGGAGCAGGTCACGCATGCCATCGTGAAGAAGGGGTTCATGGTGGACTTCGCCCCGCCGAGTGGCGATGACGATGCCGTGGGGAATGGAAAGTTCTTCCGCTGCGTGGTCAATGTGCAGACTTCGAGGGAGACGGTCGAGGCGTTGGTGAGGGCCATTGAGGAGGTGGGGCCGGTGGTTGTGGAGACGTTGACGGCGGAGCGTCGGTCCTAGATAGGGACCAGCTTGGTGAGTTCTTTGGAATTTTGTACATCTACGGTTACGGGTTGGATATAGTATTTATTGGTTGGTTGGTTGGTTGGACGGATGATAGACGGACGGATGAGTGATCGGTCACAAGGATTAGAGAAAAGTTCGGAATCATCTATAGAGGTATATAAGACACGGATAAACAGGAGCCGCGAGGCAAATTTGGAATCGCAATGAAGAAGGTCGCAATGGATATCTTAAGCAGCTGTGTAGTAAAGGCATCAATATCATGCTATATACAACGATCATCTTTCGGGCTAATTCCCGATCTCGACTCGTCGCTCCAGCACGCTTCTCGCCTCCGCCTCCGTCAGGGTCTCGATACCCAGCTCCGCGAGGACAACTCGGGCGCTTTCGTTGTCCTTGAACAGCCGCTTCTCGACCTCCCACAGCCCGGCACGGGTATCTTGCTCGGAACCATCTTCGGTCTGTTGTGTGGCGTCACCGCCGCTCTCGACCTTCTGGTCGGCGCTGTCGAGCCCGAGAAGAACAAGGCCCTCGCCTAGCTTCCTCATCACCTTCATGGAACCGCTTGTCTGGCCGGCCGGTCCGAGCGCAATATCGACGACGCTGCAGAGATGCTCCATGTCGCTGATGAACTGGGTTGCGCCGGCCGCGGAGAAGGTGTTCCTCGTGAGGATATTGCCCCAGATATAGGTCTGGATGGCGAGGAGGACTTGACGGATGATGCGGCGCAGGGGAGCGACGCCCAGCACGCGGGCGAGGAACGAGATCTCCCCGGAAATGGTGCGCATGACTGGGGCGAGGTCCGAGGTGGGGGGGAGAGGAGTGGCGGATGTGGTCGCGGAGATGCTGGCCCAGGTTGATACGCGGGAGTAGGGCTTCAGAGCGGAGCGCGCGTTCGAGGTTAGAGTCGAGGTGATGATGGATTCGGATCGGAGGCGAAGCTGGCGATAGGCGGAGGCTGTCTCATCGAAGAGCGCGCCATCGGAGGCGGTGCCGGGGCCGTGGCTGCTGCTGTTGTTGTTGACGGCTTGGGAGGTCCGGGAGGCAACGTCGGCGATGGACATATTGCCCGCAACGTTCTTGCCTCCGTCCTTGTTCAGGCGGACGCGCTCTTGGAGCTCGGTCCACAGCTCCACGAAGAAAACTTCGTTGCTCCAGTCCTCCATCTTCTTCTCGAGGTACTCGGCGCTTCCGAAGACCCGGGAGAGCCGCTCCAATCCTGCAACGCCTTCGATGCTGGCGCCGTCGGCGCCTTGCACGGTCCGTCCGATCGTCGAAGTCATGGCGAGGTAGGCTTCCAGTGCTGAGTGGAGACGTTCATGGAAATGGTCGAAGATGGTAATTTGGATGTCGATCAGGAAGCGGAGCTTCTGGCTGAATGACGACAAGGGCTGGTAGCGCTCAGTTATGGTCTCGAGAAGGTCGTTCACACGGATCGCAGCTTTGGTCGGCTTGGTTGACGAGAGATCGACGCCTTCGTAGTCGATGTGGCCACTCTCTGGTGTGTCGACAATTTCCTTGTAACGGGCCAGGGCAAAGTCCTTTTCAACCTGCAGCCAGCGGTCGAACCAGCCTTGCTTGGTCAAAACATCCCAGGTCATTCCCCTCCAGTCCTCGTTGGAAGACGGATCGGGGAGGTAGTTCCATGACTCGCGAACTTCGTTGTCGAAGTTCATCAGTTCATGCACAAAGTGACTGAGGAGTTGCGGGTGAGTCGATATCTGAGGGAGGAACGTGGAGATCTTGTATCTCAGCACGGGGATGAGTGCCGTGATGTAGGCGTGGGAGGCATTGTAGAAATTCCACTTTAGGTCGGCACCAACGCTTTGCGCCTCTTCATCGAAGATGGGCTGCAGGTATGAAGCGAAGAACCCACCGAAGTTGTTGATTAGGTCCATGATATGGGCTAAGAAGTATTCGGGCTGCGTCGCGTTAGAATTCGATCAATTCTGGCTTCAACTAAAACACATACCTTGTCTAGCCTATTTGTCGGCTTGTCTCCGCTGAAATGGTATTTGAAGCGAAGCTCGAGCGGATGTACCATCGCCTCCAATGGCAGCAGGACTGGGGGTTCAGTACTGCTATGAGCCGAGGCAGACGCCCGGTCCTGAAGCTCCCTGCAAAGGGGTTAGAACTAAACATTCATGTTGTTCTCCGGGGTACGTACGGTTTCTGCAGGCCAAGAAGTAACTTGATGTTTTCCGTCCACTGTGCCTGTAGCTCTTCTGGGAAATTTAGATCCTTCGATGGCCATTTCATCTCCTCCATCGTCCCTTGGAGTCGTCGAGTAAATTCTGCCTTCATCTGTTCCCTGAGAGCGGACGCCAGCTTTTCCACATAGTCGACCAGGTGAGGAGCCGCTCCTTCTGCTGCCGGTTGAGCTTCGATTAGGGATCGAGAGATGTTCCGCAGTCGGGTATAGGATTTGATCGCGACGTGGGGCTGGTCTTTGATGTTGTTCACGGCTTCCTTGCTGTATGCGATCTCAGCGACCGTAGTCTTCCCAAGAACCTCTTGTGTTTCCATACCTCAACTGCTCCGCCTCCTTGAGCAAAGTCATATAGTTCCTGGAGATCTCGAGCCTCCGTAGCTTCTCAATGCTCGCTTCGAAGCGTTTTGCTGCCTCGTCGCTGGAGTCCGATCCCGTGAGAGCTTTCAGGCGCCGGTCGATGTCCGCCTGCTGCTCGTTGAACGCTTCGGCCCGCTTCCGAGTGGCTTCGGCATGGTCGTCGGAGGCTTTCGAGGCATTGGAGAGGGCTTCTTGCGCTTCCGCTAACTATAAGAGCTAGTTGTCAGCGAGTGTTTGGCGAAAGCCCATTGTGAAGCCCGACGAGGAGGGGAGCGCGGTACCTGCTTGCGTTGGAGATCATGCTGGGCCCGAAGACTCGTCAACAATGAGTCGAGACTCTCGAAGTCGGCGGAGACCTGCAGCTTGTCGTTCAGGTAGTCCTCAACCCGAGTCCTCTCATGCGACGACAGGACAGGCAGGGGAGTGGCCATTGCTTGGGTGTTTGGGGCGCAGGAGGGTTGGCGGGGAAGAAGACGAGGTGTCGCCAACTCCGCCAACTCCGCCAACTCCAACTCCAACTCTCTCCGCCTCCGCAACAACGTCACTTCCGCCGTCCACAGCCGTCCCACCGTTACCCCCCGACGGCCATGGCGCACAAACCCCCCTTCACATGAGTCTCCGAAATGTCCAGTCCGGCCAAGAAGCGCAAGAGGGACGATCCGGGAACTTCCTCGCAGCGCACCCGGAGCATAGCCTCATTCTTCCAGGGCCAGGCAAGCAGGCAGGCCGAGAAGACACCCGAAGCTCCCTCAGAACAGACTCTATCCGATGAAGCGCTCGCTCGCAAGCTGCAGGCCGAATGGAACCAGGAAGATGCGGCGTCAGCTGCCCAGACGGATGGCACCTCCAGCACTGGACCTATCGCGACACCGTTGGAGACCGGGGATAACGATCGGGAACCGACCAAGGTGCAGAGGAAAGGCATTCTTTCACTGCAATCATCCACTGGCACCGAGGATACTGTTTCTCTGGCCGTACCCTTCGATCAGAATCCCACCACATTCGACATAGCAAAATATGTTGGAGAGCTGAAGGGGCACTGGGTTGCTGAAGGTGGCGATGCCTCATATGCCCTTCTTACCCGGGCGTTTGTGCTTGCCAATGCCACCACCAGTCGCATCAGAATTGTGGATACGCTGGTTAACTTCCTCCGCGTGTTGATCGAAGGCGACCCTTCCAGCGTGCTTCCCGCGGTATGGCTAGCAACGAACTCGATATCGCCGCCGTACGACGAATCGGAGCTCGGGCTTGGCGGGTCCTCGATATCGAAGGCGCTCAAGAAGGTTTACGGGCTGAACAGCCAGGGCCTCAAGAGCCTCTATGACAAGCATGGAGACGCTGGTGATGTGGCATTCGAGGCCAAGAAGAGACAGAGTTTCACTTTAATCAAGCCTAAGCCGCTGAGGATAAAGGGGGTTTACCAGTCCCTCAAGAAGATAGCTATGAGTAAAGGAAGTGGAAGTCAGGAGGCGAAGCAAAGAATCGTCGAGAAATTGTTGCAGGATGCTCGTGGTGCGGAAGAAAGTCGGTATATTGTTAGAACACTGGTCCAGAATCTACGTATTGGAGCCGTCAAAACCACCTTGCTCATTGCGCTGGCTCGAGCATTCCTGTATTCGAAGCCGGAGGGGGCCGAATTCTCGGTTCATCCTCAGCGTGACATGGCGCGGTTGAAGAAAGAGGAGCTGGCTGGAATCTACAGCAACGCCGAAGAAATCGTCAAGGCCTCCTATGCCAGGCATCCAAATTATGGCGATCTCGTTCCATGCTTACTCGAAGTCGGCGTTACAGAAGAACTGCTCGTCCGCTGCGGTTTACAATTGCATATCCCGTTGAGACCCATGCTGGGAAGTATTACACGAGATCTGTCGGACATGCTGACGAAGCTGCAAGGGCGCGATTTCAGCTGCGAGTACAAGTACGACGGGCAGCGTGCGCAGGTACACTGTGACGTGGAAGGGAAAGTGTCGGTCTTCTCCCGCCACCTGGAAAACATGACAGAGAAATACCCGGACGTCGTGTCTCTCGTTCCCGAGATCAGAGGAGAGGGGGTGTCCAGCTTCATTTTGGAAGGGGAGGTAGTCGCCGTAGATCAAGAAACCGGAGAGTTGCAGACCTTCCAGATTCTAACCAACCGCGCGAAGAAGAATGTCGATATCGGAGCTATCAGAGTCAGCGTTTGTCTCTTCGCGTTTGATCTGATGTACCTCAACGGCTTGCCACTGTTAGATCGATCACTCCGCGAACGCAGGGAGCTACTGCGGAGCCTCTTCGTGGAAATCCCCAACCGATTCACGTGGGTGAAGAGCCTGGACGCCACATCTGCCGATTCAGAAGTGGTATTAGACTTCTTCAAGAGTGCCACAGACGCCAAGTGCGAAGGAATCATGGTCAAAGTCCTCGACAATGTATCCAGGTCTGACCTTGAACCGAATGGGACACCGGCTGTCGACACCACCGATACACCGGAGCAACCACCCAGGACAGGCGAAAAGTCCGAGTCGAAGAACGCCAAAGGCAGCCGACGAAAGGCTCTGCTATCTACCTACGAGCCCGACAAGCGACTCGAATCCTGGCTAAAGGTCAAGAAAGACTACAGCACGTCATCCGAAACCCTCGATCTCATTCCAGTGGCTGGATGGCACGGCCAAGGCCGCAAGGCCAAATGGTGGTCGCCGATCCTCCTCGCCGCTCGCAACCCCGAGACAGGAAGTCTGGAAGCAGTGACCAAATGCATGTCCGGGTTCACCGATAAATTCTACCAGGCCAACAAGGACAAGTACGCCGAGGGCACCCCCAACGTGATCTCCCGTCCCAGCTACGTCGAATACTACGGCGAGCCGGATGTCTGGTTCGAGCCGCAGGAAGTCTGGGAAATGGCGTTTGCAGATATCACGCTCAGTCCGACGTACACGGCCGCCATTGGATTGGTGAGCGATGAACGGGGTCTCAGTCTCCGGTTCCCTCGATTCCTCAAAGTCCGCGAGGACAAGTCGATCGATGAGGCTACTACTTCTGATTATCTCGCCTATCTCTGGAGAAAGCAGTCTGAACGGACCAAGCTGGACGGAGATCGCCCAGCTGAGACGCAGCTGGGATGGCAGGAGGAATTATCTGTGGAAGTTGGTTAGTTGATATCTCGTTGATATCTCCGTCCTCCCACACTGCCTGTGCGGCACTGAAACCTCGGGGAACATCGCCACCGCCACCGGCTTTCTCCTCCATCAAGAACCAATTCGAGTTTTCCCAATCCATCCTGAAGCTCGGATCCAATTGGATTTACCCAAACAAGCGTCGACTTCGCCGACAATCTAGATCCGGGCAACTCCACGGTCGACGACTTCGACATCATCCCTTCCATTCTTGCAGAGGCAAGCTCATCCACCACGGTCGATCTGATCCTACGCTCCCCATCGAGAGCAGTATTTACTTCCAAACCCACGTAGACAACAACGGCACCGCCTCCAGCGTCCCATCTGTTCCTTCCCTCAGCAGGCCAAGTACAAGGGCAGTGGGAGCCCCATCTACTAGCTAGAGACTTTCCTCTTCTATAGGTGATTCCGAAGCCAGAGAGTAGGCTTGAGGGGGCATTGGACTACCGATAGATGACATTCTTGGCGAGATTTACCTTGTAAATAAGGTCTATAAAATCCCCTGTTCCTGGTCTGGATTATGCAACCATGGAGTCAAAGCACGGGTTTCTAAAAACCCTAAACACAACACCATGTTCTCTTGATCCAGGAACAATTCTTTACTCGCTGTATTAGACGAAACACCCCATTGGTTCATTGAATGCAACTTACTTTTCTACGACCTATATATATTAATATATACTAGCCTAGTTCCAAAACTTCCTCTCCTAACGAATCAATCAATAATATGAGCAGAACTCTTCCCATCCACCTCACTAAACCCCACCCTCTCCCCACAAGTACTAAAATTACAGTAAATAGACAGATAGATAGATAAGTTGACTTCCCCGATCACCATCATCATCATCATCATCATCATCACGTGCCCAACCAAACTCATCCGTAATGCGATCTCAAATCAAGATCTCCGCCTAACAACACACACTAACCCCAAAGCAGCTAATTCCCCGACCCGACGACCGACGCCCCCCCCCCCTCCATCTCTCCATCTCTTTCTCTCCCCGCTAAACCCAATCCCGTCTAGCCCGAACGCGAAATAACCACGGAACTGGGGAATCTGACGCGTCGCGTGGTCCCCTCTTTTATTTTTATTTTTTGCGCTCAGTGTGGGTGGGACGTGGATTTGTTGTTGACTTTTTCCGCATTCGTTTGGTGCGACCTACCTACCTACCTACCTACTATCTAAGTACTGTACTTGTACTTGGTACCTAAGTAGATACATATCCACTTTGGTTGTTGGAAGTTGGGATGGCGGGTAAAGGTTTTAGCTTTTTTGGGTGTTAGTGTTAGTGTTAGTGTTAGTGTTATAGTGGGGGTGGGTTGGTGGGAGCAGGTTTTTTTTTTTTTTTCTTTTTCTTTATATATTTTGGTGATTTGGGGGTTTGTTTGTTGGGGGGTACGTCATCGGGGTAGATAGTGGTGATGTGGTGGTGTGGTGGTATGGTGGTATGGTGTGGTTTGGTGGGAGTAAATGTCGGTGTGTTTTTAAAGAGATGGTGGTGGTGGTAATTACTTTAATCCTCTGATCGAGTGGCCTTTTCTCCGAAGAAGTAATAAAGACCCGGAGAAATCGTGTAAATACATACATACATGGTTCTCATTCTCGGAGCAAGAAAACATGAACCAGGAAATAGTACAACAGACAAAAAAAGACATCGAACATTAGCCGAACAGTAGTGGTGGTGGTGATGATGATGGTGTGGGATCACACAATGCTTGCACACAAAGGAAACGGTTTCCAAAAGCTAGACATTTGGAACACCCGACATAAGAAAGGGTATGTATGATATGGACAATGACGTGTACATTATTTTAGACACCAGCCACAACGGGGAGACGTGGCTGTACAATTCAAGGGGAATATGGTAAACACCGGTTACAGCGGCGGGGTATGAAGACGGAGGTGACAGGGGGGGTCGAAATGGGATGCACATAACAGTCGTTAGGAGTCGTAAGTAAGCAACGGGATGGGAATGCATGAACAAGAAGAAAAAGAAGTTGATGACGAGTCTGTACGGAGTGCCCTTGGCTCATTTACGGTTTTCGGGCCGCAGTTCTTCACCGAGTTGGAGCACCCTGGTGGGCAACTTATCGCGGAGTCCGGGGCTGTCCGTACTCGGGGGCAGCAGGCCGTCGAGGTTGGACCTCTTTCGCTCCTTGTTGGCAAGGGGCGTTCTTGAGGGCCCTCCAGGCGTGCGACCACCCCAAGCTGGCTGGGCTGGACTGGGCGTCACGTTCACGAAATCTGCAAAATTGAACTGTTGGTTCGGAGTGCCGAAGTTGGGGAACACGCCGCCGCCGCCAGGGGTCGGGGTCAGTGATGGTAGAGCAGCATGCTGGCTAGGGGGGGTCGAGGGTGGGAAGTCTCGCGCGGGGGGTTTGGTCGTGACCTTGGCGGGCGTGGGGGAATTGGCTAGGTACAGAAGCAGATCGGCCCCATTCTCATGCCGCAGATTTCGGTCGTTCCGAGATAGACGAGCGTGCTTCGGAGGAGGGGTACGAGGGGGGGAGGAACCGGTCATGGAGCTAACGTGCTGGAAGCTGTGGACAGGGAGGTCAGGGTCGTTGTCGTCCTCGGAGTGCGGGGGGTATGCCGGAGACGAGTATTCGGGAATCTCTGCCATGAACGGAAGCGGGAGATGCCGGTTCGTGTGCTGTCGGTTGAAGCCCGGAGACGACTCCGGTAGCTGATAGGAGCTTTTCCATGAGACCCGGGGAGCCTTGACCGTGCGGTCGGTGATCGAATCCGACCGCAACCGTTTCCGGCTTGCCGACAACATAGGCTGCATCACCTTGGAATCGAAGGTTGCCGCATGTCTATTCCGGGACGATCGGGGCAGCTCTTTTGAGTATGATGAGTTTGGCAAGGGCGGCGGCGTCAATGGGGTCTCACTCCGGCTGTGGGAGATCTCGGATGAGGAATCAGACGGCCGGTCACTTCCCAGGGCGACCTGGATGCCGCCAGTGTGGTTCGGTTCAAGGGCATGTAGACGGCCGTTCTGGTATTTGACTTTGGCGAGGCCTAGACGGTCCTGGAGGCTGAGGGACACCTAACCGGAAAGAAAGCCATTGATTAGACTTGTTCGACAGACGGACCGGGGGACAGAAAATTTCAGACCGCTCCAACGGGTCGAAAAGAGGAGATTAACACATACCTGGGCAATGTCTATTTTACGGATCGTCTTCTCCGAGGTTGACGGTTGGATAAGGGCCATTGTTCGGTGGTGTCGACTGCAGGAGTGTGCTATTCACCCGGGGGGGGGGGGAGGACGACGACTGACGGTGGTCATCAACCGAGGGTGGAGGATGACGAGATGCGGGCCCGTGAAAGAAGGGCTGAGACCAAGTCAGGAAGGGATGGATCCGGGGCGACTGAAACGAGAGGGCTGAGGAGGGAGGAGAGGCAGAGGCAGCTAGCTGGCAGAGAGGGACAGCGAACGCGAAGGGCAGTCGATCGATCAATCCAATTGGAAGTTAGTTCGGCAGGTTAGTCGGGGAGGTTAGTGAGGTTAGTTGAGGTTTAGCGGTTGGGTTTTGGGCTTTTTTCGGGGCAGGCCAAGGGAAGGGAAGCCCCAGGCAGCCAGGAACTCCGGGGAAGCTGAAATCTGCCACGGAAACCACCCACTGCAACTGCTGTAGACTCTCTTCCATACGGAGTACATTACTAGTACTCGATACTACTGGGAATGCTGTCGGAGCTTGTGCCTATGGGTTCTCACGACCGGGAGGAACTTCCATACTCTGTCTAGACGTCTACTGGTCAACACCGTCATCACCTTCCATGCTACACCTGCACGGTAACTATATGTACAAAACAGTATGCACATCCAAAGCTTCGACGCGATCTCTCAAGCAGCAGCCAGATGGCTTTCGTCAACTCGGAGCCAATGATTCCTGCGATCAACTCGGAATGCTCCTGCGCACGGCAAACCACTGGCCAGGATGCCTCCGAAATCTCCGATCCGTTCATTCCTGCCCCTCTCTTCGTTTCCTTCGACTTGTTCAAATAACAATCCGTGCGGAAGGATTGTTGTTTCAATTGAGGGATATGAACATGGACACGGTGGCAATCCACCCACCCGTACCTGGTATCACCCGAGGTAACTCTCGCTACCTAGATAGATACCAGTGCTTACTGCGTTCCTCGTATCCTCGCGGAGATGGAAGGCTTTGTCCGCCGTGGTGTTCTGGGCCTCTGGCCGCAGCCACACCCATGATCTGACAACACACCCACCCCCCGGGCCCTCTGCCGTCCCTACAGCAGTCAAGTACTTACGGGTCGATGGTGTGATCGCTTACATGTGGCAGTCGTCGCAACGGTAACCGATCGCGATGTCAGTGGCATCGGGGTCGATTCCCAATGGATGCTGGCCAACAGTGGATGCGCATCCCTTTCCGACGGCTGTGACAATCCAAGGGGCGTCCGAGCAAGTTGGTCGGGTGCATGTATGTAGGGAGGGAGTTGCCAATGGGCCGACGGTGCGACGATGCCTGGCATGTAGGGTCCCGAGGAGTGATACCTGACATTCTGAATCGTCCCGTCATTGCTTGCTTGCTTGCTTGCTTGCTTGCTTGCTTCCTCTGGCTCACCTGTCGATGGTGTCTTTGAGGCAGGCTTGCTTACTCGTCTTATCTAGTGGGAGTGCGCTGTACTGGTCAGCTCCCTTTTAACTGGGTTGGTCAATTAGCTGCATGGCACCTCGTTACGGAGTAGGTGCATAGGTAAGTAGCAGTAACTATTTATCATTGGCTGGTCGGTTCGTTCATTGAAGCGATTATTCAGCGGAAAAGAGATGCTGGGCGAACTGGACGCCAGCCCTAGAAGGCCGGTTCGCCGGCCAGTATTGGCTTCGGTTCCTGCGCGGCCTGCCATGCGGTTGCCGTGAGCCAGGTCTAATTACCGTCATCATTAGAACAACATTTGCCTCGGGGAACAAAAAAAAAAATTAATAAATAAAAAATAATTGCCTGTACATTTGGTCTTTTCTGCGTTAATAGATCAGGCCAAACTCCCGCAAATATGGATCTTCCACAAATGTTCCATGGGTATGGGGATATACTACGTACATGGTGACTACAACACTGGGGATGTTTCGTCACCAACGAAATCTCTACCATCCATTCATCCCCCTTATCCACCAGTCATTTGTCCAAATGGGATGAGCAAAATAGAAACACACCATAGCAAACAATCCGATGAGGGGAACAAAAAGAAATCAGTCAGAATCGACCTACATGGGACTCGAACCCACAACCTTCGGATTAGGAGTCCGACGCTCTACCATTGAGCCAATAGGCCTCTAGTTGCTTATAAACACCGCACAATATGGTCTAAGAGCCAAACGCAAATAATACAGAAATCCTCCATGTGAAATCCCAACCGACTTCACTATCACTACATCATTGCAGCAAAGTTAGAAATAATCATGCCAAGATACTATACTCGGAGCCCTGGTTGGTATCCGGACCGACAACTCCTCCGGATTGCGCCTGTGGCGACTGACGAGGGGAGGGAGCTTCCCCGCTTCTTCTCGGTATTCCAATCGTATCGTCAAGCTACCCTGAAATCCTGACACGTCAGTTGGATGGGTCGATGGTTGGCTCAGGTTCGTTCCCAACAGGACTAGCTATCTACCTACCGCAGCATCACCTACTTATCTACTTCTTGACCGGCATGTGCGGTCATGCAGGTTACCTTGGGTATGTGTTGCTTTTATGCCTGTAAGGCTCTGGACCTATCAAAAGTAGTATGGGGGGCGGTTGGTCAATCGGCTCGTGTTGCCGTAGATCTTGCATCTACTTACCTAACTACTGTTTAGCTTCTTATACGTCCTACTATGTAGTAGTTAGAGAATACAAAGTTGATGATTATTGTAGATAAGCTCTCACTGATAAACAATAAACCTATAATTCAGGAGTGATGGATTCAGAGCTCGAAGCTTGCCTATATATATATATATATATACATATATATAAACTATATCCAGAAAATAGTCCATCAGATATATCTAGCCGGGTATATCTGAATCGATTATACTATTATACTGCCCTCTGACCCTATCAGAGTCAGATGCGCGGGCCAACACCGCCACCGGACCGTGATAAGGAAAAGGGACGTGTGTCGTCCCTCAGCTCTCCAAGCCCAAGGTTGCAAGCAAGCTGGCCGGCCACTCACACCCGCACCGGCAAAGCCAAGCAGGCCCCCCAAAGCCAGCCTAACGCCTAAGGAGTCAAGGACGGATTTCAAGGAACGAACTTACCTGGAAGGCGCCGCAAGTGCGACGCTAGCAGGAAAGGGGTATGGTAAATTGTAATAAATTAGCAGGATCCATTCTGGGTTCAGGGAAAAGGGTCAAAAAAAAAAAAAAATAAGGGCTGGAGCTGGGATGGAAGAGGCGCGCACCTGCCCGCCAAGGCCCCTTTGTCCCCATCGGGACTGGCCCGGACCAGCCACTACGCCTGAATGGGGTTAGTCGGCAGCAAAAGCCTTGGGCAACTTGGCGGTAATACTAGTGAGATAGAGATAGAGACTGGTAGGACGTGCGTTGCGGCGGTTGATAAAGAAAGGGGAGGGGGGAGAGGGGGATGAGAGGGGATGGATGGATGGATGGATGGACTTGACTCGAATTCGGTTTTATCGAGTATCTATCTTCGTATAGCGTACTTGGATAGGCAGGTCTCTAACTTGGAGGTATCCATTGTATCCATCGTGAGCAGTAGTTAGTCGTTGGGGGGTTTGAACTTTCTTTGGAACGAAGATAGCGCCAGGGTAACTGGGTAAGGAGCAGATATCAACCCTCACCTAGATAGTAGATAGAACCCAGAGGGGGAGAGGGGGGGGAGGGGGAGGGAGGGGCAATGGCATACAGTACGGAGGGAGTACACATGCTGTGCTACTTACTACTGCCTGCCACGCAGGACGCCGCATGGGCGTACAGGATGTACTACCTAACTACTACTACCTCTACTTAAGTACCTTATGGAGTGGGAGGTACGTATGTACTTTGCAGGACATGCTGAGGAACCAGCTACTAATACCGATCGAGGTCCCCGGTTAAGCATGGTAGTCGTCAGTAGTAGTGGTAGTCTAAAGTAGGATAACCAGTGGTTGAATTTCTGGGTTGGCGCTGGTGAGACCGAAGGGGGTGGGTGAGTTGAGCCGTGTCCTCTTTTTTTCCCACTTCCACACTTCCGCTTCCACTTGCACTTGCACTTCCACCTCAGCAATCGGCAGACACTAACCACTAGATACTGCGCCATATCCAAGTTTTTGCCCGCTTTCGCCATCCCTCGCACAGGCCCGGACTAGCTTCCTTAGCCACCCTGAAATTTGAGAGGACCTGGGAGTTGGGATACTCCGTGGGCGTGGGCACCTTGGGCACTAAAAAAGCCCGCCAGGGTCAAGGGTCAAGGGTCAAGGGTCAAGGGAAGGGTCGGGTCAGGTCAGGTCAGGTCAGAAGATGATTACGACCGCGTCAGGAACTGGAGACTGGACTCTGGAGAGAGAGAGATAGGATGGCAGGGACGGAGCTAAAGCGTCCGATGCCTGCAGCCGAGCCTACCAGCAACCAGCAGACAAATATAGCAATTGAGAAGCAGAAGCGATCGCCTTGTGGCTCCCAGACTCCCACCGGCTCGCGGGCTCCACCGTCTCGGATGGTGAGACGGTGAAACAGGAAGGCTATCTCTTCCCGCCCGTTGGCCAGTGGCCGCCGGCCTACGTAACGCGCCCTTGTCTATTCGCAACGAACAAGAAGCTTGCAGGTTGGTCGGCGCCCCACTCGGGGTGGCAGTTGCTGTTTCTCACGCTCGGATTGGGAAAGGGGATTATTGCGATTATTATTATGATGATGATGATGATGATTATTACTGGGTCGGGGCAGGGCGTGGGGATCGATCAATCAGGGTCAGTTCAGGATTTGCTCCAATCATCGGGGGAGAGGGGGGAGATAGAGAGAGGAAGACAAGAAAAAGAAAAAAAAAGAAAAAAGAATAAGAAAAGAACAAAAAATAGAAGAGAGAAGATAGAAGATAGACAGAACCTAAGAGTTCAAGCTGCAACACCAGAGCCAGAACAAGCTTCGCCGGGAGGGGGGCAACAAAATGCTATGTGGTGTAGTCTCTGTCTCACATCCCAATGACATTATTGTTCGCGATTAGCTCGCCGCCCAGGCACTAATCGGCCCCATCTGGCTGTTCCTCTCCAGTCTCCATATTATTATTATCTGCTCCTCTCCAGCAGTCCAGCTAGCTAACTGGGTTAGATACCTTCCAGCTTGCCAATTCCCTTTTCCCTTTTCCCTTTTTTATTTCGGCCTTTCTTCTCCGGCCCCCTCTTCTTTCTGCCTCCTCTGCCTCCTCCCCCTCCCTTCTCCTCTCCTCTCCTCTCCTCTCTCCCTCCCTCTCCCTCCCTCCCCCCCAAAGTCCCTCCTTCCTCTCCCTGGGACTCTTCTTTCTTTCGTTTATCCGCCTCAGCTCTCTCAATGGACACCCGCTGAACCAATTGTCCTCCCCCCCCAGTCCATCGCTCTCGTTTCCCTCCTCGCCCCGGTGCCTGAATTGCGGGGTGTGCCTGAGCCATTCGTTCGTCACTCACTACCGCAAACGGTCGCTCTCCTCGCCAACATCCGCGCCGAGTTGTCCACAGAGCCGTGGTTGAAACTAAAATAAGAATCCAACCCGATTAAAGGGCACAAACACAAAAGAAAAAAAAGCAAGCAAGCAAGAGACAGTACAGTCACTCGTTTATCCCTGGCAGGTCACTTCGCGCCCATTGGGAATCCATCGAGGCAACGAACGGAGGCAAGGCTCTTTCCCTCTCCGGTATACTTACTGCTTCCTCCTCCTCCCCCCCCTTCTCCAACAACAGCAGCAGCAACCGCTGTCACCCCCATTCCATCATGCCGTTGTTCAACCTTCGCCGTCGCTCCAAGGCCAATATCAACCGGAGCAAGTCTCCTGAGGCCAAGTCCACCGAATCCCAGTCCAATGGGGACATGACTTCGGGAAAATCATCATCCACGCTTGAAACGGCCTCCTACAGTTCTCTCACCCCGCCTTCTTCTATCAAGCCAAACCAATCCTCCCCCAACCTCCCGTCGCTCAGCGAGAGCAACGGGGCCTCTAACAACACCGCGGTTTCCCCGGTCTCTGCGCCTCTCCAGCGCCCAGGTCTCCTCACGGCCCCCTCATCGAACCGGAACAGCGCCTACGTAAGTGTTGTCCACGACGTTGTGCTGGCTTCCTCAACTAACCGACCGTTTGATTCGTGGAACAGTTCGGCAGTAATATGTCCGTCAATGGTGCTTCGCGGTCACCTACACCCACTTCCCCTTACGCTCCTCGGCTGGTTTCCGTCTCGGATAACTCTTGGGTTGGTGCCCCCATTCTGGCTTGTGCGGGTTTCAGATAGTGTTTGTGTGTTGGACTGAAGCTGACGCCGCTGGATTCTTCTCGCAGGTACACCAAAAGGTGCTGCTAGTGTACGGCCAAATAGGGGACCCAAGGCAGCACCCGATGGACGGGACTGTAACAGTCTATCACCATCAAGACAGCTTTCCGTCGGCGTCATGGCCGGTCACATCGTCACACTTCAAGACCTTGGTGCATCTCGTTCCGGGTCCGAATCGACTGCGCTTCGAATTTGTCTCGGCCAAGAGTTCATCCGGTACTTCCCACCCGAGCTCTCATTCTTCCTATGTCTGCATCAACTATCTCCCCTTGGTCAACGCCCCGCCTTTGCATCTCGTGATCCTCCAAGGCAAGGACTCCGATGGGACGTTTGACGCTGTTCCGGAGAGGCAGCAGCGGGAAGGAAACGGTCTCGAAACGGCCATCCAGAAGTACCGTATGGCGGCGTACCTCTGGCAGGCATTTACCGGCGAACAAATGTTCCGGAACAATTTCGGACGTCGCTGTTTCCGATTCGAAGAAGAGTGGCAGACGGGCACCTTGAGTCGCCGTGACGCAGCCAACGGCGTGATGCGGAACGAGGCCAAGGTGCATGTCATCCGGACTGACAAGACAGTCGCAGAACTCCGGGACCTCGACCTCGCCCAGCAGAATGATTCTGCCACCCACAAGGATGAGCTGTTCCGGATCGCACGAGACGCCGTGAAGGACTATTTCCACCTTCAACCGGGACAGAAGCAGTATGTCTCGGTCTTACTGCTAGATTCCCACTGGGACACGAGCTCTGAGACTATCACCGGTCACGCTGCCCTGGGTTCGAGCTCGGGGGATCTGAAAATGGCGATCTTTGGCTCCCACAGCTTGCAGAGCTACCCCACCAGTCTCGAGGACGTCGTGGACGCCTTTTCGGACTGCACCAGGACAAACATGGAGTTTGTTGCGAACGATTCTGGCGAGGGCGGATCCAGCTGGGAAGCTGCCAATATTGGTATCGGTGCCCATCTGCATGAAGTCGGCCATCTCTTCGGATGCCCGCATCAAGAGTCGGGCATCATGCTTCGAGACTACGTCCGTTTCAACCGGACATTCCTCACCCGCGAACCCTTTGCGACCCGGACAAAGACCCAGGGCCTTAAGCTGTGTCTACCTCAGGATGAGTGTAGCTGGCATCGGCTCGACGCTTTGCGCTTCCGGTTCCACCCTTGCTTCCGGCTTCCCGGTGATGCTCCCATCGGTTCGGACGAGAGCATCCAGGTCTGGCCCGTCGAGAACGGCAAGATCTTGTTCACTGCCCCGACTGGTATAGCGTTCATCGAACTGTACGCTGAGGGTGACAACGTATGTCACAACTTCATCGAGTATCTTAACAGCGAGTCCAGCAACAACGGACTGCCCAAGCAGGTGACGTTGACGGAGAGCGAGCTTCGGCAGCGCGTTTTTGGCACTGAAAAGGAGAAGAAGAAGAACATCAGGTTGGCCGTTTTCTCTGGCGGCCTTGGGAGCCATATCGTCGAATCGGTCAACGACCTGAAATCGAAGCAGTCTTTGGTGAAGCTCCCCAAGAGCCAGACTGGGTATAAGGGCAGTAAGTTGGGATTCTCGCAGTTGGAGGGTAGTCAACCCGAACAGATGTTGTTGGACTACGCCGCAACAACCAAGCTCCTGACCTCCGTCCGGATCTACCATGAAAACGCTGTTCACGGGCTGGAATTCTTCTATGAAGATGCGACAAGTCAGCTCTTCGGCAACCGGGGAGGAAAGCCCGGAGGTGACGATTTCGTTATCGGTATGTTTTCTCAGATGGACCTTGTTACTGAATCATTTCTGACAAGTTGAAATAGATACTCGCAGAGGGGAGATTCTGCTTGGCTTCTTTATCCGAGCCGGGCAATGGATTGAAGGTATCGAGATTCTGACCAGCCAGGGAAGGAAATCCGGACTGTTTGGAAATGCCCAAGGAGGCACAGGGTATGAACGCCCCAAAGTTGAACGTTTCACCACTACCTGGGCGTCCATTCTAACATGATGTCTCTAGGTATACTGTGATTCCCCCTCTTGGATACAAGATTGCTGGTATCTCCGGATCCAGCGGCGCTTGGCTCGATGGTTTTTCGTTGATTATCATGCATTGAGCTCCTATTGCAAGGTGACAGCCATGTCTATAACGCTCGCAGTCTGGCGAGCTATCCGAGCCATCCAAGTCATCGCCTTCCCCGACTGAGCAAACTTGACTTGCTATAGCAGTGCCTAGATGTCATAAGCAGGGTCTACCCTCAACGTTGTCCGCGCCGTCACCTCCGAGGCTGGAGCGGGACGACGCACTTTAATGTTCATCGCCGAATGGACCTCTATGATACCCATTCAAATCTCATTTTTGACGTCCTTTGCAGCTTGACTGAAGCCCATCGACTTCTGTTGAGCGGCAGCAAGTATGCTGTCCAAAGGCCATTTACCCAGCGAACTCTATTCTCGACCTCGAGTGTTGCAGCATGTTGCCTGCGCCGGAGCGCGCAAGTGTCTATACGTCATTACCTTTCTTGTTCCTTCTTGTCTGGTTTTTCTTTTGAGTGTTGTTGACCTTTCTACATTGGGCGGCGCCCAGGAGTTACGGTGACCTACATTGCTTCCTTTTTCCTTTGTCGAGTGTTTTTCCTTCTCCTTCCCCCTTTTGGAGCATTGTGCTGAGGGACTGTTACTGAAGATACGGGGTGGGTCAGTACGTGGTGCATGCATGCCATGAGATAAGCGGGACTTATAGAATCATGGCGATTCATACTGGGACATACTTGTTTAGGGAACATAATTGATAGTTGGCCTGACGGCTTATAGATAATTGCACATGCACTGCATCGCCATTTGTTGGCACTTTCATTGACGTCTCTCCCCGCTAGGTTAATCCTGTCGCTTTGGCAGCCGAGAGTACTCCTTCACCGGGGTCTGTCTAGGTGCGTCCTCGGCGCGCTCCCTTGATCAGGACATGCGGATTGTATGCAAGGTTGGCCCTCCCATGGGTCCCAGTAGCGGTGACATGAATCCCTTCTGAAAGGGGCAATGCCCTGGCACCATCTACCAAAGATGACAGCCAACCCTGTTCCCTTTCATGAATACTAGGGCACCCACGAGCTTGTGGAAAGCTTGTTCAAGCTCGGTAGGTCCAGCCTCGGGGCTATCTCGCTCTCGACTTCAGAAACTCCATTCTAGAAAGCTGAAAGTTTACTCCAGCTTGGTACGGTAGATCCAGCCCAGCCTCGGGGGCCATCTCGCTCAACCCGAAACTCTCTTTCTGTCCGTCTCTGTCTCTCTCTCCAACTCTCCAACTCTCCCCCGGTAGTCTCCTCGCAGGCAGGTCTCTTGCTTTTTCCAGCTGCAGCTGCATTGCATCCAGCCTTTAGTAGTACCACACCCCCTCATTCTGGACTCTTGCATGTCGATCAACCCGTTTCAAGGAGGCACATACACACCACACCACATCCTGGACCCGATCAGCATCAGCCTTATGGTTCAGCCACGGCGTCAGGTACCTACCTGCCTAGTCACCCGCACAGCCAATGGATGTGACCCGTGTCAGCCATACCGCCGCCATCCAGTCAGCCGAAGGTTTGCTCGTCGGTGGCGCCAGCCCGGTTAAATATTTGGGATGAGAAAAGGCAGTTTACATTACCTATTCTGTCCTATCATATCCTTATCCTGTCCTGTCCTATTGAGTAAGGTACTTGCCGAGTACTAGTAGTGCCTATCTACGGAGTACAAGTCTGCGACTTTGTACCTACTCACATATCTACCGCTGAAGGCTGCTGCGACCGTCGTCACCTGCCGCCCTTCCCTTCCCCATGTCGGAATCCATTAACCTTCGTTACGGAGCACAGCCCCCTCCTCTTTACCATCCCATGTCCTTGTCCTTGTTTCTTCAGGCGAGGCGAACGTTGGGTGAGGATGAGGATGAGGATGATCGATGATCGATGTCTCCTCTGAGTAGGAGGTATAGTGTATACTAAGGTAGTAGTGGACCGATCTGTGGTACGGCGTCCGTGCGAGGGAGCAAGCTTCGGGCATTAGATGGTAATGTACTGGCTGGTAGTGGTAGCTTTCCAAGCTTTTGGGGATTGTGAACTTGGGATGTTAACCTACATACAACATACTCTACTTACACCTAGGGCAGTGATTGCTGATGGTGGTTACCGAGAAGGGTTGCGTGCCTCCAGTTCCATTCTTTGGAGTGTGTAAGTCTGCCTGTATCTGATTACCATGTGGTAATACTATAACCGAGGAGTAATCTTACCGCGAGTATGTATCGAATGTAATGGATCCATGTAATGAATTGCCCTCGCGGGACAGGATGACAGGACCCGATACTTCGGTAAGCAACGTTCCGCCAGCGATACGACGGGAGGCGGTGGTTCTGAGTCAGTAGGTTCTCGATCGAGCAACCATCTGACTCCCATCCAGCTCCAGAGCTCGATGGGCCAGATCAGGACGAGCGAAGAGAAGGAAAAACGCCATGCAGTTGAGTATGGATTGATTGGATGCGCCACTGGGACCATGACAATGGGATGAATGACAAGCATCAGCATCAGCAGCAGCAGCAGCAGCAGCAGCAGCGGCGGCGACAGCCTTTCGAAGATTCCATACCCATTCCACGCAAGGGGCCATCACTACACGTACCTTTTTTGTACATAAGTGTTAGGTAGGTTAAGTAGTAACTCCGTATACTGGCCCAGAAGAGAGCCAAGGGGAACTAGTTCGGTCACTATCTACGCCACAGTGGAATTATTCCCTCTTAACTACCTACGGAGTACTTAGGCTCTTTTCCCTTTCCCTCTGTCTGTCTGTCTGTCTCTCTCACTGCCCCGTTTCGCCAGACTTGCCAGTCGCGCAAGCCCCCCCCCAATCTATCCATCTATCTACTCCGTACCGTATCTCCCATCTCCTCCCGGAACTCTCAGGCTGTTGCCCAATTCGGAAAGCCATGGCGCTTCGAGCCTTCGACTTCTTCAGTCACATGCGTTGCTACCTGATGGAGTACATGGAATCCAAGATGCAATGAACCATGGAACAATAGTGCTGGCGATGGATTGCTGCGAGCTTTCTGCTCCTGCATGCCACATGGGCTGCGTGGTGGTCGTTTAGGTTATGCTGGTCCGGCATACATAGTAGTTACCTACCTACTTACCTACTTACCTACCTACCTACCTACCTACCGGTGGCAATAGGTATTTCCTCTTTGAGGTCCATTCTTCAACCCACTGCACGATGGTGCGTGCCTTCGGTAGTCGGTACTTACTCCATAGATATGATTATTCCACATACTCCGAGCAGCGTGGTGTGGATGTGTGTGGCATGCGATCGGTCGGTCAGTCAGTCAGTCAATGGGTATGGTATGGAGGAGCACCGCCTACCTACTTACTATCTACATACATCGTACGCAGAGGATCCAATTCGCCTCCCGTACTATCTACTCCTCTCCGTTCGCTACCTGCCCACTACTGCCGATCTCCCCTACCTGCCACTCAACCCACAAACCGACACGAAACCCACGCACACACACGCGGCCGCCCCGGGATGCCGAGAGAGTAAGCAATCAATCAATCAATCAATCAATCAATAAGACGGATGGGATCTGATCAGCTCCGCCCGCATGGTTTCCCCCCAACACATAACACATAACACATACGTAATGATAAGGTCATCCACCTGCCCATCCATCAATGCAGCGAATCCGATCCGATCTGCATCGCTTAGATCGAATAATAATATCAGCACCTTCCCCCTCGCGACCAGGAGACACGGTACACATACTACACACTGTGGTGGTGGTGGTGGTGGTGGTGGTGGTGGTACACTCGCCACCGATCTGATCCCTGCCGCCCTCCTTCTCTGCCGTGTCGGACGGCAGGGCGGGAGAACGTGACTTCCTTTCATTCGATCGGAACCGTAGGTCAAAGCCTCAGGCTAAGAAGGAAGGGAGGGGGGTCAACCAACCTCAAAATCCCAGCTGCTGCTAGCACCGGATGGCCGGTGATCCGAAACTGTCACACCCACTAGAAAGATACTAATACTCCGTACACTCCGTATCTACCACTAAACTACTGTATATTATTTCTCCAGTGTAGCACGGAGTACACAGTATATAGTGGTAGGCAGTGTCTCGGGAAACCGGGGAAACCATGTCGTGCGCACGTAATACGATCACCCCATTGCCGGATTGGGCTTGGCGAGATCGTCAGCCAGCCAGTCAGTCAGTCACTCATCGCCTCAAGGCGAGGGTGTTGAGTCAAGAGTCGAGAGTGGTTATCGCAACCTTTCTTTCAGATTATGCTTTCATGCTTTGTACATATCTAGATGTCCGTCCGTTTCCCCGTGCAATGGCGACGAAGTACGACCGATGGGCTAGTATATATCTACCCAACCAGATCAGGCCAAGTCCGACCGTACAAAAGTCCAGACTTCACCTCCCGTCCTCCCCCCCCCCCCAAGGCAACATTAATATCCAGAGTAATTATAATAAATATGCCGATTGGTATATATGTAGATAGGTACGAGGTACGGAGTACGGATAGTAGTTAACCATCGATCGACCCTCCCACCCTCTGACTGATGTGGCGCAGTACCAACTCCCCCCCCCCTTTTCACCCCCCGGAGAATTTATGCGGGCTGCATGCGATGAATGGCAGTTTCAGCATCGAAATTAGAAACCCAGAGGGCCACCCACCCACCAAGTACACCATATACATACTTTGTACAATAGAAAAAAAAAAAAAAAAAAAACAAAGGATATGTCTGTCGGGGTTTGAAATCTGATCTTTGCTCTACGGGGTAACTATGAATCATCGCCAGCTAGACTTTCCCCTCCCTCCTCCCTCCTCCCCTCATCTCCTAACACCGTACTACGTACTTAACTTAGTAATAAGGTACCTACCGTTGTTAGTCAGAAAGAAAGAACCACAGAACCCATACATCCATTATTAATAATATCCCTTCTCTACTCCTATTTAAGTAGGTGACTTTTTGGCCGAGGTAACCTACGGAATGCGGCCCAGCGAATCAGCGCCTCACGGATTCATTTTGCAGGGTCCGATTGAAAAGTAAACTGTGGTTCCAGTTCCCTCTCCCCATGGGTGGCATCATCGTCATCTAGATAGATAGATAGATGACCCGACCCGTTGTTGTCGCTTATGTGGCAGTGCTAGTACTTAGTGGCACGGAGATGCGGAAATAAATGCGAAGGGTCTCCTCCTCATTCCGGCAAGTAGGGTACGTACCGTAGGGGAGCGTAGGGCTAGTTACCTTCTCGATCCGTTAATGATATTCGTTTCCATCAGACAATGCCGCAACGGACAACGTTGTCTCAGCAGACCAAATCCCGAGTTCACATACAGTACAAACTGCAATGCGCTATGCACCTTGACTGATAGGTCTTAGACTGCGCGACTGTCTTCCGGCCAATACGTCAGCGCTGGGTAAATAAGTAGGCACTGGCAGTAATGTTGCTCCGGCTGTTGCTTATAGGAGTCAAGGGTTAGGTACCTACTTACATGGGTACGGTGTAGTCTACTTTACTAGTAAGTATGTACCTTGTAGTTAGTTGGCGACAAGGGAGAAGTCTATTTATACTGCTTAGTCTACTGGTTTATCAGCTGTCTTGGATGTTTGTTTCATTTTACTGTTGCTACTACATAGTTGACAGGAGGGACTCTATTATTACTTATTGTGAAGGACACGTTCTTCTATCTATCGCTGCTCAAAGCTTGGGCTGCTATCTATGGACGCATAGTAGCTTAGCTTAGCTTAAATTGAAGGAATGAAGGAGCATGATAAGAGCAGCTTGACAGGGGTGCCCACGATAAGGCTCAAACGGACTAGAGCAGCCATCCATCTCTCTCCCCCATTGAAATATGATTGAAGATCTCCCCTCACTCCCCCGGCGGACCAAAATGGTCGCAAGAGAAAAACAAAAGTTATATCTATTACATGCTTATTCTGGGAGAGATACCTTGGAACCACTTTTACACAGTTCTATGCAAACCACACGGAATAGAATATTGGAAAGAAGTATCAAGGTACCGGAATATGTACTGTACGGCATCTGTGTTTTTTTTTTTTTTTTTTTTTTTTTGATATCCCAGGTACCCGCGTCTAGATCGGACCCGCCAGATGGGGGTAAAAAAAGTACCCCAATTCTTCCAAATGACGATGCCAAAGGTCTTTAAAGTATCCGCATTGTGGGACAGCTTTGGAGGGGAGCTATGAGAGTCGAATTGTTGTTAACAGGGCTCCTCAGAATTCCAATGAATACAATGACATCACCCATGGCGTTAATTCCGGCCCCTGATAGGCAAAACGGGGCGGCTCCATCTTCCCCCTTGTTCGGACCAATCACCCACAAATGAGAGCTGACCATTGCAATGGACACCCCCATCACACTACGACCCTTTGGGTGAATTGTCATCTCCACTCACCTATCTAGGGCCGATTATTATTATTATTATTATTGTTACTCTTGTCAGCTGGAAATAATTCTCTGAAATGGCGGGCATGAACTGTCAGTCCAGGTACACAGTATCTAGTAAAGGCTACCCACCACTGAGACAGATTACGAGGCCCTGGCTCTTATCTTAAAAGGGAAACAGTCCCAATTTAAAATTTTGTGTGTCCACTGGTCGGCAAAGTAAATAAATTATCGACTCTGAACTGTGGTAGGTTGATAATTGCTGTACCTCGACCGGTTCCTTTTCCTGCTGCCAGTTTTATCGTTTCTGCGGGTAGTAGTACTGTCACATCTTGGTTCCCCATACCAGAACGCCGCTGTCTAGGTAATAAGGTTCTTAGGAGTGCCGTCCGATGTGACCCGGAGCGCGACATCCCATGCTTTTGATTGGCGGGAAGTCTTCCCAGGCAATCGGCGCCGGTCTAGCCCTACAGCCAGATACAGCCCCCGTACGATTTGTGTATGCAGTATGGTACAGTATCGGCCCTCGACCGTTCGAAAAACCTCCAGTATCCGACATATCTTCTCGGTGAGAAAAAGAGATAGTTCTGTTTAAGAAAAGGGGTTTAAAAAAACGTATGCACTGACTGGAAGTTAATCAGCTTCTGCCCTACATCCAGAGCCATGAGAACTCCTGCATGTTGGGGCTTGGCACCCATTGTGTCATGGCTGCTAAATTCCACGGTAAAGTGGAATCTTAACTCTACCTACTATTATAGTAGCACCACCTATCATTATCTACCTAGTATTATTTAGTACGACATAACCGCTTTTATGGGTTGGTGCTCACTAGAGGCCCCGTGCACCGCTGGAGAATAAGCTCCCGGTCCAGATTTCCGCCCAAAGATAACTGTTTAACTGTTAAGGTCGTCCGCCGTCCGGGTGTTTCATTCGGAACCAGGCTCGCGCTTGTATAGTTTCATCCACTTCGCTTCTTTCCCGATGTGGCTTCCCTCCTTCCCTCCCCACCCGAAGAGTCGTTGCAGGTCCATATGATTCGATTGGCTGCATCTGTGATCGATCTCGATACGAACCCGAGCGGCATGGCGTCCCCAGCACCCGTTTCCGCTGTCCCATCATCGACATAGTAGCCCACCTATCTGATGGCAGTGGTAGACAGACTACTCCTGTCTGTTTATGGACAGGACACCGGGGGCAGAGAAAGACTGCAGAAGCCTACAAGGCATGCTCCCGTGGACACATAAATCATATAATGTCATCGCCCCATGTGATGGAAATTGCAGATCGACAGGCTGAGTCGGTCCAACCATATGCCTACTTCGGCAGTAGTCCGACTCTTCCAAATTAAAATGTCAGTCGATGCTCCACTGCCGGGGACGTTAATTTGGGGGGGGGTCGGAGGTGATGTCTTGAGAGTTGAGGTGGATGATGATATCGCTCGCTCCTTCTGCACAGTCAAGGTAGTGGAAAGATAGCCCATGTCCCATGAGATGTCCCATGAGGCTGGGGACAGCTCGTCCCCTTTCGCCCAGGTTCGCCCGGTGTCTCTCCCCAATCGGGAGCCGAGTGAGTGATCTCCAGAATGTTCCATTCGCTTGTTGTTGTCCCCCCCCTGTATGGTTCGGGTGTATAATCCAGACGTACATACGCGGCATTGTAACTTATAGCCGACCACGGTTGATGATTGAGCCATAAGCACTGCCCAGAAAGGACGGAGGAGGATATATGGCGTCTATCTAGGTGCTCGCCCAACTCAATTAAAATCCCACCACCCTCTATAATCTGTATGGATATCCGCCTGAGGTAAGTACCGCCGTGAGATGGCTTGTGAGTGTGGCTGAACCTGACCGCTAAGGTACCGCCATGCGAACCAGGGTAGGCGGGTAGGGACGCACCCTCAACGACAATTGGAGCCTTGGGAATGCTTGGGCGAAATGACGTAGATGGAGCTGAGTATCCGTGCTTGTTAATTGGGACATCGGAAATCGACTCGAATCCACAGTCAGGCCCGGGCTTTGACGGTAGTATGTATGATTGTGACCAGGTACCACCAGTACCTGACGCTTGCTGTGCTGGTGCCGGCTTCAACATACCGTAACCTAATACTTATACAGATGATCTACGGTAGTATAGGACCAAAAGTCTCCATAGTACGGAGTAGGCTGAGTCCGCTTGATCTCGATCATCATCCAGCAGAATATCCGGATATCCCCGTCTCGGGGAACAGGGATGCATGGCCGTCGGAATCTCTCTGCCTGCAGTCTATTGAGCGGCTACTGTTTCTAGTACAGTGGTAGGCACCTGTAGGTAGTTAGTCGAGTAGCTGGCGTATATACGATGGAGGTGGTTACTGAGGTATAGGGCAGGTATAGTACCATCACCGGTATAGATACTGAAATGGTAAGTTACAGTGCGAGATACGTGGAGTACTGTACGGCAGTATTACCACGGGATATTACTATTTACCGGGATCCACCCCACCCCCCTCACACCTCCCCACTGATCCTGGGTCTTCTTCGTCTGTTTTGAGTCCGACCCAGAAAATCATCTCGGAGACTGACCCAGAGATTTAATCTAATCCCGAAAAAATAAAAAAAGGCATAACAAAAGAGGACGACTTTTTTTTTTTACTACTCGGGAAAGAGTGTCAGAGAAAGAAAGAGCAGGAGCGAAAGGGACCGAATATTTACCTACCTACCTACGTAGTACCTAGGTAGGTTTCTGGAAGGTTTCCCTCATACCTCATTGCGTTGTTTTATCACTCAACCAACGGCCGTTATTATTTATTCGTCTTGCACGTCAAGGACGCCTCTCCCATGTGGCCCCCTTTCTCGACTCTTATTAATAACTATCACATTCTTTCCACAAAACCTCCGAGCAGAAATTCCTATTTCGAAAAATCATCTGCTCTTGGGGGGTGATTGCTTTTTGTTAGGCCCGAGTTCTTCAGCAGCCAGCAGTGGCCAAAGAACCAAAGAACACTCTCAGAGCAGCAGGCAGCGTCCTTATCCACACTCTACCTCCGAACTACTATTATTGGGGGCTTGTCTTACCGTCTGGTCCCAGTGCTTTCCCCCAACATCCATTCCTCATCTACTGCCTGTCGCGCTCTCCCCTCCTTTGGGCCCTCCCCCAAGTACTTCTTCTCCCTCTTCCCCCGCCATTCTTCCTGCGCACAGATTGTACTTCCTTTCCTGGCCCTCCCGTGCGCTCCTTCTCACCCTCCTCCAACACCCCCCCCCCCCCCTCCCCTCCTCCCCTCCTCCCCTTCCCTCTCTCGCCATCTCTCTCTCTCTCTCTCTTCTTTCCACCACCACCGCCTCTCGCTCATCTGATCGCCGAGTAAGGGGTACCTCTGCTATAAACCAAGTACCGTCCCGATCCCGTTTCTCCTCGACACCCACGCCGACTACTCCCCCTCCCCCTTCTCACAATACTGAAATACATCACTCCTCTTCTCCGCTCTTTACGATCCGATTCCAATACACCTGTTCTCCCCGGTGATAGACCGTGCGATCGCAGTTATTATCCATCTACAGTGGCTTGTGATGTGAAACTTTACCCCTGTGCCCACAGCAAGTACACGAGAACCGAACCGGAGAGCCTGTATAATACGTACGATCTATACGCTTTCGGATAACACCGCGGGAGTTGGATGCCACCTCTGTCTTCAGTCACCCCCTCTTTCTCTTCTGTGGTCTCGTTCTGCGCCTAATCGGCCCGGGCGCCCACGAACACGATACCTGGAGGCTTAAATCCTTCCAACCGCCAACATCATGCTCCGTAACAGGTATGCTGCCGTGTCCCGATCGGATGCTGCGACTCGCAAGTCGCCTGCCGTTCTGCTGCTTACCGGATTCATCACCCACACAGACAAAACTCCCAGAAGCCTGACGATGAGCTCATTCAGAAATTTCAAAAGACCTTCTCGGACGTCATGCCCTCAACGGTCTCTCACCGCAAAGACCCGCGGTTCGGTCAGATGCCTGGCATCGGACCTATCACTCCTGCCAGGTAAATACATTCATCCGCTACCAAGAACTGCGCCCAACCCGACTTTCGCTCGCCCCGTGGATTCTCTGTAGAGGAAAGCTAACTCGACTCTCCCCCGTCAGACTCAGCATGGGCAGTGATATGAAGCTCAATGAACCGACTTCCCGCGCATCACACGACTTCCGCTACGCAGCGCAATATATGGACCCGGTCTTCAATCCGTTACCGCCTCCTGGCTACTATACTCCAAACTCGGGCGGGTTAAGTGCAGTGTATCACAACCAGGCTGGAGACCTACATACTCCTGGCATGGCTATGAACATGATCACCCCGCTTTCTCTAGCCCAGCAGCTTCCTGCACCTACCATCAACGCCGACCCTGTGGCCTTAAGTCTTGATCAGTTCGATGAACAGTATCTTCCACCGCCCTTTAATAATCAACACCCGTTTACGCAGCAAGGGTCGTTCGCGCCTAGCGCTTTTATTCAGAGTGATACAGGTTATGATGCCATGGACGAGTCTGGCGAGGAATTGTCTCTAAATGATGTTGATATGCAGGGCCACCCGTCTTCTCATCTGGTTGCACAGACGATCCAAGACGATCAAATGAGCGTCCAAAATACTGGTGAAACGTAAGCTTGCAACGTCCCCTTTCCCTGTGTCTGACATCTATATTTAACGAAGGATTCAGTTTTCGTTACCATGCCACTCTACGCGCACCGACGGCAATGATCAATCACCAGACTGAAATTCCTGTAACATATCTCAACAAAGGCCAAGCATACTCTTTGTCTGTCATCGATTCTACCCCGCCTCCCAGGACTGGACAACCTCTCAAGTACCGTACCTTCATCCGTGTATCATTCCAAGAAGAGGAGCAACGGGCAAAGCCGGCTACTTGCTGGCAATTGTGGAAAGAAGGTCGAGGATCCAATGAAGCGCATCAGCGAGGCGGTAAGCTTCAAGCCGTCGAGTATGTCGATCCCGTTCAAGGCGGCATCGAAGACACGAAGAACCGCCAGATTAAACTTGAGAGCTCATCGTTCGATGGGTTCTGCGTCACATGGACTGTGAATCCCGCGACGGGGACGTCGGACTGTGCTATCCCGGTCCGGTTCAACTTCCTGTCGACGGATTTCAGTCATTCCAAGGGCGTGAAGGGCATTCCGGTCCGTCTGTGTGCGAAGACTGAGCTAGTTGCCCCAGATGAAATCAGTCCCAGCTCAGTTGGAGAGCACGAAGTGTGTTACTGCAGAGTCAAACTGTTCCGTGACCATGGAGCCGAGCGGAAGCTGTCTAACGACATTGCCCATGTTAAGAAAACCATTGAGAAACTCCGTCAACAGATATCCCAGGCTGAGATCGGCGCTGGAAATTATGGAAAGCGCAAGCGTAGCGGTGGCTCAATCGCTCTCAAGAGCGCTGACCCGCGCCCTGCCAAAATCTCAAAACACAAACGCACATGGTCCATGGGCTCCCAGGATGGCCCTGGCAAGATGTCTTTGGAAGATGACCTTCATGCGAAGCTAGCATTGATGCAGGACATGTTCACGTCGACGCGGTCGGTAAGCGTTCTAGGCTTACGGGGTGAAGAAGAAGACGACCCGGACCTGTTCCCTGTGGTGCTTCCAGAGTCGCGCGAATTCGTCAAGCGCGAGAATAGCCGCGGGCCCCGCTTCAGCGTTGATGCATCCCTGCACGGCGCTTCACCAACCAGTAGTAATATCTCGATCAACTCGCCATCCCATCCAACCAACACGCAGTCCAACACCTTCTACGACTCGGCATACCATGGATCATTGAGCACTTCGCGGGAGAACTCACGCACCGGCTCCGAAGCCTTAGGCGACAAGATGTCCCTTAAGCATCCCGTCAAAGTCCACAAAGTCGGTTCAAGTAACAGCCAGGCCCCAATGGGATTCATTGAAGCAGTGGATATCGACCCGACATACAGGCCACCCGTGGATCGACCTGCCAAGCCGAGTAAGTTGCCCCCGCGTCACTTGAGGTGTGAGACCTCTGAGCTAACAGAACTCTAGTCGCCTGTTTCTACGTCCGATTTCCGCGCAATGATCAACCGCAGGATGATTACTACCGGGCCGTTTACCTGACCGAACGGACTGTTCAAGATCTGATGGAGAAGATCTCCGTGAAACAGCGAATCGATCCTCAGCGTATAGTACGGGTTCTCCATGTCAAGCAGAATGGCCTCAAGATCATGGTCGACGACGACGTCGTCCGTGAGCTCCCCGATGGCCAAGACATGGTCGTCGAGATTTCCGAAACTGCGTCTCTCGAGAGTGCAGCAGCTACAGGAGCTGCTAACCTCAACTCAGCTGTCGAGGTCAAATTGAGCTATTGATAGCTCAGCCAATATACGATTCCCTCTGCCTTCCTCTCTTTTCGCCAAACCGTAAATTTTCACTTCAAATTATTTACCTTTCGCTGACATCTGCCGCCCAAGCAGAAGGGGCCCTTTTCGGGTGAGACTTTTTCAATCTAATTGGCGCCTGGTGCGTGATTTCAAGGTACACTTGGTCAAATCCATTACTCAAGCCGATATCTTTATTTCATTCGGAGTTTCGGTTCTGTTTGCAACGATCCTGCGGGGCGTTCGTTGGATAGGGAATAATACACGAGTTCCCGAGCAATGATACCCTGTCGCCATATGCATGCATATTTACTGTTTCTTGCTGTTTTTATCTTCATTTTATTTTCTTTTGAATCTCCTTGGGGTATATGTTCCGACGATATCCTTCCTACATCCGCTATTGTCTGCAACGCTATTTGGGCTTTCTGGGGATACACGACCTCGAATACTTTTTTTTTTTCTCTTATGTGGTTTTTAATTTCGAGGATCTGGTTGAGGTACGAGGAACACGATAAAGATACCCTGTCCATTCTTGTCAGAAATACCTGGTCTGCTGTCATTTTGTCTTTTGTGGCCCTTGTTGGGCGGCTTTCCCCCCTCCTGGATACCTGGCTGTTCCCGTTCTTTGGTACAGCAGTGGTTTTGGCTTCTCGTATGAAGATCTGAGCTCTAAAATTTTCTGTGATATACGAACGTACAGTCCACAATTCTACAGCTTCATCTTGGGTTGCTTAGCGATTCGTGTAGTCTGGTAATTCTGGTAATTGCTTGATATCGAACCTTCCGACTCCCAAATGTCCGGACCACCTCGTCGAGACCCAGTAGTTGCGATTGGAAAAAAAAAACCGTCCCACGATGAAATGACATCATAACAAACATACGTACTCTTTTTTTTTTTTTTTTTTTTTTTGCATCGGTGGGACATCTGTAGCGTAGCGTGTTGTGGTAGGCGTATCTCGACAAGCCATCGACGGTAGGGACGTCGCCGTGGCGCTTGCCGATCTCTTAGCCTGGAATCCGCCCGATCGGAAGGGGAATAGCGCGACAGCAGAAAGCAATCTGAATGGCGGGTGTCCGTTCCGTCAAACTGTCGGGAAAGCTTCCATTCCGTTCAGCGGTGGGCGCCGTACCGTTCGTCACCCACCACCACCGCATTGAACTTTGCAACCCTGGGAGGTTCGCCCTTCGAGACGAGTCAGTCCCCGAGTCAGCCCCGAACGGTCTCCTATTTCTACTCCGTCTCTCTCGAACCATGTTCCCCCCCTCCCTCGCTACCCCTGGGACCCTCTGTCAAATTCTTCAGCCCTTGGGGGGACATTCATTCTCCCGGACCGTCGATAGCATGAGGCTCGGTATGGTGGTTGTTTTGGTACTTACCTATGTAGGCACTGCCTAGGTAAGGCAATGGTTGTAGATCTCCGAGCAGTCCCGTTCTATGTACATAAGGTACATTCATAAGGTAAGGTAGTACAGTACCTACAGGCATACCATACCGTACATGGGATTACGCTTTATAGGTACCATACCTTCCCCAAGGGTACTCCGTACTCCGTATCTCAGGTATAATTGGTGTTTGGCGTCCTCGGAAATACTCCCGTACGGACCTCGTACCACAGGTACCTGGGTAGAGTACTGGGCGCTACTACCAGTACCTAACCTAAACCTACACCGTCTTAGATATCTAGCCGGTGGCTGTCTCTAACTTCATTTGGCTAATAAGTGCGCGTGTTTACACACTACAGAAAGCGCACGGGCAGGGCTTGCTTATGGAACAAGTCCGGTAGCGAGATCTCTGCAGTCTGCAGTGCGTCGGCTCTCTCCTTAACAGCAAGTCCATGCTCAATAATGGATACCCATGCAGTGATGTCTATCTGTTCCGTGTGCTGCTGCAGGTTCAACCAACCAACCAACCAACCGGTTTTTAAGACACGGAAAGGGGGGAGATGCTTCCGTATCAAATCTGGATGGACGGATGGATGGACAGAATACGAAACGATACTCTGTACTACTCGCTGCAACTGCTAGTCTGCTGCACTGCTGCACTGCTGCACCCATACATACATACCACCCACCTACCTACCTACTTTAGTAGTAGGTACCCAAAGATAAAACCACCTCAGATGATGATCGCCCGTTTCATCCACCCGGTCGTACTACTGTGCGACAACGTGGCCACCGAGGTCTATCTAGAGTCTAGACTAGGTACCTACTACTTACTACTATCACTAAGATAAATGGCCTGTCTCGGCGACTCGCAACTCGGGACAATCATTCTCACCTTCCTGAATTGAGTTGGCGGCATGGATGTCTCCCCCTCTTGTCTCCTCTCTTCTCTTCTCCTCTTTCGTTTCTCCTCTCCGCCCCTCTTCCGCCCTCCCCCCTCCCCCCCTCTTGTGCTTAGTGCGAGAAGGTACTAAATCGGTTACGGAATAATAATAATAATAACTCATGGGTAGGTAGTTAGGTTCCAGATTCCTCGGCCTACGTAGACATTTAGACTTTAGGCTTATCGTGCACGCCGTTTGGTCGCTATCTATCTGGAGTTGGAGTCTGGAGAACAATAGGAACCACGGATCCCGGCCTGGATGATTCGAAATTCCTCATCCATCCGAGATCGTCGATTGGGTCGGGACTGCACCTGCCGATCTCGTGGGGAGTGGGGAAATTCCGCCATTTGGGAGTTGAGTTGATTCTCTGTTTGGTGGTTCGTTTCGGGTGGTTTTTTTTTTTTTTTTTTGGTCCGGTCGGGGTTTTCTAAATTTGTTTTTTCTTCCCTCTCACTTTCTTTGTTTGGTTCCTTTCTGGTGTGTGAGGTGACAAATTCTGTATCACTTGTCTTATTTTGGGGATTGGGCGGGGGGGAGGGGAAGTGGTGGGTAGATAGTATTGAGTATCTACGGAGTACTGAGTACCGATATGTGGTTCTCTTACTATTTGTGGAATGATTGAGACAGCATGAAGACGAAGAAGAAGAAAAAATAAAAAAAGGGGGGGGGGAAGTAATTACGATATTTCCAATTCCCATATCTACCTAGGTAGGTAAAGTGGCCTAGACACACAACTTTCTATGTAGTACTACTACTAGTACATATATTAGTACGGAGTAGCACACCACCCCTCACCCAACCAGCCACTCCACACCTAAATTAACCAAACCGACTCCCACAGACACGAGACGAAAACCCCATCATTTATTTCTTCCTTAGAACCTACTCCCTAGTACCTATCCAGATAGTTAGTAGTAACCATAATCCCAACGCTCCCCCCTCCCCTCCCCCCCCTCTCCTCCCGCCCGCGAGGACACCGACGGAGCCCGCCGAATCGGGCCCAGCGCCGGCGCCACAAACACCCATGATGTCATTGTACCCAGGGCTTTGGGATCTGGATCTGACTTGTACCTTGCCATGTCGTCATAGCCTGGCTAGTGCCTGTCAATTTCCTTGGAACAGCGGCCTTCATCAGGTCAAATTCTGCTGTATGGCGCCTCCACGCGGGTCGTGCCGGGGTGGGGATCCCAAGCTCTGCTCTGCTCCTGGTCTTTGGTTTCGGTCGTCTGGCGGTGCGCGGTATTTTTCGCTAGCGTTCCGTACCGAGTTACTTACCTGTACCGTTTGTATGGGCGTACGGGCAACACGGGCGGACAGACGGGGCTGGACGATGGAAACCTGAACCGTAAGATACATGTATGGAGTGGCTGTATGTATACTTGCCTAGGCTCAAGTGGGTTGGTTGGTTATGGGTGAGAGGGAAGGTACTAGGTACTATAGTAGTGAGATGAGGTGAGAAGGTTAGTATACAGATTTCGCTCGGGGACGCAGGAACAATTAGTTAACATCGAGACATGGATGGACTTTGTACTGTTATGTATGCCCACCTAACTAGGTACTACACTACTACTAGTTACTCTTACCTTAGAGAATCGATCGAGATCGATCGAGTCGACGATCAGGCCGTGAGATTTGGTTGCGGGTGGGTAGTGTAGTTCGTGGTTCGTGGTTTCGTAGCATATACTATACTTACCCTACCTATTTACTTCCATGATGTCAAATCGACCCCATCACTAGCACGTTTTGCACGGCGCAAGGGTCTATTTAGCCTAACGGCCGTTGGGAAAAAAAAAAAAAAAAAAAAAAAAAGGAGGCTGCAGGATCGCAATTCAACATTTAAGGTTGGTTGTTTTTTTTTGCTCAAACGTGCCTGTCGTATCCAGGGGAGAACCGTGTTATTTGCCACTGAGATCTCGCTCCCGAGCTGGATCCAGTTTTTTTGGGCTCCTCGGCGAGGATTGATTGGTCGATCTGCCTCGGGTTGTTTGGTTGACAGTTTTGCTGATGTCGCTTGTAAGGTAAGGTACTACTACTGCTCTACTTTGTTTGGCAAGTAGGGTCCTTGACTGCGGGGTGAAGGGTTGAGGTGGCATCTGGATATTGATATCGACATCGTTCTGAAGGGGGGATGGCTGTAGATCAAGAGAGTGATGAGATGATGATGAGTTTAGGGCGATCGCATTGTTTATCGAGTGGACTTGGGGGGTTGTTGGTGTTTTCATCGAGGTTTCACTTCACATCTGTAGGTATACTGGGATGAACCCAGGTAGCATGTAGTGCTACCTACCAGCCTCCCTGACCATCTCGCGGGGTAGATTCTAAGACAAGCTACTATACATAGTTCCTGCTATGGGAGCCAGTGCGCACTCGAAGCCGAAACACTGCCACTCCTTGCTTTTGCGTGCAGCGATATAAGACATCATCTCGATGGATATCATGTCACCGCAAGAACCACCCCCCCCCCCCCCCCCCCTCCGAAGTATTCAGTCTCTGCTCTGCTGTTGGAGTGAACGTGAAGTACTCCGTACAGTTGTCGCGGTGTAACTCCCTCCATTCACCTCGACTCGTTTGTCTTGCCCTTGCCTAGTTGGGACGTTGTTGTCGCACTTTCCTTGAACGCACACTCGCCTGGGTGACACCTGACTTGACTCTCCCCCCCCTCTTCCTTTTCTTCCTCCTCGTCCTCTCTTTTGTCTTCTTCTTCCCCTCATCCCCCTCTTCATCCCATCCTCTGCCATCTCCTCTCATCCATCTTTGACGTTCGCTCGTTCCACTCATCCTGTTCAGTCAAAGAACTCATCTCCCTGACTCCCTCGCTCGTTACTTTCACCTTCGTTTACTTGTTCTTCTGATCTGACAATCGTTAAAATGATCATGAAGCTCACCATCAAGTTTGCAGTCCTCGTGGCTGTCTTTGCCTTCGCGGCCTTCGGCGCTGCCTTTGGTAAGTATAGTCTCCTCGTTGATCCTCCGTCCGCTAACCTCAACCAGATGCTTTTGAAGACACCGGAGTTGCCTACAATGATGAGTCTATCATGAAGGCTCCCATTGGTAATTTCCTTGAGCCCCCTCGTACCATAACAAACTGTCTGTTCTGACGCGACATTGCAGCCCGTGACGCGTTTTTCCACGCGATCAACGACGTTCTCCCTCGGGATGGTAAATCTGCCTTGATTCCATACTGTCTTATCTGTCTTGCGTATCAACAATGATGAAGGTCACTGTTGCTAATACTTTTACCTTAGTTACCATCATCAAGACTATCTGTGAGACCGAGACCTCGGTGGCTTCTACCTTCACTACGGTCCCCCAGCCTGGTCCTGTCAATACCGCAGCTACTGGAACTACTCTGCCTCACACTGGTGCTACTGGTACTGTGATTCCTCCTGTGGCTCTCACTACTGTCGCTACTGGTGCTACCACCGTGATTCCTCCCGTTGTGCCTGGAACCACTGCTGCCCCTACCGCTGGCACTGGGGTTACTGCACAGCCTGCTACTTCCGGAACTGGAGCTGCTCCTGTCACTTCTGTGACTCAGGGTGCCCCTGGTACCACGGTGCAGCCTCCCTCTTCCTCGGAGACAGCTAGTGCCCCCACCACCGAGACCGGTAATTCTACTTCGACCGTGTCCTCGGGTGAGCAGACTAGCAGCAACCACACTGTTGCCTCTCACACCACCTTGTCTGTCAGCACCACAGCTCCCAGCAGCACTCACACGTCTGCGGCTCCTACCGCCAACGCCGCTCGTGGCTATGGAGGTATGCGCTCTGGTCTGCTGGCATTTGCTGGTATTCTTGTTGGCTTCGGCATCTAAGTTTCGATTTGATGCTCAGCCTTGCATGCTCTCCCGTTGAAGGGGTGTGCTCGGTGACCTGGAGCAATTGATTATTTCTTCATTTGCTGAAAAGTTTCATTATGAGTCGACGTTGTGACGATTTCCTTTGTTTTCATGAAAGTTCGGGACGCAATGCGTGACTACACCTGGCTCCCTTAATATCCCGTTGATTGTTTCTAGTTAAAGCGGCCGGTCACCGCCTAATCTAATCAAAGTCTTACGGACCTTAAATGCCTTGATCTCATTTGCGCAGTAAATCGTTGCTACCATGGGTATCTCCTAAAGAATAAACATACACCTGTCCAGTTATACTATGGAACATGTAGCGGGAAGCCCATCCGTCACCAACTACCCACACTGGCACGCTGAGTTATCACCAAGCCGACGTTACCCAGTTGATACCTATATACCACATGAGCAGGTAGCCTCTATCCCCATCCCTCTTACCCCCATGGAGTTGAGCCCATCGCCGAGGTCGCTGTTCCGGAGGAAAGAAGTTCGAATGTTGAAGTCAAAAGAGGAAGCAGATGACGAGAATGCTGTAGTCATCACCATAGACCCCATAAATAGCACGTGACAGCCTACATCTCCGCCCGCATTTCACCGCGCAGGAGACGCGCGAGCTTTACGCATCAGAATCCCCGATAGTCTCCAGCTCCTTAGCCAAAGCACAGATGCGACATCCATCGCCGATCCGGTCTCTTAGCAATCGAGCCGTCGTCACCTTGGGGCCAACCGTCCGGGATGTAGACAGTGACAGCTCATCCATCATGGGAGTATAGGTCTGGGTTGGCGAGAAAGGACGGGGAGTTTGAACAGCGGAGCGACTGCCAGGAGTGCTAGCGGAGGATTCCGATGAATGAACGTGCGATAAGTGGAAGACGTGACCGCAGGCGAAACCGACAAGGATTTCCTTCTCTGTGTAGGTACGTTTTTTGATTAGCGGGTTTAATTATGATAGGATGGGATTTGGGGGGAGAAGGAGGAGGGGGGGTTGTTCTTACCATTTGCACGGAAAGGCCGATGACAGCCTGCGCATCGTCCTGCCGGGGCGGCAGATGATGTTGCCGTTCTTGTTGTTGTGGTGGAGGCGTTTTCGGCGCCGAGGTCACTCTTAGCTCTGTAGTTGTTGGCCAGTTCGGGCGTGGTGGTTGCTTGTGTGGTGGGGGTTCCGGGGATGGACTTGTCCTCTTCGATGATGTTAAATTTGATTCCGCGGCGTTGGCCCTGTCGGAGGGTGTCCATGCCGACGGCGACTTCGCTTTGGAGGACTTTGGCGGCTCCCTGGCTGATGCTGGCTTGAAGGTCGTGTTCGCGGATCATGCGCGTGAGGCCTTCGCGGAGGCCTTCGATTTCGAGGCCGCTGGGGATGCGCCGGACGAGTTTGATGGGGTCAATGGAGGTGCCTGCTTCGACGAGGAGTCCGTGGATGAAACGCGGTTTGTCCATCGAGTAGTCGAGGAGGTCTTCCCAGAGGTCGGGTTCGTTCTGGGACTTGGCGAACTGGATGGCCTGCGAGACGTCCTTCAGGTCGGAGAGGATGAGGTTCAGGGCGCGTTTGGTCTGGCCGGTCTTCGAGAGCAGGTAGATGAGCTCCGGGGTGAAGTGGCGTCCCTCGCAGATGCTGACGGCCATGTCGAAGGAATAGGACGTGCTGGTTTGGAGGAATTCCATGAGCAGGGGACGGTCGTAGTCGGCGAAGAGTTCCACCGCCGTGTCGGCGAAATTGTCGACCAGGGCTTTCCCTTCATCCGCGGCGAGTTTGCTGGCTGCGTCTCGAACGTGAGCGAAGTGACCCCTACGGGGTTTTGCGGCACCATGGGGAAGGGACTCCCCTCGCCAGAGAGCCCGGATGTAGAAGTATAGGTAGAGGAGTTTATTCGCTGCTTGCAGCTGATCGACTACGAGATCCGGTCGGACAATACCCGTGTAGGCTTCGCTGACGAGGAGTCTGATGGGTTCTGCTGTGAGCTCGTCGAGCTCGGAGACAGGCGCCGATTTCAGCTGTTCTTTGGAGACGCGGATCAGGATGAACGCGGGGATGTCATCCGTGAGCGTATCCAACAGACGGTGGTCCTTGATCAGGGCCATCGCCGTCTCTGCGTCTTGGAGGCGGATGTAGCAGTGCAACGCTTTGCCGTAGTGGCCTCCCGCAAGGTATATTTTAGCAAGACACTTGGTCAAGACTTGCCAGTCATCGTTCTCCGGGGCTGTTGCTTCATCTTGCAGCTGCTCCTCCACTTCGGTCGCAATGTTGTTGACGTCAAACAAATCGAACGGCCATGAGTCGACGAGCTCGCTGAACTTGGACCGGTCGTGTGCGACATAGTGTCCGAGGATGGTTTCGTAGAGGTTCGCAGGGAGGCTGGGGCGCATATGGGTAGGCATGACAGACGAGATCTCGTCCAGCTTATCGTTCTTGATGAAGGCCCAAGCCCAGTGTTCCCACCTGTGCGCGGTGTCTATGGCTTTCACGCAAACATCCGCGGCCTCCTTCCATTTGTCTCCATCAACGAGCTGTTCGATCCATAGCTCGCCAATGCGGCGCTTTTCTTGTTCGGCAGCAGAACCAATGGTCCGGCCGGTAGTGGTGATTGAAGACCCGTCATCGATGAAGGATTCGCCAACGCTACTACTCAGCGACCGGGTGGGAGTTATAGGGGTATGATCGTTCAGGTCATTTGCAGGACCCGCTGCTTCGGGATGCTCCTGAAGAAGCGCCCACGCTTCCTCGTATTTCTCATGCGCGTCTAACCACGCCAGGCGGTCCGTGAGGTCCCTTTTCAGGGCGGCGATGCAGTCATACGGGCTGTGGATAAATATCTTGGCCCCCACGCTCCCTGCAATGTCCTGGACCTCCTTGGACGGGAGTTCCTCGTGGACGATCCGTCGCGAGGCAATGGTGCTTGGTGCCCTAATGGAACCTTTGTCTCCACTGCTTGTTGTACTGCGAATACTGGCGCCCGAGCTGAACAAGCGCGCAGGATAGAGCGTTGCATCCCATAGTCCATTTCCGAGAGCTTCCAGTGTACCCCGTTGGGAAACAGGCACGGTCGTCTTCCAGGGAGGAAGAACACACATATGATAGTCTGAGGAGGTCAGGGTCTCATAGCGGCTGGATGAAATGGTATCAGCACTAAGTTCTTCCTTGGTGTTGATGTTGATGATGCGTAGCTCAGGCTCCAGTCCCCTTGGCCGCCGGCGCGTTCCGGGACGAAGGCCTCCCAGCTTGGTGCGCTCTTCTGAGACATCCTCCTCCGCCTCGATGTAAGCAAGAACCGCCAGAAGACTAGGCGTATACATTGATATACCGGAGATGACGCAGTCTGTCCGCAGTATTGTGGAAACCTCAACAGCCCCGATCTTGTGATCTCTGTTGTTCTTGCTTGGCCGATCGGGGTACACGTCAATGACCCAAACAGTGCCTCCCCAGCCAACGACCAGCTTCTCCACCTTCTCCTTGATGATAGTCGACTGGGGCAGGGATAATGTCTCCTTATGCGCCCCTCCCTTACTGCTTGGACGATCGTCACCATCCAGAGTGCTCTCGTCCACCCACTCGGCACGGGCCTTCCAGACACCTGCCATTTCCTCCCATCCCGGAAGGCTGGGACGGTCAATGTGACTGACCCGCTTCCAAGCAAGGTCCGAGTCCATCGAATCTAGGTACAGGTTCGACCGCATGATTTTGATGCCCTCTTCGTTGACCCAGACGACATACTTCCCCGATAAAGACCATTTAATCGTACTGATAGCGCCTTCGCCACTATGGAGGATGGTATCCTTGCCGGTATTGGCTGCCAGACCGAAAGATCCGAGCCAACCCGCCGCCGCAGCTGCAGCGCCTCCCATTGTTGTAGAATTGGTGCTGGCACCCACTCGACCGCCGACCGTGAGAATCAGATCCCCCGCCCGTCCGCCAGACAGGAACGTCCTGTCACTCTTATATTCGGGGGAGAGTGCGACGGCCTGGACGGGCCGGCCAAAGTTCCGCAAGAGGACATCTTTGGAATCCACGAGGGATGCGACGCAAACGTTTCCATCCATGGAAGACGTGGCAATATATATCGAATTGGAAGGTGTGAAAGGCAGGTTTGCCTGGTGGCCTGACCGGCGTCCACGGAGGCTGGCTGCGCCGGATGAGGGCCTCGCGGGGTATTCGAGGTCGTCGGGGACCCTGCTGAAGAGCTCTTGCTTCACGCTCGGTAAGGGAGGAGGGAACGGGGAGACCGAGACGGAAGTGATGCTTGCGGAATGGGCATGATATACGCGAAGAGAGCGCAATTGGGGCACCGATAGTACATGCTGGGAGGGGTCAGTTCTGGGGGGTGCATCTCAAACGGCATTTCAGCTACCTACAATGTTTCCATTGTGCGAACCAATTATCTAGATACGGTCTCAGTCTCGAGTGCTCTTCAGGATATCTGGATCACCCTACCATCTTGTCCCCAGCAGCGAGGAAGGAGCTGGTTGCATCGCCGTTGCGATACACCGCCCCTAAGTGCTTGGTCAAGGGAGCGTACTTGAGTCGGGGTTCCTCTTCCTCGTCATCATCCTCGTCATCCTCCTCCTCTGACCCCTCCTCGTCTTCCCCACCCCCTTCACCTTCGCTTTTCATGCCATTGTGGTGGTGGTGGTGGTGGTGGTGGTGCCCATGGTCGGGCCGACCGGGGTGGTTGCTGTCCGGGTATGTACTCTTCCTCACCACGGCATCGGGGTCGTGGCTGTGGCTGTCCTGCCGGACACTATCGTTTGCCTCTGTCGCGCCAGGCGCGTCCATGGCGAGAGGGGATTCCGGACCTCGAGCTCCGGAGACTAGGCGCAGGGGAAGGGAAGCTTCATGGCACCGATGGGCCGAGCAGCAACAGCTGGAGCTGGGGTAACTGACTGGGTAAGTCAGTAGGTGAGTGACGGTCAGTCGGGCGGGTTGGTTAAGGTAGCCGCCCCATCGGGCTAGTCCAATGCACGCTGACTCAGCATCGTCATCCCGGCTCGTTTTCTGCAGTCGATCTTTCTTTCTCCGAGCGTGCGAGAGACGGTGTTCATTCTGTTGACCCCGCAGGGCATCGGCCCCGATTGACTGATCCGACTCCATTGGCCGCGTGAGAATGTTCGCAAGGCCGTATGTCTGCGCCGTGTGTTCCCGGCCACCGACCGTCAGGCTCCTCAAACAGCCGCGGAGCCAGTATCTTCACGCCTCACCGCCATTGAGCTCGCCTCGCCGCAAGGATTTCTTCTCCTCCAACGCCTACCTTAGCCAGAAACAGGCCCGGAATGGTGATGCGACAGAGGAGCCGCTTTTAGAAGGCCAGAAGCAACGGAAACGGAGTAGTCGGTCGCCGGCAGCAACGACGTCGCTCCGGCGAGTCGCGGTGGAGGCACAAAGATCCAAGGATGGCATCGTGTCCAAAGCCCAGCTCCGAGAGCGGGGGATCTTTCAGACCAAGGTGCGACCGACCCCCGCGGATCCATGGCCAATTGCTAATTGTTGGATGGAAAGACCATAACAGCATATGCGGTAGCCGAACAATTCGATATTCGCCAAGTCAGAGAGATCTTGCAGGAAAAGGGCTACGAACCGGACCCTTATGAGACGGACTTGTACCCCCAGGTCGTCCACGTTCAAGTTCCTCTCGACTCGATCCGTCGCGTGAGCAACCCGAATACCACAGATCTGGCCCCGAACGAAGTTGGCGATGTGTTCGTCTTTCCGTCCGGTACCGTTGTCGCCTGGTCACTCCCAGAGGGGTTTACCTCCTTCCTAGCGACTAGAACATTGCTGCCTGCGGCTCGGGGAGCGCATCTTGATGACCTGGAGACGGAAGACCTCGAGTTCGTGGAAGATCCCCAGCGGGAGAACAGCAGCATCAAAGGCGACACCATCATCCTCGGGACCAAGCCCGGCAATGACATCCTTGACCCACACACAGCAGCACGGCAACCTGTCGACACGGTCCTGACAAAGGTAGCTTTTTCGTCAGGACTGGCTCGGAGCACGAAGCTGGCTGTCCTGGAGTCCCTATTATCAAACTATTTCGAGTCTACTAGGACAATCCCCACGCTCTTATCGAAGGGCTCTCGTCTCCCCTTCACGAGGGACTTCATACTTCGCAAGACGGGGCAGCTGCTTAGTGTGCGTGCACAGCTCAATCTTTACTCGGAGCTCACGGATTCTCTACCCGACATCTTCTGGGATAGCCGACATGAGCTTGGACTGGAAGGATACTACGAACAAGTTGGAAGGGCGCTCGATGTCGGGATCCGCATCAAGCTCCTGAACGAGAAAATGGACTACGCACAGGAGATTGCCAGCGTTCTTCGGGAAAGGCTGAGCGAAACGCATGGGCTCCGACTGGAGTGGATCATCATCTTGCTCATTGCGGTCGAGGTGGGCTTTGAGGTTCTGCGACTCTGGAAGGAGCGCATTCACGAACAAGAGATACAGAGCCAGAAGGACGATGAGCGGTAAAGTTGGATTGAGCAGCCTCAATCTCCACTCATGTATATAGATAGTTATGACTTCGATAATTGATACCCATTGTTATTGCACACTACGTAAGTGGCCCTTATCGACAAATCCGGGGCTTATCGGCGGATCCGCCCGACGGACCAGTCAGAGGCGAGATGACCGATCAGCTGCTGCTGAGTCAGGCCGGGACCCGTCATGGGATGGCTGCACGTGCGGCTGCTTGTTGGGACTCGTCCATTCGCCTCTTCTTCTGCCTCGCCCCTGACGCTCTTCCCTTCTCTCTCGCAATTCAATTGACTCCCCTGAGAATTACTACTCCCTCGCAGTGTGCTTTGTATTTCCCCGTCCCTGCAATTGCTGAGAGCCAGCCACGCACCCCCCCCCCCCAAACACGTCATGCTGGACACGGATAGCACTAGTGCTATCGGCTCCACCGCCTCCTCCATGCGAGACCGACTGCTCCAAAGCATCCCAGGGCCGCAGCAGGTCCTCAAGGCCATAACAGGCACATTGGGGGTTTCCTCGGTCTCAAGCCCACAGCATTTGACCGAAGAAACGGTCTTCCGGCAATGTCCCGGGGCCGAAGTGAGCTGTCAAACCAGCTATCATGGCCAGGATCTATGCTGCTTCAACTACCCCGGCGGACAGATGCTACAGACACAGTTCTGGGACGCTGACCCAGCCATTGGACCGCAAGACTCTTGGACCATTCATGGACTCTGGTGAGCTTGTCCACACTTTACCCTGACCCGGAAATTTCCCTACCATCTCCCCCCAATTCCACCCGGCATCGCCACTGACTCCTCCCCGCACGCTAGGCCGGACCACTGCAACGGCGGCTTCGACCAGTACTGCGACTCCAAACGCAGATACAGCAACATCTCGCTGATCCTGATCGACTCCGGTCGCGGTGATCTAGTCGACTACATGAGCGATTTCTGGAAGGACTTCCGAGGCGACGACCCGAATCTCTGGGAGCATGAGTGGAACAAGCACGGCACTTGTGTCAGTACTCTAGAGACTCACTGCTACAGCGATTACTACCCACAGCAAGAAGTCGTGGACTACTTTGACAAGACCGTCGATATCTTCCGAACCCTACCCACCTACGAGGTTTGTCGCCCTTTTTCTGGAATCCCCAAGCCATCATGATGCTAATCAAATGTAAAACCTCCAGACCCTCGCCAAAGCCGGCATCATCCCTTCCTACACCCAAACCTACAACCTAGCCGACATCGTCGACACCCTCTCCAAAGCCCACGGCGCCGAAGTCACCGTCCGCTGTCGCCACCAAGCCCTCAACGAAGTCTGGTACTACTTCAACGTGGCGGGTCCCCTGCAGACCGGGAAATTCGTCCCATCTGACCCAGGTCCGTCAACCCATCTAACCTCCCCTTCACTCTCACGCAGCTCACTAACAAAACCCTATAATAATCACCAGATGGCCAAACATCCAACTGCCCCCGGACCGGCATTCACTACATCCCCAAAACTCCCCGAAACGGTCACGAACCAACCAAGACATCACGCGGGCCTGCCGAACCCACCTCCCCGGGAACCCCCTTCTCAGGAAAAGGCAACCTCATGATCTCGACCCTGGGCCAGAAGCGAGGTTGCATTATCAGTCGCGGCGCGTGGTTCACCTCGGGCACTTGTGCGACCTTCACGACTAAGAAGGCGTCTGGTTCGTTCTTCTCCTCTCCCTTATCTTTCCCCCTATCTTTACTATTGAATCCACCTCATCCACCACTACCGAAGTAGAGCCGATTTGCTGACAATATGCATTGTTAGATGACACGTTTACCCTGCAGTCGAGCAAGGGAGCTTGCGGGTTCTCGCATAATGATGTCTTCACCTGCGGGGGTTTCATCTCTTCTCCCACGGAGTTTAGTGTAAGCATTCTCATCTCTTGTGTCTTCTTTTTAATTATCACCCCCCCCCCCCCCTCCCCCTTGTATATGAAGTCTTCATCACTTCCAAAAATCGAGCGAAATGGCATGGATATATAACTAATCCCGTCCAGGTCGAGGACGGAATGCTCTCCTTCCACGGCAATACGAGCTTCTTCGCAGACAAAGCGCCCAAGGGCGCAACGAAGAGCAAGGTCTTCGCCACTCCGGAAGACCATCCACTTGAGCTAGAGATCACGTGGAGGGAGGCCTGATAAGATGGGCACCATCTCCCCATTCAGGACATACGCCACGCACATTCATATCATTCATTCAGTCATTCATAGAAGAAACCGTGTTTCCATAATATAGAGCATATTTGCATGGCTACAAATCCGTCTGCATTAGCATCACAAGATATATATAACTGTGAAATAAACATGTCCGGAGTATCAGAACAAACCATTATCTAATCTAGCACAGTCGAAGATCATCGATACGTATTGTTTTTTACTCAAGGATGATCTTTTTCTTTCAGATTTGCAGATTGATGTTAATCTATCGCTAACTAAAGTACAGGCTCAGCCAGGCCAGGCTCAGTAAAGTAAAGTAAAAAAGAAAGCCAAGCGACCACAGCAAAAGGGTAAGTAGTATTAAGTAAATTCGTAAATAGTATAAACGAGAGTGGGAATCTTCTGCCTTTTCTTTTTGCAAACAAGAATGAAAACAACGGACAACAGAGACAAATCCATTGATTGGTTGGTTATTTGGTTGGTTGGTAACTCAATCAATCTTTTGCGTGCAAAGAAGACAATCGAAGATAGGAAGCGTAGTCATCATATCACAGGCGTCAATAGAAACAGGAAAAAAGAAAAAGAAAAAATAAAGAAAAAAACTAAATATGGAAATCCCAAATGCAGAAATCAAGTCAATGCAACAATTTGATCGATTAAGTCGAATCAGATCAAGGATATCAAAGATATCATCATCTCGCATTGAGTGTGATCATGAAAAACAAAGAACGGATGACCGACCTGTAGAACTCCGTATTTAGCAAAAGAGAAGAACAAAAACAAAAAAACAGTAAGTCATTTCCGGCAGATCCCAGGGTTGTTCGGTGGTCGTACATGTGTATGTGTATGAGTGTCATTTGCATTGCATTGGCATTGGAAAACAAAATAAAAAAAAATCAAATCAAATCAAATCAAATCAAATCATAAAACACATCAGATGCAAGATGCGAATTTCGCAGGGGAAGTACAGTAAGTCATATGCCATGCCCCCCCCCCTGCCCCCGAAGCAGGGTGGAGGTAAAAAGCTTTTTTTTGTTGCTGTATCACAGTTAACTCATTTGCATTGGTGAAGAAAAAAAATTCTGTGTCGTTGAGGAATTTTGTTTGTTTGGTTGGTCGTTGAATTGTACATAGATCTTCGTGTCGTGCTATTTTCTTCGAAAAAAAAGAAAATGATGATTCGTTTCTTATATGCATGGTTCCAGTTATTCATCCAGTCCTAAATCGTAAGAGTCTTGTTGCACATGGGCCGGTAAGCCTAGTCGTCGCGTCGTCAAATCGCCTGTCTGTCGTTGTATTGCATTGTCTTTTGTTTTTCTCTTAAATTCGTGTCGTGTCTCTTTTTTCGCATTTCGTCAAGTTGCGTGTAGATCGTCATCGTAACTTTTTTTTTCTTTTTCGTCTTTTAGTCCATGAAGAATTCCTTGGTCATAACATCGGAGGGCGGCTCGTCGACCTGGAATTGGAAGAAGAAGTCGTCACCCATGGCGGGACCGGAGCAGAAGTTCTTGTTGGGGAACAGATCCAGCCCGGTTTCAAAGGCCGTGGTGTTGACGTAGTCGGGGAAGGCAACCATGTCTGGGTCAGCGAGGTCTAGACTTGCGGTCGATTCCTGGCTGATGAAGATGTCCAGATCAGAGCCGTGAGATGACTCGGACAGAGTAGGGGCTGCATGTGGAGAAGACAGCGTGTGGCTGGCTGAGCCAGAAGCATCGGTGTACGGGCAAGTCTCGGGATCAGACATGTAGGGCAAGCCAGGGTCTCTGATCAGCTTATGGAAGGGAGGCTTCGATGGCGAGGAAGGCAGCATCTCGTCCTCCGTGCTGGGGGTAACCGATCGCTGATCGCGGGCAGGTGATGCTGCGTTGCCAGTGCTGTGCCCGGGCGATTGAGGAGGCGTGAACGTGAAGACCTCTGGCGGCAAGGAATAGTTGGGGTCGGTGAAGACCGGCATCTCTTCGGCGGGACTCGAGCCATGGAGACTCATATTCTCGAAGACGTCGGAGGGAGGCGTGTTACGGGATGAATCAGAGGCAGAAGAGTCGAATGATGTCTTCTCCGCGATTCTCTGGCGCGTTCTCAACGATTTCTCTTGTCTCTCGTCCATCTCAGGTCGGTGTTTCTTGGGACGACCCCGCTTCATGGTCTTGCGTACAACGCCTTTGTAGCCACCAATGCACATTCCGCGTTGCCGGTGCCGAGTCAAGGCATCATGTCTCGCAAACACATTTCCGCACAGACATTCGTAAGGCTTGTCCCCGGTGTGAATCTTGGCGTGCCGCTTGAGGTCGTGTCCACGGACAAAGCATTTTTCGCAATGGTCACACTTGAACTGGCGATCACCCAAATGAGTCTGCACATGGGACTTGATGTTCTCTTTTCTTCCGAAGCGACGCTCGCAGCCAGGGTGCAGGCATACCCACTTTCCATCCTCCGGGTCTGGTCCGTGAATGAACGACGCAATCTCATCGATAGTGACACCTGTTTCTTTGATGGATGCCTGCACTCGAGCATCGAGGTTGAGGCTGTCGATATTTGCTACCCGTGGAGAAAGCCTGGCCTTTGCGGTGGAGCTAGGCGTCACACTCGGCGTCTTTCCATGGTGCGCACGGCTGGGAGTAGCAGGGTAGATGGGCAGCTTCTGTGCCTTAGTGCCATCCTCGGGACAAGGCATGGCTGCAAGTTCTGGAGACGACATAAAGGACGACGATGCGGACGACGACGAGGCATATTGGCTTTGTGATAGACTCTCCGACTTAGGAATGTCGAAACTGGAACCCTGCTCATAGTTAAACGTATCAAAATTATCCACTTCAAATGAGGCTGTGTTCGAGGGGGAGGGCATGTCAAACTTCTGCTGCGAAAACGTAGTTCCAGCCACTCCTTGGAGAGACTTCGCTCGCTGCATATACGACGACTGGGCTGATCCGGGAATGGACGGGTTCTGACCCTTGGTGGGCGTTGACTGGATGTCTCCACCATAGTGGGCAAGACCCACTGTCTTCTTGAACGGTGTTGTGGCTGGGGTGATAGGGACAAAATCTAAAGATGGTCAGTAAACCGTGTATACTGCGTGGATGGAAGTGTACTTGACTTACGTGAGCTGCTGTGCTTGGGCGTATGCGGTTGTTGGCAAGGGCTAGCGTCCGACTGCACCGATAGTTTTCTCACGTCGGAAGCAATGGGGAGGGTTTGGTGCGGGAAGGTCGCTGCGGCGTTGTGTTGCTGGTACATATCCCAGGCAGCATTCTCGAGGATTTGGCCCTCCAGCGCGGAGTTGCACGGGACTTTCGAACTTTGTAATTGCTGTTGCTCCATGAGGTTGAAATGCATATTCAGGTCCCCGCCCTTGATGAAGTTTGCATTGATATAAGCCATGTTCGGTTGACTGTCCTGGCCAATGCGATGGTCGAAAGGCTGCAATTCTTCGGGGCTAAAGGTCTGGCACTCCGACATCATGGGCATGGGGGATGGCTGCTGAGGAAAGGACGGCTGCGCTACACAGAGATACTGCTGCTGCTGCTGCTGGCTTTCTCCAAGCATGATTGGGGGTTGCTGTGGTACTGGTAGGTTAGTAGGATAGACGGTACCATCTTGCATGGACTGTGATCGTTGAACACGCAGAGATCTGTGGTCGAAGCTCTGGCCGCGGCGATGAGCGTGGTAACGATGCATCGCTTGCGCGGGAAGACTGGGCACCTTCATGGCATCGAGGGCGGACGGCGTCGAGATCTGCCGGCGATGTTGTCGATGTCGGTCATGAAGGTTGCCGTGCGCAGTGGACGACAACATGATGAGTGTATGGCTCTTGGAATACTCGTCGCAGGTTGCTTGGTCGACGAATTGACGGACCTCTTGGTAGGATCTGTAGGGTTTAAGAGGTAAGCTTTTCTGCACAATCCCTGCGCGCCAGGCGCATTCACCGTCGGTATACCAACCTCGCGCGATGCTAGCCACACGGCTGGGCCGACAAGATGGTATTGAAACCCCCTGCAATGGTGTCAGTCGGTGGACTCTACAACCAAATCACTCACGCTAGGGAAGGTTAGGTAAGAGAGAAACGGAGCAGGAAAAAGTGAGCAGTCAATAAATCAGAGTGGGCTCTGCGTTAGATCTATGCAAAGAGACTTTGGGCGACGCCTGCTATAGATCTGTAATGCAGACGAAGACGCAACCGAAGCCTTGGAAGCTTCCTGCGGGCTGGTATACGTCTGAAACTCCTAGGTCTGAGGGGAGGAAGATGGGGGGAGCAAGACAAAGGAAGTCTAGGGTATTTAGAGGCGGGAACCAGGGAACGGTGGATGGAGATGATGAAGCTATCGCGATCCACCGACCACGGTTCAGATCAACAATGGCGTGGTTGGCCTAGCAACGGGGGCCGAGTTGAGGCGTCGGGGAAACCAGAGCCCCTTGGCATGGAGCCGGCGATTTGGGCTGCGCGGTGGATCGGATCCCTGGCTACTGGCTAGCAGTGGCTCGGACTGACTCCTGGCTCCAGCTGGTCCGAACGCAATTAAGGCTGCGATCCCGCGGATTAGTTTCGCACCTGCAAGGAGCTGGTTTCTGGTTCTGGTGCTCACGGATGCCCCTAGCGGTCCCGAGTCCAGATCGCGATGACTATCGATTCTCGACATCCTTCACGGCCCGGGGGGAGCGGAGGGGGGGGGGGGGGCGACCTGTGGTCAGTGAGGGTTTGAAACATTATTAGCCCATGGTGCTCCCTTCCTCTGCAATAGCGGGAAAATAATTGACGCCCATCGCGGTGCTATCCGGGTCAATAAAGGGCCAGCAGCGATTGGGCGCCGATGACGATGATTGATGGTGATGCTGACGTCGCGACGGGGCGCGCGGCTGGACTTCGGGTCCGGGCGGGATGGCGGCCTTGGTGCCTTGTTCCTGGATCTGACTGCCTGGATGCTGACTGCCTGGATGCTGACTGCCTGGATGCTGACTGCCTTGCTGCCTTACTGCCTGATGGTCTGAATCTTCATGCCTACATCCCCAGGCAGCCATTCTCTATCACATGACCGAGCCCCCCGGAAGACAGATAATCCGAGGCAGACCCCCGCTACACCCGAACCGGCAACACTGGCACCACGTGACCGCACAACCGATTTTAACGAAGCAGACCCTCCACCGTAGATATTTTACCACAACGATCGCAACGAAGGTTTAGGAAGACAAGTCTTGTCGAGGTGAGTTGAACGCCCCTATACCCAGGGTCTTGAAGAGAGGAATGCGAACCCGAGAGTCTTCATCTGCGCCTTACTCTCTGCGTTTTCTTTCCACCATGCATCGATCGCTTCTTCGATTCACGAAGAAGTTGCGCGGTGCAAAATTGGCTGGATGGATGGCGGCGGGGGAGATGAGTGAGATAGATGGATGATCTCGGGCTTCGCCTTCCCCTCCATTCAAGGGCAGAGGGAAATAAATGCTTGATGTTATGGCGACAGTCAACTAATGATAATCTTTGTGTGTATTTCCAGACCTTCTTCACGATGCAGATCTTCGTCAAGACCCTCACGGGTAAGACCATCACCCTTGAGGTGGAGTCTTCGGACACCATCGACAATGTCAAGTCCAAGATCCAGGGTAAGCATACACTACACCTACACCCACACCCACACCCACACAACAAGAACAACCATCACTAACGATCCTCGCACAGACAAGGAGGGTATCCCCCCCGACCAGCAGCGTCTGATCTTCGCTGGTAAGCAGCTCGAGGACGGCCGTACTCTTTCGGACTACAACATCCAGAAGGAGTCCACCCTCCACCTGGTGCTGCGCCTGCGTGGTGGTGGTAAGAAGCGCAAGAAGAAGGTCTACACCACCCCCAAGAAGATCAAGCACAAGCACAAGAAGACCAAGCTTGCCGTCCTCAAGTACTACAAGGTCGACGGTGATGGCAAGATCGAGCGTCTCCGCCGCGAGTGCCCCTCCCCCGAGGTATGTTTTTTTTTTTACCCCCCTTTGTGTATAAGTGGTGTTCGGTTTGCTAATAATAATCCCTTTTAGTGCGGTGCTGGTATCTTCATGGCCGCTATGCACAACCGCCAGTACTGCGGAAAGTGCCACCTCACCTACGTCTTCGACGAGTCCAAATAAGCGGACTATGTCGACCGTTCCACCTTTCCTTATTTCCGGTAACGCTTAGTGCAGTCATGGGCTAGGGCATTGTTGGTTGTGAGTGTTGGGTGGGGTTGAGGTTCGGGGCGTGTGCGCTTGGATCGCCCCAACAGTGACTTCGAAATGATAAATGAAAAAAATTCGAAACCACATCCATTTAAGATCTCGGTTTTTCGTGTAGTATATCTGACCCCGTAAAGCAAGTACGCGTCTTAAGCAGATAAACATGTTCGCCGTAATATCAGATCATAAAGAGGGTTCTCGATCCTACTGGAACTCCCTCTTCAAGTTGTCGTACTTGCTTTCAGGATAGGAAAGCGCGTTGTGCGTCTGATCCAACGCCGCCACGCCGCCCACCCCTTCCACGAAGGTTCCGATCAAGCTACCATCTGCTTTGTTGGCCGTCTTGCCCCCCTTGTCGCCGCTGGTCTCCCACCACATGCCACCCCCGAGCTGAAGCTGCTTGATGTAGTTCAACTTCTGCTCGCCCACGGCCACGTTGTCGTATGAGATCATGGTCCGCGCACTGGCATCGTAGCTCCAGGATGCGCCAATGCTGGCATCCACAGATTCAGTGGCGCCAGGACGGGGCAGGGCCTTGTAGTCCCAGACGCCTTGCTCCCAGCTTCCCTGTCCGACACCCGAATAGGCGGTCCCGGGTCCGGCAGTGTTAGTAAAGGACCGTCCGTACAACGGCATGCCTAAGATGATTTTCGACGCAGGGACCCCGCCAGTCTGCATGTAGTAGTTCACTGCTTGATTGGTAGAAAACGGGGTGGATGCTGGCTTGCTAGTCGAAGGATACAGGTTCGCCTGGTGACCAGCAACAGTGTCCCAACTTCCTGCATAGTCATAAGCCATCAGGTTGTAGAAATCGAGATAGGGTGTCATTTGAGGGAGCTTGAGCTTGGTGTAATTATCAGGACCTGGAAGGCATTAACACCCGACTATATTCCAGTTTTCCTCGTCTATGGCAACAAAGGTTCTTCACTGACCAGCTGGGCAGGCGATAGTCAAGTAAAACTTTCTGTTCGCACCGGCTGTTGCGTCCAGAGTCTACAGACATGGTCAATCCCCATGTACTTACCCCACCACATTTGCAAGACAAGCTCACCTCGCGGCACTTCTGAAGAAGCAAGACCATATTCTGGGCCTCCGTATCATCTAAACAGTCATCAGCATATGTACTGGCTTTTTGGGCAATCCAATGCCCCGGGAACCAACTTTTGGGATACTCCCAATCAATATCAATGCCTGCACCATTCAGCGTTAGCAAATAAACCCGCACTCCACCCCAAACAAAAGCCAGTCACAAACCATCAAAGCCAAGATCAGTGACCAATTTAGTCGCAGTCGTCGCAAAGTTCGCCCGACTCGCATCAGTGCTAGCGGCCTGGGCAAAATTGGGAGAATAGGTCCACCCCCCAATGGAGAGCAAGACCTTCAGCTTCCGATTCTGCGCCTTGAGCAAGAACAGCTGCTTGACACAGCCATAGACATTGGTGCCGACGTCATTCCAGGAGTCCGTGGGGTAGTGCTTCTCGATGTCTGACCAAGTATCAGACAGATAGCTGTGGCGAGAGTCAGTGCGTGCGGCTAATAATACTAATGGAGAGTGGGGGGTGGCAAGAGGTGTGAAAAACAACTGCAGTGCGGTGCGGTGGTGAAGGGATGAAATGAGGCTGCAGGAAAGTGGATACGAGTTATCTTACACTTCACCAGACTCTGGGCGAACGTTGGCAAATGCATAGAGCACATGGGTCAATTTATCGGCGGGGATATCCTGGGGGTTATAGTTCCGGCCGTAAATCGCCTGGCATTTGCCGTTAGAACCTATACGAGCTAACGGCATATAGGTTACTTCTCGGCAGCTGGGAATCTACTCACCCAGTTGACGAAGTACGCCACCGACTTGAGACCCGAAGACATGGCTGGGGCAGAGAGGTTCGTCGGGGTGGTGGTTGCAGGGATCGGCTGCAGTGGAGGCACAGCTGCGTTATTGAAAAAATACCAAACTGAGAGGACTAGGGCCAGGGTAGGGAGCACCAGGTAGTGGAGCAGCCGGCAGGACACCATCAGGATCTGAGACTTACCAGCAGAGGAATGCTGGTAAGGCCATGTACTGTTAGACGAGAGATGGAACTCGATCAGTGGTTGTACCTGCCTTAGTGAGGTCAATGCCCAAAATAACAACACAGACGGGCGCTGATTGGTCGTGATACGATTGCGGCAGTGCAACTGTGGCTGGGGAGCTGTCACTCGGTGCTTATGTGATGAAACAAGATGTGGCTGACTCGGATCTCGTGGAGCTGTGCAAGTTTTACGTACACCAGCAGGAGATGGAAGGAGGCGAATTTATATCTCTCTGTTGGACAAGGAAGTCCGATCGATATCGACGTCTAGTAGGGAACCCTTTCTGGCATACCAGCTGTACAATCGGTGGCGGCGGTCATTCCCCTGTCTGACCTTACTATCATGCCTCTGTCCGAAAGGGACAGAGTTTCTGGGAATATATGTCTCCATGACTTGACATTCCATCGCGTGTTCCCTTTTGAGTTTCCCACCCCGGGGAGATGTGTAGATCGGAGTGGCTCGATTAGGCTCGACTGGAGCAGGAATGCCGGCAGTTCTCTCAAGTGATATGTACCTGATCCTGAGTCACGAGAGCATGGGGATAGGCTCTGGGGGAACGGGACGGCCCCGGCTCGAGACAATCCCCTCCCCAGACTCTTTCCGGATTGAGCCTCCGATCCAAAACGTCGATCCAGATGACATCAAGGGACTCTCGCGCGCATGACTGATTTCAAGATAGTTCGTAACTCCGGGGACATATCATGCGCGCTGAGGTTACAGTTCTCCGGGCTCAGGATGACCGTGGGTGACATCGAAATGAAGCAACCCGGATGGCAGCGTGCATTGAAGAATTTCTTAAAAAGAGAGAGAGAGTGTGTGTGTGTATACGTCGACCGCGACGGGGAGGAATGGATGATCTGATCCGATCCAGCCAAATGCGGGCGATCATAGGGGTCCAGACCGCATGATGCATTCATTCACTCTGCGTGCCTGCCAGATCTCAGATCGAGCAAAGCAAGCCTGGAAGCGAACCAAGATGCGGGATCATGACCGAGGTCAACCGACACAGGAAGAGTCGATGGCCACTATTGGAAGGGCCGCACCGCACCGCAGGGCAGGCGGCGATAGGCCCAGGATGACGGCAGGGAAAAAGAAAAACGAGGGGCAGTCAGACCCGGAACCTGGCAGTTGGCAGGATAACGTGGCAGATGACACTAGTAGTCCTGCAACCTCGTGGCCTGGAAACGCATTGGGATCAACCAGGATCAACCCGGACCACCTTGCTGAGAGGAGAGGAGATGAAGCAACCAGGAACGGGTGTAAGTGCGAGAGAACCTTAAACGGGCGAGGGATGGAGTGGAGTTGCAGAGTTGCAGAGTTGCAGAGTCGTAGATACATTCATTTGGTCGAACATCCTCAGCTGAACCGGCGCCCGTCACCCCATCGCGCGCCCGCTGATTGGCGGGGCGGGCATTAAGCTACTGCAGGGCACGGTTGCACGGCCACAGTCAGAGGAAGAGGTTTTCCGGGCGCATGCAGCATGGGTCCCATGCGCCCTGTTCAGCTGGGATGTCTCTAACTAGATATCTCTAGCTTCAGCCCAATGCACGGGTCGGTCGGTATCTCCGATGGACTACGGAGGTACCAATGTCTCCATCGAAAATTCAACGCCAATCAGAAAATTCGCATGGCTGCAATTCAGCTGGTAGGTTCGCCACGCACCCTTGATCCTACTGCTTGCATCTTACTTCTGTATCTAGGCAGAAACGCACTACTATCGACTCCGGGGGCAACTTCCCTTTCCACTTCCAACCGTCTCTCTCCACTATCCGTTGGGGATCCACCCGACGGGATGGATTCCTACGACCTATCTATCTACCGTCCCGTCTTGCTGACCTGACAGGAAACGAACGCTTGGGAATCTGAACTTGAAACAGGTCTCTTTTCCGTTCCCATCTCCATCCCCATCGACCTCATCGCCGTCGTAGTATCTAGTAGTGTGTTACAGACGATCCAACATCCATGTGTTGCCCTGATCGTACGAGGTCGGTCCCTTGGCTTGGCAACGCAACTTCCTCCCCTATTTTGGCATCTAGTCTATATTCTGATTAAGAATGCAATCGAACAAGTCGTGTTGTAGTAGTAAGCCAGGCACAGACCTGATCTGTGCGTAGCATGCATGTATGCCTTAGGGAGATAGCCGCCGCCAAGAATAGACAAGCCGATACCAGTACTCCGGTACAGACCATACATATAGAAAAGAAAACAGAGATCAGATGAAAACCGTTGCTCCATCCTCACGGGGAGTTGAAGTTTAGAATCTCCAATTAATCGCATCTAGCGTAAACCATCACCCCAACAGGATATCATGACCATGAAGATAACAGACCGAGATTGGAACCGGAAAACAAATCAAACAAATCAAACACACAGACAGACAGACAGACAGACATAAATAGAAGACAAATATGTAGAACATCACACAGCTTTTTTCTTTGCGTCAAACTAAGCAACGAGCGACCCGCGCTCGACTCATGGATATCATGCCGCCCAGACAAAGGGTATAACGAAATGATCAGGAAAAAGGAAACCTGGGTGCCGTGGTCCCGAGACGGTTGGAAATCATCGTATCCGTACACTGTTACCTCCTCTTTTGGCCTGGAAAATCAAAACCAGGCGCTTGCTTCTCGCGCACTGCGAAGCGGACCCTCTATGGATGAGAGCGAATCCAGTTAAGGATCACAGGCAGCGCTGGGTCATCGGCGAGCCAATGGCCAGCCCGCATGTCCGCGGCCCGGAGATCAGCAACGACGTGCTGGTCTGTTACTTGGGCCAGTTCCTATTCGCATCCAGAGTCAATCAATTGTTCGCCTTAACGAAACCCACGGGTCTGGACTAACCTGGTGGAATGTGTTGCTCACGGTCTTAAGCTGTGGGGCGTGCTGTGGTCCTGCGCGCTGGCCCCGGAGGATGTTCTGGCGATTGATGGCCCATCTTCTAGCGGCGGCCACCCGGAGGTAGATGCGATGCGCCTGGAAGCGCCGGGAGCTGGCATCGAGAATGACTCTAAGGAAAGGTCAGACCAATTCCGGACCAATTGTACCCTTGGTGAATTGCATACCTCTGGAGTTCTGCCTTTTCCGTCTCCACGTTGGACTGGGCGGGTGCCATGCTGGGGTTGAAGTTGGATGACATCAGAGCCTGTGCAGCGGCCAGACCTTCTCTGATCGCTTTGTACCCTTCCTCGTTGACTTCTTCTCTTGGGACTTGGACATTTTGCTGGGAGATGTGCACAAGAAGGGTCCGGTAGTCGTTAATGATCTCTGCCACGCGCAAAGCACGAGCTTCGTTGACTGCACAGCATGGACATCAATCAGCCATTGTCTATGATATTAAAGACTCCGCGGTCTTGACAAAGAGACAAAAGACAATGCTTACGTCCGTCGGCCATTGGTGATTGTGATTGCTCTAGATTGGCTTCGAAATGGAACGGAGGATGAAAAGAAGAGTAGATGATAGAAGCCGACGACGACAGAAGGGCTTCGCCAGGAAAGGATAAGTGGGACGATGGAGCAATAGTCGAGTCAATTGACTAGCTAGGAAGGCAATGGGATGCTTCTACTCAGATAGATAGAGCGGTTGTTTCATTCATGGTAGTCACACTCGAGGGCGAGATATCCTTTTAAGCTTAATGTTCAGCCATGGGTACTTCTGGCAGTCATCAGCCATCAGCCCGGTAATGGAGAACCTGGTGAAAGAGGATCATCATCGTTAGCCGTGGCTGGCTGCACCGGCGGACGCTGATGGAGAAGGGCCAGGACATCACAGCTAGGGACTGCAGCTGGATAACGACATCCATTGTGGATCAATGGTAGGAGTCAAGCCCCAGGAGAGCCATGTGTCCGAAAGGGCCTGGGATGTCGGGTTTCAGCAAATGGAGCCCAGGCTGATATCTAAGCGTGAAACTAAGCAGCTGGCCCAGGAAGGGGGATCAATGCTGATGGGTCTGCATATGCATAAGGAAATGAGATATACACAAAATGGGTCACAGAAACCGGCGACATCAGAGGGGAGCTACTAAGCAGGGGTGGGGAGGGGGGTTGCGAAAAAGAAAATTCGAAACTAGACCCGAAGCCCAAGACCCCACTGGCTGAGGGTAGAGGTCCAAAGGAATGATTGATACATCGTTGCATGTGTCACCGTACCGGACCGGCGGGGAAGAGGAAGTATCAGACGCCAAAAAAAAGTTTTTTTTTTTTTTTTTTTTTAGGTGGTGCTGGATCTCGGAAACCGATGGGATGGGGACATCTTGCAGGCCCAGTAGTCGGTAGATAGTGGGGAAGGGCAGGCATGAGCGGAAGGACCGTCATCATGGCATGATACGTAGACCCAGCGGTTGGCACTAAGAAAAGAAGCGCGAGGACAGCCAGCTGGGGATCATCCACCCTCGGTTAACGCCACACCCTAGCCAGCTGCAGGCTTGGAGTTTGGACCGGAGATATCGACGAGAAGGGAAGTAGTCCTGAGACCTCGTTCCAGCACAAAGAAGGGAGAGGCCTCGTACTGACTCATTTGAGTTCCAGGCACGGACTGAGCAGCAGCAGAAGAAGAAGAAAAAGCGAGAAAGTTGGCCAAAAGTAAACAAATCGACGGGGAACCGCCGCGAAAGCCACATTTCCAGCTCAGCCACAGGGCGGCTAGTGACCCAGCTGAAAAGGGAAAAGCAAACACCGCGCGTAGCCTTAGGCTATCGATACTCCGTGCACAATAATAATAATACATAATACGAAGCAGAATCTCCGTTCTCCGAGTCACTCGGTGGCGATTTTCCCAGTCAACCCCCAATTAGCATGTCCACAGCGGTCCCAGTACACAGAAGTGAACAGAGCTCGCCCTGCAAGCTGGTCGAGAGGGCATAAAATCGGTCATTCCAGCTTGAACCGTTGCTTTCTTTAGATCCCGGCATCCCGACATGGAACGTGCAGGTGAGACGACCTCCCTCTAAGCCTGTCACATTGCAAAGACCATACTTTATTATCACACCGACGTGCCAGTCCTCAGTCGCCACCGGGCTAGAGAAGCAGGCAAAAGGCGGACCCTCCCGATCGCTAGCTCCGAGTCATGGATGCTGCAAGGGGGCTTTCCAGGTGTTGGCGTCATGTAAACCAGAAGAGGAAAGAAAAGAAAAGAAAAGACCAAAAAAAAAAAGAGGGCAGCTCAAGCAAATCCTCCTCGAACGGGGAAGAGCAGAGAAGAGAGTTTCATCAATAAAACGCAAGCATGGAGCGTCAGGGAAAAATGATATTCATCGATCGTTTGCATCTACCAACATGGATGGCCCCCCCCAATCAGGCGAAAGAGATCAGTCCTTTTCGCTGATGGCCTGCAGCCGTTCGTCGATCTCCTCCTCCGTCAAAGCCCGGAATCCAGTGTCTGTCCCTTCCTTGCCATCAGTTCGCGGGCCTCCGACGATCCCAATCTCCAACTCGTGCTTCTTGAAATCAACACTCAGCACGTTGCTCAAGGCCGTGATACCTAGCTCGACAACCTCCTCCCAGCTGCCCTCGGCGTAATCCTTGTTCTTCAGTTTCTTCTCCAGGTGGTTGAGCGCCTCTTGCTGCTTCGGTCCGGACGCAGTCGCCTTGTATCCGACATAGTATCCGGCGGGGTCGCACTTGTAGAGTTGAGGGCCCTTCTCGTCGTCCACGGAGATGAGGGTGATGGCCACACCGAGCGGACGCATGTAAGCCTGCCCAGAACAATGATGCATCAGTACGTGTGGTCCAGACTAGTGTTTCAGACAAGTGACACAAACCCTTTGCGTGTAGACCTGGTTGATGTTGGCAAGTCGCTTGGCCAGAACATCACACGGCATCTCGTAGCCGTACTTGTATCGGAACTCGGCCGCCTCACCACGAGCACGGTCAACGCTTGCTCTCGCATCAGCGATGGAGCCGGTCATGACACAGCCGACCGACGGGGAGAGTCTGAAGATATGCGAAACGGAGGACGGGTCGATCAATTTATCCTGGAATCATTATCAGACCATGCCCCGATATCCCGTCTGCACGGCGGCTGAGCGGTCTTACGGCAACTTTCTTCTGGGACAGAACTACGGCGCAGTTCTTTCCCCTCACACCTAGCGAGGTGATGTTTGCGGAGGTAATGGCCTTGAAGGCATATTCTAAGTGCCGGAGGGATCGATGGTGAGTAGGCAGTCTTGATGGTCGAGCGTAGTTCGGGGTCGGGGTCGGGGTCGTCGAACGTCGTCGGGAAGAGGATGAGGGTAGTGGTGCCTGGGAGAGTCACTTACCAACTTGGTACAGACGACCCTGGTCCGAGAAGATGGTAATGTGTCTGTCATATGCACTTCCTGTTCGAAGAAGGTTGTCAGCCCACTGATGAAGTCATGGAGGTCGGGTCAGTCGAGAGAGCGGGAAGACCCTACCAGACATGATTGCGGTGATGTATCCAGCTCAAATCAAACACACAATATCAACGAACGGATGTAGGGGGGATAGTCAAGGAAAGAGGATGCGTGGAGGGGAGGGGGGGAGGGGATGAAGAGAGGCAGAGGACGCGTGCCAGAGGGTGCCTGGCCGAAGCTCTAAGCTTCGGGGCTCCGTTTGAGTAAGCTCCCCCGTCACCGCCTTCTCCGGCACCGTCCATTATGCCACTCCATTAACTAACTTCATCTACTTCATTTACTGATCTATTGCATGGCACGAATGTTACAGTATAGTCCCTCCGCGGGCAGCAGCAAACAAGCACAATATTCTAAATACGGACAAAACTCCTTTTATATGCCTGGTCTAGGTATCAATACTTTTTAAACCCCTAACGATGCTCTGAAGTCAACGAAAAAAGCCTCGACGTTGGGCTTGCGACATGCAAATGAAGCATTGAAGGTCTTTCATGAGGGACGATGGTTGAGATCACGGAGAGAGGAAAACAGGACGTCGACTAATCACTCGAGCTGGAATCGCTGTCGCTGTCGCTGCTGCTGTCTTTGGCTTTCTTCGCAGGCTTGGACTTCGTCTTTGTTTTCTTGGACTTGGCCGTCTTTTCATCGTCGCTATCACTATCGCTATCACTTTCGCTGTCGCTCTCACTCTCACTCTCACTGCTGCTCGAGATCTCCACGAAAACGGTACGGTTCTTCTTCTTCTTCTTGTTGGGCTGATTCTGTGTCGCCTTCTTTGCGCCCTTGGGCCTCTGGTAGTCGAAGAACGTGCCGATGACAGCAAACAGGATGAGCTCCGCTCTCTGTCTCTTCTCGAGTTTCTTCAACGTCTCGGGATCAAACTGGTCCGCCATATCCATGTTGCAGACGCCATCCGGCAAACCCTTCCGGAAAAGCCCAACCGCCGTATTGTACTTCTCCAAATCCGTCGTCGTCGTCGTCGTCGTAGACTCCTCCTTCGATTGCTCCGTAGTTGTAGTCTGCTGCTGATCCTCAGCCTCGACATCCGCCTTGACAACCTCCTCCGCGATCTGTCGCAGGCGCAACTTCGCCGCCTCACCCTTCAGCCCCTGTAGATAGGCAAGCAACGCCGCATTGTACTGCGCGGGAACATGCTCCAGCGACAAGATCTGCTTGAAGAGTTGCGTCTCGCGATTTTTTTGGAACTTCCACGCCGACCGATGCTTGTGGTAGAGGTTGAGGTAGGAAACGAGCGGGCTTTCGTGGACTTTCGGCTCCCCCCCGTTCGCAGTCGTAGTCGCAGTCGTCGCAGAATCCCCCGTGGCTGAACCGTACTCCTTCTGCTTCTTCTCTTTCTTCTCCTTCTTCTTCTCCTTCTTCCTCCTCTTCCGCTCCTCCGCGTCATCCTCTTCCATGGTCTTTGTCTTCTCCTCTGCATCAGCCTTCACCGACGGCTCGACATCGACCTCGACCTCGGCCTCGACCTCAGCTTCATCCTCGGCCTCGCTCCCATCATATTCCTTCACAGCAGCAGAGAACGACACCCTCTTCTTCTGTTTCTTCTTTGTCTTGTCCTCGGCATCCTCCTTCACATCGACATCCTTCTTCTTCTTCTTCGTCTTTTTCTCCTTATCGCCGTCGTCGTTGTCATTCCCATTGCCATCTTCATCGTCATCATCATTATCAATCCGTCTTTTCTTACTCTTCCGCTGCTTCTTCTCCACCTCCTCCTCCTGATTCACATTCACATTCACATTCACATTCACATTTTCCTTATCCTCTCTCTTTCCACCGCGAGATTTCTTCGACTCCCCCTCATCCTTGACACTCGCACTAGTACTCTTGCGCTTCAGCCCCGACTTTTTCTCCGCCGAGCGGGCAGAGGAGGACGATTTGTCGCCCGCCATTGCGCGCGGATCGCGTGGTGTGAGATATAAAACGGAGGTGATCGGAGTCGCGCAGGTTAGAATTCTCCGATTCAGGAAATATATAGTTGGAGAATTTGCGGTGGGGGGTGGGTGGGTGGGTGGAGGGAAAGTGTCGGTTGAATGTGGATGGAATGGTTTGGGGGGGAAATTTTCCACGTGAGTTGCGGAGATCGCTCGACCGCCCCGGTTGGCCGCCGAAGCTAGTAAGTAGTAAGAATGAATAAGTATATCGAGCATGAGTTTGATGTTCAAGGTAGTACTGGCTACTCTGTAGGAGGAATACGATATAATAGTTGAGGGATGTATCTATATGCATAGACCGTAGGGTTATCATCATCACTTGATCATTACTTTTACCACTTCGCTTCCCTTCCCAGCCAGCCAACCAACCAAACCAATATCCGGGACTCCATAAACAAGACAAGACCCAAGTGCACCTGTATAAACAAACCTCAATTGAATAGTTGTCTCCCAGACAGCAGTTAGCTGTCTATAGCCCAGCCCCGCTTCCATTGCCGCTCGTTTCCGTCCCGTACGCATCTTTTCTCTCGCGCCTTGCTTCCTTGGACGCACTGCTCTCCGCGGTTGCAGCGGCGGCCTTACGTCTGGCTCTCTCCTTATCGCGGGAGCTAGGCCCGGCGGTTCTCCGTCTGCGAACGGGTTCGTACACATCGTTGAAGTTCATGACCACACCGAGGAAGCGCATATCGACATCAGGCTGGTACGCAAGGTCACCCAAGAGGATGTTCAGGCGTGAGCGGAACTCAGCCGAAAGCTCCCGGAGTCGGACGCGCAGGGAAGCAAGCATGTGATCGTCAGCAGACAGGTCGTGGTTGGAGATTGATGAGGGGGTGCCGATGCCGTCGCCGCCCACGTTTGGCGTATAGGCCAGCGATGGGGATATCGACGATACGGAGTCTTTGTGGCCGCGGGGACGTTTGGACGAGAGAAGATCCCGCTCTGTGACGCCCCAGCGGCCCTGGGCTGTGCGCGTCTCGATTTTGGCGCTGAGCTCCTGTCTTCGCGTGAACTCTGCTACCGAAAAGGAGTACAGACCGTCCACGGCGTCTTTGTACGAAAGCATGATTTTGAGGATCTGGTGCAGTTGAACCAAGAAACCCTCCTCTTGTTTGCTGGTAGAGGATGCGGTTTTGGACGAGGATGAGGAGCCTAGCAGGCCTTTGTGCGTGATTGAGTTGAGGTACTTTGTGTGGGCTTCGATCAAGTCATCCAGCGTACAGCCGGGCTCGGAGATGGACGCCTGCAACTGATCCCAGCTGGCCTCAATCACCTCAAACAGGATGTAGTATTGTAGTTGGCAAACAAAGTGGATCATCTCGGCAATGACGCATCTTGCGCGCTTCCAGTCAGGCCCGACTTTGTCATTGACGCTTCCGAGAACGCCTCGAGCACCAGTCATGCACCGCCGCCAGGTACTGCCCAGCGCGAATTCGACTCGCTTCACACGCCAGAGGAAATTGAAGACTTTGAGGTACTGCGTGGAGCCCCACGGGGTGATGACCACGTCCACCGGAGCATCAATCTTGTACTCCAGGGTAAAGCAATCCCAGCCAATCTCTCCATGACTGAGCTCTAGCATGCGAGCATCCAGCCGACGAAGGACGTCTGGGGGGTCATACTGTGCGTTTGAAGCACGAATAGCATGCTCCAGCTGGGCAGTCAGAGTGTGTCGATACTGCGAATTGGCAGGCCGGTCCAGATTAGAAGCCAGTGACTCCATTAGAAGGGCGATGAAGTCACCCTGTCCAAGTAACAGGTACTTCTTCAGCGCCCGAAGATGATCAAAGAGTTTGAACTTCTCATCCATGAGGTATATTAGCCGGGCCATGGTCGTTTTGTAGGCCTCATCGATGGAAGACTCCAAACCAGCTGTATCGCCATACCGCAGTTCTTTCGAGGCCTCTTTTGAGTAGGCCTCAACCCACCCAGAGTCTCCACAGCCGGTCCGTATGAAGTTCAACGATTTTCCGATCAGAAAGACCTTCTTGGCAAAGTCTTGTGTGATAATTGAAGGTACCATTTCATCGTCAAGCTTGTACTTATCCTCCCAGACACTGGTTGCAATGCGGCGCGGGTCCGTGCTGGGCCTGAACTCGGGCTCGACAACGAAGAACTCTTTGTATGGATCAGACAGCTCGCCATCATAGATCCAGAGTCGCAGCATGTCATAAAATGGTCGGGTAATATGATTAAGAAGTTTTTCCGCAAATGCACACACAAAAGGGTCACCATGAGAAGTCGAAAAGCCATGGATCAGAGAGATCAATTGGCCGCCCTTCTTATCTATAACATCACAGTAAGCAGGTGCCCTGACCGGATTCAACACAAGGATCCTTACTTTTGGCTTCTTCGACAATCAAACTCATTAACCGTAGCGCCATCGTTGCATCTCGAGTCCACACAACACACCGCTTCAGCGTGACGCCGCTCTTTGTTGCGCTTCTAGGATCATTCGGATCAGCAGGCGAGGCCAAGGCCCGTCGGATTTCTCCTTCCAGAATGGCCACAAGGCCTAGATAGGAGCGAAGCTCGTTTGAAAGAGCTGCTCGCAGACTCTGGCTGAGAAGCCCACCGTCAGAGCCCTCAACAAAAGCCGACAAGCCACGATAGAGGAGACAGGGCTCTGCGAGAGAGTTGAGGAGCGATACCATCGGCATTGGCAATGACGGCGGTAGTTTCAGGGTGGTAGGCGAGGAGAATTGCAGGTTTGACGACGACAGACCCTGCAGATTAAACGGCAAATCACGTAGAAGCCCGCTTTCAAGAGGTCCCGGCAGCCTCTGTTCCTTCTCCAAAGCGGCCTCCGGGTGTATTGTCTTCTGATCATCACTGAGCGGCTCTCTCACACCAGTATTTGCACGGCTACGAGTCGCCCGGGTTTCTCGGGCCCTCTCCACCGCTGGAAACCAGGCATCTAGCTCAGGTTCTGGCCCTTGGTCGACCACCATTTCTGGCCGTCGCACCGAAGCCTTCCGCTCCAGCCGCGCCGGGATCTGAGACGCAGACGAGCTGATAGCAGGGCCATCATCATCCAACTGATCCGGTCCCCAGACCTGTCCCGGCCCTTGTCCTTTCCAGAGTATATTCTGTAGGCTCGCCATCTCCACCTGCGGGCTTCCGCTTCCTCCTTCCTCATCCCAAGACCCTTCGTAGTCATCCGGGCACGCGAGTCGGTAAAGCATGTATAGGAAAGCCCATTTCTGCGACACAACCGGACTGGTCAACAGACGGGAGTAGAGATTCGAGAACCGAACGGCCTTGTCGGGGGTGGAATTTTCGCGAAACAGCTTCCGCTTGATCAAGTCCGACGCGTTATTGATTTTTCCCCCGCCTGCTAGGCTTCCTCGTCTGGTGATTCCCGTGCCTGCAGCACCCGACGGCGATGCTGGATCGTTGGCTGGGCTGGTGTATGTGTTGAGTATGTCCCATGAGCGTTCGAGAATTCCATTTCGCCATCTTGCCTCTTCCGGTGTGAGCTCTCTGTCTTCGTCTGGGGCATTGTCTCCCCGGGTCGACAGCAGAGCGTCAACAAGCTGGGCGAAGCCATCCTCGATGCGCTCCGCGGACTTTTGGTCACGGATCGACATGGTTTCTTTTCGTGACTATATCGGGGCGCCGTCCAGTGCACCAGTTCAACTTTGGCGTGGTTCTTTGGAGAGACTGTCAGGTTCCGGTTTAGCTTTCTCTGTCTGGGGGAGAGGCGCTGGCGTGGAGTTCCGATAGTAGCCCAACGCGATGCGGAGGATCGAAGACAGCTTCGGGGGTTCCAATTCACTGGGATTCGGCAGAACAGGGCATGGCGTCCCGCACCAGTCAACGAAGGAAGACCCTTGGAGTCGCTATCGCATACAGACAGATTCGGAGTCGTCGTTAGGGACCGGCTGCGTCGAGGCCCATCGCCGCGGAAGACGGAGGGAGGGTCGCTGCTGATGTTGTTGTTGTTTGTCCGGTTTGAGTGGTTTGATCCCGCCCGCGTCTCGCCAAGCCCAGTACGCAGTAGATACTACTTGCTACAAGAACTTCATGGCCGACAATTACGGTACCGTACGAGTCTAAAGCAATTTGAAATCATTGGCATTCAAGCTAATCAAATTCCCTAGACGCTCAACTGACATCTAGCAAGTCGGGATGAATCGCCACAGCAAAAAACCTCCAGTACGCCGCCCAGAACCGTGTTTCTTAGCAAAGAGAAGGGGAAAAAAAAAGAGTCAAACATCCAGTGTCCCGTAAGTATCAAACAGGCGAATAGAAGACCTCGGAGCACGTGGGGTTGTAGAAAGGAAGTAAAGGGGGCAGGAAGAAGGAATACACAATACACAACCCCGGCCTGCAAGTGCTGCAGACCGCAAACCATACGGGGCAAGGGCTCTCGAGGGTCAAGGAGAAAGAAAACACAAGAAAATGAACCCAGCCAAGCTTTTGCGCCAAGTTTGCACCTTCTGGTGGGCAAATACAAACCCATTCCACACCTTCAAATTCAGCCGTCCGTTTTTTGAATTCGTATACATCATAACACCTATCCATGCCAGTGGGGCTCGCGGCCAGTAAAATATAGTAGAACGTGACGGGTGTGCAAAGCGCTGTCCTTGGTCAAGATGAACGCCCAACACCCCCGGAAGCAAAGCGATCGGTCGGCCTTTCCTTGAGCAAAGGGGGATGGAGCCGGAGCCGGATCTGGGCCGAGATCGCAGTATTATGGCCCTGCGCTGGAGGGATGGGCTTATTATCGCCGCATAGCCTGTGCGGGGATGGGTCCAGGTTGCATTCCCATGCCCCCCGGGATGTTGTACGGGTGCGACTCGTAGCCTGTCGGCATGGCGTTCATCATGATGGGACCAATGCCCTGAGCTTGGGAGACAGGGCAATCTTTGTGCGCAAGCAATAGAGTCTTGAGGTTGACGATCTCCTCGCGAAGCTGTGTGACGGTGGCAGTGAGTGCATCGTTCTCCGAGGTGAACAACTCAACCTTTGCCTGAAGGTTGGCAAGCCACTGCTTCTTGCGCTGACGGCATTTGAGCGCCGCGACCCTGATAGCATTTGCGTTAGCAGGCAAAATCACCACTGCCAAGTTTACTAACAACTGGGCTCGGAGCTTACCTGTTCCTCTCAAGGAAGTTCTTTCTCTTTTCTTCGTCGGTCATCTTCTTTGTGTCCCCGTTCTTTCTCTTCATTTCATCGTCGTCGTCATCTGACTCCCCCATATCGGAAGGAGGCTCGAGGTCAACACTGCTAGGTCCATTACTGGTTTTGACCTTTTTGTTACCCCCTTTGGGCGCATCTTCGGCCTTGCGCCTATTATTTCCCGCATTCGCGGTCTTCGCTACGGCGCCCTTCTTGGCCTTGCCCTTACCAGCTGGCTTCGCCTCGCCCTGCATATCGGAGACGTCGCCACTTGTCTCTCGGCCAGCGTTCACTGCACCGTTCATGTTCTGAGAGTTGCGTCTATCGGCAGGGTCGCGTGGCTGATCGTTACTTTGGAGGCTTTGCGGTTGGATCGACGTCTGGTTAGGAACCGGGAACTGGTTGGGATTCGCCTGCCCGCCTTTAGCAAGCATGAAAAGCCCATTAGCCGCATCCGCTGCGTCATGGTGACCGAATGGATCGGCACCGGTGGATTGGTTTGGCTTAACATCCATACTGGAGTTCTGAGCGGGATCAGACTCCGTGGTTGGGTTAGAAGTAGGCCCGTTCAAGCTGTTCTTCTTGGCAGCGTTCAAGGCAGTACGATGGAATTCAATGGTGGAGGGTGTCGCTCCCCCGCTCTGCAGTTGCTGCAAGAGCGCCTGGGAGTTGGGGCTGGGGGCCGGGAACATAGAACCCCCGCCGCCCGGGGTTAGTCCAGTACGAAGAGACGACTCGTTGGGAGTAGGAAACCCCCGGCCGATGCTGTCAAAGTAATCACTAGAGCCAGTCGGGCCCGCCAGCATGGCAGGGCTCAACGGGCCAGAGCGCAATGAGTTTGACCAGCTATAGCCACCACCAGCGGAGGTAGCGCCTGGTAGGGCAGGAGAGGTGAGGGCTGCGACCGGGGGAAGGATCGATTTTCCCGGGGTTTCACTCGACGAGCCACCACTGCCGAAGGACTGTTCGAAAGGGTTGGGCTCTAGAGAGAAAGGGTTGTGGACTGAGTTGAAGTAATCAGGAGTGTCAGTAGTGCTTGTTATGGCTGGACGTGGAGGCGGCGCCAGCGAGGATTGACCATCTACTTCAGGCTTCGTATCTTTGATATCCGAAGACGTCGCCCGAGAGTCTGTTAGACAGAAGCTCGCATCAGTCAAGGAGTAAAGAAAGCTAGCGTTGAGTGCGACATGCAATGATGAGGTTGTTTGGGCCAGGGGTAAAAAAAAACAGAAGGGGTTGACGGAACGACAATGATCTGATAACAACATCACTTCCTGCCTATGACGCCAATTGTGAGGTCATCCCGGCGGCAGAAAGCAGTCAACAGAACATTTGGGGAACCGTGGCGTACAACCTGCCCAGAACAGGCCAAGGCTCGACATAAAGTAAGGAATGCATAATACAAAAAGGATTTGGCATCGAGTTACCAGGGATTCCGTTTAGGAGCCGCGCGCGCGCCCACAGAAGCATCAGAACATGACACGGCACTCACCTTCATTGTCTAAGCCCGCCTTTTTCGCGTCCATTGGGGAAGAATTACGCGGATCAGAATGATGTGTTATAGTGGTGGAAACTGTCGAAGCAACCGCCGCAGACATAGTAGCGTGGAGGAGGTCGATATATTAGAGCGAAGGGGCCCGACAGGTGACCCGGCGACGTAAGGAAAAATTAGGAAAGCGAGCGGAAGAGGTGGCGATGGCACAGCGACCGACGGGCGACGAGATGGACCAGGAATGATAATGGGGGTGGAGAGACGGAGAGATAGAAATCAAGAACTGGGGGGAGGGACGTGGGGAGGAGTAAATGCGACTTGTTGATGTCTTGAGATATCCGTATTATCGCGGTTGCGCACTGTACCCCGAAGGTCACTGAGTAAGTAGATTCGAGTAGGGTAGGGGAGGGAAAGTGAAAAAGTTGTGACGTAGTCCGGGTTCGACAGGGAGATTTAGGGGGGAAGAGGAGGAGGGGAGGCGGTCGAGTGCCGCGAAGGGACGCTAGGCCTAAACCACTCGCCTTCTTGTCACGCCGAAACCATGCAACCCTGAGTACAAAAAGCCCGCGGGTACCAGCTAAAGTGCAACCTCGAAACACTAAGGTTGAGGAATTCTCTTTCCCTTTTTTTTTTCTGGTTGCTTTTCTTTTTTTAATGGTTTTTATTTTTTTTTTGATTCTTGGTTCCTCTCTTATCCAGGTCCAAACTTCTTGTTGTCCTTCCCTCTTTTTTTTTTTTTGTCCTTCCTCTTTCCTTGTTCAAAATGGCCCTGTCTGCCCTTCTTCGGGTTGGGTTTGATTTCAAAGCAGGAATATTGATACTCCGGGGCAAATCAAGCACGGAAGGGGAAATGAGAAAAGAACAACTTACCCTATCGTGATCAGGCACTGTATTGATTATGCAGGCGAATGCTGGCTGGCCCTTACTTGCAAAACGAAGTTGGAGACGAGTGGGTTCCCGGCAAGACGTTTCGACCAATCCGAGGAACGGAAAACCCAGTGGACGCGATTGTTGGATGACGACGGAAACGATAGGCAGTTCACACACCACCAAGTTGGTACGGAGTGCTCTGTACCAACCAAAAGGTTTGGGAATTGAGAATGTTGCCAGCTATCCAGGGATGGGATATACCAGGAAGACGACTTCCAGAACCCAAATGTAAGCTCTGTGCGAGAGAAACAGCGGACGGCGCGGACAGAAAGGGCAACGTTGACAAGTCGGGTGCAACAAACTGGCCAGCGGGTTGAAGGGGAAAGGAAGGGAAGGGGTAAAAAGACATGGATGAGATCACGGTGACGACGACAGGAATTTTCCCGGGCTGTCGGACTGTCGGACCAGCCGGGTGGTGGCCACTCGCGAACGCTAGCGCCCCCACTTGGCCCAGCCACTCACGGGCCTGCATCCGAGCCCCCGCCGTGCAGAGACTCTCGACTCACGGCTCAAAGAGGGCTGGGAGGGCTGGAGAAAAGACACCATGTTGGTCCGACTGCAGGGCGGTGAGCATCCCTTCGGATCACTTTCTACTATGAAAATCCAGATGGCCAGATGGTCAGTGGCCAGTGCCATTGCTAGGAAAGAATCCTTCCGATTATTATTATTATTATTATTATTATTATTCTTTCTCGGCCCTCGATCACCGTGTTCCGGTTTCTGGGGCTCTTCTCTTGCTGGAGTCAGGGGGGAAATCTTCCCTCGGAACGGTCGAGTGACACGTCGGCTTGCTGATTGGGTCCCCTCCGATGACGCAATGCGTTCTGGGACCTCCGTCCCGTGGATAAGCATCACGTGAGGCGATGTGTCGCGGTCTCGTTGGGGCCCAAAACAAGGACGGGGGATTCTAGTGGATTGCCACTGGGATTCTGGACAATCCATTCAAGTCCTCGAAGGTTGGGGAGACAGGAGGAGGCAGCAGAAGGTTCGGAGTAGATTTATGGGCCCTCCCCGTTACTATTATCGAGAACCCCGACCCAGTAGAATCTAGATGTCTCACCAAATCGGTAATCGTCAGTAAGAGGAAGGACAGAATGGTCAGTCCTACATTATGTACAGCTGCCACAAGTCGCGTCGGGGTCTTGGCAGGTGATACCGCGTGCTACACGCTAACAATAATATCGCTGCCACCACTCACCCGTCCACGCGATAGATGGATACCGATTTGGAGGACTCGACGCCCGCATTTCGCCCCTGCACCACGACGTCGATGGACTCGGCGGTAGTTGATGCTCTGCGTCCGCATGGCAGCCACTCCATGGGCCCATGCATATGGCATATGGCATATGTCCGAATGAAGAATCGTTTTCTTGCGATGAGGAAGGCTGGAAGGATAGTATCCCTGTCACTCAGCGTACCGTACTTATGCCCAACGTCTTAGCGTCGGTGTTGTCTTTTCTTTCCAGACACATGATCTTGGATGTTGTTTTGGGTACTTAAAAGTGCCTGGACCTATTGTGGGACAGGCAGAAATAAAAAGAAAGGAAAAGAAAAGAAATAATAACTGTAAACGCTCCGGTCATGCATGCGCATTCGGGCATGCAGAGACATCCGGAATCCTCACGAGGTCTATCTACCAAGTAGGCTTTTCTCGGAGGGGGGGACCGGTAGGAGCCTAGGAGGGCCCCTACTGCGACATAAGCATGGCAGAGCCTCGCGCCGCATAATGAGTACGGAGTATCAAGTATCTTGGAGTAGTAATACGCCCAGCGTGAATGGCACCTCTGCTGCCGTTTAGCTTTTTTACTATGCAGCCACCAAAATCAGTGTTTCGTGCAGGATTTCCGACTATGGTTTGATTCAGGTCTAGAACGCACACTATTGTCTTCTCTTATCAACTGGGATATCGGTGCAGGCATGATTCAGGTTCATTGGATATACTCTGACTCTTCGGTTCTCCATGCACCGTTTACTTACCATTGTCCCATAATTTTGGTTGTTCTGTGGAAAGATAGCCAGCAATCTAGATGGAGAGGAAACATCCATATGATATTATCGATATTCTTCGGAGGTCTGAATTAACTTATATGTAGGTCCAACAGTGGCATTATTTAAACTTCAGTTCGTTGATATCCACTCCCCCATAACAAGCGTCACGTTTCACCATTCTCCAGATACGTCATTGCAGGGGGGGGACTCCAGTCTCCACGATAGTCCTCCGCAGCGATAAGATCCATCTCCGTATCCCGTACATCTATCTATCTACCGTATCAAAAGCTTTATCGATGCGTCACGATCCCCGATAAGTTGAATAGTTCCAGGGTCCCAACAGCACGGGAACGTGATAGTGCCGCCATCCTTCCTCCCCCTCGCGGCCCCGTCCCTTCACCGTGAACTTCACCTCTACCTCGGGCCAGAAACTCTCGATCCCCTGTGCCTCGTACCACGGACCGACCTCAAACCGAACAGCCCAATTCGTTTTGCTATCGGCAGCCGGGAGGGCGGAGAGGATGGTGGGGACCGATGCGGTCGAAGCAGTCGCAGTCGCAGTCGCGGGTTCCCAGGTTTTGACTCGTCCGTCCGCATCGGTCGTCGCGCGAAAGCTGATGGGACTCTGGCTGCTACTCGATGGGCCCCCGGACAAGAGCGTCAGAGTCACCGGGAGGTTCGCGGCGGGCGTACCCGTCAGGGTATTCAGGACGTGGCAAGTGATGGGATCGCGGGACATCGGGGCGGTGGTGGACTTTTGTCCAGGGTTTGATGTTGTGGTGTCGGGGTTGGGGGTCTGTCCTGCGGAGGAGGGATCTGATGTGTAGAGGAGCTGGTTGCGGTAAAGGGCTAGACGGTCTGTGATTTTACCAAGTTGATCACTTGACGGCTGGACTTGCGATCCGAAGTCCATTAAGGGAGGAGATGGGATGGATAGAGCGCAATTTGTAGGATTTGAAGAAGAGGTGAGAGATTTGGGGAGGTCGAGTGCGCGCCAGGAGGGTTTTCTATCTCCGCCTCCCATGCATCGGAGAGCACCGACAGCAGCTGCCCTGGCATCCCGGAGTATACCTTCGGCGGGGTCCAGTCGCGGTGACTCGACTTGGTGGACAGCGAGCGAGAGATACGTGCCCGTCTTCCAGGACTATCTATCTGCCTTTCACATGCTGCATCTATACGATCCATGGGATCTAGTTTACAGAATATCCCTTGTTCTGGCATTTGAGTGGCCGCAATGCCGTCCTGGACCAACTGATGTGCCCGTGCTACTGCCATGGAGCAAACTGGAACTCCCCAATTCTTCATTGCAGAGTGGGTGGCAAGCAAATTACCTCGCCATGCAGATTGGACTTACCTAATTGCGACAGGCGCGGTTAGTCAGAGAGGCAGGTATCATCGCATCTGAGCCTCAGGGAACTCTCGCATCCCCAACGGCGTTCGGCGGGGGCGGAGTCGCCTCAGGCAGAGGGGGAGAGTCAGCACGTGCCGCGAGTAGTACGGAGTAATAACGGCGCTGCTTCCTGGACCTCTGCAGCTGCACCGCACGGGGCTAGTCGTACCTGATCTTCCAGCATCTCTTACTTTCGCGCTCTTCTTACCACCCAGACCCCTACTCGGTCCATCCAAATCTAGCGTGCGGGTGACTCAGATCCTCCCGGGAAGGTTCTCGAAGCTCTTCAGCCGCCACTACCAAAAGTTTTGGGCCTCCGCGGGGAAATCATACGTGGTGAGTCCAAGCTACAACAACTTCGGGGCCATCAACAATTACGTACGGAAGCTCATCTAGCTGGGGATTAAACAGACTACGAATCGAAGCCGGTACTGATCCACGCGCGCTTCCATCATGTCCACCGCTATCGTGCAGGGCGACGACCTCATGGAGCCCACGCTCCAGTCGGTTGTCAACCAGAAGACCCTCCGTTGGATTTTTGTCGGCGGTAAAGGAGGTGTGGGTAAGACCACGACCTCCTGCTCTCTCGCGATTCAGCTTGCCAAAGCTCGCAAATCCGTCCTGCTCATCTCCACCGACCCCGCACACAACCTGAGCGATGCTTTTGGACAGAAGTTTGGAAAGGAGGCCCGGCTGGTCGATGGGTATTCGAACCTCAGCGCCATGGAGATCGACCCGAACGGTAGCATCCAGGATCTGTTGGCCAGTGGGGAAGGACAGGGTGATGACCCTCTTTCTGGAATGGGCGTCGGCGGTATGATGCAGGATCTGGCGTTCAGTGTATGTCTTTCTTGCCGCGTGCCATGGCTAACCGCACAACTTCGTCTCTTGGAAGATCGCTGATCGTATCAGATTCCCGGTGTCGATGAAGCCATGTCCTTTGCCGAAGTTTTGAAGCAGGTCAAGTCGTTGTCCTACGAGGTGATCGTGTTCGATACTGCGCCGACCGGCCACACCCTTCGCTTCCTCCAGTTTCCAACCGTTTTGGAGAAGGCTCTTGCGAAGCTGTCGCAGCTGTCATCTCAGTTCGGCCCCATGTTGAACTCGATTCTCGGTTCCCGCGGTGGTCTACCAGGCGGTCAGAACATCGACGAGCTGTTGCAGAAGATGGAGTCGCTGAGGGAAACAATTAGCGAGGTTAACTCGCAATTCAAGGATGCCGACCTGACCACCTTCGTCTGTGTCTGCATTGCCGAGTTCCTGTCTCTATACGAGACCGAGCGCATGATCCAAGAGCTGACGAGCTACAACATCGACACCCATGCTATCGTGGTCAACCAGCTCCTGTTCCCGAAAGAAGGCAGCCAATGCGAGCAGTGTACCGCACGGAGGAAGATGCAGAAGAAGTACTTGGAACAGATCGAAGAGCTGTACGAGGATTTCAACGTCGTCCGCATGCCATTGTTGGTTGAGGAGGTCAGAGGGAAGGAGAAGCTTGAGAAGTAAGTTATATCTGAATCTGCCATCTGCAGAAACACCGTGATGGCTAACCCACCACCCACCCCGACAGATTTAGCGACATGCTTGTACACCCGTATGCTCCCCCGGAGGGAAACTAAGGTGCCTTGGCTGAAGAGTTAGTGGTATTTGCGGCGAACGTTGTTTTCTGGACGAGTCATGAAAAGAGTATAGACAATAATACACGAAGCATTAAGATTCCTGGTCTACTTGAGTACTATTTGGATCCATCTACTTTGAGGTATTATGAGTTATTATCTTGCGGCCGGTTGTTTTTGCTCCTTCCCTGGCACCTGCCCAATTCGGCGCCTGCCCAATTCGGCTCCTTCCCTTTCTTCCCTCAAAATCTCTTTTCTTCTGCTTTTGACATTGATTGTACTCTTGCCATCATCCACGTCCTGATGCCCCACTGTCGCCTTGCTGGACTTCTCGCTTTCTGCGTCCGTGAACGACGCTGAGTCAATGGAGCTCTCTGGACAAATCAGCCCTCCTGTGGGTCTTCGCCTCAAACGCCCTGAAGCAAACCGTCTAAGGATTGAACTCTCCGCGGTCGAATAGATGAGACTGTACCTCTCTTCACAGCGGACTCCGGGTGTTCTTCTGGTCCAACTGTAGCTCCACGATGGGAAGTCGGACTTTTCCTTGCTCCTTCCATCGCTCTGGACATTGTGGCTGTGAGTTACTCGGGAAGAATCCCTCACGATGCACTTGCAAGGGTACCCTGCAGCCTGGGTATAACTAAGCGTTCTTTTTTCAGCCTTGTTAGGTACTTCTCGCGATGCCCTTGCAGGAGATAAGCTGAACAAAACCACTAGGCATCGGCATAATCCTGGGCAGGAGTTACTTTACCTAGTGCTGGAGCAACATAACTGGCAAGGACAAGATCGCCCGGGTCTGGCCATGTCTAGGTGCTAGCCTTACGCCTTGGGGCATTAGTTCGCAAATATGAAGGGTACATCCTCGTCTCCAGCTGAAAGCAAAGATCAGGAATGATTGGCGGTCGTCGTTGCATCATTGCATGGCTTATGTTTCGATCCACGGCCATGGCTAGACGAGTCCAGACTCAGCTAACCCCCGTGGGCCGTCGGATCGGCTGTGTCTGCATGTTCTGGCTGAAATAACAAAAGCAATAACCGGCCCCGCTCTCCGACACTTCGACCAGCGATGGAGAAAGAAGCGAAACTCGCACCCACTACTACATATGTATATGGCAAACTTGAGGCCCATGCAAGCGAAGACGACTGTCCACTCGGATCTTCATAGTGACGCAAGTGTTCACTGGGTAGGACTAGGCGCTGATGTCTGATGTCTTCCCAGCAAATGCTAATATGATACGATATGTAGCCGAAAGGGTTGCTAGTTCACCTTCCCTACAAGCTCTACAATCGCCCGTGCAATATTTCTGTCCGACAATAGGCAGACGCTTTCATTAGCCAGGATTGATGGCTATGGCCGTCTGATGAGGACCGTCCTCCTTTCTGCAGTGGCTCATTTCGAGACCGGTATTAGGAGATAACCCTCGTGCGAAATCTACACGATAATTGACGCGGTGCGTGTTTTGCTTGTATTTCTGGGCGGCCCAATGACAACTACGGCGTATTCATCTATACATCGCCTTGATGACAAACAAGGTCGAAAAGAACAAAATATAAGTCAAAATAAGGAACACGGAGAAGCCAAAGCGATCACTATGACTCGGGCTGTATATACCCTTCCAGCTTGATCGGTCCCGCCCAGTGGGCCAGACTACGTGGGATTAAAAAGAGCCCTAGGGCCTCTCATGTCTGCGAACAACCGGTTTATATAATCGCTCCGGTGCCATGCAGGTGTCACCATCTACTGGGATGTCTGGACTCGAGACGCAAGAAATCCCGAGCTGTGCGAAACCATTTCGGGTCTGCAAGATCTAGGGCGCTCGCCAATAATCTTTGAGATAGCATACTAGCTGCATCCGCGGCGCCTGGTTCATGGAGCCACGGCATCACACAGGCCGTACAGGCTACATACCTCCATCGCAGACCACTTCAGTTGTGCATGTTCACCGCAGAAACAGCCAAGCATTCGAAGACAGAAGAACGCGAATCCCGGGCGCAATATCCTTCGATTTGCGGAAATTGCTAGTCTTTCTTGAGGGCCAAGCCTCACTTTACCGGCGCAAAGGGGTTGGATGAAAGAGTGAGGCGGTTTCCCCGGAATCGGACGTGAGCAGCAGACCTTGCAGGCGTTCCATTTCGCTCGCAAAGGTATCTATTTCAAAAGCCACATTTGCATAGGCGCAATCTTGACTGGAAGACTTTTCTCGGGTCGATGGCGGGCGTGCTGATCGACTCTGGAGTGACTTTGTACAGTCACATTGCCCTAGGGCATCCTGACAGTCGAGAGACATATCCACATCGAACCCACCGCGTTGTGACGAATGAATCTGATGCTCGTTTGTTATCGCTTTCCTTGCATGGCCGGAACGTTACCTGGCTATTTATACGGGTCTCTTGAAGGCCCCAAGCCACGGCCATCATGATCGAAAGTAGCTCCCCTATAAGCATACACCCAACGCTACCTCGCTCGCGCCCATTTATTTACTTCCACGCTAGCTGCCTTCATTTACGAACATGTCTCAAGTCCAGCAGTACTGGCTTCCAGGCTACGGGCTGTCCCGCCATATTGTCTTAGGTCACATACAATATTTCCTAGGCCCATCGGCAAGTGTCAGGCCATACTCCTACCAGGTAACTTTCAACGCCGTGGCAGAATGGACCCAAATCACAGCTCTGACATGTAAAGGGCCGGGACGGCTACCTGATAGTCGGTGTGCCTCTTACACGGGTCTGTCATTGTTATTCCCTTTCTTCCATGAGTAGATTGTTGACATTCAACGGTAGGAGCAAATCGACGACCTCGCTACGATGTCTCGAGAATACGAGCGCCAGGAATCTGTCCGAATGACAGGAGATACCGGCATCAGTAGCTCTGCCAGACAGTCGGAGCCCTACATCAATGAAATTGTCCCGGTTCGGATTTCAGGCAGTCGCCGGAGACCTATAGAGCATGAGTCTCGACGGGCTTACTGATCTAGCGGGCTAAGAAGAGTTCGCGTTCGTGACATTTGTGGGTTGTTCTATGTTTTGCTCAAGCCGTTTTGATTTTCCAGCGGGGCCTTCTTTCTGTTTCACAGATACCTTGTTAGACGTGATTGACTTAACTCTTCTTTTGTTTTCCTTTATCTTCTTCCATTTTTTGCGCTTTCGGGAGTTTTCACTCAGGTTGAATGATATGCCTGCACTCTGAGCGATATGATGGATAATGTGAGTAGGTACGGTCCCTGCCGTGATATTGGATACCGTGCGCCTGGCCCGCAAGCCGAGGAGATCAGGCTAAGAATCGTTCATAATACAAATAAGGCAGATCGAAGTCCGATCCAAAAACAACAGGTCTAGGGTTAAGTATTTGATTCCATCATCTCTATAGATCATTCGTAACAGCATAGATCGATCAATCACATGGCCAAGCGATAGCATCCATCGGACGAGAGAAAACCCCCCAGGAAGGGTGCGAGTCTGGCCCAGACTCGTGTTTCTCTCCAGTCCAGTCCAGTCCAGTCCTTCCTTTTGCTTTTTTTTCTCCTCCTCGTCGCCCTCCTATCTGATAAAAGATGCCCAGACAGACTTCACTTCGTGGATAAAAATTGACGGTACTTCTTCTCTTCTTTTTGTTTTTGTTTTTTTTTTCTTGTGGGGAGTCATCACACACCAAATCCCGAAGGGTGTCATCAACACAACACAAAAGAGATACACGGGGGGGTAAATAAACGTTATAGTGGGGAGGAAATGAGACACGAAACGGGAAAAAAAAAGAGAGAAAAAGAAAGAAGAAATAAATAGTGGACCACCTGAACGCCAGCCTGATGCCCACTCTTGCTTGGTTCCCATCTCATCACAACACTTTTAGCTTCAGGAAGTTTTCCGCACACACTCCGGCCCCGGCGCGGGGGAAGACTACTAGTAAGTAAGGTAACATGAACAGAACCATGAAGAGAACGGTAAAAGGACGAAGATTTCTTGTTTTTTTAAAAAGGAGCAAGCTCAAGAAGAAGGGTGTGTCATTCGTTTATTTCGCGACGGCAGCACTGTTGGTTGGGTTGTGGTGGTTAGTATATGTGGGTTGGATAAAGAGGGGGCTGGAGACGGAGACGTACCTCAGAACTTGCGTCCGGAAGAAAGCACCCTTGGTCTTCTCGATGACCTGCTGGTACACGGATTGAGGGGGGTGGTTCATGATCACGGTGCCCTCCTTGTAGTCGATCTTGGCATCGACTCTGGTATCCCGGATCAGGTTGACGATCCACTTCTCGCCCTCGTCCTGGTTCAGGCCCAGACGGGTGGACAGGTCACTAGAAATAGAAAGTCCGGTTAGCAAGATTGCAAGATTTCCACGAGGGTCGTCGCGGGCGAGAGAGAGAGAACGGAGCAAGCACATACTTGATGTCGATCCGCTGGTGGATCTTGCAGTAGCTCTCGGAGATCAGGTGACGGGCAGCCTCGACGAAGGCATCGGCGGCGGAAACTAGGAAGAAGTCGCTCCGCAACACATCCTCGGCCTCACCCAGCTTCTTCTGGGCCTCCTCGAAGTCGAAGTCGACGTACAGCGCCTTGACGAAGTCGGTGATGGGGTCGTTGTACTCGTAGCCCTCCTGGCGAACGATACGGATCAGGTCCTTCAGCTGCTTCTGGTAGACGCTGGTGCTCTTGTGGGCGCGGTTGCGGTTGGTGATGACGGCGGCAGCCAGGTAGCGCAGAATCCAGGGGCAGCTGGTCTGGATGGTGTTGATGTAGGCGGGGGAGAAGAAGAGGTCGGTCAGGACATCGCGGGCGGGGTCGTAGTTGAAGAAGGGGAAGAGAGACCAGTGGATCAACCAGGAGCGGTTCAGCAGTTGGCCCAGGGGGTTGTTGAATAGACGAGTGTCGATGGAGTCCTTGACCTTCTGGACCTCCTCCATGGCGCCCTCCCAGCTGGTGGTCAGGATCTCAGAGGCGAGCTTACCCCATGTGGCGGAGGCAACCCGGTCGTTGTCGGTGGAGAGGACACGGAACTGGTACAGCAGCTCGGCGGCATTGCCGTAGCTACCGCAGCTGTACTGGAAACGACCATAGTCGTGGAGGCTGTTGACCATGTCGACGGTGACGCCGTGCTCCTCCTCGAGGAACTTCAAGTTGGCGGCCTTGTCACTGCGCAGGTTGCCGACAACGCTCTCGTCCTGGAGCAGCTCGGTGATCTTGGCGCTCTGGTCCTGGTAGTGCTGCAGCTTGGCGAGAACCTCCTCCCTCTTTTTCAAGAACTCGTCGGGGACGGTGTCGGAGTCGTTGATTTCTTGCCACAGGTTGGCCACATAGTCGGTCATGTTGGTGTGTTTGAGGAGCTCGTACTTGGCACGGATGATCTCCTTGTCGTCATCCTGGCCACCGGAGCTGAATTCGAGGAGAGGGAAGACGAGATGGCGGTCGAGGTAGGGGATCAACTTGGGGAGGAGATCATACTGGCTGGCGATCTCTTCAGCGGTCTTGGGGGGTGGGCGGCGGCACCACTGAGGAGAGTCTCAGCGGAAGGAGGGGCGTTGTCTGCCATGGTGAGAGGGGAGAAATGGGGTAGGGGGAGGGGGGGGGGAGGGGAGGGGGGGGAGGAGGAGGAGGGATCTCTCAGATGGAGATGGAGATGGAGATAGAGACCTTCCGAAGACAGAGACGGAGGCGCTCAATCAGTCGGGCTGGCAGTCTCAGTCAGTGTGCGGCGGCTTTTGCGCTGGCGAAAATGTGGGCGGGAGGGCTGCTCGACGCGCTAGCCCCGACTCGGCCTAGCGGCAGGTCTCCGCGCCGAAGCAAGAAATCATCGCTTCATTTCTGCATGTCGTATGTTCCGGATCTCCAGCCTGTCGTCGCTCGTCCCGTCAGTCCATCCTCTCCTCACCCCTCTCCCTTCGGCTGGTTGGCACTCGACTCGTCCATTCTCTCTCCTACAACCTCATCTCCCCCCCCCTCCGACCTCCATGGCGTCCTTCCTGCAGTCTCTGCCGCTCTGCTCGGCCGTTCGCAAGCAGTCCTCCTCCACCGTCCCCTTCTACCTCCACAAAGCCACACAGCCCATTGCTTCATCGGGGACGCGTAGCTCTTTCTCGACGCTATGCTCGTCTCCTAGCTCGATCACCTCTCGTAAGTTGCGACTCGTTCCGTTCGTTCCGTTCGTTCCGTCGTCGGTCTGTCTATCGGGACAGTAAGCATCGTTGTTATGTTCCTGAGCAGCAAACCCTCCCAAAAGACAGACGAACAGGCACGTCGAAAGCCTCCCACTGACCTCCTCTAGAAACCACTCTCCTTCCCTCCCTCCGCCCCAACACACACAAGGCTGCCGCTCAGCAATGTCGAACCTTCCTCGTTCAACTAAAGCGGCAATCCCAGACCCTGAAGGGCAGCCCTCCGGCGTCGCAACCCGCGGCCAACCTGCAACTTACGAACCTCCCCTACTTCATCCGTCGCACAGCCTCCAACCAGCTTCCCGTCTATCTCGTCACCAAGGCCGGTGGTACCAAGCAGCAGACCAAGCTCCAGAAGACCGAGGGCGATCTGGATGCCCTGAGGAACGATCTGGCACAGTACTTGGGCGTTGAGTCGGGCGACGCGCGCGCTCCCAAGAGCTCCGATGTAACAATCAACCGTCTCAACGGCCACATCGTTGTAAAGGTACGCCTTAAATGACCCTTGTTTACTTTTGGCGGATCTGGGCTGATTTGCTTTTTACTTTTAGGGCTGGCGGAAACCCGAGATTCTCAAGTTCCTCGAGGAACGTAATTTCTAAACAAGAGGCACCGAAAAAAAAAAGACGCATCCCTGGATCCCTCAGTCGACTCCGCCCCTCCCACTTTCCTCCATCGTCTATAATTCATCTACGATCCGACGATTCTGTCGCGCGTATGCACATTGTCACTGATATCTACCAAGGAGTGACGGGGGGGATCCAGGGCCCGGAGAAACACGAGCACAGACTGACTGACTGGGTGCAAGACGGCGGATGATGGGATGAGACGAACAGCCATAATCGATGGTAGTGATCAGGGATATTTCTTTCCTTCCCCGTCTCTCTTCTTTTTCTCCCCCCTCCACTTTCTTCATTTCCATTTATTACTTTATCTTATTCACCGTGTATTACTGTCTGTCATAGTGCTGGTGTTCTGTCTCAATTTCCTCTTCCCGGAAGCTTTCTGGCTGTTACTGTATACTGGCGTGATTTCTTCAACTCTACGGCGAACTGCTGGTTCGGTATATTATTTTCCTGCTTTACGCGACCTCCTTCACTTCATACCTGCTGCCTCGTAGCTCTCTCTCACACGTAGACAGTGCTCTTCCCAGAACAAGAAAGTTGCATGCTAGGAAATACGTAAACAATATGACCCTAGACGGGGTTATATAAGTCCCGTAGATGGGACAAACACAGTGCCCATCCATCTCTAATTTAGCGGAGCATTGAACCAACGCAATTTTGATTGAGTGAGGCTTTCAAGGGTCCATCAGATGAGAGAGTTTCTTCACGTTAGTGTCAAGACTGACATAACTACTGGATTTAGATTGATACATAGGTGTTTACACGTGACCTACGATTTGCGCTGAACCAAATACTCCGTACATGCGATGCTGCCGTTCCCACCTTCAGAGAGGCCTGGGTGGTGGTGGTGGTTGGTTATCTATCTAGTCACTATGATTTGCGCACCACTGGCTTGGGTGTAACACTTGAATTACTACCTAAGTACCTACCTACCTTAGGTCGAGAAGTGGTATTGCCATCTTATGTGACGGATTTTCTCCGGTCATGGACCAACGCTACAGCCAGTTCAGCCTGGAGAACTGGAATTATCGTGGTGAATCAGCAAAATCCCTTGATCTGTATCGTATCGCATCGAGAAGGTATATCGAGATTGTTGGTGGTGACCATGATCTGAAATTTACCCATTTAGACATCAAGCATGGTTTTTTTTCGCCCGAGGGTATTGAACATTGTACAGCGGTAAAGCACAGAGATACACATTTGTCACGCCTCTCGATAATCTTCCCACCGGCGCCAAGCAAGTAAAAAAAAAAGGAGAATGAGATATAAGATAGTAGTTTACTCAAGACGAATAGAAGACATGGCAGGGGAAAAAGAAAACAGAGAGGAAATAAAAAGGCACATTCAAAGCGCGACCAAGCCCTTTTGCCTTCGCTAGAAACAGCTCAGAATCCAACCATCCAGAAGTTATACCGCTATCATTCCGCAAGTCGTGCATATGTTATCAGCTGCCGAACAACCCCCGGATCTATGTTCGGCATCAACAGTGCGCCGAGCAGGTTTTCTTTCCGGGGGATAATCCCCGACGGGAAATGCAATGTCGAACTGGAGTCCGCAAGTTTCGATTTCTCAGCTAGTCGGCGGAGAATTGCCAGGCCTCGATTGATTATCGAGCTGTACGCAGACGCCTCCGCTTCCGCTTGGCCCCTGGCGGCGTGGGACTGGCGTGAGTTGGTGGTGGGCGGAGGGACTCGATCCATGCTCAGGAGGCAGGAAAGGCGAAGAAGATGGATGGCAAACCCATCAGTGGACTCCAGCCATAGCTTGGAAGTAGGGCCATCGGAAAACCCTGACAGAATGTCTGCAGCCAGGAGGCCTTGCATTAGGAAGACCTTGCGGGCATCCGCTATGGCCAAGGGTTTGCGGAGCTGATCAGGAACCGGGCAAATCGCGAGTCCAAAAGCCCGGGTAAGCAGCTCCTGCTGGACGGAACTACCGTCGCCAGAAAAGATCGCCCTGAAAAATGTCCGGTTGGGCTCATCCCGCATCAAAAGCTTGGCCAAGCCATCAACCGCTGCAGGTGTGTATTTATGGACAGAGGGGTTGTATGACGTGAACATGATTCCTTCCACGCCCACGGTGGGTGATGGAAACGGCGCGAACGACAAAAGGAAATGTAAAAGACAGAGAGCGTCTTCTTTACTCGGTAGGTGGATGAAGTGGGCCACATTACTCAAGTAAATAACCGTATCCTTCATGAAATCCAGGGTGTTCTGATGCGTCCGTAATAGCATATTGCGAGTGCCGAGATAGCGGATAATGGTAGACATAAATTGAACGACCGGGGGCGTGGACAGGATCCCGAAATTGGACTCGATAAACGAAAAATTGCGCAAAATAGTAGTGATGCAGATGAGTCGGTCGACGGCACGATCTAGCTCATAGTCGATGCTTCCAAATTCTGGAATGTCCGCCAAGGATGTCCACTCTGACTGACATCCTCGAGTTACTTCCTCGTATGAGGATAGAAGCATCATATCCGAAACTTCAACTGTATGCTCCGCAAGGAACTCCGATTGATCCTCGGCGCATTCTATCAAACTCTCCACCAGATCTTCACAATTCTCTAACGAAATCTGGATCGCTGGCTCGGAAGAAATAGATGTCAGAGTATCCAGAGCCATGCGCATCTCCGCATGTATCCCGGACTTAATACTCATCGTGAGTGCGTGGATGTCGATGACACCCAGCTCAGCAAACGTGGGAACGTTTGGCTTAAATCTCGCAATGTCATCTCCAATCTGATACATTTCATCAACGGCTATCGGACCATGCAGATTGCTTGGAGGTAGGACCATAGGTTTGAAAGTATCCTCGATCTGGTGCTTCAGAGGCTGGTTTGATGACTGTTCCAACTGCTCTGAGGGTTTCCCAGGCATGGGACCCGGGGCTTTGCCGGGCTGCGCAGGCGATTGGCCTGGTATTTGACCGGTTGGGTCATGTGGTGTTGCTGGGGGCTGTGACTGGCGAGAAATGCTGAGACGGTGTTGATTTTGAGGTTTGCTTTGGGTCTTGACCGGCGTGGGCGTCGCAAATCCATTTGACGCACTGTGATGTACAGCGCCTGGCGTAGGCGCAGCACTAGGTGACGGGTGTCCCATCTGTTGGGGAGTCTCGAAACCCGGGCCCGGCTTGACGGCTGGAGATTGGAACTGCATGCCAGATGGATCGCTGGGTTGTCGCGGCAGCGGCGCCTGTTGCATTTGTTCCGCAAACTGTTTCTGTTGTGTATTGAGGAAAGCCTGTTCGTATGCAGCGAGGTTCCGCTGATAGTGCTCGCGAATCTCCTGCACGGCCATCGGAAGCTGCATTTGTGGAAACGAAAGCTGCTGCGCAATGACGGGCCACATATTTGTCGCAGCAATCTTCTTCGATCCACCAAGTTTCATGACCGTTGCATAGAGCTGGACTAGGTTGATAGGGCGACCGCAGACGATGGGACTGGGATCCAATGGCAAATTGCGCGACATCATGAATTTCTGCAACGATCTCATGAACCCCTCTGGGTTAGGTGGTTTAGCCATGGTCTGTTGCATTTGTCTGATAGCTGCCATCTGTTGAGGATTTGCCATCGCATTCATGCCAGCAGCCACCGGTCGCCCAGCCATAGCTGGATTCATACCCATCGGACGCCCTTGGTTTTGCATCTGCATAGCATGCATTCGCTGTTGCTGCTGCTGAGCAGCTATCGCTTGCTGATAGCCCTGCGGTATACCGCCGTAGTGGGCCTGCATTGGCGCTTGTACGGCGGCAGACGTCATTGCAGGCGCGGGCGAGAATTGGGGGCCCATGGCCTGGGGGAAGGGTTGACCGGGCATGAACGCGTTATTTTGCGGAGTATTCACCCTACTCGGATGATCTGACTGCGAAGGGGACATGTGGGAGCCTACTGGAGGACCTGCTGGGGAAAACGGACTAGGAGAAGCTGTTCCCATTCGCTGTACGCCGTGTTGGTCGAACTCCTGCATTATCGGAGACTGGGTGACACTGGGAGAAGCTCCTTGTTGGAGATGCTGGTACGGGGTTGGATGCGGGGGATACTGAGGCGCGCCATTCGGAGCTCCTTGATACCCTGGAAATGGCACTTGATGAGGAGTTTGTGATCGGGATGCGGCGATCCCGCCCGGTGCTTGCCTAGGCGACATTGAAATTCCATCCTCTGGCCGAGGCCGTTTGGAAGGAATCACCTGGTTCGGGTTGTGGAAACCAGGCGAGGCATTTCGCGGCACGCCATTGAACATGCGCTGGTACTGGGTAGGGTCGGGAGTGGGAGAGGTGTGGAGGAATGCCGCAGAAGGATCAATGGTCGCCTGGTGGAAAGCACCATTGTCATGGTTCGGAAGGTTCGAGGCGTCGGCTAGCCAGGCATTCATGTCGAGTGGTTTTACCAACCCATCTGCAAGGCGACGAGAGCTGTCAGAAAAAAAGACACACGGGTAAGAGGGCCACCCCCGTCATCGTCATCGACACGCGATCGATGGGAACAAAGATTGGGCAGTCATTATAAGCTTAAACATGGAAAGACAAGATGACACAAGCTCCAGAGAAACCAGGGAAAGGTTGGAGGGTGGGCAGACGGTCTAGACGCGTCAGGTGAGAAAGCTGGCAGTGAGGGCGTCGCGCTTCGCTCTGCGACACGAGCGAAGCAACGACCACACCGAGAACAGCCACCCCAGCGTGTCGGCCGTGGGGGGAGGGGGTAGGGACGATCAGAGGGGGTTGGGGGGGATTGATAATTACTCAAAAAGGAAAATTGAAGGGAACAAGCAGGATGTACATACCGACAAGGCTGGACAACTAAAAATGCCGACTCACAAGCGGATGGAGGCCGGGTCCCGAATGGCAGTGGTTGGAAGGCCGGAGAGAGAGATTGCGAGAAGATCGAGCAGGTCACGGGACCATGGGCGTGGCAGAAAACCAGTCGAGGTTTCGCCGCAGCAGAGCGTGTGGGAGGGAGAGAGCGGCACTGGGTGGCAGAAGTCCGATCAGATCAGCAAGCCTCGGGTGACAGCAGCAGCGGCTGCACGAAACCAATCACGACGATAACATGTACATGCAACAACAGGAATCACGGATCGGTCATGGATAGGCTGATAGCCTGCAACCCGTGAAGGGCGCGAAACGTGCGTGGTAGTCCCGAGGAATGGCGAAAGGGTGGCCAGCACCTGACTAGTGCGTGGCCACAGTTGTGAGAGGCGTGTGGACGGGGGCAATCCAATGACTGGAAGACAAGCGGGCGGGGGGGGGGAAGGAAGGGAAGGGGGATCAATAGTCAGGAATGACAGGCGTACCTGGGCTTGGAAAGCTCCGTAAGGAATCAGTACACAGCAGTTACCAGATGGGAATTCGGTAATTTTATTGAATTCGGGTTAAGGCTCTTTTGGGCTTTGTGTTGCTCGCCGGGGAAAGGAAGGGGGGGGGTTCCCTTTAGAAAGGTGGAGGCACACGGGGTTGGGAAGGCGGGAATGGAGACGGACGTGGAGCGACCAAAGACGCCTCAGGAGTCGAGAATCGAGTCGGCCAGGAACGGGAGCAGGCAAGGTATGCGAAAGATGAAAGGGACAGAGAGGCGTATGGCTTTCCAGTAAGGTTATCTTACCAGTAGTACGTAGCAGCAACCGGCCTGGAGCAGCAGCAGCAGCAGGAGCAGAGCACAAGTCGGTCGGTAGGAGTCGGGCGCGGGTAAAAGGGGTGAGCCGAAACAGCAGGCGGACCCCCGCGGCAGATTAGGTAATCTTCGCGGGTCGATTCACGCGTTACATCATCATCATCATCATCGCTGCTGTCTGCTGTTACCGTCCTCCTCCTACTATGATCCTACATCTATACCTAGAGGTACTCAAGTCAACAAGGCTCTGCTATGTACGTACCTAGTATACGGGGTACATTTTGAGGGAAGCAGCGCCAGGGGCAAGAGCAAAAGCCGCCAAACTTTATTGGATCAACAACAAACCACATCTATCTACAGACGAGTGACGGATCCCCGTAGTACTAGTATTGTCCTGCGGATGTCCAGCGCACAGTCACCCGTATTAGGTTGTGGCTATAAGAACGATCCATCTGAACAGGTTCCATCCCATGGTTCGGGCCAGACCTCCCCGACACGCCCTCGAATGTGTCACGGCGCCGCACATGCCCGCCGAGGCATGACCTGCCTAATCCGGAAGTAATTCCAACCGCCTGTCTCTTGGCCCATCGAGTACTTTTCTTTATATCTACCTTGTGGACCCAGTTCTGCTCCAGTAAGTCCCATGTTGGCTCTGCAGGCGCAACATATAGAAGAGGCAACGGCCTCCCTGAAACAACCATGAGAAATAAATCCATCAGCCCTTCTCTTTCTCACGATGGCAGCATCAAAAGAATGGCAAAAAATGCTCAACGGTGAGCTGTATTGGGCCTGGGATGCAGACCTTCAGGCCAATCGACAGCGCTGTAAGGCAGCATGTGACGCGTTCAACCAAGCGGGTCAGGTGTCTCGACGTCGCAGGGTGGAGTTATGGAGAGAGTCAGTAAAATCTTCCGTGAATATTGAGAAGCATCGCAGTCCTATCTGACTCTACGACGCGTGATAGCATCATCGGTGACAGCCGTGCCTTACCTCCGGTCCATCCGAATCCTCAGGAAGATGAGAAACTCTTCAACGACACCGATCCCTTTGTGGATCCCCCCATCTCCGTGGACCACGGGCTGAATTTTAAGGTCGGCAAGGGCAGCTTCTTAAATTTCAACCTTCTTGTTTTGGATACCTGTCTAGTGACGGTTGGCGAAAGGGTGCTCTTTGGCCCTAATGTCTGCATCTATGGTGCTACTCATCCCATGGACCCGGCTGTACGGCGAGGGTTGGAGGGCCCAGAAGCCGGCAAAGAGGTGCACATCGAAGATGACGTGTGGATAGGAGGCAGTGCTATCATCTTGGCCGGAGTCAGAATCGGGCGAGGAAGCACGGTGGGGGCTGGCTCTGTAGTGACGAAGGTACGTTCGTGGCTTGACCGCATACTAGTATTTTCGAATTCCGAGACTAACCCATCCCCCAGAGCGTCCCACCCTTCCACTTTGTTGCTGGAAACCCTGCCCGAATTATCCGCCGCATTGAAACGAGCATGGATCCTGAGCACCAAATCAAAGAAGACATATAGTGATTCCAGACTTTACGATAGCCGATACTCTATCTCACGTTGAAAATGCCAGAGATGACAATCCACCTGCAACGCTCAATCGCTTGCCCATAAGTCACTGTAGTCATGGGATATCGGAACCCAAATCAGCTTCTCCTCGTCACACAGAATGCTACGATGGCCTCATCATATCGCAGCCGAGAGCCATTCTCATCCGATGAGTGTTTCGAACATACTTATATGATCAAATAATCATGTTGCCGTATCAGCTCGGGACAGTATGCCTGGCTCGCCTGGTAAGTCCGGAGTCAGTTGAAGATAGAACACCGACACTTACAAAAGTCGTCCATGAGATATTTGTATCATCATCTGGGGTCTGCGCTGCACGAGCATCCCACACCTTTCTCAATAAATCAGCCGGTACTGGGTTGCGAAATTCAGACCTCCGCTCGATCTCACGCAGTCTTGTCAGAACATAGTATTGTGCATGACGCGATATGGAATCTGAACCTGCCATGAAGAGAGGTAGGACGAGAATTTCCAGTAACGAACACTCAGAAGAAATCAAGGCGGTAGCGTCGAGTATTCTAGTGACGCATTCCTGTATATCTGGGCTTCTGGCGGGTTTTAACGGGTCCAACAACCGAAGAATCCGCAGTATACACGCAAACTGGAAAGCCTCGGCTATCGCCAGCCAGAGAGAGTCGGAGCTAGGATACTCTCTCCCTCGTGGATCCCATGAATAAAGCTTATGCCTAGCCACAAGCAAGGCAATTTGATAGTCATCCGAAGTAAGCCAACCCAGCGTGTATTCCTTTGCTTTCTCCAGTGCTCCACCAATGACTAGAAAAACTTCTCGAGGGCACCCATTGACCAACTCGAACTTCCGATCACTTGCGCAAGCAACCAACTCACGAATGTCCTGGGAGAAACACATTCGTTCAGAACCAGCAAACGCTCGAATGATATCCAACCTGTGTTGCGCTGGTTAGTGGGCCTTGTTTCGAGACTGGTTCATTTTGGACATACCACGCTAGGTTTCCCAGAAAGAATACAGCCCGCTGCCGTCGACCATGCAATCCTTCGGCTATAAGTAACTGTTTACAGACGGACATGGCTCCCGTGATATGAATTCCATGACTCGATACCCCGGATTCAGAGATCTAATCTTTATCAGCTTATGCACACGCGTCGAGAAATGTGATTCATGGCAAGCCTACATCGTGAAGTAATAGAATCTGGATGATGGCCAAAACAGTATCCTGCTCATCTTCGAGCAGAGAGGTTCTTTGGCTCTTTCGAATCTCCTCACTGAGCGCACGTATGGCTTTCATTCGGTATTCGACCGCAGTAGCTTCATGCAGGAATTCGTCGTCAATCAGTCGTCCAAGGTGGGAAGCAGAGAGTCCAAGAACAGCATACAATAAGCCGATCTTCTTTCGCGCCAGGGGGAGAATGTATGCTCGATAAGGATTTTCCGCACCGAATCCTACCTCAGCGATTTGATGAGGGCAAATAATCTCATCATCTGAGCGGCGTCAGTATTCTTGGATCACCTCCCACATCAAGGGGACAGTAACATACAATGGCTTAATAGTCTGGCCGTGTTGGAGGAACTGAGGAGTGTAGTAACGTCGTCTGGAAGTTCTGGTAAGGGCCGACTACGTTCCCCAGGGGAATTACCAGGAACCAGGACGTCATTAGTTGGGGGCTTGGAGTTGCCGTCCGATTCGGCTGGGGAAGCTTGGTCAACTTTCGCGGGGACAACAGTCACGGTAACCTCCGACGTTGGCGTTTCATGGACCTCCGAGGGTACATTATTGCTTGGTCTTGATTGCAATCTGGTGGAGCTTCTATTGCTGACCGGGATGCGGGCACCTTTCCATTTCCCCCGACTGGCTATGCCACAGAATCTAAACTGTTCCGGGTATCCTCCGCATACTAGGCCTTTCGAGACGCAGCGTTGACAGTCGGGGCGAGCACGATCGCACTTGCGGCATTTCTGCCGGCAGGTCAGACATGCGGGACCTGCAAGAGTTGATGAGCATTGTGCTATAGTTCGTGGCGCATGCCATGGCTCGATGTGGCCCTACCAGCTCGTGGCATTCCACTGTCAGCCTGTGGACTGTGGAACTATCTATCCTCCTCCCGAAGGATAACTGATAACTTCGGATTCCTATATGGGCAATGGCATCACGCGTATGGGCCGCAAATTCCCTGGGAGGCTTTTTAGTCAGAAGAACCCTGGTCGCGGTTATTGCTATTGGCAGTAGAATCCAAGTCCACTGAGTGTTATCCCAGGATCTGATCGCAGAAAGCCAGCATTCATCTCCGGGCTGCTGGATGCTTTACCCGATCGGGCACCCAAATCAGATTATGTAATGCGTTATGCGTCATGTGACCGGTCTGTATATGCGACTGCTCTACGGACTAGATACTATGCTTCAGCATCTTCACAGGGTTGTAGGGGTCGAACTGCGATAGCTAATGTCTTCTTCGGACATTGGTTCCATGTTGGATAGTATCATGTCTTCTATTTTCCCGATTGCTGGCCGGATTCTGTCCGTCATCACTCGAGATGAGACAATGAGCCCTGTCGATGTATATATCCGCTATGACAAGCAATTAAAACCCCTGAGGATACGCTGCCTGCGAAGCATGACCATAGCACCCTACTAGGTATATATCACCATGTGGGCGACGAGAGTAACAATTTCCATTGATTCCATGCGTATACTACCAGTTGCTAGTAGTAATTCAATATCTCAGGGCCACAGCAGAGTCCATAAATAATGATTTGTAAATATTATTTGGCGGGCCCTGAGACTAGAGGAAAATATCCTCCGGTCGAAGCAGAAATGAACTGATCGAGGTGAAATTCCCCAGACCAACAAACGTCTACATCTATGCGTAGAAACCATCTACTACACAGCATGATGGAGGGAGGTCAAGCGGAGCTCCAGTGGTTGCCACTCGATGCGGGCGACCGAGCTCCCCGGTCACATGACGGTGCCGTGAGCTTCGTGAGCCCGGCCGTCTGGCATCGACGCAATAGATCCAAACAGCCTACGTCCTTCTCCAAAGCACCCACAACCAATCTCCTTTCGTACCCGGAGGGCTTTTCTTTCGCGATATCGACTGCGCTAGCTTTCTTCCATATTCCTTTGCTTTCCGACACACATTCGCCGCCATGGGAGACGTCGCCGTTGAGAATCCGGCGAACAACGTCACGCCTCACAGCAAGGCAGCTCCGCTGGACACGATTCCCAACATAGACTCCCTCGAAGGCACGGGAAGCGATGGAGGTGATGAATATGCTACGCTGAAGAAATTGCAGAGACACCTGGAGTACGTTCGAGCATGGATGGCAGCTACCGCGGCACCTATTGACCCTGCAACAGGTACATTCAGCTTCAGGAGGAGTACATCAAGGATGAGCAAAGGCAGGCTGTCCCTGTTTCTTCTGTTATACCTGGCTTTCTTGGCTAACCGAGGGTGTTTGTACAGGAGCCTGAAGAGAGAACTTGTTCGCGCACAGGAGGAGATCAAGCGGATACAGAGCGTGCCTTTGGTGATCGGCCAGTTCATGGAAGCGATCGATCAGAAGTATGATACCCAATAACTCTGGGAAGATGAACTGTAATAACTGATTTTCTATCTAGTACCGGTATCGTGCAGTCCTCGACCGGCTCGAATTACGTCGTCCGTATCCTGTCCACCCTCGACCGCGAGAAGCTCAAGCCATCCTCCTCGGTCGCTCTCCACCGTCACTCCAATGCCCTTGTTGATATCCTGCCCCCGGAAGCGGACTCCTCCATTGCCATGCTGGGTGAAAACGAGAAGCCTGATGTGACCTATGCGGATGTTGGTGGGCTTGACATGCAGAAGCAGGAGATCAGGGAGGCCGTCGAACTGCCTCTGACACACTTTGACCTTTACAAGCAGATTGGTGGGTTCGCCTTGATTCTCCATCCCTGTCACTCCTTATGGAGCTGTCTATTCCTGAATGCTGACCGACTCAGGTATCGACCCTCCCCGTGGTGTCCTTCTTTATGGACCTCCCGGTACGGGTAAGACCATGCTGGTCAAGGCAGTGGCAAACAGCACAACCGCCAGCTTCATTCGTGTAAACGGATCTGAGTTCGTTCAGAAGTATCTGGGTGAGGGTCCTCGCATGGTCCGTGATGTTTTCAGAATGGCACGGGAGAACTCCCCGGCCATCATCTTCATTGATGAGATTGATGCCATCGCCACGAAGCGTTTCGACGCCCAAACCGGTGCGGACCGTGAAGTCCAGCGTATCTTGCTGGAACTTCTTAACCAGATGGACGGTTTCGAACAGACCAGCAACGTCAAGGTCATCATGGCCACCAACCGAGCGGATACCCTGGACCCTGCCCTGCTACGTCCGGGTCGTCTGGACCGCAAGATCGAGTTCCCCAACCTGCGCGACCGGCGTGAACGCCGGTTGATTTTCTCTACGATAGCGTCTAAGATGTCGCTCTCCCCCGAAGTCGACCTTGACTCGCTGATCGTTCGCAACGAGCCCCTCTCGGGTGCGGTCATCGCGGCCATTATGCAAGAGGCGGGTCTCCGTGCTGTCCGGAAGAACCGCTACAACATCATCCAATCCGACCTCGAGGATGCCTACTCCGCTCAAGTCAAGACTGGGCAGGAGTCGGACAGGTACGTGTCTCTACCCATTTTACCCGTTGTGCCGACACAGCTGACCAGATCCACAGACTTGAGTTCTACCGGTAAACGAGCATGGTACGTGTTTTTTAGGCTGGATATCGGATTGTGCAAGGCGAAAAGGGGGATCGTTAGCTGTATCATCAACATCTAGGCTATCATATATTAGGACAACGACTGATGCATTTTGGGATGCCGCTGGAGTAGTTTATCTGTTGGGACGAGTAGACGGTAGAACACATCAGCGCTGCCAGGTGTCTTGGGAGTCTGACTAATCGTAGCTGCGGTAGTTAGGTAGTTACTCTGTAGCTAACTAGCTGCCTATCCTGGCACCTTGAGTGCTACGTATTCGCTGGCTATCTACCGATAGATAGCGGTAGGTAGTGCCTGTTTCGCAAGGTATGGCGCTAGTGAGAAGGAGGCAGCCACAGGAAGGCGGTCTTACATCATCACCGACGGGTTCGCGTGATCCGAGCGAAGATAAGGCGCCGAGCAGGAACCCCCATCCTGCAGAGCAAGTATCCCTGTACCTTGTCAGGCAACCGGAAGTCAAGTACACTGGTAGAAGAGAAGTAATGCTCAGTATACTCCCACACACCGTAGATAGATGCAGTTACACAGTAGTATCTCCATGCCTCCGTGGAAGACGATCAACTGACCGACCGATAACGCGTGACGATCGGCTTGCCCACTCCTCTCCATGACGCAGCCGGGACAGCCGGCCATTGGCTGCGGCAGGCCCACCAGTCGCTCCGCAACCAGTGCGAGCCCGGGTCTCGTCACCCGCATCACTCGCCCTCTCACCCCAGACCTCCCTCTTCCTCCCCTGGTACCTGTCCTCCCTCTCCCCATCTCCTCCCTCTTGCTCCATCATCATCATCATCCTCATCATCATCCTTATCCGTTCCTGAGTCCCTGCCGCCATCGTAAACCAGTCCATCGCATCATACGGGCCTGTTGTTTCCGTTGCCGCCCATCATGAAGTCGACCTCCTTGCTCGCAGCCTCCGTGCTGTTGGGCTGTGCCTCCGCCGAGGTTCACAAGCTGAAGCTCAACAAGGTCCCTATGGAGGAGCAGCTGGTGAGTAAAGCTTTTCTGACTGCCTTGAATGAAGCAGGCGAGTGTCTTGAAGCTTCATCATCCTCTAACGTTGACCCTCTCATCGCAGTTGACGCACAACATTGACGCCCATGTCCGCGCTCTGGGCCAGAAGTACATGGGCATTCGCCCCAATGTTCACCAGGAGCTGGTTGAGCAGAACCCCATCAATGACATGGCTCGTCACGATGTCCTGGTGGACAACTTCCTGAACGCACAATGTACGGAGCCAATGGCCCAGAGCTAGGCCGTGCCTTATCGGTGACTGTTACTGACATACTACCCTATAGATTTCTCTGAGATCGAGCTGGGAACTCCCCCGCAGACGTTCAAGGTCGTCCTGGACACTGGCAGCTCGAACCTGTGGGTTCCGTCCTCCTCATGTGGCTCGATCGCCTGCTACCTCCACCAGAAGTACGACTCCTCTTCCTCGAGCACGTACCAGAAGAACGGCAGCGAGTTCGCTATTAGATACGGCTCTGGCAGCCTCAGCGGATTTATCTCCCAAGACACGCTCAAGATTGGCGACCTGAAGATCCCTGACCAGGACTTCGCCGAGGCGACCCAAGAGCCTGGCCTCGCCTTTGCCTTCGGTCGGTTCGACGGCATCCTCGGCCTGGGCTACGACACCATCTCCGTGAACAAGATTGTTCCTCCCTTCTACAACATGATCAACCAGGGACTCCTTGACGAGCCTGTCTTCGCCTTCTACCTGGGGGATGCGAACACGGAGGGTGACTCATCCGTGGCTACCTTTGGTGGCATCGACAAGTCTCACTACACCGGTGAGCTGATCAAGATCCCCCTCCGCCGCAAGGCCTACTGGGAGGTCGACCTTGACTCCATTGCTCTCGGTGACGATGTTGCTGAGCTCGACAACACTGGTGTCATTCTGGACACCGGCACTTCTCTGATTGCCCTGCCTGCCGACCTTGCTGAGATGATGTAAGTGACTGCTCCCTTGCCTGTGATACACTTGCTCACTGCCCGAAAGCAACGCCCAGATTGGTGCCAAGAAGAGCTGGAGCGGCCAGTACACCATTGACTGCGAGAAGCGCTCGTCCCTACCCGACGTGACTTTCACCCTCAGCGGCCACCCGTTCACGATCTCCGCTTTCGACTACACCTTGGAGGTTCAGGGATCCTGTGTCAGTGCTTTCATGGGCATGGACTTCCCCGAGCCCGTGGGCCCCCTGGCCATCCTGGGTGATGCGTTCCTGAGGAGGTACTACAGCGTGTATGACCTCGGCAACAGCGCCGTTGGTCTGGCCAAGGCTAAGTAAATGATGGATCGGTAATTATTTCTGTTCCCTGAGGGGATGGCACCGCGTACATGACCCTTCCCCGCAGCGGTCATTGTTATTTGGGGCTCGGGAGATCTGTCGAGCTTGACGGCTTTGATCTAGTCTTCGCAGACGAACATGGCGTAATCTGTTACGGATGGTTTCCCCTGTTGCCAGCGCTTGCCGGGTAGGCTCTAGGGATCTCCAATGAATGCCCATAATATTGCTTGATTTACTTCCATGCTGTGATCTTGATTGATGATGCGGATGATGCGGATGATGCGGATGATGCGATACAAGTAAACCTAGACACCAGGGAATGATAGCTTCGCGTTGGGGAGTTTGTTTTGATGGCAATGCATGATATAGTTCCGAGAGGATGAGGATTGACGTAATAGTACAGTAGTAGTGGAGGGCGTAGGGAGTAGTACAACGGCGTACAAAGCAAGCAGGCATGATGATGATGATGATGATGGGCTTCAGACAAAGACGATGACGGGGTCTGGGCCGAGTCTCGCCCCGCACAGGCCAGCCAAACCGACGCACCCGCTGACTCTTGGCGGCCAAACCTTCTTCTTCACGACCACCACCCCAGCGGCCGTTTTGTCTTTCTCTTGTCTCTCTCTTTCATCATCCATCCACACTCTTCATCCCCCGTTCCACTATCTCTACCATCCTCGCCCTGCGCCTTCAAAACAGAGCTCAGTTCCACCCGCCCGCATCTCAATCCGAGATCCGCCCGCCTCATCATTGGTTTCGTCGCGTCGTCTCGTGACGAAGCACACCACCTGTGACAACCCGACCTACTCCCACTACTCCCACCTACCTACCTACCAACCTTCCATTCATTCACCCATCGCAACCACGCCCCACTTCCCCGTGTCGCGTCCATCGCAAACAAGCCCCTCGATCGCGTCACCTCACTCCTGGCCACCCACTCCACCCATCCCCAGTCGCCCCGGGCATGGCTCCGTAGCCCGTCCGTCGAGCTCGATACGATACCTCTTTCATCTCGGTGATCGAATCGAATTCCATCTAGCATCCCATCCGATCGACCAGAGCTGTCCAGCTCCATCCACGCGACAGGGAGGACGGGGGAATCCGGAGGGGGTTTGGAGAAGATCGGAACATACATACATAGTTGAAGCAAATACGTGACGGCATGCTTCTCCGGTTACCGCCTAGTCTTCATTACCCGATTACCGTCACGTCGCTGCTCAAACAGCCCGGTGATGCGGTGGAACGGGATGAGGCGCTGTTTTGGTATGTGTACCAGACGACTGTCACGGAGGGTGATGGGCTAGGGAATAAGGTGGAGGTCAAGCGGAAGTTTCCGACTAAGTTTGAGTCGACGGTTGATGGCGAGATCGTGCAGTGGAAGGTGGCGAAGGGGGATGTCATTGATGAACCGTATGTTTTTTTTTTTTCTAATTTACCCCTTTACTTTTGCTGGTTTGGGGACTCGGGGGCTCGGGGCTGACGATTCAATTTTCGCTATAGGGTTGATGTTTTGGAAATTGATGAGCCATGTGCTCATGAAGTTCAGTTTGGGGGGCTTTGTGCGGAGTGTGGCAAGGATATGACTGAGTAAGTGTTGCTGGGGTTGAGGTAGCTGTGTGTTGGGGTAAGGTGTTGGATGCTTACGGTTGCTATAGGTCCTCGTACAATACCGAAGTGACGGACATTATGCGCGCCCCGATTCAGATGGCCCACGATAATACCACGCTCACTGTCAGTGCGAGAGAAGCTACGCGCGTGGAAGAAGATGCAAAGCGTCGTCTACTATCGACTCGGAAGCTGTCCCTCGTTGTGGATCTGGATCAGACTATCATCCACGCTACTGTTGACCCGACCGTGGGAGAATGGATGCAGGATAAAGACAACCCGAACTACCAGGCTCTGAGCGATGTCCGTGTCTTCCAGCTGGTGGACGATGGACCGGGGATGCGCGGGTGCTGGTACTATGTCAAGCTACGGCCGGGGCTGGAGTCGTTTCTGGAGAACGTGTCGGAGATGTTTGAGCTGCATATCTACACCATGGGAACCAGGTCCTATGCGCAACATATCGCTAGTATTATAGATCCTGACCGGAAACTCTTCGGTGACCGTATCCTGAGTCGAGACGAGAGTGGGAGTCTGACGGCCAAGAACCTGCACCGGTTGTTCCCGGTGGACACGAAGATGGTCGTCATCATCGACGACCGCGGGGATGTCTGGCGCTGGAGCCCTAATCTCATCAAGGTGTCTCCCTATGAGTTCTTCGTCGGTATTGGGGACATCAACTCGAGCTTCCTTCCCAAGAAACAGGAGCTGGGCAAGTCCGGTGACAAGCCGGCGCCCAAGCCATCCAAGGGAGCGCTTGAAGAGCACCACGTGAATGGGGCAACCGCGAAGACAGACGAGCAGAGCGAGGTTTCGACATTAGAGCAGCTGGTAACGATGGGTGGTGGAGACAATCCGAGGTTATTGCAGGAGCAAAGCGACGCGCAAGAAGAGTCAATCATGCATCAGGTGGAAGACCGGCCGTTGTTGCAGAAACAAAGGGAGCTGGACGCGGAAGATGATGCGGCGGAGAGTGGCAGCGATTCCTCCAGCAGCATGGACGAGTCGCAGGACATGAGCAAGCACCGGCACCATCTGCTGGAAGACAACGACCGGGAGCTGTTTGATCTGGAGGTCCGACTGGAGCGAGTACATCGGAATTTCTTCGACGAATACGACCGCCAGAAGTCGCGAGGGCTGGGCGGGAGAGTGGCTGCGCTGCGAGGCGAGAAGGCGCCCTCGAAGGAGAAGGACGTCGACCTGAAACTGGTGCCTGACATCAAGGATATCATGCCCCTTATCAAGCGTCCCGTCCTCACTGGTGTGGTCCTGGTGTTCTCCGGAGTCCTTCCGCTTGGAACGGACACGCAGAATGCAGACATCTCCCTCTGGGCGAAGAGTTTCGGCGTGGCCATCTCTCAGAAGATCAACGGGAGAACCACGCACCTCGTCGCCGGACGCAACCGCACTGCCAAGGTCCGGGAGGCGACCCGATACTCCAAAATCCAGATCGTCACGACGCAGTGGCTCCTCGACTGCCTGACGCAGTGGAAGCGACTCCCGGAGGAACCCTACCTCCTTCCCGTGCACCCCGAAGACCGGGGGGAGCCGATCTCCCCCGACTCCAAGGAAATGGCCGAGGGTTCGTGGATTTCGTCGGACGACGAAGCGATGGCCGAGTCGGTCGACGAGGAGATGTCCCAGTTCGCAGGCATTGACGCGACGTCGCCCATCGGTTACGACGAGGAGCAGCAAGCGGCTGTGCACGACGAACTGAAGGAGTTCCTGGGCAGCGACGACGAGAGCGAAAGCGACACTGACGTGTCGGTTCTGGACGAGATTCCGAGTCCCGGCAAGAAACGGAAGCGCGAAGAGGACGAAAGCGCCGACGACGTGGAGACGGACAACCCCAGCGAAGAGGTCGACGTCCACGGATCGCGTCTGGCGCAGCGCATCAAACGGTCGTACGAGCGGTCCACCGGACTGAAGGAAGTTGCCAGCGCGGGCGTGGAGTCGGCCTTCAAGCAGGCCCAGGCCCAGGCCCAGGTCCCATCCGACACCGACGCCGACACGCCCGAGGAGCCCACATCCCAGCCACAGGAGCCCGTGGAAGAAGACGACGACGAACTCGAGCGGGAGATGATGGCGGCGTTTGAAGACGGCGAGGAGCCGGCGGATGACGAGAAGATTGCGAATGAGAACGAATGAGTCTTCCTTAGGTTAGGTTAAGTTAGGCTAGGACTTAGGGGTTGTATGTTGAATTGTATGTTGGGGGTTGTTTTGCTCTTTTTTTTTGTTTTTCTTTTTTTTCTCTTTTACTTTTTTGAATGTCCGAGACGGCGTTGCGGCAGATGTATGTCACATCACACACAGGGAGCATTTTGATTTGCGAGGCGAGTTGATTTGATTTGACTTGAATCGAACTGGCCGCGATGCAACGATGGCATAGCGAGGGCGTCTTTCTTTTTGCGTGCGCGACGCGACGATGTGTGATAGCAGCCACCTCTACCTCCACCTCCACCACCAACACCACCAGAAGAAGAAGAAGAATCAATCAAAAATCACAATATTTGAGCTGGTTACTACCTGATAACTGCTCCACTCCATCCTGTTCCATACATATACATAACTAGTACATTCGTTGATATGTAACTTTGTTCATTTATTCATTCGCGTTTCATTCGTACACATGCATCCATGGCCATATCATATCATATCCATATCATATCCATATCGATATCGGATCATAAGTAAGCCATAGGCCATTGAAGTAAACATAATCGTAGTAGTCATAACATACCCACCCCAAACCCAGGCATAACAAGAGCGAGGAAAAAACAAAGGGGAAGGAGAAGGAGGGAGTCGGAGAGAGAAGGAGAAGAGGGAGAAGAAAATCAGCGATATATATCCCGATTCACCTGCCACGACATGACAATCATCCAGACGTAGAAGATGGTATTGACGAGCTCGAATGCGAAAGCTGTTTTCCAGCAGTTACCTACCCCCGATTCCCAACAGCAGTTAGCAGTTAGCAGTTGGCAGTTGGCAATTAGTATCATATCATATCATATGATACGTATCAATCAAAATCATGTCTTATCATGCCCAAGCTCAAGCTCAACCCCAATCCCAAGTAAAAAAAAAGTAGATAGATAGAAAGAAAGAAAGAAAGAAGGAAGGAAAGAAGGAAAAGACATACAAATGGTATCCTCGGTCAACCAAGCCATGGAATAAACATTATCACCCTGCGGATGGCCCCACTCGGTGATATAATTGCGACAATTGCTATCGACGTCGGCGACGACGCCGTACAGCTGCAGCGAGGTCTCGACGAGGCCGGTCAGCCACAGCACGAAGAGGATGAAGCTCCCGACGATGATGATGCCGGGGAGGAGGAAGCGCTGCGCGGCGAGGACCAGGATCAGGATGACGAAGAAGATTCCTAGGGCGCCGGAGACGACCATGTATGGGAATATCCTGGTATTTATTATTATTAGGTTATTGGGTTATTGATATATTGATTGTGGGGGGAAGGGGGTGATGGTATTAGAAAGGAAGAGGATCTAACCAAGGAATATCCAAATGCAACTCATTCTGCACGGTCATGAACCAGGCGAAGATACCGAGGCAGATGGCGGACGAAGAGAGCGCCACGAGGATCCATATGTTGAGTTGGAGTTCGGGCCAGTGGTAGCGGCGACGACGGTGGATGCGGACCCCGGCCATTGGTTGTTGTTGGTATAGTGGGATATTGATATTTAGAGAGTGTAGTAGTGGTAGGAGGAAGGATGGTGTGTATATGAGGTGATGTGATGGTTGACCGCTGTATAGCAGATAGCAGGGCATGCACTGGATTGGATTGGATTGGATTGCCCCGGCGGGGCATCGACCGATCAGGCCGAAATCTCTCACTTTCGCCTTGAGTTCGATTCGCTGAGGGAGGGACAGCGCATTGGTGTCGGTCCAGGGGGTTCTGGATTGAATCGGAGAGAAGAAGAAGGAGAAGAAGAGTGACGATAAATAATAATAATGGGGCTGATTGATGTGTTGGTCGGGTGCGGGTCAGGTTGGTCAGGCACAAGAAACAGACCAGGAACACACGATAAAAAAACAAGGAAAGATGATGATGATAGATAGATGGATGGAAGGAATGAATTGAATTCGAAGAATGGGGTTAACAATGACAGCAACTCGTGAGGGAGGGAAAATAAAAAAAAAGCCGGTGGCAGGAAATCCGGACTAGTCAGTAACTATATGCGGTGGCAGGGGAGGGCAGGGGAGGATCCATCCAAGACACTGAATAGCTTCGGCAGTGGTCCTGATTCCTACCCTCCGTAACCATACTGCGTACTGGATACTAGAAAGAAGAGAAGTAAACTAATCCGTCGATTGCTCGAGTCATTCATTATATCATATCGTACGACGGCGCATTCTATCCGTCCCATCCTCTAAGGTATGTATGTATACTATACTGTCTACAATCTCCCATCTCATGCCTCATTTCTGTCGCCCCCTAAAGCAACGTATCGCCCAGGGCGCTGCGCACCAACGAACAGCCCGTCCGGATCGTGTCGCTGGCCCCCGACTCCTCCAGGCTCGGGTTCACCTCCACCAGGTCCATCGCCACCAGGTTGCCCGTCTCGTGCACGCACTCGCAGATGAAGTCGCCCTCGCGCAGCGTCAGGCCACCGCGCACGGGGGTGCCCGTGCTAGGCGCCCACTGCGGGTCCAGCGCATCGACGTCAAACGACAGGTGAATCGGCGTGTCGTTGCCGATGTGAGCCAGGGCCATCTCGACCACGCGACCGATACCGTACCTGCGTTGGGGTCAGCACAACACACACACACACACACACATGAAAGAGAAAAGACGGGACAGGGATGACGGAGGGAAACCCACCGATCAACATCATGCATGCTGAACGCCTTGATGCCATGCTCGCGGAGGAGCTGCTTCTCCCCGCGGTCGACATCGCGCAGACCAATGTACACCAGCTTGCGGGTGTTGACGATGTGCTCATCCTGCAGCCATCCGAAGATATCCCTGCGCTCCTCGCGGGCAAGGCGGGTCAGGAACGCCATGGGCATGCCGTGGATGTTCCCGCTGGGGCTCATCTCGGGGACGTTGATGTCGGCGTGGGCGTCGACCCAGATGACGGCCATCTCGCGGCCCAGACGCTCGCGGATGGCCTTGGCCGTGCCCGAGATGGTGCCGATCGCGATCGAGTGGTCTCCGCCCAGCGTCAGCACGAACTTGCCCTCCTTGGCGTGCTCGTACACCTGCGAGCTCAGGGTCTCGGTCACGGCGCTGACCGACCGCGGCTTCTTCATGCCGCGGTGGTCGGGGTCCTCCGCCAGCATCTTGTCCTCGTAGTTGTGCACCTGGTCGTCATAGTGGAGGTCGTAGCCCAGGTCGTCGCGGAGTTGCTCCAGGAGACCCGCTTCGACCAGGGCCATCGGGGCAGCCTCGACGCCCATCTTGCACTGTCGTCATCGCCGGGGAGTTAGCCTGCGCTCTGTTTGCCGTGGTGTGCCGTGACGATGATCGACGAGAGGGGGGGGGGGGGTCGCCGGGAATGCTGCACTGCACGTACCTGACCGCCATTGAAGCCCACAGCCACAACGCCCAGCTGGTTGGGCTTGGAGAGGAATCTCTGTCGGATGGTGGAGGGGGAAGTCATGATGTCGATGGAGAGGGGAGAGTTGAATGCGTGAAGAGTGAAGAAAGAAAAAGAAAAGGTTCTAGAAGGGCGGGCGAAAGATGAGATAAGATCGAGCGGGTGGAGACGATCCGAGGCTGGCAAGAACCGTTGGACAAACAACCACAAAGAGGAGAAGAAGAAGAAGAAGAGACACAGGAGACAGGAGATAGGAGATGGAGACGGAGACAAAGGGAGAGAGAGAATGAAAGTGAAAGAAGATGAGGGAGTGAGGAAAGAAGAAAGAGGGATCCATGGCGGTTAAAAGCGCGGGCAAGGCAAAGCCGTGGGGCATCGCGATCGCTAAGACCTGCTTTTAGGGATCAGGCCTTCCCCTAAGTACAGGTCGAGGAGAGATGCCCGCTCCGGCCCTTCTCTGCTCTCCACCCCCCGTTTCCATTAGCAATTGATTCGCCGGACATGTTATTTACGCCCTGATAAACCCGGAGATTGCCTCGGGGGAGAGTGGGAGATGTGCTTGTTGCCTTGTGACTGGTGTGACTTGTGATGCTGGATTGGATTGGGTATCATGAACTGCTCCGCTACCGAGGTCTATCTTCTATCCATCATCCCCTTACCTCCGACCCTCCAGAATCAACTCCCGCAGAATCGCATCCGCCTTCTGCGCTTCTACCCGCCCCTTTTCGCCCATCCGCATCATCTGTCCGACAAACCACCCCAGCTTGCCCAGTTGCTTCTTCTCCCGGATCTGCTCCACCATCGCCGGGTTCTGATCGATCGCGGCCTCGGCCAGCGCAACGTATTCCTCCCGCGACAAAGGCAGCAGAATCAGGTTCTCCTCCTCCAGAAGCTGCGGGATCGCCCGCGAGTCGCCCTCAAACACCATGGCCAGCACCCGTCGTGCCGTCGGGCCCGTGATCCGTTTCCGCTGAAGCTGGTCAAGCAGGGCGGCCAGGGTCGGAGCAGGCACCCGTTGCGCGTCCCATACCAGCTCCGCTTTGGTCAATAAGCCTCCAACTTCGTGAAGAACCCAGTTGCCCGCTACGCGTGCGAGGCTCTTTTGCGCCTGCGGGTCCTGGTCCTGCTGCAGCTCCCGCAGGAGGTCCACGACCTCCTGGTAGTACTCCAAGCGGGCCCCGTCCTCCAGCTCAATCAGCGGCTTCGCGTCCTCGATGGGCAGCTGGTACTCCGGCCCCGCCAGCAGTTCGAGGAGCGCGTCCGAGGACGTCGGCAGGGTCTGCCTGAGCTCCGACACCAGGTCCTCCCCGATATACAGAGGCGGAAGATCGGGGTCCGGCATGTAGCGGTAATCAACCTCGCCCTCTTTGCCTCGCAGTCTGCGTGTCTCCGTGCTCCCGATCGTCCAGCCCCGGGTTTCGCCCGCCACCACACCGCCGCTCTCAAGGACAGCAATCTGCCGGTTCTTCTCGGCAATGATCGCGTCCTCCACGGACTTGAAGCTGCTGAGGTTCTTGATCTCCGTGCGCTGCCCGAGACCCCCGATCCCGCCGTAGTGGTGCGTGCCTGCTGCGTCACCGCGCTGGCGAATTGAGACATTGACGTCAGCCCGCAGACCTCCCAGCTCCATGCCAGTCGTCACCGCATTGCACGACTGCAAGATCGCCTGGATTTTCCGGACGCATGCCGCCGCGGTGGCGGGGCTATGGATTTGCGGCATGGTGATGATCTCGACGAGCGGGTGGGAGACGCGGTTGAAGTCGAGCAGCTGCAGCGAGGGAGGGTATTCTTGGGATTTCGCGGTATCCTGTTCCATCTGGACCTGCTTGATGCCGATGCGAACCGAGTCACCGTCTTCGGGCGCAATGCCGTCGTGGCGGAAGAGGTCGACATAGCCGTTTCTCGCAAAGGGCTCTGCTGCGCGTTAGAGAGCTGGAAACCCATCCCGTAGACGTGATCGGATTATACCGTAATATTGCGTGATCTGGTACCCCGCGGGCTGATCCTGGTAGAAGTAATGCTTCCGATCGAATTTGCTCACGGGCTGGACGTCACAGTTCAAGGCGATGGCGGCGCGGAGGGCGGGCAGGAGCGTGGCGATTTGGAACTCCTGTAGAACCATCTGTCATCAGCGGTCGACCTCAACGCGAGGGAGAGAGCAGAGCGGATCAACTGACCGGCTGCGCCCCCGGATACGCCAGGTCAAACAGCGCGACATTCGAATTGGGTAGATCGGTCGAGGACGTCGGGGCTCCTGCTCACGAGGGTGGTCATCAGCCAGACAGCTCCCCCATGCATGTGCCGTCACTGGAGGGCATCGACGCACTGGAGAATAGCTTGGACTCGGTGTTCAGCTGCGCATGGATCTCAATGCCGACGGTCAACTCCCACTTTCCGCGGGAGGCCTCCTCGTTCTCGCGGGTCTGTCGCTTGCGCGCCTTGACGGCCTTGGCGTCCTGTTTGAGCTGCTTGCGAAGGGGGATGCGGTCCTGCGACTCGGGGGCGGAGGTTTGGAGGGATCGAATGGGACGCGAGAGGGAGGAAGAAGGGAGGGCCGTGTGCGTGTGCAGGGCGTCAAGGGCGCGAATGCGAATGGGTGGTCGGCATTGCGGGCAGGCGAGCGAGCGGGTGGCTCTTGGGCACTGACGAAGCCATGGTCGAAGCATGAGCCCTGTGGTGGCTGACAGGGGTGATTCGTTGGATGGGGGAGAGGGGAGGGAGGAGAAGGAATCGGGGGATTTGGTTGCCGAATGGCGACCACAATAATTGATGCTGATGCTGATGCTGATGATGATGATGATGGCGACAGATGATGGCAATGGGGAAGAATCCAAAGAATACTGCGGGCAGTTCGTATCGGACGGTAATGATTACGCTCACCGCTGGGGTATTGAACCGGAGGGGATACACGAATAAAATACACAGAGCTGCTCAGATGCTACGAACTATCTAGTTGTTACTAGTTACTCTTACTATGTAGGCAATAAATCAAGTCTCCATAATCCGGGACTTCCCTAGGGGTATAGATAGAGACGTGACAAGCGCGGAGTTATATACATGTATGTAGCAAGATGCAATACAAGAAAACCCCAATGACAAATCATTAACCGCTTTTTCCTGCATTTTCTGACCAACCGACTCGTCACCCCAAGCCATCAGCAGCATATGGCGAGTTTCTCCAGCACCATGGACAAAGTAGAACTTGTCCAAGTCGAGCTTACCGAGAAATACCGGCACAGCCGACCCTTGCACCCGCGAAAACACACGATATATTTCGGCCTCCCGGGAAACCTGATGCCAGAGTGGTCGTGTGGTTCCTTTACCAACCACCGTATATCCATATGTAGCGCAGGTGATCTTGAACGGACAATGTCCAATCGGTGCGCAGCCATGGTCGATGTTTTCGTCCAACTGCTGCTTGACCTGCTTGAGCATGATCTCTGCACTAATCACATGATAATGGCTGTTCCCTCCTTGTTGGTAAAGCACAATATTGGGACATTGCATATCCAGTTCACCTCCCTGTTGCAGACCTAGCAAAAAACGCTGAGTGCAGAATGGTGCAGTGTTCTTCGGGCGTTGGCCACCCTGCCCATGGCGGAAGCCTGCGCAACGAGCCGGGAGAGTTGTGCTGCAATTCTGATTCAGGGATCTGAGAACGTGTGTGGTCGAAGCTTGTCTTCCATTCCGGCAGGTGCGCCCGCGCTGTATTCCTCTACTCTTGATCTTGATACCGCGATTGAAAGCTCATCAAGCACAGGCACAATACCCGCGCAACGGATGTCACCGGCTGCTGTAGCGGATCCTGTTTCTTGCACTGATTGACCTCCATATTAGGTTCGCAGAGGTGGTGGTATAGAGTGCTCGGATTATCAAAGTCGACTTTCAGCAAGACCAAGGCGAGGCCGTTTGTCAGATACGAGTACTCGAGACCTTCCTGAATCATAACATGATATTCCTGCACCACTGCCGAGCCCGTCAGCCAGGCGGCGTTGTATTTCAGTTTCTCAGGCCCCTCCGTGGGAACAGAATCCGGTCTGACCACTTCATGCCACAAGTCCATCGGTCGGAGTCCTGCGCGAAGATTCTCCACAGACAGCTTGTGAGATGATTTATATTCGACCGTCATCAGAAGAGCTTTGTTTTCGCCATCCACGCGATGAACGCAGAATTGGTCGGGTCTGGATCGCCGCGAACCGGTTGACTTGTCTTTCCCATATTTGTCCTCTTCGTTTGTGTCAAGAGCGTTGGCATGGTTGTCAAATTGGATATCTTTGCCCAACCTAAATTCGTCCCGAGCAGCATTTATCGTGCACAGCTTTGCAATAATATCGCGAACGTGGTTTTCAACGCAAAATCGTTCGTAACTCTCAAGATCCTGTTCACTGCTTATGGGTCTTTCGCTGAATTCATCTCCGAGGGCCTTCAGGTAGAGACGCGGCTGGAACAAAAATCCCGCATTCTTGTTCAATGATTATAGATAGTCGCACACAGAACGATAGATCTGCTCTTGACTGGCGCTGCAGTCTATCCACGGCCGAATTCGCAACGGGCAGCACTTTCGTGATCGATCGAGATGGTGCTTCGGTTCTCAAACGCTGTGAGAAAAAAAAGGTGGCAGTATCGAATAAGCTCTCCGAAGCTGGTAGGACGCGTTTGTTCTCGCTCTAGATCTTGTTTTTCTTTCTTCTCGGCCAATCTTCTCTGTTCTTCTGCCTCCAGGTATAGTGCTCTGTAGTCCGGTGAGCTGTTGTTAGCCATATACTTTTTTAAAATTCTATCAATTGTCAAATGGCACATCGCGAGGGAGACACCGGGGTACATGATACCAGCTGACTGTTGGGGACAAGAAAAACAAAATTTCCGCCGGAAACTGATTAAGCCTAAATGTTGTAACTATGTATAGTACATTCATCCTTGTGCCGCTGCATATGATCAAAACAAATCCTGGACTGAATGGCTTGTTCAACATATGCAAGGTAAAACTACTCCGTATCGCCGCAAGCAATACTAAGTTAGGTCATGTAAATGCCCCACTAGCTTAAAGCCCGCAACTACTGTTATTCTCCCCCACATGCTCCGGGCCGCTCAGGAAAAAAAAAAAAAGGAAGTTGTTCGATTTCCGCAGGAATCCGGGTTGGTAGCTCATGAATGACTGACTCTATACATCCAACTCATCGCATCAGCACGCGCGATAATACCCGCGTCGAATATCATGACGAGAGACGACGCAAGGTGGGATCGGCAGCGAGTCACCGTCAGCCAACGCAGCATAGAGTTCCAGTGGAGAGGAGGGGGGGCTGCAACTTGACTGACTGACTATCTATACAGAAGGGAAACAAAAACCACTGGAAAACGCTCTTCCTTCTTCCTCTCCTTCTCCCTTCTCCCATCCCCACCTTTTCTTCCTTCCTTCCTTCTTTTATGTCTTGCATCCTTGATATCCCTCTGACTACCTAAGGGGGAAAAAGAAAGAAAGAAAGGAAAAAAAAAAAAAAAAGAAAAGAAAAGAAACCCCCTCCATCCCTCCCGACAGGGAAGACGATCCCTCGGATCTGTAACTCGGGGCGTCTGCTAGAACGAATGAAACCTTTGGTTTGATATTCCGCGTCGTGGCTCTCGTCAGAGATCCGTCTCAGCGCCAACATTGGCCTTCGGGGTATTTACTGTTGCTGTTGCCCTTGTCCTACTGTCTCATCTCCATCCTGCCGACCAGCATCCGATTTAAAGACAAGCCGTATGGAGCGATCCATCCTTCGTCAGCGATCTTCAGCCATCCGCTTGTCAAGCAACCGATCCTCGAAATACTACTAAATAGACCGACTGGAAGGAGTCGCGACCTGTCCAAGGGAGACCACATTCTGTCCTACATTCTTTGGCGCTCCACTGGCCCTACCTGCGCTCCCTTGATATGCCTCCATTGTTGCCCCCTCCCTACAATCCAGACCATCTCATAGACCGCTGCCGTCGTTCATGTTATCATTCCTTCACCCGTCTCTAGGGCATGGCCTGAGATCCAAATACTAGTGTCTCCGCTGCCTCGATCTTCAACGGTCCCTCGACCACCCACCGATACCGCCCACCATGCCGCTCTATGTTGGATCTTCGCGCTCCAGGAAATCAAAGAAAGATGGGACCAACAAAACGTCCACGCCCTCAGTCGTCTCGACGAACTCGCATGCTGCCCCGAAAAGCTCCAAGCCCTCCGGGGAAAAATCCAAAACCGACGGCCGGGCGCTTCCCACGGCATCAAAGAGCAGTGGATCAAGCAATGTACATGCTCCGCGGACACAGTCTGCGCAGGTGAAGGCTGGACCGGACCGGAAAGCGCCAAATGTGTTCGAGTATCTAGAGGACAACTCCACCAGCTCGGATGATGACGACTCCTCCTTCGATGAGTACGAATCCCTCCAGGTCCCCAAAACATCCCATCCAAAGACGACATACACAGGCTCCGGCCGCCAGACATATCCGACAACGACCCCGGGGACTGACTCTCGCAGCCGTGCCTCATCCATGATGTCCAAATCCTCAGCGAACTCGCAACCTGTGCCCAGCTCAATCGACACTCCTCCGAGCACCGCAGCGTCGCACATCTCGAGGGGTAATATCCCCAACCGCAAACTCTCCATGGATGGAACTTACAGTGCGGTAGGAGCTTTCCCAGAGAATTCGACCATGGATCTGAGCGCAAGGCCAGAAGCGTACTATCCCCGGAGTTCCGCCTCATTCAATCGACCACCGCTGCCCCCATCGCCCCCGCGAAGCCCAGAAGAAGACCTCCATCGCCCCAATCGGAAGCGTCGCCGGAATACCAAGACGGCCCCTCGTCACTCTGGATATGGTCTTGTCGCGTCTCGGCTGAGCTCGTCCACGGAGAGCCAGGAGGCCCGCATTCCACCGCTCTATCGCCGATTCGAGGACGTCAACCATCGCGTGCTGCTGCACCTCCAGGATGAGATTGCGCAGATGGAGGAAGATCTACGGGTGCTCGACGAGCACGAGGAAATGCATCGGGCCGCGATTGCGGAGCAGGAGGGCACGAAGATGCTTCCTGCCTCCCGGCGCATGGATGCGCAAGCACAGGTCTATTCGTCTCTGCACTACCGGCGGGAAGAGCTGCTGGGAGCTCTGGCCCGCAAGACCGAGCAATATAGTGAGTCCTGCGAGGCACATGCACAGAATTACAGAACTGACCATCTCCCTCCAGACAACGCCCTCAGCGCATACAGCAGAGTCCTCCAATCCCTCCCCTGCGCCTCCACCCAAGACATCAACACCTATCGCGCTTGGATGAAACAAGCCAATCCCATTGTCGTCGCTGAAACGCGCTTCTTAGACCACGCCAAAGACCTGGTCTCTCTTACTCCCCGCACCATTCCCACCTCCACCGCGAAACCCGTCTTCTCCGCCATCATCATCGCCTCTGCGGCCGTGCTCCTCCCCCTGCTTGCATTCAGCATGATCGCCGAGTTCTCCGGCCGTGTTCTGCTGGTTGCCGTCGTGGGCGGTGCCGCCGCTGCCATTGCATCCAACCACTCCGCGGGGGCCGACCAGGTCGTTGACTCCCGGGATGGATGGAGATGTGCCACCGTGTATGTTTTTTCTTCTTCCTATCTCATCTACCTCGAATACCTCATACCCATATCCACGCCCTCCCGTACTAATGCGTACCCAGATACTTCGCATTCATGAGCATCGCAGCCATGTTCATCCCGTGATACGGGTCATGGAACGAACAACCAAATACCTCATCCACTAATCAATCTATCTAATGACACGACTCCACGAGTTTACTTTGGGCAGCGCATGTGATCATTCTTCCTTCTTTCCCTCTTCCCTTCTGAAATTCTTCACTCACGGTTTGTTGGGTTTTGGGTCAGGTAACTGGTAGATTGAACACAGGATATTTAGAGAAAAGGCGGGCAGGCAGGCAAGGGCGTATGCATATAGGAAAACGGACAGGACAACCAACCTACTTACTACGTACGGAATATGGGACCCAGACCAAACCAGACCAGACCAGACCAGACCAAAGACCTTTCTTGCTGTTTGTATTTCTTTTGCAGCTTTTTATTTTTATTTTTATTTTTTTTGTTAGCGTCTTTTGTCTCTTCTTATTCTTACTCTTTTCTTATTCTTGTGATGTAATTTGAGCTTGTGTAATGACCATATTGATTGGTTGATTGGTTGATGTATACTACATTCGTTCAGTTAGTATACTATCTACCTATATACCTACTCTACTTATTCATCCAATTCCCAATCATCTACAGCATCCTCCCCAGGACAAAGACCAGGCAAACAAACACACCCATAGGTAGGTAAGGCAAGGCAAGTCAGTGTACCATTTCCAGCTTAGTTGAACCCGAAGCCTGCATCCACAATCCAAAAACAATGCTAATAGCACACTGAAGATAGTATAAACAATATAAGACATGGTATAAGATAAAATAATAAAGTAAAATAAAATAAAGAACTAAAGATCCGTTACCCTAATAGTGTAGTGTTCGAACAAAACAAAACAAAACAAAACAGAAACAAAAAAAAGAAACAAATAATCAAATCACAAGAGGAAGAATCTGTTCTTTCTGCGCCACCCAAACCAAACCATCGCGTATCAGTCCATCGCATCCCATCGCATCACATCCCATCCCCTCGCATCCCAGCTCAACCAAGCCCAGACAGACAGACAGACAGACAGACAGACAGACAGACAGACAAAACATTCCTTCTTATCCTACCTGATCCGATCCCATGCCATCAAACCACGCCAATCGCTAAGATAGATAGATAGATACGCCATAAAGCACCCGATAGACCGGTTGAAGAAAAACACAGATAAAAAAAAAGGACAGGAAAAGAAAGGAAAATAGAGAGAAAGAAAAATAGGAATTAAAGAGGGGTAGCAAGTTACAGTAGCTCAACAGTGGATGTGAACAAGAAAAGAAAAGAAAATAGAATAAAATGAAATGAAATAAAAGTGGTACATGGTAATAATAATAATACTCATACTTCGACTTAAAAGAAAGAAGGAAAGAAGGAAGGAAGGAAGACGACTCCCGCGCATGGCCTTGCATTTTGCTGGCTTGACCTTTCTTTCTTTTTCGAGGGGGGGGGGGGGGGGGGGGTCTATGTGAGAAAGAAGGGGAGAAGGATGAAAGGGATAATAAGAAGAAGAAACGGAGGAAGGGCGAAGAACACAACAATAAAGGTATCATCATCATCCATTATCCAAAGAACCTCTGTCTTCGAGGACATCATTATTTTTTTTGGTCGAGTTTTCTGACTGAGTATTTTTTTTTCTTTCTAAAAAGCGCCGCCTTCCGGGGAAACAATGGTATAGTGTAGACAGGAGGGAAGAATATAGAAGGGTTTGAGAGAAGAAAAGGAAGAGAAAGAAAGAAAAACGAGGAGACAAAAAAAAAAGGCATATCCCTACATCTCAACCGTAATCTCATCCGCTCGGTTCGTCACGATATTGGTGTCCCGTTTGGTTTGCCCCCCGGTGTTACGCTTCGATCTTGAGAGAGGGTTCCTTCGCCCACTGGCTGTGGGGTGGCGGAACTGGGCCGGTGTTGGGCTGCGGCGGCTAGCTGGGCCTTGTTGCGCTCCATCATGATGGCCTGCTCGGCGGCACTGCGTGCGTAGGTCATTGCGGCAGCCGAGTTGGAGTAGCCTCCGGATGGCGGGGGGGCTTGGTTGGATGGGTAGTTCCCGTACGGGGGAGGTTGCTGGCCAGGTTGTTGTTGCGGCACGTAGCGCTGCTGAGGGTTAGCCGAGCCCGGGGGGATGTACGAGCCTCGGGGGGTCGCGTAGGCAGGGGGTTTCTGAGGAGAGGCACTGCGTCCGGCCCCGGCCCCGGCCCCGGCTCCGGCTGCGTAGGACGCGTTGTAGGGCGCGGGTTGGCCGGGGCGTGGGGTGTAGGGCTGCGGTGACCCCTGCTGTGCTGGGTATGGGTGGTAGCCGTTCTGGCCGGGGCGCTGGTATTGCGGGACGGTGTTGCCAGCGTTGTAGGGGGTGACTTGGGCATACGCGGGGAAGTAGCCGGGCCTCGGCTGGGGGGTCGACGGCGGACGCGCCCCTCCAAACGACTGCGCGCCGCCTGGGGTGTAAGGCGCCGAGGCCGAGTTCTGGCGGCCCGGATAGTAAGGCTGCGGCGCCTGGAACGGGGGGGCCTGAGGCGGCGGCCGGGGATTGGCGGCGTTGGCGGTATAGGCGCGTTGGTTGTAGGGCGGCGGCGCCTGGAAACTCCCTGTGCGCGACGGCGTCGACGTCCGGTTGGCACCACCCGGCATCCCCATGGCCATCGCGCGTTCCTGCTGCAGCGCGTAGTCATCCTTCTCCATCGTGCCCGAGTAGTCCGGGTTCTCGATCAGGATCTTCTGGCTGATGTTCAGGTCTGCCAATTGGTTGCCGTCCAACTTGGCCACCGCGTACGGCGGCAGCGTTGAGACCACAGTCGCCAGACTCGACTTGAGCGTTTCATAGACCATTTGTTCTGCCTCTGATGGAGTATCGGATCCACTGTTCTCGGGGGTCGTTTCTTTGGGGCCGGTACTTTGAGTCGTCGGGCGTACGGGCTCGAGATTTCGGATTCTCTGGTATGAACTGAGCGTTTCCAGCAGCTCCGACACTTCGCCTAGTACCTCGCTCATCTCTCGTGACTCTCCGCCCTCTTCCCCTTCGCTGGTCTTATCGGTGTGAAAGACGTTGTCCGTGAAGTCCTCCGGGTTGAACGTCTTCACCATCTCCTCGAGGGTGCTCTCGTCCAGTTCGCCGATATTTCCCGGTTGCACTGTTGAAGACCCCTCCTTCGCTTCTTCCAGCAGAGGAATTGAGACCAGCGTATGCAGCCGTCTTGCACCGCGCTTACTCCACCACACCAAGTTCTTCGAGTCGACTTGCACAACGGAGCCGGAACTATCAAACGAAGGCGCAAATGACGAGTACACTCCCTGCAGGAGCGCGGCATCTTCATCTGGCCCCAAAGCAGGGTCATCGTTGATTAGCTCCTCCCCCGGCTGCTGAGAAGACTGCTGCTTTGGTCGACGGTTGTAAGAGGACGGGGACGAGGTGACCCCGCCGTACTGGAGCCATTGCCCCGAAGGGAGAGGCGCAAGGCAGTAGTTGTTTCTATCCCCCAGAAACGCCTTGTAGTCCGTGATAGCCTCGAACGGGTCGATCCAGCCGTTTGTTGTGTTGCGCGTGGAAGCCCTGGCCTTGCGCGGTGCTTCCAACTGCGGCAGAGTTGAGCGCGGAGCGAACACCTCGCCGAAAGTCCTCTTAGGTCCCTTGGTCGCAGCCTCGGCATCAAACAACTGCACCTTGGTGGTAGTGATCCCGTTGGGCAAGCCAACCTCGGGCAAAGGCGCTTGCACCTCCACGAATTTGTCCGCCCCAGGTTCGTCGGAAGACAGCGGGACCTTGACGGTCTTCTGCAAGCTCGAGTAGAGCTGTTTGGGGTTTGCGGGATTGCCAAATAGTGTCAGCGACAGGCCTTCACTCCGGGTCTCCACAGCGGCAGGGGGAGACTTCGCCGGGGCTTCTCCATCCTCTTCCGATGCCTCTGTCTTGATGTTCGATTGGCTCACGTGCGCCTGGCGGACCAGGCTGTTCAGCTGCTTCTTGAATGCCGCGATGCGGTTGACCGTCTCCGTCAAAGGCGTTCCATCGGCCGGAGCGACGGTCGCTTGGGCTTTGTTCCGTTCAATCACCGCGGCTGACGCCTTCTCAATGTCGCTCAAGAACTCCGACAAGCTGTTATAGCGATCCGACGCAACCCGTACTTGTATGCTTGAACTTTCGTCCTTGTCCCCCGACATCTTGGCGCGTTTCGAGCGCGGCTTCGCGGGCGACAGCGGTAACGGGCATGATAGGAGATGGAGATCGGTGTCGTTCCTGATATGGGTTAGCTGTGCGCAAACACGAATCACTGGCGACGCGGAGCGCTCACTTGCTCAATATCTCGACCAGGTTACGCAGCGTCTCCTGTAATTTTGCTTTTTCTTGCGCTTGCACGGCAGAAGCCCCAGCATCCTGGGCGACCTTATCATCGTGGCTCGAAACACGCTTTCGCTTGCCGGGAGTCGCCAGGGTCGAGGGCTCTGGTGTGTTTTGAGGCTGTTCGCCGTTGGTGGTCGGCACTGAGGCCGTCCCTCCGCCTTCGTCTGCACTCATGGCCTCGGGAACGCGCCGTTGTCCGAGACTTCTTTAACGCGAGGATCAAGGGCCCTTTTTTTCTGCCCTCTGTATTTTTTTCCGAGGCAATTTGGGATCTGATCTTGAAATATTAGACGCGACGGGGAATTGGAACCCGGCACAGAAATTGAGATATCGCGGGGAGAGAAGTAGTGATCCAGGAGAGGGGGGAACCCAGCAGTCGGTGATCGAGTGTTCCTGGATCTCCGAAGCGGATGCGCCAATAGTTACGGGGGCTGGAAGGATGGTGGTGCGCTTGCTGCAACTAGGGAGGATCGATCCGGGCGCATACAGCGGCGCGAGGGCGGAAATGCGAGGACACGGGGGGGGGTGAGGGAGAGTTTGAGACGTGACACGCGAATCAGGGCCGCGGGAAGGACGGGGGGGGGGCGTTGGTGGTGAATCCGAAGTGATCAGGTCAGGGCGCGGAGCTGCGAGGACGAGAGTCGGACTCCATCGCCAGGCGGGAGGAGAACGAGCGAGACTACAGAGTTCCACCCGGCCCCGAAGCGCACCCCGTGACAGCCCCGCACGTGACCCGTCTTTTTTCCCCGTCCAGACCAACAGCTTCCACCAGTCCCTGTTCCAGTCGTCGACAGGCAGCATACATCTCGTCGGCCCCGCTTCGACCGCGCGATTCCTGGCGGTGCTGTAGCTACTCGATGACCTCTCTTCATGGATGTCATCGGTCTTGAATCATGTGTCCAGCCGCTCGAGGGTTTCCTCTCTGAGAGCGGCGCATTTGTCCCACAGCCGTGTTTGGCGGAAGGTACCAGGAATTCGAGGCCTCTCGCTCCTTTTCGAGCCGGGCTAATCATCCAATTGCTTCCCAGGGATGTCTTTGTTATAGCTTCCTCCCGCCGGTCACGGCTCCGATTCCGAACCCCCCTCCAATTGTTTTCCGCCCCTCGCCGTCGCAACGGCTCCTAAATACCTTCGGAGGCCCGGACCATCTCCGGCACGAACCTACACAGGACCAGCAATTGGTGACGGAACAGCTCGACAAACCGTACGATGTTACTTCACGCGATTACTGGTCCATGCTACGCCTTCAATCCCCCTTGAACAAGTCCTACATTCCGTTGGATGCGGCTCCAAACAGGCGGGGCCTGACAGCTATACAACCCAACCAGTTGGGGACAGAAATCGAGAAAGAAGTTGCACGCCAGAAGAATGGGGCAGCTCAAGAACCTGGGGATCGCAGGAAAGGCGAGATTTGTACAGAAAGCGGAAGTTGGGAGCAACACGGGGATCTGTCCGCCAGCGACGGCCTTTGTTCGAAACCTATACACCACACGCGACCCACGGACTCGATATCGTATGAACAGAGAGAAAAAGACCGACGGTCCCGGCCAGAAAATGGATTGTCCGACCCGCGCAGGGGAAGCAAGTCGCGGGCCTGTACCCCTACCGAGTATCTCATCGATACCTTGCAAAACGCACACCAATTCTATGGCGCCAAAAGCCGTAACTGGACGAGTATGACAGAATATACCAAGCTTATGGTGCCTTTAACCCAAAGACAACGAGACAATTTCCAACACTTCCATCGGCTTTCCTTGCAGGAAATTGTGGCAGATTATATACACCTGGTGGACCCCCTATTGGATCCAGCCAGCTCTCGCGGGGACCCCCCTGCAACATCGGAGTGGGTTGAGGCTCTACAGTTAGTCTTCTGCGAAGAAAATCTCAAATACTTAGCTGCGCGCCGGTATTCCGTCACCGATGTGGTGGGGTGGGCATGGGTGCTCAAGAGCGGTACGCCTTACGAGGCTATCTTTCGAGTACTTCTTTGGGAAGCAGATCGCAGTTCAACTCACGGTGGCTCGATGCAAACGATTCCCCCTTTCATCCCGCTCCTCCTCTTGCGCCAGAGCCTGGATACCAAGGCATTCCGTCTTCTCTTGATCTATTCCTTGCACCTGATGACTGGCCAGCCGGTTCCGACCTCAGGCATGGCAATGGAAGCGATGTCTAACGATGCAGTCTTCGACCAACATCCTAAAAGGGGTAGCGTGAAGCCGATGCTCGAACCTAACATGTGCGTGACTTATGTCGTCCGCTTGCTTCACCATGCTCGTGAATTGTGGCCACAGGCTCAGCTCACCATCGCCCGTGCGTTTGCGTTCTATCTCGACAGTCTTCAGGGTGAAGGCGACGGTGTGACGGAGCGGGTCAATCAGTTCATGGCCGACAAGTTCAATACCGTGCTTCGAATACTCTCGTTGCCCTGCAGGCATGGTCCGTTTAAGTCTGCCTCTATCCAGCAGCAAGCCCAGTTTGAGCTCCTCAGGGCCATGGCTCGGCACCAGCCCGTTTTGCCGGTCACACGTCGTGGCTACCAGGGGATCATTGCGGTCCAAATCGCCCACAAGAAGACATTCGCGGAACGGCAGTCTGCGGAACTCAAAGCCGCGTCATGGCCTCCTTGGAAGGAAGACAAAATAGGGTTCGACGTCAAGAGAGGCGTCGAGGGCATGAAAAGCCGCGCGATGCGAGTGCTGTCTCAGATGAAAGAGGCGGGCTACTCTCAATCCCGCTGGGAAGAGGCGTCCAGTATCCTAGCAGGCTGGGATACGGACAAAAGCCCGACGATTCAAACAAGGTCCTTGGTGTCTCGTCCGGAGACCCTGCATGGGTCTTCTGGGCACTCGGATCACCGCGCTATCTGGGCAGCCCGGATCCGTGCTACGAGGACGGTGCGGGAAGCATGGGCATGTTTCCTCTCGTACCAGGAACAGGGCCTGCCGCCACGGGGTGCCATTTATGCCGCCATGGCTGAGAAGCTGGTTTTCCAACAAGAGACGGCTCACAGTAACTTCCAAACTAGCGAAGCGTTACCGGGTGATGGCAAAGAGGTCTTCCCGGAGCCGTCTTCTATCCGGGACTGGATTTACGTTTCCACGGAGCCGCCCCCGTTGGATGACTTTCTTCGAGAAATGCTCTCGAATGGCATCCGACCCGGGGGAAGGTTCTTGGCCTTGCTTCTGCGTCACGCCCAAACGTTTGGCTCGGGTCTGGACTACCTCTCCTGCAGTGAGTTGACCAATGAGCAGTTAGAAGCATTATGCACGGTCTCAAGACCCACATCCTCTGCCCAGGCACGGATTGAAAAGGCTTTGGGCGAGCTGCCTAACTATCTAATCTCATCCTTCATTACGTTCTTGTGCAGGTTTGCGAATATTGGGCATAGAAGTTCAGCGCATCCCGACACTCCTGTGGGGGATGTGTTTCCTATACTCCTAGGCCGTCGTGGGTCGACTCCTTCCAACTCGACCACGCTGTTCACCTACGCTAAAGACATGAAGACATGGGAGGACCCTCGTCACCCAAAACTCCTTGCCCACGCAGTCCAACTTGTTCAGGCCCAACGGTCCCGCTCACCCCAGATGTGGATCCAGATCATGTCGGCGCTGGTAAAGGATCGTGTTGGGGGTCGATATCATAGACTTGGACGCCATGCCCGGCTGGTCTTTTCTTGGTACGAGGTCTTGGAGCTTACTAGCCGGATGGATCAGCGCCGCATTGAGCTTAGCCTGGAAGGATTCCAGACCCTCTGCTACGGCTTCACTCGGGTTGTGGCTGTAGGAATCAGAAACCCGGACTCGGTGGAAGAAGGGCTGGAGGCGGTCGGCGACTTGGCCCGGCGAGGGCGACTGACCGCGTTTGGCTCCGTTTCCCCACAATTCGCGGACATGGTCCAAAGTGGGCTCATCACCCTCAAGGCCCGGTTTGACGAACTGGTGTTCTTGGACCCGAAGACCTCGTCACTCTTCGAACGAAGCAGGACCTCGATCCAACACGCCACTGCCTCTCAAGTGACGGTGCCGCCTCTGTTCCACGTCCCGTCGCCTGCCGTCCTGCATACCTTTGTGCGGGCCCTTGGGGTTGCGGAGGACACTGAGGGTCTGCTGAGCCTACTCCGGTGGATGCAGCAGTATGAGCTCACGCTCAAAGAGAAGTATGACGAAAACATGAACGGCGAGAGGATTATGCGGCGGACCATGGTCGCCATCCGCATGTTCTTGGAGGGAGACTGGGGAAGGTCACCCCAGGTCTTTGACGGGCCCGAAAACCTGTCCACGAAATCCCCGCGTGATCTGCACGGGTGGTGCCATGAGGCTGAAGCCAGCGATTCGTCTGAGGGATTGACATTCTCCGATCCCAATCTGCAGGAGGCGTATGACATCATCGGCGCCTCCCGTGGCTGGAGCTGGCCGAGTGACGAGGAGGTTTTGGACTACATTGCTCACGGGGAGCAGGAATCGCAACGGGCCAGCGATCGCTATACGAATACTGTACATTAGTGTAAATAGAAGTGTAAAATAAAGGAATTTCCCGCCTATTGATATTATTCTACGATCGATCAAGTGAACCAAGTCGCGCTTATCCGCGGCTTCCCCGCAGCCGCAGCTCGGCTTCCCCACCGCTTCTCCAACTCTCCCAAATGGCAAATTCCTGTTGCGCAACATCACTCACTCACTCACTCACTCACTCGCTTCCATCTCTCATCCCCCTGACCACCACCACAATGCCACCCCGTCTCCCTCTCTCCGCCACCCTCCGCCCCCGCCCCGTCCTCTCCTTCCGCGTTACCGTCTCCCGATTCAGCACGAGCAGCGACGATGCCGTGATCCAGACACAGAACGTCCCGGCGCCAGGCTCCGGAAGCGTTCGCGTGCTCCTACTGAACCGACCAAACGCCCGCAACGCCATCTCGCGAAGCCTGCTGGACGGACTGACGCAGCACGTGAAATCCATCGCCGCAGAGGGAGGCACCGGGCCGACACGCGCCCTGGTGATCGGCAGCAACGCGGATGCGGCATTCTGCGCGGGCGCGGATCTCAAGGAGCGCGCGAAGATGACTGCGGAGGAGTACATCCCCCCCCAATACAATCGAAACAATGGATGAGATGAAGAACTAACCACACCTATCTACCAACCCACAGAACGGCCTCCTTTCTCTCCCAACTCCGCAGCACCTTCCACGCCCTCTCGACGCTCCCCATCCCGACCATCTCCGCCGTCTCCTCGATGGCACTGGGCGGCGGCCTCGAACTGGCCCTGTGCACGCACCTCCGCGTCTTCGGCTCCTCCTGCACCGTCGGCCTGCCCGAGACCCGCCTCGCCATCATCCCCGGCGCCGGGGGCACGTACCGCCTCCCCGCGCTGATCGGGGTGAACCGCGCACGCGACCTGATCCTCACCGGGCGACGGGTGTCCGGCCCCGAGTCGTATTTCATGGGGCTGTGTGATCGGCTCGTGGAGGTGTTGCCCGAGGAGGAGGGCAAGGAGGGCGTCCCCCGCGAGAAGGTCCTGCGGGAGAGTATCAAGCTCGCGTTGGGGATCTGTGAGGGTGGCCCCATTGCCATCCGGCAGGCGTTGAAGGCGGTGGACGGCTGGGAGAAGGGTGAGGTTGCTGAGAATGAGGCCTACGCTGGAGTCATGGGGACTGAGGATCGGTTTGAGGCGCTCAGGGCGTTTGCGGAGAAGAGGATGCCCGTGTATAAGGGGCGGTGAGATGTATTACTATATGTATGTGTGATTGGTTGTTGAGGGTATAGTGTAATTTCTATGGATAGGTAATCTCGTAGTTGTGAATGTCAAGTTGGACTTTTATACCTACCTACGGAGTATCTAAATTGTAAAATCAAAAAGATTCTAGAACTGTTACGTGTAACCTGTGAGTCATCTCTTGTCCAAGTAGTGCCTACAGTAGATAGGCAGCCTAGGTACCACCGTACCTACCTACCTATATCTATGGTGCCCTGCTGCCAAGCCACAAACACGGCTGGCCTCGAGATCATGCTTTTTTTTTTTCTTTCTTTTTTTTCGTGTCTGATATCATAATCCGCTCGTGTGTATTTCGGGACCCTTGGATGAGTGATTCTCTACTAGGTTTTGCGGTTTGAGGGTTGAGATTTGTAGTTTGTTTGAAAATGGACTGACTGGGTAGTTGTTCTGATAGAAAGGTGGGTGGGTTGGTGGGCCTGATGGCTGGTGGCTGGATTCAGGCAGACGTCTGTTTGGAGTCGGGGAGGGGAGTATTTACGGAGGATACCTAGAGATGGACTCACTATAGTAGGTGGATGACAGGGTATCATATTCTAAATCTGGAGTTTGTATTCTTGGAAAGAGAGACCAAGATAACTACTAGATAGTACTTTATGATAGAATCATTACAATTACATACTATAGATCTAGTCAGCAGTCAGAAAGAACCCTGGATCCTCCCGGCCAGACCCGCCTGGCTCCACAAGCGCCCGAGGAAAGCGATTCTTTCTTCAGGAATGGGTCAAAGAAGCAAGCACGAGCGACAATGATGACTGTCTGGCGGCTGTTGTTGTTGTTGTTGTTGTCTGTCTATTTCAAGATTTCAGGTCCATTCTACAGCCCTGTCCAGACAGCGTCGATGATGTGTCATGTCTCTCTCCTGGGAGAGGGGGGGGGGGTAAATGGGTGAAACAGGAAGGCGATGCATCCATCCATCCATCCATTGCTTTGAGCCTCGTATTGTGCTTTTGTTTCTTTCTTCCTTTATTTTTTTTTTTCCCTTTTTCTCTCGTCTTTTTCTTTTTTTTTTTTTTTTCTTTGCCCTGCTTGGCGGTATCACTTCCATACATACATACATACATACATATACCTGGTACTACCTAAGGTAAGTGGGTAGTACGTAGGTATATACGTACATATTAGCTACATGGAGTTGTACGACTGGACGGCACAGCCTCCGGGCACCTGCATCTCCGATCGGGAAAATGGGATGAGATGATACTACTTAGTAGATAGTAAGTAGTAAGTACTAGTAGGTACTACAGATAGGGCTGGGGGGGGGCCTGTTGACAACCTGCATGCGTCCATGGATCCAGGAAGGAACAGCCCGTTCGGGCGTCACAGCCACGCCCCGCGGATCGAGGCGGTACCGCATGGATATTATCTACATAGTAAGGTAACTATATAGTCATCGGGAGGAAGTTGACAACGCCAACTCCAACTTCAAAAGCTGCAAATTGCAAGTCAAGTCCAAATCCATCCCCGCGATTCTGCAGGTGAGCTTGGATGGAGCTGCAGAGGTCAGCGAGGGAGACGGCATGACCTCCAGTTGGTCAGCCCCCCTGATGTCCACGGGAACTACTCTTTACCGTACGGTCACTGTAAGTAAGAAAGGACAAGGCTGAGTGATTCACGGTACGAAGTAAGTAACTACGAACAGCAACAGCAACAACGACAGCCACAGGCACCAGGCACACTCAACTCCGCGCCCAGTCAGTCATCTGCAGGCCTCATGCTCCCTCGTCTTCCTTTTCCTCTTCTTCCCTCTTCCTTCCTCCCCTCCCACCACCAGCAACTCCTCCGTTCCATAAATATCTCGAGGACCTGCTCTCGCACTTGACCCATCACTGTCACTATCACTCTTGTTCCCCACCATCCCTGTTGCTTCCCTTTTTTTTTTTTGCTCCCTTCCCTACCCTTTCCCGGAATCATTCGTTTTCACTCCCTCAGTTCGTCCCAAATTAACTCGACAGTCGTGGGATCGTGCATGGTCGCAACCCACGGGCTTTCCATCTAGCCTTCTGCTTCAGGCATCTCTGTGCGTGGAAGGTGAGCATAACTTCACGAGTCTTCGCTCCGTCCCCCCCCCCCCCCCCCGTCCCTGCTAACCATCATCCACCTCATCCCAGTTGATGTCTCCAACCAGGACGACTCGAGCCATGTCGGATCTTGCCGCTCGCATCAAGCAGTACGGCTTGACCCAGGTCTACTGTAGCCCCGAAAAGCCGCTCGTTGACATTGTCTTCGTCCACGGTCTTAATGGTGACCCGTATCATACCTGGACCTCCAAGAACACCGGCACCTTCTGGCCTGCTGAGCTCCTGCCCGAAGTCCTAGCCGAGAGCCGTGTGAGAATCTTGACCTATGGTTATAATGCCAACGTCACGGCCTTCACCGACGGTGCCTCCAAGGACCGGGTCCACAACCATGCCGAGACCCTGGCTTCGGGGCTGGCCGCGAACCGCAATGTAAGTCTCCTGCCGATTCCTCTGGTGTCTCTTTGTTTCAAGAGAACAGGTCACTGACTCTTCTAGCTCCGCGGATGTCCTGATCGTCCCATTATCTTCGTTTGCCACTCGCTGGGTGGTCTGGTCGTGAAGAGAACACTGATATACTGTCGCAATGTATCGAATGAGAAGATCGAGCATCTTCGCTCGGTTTATGTCTCCACGTACGGTATTCTGTTCCTGGGTACCCCTCACAACGGATCCGATGTCGCAAAATGGGGCCTTCTCTTGCAGAATATCTGCAGTGCTGTCATGCCGAAGAAGTTCATGGAGTCATCGCCTCAGCTCGTCAAGACCCTGAAGACCAATAACGAGACCTTGCAGAATATCAACAGTCTCTTCGCCGACATAACTAGTCGGTTTCATATCTATTTCTTTCACGAGACGTTGTCAAGTGACATCAAGGGAACTCGGGAGTTGATCGTCGATGAGAGCTCCGCCGCGCCGTACATGGAAGGAGTCGAACGCATGGGTATCGAAGCCGACCACAGCCACATGTGCAAGTTCGATGACGACAATTCTCCGGGATACGAGGCCGTTGCCGAGGCCCTGTTGCGATATTCGCGTGACGCTCCCAATACTATCTATGATCGTTGGGTTGAAGAAGAGAAGACTCGACGTGTGCAGAAGCAGACCAAAGTGAGAGAACTTTTCAGCCACGGTATGTTGTCATAGGATTTATGAAGCCGGAGCATGGACTGACAAATGTAGAACGGGTTGAGACCGAAACGATTGGAAGAAGCGTGCCAGACCTTCGCACAATCGGTAGGAAACACCTCCTCCCTGACCCTGCATCTTCTATCACTTTGAACGATTACGAGGTTGAGGAGGCCCCCGAGTCGTCTTCTCATCGTGGAAAGCATGCGTAGTCGGATGGATGTAGTTGGAAGCAAGAATGAAGACAGACTCGGGGGGCACCAGGCCTCATCTCCTTTCCTTCAGCATGTATTGTCCCGTTTTCTAACGGCGTTGGTGGGAAGAAGCCTTGTTTCTATCATGCGATGATGATTTTCCTGTACCCTAGTTTTGAATCCTTTTATCAACAAATTGTCAAGTCAGATCCCGCTGACTCTGTCTCTTCCATTAGGTAACTCCGAAATGATGGCATTTTTGCCCGAAAGAAGGAGGTCGCTTGTAACAAATCTCGGTGAAAGCACAACCCTCGCAATGTCTCGTTCTCTTTTTCTTGCCGATCCGCTGTTCGTGGTGCCCCGGGGTTCCACCCCAATGCAACCTTTGTGGGGATGGCTAAGGAGCTAGACATTCTGCACTCCAGGGTCTTTAGGGCAAAGAAAAGAGCGGAGCGGCTCATGGCGGTGCTTATCTGCGGAGGCCCTGGGTCTGGAAAATCACATCTCGCACGGCAGTATGTCTGGACCCATCGTGATTCCTACCCCGGTGGAATCTTTTGGGTCGATGCCAAATCCCGGCAATCCACCTTCAAATGCTTCTGGGACATTGCCCAGGCCGCCACATTGACCGACGGGCAAGAATTTGAAGTCCCAGATACAAATACGTCCCAGAAGTATGTGGAAGCGGTGCGGAATTGGATGCAAAATCGGGAAGAATGGCTGCTAGTGTTCGATGGCATCAGTTTCGCTCACGAGAACGACCTCAACCACTTCAAGCAGTTTCTTCCTTTCAACAAGAAGTGCAGTATTGTCTACACGTCCGTTGACAAAACGCTCAGAAAAAAGCAGCGCCTCTATGAGCCGTACTGCCTCAAAGTACGACCTCTCGAGGTTAAAGACGCTTGCAGGTTGTTGTTCGAGGACCTCGGTATCAGGAAGCCCACGAAGGCACAAATTTTCAAGGGGACTGAGCTCGTCACCCATTATGAGTGCCTCCCCCTCGCCATCCACGCCATTAGTCACCGGCTCAGCGCAACGTCCAAGCCGATGGAAAAATACCACATCGATTCGCACCTCACCGACGAGAAGCTTGCTGAGCCTTTTCTCAGCATCATGCACGACCTCTACCAGACTGAACAATTTGAGGCTTTAAATTTGATTAATCTGGTATCATTCTTCAGCCACCATGTTCCCGTTGGTCTCATAAAGCTGGGGATGGCCGCTCTGCACGAGTGGAACGTCAATGTCCTCGCTAGCAGCAGGCGTGGTGAACCAGGTGACATGGACAGCACTCTCGGGATCCTTATCCGATATGGACTGGTTGAGAGAGTATCCGACTCGTATGCACTTCAAGGACGGACTCTATCCCCACAGGTGGAAAAAGAAAATGTTTTGGATGTCAAATTGGTGGTCCCGGACCTGTCCGAGTCTCAAACGGAGGGTAGCCAAGACACCTTTTTCTCAGTGTATCAGAACTCCGGGACCATTGATGTGATCAAAATTCATAGTGTTGTCCAAGGCTTCTGCCGCGACGAACTCAAGATTCACGACGAAGAGGAGAGGAGTAAGCAGCGCTTGAGTTCGGATTCATGCAGCGCAGACGCCGGTTTCTATGATTCATGGTTAATCGTCGCTAGCCATGTATTGTGCACTTCGTATGGAAGCGCCAGGTCTCGCATGGAACGCAGTGATGACTGTGGGTTGGTCAAAGACCTTCGGGAATATGAAACCCACGCATCAAGGATCTTTGACTACTTTCCTAAACGATCCCCAGGAGAGCCAGTATTCCTAAAGGAAGCCCGTGATGACATCAGACAAGTCTTGAAAGACATCGCTCATGAAATCGACCGGATCTCGCCAAACTCTTCGCAGGAATCAATCCGCAGACAGAGATCCGTCTTTGACCGATCCAGCAGCTCCTCTTCCTCTATTCCTGAATCAACGACAGAGGAGGGAGCTCCGCGCTGGGAATGGAGCGATATGGCAACCCCCCCTGTGGAGTCACCGCAGGAGATGCCTACGCAAAGACAGCGAGTCAATCTAAAGCCGTTCTTGCCGCACATCTTCAGAGAGTCTAGTCTGGACAAAGACGCAGGATATGAAACTGATAGAGAGAGTTCTCAAGTTGTGGTCCGTTCATCACCGGCACTGTCGCAATTGAGCCAGGCAACGGAAAGACCTAAATCTTCACAGGCCTCCGGTTCCTCGCCGCCGATGGATGACCGAGGCTGGCATCTGGTGAAGAAACAGTCGAAACCCAAGTTAAATAAAGAGGAAAGTACAAGGCGCCGACCGAGATTCCCTCGAAACATTCGAAGCTCACAACTGGCTGCCCCAATTTTGAAAATTTTCCCCGTCGAAGGGAGGAGTGCGTCAAGCAGTACGCTGGGGAAAAGCCGTCGAAGCTCTCTCGCCTCGGCCTCGGATGCCCTTACTGCTGTACAGCATTCAAGCCCACCGCCATATTCTCGGAGACAATTGGCTCATCGACCGTCAATCGATCAGGAAAACGCGCCGACGTATGCCACAGTCGCAGCTCGACAGAATCTGGGCGAAGAATGGTCGACAAACCAGCGATCATCATCGAATCCCGGAGGAAAGAGCAGGCCCACTCTACTCCAGTTGCAGAACAGATCTTCTGGGGAATCACTGCACAGCCGGGTCAGCAACGCAGTCGCATCGCCGCTATCCGCCGAGTTCAAGCCCAATACGATGACGCAGTCCACATATAGCGAGCCGGATAACGGACGCCTCCAGCAGCAATTGAATGCTCTCGACTTGGGAATAACGCCGGAGGCCCCATACCGCACCCGTCACTTGTCAACGGCGAGGCCTATAGCACCTCCGGTAGCAGACATGTCTGCAAGTGAGCCATCAATCGTGTATCTCCCGCCGCCCCCTCCGCTTCCGTATGAAAAGAACATTGAGATTTCATCATCGCGGCGGGTCAGCGCAGCCCAGGCTGGCCCCATCGGTCCCTCAGTGGCCAAACCGGTGAAGGTATCTCACCCTTCTGCATTCATGCCGGGAATCTCACCTCCAGGCCCAATGATGATGGATCCGACGGCCGGGTATACATCTGAGCCCGCGCCCGAGATGGCACGCAACATCTCAGGGCAATCGCAACAGTCGTGGTCCACCGACCCGATTTTTCCGCCGCGATTCTCTCCACTGCCTCCTCGTGTGTCCGGAAGTCCCGCCTTAACTAGTGGTGTGCCTAAGGTTTTAGCGGCACAGCACGCTGTTTCCGGTACTGGAGGCTGGCTGGGAGAAGTCTCGCCGCCGCAAGGACCGTCACGCCCGATGACCAGCGCCCGTCAGCCCGAGATTTCCTACGCGGGACCGACTCAGATGAGACAGATTCATCCGCTTGAGGGCCAGCTCGCTGCCGTCGACCCGGTCTGGGCAGCCGAGCTACCAACGTTGCACTTTGGGGCCCATCGCGTGGATGTGGGTGATGCGAGACAGCGGGTGGGAGCAGTTCCGGTGCAATATCCCGCCGCCTTTCTGCCGCCAACTGTTGGATATCCGATGTATCATCCCAATCTGAGCGGACCGCTCATCCCGCATGAGGTCACAGTCACCATGCCAGATGCACATGGGCTGCGAGTCCGGAGTGGGAGCTCGCCTCCTCGTCCCAACTTCACCACTAGCTTTAACGCCAGCGGGGGGGCGGGGCTGTTCTGATGAGAAACTCAACGCAAGACATGAACAATAGTAAGAGAAAAGAAACGAGAGAGAAAAAAAAAAACTGAAAAACAGGTGAGAGAAACAAGTCGCCAAAGTGAGGAATAAAGACGACAATAGAGAGAACATAATGAGTAAATGACATGCACGAAAGGGATTGGAGTTTTTGTCGTTTCTTGAGATCTTGCATTTTTGCGGCGCATGAGATGAAGAGGAGTTAATTAAAGCATTTGGGTGGTCATAAAAAGGAAACATAATACAGTGGGGGGAGCATGGCAGAGGTGGCGTCACCTTGGTGTTTAACAGGCAACGCGTCTCGGGTAGAACATGAGTCTGAACTTCAGTTTGTCATTTCTTTCTGGCCTTTTCCCCCCAATTTTCTTCTTCCTGGTGAGCATTTTGAAGCATCTCGATAGGGCTCTGGATGGACCCCGCCCGCCGAGAGAAACGAGCGACTCAGCAGGCGGGGCCCGGATGGTGGACGTGGAGAAACAATTCAGATGAGACGGCGCGCGGTGAGGGGAGATGAGAGTTGGAACAAACCAGAGTTCCCCGCGGGTCGATCGCGCCGCTAGCGAGCCCCCCAAGACCCCCAGCACAAACCGGGTCACGGCTCCCGCTAGGCCCGATCGGGAGGGACTGTGACAGGGCATCGACGTAAGAGACACTCACCCAGCCATGACGTCTTCTTCCTGGACTCGCCTATAAAGCCTCAAGGTCTAGGATGCTGGTTGATTCTCTCTTGCAATTGCTCTCCTACACTAGTGCGGACTGATCAAATCATACTGTTCGCTGTTCATACCAGCTACCTACTACATACCACATCTATATCCATCCTCTATCAACCTACCACTACCAGCAAACTCAACCTTTCCAACAACCATGTCCTTCCTCACCCGCATTGTTCCCTCCGCTCGTGCGGCCTCCCTATCCCTCAAGACCACCAGCTCCCCTGCCCTGTCCGTGGGCACCACCCGCTCCATCTCCGCCACCACCCGTCGAGACAAGGGGGCCATCGATTCCACCAAAGACACACTCAAGAAGGCCGATCGCAAGGTTTCCGATGCCGCCGTGAAGGGCATTGAAGCCAGCGGTACGTTTACCCCCCTTCTCTCTCTCACACAAACCCCCCCCCTCCCCCCCAAGTCCCATAATTAACACCACCACAGAAAACGCCGCCGGCAAGCTCAAAGACTCCGTCGGCAGCACGTCCAAGGCCAAGGCCAAGGCGCAAGAACTGAAGGGCGAGGCATCCGAAGCAGCCGGCAAGGGCAAGGGCAAGGCGGAGGAAGCATTGGGCTCGGCGAAGGGCAAGGCGCAAGAAGTCGCTGGAGAGGCCAAGGGCAAGGCTAAGGACGCTGCGAAGGATCTGTAAGATATGAGGGGGCCCGACATAAAGATGGATGGAAATTAGTTATTATGGTTACGCTTGATGATATGCATGCATGAAGGGCTGGGAAATACTACTACGCAGGGGTGTCCATTGTACGATTATATCATTAAATAATGAATGCATTGGGATATGTAATCATCTAAGTGTGTGTGTGTGTGTGTGTGTGGTTTCGTCATAGATGTATTTGGGGGTTCCTTGGATCGGAGAATGATACCACTAGATACATAGTTACTTAGTAGTGCAATTCTTACTAAGTTAGGACAGGCGCGCCACCCGGAAGGAATCTGGGGTACAGGAGTCTAAACCCTGTTGGGATTCCATGGGTCGGTGGTTTCGGGGGGTTTAGTCCACAATGTTGTATACCTGGAGGTAGTAGATCTGCGGTGTATTATTATATTGGAAATAAAACTCCCAATAATAGGTAGGTAGGTACCTTGTCGAGGACGGAGTGGACTTCCGACTGGTCCTGATGGCCCAGAACTACTAATCATCTGCGTGGATCGCCACCGGCAAGCCGAGGCTTCCTTGTTTTCGGCACCGGCGGGGGATTTCCCTTTTCTTCTCTTTAGTCTTTTGCCCCCGGCCATTCTTCTTCGTTTTCCCCTATCTTTTTTGACTTCTTCTTCTTCTTCCTGTCCAGCTTTCGTTTCTGCTAGGCTATCGGGTTAGTTTAGCCGTGTCCTTTTATTTTGTTCTTTTTATTTTGGGGTTTTCTCTACCACACTCTTTTTTTTACGGTTGTCGCCTGCCATCCATTCATCACATCATGGGCAAGCTCGATAACCCCATCAGCCTGCTAAGAGAAATCCTGATCCGAGTGCCCCTCATCATCAAGACCATTTTCCTCCATGCCATCCGCCTATCCCACGTCACGGGGAAGCAGGACCTCCGCACCGAGTTGACCGTCGCCGTTATCCGCTCGTTTCTCACCTTCAACTCGCCCATCGGCCAGCAGCAAAAGGACAGCATCCGCGATCCCGGCATCAAAGGCCCCATGTGGGTGTCCAAGGTCACTCTTCCCCAGCCGGAAAATGATGTCCAGGATGCGGTGATCAAGGCGATCGAGGATCTGAAGGTTGGCGACGAGACATACAGCATTCCGGGCGTGGCGCCGGTTGAGGCAGAGTGGACGGGACATCGCAGCGGCGTGGAGAAGAACACCCCTCAGCCGGATATCTCAGAGGAGGCCAAGTATGAGGAGCTTTGCAGGGAGTCTACGGACGAGACGGTGATTCTGTATTTCCATGGGGGTATCTACTTGTGAGTGCATTCCTTTCCTAGTCTATGGCCTATGACAGGAGGCATAGGCATGTCGGCATAAGTAATCTAACACGATCCATCCTCAGTCTCTGCGACCCATGTACCCATCGCCCGGTGGTCACCCAGCTCTCCAAGCGAACCGGCGCACGCGTCCTGTCAGTGCGCTACCGTCTTGCGCCTCAGAATCCCTTCCCCGCCGCTCTCGTCGACGCCCTCGTCGCATACCTCTCGCTCATCTACCCTCCCCCGGGCTCTCTCCACGACCCCGTCCCGCCCAGCAAAATCGTCCTCGCCGGCGACTCAGCCGGAGGCAACCTCTGCATCGTCCTCCTACAGACCCTCCTCACACTACGCCGCATCTGTCCCACCATCCGCTTTCACGGCCGAGACATCCCCATCGACCTCCCCGCCGGCGTAGCCACCAGCTCCCCCTGGTGCGACATGACCCGGTCCATGCCCTCCGTCCACCACAACTCCATCTACGACTTCATCGCCCCTCCGACCCAAGATCCCGCCTCAATCTACCGCCCCATCAGCGTGCCCGATGACGACATCTGGCCCGCCAAGCCCCCCCGCATCGACCTCTACGCCAACGCCAACGCCCTCCTCCACCCGCTCGTCTCCCCAATCGCCGCCCGCAAGGACCTCTGGAAAGACGCCCCCCCGGTCCTCATCGCCATGGGCGAGGAGGGTCTCTCAGACGAGGGTCTTGTCCTCGCGCGCAGAATCCACGAAGCCGGCGCCCCCGTCGTCGTCGAGCAATTCGAAGGCATGCCGCATTGTTTCGGGATGGTCATGATGGGGACACCCTCGGGCCGTCGCTTCTACGACGTCACGGCCGAGTTCTGTCGCGATGCCGTGGCCGGTAAGATGGCCGCTGGCACCCCCTTGTCTGGGGAGATCACCTACATCGGATACAAACTTCTAGGGACCCGGCAGATCCCGCTCGACAAGGCGGTTCCGTTGACGGATGAGGAGGTGGATGAGCGATTGCGGATGAACGCTCAGTGGCGGTTGGAGGGAGAGAGGGAACTCCAGAGAGAGTGGCTGGAGAAGGTCAAACTTTGAGCCTGTGTTTGGGTGTTGTGTGCTTTTTATATAGACCGGTTCGCTGCATTTGGCGTTTTCGAGCTTGTGGGCTTTTCGCTATACCCTGTTTATAGACCTGGTTTTTGATAGACAGATATGTCCTAAATAGACTTGTACTTGTATATATGATTTGTACATCAATGTATACTCTATCTCTATTACTCGCATCATCATGATCATCATTCGCATCAGATAAACGACCCATGTATACAAGAACCACTTAAACTGGTTGTTATCTATCAGCTTTCAATTCTCTCGGCCCATCTATGAATCTCACCGCCATGTCACTCACTATCTTATATGCCCACCCCTTCCATAAGCTGTGACTAACACCCCCTGTTTAGCTTATCACAACCCCTCGACCTGTCATTCCATCATCTACTACCTTAGTAGATATCCCCCCCCCGACCACCTGGGAGCCGGACGCGGAGGCCGTGCGCAGGACTATCCTGGGCTACATTGATTCCGGACGGGAGGTGATCGCCCTCGCGCACTCGTTCGGGGGGGATTGCGATGTCGGAGGCCGTGAAGGGGTTAGGGAGGGAGGCACGGGCGCGGCAGGGTCGAGAGAGGGCGGGGTGGTTCGGTTGGTGTTTATGGCTGGGATGGCATTGATGGAGGGGTGGACGCATTAAGGGCAGGTGGGGATGGAGCTGGAGATGGAGGTGGAGGTGGAGGAGGGGAGGAGGTGGGGGGGGGGCAGGTCCAGCGGGGGGAGGTGAGGTTTACGGCTGTATGTATTTGCTTACTTTTTTGGTTGTGTTTTTGGAGGGGGCAAGGGCATATCAGATATGAGACTAATACTGATGATACAAACCAGGACGGCTCAATCCTCCTCGACAAAGACTTCATCCCCTCGACAAAGACTTCATCCGCGACGTCTTCTACAACGGCTGCGATCCCGCCGACATCGACGAGGCAACCGATCTCCTGGGCTCGTTTCCCCCTGCCCTCATGAACGTCCCCGTGACGTGCACAGCCTATCGCGAGATCGTCTGTGAGAATGATTGGGCCTTGCCTTGCTCCGTCCAGGAGCGGATGATTGCCCAGGGTGGTGGCGTCTTCCATGTCGAGCGCTGTCAGGAGGCCAATGCGCCGTATTTGAGTAATACCCGGTTTGTTGTTGAGTGTGTTAAAAGGGCGGCGGGGGAGGACGTGTAGGTTGGATGGTTGGATGGGTTGAATCGTGTTGTGTAGGATGTGTTTTGGCTGGTTGATTTATCTAGTACTGTATGGCCGGTTTTGGCCTCTGTTCGGAACTATATACTTCTGAAGTTCTGCCGAGATGTGAAGGGATGACGTCATGTAAAGATATTTGGTTGCTCGCGGGGTTGGCTTTGTGTTGGTTTTCTGGTATTGCCGATGTTGTATTTGATGTCTCTTGCTTTTTTTTTTGTATTCCTCAGACATTACGTATTGCCGAGGCCAGAACTGTTGCTTGAGAGAGAGTGAGCGGCTGGCCGATTTGGGGAGGGTTACTTTCTCGATGATTTCAGTGATATCTATGGAAACAGACGTTGTCCACTTGCTCGAAAACAGTCGAACGTGGTCTTGAGGGCTGTAGTGCGCTTATAGCGTTTTTCGCTGCAGTGACTGTCACTTCTCAGGGTGCTTCTGAGCGGGACTTCGCGACCATAGGGAACCGGATTGTCATTGCTGTGTCAGAGGCATCTATCTCCCACTGCTTTTGCGTATGCTATCGGAACTAAAGAGTTGCAGTTCATCCCGGTCATACGACTCCTCTGGACTAGTCCCACGAGTAAGACCTACTTGCGAATATCAAAGACAAGGCTCCAGGCATGGTTCGCCAGGCTGCGGCGGAATACTTATCCCACCCAGTCTCATGGCGATGGTATTTAGGATAGCCATGGAAGTCATTATCGAATTATATCTATCGCCACCGTCCCTGGTAGAGGATGCAGGCCGTGAGATAACTAGCCATAGCATTCTGAAAAAGCACGTCGATATCATCATGAAGGCCTCCTCGCTGGAGGTGACGGTGAGTGGGTCCCAAGCCGTGAACATGGCTGTACAGATGCATCTGCCCAAGTGCGGCGACATTCTCTCCGAATGCTGGATCTGTGATTCGATTCTTAGGACTGATCATCCCGATCGAACCCGCCCTGGTGCTGTAGAAGAATGCAGTTGCAGAGCTCCGGCTCTGCGATGTCGATTGCTGGACCTGACAGAAGAGTGGATGCCCAGCATCTACGCTGATTGGCCTGTCAGATCGTCGATGTGCCCTGATCCACTCCAGCCTGGAGTCACGTGCTCTGTGTAGGGCGGGGGCGGCTAGACCCCAGGACCATTTCTATAATCTATATGGAAGGCTGGCTGATATTCATTGAGGTAGCCGTGAAGAGGCTTAGGAGGGATGTTGTCGAGCTCGACTTCTCTTGAGATCAAGGTCGGAATGGAATGGAGAGGGAGATTCCAGACCACACAAGCCATCCAGGGTTCGGGACAGCCAGTGCCCTGCACACTGGTTGGGTCTGGATGATTCCTCACCAGCAACCCACCTGCTGTCTACTCCCTACACGGCAGTGCATCGACAAGGCACGAATCCAAGTCCAACCAGCAGCCACAACATCGACGGGTTTTCTCCTCCGTCCAGAAAGGAAGGCACGCAAGTCCGTAAACAGTAAGGCGGCCCCGGGCGGAAGCCGGCGGCACCCAATCAGAGGGCGGGACACGGCGCTAGGCGAAGCGGGCGGTCATGTGACGCACAACCCATTTTTTCGGCCACAAACGATCGTTCACATCAAGACTCTTCTCGACGACCTTCCCCGACGACTCACGACGACCCTCACGACACCCGTCCGCTTCCACGATACCCTTAAGGAGGCTCTTTCAAAAATGGCTGTCAGGAACTCCGGTGCGTTGAAATTCGCTATTACATCCCCGCGGTCCGACCGAATGTGACTGACAAGATGGTCTTTTTTTTCTTGGGCTTCAGGTCTCGCCTCTTCGCGCCGCAAGTCGCGCGCGGCTCACTTCAATGCTCCCTCCAGCGTGCGCCGTGTCATCATGTCGGCTCCCCTCTCCAAGGAGCTGCGCCAGAAGTACAATGTACGTTTTCGATAAAGCACCGAAATCATCCATCTGCAAACCCAATTCCCCTCCCCTCGGAAGTCCGGATGGATTTGGCAAAATCCCTGTGTCTCGGCAGTGATGGGATAAGACATGCTTTTGTGTGCTTGCATACATACATGCCTCTCCAACTGTGGGAGAGACAGGAGGGAAACCGGCCACAGACACCAGGCACACCGAAACACGAGAAATTGCAATCCAACCAAATATAATCAAAAAAAATTCCGATTCTAACGTTCCTTCTCGATAGGTCCGCTCGATCCCCATCCGCAAGGACGACGAGGTGAGCTCAGGCCCCACATAATCTTCACTAAATATAGTGAAAGAAGAACCATCAAAAAGAAAGGAGAATCGCTAAACAGAAACAAAGGTTACGGTCGTCCGTGGTAGCCAGAAGGGTCGTGAGGGCAAGGTCACCAGCGTCTACCGCCTAAAGTGGGCCATCCACGTCGAGCGTATCAGCCGCGACAAGAGCAACGGCCAGAGCGTCCCTCTCCCCCTCGCCCCCTCCAACGTCGTCATCACCAAGCTCCACCTCGACAAGGACCGTGAGCAGATCCTCGAGCGCATCGCCAAGGGTCGTGAGGCCGTTGCCGCTAAGTCCGCTTAAATGTGTGGGAAGAAGCAATGGGGTTCTTGAGATTTTTTAAAGTTCATATAAAGCAAAGTGTCTGTTGTGTGAATCAACCGCGGGAGTTCTACCACTGGGAAGACGCGATAAAATCCGAGTTCTTATCCTAGGTCGGGATTACGTCTTACTGAAATTAGATGTATTCTGATGAAATGAAAAACGAAAAAATCGATTTCCTCTACCTACCCATTACTTGCCCATTTGCATCACATCACATCACATCACATCACATCACATCATACTTGCGGGTTGCGGTTACATGCTCTCTTTGTCTGCTGACTGACTGGGAGGTTGTATCTTGCATTCATGGCGGTCGTGCGTCTGGGCCATTTGAGGACTGGCTGTTTCCCCCCTCCCTGCCCCGTCTCCCTGCCCCGTCGTTCGTGTAATTGCAATATACATACCTGCAAAGACCCCCCACCTCATCTCGACACCCCCTTCCGCAATCTCAGCCCATTTAGCCCAAGTACGAGGTATTCAATTCAGTATCCACCAGGCCGAACGCCCCAACCCAACCTAATATATGAAAGCAGTGGTCAACTGGACCCTACACAATCAACACGAACAAAGTAGATCAAAATCAACCTAGTACTATCTAACCATCCATTCTTAATTGTCTATGTAGTACTGTAGCCTGCTAATGCCAATGCTAAGAAAGATGAAAGATTAAATCCTCCTCAATACCCTACCCTACCCTACCCACCACGTCCAAACCCAGCCAACTGCAAGGAAATGACAGACTTAGTTATTAGTTATAGCTTAATAACTTATCTTACCTCTTAACTACCACCCAGACACTCCCACTCCCACTCCCACTCACACCCCATACCCACCATCCACCATCCACCACCCACCAACCAGAAAAGAAAGCGTATCCCTGTACAAAGTACACAGAAGCACAGCAGCACAGCAGCACAGCCCTTCAAACCTCACGAAGCCCTTTCCCCACCGTACTACCGAGAGAGAGTCCAGGAGTCCAGGACAGTACCCTACTGCAAAGCACAAAGCACTAGCAGAGCAGAGAGCGGAGCAGACCGGGAGCAGAGCTCTCTCTCTCTCTCTCTCTACCAATCAGAAACAGGATGAATATTCTTTTACTTCGCTTGATTAACGACGTCCTAGGAGAACACAGAAATACAAATACATAGCAACATTGATCGCGTCGTATCGGATCTATCATTACTACCGATTTACCTACCTACCTACCTACCTAACCTGGAGCATACCTTGCGAGGCGAGTGAGTATTGATTCTTGATTCTTGATTATTGATCACTATCTATGAGATGAAACTCCTTGCATAACATAACATACATTCGAGTCGGGGGCCCACGCTCACTGCTCCAGTGCCTAGTCTACTATCTACTATCTAGTGCTGAGTGCTGCGTGCTGGTAAAGCTCGCTACTAGATATCTAGCTAGCTAGATAGATAGATAGTAGACTAGATACTCTCCGGTGGCGGACGGACTAACTCGGAACAGCCAAGGCGCGGGTTCGTGCAGATCGGCGATAACCTTAGATAAGGGTGGATTCGACTCGACGGTCGACAGAATATACTACCTAGTACATACAAATTTCCTAGTCTTTTCTGCGGGGTGTTTCATCGAACCAGTATTCTATTCCTGGAGGAATTCATGTCATAAATAACGACCAATGAAATATACTGCGTGTATAGAAACAAGCTATCCCGCCCAATCCACCAATATGCATATGATATATGATATGATATGATATGAACCCGACACCACCGAAGCAAAAACGCGCTAAATAAACCTTCGAAGTTCGATGAGATGAGGACTCCCTACTAGATAGACTAGACTAAATAAACTCATCGTCATCCATGAAGCCATCCTCCTCCCAAGATGATGATGATGATGATGATGATGATGATGATGATGCTCCTCCTTCTCTGATGTGGATATCCGCCACCTCGACTTTCAATTCAGGAACTGGTTCCGGGACTGCCGCGCGCTGTTCCTTCTCAGGCCACAGTTTCGGAGGCGAGAAAAATCCTCGAGATGTAGCTGACGCAGTGGGGATGTTGTCTACCCGACTGCCGTTGATGCGGATTTCGCCAGATAAATTCACCGGGACGGGTGCCTCTTCCACGTATCCGTCCCAGAAACCAAGGAGCTGGGCGATGAGTCGGAAGAAAGCGATGGAGATAGCCCAGAGGGGAGTGAAGATCGAGGAGAGATGTAGCCAGCGCCAGAGCATGGTCGGGATCACGTATGGGAAGCGGGGAGCGTCTGGACGTAGGCAGTTGCCGTTGCAGGTGTTGGAGACCATGGGATGGCAGTAGGCATCGCACATGGTTGACTCGGAGCAGTACCAAAGGAGTAGGATCAAGGAGCACCATCCCAGGCGGGTAGGGCGAATGCGACGAGAGATGGGGTTGCGTTTCCATAGTCGCGGGAAAGAAATCTCTGTGTAGACTCGGCCATCGTGTTCCCCTTGGCAGTTTGAACAGGTGTACTGTTTTGGGCCCTTTCTGCCCCTCGGGGGCGACTGGATGGCCGAGAGAACGTCGGCATCCCGGGACACCTGGTTTTCCAGGCCATTCAGCCCTGTCTTGACTTTCTGGATATTCTCAGCCAACGACCGCAACTTCTCATTCAGCCTGTCTAGATCCATGGTGTCTCGCCCCCCCGTGCTGGCGAGCTCCAGCTTCTTCAGGATCTCTTTTTCATATGCAGCATCGTCCTCTTCCTCCGTCTTGGGCTCACTGGGTTGTCCATCAATGATCTCCTGGAGCGACTCGATCGTGTCGTCACCAACATCCAAGGAATCCTTATGCTCTTTGTAATCCTGCAGGACTGTCTCCAGGGCACTTTTCGGCAGATCAGGCTTGACCAGTGGTGGCTTGTTTGCCTTTGCCTTTCCGCTGGCTGGTTCCGCTTGTTTCTTCTTGTTCTCTTGGGCCTGCTTTTCTGCGTCCTGCTGTTGCTTCTTGAGCTTTTCCTCCCTTTGCTGTTCTTCTCTCTGTGCCTCCTTCTTCCGTTTCTCCTCCTTCAGCTTCTCTTCCCGTAGTCTTTCTTCTCTCTTTTTCTCCTCCTTCTGTCTCTCCTCTTCTTCCTCCCTCTGTCTCTCCTCTTCCCCCCTCTTCTGTTTCTCCTGATTATCCCTAACTTTTGTCTCCCCCAACTCAAATGTCTCAGGCATTTCGTCGATCCTGGGTTGCACGGGTACAAACGACGACTCAAACCTATCATTCGTTGGTGGCGACGGTACTATGTCCCGAGAAAGGTGTTCAGGAAACTGATTCACCCGCTCGGTCACTGGGGTGTCAATCCAGGCGCCCGTCACAATCGGTGTCTTGTCGTAGATGCGTCTGTCGGGGATCTTTTGGGCTTCCGGGGTTTTCATCTCGTTTCGCTGGTTGGGACTCTCTGCTCTCGCTAGTTTGCGAAGCAGATCCTGGGAATCCCTTTTCGTCGGACTCCGCTTCGTAAACGTCGAATTCTTATAGGAGTTGAAGACCGTAACTGGCGTGTATGGTATATGTTCACCCAGCGTCAACTTGTCGGGCTTTTGCTCGGCAAGCAGGTTATTTGGTGTGTCCGACAAAGGAACGCGGGTGTATCTGTTCGTCGCACGATCGCCCGACGTTCTGCTATCGAGATTATTTCGTTCAGGATTGGTGTGCAGGTCCTTCTCCAACTTGAACCTCGGGGGCGAGGGCTCATCCTTCGGTCTTTCCGCCTTAGTCAATGGCAGCTCAGTGCGGCGCGCCATCTTCTTCAGCCAGTCGCCACCGCGAAAAGTCGCCCGGGTACCCCAGGTGGACGGAAGTTGGACCGAGGGCTTGAAATCGTCGTCGTCCTCCATCATCCCAGCCTCCTCCTCCTCCTCATTGCGCCGTTGGAGATTCTCCGACGTCAATGGGTTTATAGTCCCCGCGTTGCTCAAAACCGGCGACCGGCTGGATGTTGCCCGGCGGAAGCGCTTCTCATCTTCGACATGGTCGACCAGTTTCCGGCGAAGGGCGTCGTGGTCGTCGGAGACGTCGTTCAAGAAATCGGTATCGGTAATCGCAAACAAATCATCCCCCCGTAGCCTCGATACCGACGAGGAGCGTCTGCTGCGACTGTCTCGTAGGGAGATATTGAAGTCATCCTCCGGGTCCAGATCAGCCAGGCTTCCCGCGTCGTCGATCTGCCGGTACGCCTCGACTAACTCGTCCGGGGGGTTTGATTCGGGCGATGCGATCTCGAAGCTTTCTCTTCGATTCCGATTCGAGGTGCCGAGGGTGAAGGGCGCGGGGTCGCGGTCCGACATGTTGGGTGGACGCGACAAGTGCTCCCAGGCTCCGCGGAGGGTTCCGGTTTGGCTGAAGTTGCGTCGGTGGTGTTGAGGGCTGTACTCGCGGGGTGGACTGGGGATACGAGACGCGTCAAAGTCATGGGTGAGGTGGGCTCGAGCAGCTCGACCGAAGGGGGAGCGCTGGTGGTCGGACTGTCCGTAAGTGCGACGACGCGACAACAGTCCGTGGTCGCTCCTGCGCTCGGGAGTGGTAGGCATGGTGACGGAAGGAAAGGCCTCTCCCCTCGTTCAGGTGGAGCACCGTCCAGTGGAGGGAGGAGATTGTGGGGAGAGTAAGGGGGGGGATGGAGAATGCAGTGAATGGACAACAGCATAAACATGGCCGAAGCATCGCAACACGAAGCCGAGAGGTGGATGGGCTGCTGGCCCGTTCGGGGTTAGCGGATCCCGTCTCGTCCATCCATCCAGCCATCCAACAGGCAACAAACCAATTCATTCCACCTTCCGTCCGCCTCAACTCTGCCAATCTGCCCTTCGCCCTCTGCGGAGCCTCCAGGTCAGTCGATCATGCCCATTGTCTCCGGCGAATGATCCGATCTGAGCGTCGTTACTGACCCGACATGTGACCCGGTCAGGCGAATCGTCCGTCGTTGTCGTGTCCCCTCCTCTTCCTCCCCGCATGGCTCTATAAATCCGACATTGCTCGATGTGACAGAGATCCTCGCACTCATCCACAGCTCCTCCCCTCCTCCGATCGCCCCTCCCGCATCGACTGCGCCTCTCCTCCACCCATCCTCCACCCTCCCGCACCTAAATAAAGACATCCTCTCCTCCGCGTCACACCACCCACCGCACCAACACCCACACCCACCCACACCCGCCAACATGGCCAAATCCGCCCGCCGCGGTCCCAAGGTCAAGGCCTCAGCGACCTCCTCGACAAACACCTCGGGCACCTCGACACCCAACTCGCAATCGGGCCCCATCCCCCCGTTCACCAAAGCCCCTGAATCCCTGAAACCATTCCTCGAACCGTTCCCGCAACGCGAAGTCTACCTCGTCCACATCGACACCGCGCCGGTGGACATCAAAAAGCAAGCGTTCATCGTACCATGCGTGATCAACGCCGCGATCGTCGCCATCCTCGCCTACCGGGTCTACATGGTCCGCAACATCTACCCAGCGATGCTAGCCACCGTCGTCGGGATGAACAGCTCCATGAGCCTCGACACATCAACAATGGAATGGGAAGAGATCGCAATGGTGGCCCTCCGTCGCATCGGAACCGTTCTCCTCGACTACTTCCTCGTGACGGTGCTGTTTTCCTGGCCGATCCGGTTCTGGTTCGGGCCGGTGCGATGGCGTCGCACCGTCGGGTTCCGCGGCCACGAGATCATCGTCCGACGCAGCCAGCCCGACATGACGCAGGGATTGAAGCGTGATCGCTGGATCCGGGAAGACGAGGAAACGCGCGACAAGATCGTCGCCGCCGTCACCCCGGAGCGCCTCATGAAGACCGGATATCTGCTTGTCGACGCCGACTGGGACCTCGATTACGATGCCATGATCCACGCGCACGAGATGGTCGCCGACCCCCACAAGTACGAGAAGATCGGCCTGGACGATTTCCGCACCGCCGTCATCGTCAACACCGATGCCCATGGCTGGTTGATCTGGCACGTCGGCGACGAGAACGAGGCCATCAATGCCACCACTCCCGGCCCGAATCCCGGCCCCAGTACCCCCGAGGAGCCGGTCCGGTCCGCCCAGCGCGATCAGATCCTCGCGTTCAAGGATAAGTTGACCGCCATGGGCAAGGAGGACCTATTCTTCCGCTGGGTCGAGCTGATCCAGTATGAGAGTACCCTGCCGGGCGGGTTCACGCCGGAGAGGCAGCGCTCGGCCATGCTCCAGGTGCAAAAGCTTTTCGAAGAGAACGGAGTCAGCTTCTCGCAATTCTGGGAGGACGTTGGAGGGTTGGAAGAGTTCACTGAACAGCTTGATTAATCCATGTGCACATGCACATGCACAGGAATCTTATTTTTTTTTTTTTTCATTTTACTTTCTACTCTTGTCTTTACTTAAACGACTATCATAAGGGCTTGAATTACTGGATGAGGCGGCGTCGGCGCCGTATGGACTCGGAGTAGATGGCATATTGCAGATCAATTTATCTTGTCCTCGTTGTAACACCATAACTACCAGCAGGGGCTAAAAAGATGCACGTCTAATCCACTGGGCTAACGGACTGATGGACAGGTAAAAAAAAATAAATGAAAAAAAGACCCAAAAAATCACGTAGGGAATAGGCCGAATTCTCCATAAAAACGGGTATCATTGAGGCCTGATTTGTTAAAAGGTCGCATAAGATCTGCCACTTCAGATAAGAGACATGCAAGTCTGCGCTCATCGACTACTATTGCCACTCTCCAGGCGATAGTCGACAGACCAGAGTTGAGACCATGGCCGGTATCTAGAGGTTCGTCGGGAGGAGGGCGTCGACGAAGCCTCGAGATCCTCGACACGCGCAGACGAGGGCGATATCCGACCCTCTGGCGTTCGTTCCGTGCCCTGTGACGGTCTGTCAGCTCCGCTCAGACGACGGTAAGGTGGAAAAAGAAAATCCTGGGCCGTGGGTTTCACGGACCCCAGAGAAGGTCGCGGCGAACCTCGTCAGGTTTGGGGGCTGCCTCCCGTGACTGAGAGCTGGCAGCGGTGTCCTGCTGGGCCTGTCTGGAGAGATCTGCTGCTGACTCGTGGCCTCGCTGCAGCGGCGTGGAAGTCCCTTTCTTGGAGTTAGAGCTGTTCCGGCGGCTGTCGAGGCTCTTGCTCAATGTTCTGGCGACATTTCCCCCGGCGGACGTACGTTTCAAGCGGATGCTGCCCTTGGCGTCTACGTGCGCCGGCGCAACGGTGCTCTTGCCCAGGCCGGGGGTAGCTGGAGCACCGGGTTTCTCTTCCGTGGCATCGAGGAGATACCAGCGGAGACCGTCGGACAGTTCAAAGGGGTTTTCTTCGTCGAGTGAGGTGCCGTCGCTGACCTCGCCGATGGATCGGCGGTCGGGATTGGCGCCGTTCAATGATTTGGAGAGATCGACCACGCGTTCTTCGATCTTGGTGATGCGAGCAAGCAGCCAGTCCCGGGCCTGGAGCTTGTGAGCGTCTTGCTCGCGTAGGAAATAGTGCGGTGCGCCGACATTGAACGCAGCCCATGACCGGATCGTTTGGTTTCGAGTGGGCAGGAACAGGGCAAGGTCCCCTTCCTTGAAAGACCGATATGCGATTTTATCGTGAGCTTCGCTCTGGACCCGGTGGTACTTGTCACGGTACCCCCGGGCTTCTTTCTGCCATTTGCGAGCAAGTCCTTCAATGTCCTTGACACGTTTGACCACCGCGCCGCCAAATATGTCCACGTCGAATTGATATAGTGATTCCATGAAGGCCATGAACCTGTCTGTCTCTTCCTCCTGACTGTCGGCCTGCATCCAGTCCAGAAGGCTCGCATCTGGCCTCACAGAAACCACTCCGGACTGGCTAAGAACGTCGCCAGTGACGGAGATTGCATTGACCTTGGACGATCTTTGGACCACGATGTCTCCGTCTTGACGAATGATGGTAAATCCTAATTGCTCCAGCATATGCTCCAATTTCTCCACCTGTGCGAAGAGCTGTTTGGATATTTCCTGGGACCTGAACCCGCAAGTCTCAAACCGCACGATCGCCTTTTGTTCCGCCTCTGACACAGCTTCCACTTTCTTCTTCCAGGCTGTGACTTCTTCTTCGGACTGGCGAGCGAAGGTCTCAACCTCGGCCAGCCTTTGAGACAGGCTTGTCAACTTCCGCTCTTCTTGAGTAACGCGTTCTCGGAGAGCATCGGAGCCAGTCTCTCCGGCAGCAAATTGGGACTGCAATGCAATGAGCTTGGATCGCTCGTCGTCCAGCTCGGACGAGACGATGCTTAATTTCGATCGTTCTTGAGTCAGCTCATCGCGGGCTCGGGAAAGGTCTAACTCTCGCGCAGCCGTGCTCTTCTTCAACTCTTCGACTTCAGACTCCATCTGGCCGAGGCGCTCCTCAAGTGCCTTGCTTTCGGCTATCGCTTTCGTGGCGCTTTCTTCTGCATTGTTGGCGTGGATCGACAGTCCCTCGGACAGCACCTCGATTGCCTTGATAATTTCAGGAATATCAGCAGGAACAGAGCCTCCAGGCGAGAGATTCAGGAGAGCGGCTTGCAGCGCGTGGTGGCTCTCTTTATCTTTCTTTGCATTTTTTGCGGCGAGACTTTCTAGCTCGCCGAGACGAGCCCGGAGGTTATCTCTCGTATCCTTCTCAGCCTGCACTTGCTCAATCATCTCATGGGCCCTTCGTAGCTCTCCTTCGGCCCGAGAGTGGGCATCTTGAAGTTCCATCTCAAGCTGGTGTATCCGTTCATCGGCGTCCTGCTTCTCGTGCTCGCGACCATCAAGGTTCCTGTCCAGTTCCTCTTCGAGCTCCTCGGTCCGGATTCTTAGCCTTTTCAGTTCGCCCTCCAGAAATCTTCTCTCATCGTCAAACTCACGCTGTCGCGCTTCTAGATTGCCAATGAGATCTTTCTTTGTCGATTGAGCCTCCTCGATCTTGTCGGTGTTGGATTTGCGCTCAACATGCGCCTCCTTCTGAAGCCGTTGCACCATGTCTTTCTCCGTCGCCAACTCAGCTTCGAGAAGGACAATGCGTTGGACAAGAGCTTTGTCCTCGGGGGACTGATTGGATGACATCCGCCTCGATGATACCGATGATCTTCTCGAAAGAGCATCAGGGTGAGGCGACGCCGGCGAACTGGGAAAGTCCAATGAGAAATTGCCGCTGGAAGGCCGGCTCATGTGGCTTTGGCGATGAAGAAGATCTTCCAGCTTCCGGATACGGCTCTCGGAGCCTTTCAGCCTCTCTTCAAGTTTGCCTTTCTCGTCCCTCAGGCTGCGAACCATGTCATCACTCCGAAGCAAAAGTGAGCTCCGGCTCAGGTCGAACAGACTTCCTTGCTTGAAAGCCTTTGCTCTGCGGCGTTGTACGCGCGTTGGGGCATCCAATTCTTTGTAAAGCTGCGTCAAGTCTTGCGCCAAGTTCCCCATACCGGCCTTAGTTTTTAGGTCCTCGATGTAAGACTCAACCTCTTTTCTGTTGACCATAGGCCATTCCTGCTCCTGGCCCCGCAGGTTAACTTCGATTCCAGGGGTGGTAGCATCTGACATGGAGATGAAATCACCCATGTTCTTCATCCACTTCTTTCTCCGGCGCTGCTCCTCGTCCCGGAAGACGGACATCTCCTCCGCCAGAGTCAGCGAGTCATTCTTCATCTTGTCATTGAACTCGCGACGCCGCACGGACTCGATCAGGACAGACCCATAAACTAGAGGCATGTGGAAGACTGAGTAGATGACGTCAAACGCATCGCTTTGAAAGTTCAGGTTGGTGATTTGAGCCTGGACATCAGCAAGGCCTGACTCGATAGAAGATATGAGCCGCATGTGACTAGAAGCAGCCTTCGTTGCCGCATTATAACGCTCGACGGCTTCTTCTAGGCTAGACTGAATTTCGTTGCTAACGTCCAAGAGTGATGGCAGGAGATCTTTTGTATGACTGAGGGCAAGCCTAGAGATATTCGCCAGCGTCTTGGGATTATTTGGTAGGGCCAGAACATGTTCATAGTCGGACTGTATCTTCTTGGATAACGTTTCCACTTCCTGCAATAGGCCCTCCACGCCATCGACGCCTGCTGGAAACGCGTCCTCGATGAGGCGCTGGGTATCTGCAGCAATCTTCTCGACTTTCTCCTCGATGTTGGTCACTTGACGAGCAAAGCGCGCAGACACCTCTGGCGCCTCCGAGCCCGCCTTCTGCACCTCCTCCACATCCACGTAGTTTCGTAGAGTCCCCATCACCCTATCGCCACTCTTTGTTGGTGTTGACGGACGGCCCACGAAGGAGAAGTCCTTCCGAGCCGGGACGGTGTCCAGGGTTGAAAGTGCTTTTCTCCATCCGTCAAGCGCCGCTTCTTGCTCCTTTATCAAGTCGTTCGCCCATGTCTGAGCCTCCTGGAACCGATGTTCCAGGGTTCCCACGTGGGTCTTGAGGTTCTCGAGAGCGACACTGGCAGCTCGGTTGATGATGTCGGTGCGCTCGTTGTGTTCATGTATCTGTTTATCCACGGACTCGCAGCGTTTCGTGAGTTCCACGGTCCACGTCCTCCTAGCCAGATACAGGTTCCTCCACGCTTGTAGGTCATTCTGGTCCGTGAGGGTATCGGGCGGGTTGTCGGCATTGAGCGGTTGCGGCGGCGGCAGCTCTGGGAGCTCGAAGTTGGCAGGCTCGGTCACGTACCGCCTATCGTAGACGAATATCTCGCTCTAGATACGACGCATTTAGTCTAGGGTAAGTGGTCAATATCCGGGGGGCCGTACCTCCGTGGCAAGGGTTTGGATCTTGACGTTTTTCCCCCGGGCGGTCATTAAGATCTGCCTCTGGGGCGGAATGGTGGTGTTGCGGGTGATCCATGATCGCAGTGCGTCCGGCCTAGGAAGAACAGAAGATCGTGTCAGTGAGCATCCACAGGGGACCGAAGTGTTCGGGTTGGTCGCAGCAAGAGCTCCAGGGATGGTCCGGGCTCGAAGGGCGGTGGATGTGGGTGTGGGTGACATAGGAACCTGGGATGGAGGCAGGAACGGGACAGGGAAGGGACATACGAGGCGAACGAGACCGGATCGGTCAGGAAATGCTCACCGGTGTGAGCGATGTAGATGTGCAAAGACATCCCCTCCTCACAAGGCGAGCAAAGAAGCTCCGAAGTTGCCTGGGGAAGGAATGCGGGAGGGAGATGATAAGGGAGTCATGTATCTATTGTACTTAAACTAAATTCACTCCCGGCCTCCAGGCCTTCAGGCCTCCAGGCCCCCGAGAGCTCCCCCCGGCCTGGTGCCGTCGGGGACCGCCCACCGCATCCGCATCCCGCGATCTCCACCGCCCTACAGCCTGTTCGTTACTTTACTTACTGCTCTCAGTTCTATACTCCGTCGAACCCCTTCCAGCTTCCTTCCAGCGTCACGCGATTAATTTCCCCGACTTGCCACGAGGTCGCGCTCTATGACATTATGACATCCGAAAGCGCCCCTCCCCTCCCTCACCTGGGTTCAGGTGAGGCCTCCCTGTTGGATCTTGCGACCGACGATCCTCGCGACGCCGTATCTTTGTCCGACAAAGAGGCTTGGATCCTGCAGCTTTATCAGCAGATCCAGGAACAGCAGTTAGAGCAGGCGCTACTCCAGCAAGGTCGGTGTCTACATTATTGTTGCTATTATTGCGCGCCTGCGACAAATTACCGGCCCGTTCTCCGCCAGCATTGACACCCCCCTACAGATACCGATTTCCTCTCTGGAGATGATGCGGAAGAGCAACTCGCCATCGCAGAACGTGAACTTCTCGAAGCGAGGGCCACTTACACAGTCAGGAGGAAGGCTGTTGGAACCGTTCTTATGACTGATCCGGTTCTGAAGGCTGTTCATCTGAAAGCCACAACACCAGCTGAACGGTGCGTTGCGCGTTCGATTTTCTTTTTTTTTTCCTGCTCTATTTTCTTTTCTTTTTCTTTTTCTTTTTTTTTTCTTTGCCCTCCGTTAGCCCGTCGACCTTTCTATTGCTGACCATCACTAGGGCCTTGCTGCGTCTTATTAATCGTCGCGATGTGCTATCTTTGGTGCATGAAAATCTAAACACTGTACACACGGCAACTCTCCAAAAGCTCTCCAAGCTGGAAGTAGAAAATTCCCAGATCCACCGGGAAAACCAGGAGCTCATCCGGGAGCTATTGGCTCTGACGGAGGATGATGAATCATGGAAGGAGGAGCTGGAGGACCCGGAACTTAAGGCGCAGCTCGAGCAGCTCGAAGCGGACCGCCGAAAAAGCAAAGCGAAATGGGAAACCATGAAAAACGTCGCCAGCGCGATGGTTGTCGGCAGTGGAGTGAACTGGGCCGAAGACGAGAGACTCACGGCTCTGGTGCTGGACGACTCGGATGATTGATGACCTGATCCTTTTACTGGATTTTCTGGATTTTCGGATTTACTTGGATTGTTGGGCGTTGTTACGGTATACCCTTGATTACTTGATAGAGACACAAGATGCGTTCTTTCTGTTGATTGATCACATTTCCGGGCTCGATGATGACAGGTCCGATTGTTCCGCAGCGGATTAGTAATAATAATGAATGCCTGGGTGAGCCGAATCGTCACTTCCTTAACCGGAGCGCTGAAGAAAGATGGTGTGCGACCCACGTGACATCATGGCCCACTGGGGCAAAGTCAAGCAGAGCAGCGTTCGTCATACCGTGTCCAAAGCCAAAAGAGCTTTCCGACGGAAGGCTTGGTAGGGGAGAAAGGAAGAAAACGCCAGCCGGCTGAATGATAAGGTGAAAAACCCTTGCAGCAGATAGAAGGGACATGACAGCCGAAAATTGACAATCGGATTCGCTGCATGTCAATATGCCGTACTAAGGCCCGCCTCCCAAAGCCGACAAACCATCTCCTGCGAGCATGTGAGCAGTGGGCATACGAAAGCTTCGTGAGGGGAGAGAGTAACCAAGCCAAAGAGGAGCCGGTGTTTCCACCTGGAACCAGGTAACGGCCTCAACCCCCTCACTACCTATTATTAAGAATACCCGCAAAAGCCAGCTGCCTTACAATACCGAGAGTAATCGGCAGGTATCATCAGCAGGATTGGTCGTGTCCTCACATTACCGATCCAGTACTATTTTTCCGGTAACTTTTCCACGGTGCTGTTTGGAACTGGAATGCGGTGGCATTAAACATCGAGCATCCAGTCGCCCCGGGCGAGCGATCTGTGCAGCGCTCGACAATAGACCATTACGATCGACTGGTTTAATGTTTTGGCAGAGCAATAGTCGACAAGCAAACACGCCGCTGTCGCACCGGGACTTCATCCCTCATGTGGAAATGATCGGGTTGCCACGACAGAGTACGTATGTTAGCAGCTATCCATCTACCACAGGCACTACTGTGTAGATACTTGGTTGGACTCATGGACTGAAGCACATATCTAAATACTCCCTGCGATCCAGGGTCAAGGCGTCCTATGTTCAGACTCTAGATAGAGCCCAGGGCACTGCTAGTACTGTTTTCCGGCGTAGACCGCATGAAGAAACCATGGCCGTACTTCTAATCCTGGCAATTCGGCACAATAGTCAGTGTCAAATGGTTTGTGACTGGTATATTATTCTTTTCAGGAGCGGTAACCAGCGCTTACTCCGGAGTATTGCGAGGTAAACAGCTCCCAGTATTCCGTACGGACCTGTATCTACATGGCTGTTGAATTAATCATAGCCATTAATTTATTTTAACAACCCTCCTGTTCTCATCACTACATCACTCCTGGTCTCCCTCGTCCCTTATTGGGGCGTGTGTCCGTATGCTAGGAGATGAGCGCTCCTTAGTGTCACTGGGCAATGGTAAGGTTGGCTAGCCTCAGCACCTCGCTCAAGCACATCCTCCGGCCTATAAAAGCTCAATTGTGCAAGGAGAGCTGTAAGGTATCCACATCATACCACTGCTATTTCTCCAAAGGTATCTAGTAGACACCTCTCGCTATCAGGAATCAGGGTTTGAGGCTTTTGACTGACGAATCCTTTGGCTATCAAACGCGTAACTACACGGGAGGCGGGACTTCAGACAGAAGATGATAGATACTCCGTATGGCGCACTCGCTAGAGTCGCTACAACCAGACACATACCTACCCCTCAGGTGGGTGGGTGGGTGGGTGGGTGGCAGGTACTTAGGTATGCTGGGGTACTAATTAATGCCAGAAAGAAGCAGCTGCACTGCCTCAGGTACAGGTACTGGTGGGCGCCCTGTATGAGAAAGTAAGTAAGAAACCGCGGAGAATTATCAACGCGGGTTTATTATCTTCGAAGATCGCCCAAGGCAGGCAGGCCATGTACACCGAGGTACCGAACACGATGCGTGGCAGAATTAATAAGTAGGCCATACTAGCAGCAATGGGGAAGCTCATACGACTGGAAGAACCCCTCCAGAAACCAAAGAGCCAAGTGTATAATATGCCTCTCAATTATCACCCATTATCGATATATATGCTTTTCTGCGGTAGCACCTGGTTACCTAGATAAGTAAGTAGTAGTAGTGTAGTAATAGTCATAGTAGTAGTAGTGCCTGCCTACGAGACACGCACAGGAATCATGTACCCTCGGAGTGCTGCGCGGTATGGAAGGTACTACCTGGTACTCCGGACTAGCAGTGCCAGTTAGGCATAGTACTGTTGCTCTCAGTAACGAGTAACAGAGTACGGTACGACCGATACCCTCAATCTGGGCAGGCCACACACCACTCAGCCGAACCAGCAGTTCTTTCTCCCCCCTCCTCCTCAGTCCCATCATCGATCATACCGCCGTGTATTTTACCCAAGGCCAAATTATCCACCCCATAGTGGCGCAAAATGGTGTACTAGGGTAGTATGGTAAGATTCAATACGGTAGGTGACGGTGGACCTCCCCAGGCCTCCCCATCAGCACAATGGCCGGTACAGAGCTCCATCTTTGTCTAACAGTCGCAGGTGTGATTACACCATGGAGTGGGATTGGGTATTGGGGGGTTAGAATCTGCAACCTTGCAGGCCACACCTTCTTTGGTTCCTTTGACCCAGGACGACGAGAGAGCGCCAGAATGCGGGCGCGGAGCGTCGCAGGGGAGGTGGAAGATGACGGTACGTGACGGGTATGAAACCATACCAGCCATTCTCCAGCGGGCAACCAGCCAGTCGCAGCCGGCAGACCTATTCGCTTTCCCTTGCTGTGCTGCCCACTCTTTCCCCCCTTCCCAAGTGCGAGCGCGGTTAGGTAGGTGGTGGCCCGCCTTCCCGTCTCCCTCGCTCCTCTCCTACTACTACTACTCTCCCCTCTCCCTCTCTCACTCACTCTCTACCTACTCTCACTACGCCCTCCTCCCATACAATTCTCTCTCCCATACAAAAAAGTACTGCATATACCGCACCGGTGGGTTCCCTAATAAACATTCCGCTTCTGAGCATTGCTTCTACAACACCCACGCCCTTTTATTTTCTTCTCGGAAACTGTTCGTTTCCTTTCTGAATCCTTCTTTTCATCTTCTGTTTCCCTTGATTTTCCCTTCGTCGTTGCGCGACCTCGCTGTCGCGCTGCTGCTGCTGCACCGGCTCTCTTATACTTCCAGTACCGCTGAGCTGACCCGGACTGTCTTTTCCTTCACAGGCTGAATTTGCCGTCTTCAAATCTTCTATCTGAGTGCTTTTTACTGAGTCAATTCTCAGGTAAGTTCCTTTTTTTGCGCGCCTTTTCCTTCGTCGTGTCGTTTGACTTGCGACCGCGATCCCTCTTGTTTGGGCGCGCGCAAACCACGGGCTGTCCGCACGGCGGGCCAGCGCTTGCACTGCGCGCGCTACGTCCCTGAGCTTGTCACTGCCTGTTCTGTCGTCGCCCTCATGTTCCTCACCGTCTTCTGTCTTTATCCTGCCCCTCTCTGCTGCCATCGTGGACCTTTCGTCCAACCCCATCCAGTCAACTCTCCAGCCTTCTAACAGTCCTCCCAGACACCCATCAAAATGCCCAAGGAGAAGACCACCCGCAAGGCCGTCAAGCCCCGTGCTGAGCGCAGAAAGAAGGGTAAGTTCGACCTTGCTTGAACCCCCGTTGTCCAGGCTTTTGCTGACAGGTGTCCTAGACCCCAACGCCCCCAAGCGTGGTCTCTCCGCTTACATGTTCTTCGCCAACGACAACCGCGAGAAGGTCCGTGAGGACAACCCGGGCATCTCCTTCGGTAAGTACCAGCGGAAGACAATCGTCGATGAGTTCCGATGTCTAACTTCCTTGCAGGCCAGGTCGGCAAGATGCTGGGAGAGAAGTGGAAGAACCTGGATGACGTTGGTCGTCGTCCTTACGAGGAGAAGGCTGCCGCCGACAAGAAGCGTTATGAGGACGAGAAGGCCAGCTACAACGTAAGTAGATGCTGCTCCCCTCCCCTTCCCAACACGACTAACACTGCTCTGCTACAGGCTGCCGCTGAGGAAGATGAGGAGTCGTCCTAAACGGCTTCCTCTGCTTATGATGGGTCTCGTCTGGCCGATTGGCGTTTTCGTGTCGTTTCTACTGCTGATTGTCTGAATTGTAATTGATGCTTCCTACATTTCCTCTTTTATCTACTCAACGGCTTCTGGTATGGGATGATGGCGGTTTCTATTCTATCCTTTTCTGTTCACGAAGGATTTTCGATGGGAAATGTTTACTGTACGGACTGGGGACTACGGGACGAATTTGACTTGAATTGAAGGAGCCCGGTGTTGTGTTGGTTTTCACAACGACGGGAGAACCTTGTTTGAGTACCTATGGTGGAATATGAATTGAAGCCTGCAGGAAATAATCTTAGGCAAGCAAAGGCTTGCTGTACCATAGCCTGATCCACCCATATCCCTGTCCGCCTCCCCCTGTCTATTTCTTGAAAACGTATTGCATCTCCGTCCGGGGATGGTATCTAGCCCGTCATGCGCCCGACGAATGAAGCTGGAAAAGCTCTTATGCAGGAGATGGCCCAAGCTCCCGCGGTGACGCGGGGCGACAGCTTGTTTACGTGTTGGACGCGTCGGGGTTCCGATATCTCCGGCCGCGGGCTGCCCTGCCCTGCCCTGCCGGCCTTGGTGCCTGAGGCGGTTTGCCACTCGCCAGATGAACCGCGGCAACTTGGGGCCGTACAGTAGTAGTTATCTAGACTACAATAGTATCTAGACCTCAGGTGATTGTTGAGTGATGATGGTGGATGTGGATGGTCAGGCAGGAACCATGGCAACCTTTCTTTCTCCCTTCCTCTCTCCATCTCTCCCTCCACTTGTCGTCTCCAGGATGGATGGATGGATGGATGGATGGACTTATTGCCACTGGCTGTGCTGGCTGTATACATACCCAACCAAGGAGGGATACCATCAAACACTTGGTAAGCACAACACCTTAATTAAGACAACTCAGTGGGTATACAAAAGTACTCTCTGGATCTGGATAGGCTGGGGTCGGTGTCTGATTTTGTGCTGTGCTGTCTCTCTCTCTCTCTTTCACTCTGTGTGTGTGTGTGTGTGTGTGTGGGATGGCCTCCTCCTGGGCCAACGTGTATCGGCTGCTGGCAGGGCGTATTTGGGTTGCCGTGCAGTGTGGGATATCCCGCACATATCCTGTCTGGTCGAGGGAGGGAGGTACTTGTGTCTTATAGACCTTTGCCTTTTTCTTTTGGCAGTGCCAGTGCCATTGTCATCGACGAAGTAGAAGTAGAACTGAAGGAAGGTTTTTTTTATCATTCATTTATTCATGTCGGCTAAGGTGATAAGATAAGATCACAGGAGCTGCTATGCTATCTTTTGTTTTTTTTTTTTTTGGCTGAGTGTATAGTGTAGAGTGAGTATAGGTAGATGGAGGAGGGACGGGACAGCCTGTAACTCGGCCCAGGCTGATCGGGGATGATGATCTGACTATCGTACTTTAGAGTGTGGGGGTGGGATGATCGGAATATCGATGACTTGTAGGAATATATACTGCCTCTTTTTTACTCCCTTGTTTGATGGGAGGGGAGGCTACTAGTAGGTACTAGGTAGGTAGTACTAGGTATGTGATCCCTGCATCATGGGTTGGTTGGTCTTGTTATGTATAGGTAGGTAGGTTGGCGGTGGATTGCTGGCAACGATGGCACGATTTATTAGACTTATTGGTGTGGGGATATAAATACTTTGCCTGACTTGAAAAATATTTTATCTTTGAACAAATCAATTGTTTATTTCGAATGATCTACTTCATATACTACTTCATACATATACGTGTAGCCCATCTGACATGGCTGCGAACACTAGCCATAGTATATAGTACTGCTGGCTGGCTGGCTGTGTTGGCTCACGACACCACGCTGGCAACCACGACCGTCTCCATCGAATTCAACGCCATGGACTGGAGACAACCAAAGAAAAAAAATAAAAAAAAAAAGAATAATCTGGTACAGACAATTTTCTTCAGAGGATTCACCGACTCACCGACACCCGAGGGGCCATCCGGGAGATACAGAAGATACAGAGTATACAGAATACAGATATCTACTCCGGACAGTCGGCGTCTCGTGACTGGGCCGGACTGAGACGGCGACAAATAAGGTTGGAGGGGGAGTTTCGCGGTTTCACCATCTACTAAGATGATTATTCCTTTTTCTCCTGGCAAGAAAAGGCAAAGGACAGTGACAGCGGGGTTGCATCTTCGTGCATTTCCACCCGCCATCATTGGCCTCTGCGTTCCCCGGCCGCATGAACACGTCAGTGAGACGATGGGCAGAGGCATCTCTAGTCTCTGGTCCCATCTGGTCCCATCGCAGAGAGCCGCAATTACTTACTCTTGTTTTGCTAGATTATCTACTGCTGCCCGTTCGGGCGAGGGAGGGACTAGATCCCTGCCCCACTCGCGGATGATTCTTCTTCTTCTTCTTCTTCTTCTTCTTCTTCTTCTTCTTGTTGTTCTGCATTCCTTTGTGTGTGCGGATGATCTCGACCCTCGATTCCTTCCTATTTCTCCCTTGATCGTACTTCTCTCTCTCTCTCTCCCCTCTGGCCCAGTCTCGAACCCGAACTCTCGCCTCTCTCCTGGTGAGACTCGAGGGCTGGTCCCGCCGATAAGAGGACCCTTTCCGACTCCCCTACTCTGAGTTACTGAGTTGTCCGCTGCCCCTCCCAGTCCCCGGCTTCCGTGGGCCCTATCCCGTCCCTCCCTCTGCTCCATTCCATGCATCCTCGCCTTAGGTCTTCTATATAATTGTAGACCCGCCTGAGCCACCCGTCCTCCCACTGCTCGCCTTTGCCTTTTGCCCATCTTCAGTCTTCCCCCCTACCCCAGGGAGTCGACCCCCGTTCACCGCCTATTATTCCGCGTGAACCCCCCCCACTGTATATATATTTGATATATGCATGGACCACCCTAGCTGACATTGACCATGTCATTGCGCTCTACGGCCGATTTCGCGGAGGACTTGGCAGCTGGCTTTTGCATCTTCCGCGACCCTCTACCGGAGCATGCCACCGAAATCACCAGCCTGGTGGCCGACCTCTATTGCATCAGCACCGCTCTCAAAAGCCTGGAGGACCTGTCATGCAACCGGGCCTCCCGTAACAACTACCCTGCCATCCGACTGGACCTCGAATTGGTCCGTACCAGCCTCAAGTACACGCTCGAAGACGTATATGAGTTCTTCGGCAATACCGACACGCGAAAAGGCCCCAGCCGCGAGGCCCACAAGCGAACCTGGGTCGAGCTCTGCTCTTATTTCAAGGAGCAATCCCAGGACTCGCTGTCTACCCGGTTAGCCATATACAAGCGGTTCCTGAATGATCTGGAGTGTATAATGAAGGAGTACGTGGGCTCCATCCCATCCTATCTTATTTTTGTTCTGCAGCTCGAGTCAATTAACCTGCTCTGTTCAACGCCGCAGTAAGTTTCCTGATACCCGGCTGATGTCCTCGATCCGCAACAACCTCAAAGGGCTACTGGTCCGGCAGGACAGTCGACTCGCACCGCGTTTGGGCTCCCTCTCGCTGGGCTCGCCGGCCACCTCCACCAGCAGCAGCAGCAGCAGTAGCAGCAGCAGCGCTGACCCGGGGAGTCCGGCCAGTGACCGGAGGCCTCGCACCCGCCGGTCGTATGAGCGAGCCCGGCCAGCTCATGCCTCGCCCCAATCGCCCACCTCCACGTCGTCGGCCACGTTTTCCGACATCCCACCCTCTGCTCCCGATGCCCCGGAATCTCCCACCGCTAGCACGAGTGCCACCAGCTACTCTGTGAACTCTAGTATTACCAGCGACCATTGGGCCAAACGAGTATTCCAGGGCGATCATTCAACAACCCCGATCCCCTATGTCGGCGAAAGGTGGGTGGACTCTGTATCCGAACCGGGAACGGTGATGGCTAACAGACCAATGCAGCTCGAAATGCCTCGGGGAGGTGAAAAATGGCGTCAAAGGCTGGCTTCATGAAGAAGAGTTCGAAGAGGTGGTTGAACTGTAGGTTGCTGAATGAGTTAGCACGAGGAACAGGACTGACTGTCTTGTAGAGGATTCGGTAGTGAAACGAACCTTCACGTATCGTTCTACGTGCGAGAAGAAGATCATCGCGCACGGATTGTGTGTAAATCTCGCGGCTCCACCCGAGCCAGCGAGTACTTCTGCCTGCCGTTGAACCTGCTGGAGATCGTGCGCGTCGGTTCCTGCTTGCAGATCTGTCGACGGCGTCGTGGGGGCTCGGAGCTTGTCTTATGGGCCAATCTCAAGTTCCACACCATCGAAAGTACGTATGAATCAGATGCTTATTTACGCAACAACCTCTGGTGCGCGATGCTAACAAACCACAGAGATGGTGATTTTCTTCGGCACGTTCTTGGCGCTTCGATCCCAGGACTCTGGTCGGCCCGTGGAGCGTATTCGTGATTACGAGCTCGAGGACGAGGACGAGCATTTCGGAGGGTAAGTGACCGCTGCTATGCCACGAACGAAGGCTCAGGCCCAGGCTCACGGATACAGGCAAATCGTCGATGACGACTATCTTCACGCCCTGCGCGTATACCGGGATAACGTGTCCGGAGCAGTCAGGCTGCAAGCGTCAGTCCACAAAGGGGAAATGAAGCGGTAAGACATTCCGTGTATGTACGCTCTTCGAACCATCCTTACTAATTGGGCAGCTTCGATAGAATGCCTGTGTGGACTGCCTTCATCACAGAGCACATCGGCACCAGAGGCTGGATCCGTCGCACCGAGTCCAAGGTCGTCGTGCTGCGCGAGCTGAGGCGGACCATTTTCACCTTCCCTGACTATAACCCGCCCATGACACCCAAGGGGGAGCATATCTTACGGTTCACGAATCGATCCGGTATGGGTGGACCCTCCATCGTTAAGGAGTAATGCGTTTCACATACTGACTGATATGGGAGCAGATGCCCAGGGCTTCATGGACACGATGGTCGAACTCGCGGATCTATGAGATGAGATGAGATGAGATGACAACGAATTACGAATTGCATAGCGGCCGCTGGCTGCAAAAGGACGAAGAATAGTAATAACGATTGATGATTTACGAATTATGACGATATGACCTACCTACCTACCTACCTACCATGATGACGGTTGTTGCTTGAATGTTTTTTGATCAAATCTACACTTGCTGCACTGCACAGATATGATTCCGAACCAGGGAGTGGAGTGGACTGGAGTGATCGATACCCTGATACTCTGATACCCTCCGTTCGTCTTGAGTGGATTGGACGGACGGATTTTGTATAAACCATGTTTCCAAAAGAATAACTTAAAACAAGCTCATCATTAATGATTTCTCGCAAAGGGGTATCTATCTATCTCATCTCATATCATATCATCAAAAAAAGAAAAAAAAGTCTGGACCACTTCTATGATTAAGCACCCCCCCCGGCCAAAACCCCGACATCTCCGAGACCCGCCAGGAACATCTCCGCGCGCCGTTTAGCGCGCAGCTCATCAACCTTCATCCTCCGCTCATCACGCAAGCGCTGGCGCTCCGCGCGTCTCTCGCGCCGAGCATCGCGCTCCCGCTGTGTCTCCTCGCGCACATGCAGCAACTCCTCCATCTGCTGCTTCCGAACGTTCTCATCCTTGGAGAACGCATAGAAACCGGTTCCGCGATTGCGCACCTCCGCATCGGCATCATAGTGCGTCTCCTCCGGCGGTGTGGGCGAGCGATCCCGCCGCGCAGCAAGATACGACATCTGCGACGCCACCTCAGCATCCGGGTTAAACGCCTCCGCCTGCACCGTAGCCCCGTAGATCAGATTATCCGGACGTGCGGGTCGCCAGCGCTCAGCATCGCCACCACCACGACCACGACCACCAGCCTCCTGCTCCTTCAGCGCGGCCGCCCGCGCAGCCGCTGCCTCGGCTCGCGTTCCTCGCCGCGACCGTCCCAGCTCATCCTCATACGAGACAATAGACGCATTATCATCATCAGCCTCCTCCTCCTCCTCCCCACCTTCTCTACCTCTCTCCTCATCCGCCCACTTCTGATCAAAATCCACCAACCCCTCCCTCTCCCTCCTCCTCAACCTCGCCAAATACACATCCCCACCCCCATCCTCATCACTGCTCCCCCCACCCGCAAGATACCTCCCACTCTTCAGATCATCATACATGCGCGCCTTCTCCTCCATGCGCCTTTTCGACCGGTGCAGCGTCGCCGGCTCCACCGCCCCGATGTCCTCCGTGCGCTGGTGTTTCTGCTCGAACGCGGAGTTGTCGCCATCGTCGCGGAGGTCGGCGGCCGCGCGCTTCTGCGCGCCTTTGTTGGGCCGGCTGAAGAGGTCGGATTTCGGGGCTTTGGAGGGACGGAGGCGGCCGCGTGTGGAGGTGGAGGACTCGTCTTTGGTTATGAGGGAGGAGAGGGTGGTTGTGAAGGCGAGGGTCGAGGAGGAGGGGGTAGACGTGGATTGGGAGTGGGCAGACGGTTTTTGTTTGTTTCGTGCGTGCCCGTAGAGGGATGGGTTGGACATTTTGAGGGTTGTGGTGGTGTGGTGTGGTGTGGTGTATAGTTCGAGTGAGAGAGGAGTAGCAGAGCAGTAGTTAGTTAGTTAGTTAGTTAGCGGTTGTGATGAAGTAAGGCAGGCAGGCAGAAAGGCAGAAGACCGGCGGCCGATATAGGACGATGACTCAGCCCGATCTAGCAAGCGCCCCGCGATAGGCTCATCTTCTCCCCTCCTCGTCGACTTCTCTCCTTCACCATCGAGTCAATTCTGCTCCTGGACACTTAATTCCTCTATCAGAGATCCATTGACCATGTCTGCCCCCATCTACCTCGGCATCATCGGTACGCTCCCCATCTCCCCTTTCCCAATCCACCCCCCATTCCCACCATTCCCCTCCCCTCCATTCCTCCATCTACCTCCCTCCAACAACTTCAAAACCTCACGCGCATACATACATACATACATACATACATACATACATACATACTAACCCCCCCCTCCTCCCCCTTCAGGCGTCGGCGGCGTCGGTACAGCCTTCCTACAACAACTCTCCCGCCTCCCCAACGCCCCGAAGCTAATCCTCCTGGCTCGGTCCACGCAAACCCTCCTCTCGCCCACGCCGAGCTACACGCCCGCCATCCCCGCGACCGACTACCAAACGGCGAGCGCCAGCCCCTCGCTCACCAAATCGGGGGCACTCTCGCCCGAAGAAATGGCCTCTTACCTCTCCTCGGCCCCGGGGCGGTCCATTCTCGTCGACAACACCAGCGACCCCACCCTAGCGGCCTCGTACCCGGTCTTCCTCCGCAAGGGGGTCTCGATCGTCACGCCCAACAAGAAGGGATTCTCCTCAGACCTGTCCCTGTGGAAAGACATCTTCGCGTCGGCCGCGGCCGGCAACGCCCTGGTGTACCACGAGAGCACCGTGGGCGCGGGGCTCCCGGTGATCTCGACGCTGCGGGACCTCGTCTCCACCGGGGACGAAGTCACCCGCATCGAGGGCGTGTTCTCGGGCACGCTGTCATTCCTGTTCAACACGTTCGCCCCCGTGTCTGGGGCCTCGGGCGCGAAATGGAGCGAGGTGGTCAGCCAGGCCAAGGAGCTGGGATACACGGAGCCCGATCCGCGGGACGATCTGAATGGGATGGACGTGGCGCGGAAGCTGACCATCCTGGCGCGCATTGCCGGCCTGGAGGTCCAGGCGCCCGACGCGTTCCCTATCGAGTCGTTGATTCCCGAGGAGTTGGCCGCGTTGCCGTCCACGGGCGAGGGCGTCACCACTTTCATGCAGAGATTGCCCGAGTTTGATGCCCAGATGGCGGAGATCAAGGAGAGTGCGGAGAGGGAGGGCAAGGTGGTGCGGTATGTCGGTAGTATCGATGTGGCGAGGAAGGAGGTCAGGGTGGGGTTGCAGAGGTTCGATAAGGACAGTGCCATTGCCGGCCTCAAGGGCAGTGATAATATCATTAGCTTCTATACCAAGCGCTATGGAAGTAACCCGCTCATTGTCCAGGGTGCCGGGGCTGGTGGCGATGTTACTGCTATGGGTGTCACGGCCGATTTGTTGAAGGTCGTGCAGCGCTTGCAGTAGGTTAGGTTGGTTGGGGGGGGGGGAGGGGAAAAGTTGATCCTATCTATATGTTGATCTATCTATATACGAGAGATAAATGATACGAGCATGCAATTTGCATAGGTCAGGTTAATAGGTAGTGATAATGGTCGGTCTATATACGGTATACTATATACTATATGGTACTTATGTATGGTATGTACGGAGTATGATAGGGTGATTGACTCTACGACCGCAAAAACGCCTTAACTGCCTCCCCCCAAACCGGCCCTCTCTTGTACCGATGAATCTCGGGTACATTGCCCTCCTTCAACCCATCAATGGCCGTAGCCAATTCCTCCCCCAGCCCTTCCTCCTTGATCTTCTGGATCGGATACGTATACGTATGGAAGTTGAACACCAGAGCCTTGGTGCGAGGCAACCGATGCAGCAGCTGTCGCTCACACCGCAGGAACGTCTACACATAGATAGATAGCCGAGTCAGCATACACAACCAACCAACCCCAACCCTCCTCATCCAACCCCAGACAAAAGACAATAAAACAAATTAAATAAAAGAAGAAAAAAAGAAAGCTCACCTGCTCAACAACCAACTCCTCCTTCCCCATCTCCACCACCTCCTCCTCCTTCCCCTCATCCCCATGCACGCCCCCAAACGCGGCAAACAGTCCCGCCTGAGTCGTGACACTCCAATTTACCCTCTGTACGACCCTCCCGACCTCCAATCGCGCAAAGAACCGATCCATGCTCTTCTCCAGCTTCTCCTTGTACCGGGGCACCGGCGCGTGGATGGTCGAGAGCCGCTGGCCCAGCTTCTCGCGGGTGTCGAAGCCCGCGGGGAAGAAGGTGCTGTAGGCTGATAGGATGTATTTTTCGCCTTCGCCGCCCTCGGGTTCTTGTTCTTTGCTTGTGGAAGGGGAAGGGGAAGGGGAGGTGGGATTGGGATGGGCAAGAGACTCAGGCATCAAGACCAGGAAATCCTCATCCACGAACGTGCCTAGCGTCTCAAGGGCAGAGCGGGATGAGTTTCCCGGGAGAGTGGTTGGGATTCGTTGGGTGGTGATTTTGTTGTAGAGGGTTCTTTTTCCTTCCTGTTCTTTTGCTTCTGGGTTCTGATGATGGGGGTGATCTTCTAGGACAAAGATGCTCGGATACCGCGTGGGGAGATACTCGCCTACCACGAACTCATATAGCTCTGCCACGGCGGCGTGGACTATGTTCCCTGGGGTCTCGGCGGCGGGGGTGACCCCGACGACGACAGAGGGGTGTTGGGAGAGGAGGGATGCGCGCAGGGCGAGGCGGTCTTGGTAGGTTTTGTCGATGGGGATGAGATCGGAGAAGGTGGTTGTTGTTAGGCCTGTTGGTGTTAGCTTGGGGGTTGTTGGGGGTGGATTGGAGTGGATTAGGGCAGGAATGGAGATTGAGGGTTGAGGGTTGAGGGTTAAGGTTTGGATTGAGGATGGGAAGGATCGACATGCCCATGCTAAGATGATATTTCGGCTTGAAGGGCCGGAATTGCGTCGGTTCGGTGGTCTCCCAGTCGAAGGATGGGAGGGGGGTGATTGTGATTGTGTTTGCTGCCGGGGTGGTATCTGAGGGAGTCTTTTCTGCTGTGGGGTGGGATGGGGATGGCTGTGGACAATGTTAGATGAGTTTCTAGCTTGCATGCTGTGTGTAGATAGACGGTGTATGGATACGTACTCGATTCCATCGTCCGAATAGCCACAGGGCCAGGACGAGGAAGACCACCACGGTGGGGTTCTGCTGGATGTGCAGGACCAATGCGTCTAGGTCCATTGTTAGATCTTGAAGGTCTGGAGGGGGTTGGGGATGAGCGAGGGAGGGAGGCAGGGGAATGTGGAGAGATGGAGAGATGGAGAGAGAAGAGGAGAGGAGAGGAGGAGCATAGAAGCTTGGTTATCAGTGCTATACATGCGTCGCGGCCCGCGATTGGCCAGTCTGCCCGCTCGACGCCGATTGCTCGAAGCTCCGAGTGGATAGTGAATCAGAAGGATAGATAGATAGCAGTGGCAGTGGCAGTGGCAGCTCTGTAAGCAGGCATTAGATAGCTTCGACATAGTCAGTGGATAGATATATACAGGGTATCGATAGACAACTCCCCCCCCCACCACTTCCTCCTCCCCTCGCTCCCTCCCGTCAGGAACAAAGACCTCACCAGGAGGCATGCCATCTCCAACAAGCCAACCAACGCACCAACAAACCTAACGCCCGAAAAGAAAGAACATCCAGAGACAGGAATAAAGGGATTAATCAATCCGCCGCATCCCCATCCCCATCTCCATCCACACCCACCCCCTTCCTTCTCTTCAACCCCGGACTGCTCTCCCACTCTCTCTCCTTCTCCAAGCTATTCCCCCCCAAACCAACCAACACCCTCGGCCTTCCACCGGGCCTCTCATTTAGACTTGGCGCCCTGGGCCGCGACCTCCCGCGCGCCCGGCCCCCAACAACCGGGAACTCATACGTCACCATGCGCCACACATACAGCGCGATATCGAAGATGAGGAGCGCGGCCCAGGGGAAGATCGTGACGAACCCGAGGAAGATCTGCGGTTGTGGATGGAATAGTTAGTCACTTCCTCTCTCTGTGTGTGTTTGTGTGTGTGTGTGTGTGTGTGCGCGAGTGCGGAGCTTCAATTTCCGTAGTCTGCGGTCCAGCAAGGATGGGATGGGAGAGGGGAGGGAGAGGAGGGGAAGGGAGACGGACGAAGATGCGCACGATCCATGTCTCGAAGGAGATGAATTCCGGCGGGAGGAGCGAATACCACGCCATTTGGTGGGTTGGGGTTCGGTAGGGTATCGGTATCGGTCGGGGGAGAGGGATCGGTGGTGGAGGAGGGGGATGTTCAATCGGCTCGGGGGCGTGGTGTCGGGGTCGCGGACAGGAGAAGCATCGGTGTGGCGGTCAACGGGACGGAGAATGTGGGTGTAATATGCTGGAGGGCGGACAGGGAGCATGCGTGCAGTGATGGATGGGATGGTGGTGTGGTGAGCTGTGCAGGAGCAGGAGATAATAATGGTGGAGTCGGTCGATGCTCGCAGCCAGCCGGCTTGAGTCGGAGATCCGGGGACAGCGATGAGGCGCGTCAGTGTGTGTGGTATGATGCAATTGGCCAACGAGGGGTCATTCAGCGGAGACGAAAGGCCGCGGCATAGCAGAGCTCGAAGAAAACATGCAATGTCGCGGCGAGAGGGGGGAAGACAGGAGAGAGAAGAAAGACGATCTTGGAGTCGCTGATCTTCTGCGGGCAAACCAAACGAAGAAGCTCGGCCCTTTCGGGGCTTTGGTAAGCATCCACTTTCAGGTACGCAAGGGACTAACACTATCAGCACTAGACGAACCCTACGCCAACACTATACGAACTCTATCTGAACACTGCTTAAAAAATCTATATGCTTGACATGCAATTTATGTACAGCTGATGTCTATAAGAAAAGATATAGTTAAAAAAAAAAAAAAAAAAAAAAAAAAGTCGTAGGCACGTTTCTTCCGTACGCCGTCCATCCAAATCGTCCAAAGCAAACCGTCCCAGCCCAGTATTTGCCTATGCAGGTATCAATCAACCAACCAACCAATCCCCATTCGTTATCGCTAGAAATCAGTGTCATCTACCGGCCATCCGGTAGTGTTCGTACGAGGTGAAGCTGGGGTCGTCCTGTTCTACAGGCCCATATCCCCTCGACCGCCACCGGTCCAACGGCGTCGCCGTCTCGCTCACCGCCGGCCCCTGCGCGTTGTTGAGCAGCTCCGTTTCGCTCTCGTTCCGCTGCTGGTACATCCCGCCGCCCAGCGGGGCTGGCACGCGGAATGCCGGGTGGATGTGGTCGTTCATTGTCGGATCGTACGAGTCATGCGCCCTCATGCCGGACAGCGACGGGACCGACGGCGCTGGCGACGAGGCCCGCGACGACGTGGGTGACCACTCGCCCAGCGCACTGTGCGGCGTCTGCGAGCGTTCCGTCATGACATCGTCGGGCCGGCCGTAGATGCCTCCGCCGAACTCGTCCCGGAAGTCCGGGCGGTCCTTGTAGTACGAGAAATCCAGGTGGTTTTCCGGAACCATTTCGAACGGAGCCGGGGCGGCGGTGTCCATCATGGACTTGCCCGGGTGCGACGTCGACATGGCGTCCATTGCGATGTCCGAGTACTCGCCCTCGAACTCCGTGGTCCCCAGTCGTCCGCTGTAGATGCGCTTCAACGCCTCTCCTGCCCGGGCGTGGACCATCGGCGTGATCAATGGCTTGTAGAGGGCCGGGTGGCCGAACTTGGAGTTGAGCCGCTCCGACGCCTTCTTGTTCGGCTTGCTGACCGCCAGGGCCTCGGCATCCGTCAGCTCCGCACTGTTGTAGTAGGTGATTCCGGTATCGAACTTCTTCATGCAGAAGACCTTGAACCCCAGCATCATGAACGGCAGCGGGATCATGCAATACACCATCGTCCAGGTGCCTTTGGCAATGGTTACCAGGATAATGACAATGTTGGATAAAATCATCGCGAAAACGATGCGATTGAACAGGACCCGCCAGAACTGGCCTCCGGATTCCGTCTTGGTCACGAACACGTACAGCAGCATGTACTTCTTCAACATCGCATCCAGTCCGAAGTACAGCGCGGTGACGGGGAGGACGATCGGCTGCAATGTGGCAAAGCAGAGGGCTACGGTCGCGTAGAACAGGAAGGAGTTGTAGTTACTGGCGTAGTCAAACGACGGAGGGGCGGTCCACTCAATCGACTGTCGAGGAGTTGGCGAACGAAACGTCTTCGAAAACCACACCCAAGCCACTGTGACCAATTGGGCCAAGTCAATCGTGGCACCCATGTTCCGCTGCAGCAAGTACGTCACCCAGAACGGCGACACCTGGCACAGTGCGCTTACCACCTTGGTATAAAACGCGCCGTCGCGGAGCGCCTGCCAGGCATTTTGATCGTTGTTTTCGGCATCGATGACGGCCGAAACAAAGGTCCACGCCGCGGAAAAGAGAGAGAAGACGATGAGGTTGTTGAAGACAAAGAAGGAATAGAGCTTGTTGAGGACATGGCGCTCTCGAGACGTCTTCGAGGTGTCGCCAGCCCGGATCGCCAGCCGACGGAAGATGATGGGTAGAATGATGTAGACAAGCGAGGTCACAGCCGGAGATAAGATACCTTGGACGGCAGCCCACACGTAAGGGTTCGCATCCAGCGATGTCTGAAAAGCCGGCCAAACCAGACCCAGGTTGGATAAGTCGGACAGGAAAACCGCGATCAGACCGTTAGGAACAATATACACGAACGTAAGGAGCGACACCCAGATCGCGCTCACGAATCCTTTCCATCTGCGCGCCGCCTTCGACAACGGCAGGTTCTCCCAAATGAGGTCATCCGGCCGCGGCGCCAGAACAATTGTCGTCCCCTCCGGATGCTTCTTGCGCGTATTATAAGCCACGGCATGGGCATGTTCGATCATGTCCCAGCTAACAAAACCAAAGGGCATAGCATTCCGTCTGTCGATCGACGCCCGAACATGCCGGATTTCCTCCTCCAGCCTCTGGATTTTTTCCGTCAGGTAATCGATGGCGTCCACCCTGCCGCTCCGGTGTTCGCCTCGCTCCTTTCGCGGTGGGCTCATGGTGGGGCGTTTTGCGGGTAGTTGATCAGGGTTCTTGAGATACTTGGCGAGAACGGTCTCGAGTTCGCGGACAGTTTCGTCGTGTTCCTTGATCAAGCGGGGGAGCCCCTTGACGTTGCGGCCGATGGAGGCGCGCGGGACGGCGGCCGTGGGATTCACCTCATCTGTCAAACGCAAGACACCTTCGTCGGATCGTGCAGCCGGGGGAATATCTGTAATCTGCCAGCCAATGGGTCAGTACACGGACATCGGTCCACTGTATTCTCTCCGCCGGCTAACGCACCATCAGGGTCCGCGCGTGCAGACTGCGCTGGTACTCGGAGCTCTCGAAAAACTTCCTCCGCAGCGCCAACACGGCCTTGTAGTTCCTCCAGAGGAAAAAAGCGACGATCATATCGAATGCCCAGGCGCAGACCACCTGGCCCCAGATGGCTTCGGTGGTGACATAGAGCGGGGTCATCGTGGCGAACGCGCCAAATTCCGACACGGTATTCCCGGTGCTCTGTGTCAGATTGAGGGGAATCATGACACCGCAGCCGATGATGCTCAGAAAGATGAAAATGTTCCGGCACATCTTGGCGAAGCGTATGAACATGCTGGCATCCAGGCCGACGCAGTCAACCAGCTGGGGCTCCTTGGTTTGTAGGACAGGCTTGAGCCAGGCAAAGAAGCCCTTTCCCACCGGCGGCGGGGTGTGTTTGCGATCGGCATGTTTGACCTTGGGCGCATAGACGACCGAGTGACGGGGGCGGAAGAGCGAGAACAGGAGGGTGAGGGCGATGGACAAGCCAACGGAAGTGGCCAAGGAGGCCCAGATGGCGTTGACTTGGAACTGTGGGTGTACCTTAGCAAAGTGTCGGGGGGGGGAAGAAGATGGCGAGCAAGAAGACATACGTCAGACTGGAAGGGATTCGAGATGAGTTTGAGGAATTGCTCCGTGGAATCTTCGTCGCGCCGCTGGAGAGCGCTAGGATGCATGGTGATGCCGTTTGAGACGGGGCGGCATGGATGGAGGAGAAGAGGGGGGACGCCGGGGGAGACGAGGAGAAAAGACGGTGCCGCGGAGGGGAGGGGGAAGGCAAGGCAGAAACGAACGTGAAACAGAAGCAGAAACGGAGAGAGAGAGCAACGGACGGAGGGAGGGAAGGGGAGAGAGACGCGACAGTTAAGCGGATGGATGGCCAAGGAAGAAAAGAATGATGATGGAGAAAGCCGCGAGAGACTCGAGTGGGTTTCGGTGGTGCCGGCGGGTCTGGAACACAACACTGAATGTATGCCATGTATGGACATCGGCCCCGGGGATCATTGATTGATGCACTGCACTTTACACTTTAAGTCGGGTTACGTACAGGAAGACGTGTACCGTGTATGGGCGCATACGTCGCCAGTGGAGGAGGCCTGGGGAGGCCTGGGGTCGATTGGCTCGAGAACACATCGATGGAGAAAGCCGAGGCCTGCCAACATTCAACAGTAAATAATGGGCTCTCTCCTCTTCTTTCTTTTTCCATCACCTCGATGCCATAGACATCCAAGCCCGTTCATTCAATTTCAGCCTCGTTCTTCCAGTTCCCGCACGCTTGCTGTCCCAGTGACACCCGGGCGTGCCAGTGCCCACTGCCAATGCCCACTTGTCCACTCGCCTCAAAAACAGACCCAAGGCCAAAAACACAAAAAAAACACAACAGCCCTGATCCACTTGCGCGCTGTGGTTGGTTCACGGCCGGCTACTATTTTGGTGGACCAATCCGGCTCCGCCATTGCGAACAAGTCTGGAACAACGTCTGATCATCTCGGGCCTAGCGCGGTCTGGACTGAGACACCGTCGCGGGTGGAGTTGCTGAAAAACGGGGCCTCTGGGCGCGGTGATTGGCTGTCCGCCATAAGAACAGTCGCTCGGGTACCTTACCTGACCATACCGTGTGGCTGACAAGCGACCGATGTGGCGTTGGATCAGATGGATGCCATGCTGAATTGATGGAGGAAGGACCCTTTCATGCTCCGGCCAATAGGGGCACATCACAGACTGTGATCAATGCACCTACTAGTATGACCGTGGTGGATGACTGCAGTAGTGTCTGGTATCCAGTATCCATCTACCCCATGATACAGATACAGATACAGATACAGATACAGTCTGGCTAATGTGGCTGACTGCCAGGCTAGTTAGTGTACTACTATCAGTATCTGATCTCGCGATTATCTAATCCGCCCAAGATCGGCCAGCACCGCTATTTGCACCACTATTGCCAATAGTGAGGGACCATCATATATATATATTATATTAATTATCAAGTATATTGGGAGCATCATCAGGGGGGTTAAAGAGGGGGGAAGGGGGGGGAAGGACTTCAGACCCTCAGGAGTCAGGACAATCACTGACATAAACGGGGCACGGGGCTCAGGGTCCAATTTACCCATGGAGGGAGGTAACTGCCACCCGCAGACTGAACCTCGTAACACGGTAACAGGGACAGCATCGGGCAGGGATTTCCTTGTGCAGTGGGTAATGGGTATGCACATATTACTGTTCGGGGTCCCGGGTGTGTACGAACGGGAGGAGGTCGATCTCACCGGTACAGGTTGGTTGGTTGGACCCTTATAATCATGGGCCAAGCTGGCAGATCCATATCAGCGATTCTATTAATATTCCAACTGGAGTCCAGTGCGGCATCGCGGACTGGCTGCTGCCACTGCCGAGACATTGGGCTTCGGGCCGTCAAGCCCTCCTGCTGCTGCTGCTACAGATTGATGAAGTCATCGCCCGGCAGTTTGGCCGAATGTGAGACGGTGTAATCCGTACGGAGTACTCCGTAGGTAAGGTAAGCTTGGCTGGTTCTACGGCTCTACCGAATAATTCTACAAGATTGGTGCATACAGCAGACATTATTTTGATTCGTCTCTTCAAAGACTACATACATCGTCATCGCATCTCACAACTCCGCTCACTCCGAATCCCAACAGGCCCAATCGCCCCGATCACTTGCTCCAGAATTACGGTCAAACAAAATTTTATTTTTTGCCGTTCTTAGATTGGTCATTTTATGTACTGGTATCTGGTTTCGTCATATTCCGAAGACACATCAATTCAGGTTAAACGTCAAAAGACCCTTTACAGCTGGCCAGCAGTGTTGAAGTCCTCCAGGGCTTCCTGGACACGCTTGCTCATGGTCTTCTCACCCTCGCGAACCCAGACGCGGGGGTCGAAGTACTTCTTGTTGGGCTTGTCCTCGCCATCGGGGTTGCCGACGGGGGTGAGGAGGTAGTCCTTCTTGGTCAGGACGAAGTCACGGATACCGGACAGGTAGGCGAACTGCATGTCGGTGTCGACGTTGACCTTGACGACACCGTAGCTAATGGCCTCCTTGTACTCGGCCTTGGAGGAGCCAGAGCCACCGTGGAAGACGAAGAAGACGGGCTTGTCGAGGGAGGACTTGGTCTGCTCCTTGACGTAGGCCTGGTGCTTGGAGAGGAGCTCGGGGTGGAGACGGACGTTGCCGGGCTTGTAGACACCGTGCACATTACCGAAACCAGCGGCAATGGAGAAGTAGGGGCTGACGGCGGAGAGGGCGTTGTGGATGGCGAGGATGTCCTCGGGCTGGGTGTACAGGGAGTTGTTGTCAACGTCCTCGTTGTTGACACCGTCCTCCTCACCACCGGTGATACCGATTTCCTAAGGCGCTGTTAGTGTGGGTTCCTGACATACTCGAAAGATTATGGACATACCATCTCGAGCCACTGCTTCATGGGGGCAGCACGCTTGAGGTAGGCGGCGGTGGTGTTGATGTTGTACTCGACTTCCTCCTCAGACAGGTCGATCATGTGGCTGGAGAAGAGGGGCTCGCCGTGGAGCTTGAAGTAGCGCTCATCCTCGTCGAGCAGACCATCGAGCCAGGGCAGGAGCTTCTTGGCGCAGTGGTCGGTGTGGAGGACAACGGGGATACCGTAGGCGGGGGCAATGCTGCGGATGTAGTGGGCAGCGGCAATGCCACCGGCAATGGAGGCCTTCTGGCCCTCGTTGCTGACACCCTGGAGCGGACTATCAGTCTTGTTTCTTGCGCGCGCACCGCGGGAGGGGGGGAATCCCCAAACAGGAGATTCAGAACATACCTTGCCAGCGAAGTAGGCAGCACCACCGTTGGACAGCTGCAGAACGACGGGGCAGTTCTGGTCACGAGCAGCCTCGAGGGAAGCGATAACAGTGGAGGAGGAGGTCACGTTCTATCCGATGAAGCTATCAGCATGTGCTTTGGGAGGTGGCATATATGCCTCGATGGGTTGGGGAGCCTTACAATGGCGGGGATAGCGAACTGCTTCTCCTTAGCGTACTCGAAGAGACGGAGGACGTCATCGCCGACGATGACACCGGACTTGCGGGAGAGCTTCTCGAGGACACCCATGGTGGCTGTAGTTGGAAGTGAGGACTGTGGGAGGGGGAAGAGATGAGTAATTGAATTGCGTGGGTAGATGGAGGAGGAGGAGGAGAAGAGGAGAGAGGAGGAGCAGAGGGGGAGCGAGGGGGTAGCAAGTAATAAATTCTGCCAGCAGAGGACTAAGAGCTTTACCGAGCGACGAATACGGAGCTGCAGATTGGAATGACGGGCACGGGGCACGGGAAGGAGGGGCAGCGACTCGCTAGGAGGGTTGGAGAGGGGGAGATGGAGGGGCAGCAGGGCCTGAGGTTGCTCGAAAGGACTCACCGGGTGGTGGGGAATGATGTGTTCAGGATGAAATCAGTGGACTGGTGGACGGTCGGAGGGGTTCCACGGGGCAGGGTAGTGAGCTAGGACGAGGAATGACGATGGGAGGAGACAGGAGACAGAGAAGGAGGGGAAAAGGATCTTAAGAGTCCAGAGTCCGAGTTGCAGGTTGAACCGGGCAGAACCCGTCCGAGGCTATGGGCGATGATGCCTCCATCTTCCATCCTGTTCGCCGCCAATGGTGGGGTTCGATCGGAAGCCCGCAATGACGCTGTTGGCGGCCTCAGGCCGGCGGCCTCCCGGGAATCCCCGCGCCCATCACATGACATCATCCGATCCGACCTGCCAGGCCGCAAGGCTGCAACATGCTTGGTCGCCTGTCAAGGCTTCAAGGCGTCAACAGCAGGCTACGAATAACCAAATCCCTAAAACGGCAGGAACCAGACAGAGCATTCTCTGTGTTCCTCAGGGTCTGCCCGAACCCATCCCATATTTGGTACTCCGTCGTGGGGGTCGACATCCGGCTGTACAAACCAACCCGTTCGGCTACTGGACCCTTTGGGCTCCTGTTCCCTCCGTGTTTCTTTCGTGCTTCATCCCAACATCGGAGAAAGCAGCGGGGATCGCTCCTCCGGTCCGCTACTTACTTATTCCAATCATTTCGCTGCTCTTCTGTCGGCCACGGCCTAGAACTGTCTGCCCCGGTCCAGCTGATCTGAAAAGAACAATAATATACATAAGGTGGAGACCTGGACGACAACCCCCGGGTTGGGGATGCCCTCAGCCCATTGAGTACGAATCCCGGAGCTCCCTCGGCGAAACGCTCTCCTGCAGCTCTCGTACGACTCCCACGCCGGTGTCCACCGCACCACGACCAACAAGATTAGTACGGAGTACTATCTATCTATTACTGTCTACGTACGTCGAAAGCAACCAGCCGAGGAGACGCTTTCCAGTATCCACCTTATCCGGAGAAAGGACGCCTAACGCTTTCTTACATTGACTGGAGGGTTAACTGCAGGTCACATCATAACAAGATAGTAGTAGGTGTAGTGGAAATAGTACTAATACAGATATATCAATTCGCGAGGGTAGATAACAGGACTGTTACAAAAACTGGCTTAACTAGTGGAGATCATGCTCATGTTCATGCGTGATTGCCGTTGACCTGCGGCGAGTTCTCCCCCACGATCATGCTGAACTGCCCGCCCGCCGCGGCGCCCACCAGCTTCTTATCGTTGACGTGCTTGTTTGAGAGGAGCGTTGGCCGTTCAACCTCATCCTGGTCACGGTGTCCCGCCTGGCGCTGGACGTTGAAGCCCCAGCTGTACGCCTTACCGTCCTTCGTGATGGCGAATGAATGATCACTGGAGGCGGTGGCAAAGACGATCTCTTCCTTGATATCCACGAGGGGAGTGGGCATCGTGAGGATACGGGGCCGGTCGTGCTCATCATGCACAATCTCGTCCGCAGGCATCTCCTCGAGGGGGATACCAAGGGCCTTGTTGTCAACACGTCCCCAAGTCAAGCACTTTCCATCCTCGGTAACGGCCAAGCTGTGGTCCTTTCCACCAACGATGGAGACAATCTTGCTGTGCTTGCGGAACGACTTGACCTCGGTCGGGTAGAGGACCACGGCGTCGCTTTCACCGGCGCTCATGGGGACGGCGGTCTGTCCGAAGTTGTTCGAGCCCCAAGCGTGCACCCGACCATTCTTGCGGATGGCAAAGGAGTGGTACGAGCCCGTTCCGATGCTCACGACGTCCGACGGGAGCGCACACTGCCCGGGGATGAGACCCTCGAGCTTGCCATGCAGACGGCCCGATATTCTCCGACCAAGCTGGTTCTGCTCCTCACAACCCCAGGTAAGAACGGCGCCCTTGGCGGTCAGCGCCAGGACGTGTTGCGAGCCAGCGGCAAGATATGTGATCTTCTCGAGTCCGGGGACCAGAACCGGCTTGGTTTGGATTTTCGTGTCGGGGGAGAAACCGATCACACCGTTACTGCCCTATTGAGATCATGTAAGCAAGGAGACAACCGACTTCAACATCCAGGAAAACTCACTCTGAACGTTCCCCAACCATAAACCTGACCTTCTTGAGTGAGAGCGAACGTGGCACTATCCGTCGCCGTGAGCTGTGTGAAGACAGTGCCCTTGGGGAAAAGATCAGAATCCACCGCCGTCGGGGTAGCCTCCTTCATATTAAGATCGACTTCATCGTCATCCGAATCCGAGTCCGACTCATCCTCCTTGGCATCGCCATTGGGAGCATCGACCTCCTTGCGCTCCTCCTTCGTATCCCTACCCAACGTACCCTCATCATTGACACCCCAAGTAAGAATCTTATTATCATGCGTAAGAGCCGCAGAATGAACACCTCCGATAGCGAGCTGAACCACGCCAGCCGCGTCCGCCGAGAGCTTGGGGTTCAGGACGGGACCAGGGATCTCCGACTTCTTCGTGGCGTCGCCGAGTCCGAGTTCGCCGTAGCAGTTGGTTCCGAAGACGTACACATCGAGGAGCTGCTTGGGAGCGTAGTTCAGAATAGCGTGAGCCTCTAAAGATCCACATCCGCATCATCGCATTAGTCCATTAGATCAACTCGACTATCCTCAAATCGCACAACCAACTCACCCTTCTGCTTCTTGGTCACCCGCGGCGCAGCGGCAGGAGCAGCAGCGGTGGCCCCTGACTTCTCCTCGACCGAGTCGGCAGCCTTGCGTTTCCGTCCGCCAGTCTTGACCGGCGCAGCGACCTCTTTCACAGTGGTCGGTTCGGCCTTGGTCTTGTTGTTGGTGGGCTGGTCCTGTTTGCGCTTGGTGGCGGCGCTCGCAGCACGTTTGGGAGGCATTGTGCGATGGGATGTCGTAAAGCGACGAAAAGCAGTATGGAAGAAGCACGAGTGGTAGGACTGTAAGATGGAATGTGATGACGGGGACAGATGGTCCTAGTATGGAGAGAATTGAAAGATCCGGGGAAGGGGGGATGGGGGTGGTGGTGATGGCGAGTGTGTGGGTGTTACTGGCAAGGATGAATGAACACAATACCTGGAATATTAATCATAATAAATAAGAATCCCAATGGAGAGTCCCGGTATCCAGGACTTGAGTGTTGTGCGCTCCAATCAGAATTGGCGTTGGGGCGGGACCCGCCGGCGGGCTCTGACTAAGGCCCCCCAAGTGTTCTAATTGGAGGCTCTCGTCATACGACCGAGGGTCAGACAACCTCGCCATTGTCATGAGGCTGTGAATAGGAGTTGGTATTCACTGGTGGTGTTACTTGGGATTTGCCTACGAAGTGACAATACTAGACCTGCAGTATGTCTGTTCAAATGCCTGATAAGATTTCTATGTTCACTCTGCATTGTGTCATTCATGCGCAACAATACTCCTTACATGTTTTGCCAGTGATGATATGTAGCCCGAAACTTTTTTGTCTACCCAAAGGTTTCTCGCATTCACTTTTGTATGTTCTGTACGGTTGAATACGCCGCGGATGCTTATACGTCGGGCGATGGCTTGTCCAGTTCATAAAACAAGAGATAGACTTCGCGCTGCATGCCTAGCACGTCGGAGGTCTTGCATTCCTTAACCTTTTCGTCCGAGACGCGCCACCAGCGATCAATCGGCTTGCGGCGCCGGCGAAGGCGAGCGGCAGGGCCGATTGATGCCTCGACCGACGTGGCGGGTGTGCTTCGGTCGCTTGTGAAGGACGCCCGCGAGAAAGACTTGCTCCAGCGTCCACCCTCGGAGGAAGGGCTGTGTGGATCGGACACGGGCGAAAGGGTTTGTTTGGATGTAGACGATTTGGAGCGGTTGCTCTGGAAGGAGACCCTTGGACTCGACGTTGGTCGGGGGGTTGGCGACGGGGGAGGTTGGAGTTGAGAGGAGCGGGTCGGTGACGCATTCGACGTTGAGATATCGAGGGATGAAGGCTCACCATCTGAGGGATTCTGGGCTTTTAGCTGGGGGCTAGGGGCTTCGGATGGGTTTTCGCTGGCGACGCGGCTCTGGGAGTACGAGCTAAACGCATCTGGTGTGGAAAATGGCGGATAAAGGTGGTTGCGGCGGAATGACTCGTAGTGTCCGCTGTGGTGGCTGCCTTTATGGCAGACAATCGCCAGTAGCCTGAACCATTCCCTGTTTAAGATACCACCGAGGGGAAGGCGTTCGGGGAAGGACACCTTGGCTGCATTCTTGGTAGAGCTACTGTGGTCGAAAATTGACCGTGAGAGGTGAATTGCGATAATCTTAGGGAAGGCCGTGATCCGCATATGCCGCGCGATTTTCCGTCTGGGGGCAAGCTCTGAAGGTGGTAAAGTCACTCCCTCCAAAGCTCCCTCAGGATCCGTAGCGATGGCGGTTTGAATCCGCTCGATTTCCATCTCCAGTCGCGATTTATCCTCTGTCGTGCGGACCCTGCGCATCTCTTGAGTCTTCACTTCAAGAGCATGTTGTAGTCGGCATTTGTCACATTTGAAATCTTCGATATATTCGGTTTTGAGTAGCCCGTCAAAGCATGCGCTGAGAGAGGTGGAGCTCTTCTGAGGTACTTGCAATGTCAGATTGACAAACGAAGTCTGATTGGGTTTATACTGGTAATGGCAGAATGTGCATTCGATCTGAGACTCTAGCTTGCCCTCGAAAGGAAAGCTGTACTCGTGGTCGATTTCCTTGAGCTTGTTGTCGATAATGGCCGGAAGGCCATTCTCAGACCCATCATCGATCCGCACCTCGACTTCAGCAGGACTCCTGGGAGCGACTTCATCGCTAGTTTCTGCGGCTCCCGGGCTGGGAAACGGCTCTATCAAGCCTTTCGCCCTCTGCCGGGCTTTTACACCGGCATGGTATTCGTCGCAAAGCCTTTCCGCCACAATCTGCAAGAATTCCTGCGCATCCTGCTGGTTACGACTGATTCGCGTTCGGTAGGCGTATTCCAGTGCGTGAATGAAAGGCCGTGCAGAGATCGTTTTCTTGTAGATCGGGCGCTCATTCAATCGATCCAACATCTCCTTGAGGGCCCTGGTGATGGTCCCCTGCTGTAACTCTCTTATCCTATCTGCATTGCCACCACGTGGCATCTCGTCTGGTGCTGGGAGAACATTGTAGATGTCGGGACCGTCGAGTTCACGTCGATGGAGCTCCCGTATCAGGTAAACACGCAGATCTCCGAGCCCTGCGAGAGCCTGTAGAACCGAGTTGATGAAGCAGTCATTGGCCGGGTTGGACAAGCCCACGATATTCTTCTTGCGGATACTGTCGTTTGAGTCGTCTCCGTCGATGGTGTAGTTGGGACCAAAGACATAGAACAGAGCGATAGCCGCAAGAGACGCTCCCGCCGCGTATGCGGCTACAGTGGTCGACTTTTCCTGCATCAACCCTTATGTACACACCAGACGATATAAACAAGTATGAAGTCGAGGTGTGTGGAGGGGAGGGAGGAATCTAGGTGGCTGGCGTCAATGCTGTGGTCGCTCCATTGAAAGGCGTGCCATGAAGATAAACGGTTCGAGTGGACACGGAATTCCAGTGCCAAGATTAGCACAAGTCGGACTCCTCCTTGCTCCTCCCAGATAGTATCATATATAAGAGGACTTCAGCTTGTGCCAGGACGCGAAGGGGAATTCGTTCAGTTCTCGGCGACTGTGATCGGGATTAGAGTCAGCAGTCATCCCCCAACACTAGAACCGAGGATGTGGAGAGGCATGGGGTAACTTCAGGTAGACAGGAGGGGGGGCCGCCAATGACAGCGGTCTCACCGGGAATAGAGAACTACTAGTCAGTGTCGAAGGCTCAGAGAGCCAAGGCGTCGGTATCCCACTCCAGGAGATGCCAGCAAGACCCGGCAATCGTGTTCAACGCGATAGCCGCAACGGCAGACTTCTGGTTGTCGAACTGGCGGCGGGAGGGGAGCTGTTGCTGCCATTGTCTTGGTATGCTCGGATGTTCCTCTGCGCCGAGCGCCCGTCGTTGTCGCAACGCACTGGCGGGAGACTCCGGCGCTTGCCAATTCCCAGACCCAGGACGGTTGAAGGTCCCCACGGCCTTCTATTGAGTTCTACTTGATTCATCCGGTCGGAAGTGTGAGGATTATTGGCAGATCCAATGTACCGTAAGCCGGCAAGTGCGTCGATCCGCATACGAGCGGGCTTGTGGGTGAAGGCTTGGAAGAGGGGATCAGGCCTGCAGATCCCTTGCTACCTCCTGAATAGTCGGGTGGCGACGAGCATGTTGAAGCAGTCAGATGATACTCATGCTGGCATCTATGCAGGTAGGTAGATAGGTAGATTCGTAGGTATGTGTGCTGGGATCCATGATCAATATTAGAAAAGCCGTCCGCGAAGCAATGGCAGAGTCGAGTGATCGACCGGTGGAAAAGAGGGGCTTCTACAAAAAAGTACTCGACGACTGCTGGTCATCAGGTGTCCTCCGGTTGCCTGATCCTCAGCCTCAGGCCATCTACTATCTACTTAGATCCCCCGATCCCTTTCCAGCAGATATGTATTAGTGATCCGCGATCTTCATTCATCTATTCTATACACACGGCCTAATTCTCGGTGGTTTCATATCATAACGTGCTAACACCCAACGATTCGTCGTATCTCCCAGCAAAAGCATCATATCAGGTATCCAAAACATTCGCAAAAGTGATTTTTTTTCTCTCTCTGAAGACGAGGTGGCTTCACAAGGATGCAACCATGCCCGCACAAAATTAAGGCAACGTAGCAACCTTCTCGTTAAAGAGATCCTCGGCCTGCTTCCACACACGAGCGTTCTCTCGGTCCTTCAGCTGGAGCAGGCTGGGGAGCAGAGCCTGGCTGAACATCTCGGAGCTCTCACGGGGCAGGAGAGAAGGAAGATGGTCAATGCTGATCACACTCAGGCCAGCAACCTGGCTGCCGCTTGACAAAGTGACAGGGACTGTGGGCTTGTCGAAGGTAGTGGTGATGCTGTACACAGGGAGCGGGTTGTTTGGGTTGGTGCTGTAAGCGGGGATTCCATGGTCAGCTAGATCTCTCCACACGATTAAAGGCTGGTATGTCTTACGTATCGGCGCTGACGTCGCAGATGACCGACAGGCGACGGTTGGGGGATGTGAGCGTCTCGGGGGTGACAAAGGGCGGGATCTTCGAGGCCAAGTATATACAGTTGATCAAGATGTCGACGTCTTCCACGATTTCCCTGAAGGGACCGCCTGTAGATATATGTTAGTGCACCAACACTTGGCAAAGAAATAAGGTGCCAACGAACCCTTCTTAGTTTCCGCAATATCCCATTGAACGATGTCGGATTCGGGGATACCAACATCCTTGGCCAGCTGCACGGCGCCATTGCCGCAACGACCGAGCTGTCGTATTGTTAGAGGTATTATTTTGAGCAGAGGGGTCAAACAACTTACGGCTCCAATGACAAGAACCTTAGGAGAGCGACCGGACTGCTTCTTGCCAGCCTCCAGCGACTCCTTGACCGACTCAACCAGGAGATCCTGGTTGGCATACGGGGTCTCTCCGGGCAGGGGCACACCCTCGGGGTGCGTCAACTGCCAGGCCCAGTTCTTGATGGCTAAAGCCGAGCCCGCATAACCCGCAGACCAACCGAAAGCTAAAAGGCCATGAATTAGCTTCCTTCTATTGGTTAAGAGAGACCGTCAGCGCTCACCAGCGACTCTCCGGCCCACATCGTCAGTGAGGAATTCGAGATCGAGGAGAGTGCCACCGCCACGAGGCCACCGGGCAAGGACCTTCTCCCAGCCACCTTGCTGCTTGTAGCAGTGCGCAAAAGAGATGTGAACATGCTCGAGAGGGAACTCCTCTTCGGGGAGCTCCTTGAGACCGAGAACGTAGGCGTCCTTAGGGGCATCCTTGACCCAGGAACCTTCCTCCACCAGCGGCGCGCCGATCTTTGCGAAGTCCTCATCTAAAGAGAGGGAGACAGTTAGATATTGACTTGATTTGAATAGAACAAGGTCAGTGACTCTTACCATCAAAGATCCGTTGAGTCGAGCGCTCGACGGTCACTTCGTATCCGGCATCCATAAGCGCCTTGCAGGTAGTCGGCGTCACTATGTCATGTCAGTTCTCCTGCGTCGATTGTCCATCTGGAAGGGGGTGGGGGGAGCCATTGGAGCAGGGGCACAATGGTAATGGTGGGCTGTTCACGATATACTTACAGGCAGAGCGAGCCTCGGCGGGCTTGGTTTCGGCACGCAGCCAGATCTTGTTAGAAGACATGATTGTAGGGTATCAATTGGAAGTCCACTGTAGCGAGTTGATGTTCAGGATCAAAATTTTAGGCTCTTCGACCGGAGAATAATAAAGCTGTCGCTGCTGGACTTATGACACAGACTTGCCCCTCTAGTGATAGCGGGGGAGCAGTGGTGGTTGTTCCGTTCCGGGGGTGTGACTCAGCCATGGCGCCGGCCGATATCGGCGGTTGCCGATCATGCGATGCTTTCAGGTAGCATTACGGAGTAGTAGATACGTAGATACGTAGATACGTAGTAGCCTCGATCGGCCGTATCGCATCATCATTATCGAACATTTTCATTCCTACGTTGATATTCCAAGAATAGCCCATAGATACACGCATAGCCAAATGTTCCCCATTCCAACTCCTTACCACAGCTAGCTTGCGGTGTTTCATTAGCCACCTTAGTCAAATGATCTCGTTCGAGTTGAAACTATTGTTCAATGGTGTCAAAGTAGGAGTTGACGCATTTCAAGAAGCAGCCTTAGTGCGGCTGCGTGTTCGGCTCCCGATACCACCCGTGGGGATGTCCCTTTTGACGGGCTCCTTCGCTTTTTTGGGCCGACCACCCTTCTTGTTCCCGTTCGTAGCTGGATCCGGTATACCGCCCTTCGCGGCTGTAGGTGCCGGGGTGCCCTGTTTGACTCCGGCGTGATCCGCGTCAGTCTTCTGCTTCTTGACCGTAGGCTCTGTCGTGTTCTTGTCGTTCGATTTATCCGCATTCGCTGGCTCTGAAGTTGATTCGTGGCCTCGCTTGTCACCTACAGTCGGCTGTTCTGTCTCATCTCCGGTAGCAGATTCCTTGGGATCCGAAGTCACAGGAGCAGGGGCTTGCTCGTCAGTCTTGGTCTCTTCATTAGGCTTAGCTTCATCAACGGCCTCTGCGTCTGCGGTAGGCTTGTTCTCCTCAGCGGGGGAAGTTGCGTTTCCAGGGTTAGTTAGAACACTGTCACCGTTCGCTTGGTTTGATGGCTCATCCGTAGACGGCTTGATGGCATCGACACCGGCCCCATTGATGGGTTCTAGGGGCAGAGACGTCAGCATTGGACCAGAGAATCATCCAGGAATTGTGCAGATGTTCGAGGCTAAGACCGGATGGGTCACCAGTGCGATGTGCTTAGACATACCAGAGGTTGCAGGCGTGTTGGAGCGATCATTCGGTTCAGAAGCCATAGTAGCACGCAGTCAGGTAAATAAAACGGAAAATGCTGTCGCGAGATAAGGGAAAATCGGGATTTTCTGCAAAGTTCTGATCGCAAACGAAAAGCGACCTGATATAGCCACGAATCGGAGGACTAGTGGCGGAGAAAAGGACGCTGAGAGGATGTGGTTGGAGGTAGAAGGACGTGGAAGGGCAAGAGGTGAGGTTGCGCGGTGACGTTTACTAAGGCACGGCCACAGGCGCTAACCCGTTTCACGCGAGAACTCAATCTCGGTTGTCCACCTCTCGGACGTCAGCGTATCCCAGATCGAGGAATAAGTAGGTCCAATAAGAGTTATTATTATTCCGAGGCTCAGCTCAGCTCAAGGGGTACAGATTAGCCCTAGCTTCCCTGGGGCATTCTCCTGGAGGTAAGCACGCCAAGAAGAGGAGAAAGCCCGCTTTAGCGGCATGAGTGGAGAAGCGGAGTGGCACTGGTGGTGTTGGTGTGACCATTGAGGTATTGCAGCTGGGCAGGTAATAGACGAACCATAGCCGTCATCGCTGCTAAGATCTATGACGTGAATGAGAAGCAGCAAGCCACCGCAGCATGCCCCTGGTGACAGCTGTATTGAAAGCCAAAGATTCCTCGCGGTATGTCTGAAAACGTTGTGGAATATATCTACTGGGATCAGAAAGCCAGAAGATCTAGTCGCACAACGTTGTTCTGTTCCAATTCCTTCATGGACGTTTTGCCGTCGGCTTCCGACTCATACAGGTGCTCTTGCAGGGCACCCATCAGCCAATTAACGTCCTCCGACTTCCCCTGGTCATTCAAGATACGAATTGCATCGAAGCTAGAAAGCTTAAGGTATTTCCGCCTCTGGTATGGCCATGACAGAGACTCGGCACCTTCTTTGGTACGAAGAAACTCGAGAAAAGGCTGAGCGTTAGGCTGTGTAGGGTGATAGAGATGCACAGACGTGGAATACAGCTTGAATGGAGATACCGTGGACATCAGCTGGGCGAAGTCTTCGTAGTCTTCGGATTCAGATGCAGAGACCTTGTTGTCATACCCTTTGTCATTATGCACTCTGTTGGCTCTGAACCACCGAAGCAAATGACCACCCGCAAGGAATAACACCTGCGATCCCATTGAGTCGGTGCCGGCAAGGTCAAAGCCCTCCGACACGTACATGTCCCGTGCCCGTAGGTAGTGTCGCATTGAAGAGGCTAGCCCTCGCCCATGATCTTTCTCGGCGCGGAGAAACTCTGATAGAAAGATAGAAGATGCAGAGAGCGGCCAGCCCGGTTGTGCGAACGTCTTCAACCACACCAGGAGGATGTCCTGCATGCCTTCCGCAACCATGAATTTCGTGAGAAGGTACATTGTCTCGCTACTGTAAAAAAGCGTCTTTTTTGTCTTTTCATCGGTTGACCACCACCAGTTGACAACCCTGGAAGCCGCTTTGGAGTCTCTCATGGCTTCCACGACGCGACCTTGGGGAGCGGCCGTGTTGAGTTTTAGCTGGGACTTCAAGCATCTGCGAAGGCGAGCATCCGTGACTTCACCTACAGTCACCAGCTCATCAAAAACCGCCATGGGGTTTGTCGCCAGATTCTGCCCCCAGTACCTATTGACGGGCGTACGATTCGGGTTTGCGGCACACTGTCTGAAAAGAGGGCTGTCCAAGATGTTTCGAAGGTGCTTATCCGTGGCATGAATGGAAGAATTGGGGTTCTCCGGTGGCGAGTGCTTGCCCAAGACATTTCTGGGTTCAGAAGCGGGCGAGTTGTTGGTCGGGTGTTCGCGGTCGAGTTGACGACGGAAGGAGGAGGTGAGGGCATTCAGCAACTCTCCGGACTTATGAGGCAACGGATGATGCAGTTTGAAGGGGGAGACTGGGAGTATTTTGCGAGTGTATTTCGGGGCGGCATGGTGACGAGGATGTAATAGGAGGTGAGGGCGATGGTTGTCACCTTCCTCACTTTCGGGGAGATATGATCATATGAGGGAGGGTGTACGGAGTGGCCTGCAAGGGCGGGAGTCCCGGTTTGAATCGACGGGCGGTGAACAAGGGCTGCGGCGGCGGCGGCTGGCGGTTGCTGTGATTGCTGCTGCTGCTTGCTGTTCCTCACCACGCGATCAAATGGGCGGACACGACTTGACCTCACAGTACTACTACTAGTAGAAGGTATAGTACGTGTTGACTGCAGGTTGCAGACTGCAGACAAACCACCAGGGAGGTGAAGGTATCAAGTATAATGTAATTCTTGGACTACTAGTGGTAGTTCGTTCCATCTTAGCACAAGCAATAGATAATGGATGACGAAACCTCCACTACTAACTAACTACTACTGAACTACCTAACTAGAGTCTACATTAAGAGAGTAAAATCAGTCAATCAATAATCATCATCATCATAGTAGTAAATCCAGTCACTCGCTAACCGGGTCCGGGGCAACCAAAACCGACCGACCGACCGACCGACCGACCGGGCGGAAAGTCGAAAGTCGCCTTCCAACACGCACGCCTGCTTTGCTTTGCTGGGCTTGGCTTGAGCCTGAGGATGAACTCGATCTGCTCTTCTTCCCTACCAAACTTTCTGCACCTCCTCCCTCCCTCCACCCCCTTCAACCTTTAATACTTCCACCACCCTTTTTCCCTTTATCCTTTTTTGAGTTCTCCAGCTTCTCTGTCTTTTTCTCCATCTCTTTATCTTCCGTCTCTTACCTTCTTCTCTCTCCCCCCCCTCCCCCCACCTTCTCTCCCCCCTCCTCCAAAACAAAATCCTGGCGGTCCTTGTGTGCCCTTAGTGGTTCTCGGTGCTGACCTCGCTCGTGAGGCTGCATCTCATCATTGCTACCGTACACTAAAGTTACGACCTTTTTACCCGCTTTTTCTTCCCACTAGCCGCACCTTGTTTTCCTCCCTTCGTCCACGTTGGGTCCTCTCCGATTCCTCCATCTTATTTCTCCATCCGGGAGAATTCATAAATACCACCAACAGATATGTCTGAAGTCCAATCAAGGCCCACTGCCTCTCGTGGCAGAGTATCCGCCCGCGGTGGCCGTGGCGGCTATAGCTCCAGAGGTGGTCGAGGTGGTAGCAGATCCGCCAAGGCAGACAGTCTAGACGGCGCACCCACCGCATACGAAGACGAGGGAGAAATTGGCCAGATGAAGAAGAAATACTCCGACACTCTGCCCATGCTGAACGAGCTGTTCCCTGACTGGACTGATGAGGATCTGATCTTTGCTCTGGAGGATGCCGACGGTGACCTCGAGGCGGCAATTGATCGCATCAGTGAAGGTATGCTTCCTTCCCTGCCCCAATGATGGCCCAAGGGCGTTGGGCTCTCTGCTGACACCGCTGCTTCTATCCGCACAGGCAACGTCGCTCAGTGGGGTGAGGTAAAGAAGAAGACCACGGACCGCACCCGCCCCAAGGCCAAGGAGCTACAGACCACCCCGGCCGAAACAGTCATCCCTTCAGTTCGAGGAGGCCGTGGACGTGGTGGTTTTGAGAGTCGTGGTCGCGCTCGTGGAGACCGCGGCCGCGGAGGTCGTGGTGGTAGAGCCGGTGCTCATACCAACGGAACTCGCATCGAGAAGCCGGCCGTCGCTGCTACTGCTCCTGCTGCTGGTGAGACTGCAGCCCCGGCAACGGCGGTTTCCGAGGCTGCCACGACTGAACAGACTGTCGACGCTGAGCCGGCAACTGCAGAGCCCACCGATGCCTCCAACGATAGCACCAAGGAGGTTTCTAAGAGCAGTGTGATTCCGGAGGGAACGAAGAAGGGTTGGGCTAGTCTGTTCGCCAAACCTGCGCCGCCTCCTCAGAAGAAACCAGCTGCTCCTGCTCCTGCGCCTGCGCCTGCCCCCGAGAAGCCTGCTCCTGCGCCCGTCCCAGAGCAGAAGCCAGTTGAACCGACGCCTCCTCCCGCCCAGGCTCCTATTCCAGTTCCCGTTCCCCTTCCTGTCCCTATACCTGCAGAGAAAGCACCCGAACCGGTCATCCCTCTGTCTCAACCCGTTGAAGAGCCACTGGTCGCTACCCCATCATCCGCCGACGTGCCTGCTCCGAAGGATGATTTGACGAAGAACAACCTTGCCCAGATCCCTGATGTCTCCCCCCCTGCTCCCACAGCTACTGCAGCCAGCACCGTGGGCAGTGCCCTTGATCCTATCAATCTCGCGGCGGCTGCAACTCCCACACGCCCTGCCGCCGCACCCTTCGCGACCAGTGCCTTCAAGCAGAGCACGCGGACTCCCGGCACTCAGCGCCGTGTGATGGAGCAGCAGGAGGCCGTGGTCATGCCAGGAAACCACGCCGTGGATCGTGCTGCGGTTCAATTTGGCAGCATGGGTCTCAACGGCGATGCCGCCGATATCGACATTGATGAGAACAGAGAAGATGCTGAGACTCGTGCCCAGCCCCCTCAACACTCTCCCGTTGCTCCTCGTGCCTCGTTGCCTCCTTCCACCCAGGCTCAGGTGCCCACAGAAACCCCTGTGGTCTCTCGCCCCGCCCCTGGACTTCCCCCCGTTCCCCAGGCGTCTGCTGCTGAGAACTCCTTCACCGATTTCGCCCGCTACACCGACGCTCACAAACCCTACGACCCCTTCACTCAGCAGGTCACGCAGCCTCAACCTCAGATCCAAGAGCCTTTTGCCAACCAAGCCCCCGTCCAGCCTACCGTCACGACTGGTAGCGATTTCTCCCCTTTCTACGCCGTCGATCAACGAGTTCCCTATAGCTACTACGGCTCCTACGGTCAGTCCCAGGACGCCACCGTCGCTGCCCAGAGGGCAGGATTTGGTGTCTCGGGCGCCGAGGTGCAACCTCACATCCCCACCACCCAACCTCCCAGCCGCTACGGTCACGTTGAAGCTACCAACAGTGGCCACACCACCCCTAACCCCACCCTTCCTGGCGCTACTCAGACCCCTACGGCGCAGCACATGCCTGGCCAAGGGGCTCACGGCTACCAGTACGGATATCCATACTACTCCAACCCCCACTATGCCTCGTACGTCAGCCAGATGAACCAGTACGGCAGGAACCGCCCCATGTACGATGATGCTCGCAGATACGACGACCACTACATGCCTCACAGCAACCAGTACGGTTACGGAAGCCAGTATGCCCCGTACGGCGGCAAGGCTGGAATGTACGGTCAGCCTCATGCCTTCTCTTACGACCACTCGTCGTCGCCTGCGACAGCGGCCACTTTTAACCAGGCTATTCCGGGCCGTGATTCGGTCTATGGCCGTACCGGATCCGCCCAGCCATCTGAGAGTCAACAGTCGGCTGCCGCCGGCTCCAACGCCTTTTCCACGGGCATGTCTGACGTCTTCGGTCGCTCCCAGGGCGGCTTTGGGCAGAACCAGTCGATGACCCAGCAGCCCCCGGTGACCACGGAGGAAACGAAGAGCTTCGATACCCCTAAGGCCGCGGGACCCAGCCCTTCGCTCGCCCAGGCCAACCGTCCTGGCTCCGCGACCAACAGCGCCCCTGGTCAGCCTCAGGCCCAAGCCGGCCTTCCTCCGCTGCAGGGCCAGCAGGGCCAGCAACAAGGCTTTGGCGGATATCCCCACCTGAACCCTCAGTATGGCGGAGGGCTGGGTGGACTCGGTGGTCATCAAGCTGCGGCTAGTCAGACCCACCACCAGCCGACTGGATACGGTAACTACGGCGGCGCAGGCTTCGCTAACTACTATGGAAACAGTGGTGGGCGTGGGGGCTGGGGAGGAAACTACGGTCACTAAAGGATTATGGCGTTGCATATTTTCTGGTGATGGGATTCCTACCGGCTTCTTTTTCGCTCTTCGCTTTTTTTTTTTTTTTTTATCTCGGGCACGACAAGCCCAGGATCGAAAACATCTCTACTTTATATTCACCTGTTAAACACTTTCCCGCTTATGTCACTCTCAAGTGTGTAATCTCTACTCTCTATGAGAGCTTGGCTGGTTTTACATCTTTGGTTGATCTTTCCTGCAGGGTTGCGCTCATGATGTACTGAATGGAAAAAAAACGTTATCTCTTTTCTTTTTCTTTTTTTTTTCTTTTGTCAACTCGCGTTGCTTGTTCACGGTTTACGACATTTGCCAATGTCTTCTTCCTCTTTAACTCATGTTTTTCTACACCAACTTTCTCCTTTGCTCTCCGGCTTCTTTCCCTTCCGCGATTCGGAGTCTCTCTTGCTCTTGTCGAACTTGCATACTTTCCACTTCCTGTACTACTTCTTTGGGTTCGGTTGGGACTTCCTTTATGCAAATTGGCTGGATTAGGACAAGGGACGGGGGTTCAAGAATGCAATGAATTGACCGGGATGGCGTTGTCCTTTGCTTCCGGTGTACAAAAGTAACTCAGCATAGAGTGATGGGGGAAATGAACACAATGGAGTGGCTTGCGTGCATTTGAACCTGAATCCAGAGTCTTCTTCTAAGCTCGTAGGCGCTGTAGTTGCTTGTTTACTCGGATGGTCTCGTCGGGACCGTGAATGAATCTGTAATCCCTCCACTGCTCTACAATGTTGTTGACTAAATATGCTGTGATCTTGGGCTCGTATCAACCGGGATATTACTCGGGATCGGCAAATACATATCAACTTGGCTATGCATGTGGCCAAGGTGAACTGCATCTTGAGGCCACAATATTCTCTTCATTCGCACCTGGCCATGATTCCCAGCCAGCAATTCACTGCATCCCATTCACTGACTCCTCGCTAAGTCTCGCACCGGGCTTGCCTATTTAACGCCGCCCCTCCCCCCTCCTCTCTTCTTCCCTTCCTCTCTCCTCCTTCTTCTCTTCTTCTCCCACAAACTTCTCTCTTCTCTTTCTCCTCCCTCTCTCTGTTGAGTTGAGTCGAGGATATTTGAGGTAGGTTGCTTCGATGCCTTCCCTATAATCTATCATACATGTGAAGCTTTACTGACAACGTCGCGTCTAAAAGCTAGGTAACACCCTCCCCTCCCCCAGCCCACGCGTCGCAGGCCTGACCCTCGAAGACATGAAGTGAAGCCTAGAAGGGCCTTTTGGGAGGCATCTTGACGACGTGGCAGCAGCTAGCGTTAACCAGGTCCCTCTCATCTTTGGCCTTGGTCTTTGACCAACCAAAACTAAACCAAACTATACCAAACCAAACCAAATCATACCTCATTCCCTGTGATGAAATTTGACTGGAACTTCTAAGCTCCGTCTTCTGAGGAGGCCTGCACCGAGAGATTTCAGCACTGCTGGCGTGGCTCTCGGTTTCCCACTTTATACTACCCAAATCTACTTCTAATATTTCTTCAAATTCATTCCCTGTGATGATACTTGACTGGAACTTTTAAGCTCCGTCTTCTGAGGAGGCCTATGCCGGAGTATAATCGTCGAAAGCCGATGTATCTCCAAAAAACATCTATCTCTTCTATTCTCAGATTCGGCCCCAATGATAAACTTTCGAGATCAGTGTTCTGAGGGGGCACATACTGGCGGACAGTTGGAAATAGCTAACGTCTATCCTAACACACATCTTCAGTCAGGCCTCGATGATGAAGAAGTGCCTTCTTCTGATGGGGTACTGTGACATCCAAATTCTGTTCTTTTTAATGCTTGCCTCGATGATGATTCAATACACCAGCAGTGTAAACACTAGGTTTACTGAGAAGCTCCAGGTTGCAGCACTCCACTACGCCGCAGGGACCGTGGCATTATATTGCCCTTCACTTCATACTTAGCCTTCTACTTCTGTGGCTTACTCAGATTGTAACAGATCACTTCCTCAATGATGACTCAATATACCAACAGTGTATGGATTGTTTTTACTGAGAGGCTTCAAGTTATAATACTCTATTGTGCCGAGGGTTTCGTGCGATCTATTGTTGTCTCGGCGATGACTACAGTCACATCGAGACTTCGAGCTCCATTCAGATGAGTGACGATTCTCCTACCTTTCCAACGCTTGCGGAAACTGAAACAGCTGACAACAATACTCTCAGAACAGTGCGAATAATTTTGAGACGACAGCTGCAGCAACTCGACGGAATTGGTAGATACTTTCCTCCGGCTCTGCACACTTTGGTCAAGTAGTCTTGGGGTGACGGCGATGGTCACCACGACAATACAGCTTCTTGGGTTGGTAGAAGGGGGACTGGATGATACAACGCTGCCAATACATTGCATTGTTCTTATGCTTATGGGCCCTCCGGCTGCTTGACAGATTCAATGACATGGTATTGTAGGGTGTGCTCGATGACAACCATGGATGGAAAGATGGCGTGGTTGAGTTTTTTACTCGAGCAGTCTTGTTTGTTTGCTTGGATGATATCATTGCGGTCTGTGTCTGTGTTGTCGCTAGTGTGGTTATTGAGCATCGGTACTTCATCAGATGGCTAGAATTTATTCTTCCTCCGGATAATGCAATAGCTAAGCAGCCCCATGGCTATGTGCTGGCGATTTCGGTCTTTCGCATGGTACGCTCGGAGAATATCGCTGGGGATCGATTTTATACTCAATACCCGATCACGGTGGGGAAATATATAACAGACACCACTGTTGATAGTCCACTGTTTGCAGCTCTTGTACCCTGTCTAGAATTAATTGATTGAGCCAAAGGAGAGTGAGAAAAAGGAAGACAGACGAAGACCAAAACCAACCAAACTATTCAAGTACCCCCACAACCTGTATTACAAAGTGTACAAGAAAAAAAAGAGCATGACAGGCCCATCAACCGTCAAGTCCAAAAAATGCAATTTCCAAAAAGATAATGATTGATGATTGGCGCTGCCCGGAATCGAACCGGGGCTGGCACGGCCACAACGTGACGTCATACCACTAGACCACAGCACCTGTTGTTGTGATAGAGGCTTCAGAAGTTACCTACATAAGCCAGGGTCAAGGTTCCCATTTGCGAACATTTAACCGTTACAGTAGCAGCGCCGCTTGCAAGTTCAATTTTCAACCGGACCAAACCAGACTACGGATCTGATTTCACCTGTATCCTTGCTCGTATATTTCCGGGGTCCTCCCGCGCGTGGATTGGTGAAGGGTGGCCTCGCAATAGCACCGATCTGGGTTAGTTCCAGATAACCCAATCGCAACTAGCAAGTAGTCGTAGTTTATCGCGCGACCAGAAAAAGAACACACGTGATGGCCCTTCGCCAACTACAAGTGTCTCATCTGGATAGTCACCAAAGCTGAACAAAGCACACAAACTCGGACTCGAACTCGAACTAGAACGTTAACTCCCCCCCCCTCTTCTAGACCATGGGGTAGATAGGCCCCGCCCCACCGGCTATAAGACAAGACAAGACAGACCGAACATCACATCAGAGGACAGGACAGGACCAAGATGTCCGACACCGCCGTCGAGAGCGAAGTAAGCCCCCCCCCCCCACCCTCCCTCTGATCAAGTAACTATCTGCTCTACGAGACACTCTCTAACTTTCCATCCAGACACAAAATCCGCGACCAGAGCTCCTCGACCGGATCTGCCACGTCCTCGACACCACCCAAACCATCCACTACGCCCCGTCCCTCCAGGCAACCCGTCCCCCAATCGTCACCAAAGACGCAATCCTACAAGCCCAGGACCTCTCCCCCCACCGAATCAACAACAGCTACCTCCTGGAACTCACCCCCACGCAACTCCTAAAAGTAGGTCCTTCCCACCGCGTCCAGCTATCCGAAGCAGAAGCTATGATCCTCGCGCGCCAGCAAACCGCTCTGCCCATCATCCCCCGCGTATTCAATGCCTACCTGATCGACGACATCGGGTTCATCCTGATGGAGAAACTGCCCGGCGACCAGCTGGATGACTCCTGGGAGGGCCTGTCGCGGGCCATGAAGGTGTCCGTGGCGGAGCAGCTGCGCGGGTATGTGGAGGCGTGGCGGCGGATTCGTGGACCGTTTTATGGCGCGGTGGATGGCGGGCCCTGTCTTGATGTGGTGTTTCATCATCCGTGGGAGAATGTCAGGTATGCCTATGGGCCGTTTGGGTCGCGCAGGGAGTTTAATCGCGGGTTGGTGGAGGCGTTGAGGAATAGTAGGCCTGGGGGGCGGCTGTCGGGGAGGGATGAGGGGTTTGTGGAGATGGTTTTGGAGGCTGGGGTGGGGTTGGGGGATGCGGAGGGGGAGGGGGAGGGAGATGAGGAGGTGAAGGTGCTGACGCATGGGGATTTGCATCCGTCTAATATCCTCGTGCGAGATGGGGTGATTACTGGGATCGTGGACTGGGGGGCTGCAGGGTATAGTGTGCCTGAACGGGAGTATTTTTGCATGCGGTGGTCGGCGTTGGATCCGGAGTGGATTGAGCTGTTGACGACTGTTCTTCCGGATGATGGGTATGAGTTTTGGAAAGAGCTCAACTACCAGATGATGGCGTATACATGCATCTAAGCTACGCAACGTCCTGTCTGTGGAGCGAGAGTTGCGGCATTGCACTCGCCGCTTCAGCAGTCCAGCCTCCTCGCAAAAAACCAAGTCGATTGATTGATTGATTGATTGACGGATCGATCGACCGATCACAGACGCCCAAACGACGTCCAATTCGTCCCAACAGCTCGGGCAACTCCCCGCGCCGGCCTCCCAACCATGCTCTTCCAGAACTCCGAAGTCCCAGGAGGAACAAGCTCCTCCACCTCCAGCGCAATCAAGGTACTGAACACCCAGTCCTGGCATTTGCGGCGGCCGTCTCTAGGAGCGGGCTCATTCTTAATGACCTCGATAGCCTGGTGTCGCTGCTGGGCACTCAGCTCCGCGATCTTGCATATCCCGACGGCCTGCATCGTGAGCAAGTCCGTCCCCAGCCGCGCCTCGAACTGATACCAAAGCCTGTCCAGATCGAGCAGTCGCACATGCAGCAGGTCGCCCGTACGGTTGGGTGGTCGGTGAATCATGAATCCCCAGTGTGATCGATGGTTCGGGTCTTCGCCGGTCCCGAATACTTCGATGGAGAGCTGGTGGCTCATGATCCGGTGATATTTTCGTCACAGGACTATGTCTCTGTCTCTGACTCCAACTCCAAATTCGAGGGAACGTCGATCGATCCGCTCGTCGATATCTAATCCGTCCGACAACAATGCGTTTGCGTTTGTTTGCTCCCCGGGCTGAGAAGATTCTATCCTGTCGCGGACGGGAAATTGTTGCCCTTTCCCTCTTCTATCTCCTCGTATATACCCCATTTGTCTACCGACGCAATCCCCCCATGTTGTACTGTGTATGCCCTTGCGTAACTATGCAACATGAGTACGTGGCAAACGCAAACAGAGCCCCCCCCCCCCCCGGCCAAAAAACACAACTCCATATCTGCACCCTCGAGAATAGAGATGACACCAAAGCCTGCCGTACTTACATATTTTCAAGGCCAGAGATTGTAACCCCCCTAACACCGAATGACGTCACGTCACCCAATAGTACCGTGATACTATTCCTCTCACGGAGCCAATGAAACGACGAACACCGGCTTAAGTGCCGGGGTGTTATTCAGCAACGTTTAGTTAGTGCGGAAGGGTAAGAAGTCGAGGACGAATGGCCATTCCACGAAGGAGCGAGTGAGATGATCCGGTGTGTGTGTGTGTGTATGTGTGTCTGTATGTGTGTCTGTCTGTCCGTCCAAACAAAAACCGTTATTCCCATCCCAAGTCCATGTAATAGAATGAATGGATGAATGAATGATATGGAGAACTCACATGGTCGTATCGTTATTCCACTTGCATTGAAATAAGCTTACCAACACCCGGGGTGTTTGGTTAGCCAAGGTGGGTGATCACCATCGATGGGTGGATGGGCAAAAAGGAGGTTCAGGTGATGAGGAGGGTGATGATGCTGCATGCCCCTCGTCCATCCCCCCGGTACAGGTCACATGGGGATGCAGGGAGGACCGAGCGGGATTGGTGGGTGTTGACCGCTGGATGCTGGATTGGGTGCCCGAGGGTGACAGTCAACCTTTATTATAAAGGGTACGTAGGTGAAAGGGTGGCTGGAGAGAAGGAAGGAGGGAGGTGAATAAAAACCACTTTCGCTTTTGTTTCCTATACACACATGGATATACAGTGGGGTTTCTTGAGGTTATTGACAGTCCTGCTAGAAACATTGCCTGTTGAGGCGTCCATCCTGGCTACATGGGACTGGACCAGACTGGCCGGGACGCATTGCAGACAGTTTTCTAGTACAAAGACAGCGTGTGGGCATAGGTGTTATGGATCCGGATCTCGTAGATCAGGTCGGGGACGCATTTCATGGAGGTGCCGTTAATGGGCCAGAGAGGATGCAGGGATCAAACGCAGATCTACCGCTGTTCACACTTGCTTTGGCACCGAAGAGCAGTGGTGCCCGGAGCGTAGATTAGGCGAAACATGTTGGCTTCCAGAAATCACGATACATTAGTACCTTGGCTATTCACATCCGTCTCCCTCAAGAACCGGTTCGGCCACTCCAACCACTGAGCCCAGTCCGGACCGAGGTGGTTGCTGATGGATTCGATCAAGAACCGGCCGCTATCACCAAACAGCCACAAACCTCGATGCCAGTGAATCAGAACAGCGTAATGCGCCAGAATCACAAGGGCTTCGGGCCGGCGTAGCACCAAGTATTCGACATACTCGGGATTGACGATGACGGTCCATCCAGTAATGCCGTTGATATTTTGAGTTGTGGGCCCAACGGCCGCGTTCATTGCCACGTTCAAGGCCATGATCGCATGTCGATAGGTAGAGGTGATGGCATCGCCTAACTTGGCTGATTCAATGAGCTCGATAAGCCTCTGGCACTGGGGCCTCATTTCCACGTCCCAATTGAATGAGATCTCCCCATTTTGAAGCGGTGCCCGCAATATAGACTCGCGCAGCATTTCCCACGAGGATCCGGAAATCACAGCGCGAATACCGAGTTGGAGTCTGAAGGAATGCACATACCGATCGAGAAACCCGTCAAAGCTGCTATTTTCGCGGTAAACCAAGACGTCGCAGAGCATGTGCATGCCGAGCATGCACGAGAAAAGGAACAATGGGACGCAAGTCTTTGTAGTGACCTCGGAACTCATTTGATTGTAGATCTCCAAGGCATGTGTTTGTAGCTGGGCTGCATAACGCCGATAGCGCTCTCTGTCTGCTGGACGCGATATGCTCAAATGCAAGGCACTAAAAGCCAGCAGCTCATTCAGGAGATAGGGTGTTGCGAGTGCAACCCGTTGTACATCTGTGGACGTAATCCAGCTGGTAGCACCGGCCAGAGAGGGGAGAGTCTCCACGGTGAGGTTGTAGAGGAGCTCAACATGGATCAAATTGACAGGTGGGAGCTCTGATGAGTGAGCAGAAGGGAAAGAAGAAGAAGAAGCGACTGGGACTGGAAGATGACCCGATGACAGCAGCTCATTCGTCATTGGGCCAGCCGGGGACGGGGTCGAGGAATTGCTGGATCGAGGAGGCACAGAGCGCACAAATGGATCCGCGTATTCGCAAAAGCGCTCAGAGGAACGGCAGTTGGAGCATAACGGCTGCTTCTCGTCGCACTGCAGGGTCCAATTGTCAGTGACTCAGCTCCAATAACTAGTTATCCGCCACTCCCACCGCCTCCGTCGCACTCACTTTGATATGGCGCCGTTTACATTCCAAGCAGCCGTTGCGCGACTTTTTGTGGGCTCTGCGTGGCATCCTTATGACCTGGCTGAGGCCTCAACACGCATCTCCTGGGGAACATGCGCCCAATGTGGCGACGGACATAAAACGGGAACTACCCGGCTTGCCTCGCGGTTAAAGACCTGCCATGGTGAGAATCCGGTCATAAGCTTAAAATGTGGCCCAGTAAGTCTCCGCTCGGGAAACGTCCATAGGGTTGAGACTTGAGATAGCTATTTTCAGCAACCATCCACTGTCCAGGTTCCAACTTCCAGCAGTTGCGATGAGAAGTGGAGAGACTCCGGCAACCAATCCGCGTATGCACGGACCACTGCTCGACACCAAACTCGATTGATTGGCCCGAACAAGCAGCATCTTCTATACGCGTATCCGTATCCGGGTTCGATGATTGATCTTGAACGGACTCTTCCCGCGCAGTAACTATCAACTTGCCCCCTACTGACCTTCGACAGATATAAGATTCAAGATGGATGCAGAGTCCAGGCTCTTCATCATGCCATTCTCCCTTCATCATTCTCCCGACGAGTCAGAAACCTACTCCACCAACATCTGCGTCTACTTCCACCCATCATGGCCCATCTAGAACCGTTGGCAGGAGGCTACTACCTCTGGAAATACCTGCCTTCGATCACCGCAGCGGCCATCTTTGCTGTACTCTTCGGAGGAATCACCTGCGTCCATTGCTTCAAACTATGGCGAACTCGCGCATGGTTCAACGTCCCCTTTGTTGTTGGAGGCGCATGTATGACACCCCAGCCAACTCCCCCCCCCCCGGGAAGAACGACAGCTAATCAAGACGCAGTCGAATTCATCGGCTACATCTTCCGCATCGTCTGCTACAACAACACAGCCTCGATCACCTCATACTCCGTGCAAAGCGTGCTCATCCTCCTCGCGCCCGTCCTGTACGCCGCATCGGTATACATGACCCTCGGACGAATCATCCGCAGCATCCACGCGGAGGAGCTCTCCGTGGTGCCGGTCAGCTGGCTGACCAGGCTATTCGTCATCAGCGACATTGTTGCATTCTGGGTGCAAGGCGGCGGAGCGGGCTTGATGGTGATGCAGAACATGGCAACCGTGTCCAAGGTCATTGTGATCGTCGGGCTCGTCATCCAGATGGCCATGTTCAGCTTCTTCATCGTCACCTCGGTGGTATTTTATCGGCGCGCGCAGCAGATTCCTCCGACGGCGGGTGGCGTTCCCTGGAGACAGCACATGAATACCCTCTTCGCAGTCAGTGGGTTCATTCTGATCCGATCGATTTACCGGGTCGTCGAGTATACAATGGGCATGGATGGGTATTTTTTGACCCATGAATGGCCGCTGTATGTGTTTGATGCGGTGTTGATGTGGCTGGTCATGGTCATTTGGGCCATCAAATACCCGGGACAGATTGAGCCAGGGAAGACTGAGATGGAGCTTCTGTCTACCGAGGATGCGGTGAGCGGTTGAGTTTCTATCTCTGCGAGTAATGTGTTATGGCTTATATGATCTCTTCTTCTTCTCTCTGTCTTTTTTTCTCTTTCATTGTGCGATAGATTGCTATCAGGAGTATACATACCTTAAATACTCAGCATGCTCACTCAATAAACACCCTATGCAAACGATTGCAAACATCATATCCTTCTGCAACACCTCTCAAACACCTCCTCAGTCACAGCTAACAATCTCCTCGACTTTTACCCGATCTCCATCAAAACAGACCGTCATAGTTTACTACTTCTGCCTGACTTTCGGACAGGCGGAAAGCTTGACTCGAGTGAGGGTCGATAAGCTTCGGCGTAAACACCGAACTGACTCGCGAAGCTGGGGGTTGACAGTTACAGTGCCGATCAAGTCAGATTATCGAATGCTGGCCCGGTTAACATCAGGACAGGGAACAGTATCCATCAATGACAATTTTGCCGGGCTTCCGACAAGCTTTCTGGGTGGGAACGTTCAGGCAAAGCAGCCCAGCCCGGCTTCGGATCGTCAATGTTACTGAGAGACCCCCGGAATGCGAAAATTAAATCAATTGATGGCGACTCCGTGTCGAGTACCTACTCCATATCCAAAGCAGGAGCAGATCTGCGGGGGAGATCTACTGCCCATGCAGCTATCGCCACTGTTCTATATACAGGTACCAAAACATCCCCGTCAAAGCAAAAGAATAGATCCCGATGTAAAAAGATAAACGCATTCTATGGTGACAGTTGTGCCTGCCAATTCACCCGTCCCCCCTCAGACTGTAAAGGGAGGCTGATTCACCGCGACGTGTATCATGTCTGCTGATGCTTGTTTCGTTTAGATGCCGAGACCCTCGCCCCCGATCTTGTGGTAAGGGGGCTTGGCGTCCACGGCGCTCGCCTGGTCGAACCGCCAGACACCGCCGGTCTTCTCGCTGTCCAGGGACGTGATGCCCAGCATTCTCGCGAGTTGCCAGAAGCTGGCGTCATCACTGTCGTTGACGCGCTTGAAGAAGCGCCTATCCCACTCCCGGCCCTCCGACTTCTCGATCTTGCGGAGTTCGCGCTGGGCGTTTTCGATCTTGGACTTGGCCACAGACACAGCATCCATGTCGCCGCGCTCAATGCCGGCCGCCACGTCGCCCCATGCCCGTCGGCTCTCGTACAGATCCTGCTCCTCGACCGGAGCCAAGGTCAGCGGGGTGGTCTGCGTATCCTTGACCGAGAACCGATCCACTTCATGCTTGCGGGAGTCCTTGATGACGAAGGAATCCGACCACTGTCCATCGACGGTGTAGAGGGGCTTCTTCTCGCCCTCGCTCTCCTTGTAGAGGAGGGCGGTGAACGTGTTCTTCTTGCCGCTAAGCCATCCCTTGCCGGAGTAGTCGATCTTGGCCACGTAGCCGGTGCTGCTGGCGATGCGGGTGGACTTCTCCAGCTCGACGAACGGCGTTCCGTAGATCAACGACTCGATGTGCAGGTGAGGCAGGGTGATGAGATACTTCTCCTGCTGAGCCGGATCGTTCCTGTCCGCTCCGGGCGGGGTCAGGGTCAACAGGGCATGTCCGATCTGCTTGATCTGGATGGTACTCGAAAAGGAGGCCTTCTGGGCGTTGTATCCTTGTAGCTGGGTGATTGAGAGACACGTTAGACCACGGATCGCAGCTGGACCGACTGGAATGGCTTCATACCTCGACACCGTGCTTCGCATTCTGGATGGCGTAGGCCGTGGCCGGAGGGTGGTGGCTGGACAAGTCAATAGGGCCCAGCCATGTGGCTTCAGCATCTCCACCTACCTAACCTGTTCGCTGATCAAGGTGGTTTCACCCACGTCGGCATCGGAGTCCCACTTGCCGAGGAACAGCTCTCCCAGGAAGGGGTTCAAGGGCTTCTTCTCACTGCCCAGCTTCTCGCTGCGACTGCAGTACTGCTGGTGGAGGGTGCTCAGGAACCACTTCAGGACGGCCAGGGCTCTCTTCTCCGGATCGGATTCTTTGGCGGGCGCGACGAAAAGAGCGGGGTGTTCAGCCCAGTAGGCAGAATATTCTGTCAAGGAGGTGGAGGAAAGGATAAAGGGCGGAGCGGTCAGGGAGGAAAGGTCTCCGTTGAAGGAAGCAATGGACTGGAGGACAGAACCAGGGTGTTAGCTGTAGCCCCTCGAGCCAAACGCGCCCGAGATACTTCATGGGGTTAAGAGCATTGGTGGGGGGAGGGATCGGGTGTTTTCCGACTTCATACCTTGAGGAAACTTGTCCAGGAACCTTTGCTGTTGGCGGGAACGCCAGACTGTGGATCCTTGCTGGAACTCATTTTTGGGGGGGGAGGGGGGGGAGGGTAAGTGATAAGAATTACGGGATAAGGAGATAGGGCGCAGGACAAATTCACTTAGTCGAGGCCTGGGGAATAACCACCGAGGAAGAAATGGACGAAGTGGAGGGGAAAAGGAGGGGGGGGAGGAGGAGGGGAGGAAGGAGGAGGGAGGAGAGATGAAGTTGGGCTGGGAAGATGTCATTGGGGGGGGGGGGGGGGTGCCCCAGGCGACCAAAGTTCGTGAGTCGCAGTCCCGGTCCCCGAGTCTGTTCTCTGTTTCGCTCTCCCTCCCAGTCTTCCCCCCAAGCCACCCGCGCAGGGGTTGGTCCGTTCGACGTCATGGGGTGGCTGAGGCCCCCGCGGATTGCGTTGCGGCCTTGTTGCGTCGCCTCTTGTTTCCGACTGCCGGGCTTACTGGCATGGCATCTGCCAACTGTACAATCCCAACTCCTCAACATCCCCTGGCATCATTGGATACTCGCTCGAATCCTCTTCCCCTCTTCATTGGTGGCTGCAGCTGCGCAGACTGGCTCGCGTGCAACCAACATGTTTCAATGCGGAGAATTCACGGAGACCAGCCACCTCATCATCCCCTCGGATTTACGGCCCAGAGACCACACAGTCACCGAGGGGAAGAAACAAGACCCCAAAAAAAAAGGAAAAGAAAGAAACACGAGCATGCCACCACCATAACACCATAACGGCTTCTCTAGCTATATCTATCTATTCTCCGAGCGCCTGAACCTTGACCCCTGGTAGCGTCTCGGCGACTTGGCGACTTGGCGACCGACCGGCGTGGCCTCCCTGGGATTCGGCTTCAAAGAAGCTATCCAGGCCCACGGGACTGGTTCATCGGGATCTGGGATCGAATGGTTTGCCGCGTGCCGGGTTAATCCATCGTTGTTCCCACTTGCGTGACCTTGCAAATCAGGCATCTCTACGGAGCAAGTCCTGGAGCTGGAGGATCCTAAATCCGCCGGTTCTCTTTCCCCCGTCCAGCACGGGAGTACTTGCAAACCGCAAACACCATGCCGGAGTGCGCCGTGATAGTACTAGCCAGTGGCTACAAGGCAGACGCAATCGTTAATAATAATAAGTGGTTGGTCAGGGAGTTGGGGCTTGCATCCGGACGAAAGCGGAATGCTAATCTCCTTGTTGAAACCTTAGGAAGCTACGTGGATTTCCTCCTTTTCAGGTCGACGGGTAACCCACCCGACCAAGATTCCCCCCCAACAAGAACGATCCGGGACAGATGATCTCAGAAAACGTGACAGACACGATCAGTATCTGGGCAGATGTCCGCAAACAATAATGCCTTGTTAGACTCGTGTTAGCCTCGTCTGGTCAGATCATCCCTGGTCAAGCGGAAGCATCGACCACCTGCGGTTAAAAGTCTCGGGTAAACGTCGATGATTGTCAGGTAGACCGAAATCAAGTCATGTTGAGTGGACGTGATCGTCGAAGCCAACAATCATAGTCACGACTCGATGTACCTGAATTTGGTTGCTGAGCTTCTCCACCGGGTCGCGGCTCTGGCCGCCTACGCGTGGGAGCTACCATGCAACGTGCACTCCCGGACCAGCTGCAGAAACAAATCCGCAGGTGTACAAGCTACAAAACCCACGTACAATGGGATTGTTTGGGTTGCCCTCGTATCTGTTATCTCCAGCACGGACCACTCGACTCAATAGAGTCAACACGCCGATGCTTGCGCAGGAGGAGTTCGTGTGCCTGGCCCGTGTCGATCAACAGGTTCCCACACGGGGGCAAGCTATGGTATTCCGGGCTCTTATTCCGCGCTTATGGTTGCCAGAGGCGTGCCTGTCCGTTGTGGACACCATTGGCTCCGCGACTCAAAGTTTGATCTAGGGCTAGATCAACCTCATGCTCGAGACAGTTACCTCAGCTCTTACCGATCTAGGCGTTAAGAGCCCTGGGCGTCTTTAGCGGCCTGTTAGTCCACCGGTCTGGCCTTTCACATCGATGAGATGCCAATAGACATACTGAACAATGGAGTCTTATCTGTCTTTGCGACGTACAGCCCTAAAATCGAGGATCCCCTCCTAGTTTACCTTTAATCATTTAAAGATCGTCCTGGCACCATGCTGTCTTCTCATGCCTTGTGTGCGTATAACGAGTCATTCATTTGTCTAACTGGGTACTTTGAAGCCCTGTCCCCTCATTAGAATTTGACCCTCAAGCTTTTTTCGAAAACTACCTTCCTTTCGTTTCTGTCAATCCACATTGTTGCTCGACATCCTGTATCTTTCAAAGTTCTTTAGTTTTTGTACCAACTGGAATTCGTCAAAGGAGAACAGCAACATATCATGCTTTCCGTGGCATGATTTTCTCACCCCCTGTTTATATGATGTCCAAAGAGACCGGCACCATGCTTGACAAGGAGACGTTATGTCTGTCTGCGACAGAAGCTGGCCCAGATGGATGCCATGGCCCAGGATCAGACTACGGACCACCTCCCAGCATATCCAACACTCTAGTTCACTCTCCTACTCGCAACACAGACCACAGCTGGTCTGGAGATACCAACACATATGAAGAAGCCGGCGCAGTACAATACACTCGGTTCTCGCCTGCTCGGAAAACCATACTTGTTATCATTCTAACCTTCTGCGCTTTTCTTGCCCCTGTGTCTTCGACTGCAATCCTCGCCGCTTCTCCCGAGGTTTCGAGCACATTCAAGACCACAGGAGATATCATCGATGCCAGCAACGCTCTTTACCTTGTGTCTATGGGAATTGCAGCTCTCTTCTGGAGCCCCTTGAGCCAGGTCTGCGGTCGCCGTCCTGTAGGTACTACCAATCCCATCGCATCCTATTCGATACTACCAATCCCATCGCATCCTATTCGATACTGATCTCATTATCCTTTAGGTCCTCATCACCAGTTCCATCCTCTTCTTACTATTCACCGTCGCCACAGCGCTGAGCCCAAACCTGGAAGTCTACTTTATCTTCCGCATATGCGCCGCGTTCCAGGGAACCTCCTTCCTGGTGATCGGTAGTTCTGCTGTAGGCGACATCTACTCGCCCATGACCCGGGCCTCGCCATCGGCATGGGTCCTCCTCGGAGGTCTAACAGGACCAGCCATCGGTCCCTTTATAGGCGTACGAAAACACCCCCCAACCATCAAACCACTACTAACCAACCCACCCACAGGGCATAATGGTCACATTCCGACCCTGGCGCTACATATTCTGGCTCCTCGTCGCCCTCAACGGCTTCGCGGCCCTCCTAATAATCACTCTCTTCCCGGAAACCCTAACCCACAAATCCAACACCCACATGAAAGGCAAACCACTCACCCAACAAGCCGCGCACCTGTGGTCCCAAATCTCCCCCCTCCGCATCGCCCACATCGTCTTCAGCTACCCGAACCTCTTCCTGAACAGCCTCGCCGCCGGCACCCTAGTATGGAACCAATACGCCCTGCTCGTGCCCATCCGCTACATCCTCAACCCGCGCTTCAACCTCAACAGCCCCATCGAAGCCGGGCTCTTCTACCTGGCCCCGGGATGCGGCTACCTAGTCGGCACGCTCCTCGGCGAGCGGTGGTCCAACCTAGTCGTCCGGAAATGCATCCGGAAGCGCAACGGGCTCCGCATCCCCGAGGACCGTCTCCGCGCGTGCGTCCCCTTCATCTGCATCGGCACACCTGTCTGCGTCCTCGTCTACGGCTGGACCGTGGACCAGGAAATCGGCGGGATCCCCGTCCCCGTGATTGCGATGTTTCTGCAGGGCGTGTGTCAGTTGTTTTGCTTCCCGTGCCTGAATTCGTATTGTCTCGATGTCATGCAGGATCAGGAGTGTCAGGGCGCCGAGGTCGTGGCGGCGAATTATGTCTTTCGGTACTTCTTTGCGGCCGTGGCGACGGGTGTCGTGCTGCCGGCGGATCAGAACTTGGGGGTCGGGTGGTTTAGTACGATTTCTTCGGTGGCTTTGGCGGCCGTGGGCGTTGCGATGTGGTTTACTGCTGAGCATGGGCGTTCGTGGAGGGAGGCGGTTGATGCGAAGTTACGGGCTAAGGAGGAGGCGAAGGGGCACGAGATGGCTTCTCGGAATGCCTGAGCTCGGTTGGTAGTGAGTGTTGTGGAACGATTCATTTAGTCATGTCGTGACGAACTCTGCATCTGCGTATGGGAAGGATTGGCTGGTCCAGATACCATTGGCTGGCTTGGAGTCGGTCGGTCTATCTTTGCGATCTGACTACCAGGTCTATTGCTTCTCCTGTATATAATTAGGAACTTGGCATAATTAATCTTGAATTATCTATACAATCGAGAATCGAGTCGGTCACTGGGGGATAGTCTCACCCCATGTAGAACACCAAAACAGACTCCTCTTAATTTCCACTCTGTTCTCCATGCTCAACGCGGGTTGTTACGCCATCTTTCCCTGCCCCCTCCACTTCGCCCTCGTCAGGGACACGAGCAATGGTGTGTTCTTGCGCAAAGCGCTTCCCGTCCGCCCGTCCTTTCTCGACATCCACAAAAGCAACCCCGATCATGGCTGCAGTGCAAATCGCAAATAAGAAAGGGAAGCCCATCCAGTTGCTCTGGGTGTCGTTGATGATGGCTTGGACGACGTTGGGGCCGATGATGGATGACTTGCACATCATTATGAGTATCGCGTTATGATTTGGTAAGATAAATATTCAATGAGTGGAAGCAACTTACAGCGCGATTGGTGATTCCAAATAAGGCAAAGAACATGTTGTCGTAGCCGGGAGGCATGAGCTCACTGATCATTGTCTGAGCATACTGTATTGACCTCGTATTAATATGGTTTGTGTCTGCGCATGACTGTAGACCAAAGGGCTTTTTCCCAAGAACATACCGCGTAATATGGAGCTTGAAATAAGCCAAAGACGACATTGTAAAAGTAGAACTCCCACTATGTTCCCAATCAACTCGTCAGCAAGTCTTCCTTACAGCTCGTCGTAAGTACTCACACGGTGATGATAGCCAACGCGATTTGTCCATAGGCCCAACATGCCCCATAAGGGAATCAGCACGGTGAAGAAATTTGTGACGAGGAACATGCGCTTCGTCCTGATCTTGAAGTAACTTTGGATATACCAGCAGCCAAATGTCGATACAATCGAGCATATTGCTTGGGTGATCCCGAGATACGTTATCTGAAGGAACGAGAACGAGAACATGTCGTTTTGAATTATTGATACCAGTGTCCCTGTTTCGTCCCAAAATCAGTTTGAATAACCGAGAGTCGTGGTCAAACTATCCTACCGGTTGTATTGAGCCCATCGGCGAGGAGAAAGTAGGCAACAAAGTACAGGAAGGTCTGCGGTAGAGACCGGACCTTACGAAGGGCAAGCCAAATTTGCTTGACCCCGATGGTTGCATAGTTTGAGCCTTCTGGGACTTTGGGACCGGGGCGTCTCTGCTGGAAAACAAACCACCACATTCCCAGGATAACCCAATCTGTGCATCTTGGTTAGGACTGCCAATGATGAAGCTCGAGCGACTGTACTTACATGAGTTTGTCAAACACAGAGCGAGGTTGTTCGAATAACTGTTTTTCTGCAACGGCAGAAGAATACTCAGATTGAGAACCAGTACGGCTAGATATCCAATGTTGCTGTGGGCGGTTGAAACATTGCTACGAATGTTAGAATTGCTCTAGTGCAATGCACAAAATCTTACCTGATATGGTTCCTCTCCAAAGATTCAATGGCATCGTACTCTTGCTGGTTGATCCTACCCTCTTTCAGGTCCTCCTCTCGCGCTCTGCGAACATGCGGCATATAGCGCGCGAGTCGGGGGAAGACGGCTGCGTAGAAGACCAGGGTTGCGCCATATGCTACATATGAAACTATGTACAGCCCCATAGCTGTTGGCCATTGACTGGGATGACTGACTGACATCATGCCATATTGCATGGCCCAGCACACTACTGTCAGTCCTAGAAGTAACCAGCGACCAAATGAGCCATAGTCGGCTGCACTTCCGAGCCAAACGAATGTTATGGTCATGAATGCGAAGCTGAGACCATTGGCAATGAGCACAACCGAGGAAACTGATCGAGGTCCTCCGGCCCAAGGAACGACACAGGGAGATGTATTCGTACATGGCTTGCGGGGATTTGTGCCTGGTTGCCAGCCTGCACCGTTCAATGCCCATTGAAACCTTCACAGAGCCATTAGTCGGGTCATGATATGCCGCAAGGGAGTAGCATTATGAAACTGACAGTGTCTGAGTATAGGATCCCGGGCCAACTCCATTGTCGCCTTAGTGATGAAGAGAGTTTAGTACAGCTTCTTTGCAGTAGTGCCCCGAGATGAGTTTACCGTTATAGTACAGATAGTAGGACCATAACTCTCTGCGGGTTGTCGTGGGTTGATCATTTGTATCCTCGGTTCTAAAGAGATGTTCGAATTCCCCAGTACTTGAGGCAACTTGCGCTTGAGCCGAAGCGGGAGTGTTTTGGTGGACAGACTCATGGATACTGTCATTGTCTATGTCATTGTTGGCTTCGGTAGAGGGAGTCTGTTGACAAGTTTCAGGCGTGATGGTGTCTGTCATTGGGATGGTGTTCGGCCTATTGCGTAACGGATCGCTATCTGACATGAATATTAAGCAATTCAGGTACTCGGTAAGCCGACTGCGACTGCTAACAGAAGAGGATGAAGATGCGAAGGCGCGAGAATGCTGGAGAATGCTGCCGTAACAGGGCGGCGGCGCTGTTATCGGGCTTGCGGGGGATGCCTCGGCTGCGATCACTGCATTCCAGTCATCAGACGGTCCTCTGTCCGAACGGGATAAAATGTTGTCTAATAATACTGAATGCTGAATCCAAAAAAGGCGGATGATGAAGATAGTGTACGCTGGGAGTTTATAAGAAGGAGTGAGTTGAAAGTGGGATGAAGCAGGAAGCAGGGATTGAGAGCGCCGGTCAGGTGTTCTTCGTCCCTCCTTCTCTTCTCTCTTCCTCCCTTTCTTTCCCTCCCTCCTCTCCTTCCCCTCAATTCCTGCGCTTTGCTTCTCCCTCTGCCCCCAATTCTCTCGGTTAAGCATTACTGCTATACAACCGCCCTTCTTGCTCGCAGCCCGATGCTTTACGCTCATTTGCCGAGATCTAAAATTAGGCGACTCCACTGCCCGTTTATCCTTCCATCGTTAAACCCCCGGCCCCCCCACCATCACGCGGGCTGCGCAGGATACCTGCTGTTCTGACAACCTCCACCCCCTCAATTCGCTCTTTGAAAATGTCATCTGCCGACCTGAAGAAGAAAATTGGCCAGGTAGGTTGCCATTCGGGTCTGCGTTGCCTCTAAGAAATGCCCGGCTGAAGCATAACGGGGTTTATTTAGCTCTTCGCGGTCGGTTTCCATGGCCTCACCCCGAGTCCCGAAATAAAGACTCTGATCCGCGAGTATGGCCTGGGAGGCATTGTCCTATTCAAACGAAACATTAGTGATGAAGCTCAACTTCAGGTAGACCCATCATCCCAGTGACTGTCTGTTCAGTGGCAGCCCCAAACAAAATACAATTGCTGATCCTGGTGCTCCATAAAGTCCCTAACGCTTGCGCTCCAAGAGGAAGCGCGATCGGCAGGGCATGAGCATCCTCTTTTCATCGGCATCGACCAAGAAAATGGACTGGTCACCCGAATTGCACCCCCAGTTGCTCCACAGCTCCCGGGTCCTATGGCTCTGGGTGCCACCAATTCTCCCGAACTTGCATATAAAGTCGGGGTTGCCACTGGGGAAATCCTGAGCAGCGCTGGCATTAATATGGACTACGCCCCTGTCTGCGATATAAATTCCGAACCGCTCAATCCAGTAATCGGAGTACGTAGTTTCGGGGATGACCCGGAATTCGTGGGTCGATTCGCGAGCGCCACTGCCAGGGGTCTCCGGAAGCACAAGGTCGTGCCTACCGTGAAGCATTTTCCCGGCCACGGCGATACGGCAGTGGATTCACATTATGGCCTCCCGGTCATTCCAAAGACAAGAGACCAACTAGAGCAGTGCGAGTTGGTTCCCTTCCGTCGAGCCGCAGCGGAAGGCATCGAGGCAGTGATGACCGCGCATATTTCTCTACCTGAAATCGGTGATGGGAAGCTGCCTGCCACACTTTCGCCGGATGTGATGAAGATCCTCCGTGAGGATATGGGGTATAACGGCATGGTCGTGACGGACTGTCTCGAGATGGACGGGATCCGTGCTACATATGGGACTGAGCAAGGCTCTGTCCTCGCCCTAGCTGCCGGCTGCGATAGCATTATGATCTGCCATACGTATGCGGTTCAAGTAGCATCGATAGTCCGAGTCTGTGAAGCCGTGGAGTCGGGGGAAGTCCCACTTTCGCGGTTAGAAGAGGCCTACCTTCGTGTGACTCAACTGAAGAGTAGCTTCTTGAACTGGGATACATCGCTACGGCTCAGAGAAGATCGGTCGGGTCCAAACAGGAACTTGTTCATTCATTCGAAATTGGCTGATCAGGCTTACGCTCGCTCTGCAACTCTTGTCCGAGACCAATCGCAAATTCTTCCCGTGTCTAGTACTTCGAATGTTGTTTTTCTCTTCCCTGGGGACAAGACCCCTGCGGGTGGTGCGGTGGATGGTGAAGGGCTGGGGAGAAAGGGGTCTTATAATGCCTCAGTATACCTCGACATACTAAAGAAATACAACCCGACAGCGGTTGAAATTCGCTATGGGGAAGCAGCGTTATCTGCCGAGCAGCTCAATGCCATAGAGGCTGCCGACGTCGTTATTTTCACTTCTATTAATGCGCGGGAATCACAGTACCAAAGAACGTTGGGATTGGAAATGCCTAGGCGAGCTCGCGCACTTGTCAGCATTGCAGCTTGCAACCCCTATGACTTTCTGGATGATGCCAGTATTGGAACATATATCGCTACCTATGAACCAACCCTCGAAGCTTTCGCGGCAGCGGCTGAAGTAATCTTTGGGGCATCAACAGCGAAGGGTACACTGCCTGTCGGGAATCAAACAAAGCGACTGTCGATTGAAAAGTCAGCTTTAACTGATCCAAAGGACATGTCCCAGTTAGCTGCTGTCTGGAATGCTGCGTTGCCTACTTACTCGCTACCCGCAGAGAACCTGCAAAAGTTGGTGGCTCAGCCTAATGGACACCACTTCATTGCTCGCATCGGAGATGATGTCGCCGGATTTTGCCTGACCTATACTAGCAATGGGCGATTCTTCATGAGTGGTAATATTGCGGCGCTTGCAGTTGATCCCGCGAGACAAGGTCAGGGTGTTGGCACCACTCTGCTTGGCGAGGTCACTACATGGTACAAGGTAAACCTAAAGCTCCCACGCCTCGAGCTAAGCAGCGTGTTCCCGCGCTTCTGGCCTGGTATTCCGGAAGATTTGCCGTCAGGGGTACAGGAGTTCTTTGAAAAGCGTGGTTTCAGTTTGTTGGACAGAAGTCCGCGAAATGTAGATCTATATCGAGATATCAAGGACTTCAAATCCACTGACCAGTACACTGCAAGGGCCGAAGGTCTGGGCTACACCTTTGCTCCTCTGCAGCCCGAACACTATGAGGAGTGTTTGATTGGCCAAAGGAAGAATTTTTCTGACAACCAGGTGAGTCTATACTCTATTGTCGTGTGACGCCCGTTCTCTTTGTACCTAGCTGACTGTGTTAAATAGGCCTGGATGGCCCAATACGAGGAACTCGATCCCAATAAATACCCATCCAGTATAATGGTGGTTTTTGACTCGCAGGGAAAACAGGTGGGCTGGACGCTGATGCTTGATCCTTCCTCGCCCTCTCTCCAGAAGGGTTGGGCTCTCCCGCCTTTGTGTGGACCCCAAACTGGACTGATCGGTTGTGTTGGCGTCGATATGGATCATCGCAAGAAGGGAGTTGGGCTCGCGCTTCTCAGCCATGCGATGGAAAACATGAGGCAGCGAGGCATTGAAGGGGTTTTTGTTGATTGGGTGGTGGTGGAAGGATTCTATGAGCAGCTCGGGTTTGAAGTGTGGCGCGAATACCGACAGGCGTCGCTCCTTGACATGTAATTTGACAGAGAGAGAGGGAGAGAGAGTAGAAGATCCTAAAATATTTTCTTAGATATACCTTATAGATAGTGACCATGCACGAAAGACTGGCCATTCCCGCAACTCGGGATCGCTTCCGAGATCGGGAGTGGGGCTGCACTGCCGTCTCGAAAAGAACCGGCTGCTTTCCGAGACGTCCGCCGTCTGCTGTTCTGCTCCCAGTGACCATCCTTACCATCCTTTCCATCCTGACTATCTTGACCATCCTTCTGCAGCATCTGGCGCAAACAGCTCCACGCAGCTGTTCCAAGTTCAAACCAACCAATCTACGTCTAAAGCCACTGCCATTAAATCCTCCCCCCCAACACTAATTTCCAGTATCCGTGACCCGCTGTCCGACCACTATACAGTACACCACGAGTATCTTTCCTACTAATGTCGTCCCCTGCACATCAACCGCAAACTAACCCCACCAGTGCAATTATTCTAGGCTACAAAGAAACTACTACCCGCGAAGCCATCAACGCCAACCCCTCGAGTCCCTCAAACCCGAACAGCATCTATCATAAACGCTATACGCCATCCGGACACAGACACCTAGCACGCACCAACTGTCCACATCAACTGCACTGCACTCCATTCCATCCCTTCCACTCTAACAACGCGAAAAAGCGCCCACAAGCCCCAGACCCGCAGCAAACCGCTATATGAGGAAATCAATATGGAAAATGAGGGTATAATACAATACGCTATACCAGCGAGCTGATATCGCATCTGGCGCGGACGAAATCTCGTCTCGTCTTGTCTCATCTCCTTTAATCCCTAGGAGACTACAGTGAAGGCAGACAACCAAACAACCATACCTACTAAACCATATACACAGCAGATCTACATGGACAAGCTAATGGGAGTTTCAGGATAGGGGTGATGGGGTGTGATTGGGACGTAGATTGATGTGGTAGAGGAGGGAGAAAGGATGTTCAGGGGTATATCAGGGCTTTGTGATGGGGGGGTCATGGAGATGTTGGATGGGGGGGGGGGAGTGTAAGAGTGTCAGACAGGTAAAGAGGATGGATTGGATTTTGTGTAAAATTTCTGTGTTCTTGGCTTAGGAGCTAGGGACTGGGTGGTTGTGTGGAAGTGTGTGAAGCGCGCCGTGACAGTCTTTGAACGGGTCGCTGAGTACTCGCTATAGCACGAAATCTCTGGTAGCAAGCTTGTTTAGTCGCTCATGGAGTGTGGAAAAGCCCTACGCCCCTACAAAAGATGGGAAATCCATTAACCATAGATTGTCACTCATTAGAGTAATACATTGTTCTCCACCCTGTGAAGATACTTGAAAAAAGCCTTTTTTTCCACCACACCTGCACTCATATTCTAAGCAGAGCATAGAATAAACCATTAAAACACCGAGTTTCTTCCTCAATTGCAGAACATATCAATTAGACCTCCACCGCATGAGAAGGCGTGCCATCGAGTGGAAGATGGAATGTCGAACTTGAAATGTTCACGCACGAGATGTTTTAACCGCCTAGCCACTGGTAGCAAGGTGGTCAAACTTGTACAGAGGCTCCAAGTGCACATTGCGACGGAAGATGTAGCGGTTGATCCACCAGGGCAGCACCTGGAACAGCTGGTAGCGCATGTGGATACGAGTGGGCACGCCGAAGATGTAGTCAAGCTCTTCCAGAGTTCGCTGTTTGGTTTCAGGGACCCAGAGGAAGATCATGAGAAAAGCAGTCAAATTCAATCCCCTGGAGAAAATTAGGGATGATCAATGATTAGGGGCGAGATAGGCAACAGGTGCAAGTACTTACGCGTAGAAGCCGAACGCGCCAGTTGGGGTCATGACGACGAGCATACGGGGAAAGGTAATTGAAAGCACCGCAGCCCAGGCGAGACAGGTTGCCACGGCCCAGGACATTCCAACCTCTGTAGCCAAATTAGCAATTGATACATCGGATACCCGCGAGCTGTACTTACCACGATGGGACAGAGGGAAAACCTCCGCAGAGTAAGTGTACGGCACAGGTCCTTCACCGGGAGAGTAGAAGGCGGCGAAGAGAAAGACAAAGAATGCAATACATGCCAGATGCGCGGTCTGATCTTTTGGGATGTAGAAGCTGAAGCCTGCAGCTAGAAGAGTCCAGGCCATCTGGGGGAAGGTGAAGAGAAGCAGAGACCTACGGCCCCATGTGTCAATGGTGAAGATAGCTGGGAATGCGAAGAGGAAGTTAACAAGTCCAAAGCCCCACGAGGCGAAGAGTGCACCTGTGACACTGGCTCCAGCCTGCTGAAAGACCGTCGAAGAATAGAAGGCAACAATGTTGATCCCGCACATCTGCTGCGCAATCATCACGACGAATGAAGCAAGGGTAGCACGTCGGACACGAGGGATGGTAAACAACTCGATGAAACGAGTGGCATAGTTGGACTGTCCAGCAATCGCCTGCTCGACTTGAATCTGAGAGTAGATGTAGAAGAGATCACGCGCGGCCTGCAGTTCAGTGTTGCGCAAACGGCACAAGGACCGATACGCGTCACGCATGCGTCCCTTCTTGATGTACCAGCGCGGTGACTCGGGACAGAACATGACACCAATGAGCAAAGGCAGGGCCGGGATAAAGGCAGACCCGAGTTGGAGTCTCCAGGAGATTTTCCCAGTATCTTTCACAGCAAGATTGGCAGAAGTTCCGAGGAAGATACCAAACGCGGTCCATAACTGCCAGCACATCACGAGGCCACCGCGGATAGACGCCGGGGTATTCTCTGCACAGAACATAGGGATGGTTGATGCTTTCAAGCCCATTCCCAGGCCCAAGAGAAGACGCGTCACGAATAGCTGTTGCCAGGTCTGACACACAGCCGATCCGATCGGGGAGAGAAGACAGAAGATAGCAGAAATGAAGATAGCACCACGGCGGCCCAGGAATCTGTTCGCCGGGTCAGACAGCCAGCAGCCGAGGACAGCACTGGCCAAGTAGGGCCCCCTATTGAACCGCATTAGCCTCAAGTCCATTGCTCACATATAAGGTGACAGGAACATACGAATTGATTACACCGACAAGCCATTGGTTTTTTGCCGCATCCGGACCGGTTTCAGGAATTCCAAGTGCATCTGGGAACGACAAATTGGCACCTGATGAGTCTAAGTTAGCAAACCGTTCAAGCCAAATGCCTTGACGCGTACACACCATTACTTCCGGTCTGATCCCATCCCCTGTTCAAGGTTATCAGCAAGCTTGAACGTGTATAGTGTCGGGGAATCGACGGCCAGGGTGAGTTCCAAGAGTGGTACTTACTGAACGGCAGCTCCAATGGAGCACAGGATGATAGTGAAGTAAAGAGCCTTGGGCTGACGCCACTTGTGGGCCACCTCGTTATGGACGGCATCAATCTCCCGATCGGTCATGTCAGGCACCGACGCGTAAGCCTCAGGGTCGCGTGCAACCAGAGCCCCCTTCTTCAAAAGAGGGAAGATGTCATCCAGCTGGTTGTCAGCGGAAAAGGCCTCGACATCTCGGATCACCTGAGCAGGGGTGAGATCTGCCAGGGGATTCTTGATCCTGTCTCAATGTCAGCCGCTGCGGGACGAATGAGTATCAGGAAAAGAGGGGCGCGTCACTTACTTGGCAGCAGTATTCTTGTTCAGGTTAATGTGCTCTGAGGTGCCCTTAGTTTCCAGGTCATTGCCAGCACTGATGGCACCAGCGAAGTCAGTTCTTATCCCTGTCCCTGTCCCTGTCTCTAGTGAAGGGGAAGCACACGACTTACTAAGGGTCAACTGCCGCGTCAACGGCCTGGATCTCATCCTTCGCCATGATCTCACAAAGGCTTGGGATTACTGCAAGAAAGAGATGAAGGGAGTACACGAGTAACAGGAATATTGAGGAAAGTTACGCAGAGAAGGGAGGGGAAGCAACGCGGAAAGAAGAACGCACAACAGGTGCGGGGTGAGGTGAGAGAAGGTGAGAGAAGAAGAGAAGAGGAGAAAAGGAGAAGAGGGAAGAGAGCAGCGGAAGAAAAGAAGAAAAGGGCAGGTACCAGGGGGGGGGAGGGAGACGGGACAAAGCTGTGATGGCCGGGGCCAATCAGTGGGAGGGAATTGGGTGATTCACTGCTCAGGCACGCCGGGGTTACGATTCGATTCTACCCCGCGGGGTTCTCCGGCCTGGGGCAGAGATCGTCTGATCTGGAGGAAGGTTCGCGATTCCTGGAAGCAGATCCCACCCTCCACCTCTCCCAGGCCCATCAACCAACCCATCAGCCCATTGGGCTGCCCGCGAGGTTGTCTCGAGCTCTCAAGGAAGACGCTGCCGCAGATAATGCCTAAGTCCTGTAAGTCTCTATTGTGTAGCCGTTTCTTGCACCCCTTCCCATCCTGTACAACTATCACGGCAGATCCCCTGTCAAACTGGCTGATGTCGTTCTGACATCGGGGCTCGACCAACCCGCTCCCACCCCCCCGAACCGCTCCCCGGATCCCCATTCCGGAAACTGACCCCCCGCGTACCAGCAGGCAACAGGCGTTTAGGTTGGTACCATCATCCTCAGCGCTTCAGAAAGCCCAGAGTGACCTACTGACGTGGTGAGTCATTTTGGTCGGCTGACAGAACCCCCGGATTCATCGGCTGGACTCCATTATCACCTCACCTTCCGTGCACTGGGGCAGAAGGGTGATGATGCCACCGAGTATGGTCCACCAGCTATCATCAAACACCCAGTCAAAGAAACACTATCGTATGACATTCTCCGTGGCTTCCATTACCTTGGAGTGTCAGCAACTCTGAAGCAAACCTTATTATAGAGTGCTAACTCAGAGAATATAGGGTGGCCTTACATTGGAACAGACAAGATAAAATATGGCCTTTTATTTGCCTCCAAGCTCAGTCACGCATCTCGACTCTGCCCTACTATCTTCCTCGTTTGCCTCCGTTTACATTCAACCCCGCTGGTGTGCGTCTGGTTGCAACACCCTCGACGCCACTCGTTTTGATGCCGGATGTTGATATGGGGAACGCTGGTTGGCGCGCAAGCTTATTGGTTACACTTGGCTGGGGTAGGGGGGCTAGCCCACGGGCTGCGGGGATTGGGGCCAGTTGGGTGGAGGGGGTTTGAGGTTAAAGCGACAGGTCAGGACCCTGACGCTCTTGGCTCCAGTGTATGCGATAAGACAGCGTCACGGGAGGACGAGAGCGTGAGCTGAGACGAAGTACCGAGGCCGTGGGTCGCCTTTGCGACCTTTGAGGACTCGTCCGTCCTTCTTTTCCTTCGGAGAATTTGAGCTGTCAAATCTTCACGTGGGGGTTGGAAGGATGGAGCCATCTCCTCCGTACTTTCGTGCCAGCCATGGCCGTGCTTGAGCATGAAAGAAAATATTGGTGCTGGTACGCAGTACACTGGGCCATACTCTGCATGCCTTGGTGAAGGATTGCCTGCTCCCTGGTTGGTTTGCAAAGACCGGGTCAGCTACGCAGCTAACCGATTTGATCACCTGGTGTAACCAGACGGAGTAATTCTGGATCAGGGGGTGGACCGTAAGATGCCTTGAAAGAAGTCGAGGTCAGCCGCAGCAGGGCACACCAAGCCTTCGGATTTGGCATCGCCACCCAGCCTCTGAATGGCACGGTCCGAATGCAGAGGGGCTGGCCGGCTTGGGCATTGACCGGGCGGACATCATCGCCAAGCCACCGCCGCCCGAAGGTCTGCCATCAACACCACATCCGAGTTGAGTGGCCCGGGTTCTGGACAGGTGATCAGGACGGGTCGAGCTTGGAGCACCTACCTAGGGTTACAGCGCCATGTGGGGATGAAGGGGATGCCGAGGAGGATTCTCCGGGCCTGCCTGTACGCTGTCCCTCTTGATGCATTAGGCTTAGTTAGACTCGTTGACGGGCGGGACGATCGTCCAATAAGCCCCGCTGCGCATTCTTTTGCCATGAGACAATGCCGATGCTCGGATCGCTGGCACCTGGCGGGGTGACTGTTGGGGTGACACAGAAGCTGAAAGCTAGCTATGTCAGCCTTGACTTCTAGAGCAAAGCCTCATTAGCCGTCTTGTGATCGAGGGAAGATGCTGTGGACATCGGGCTCCCATATAGATCGGACCTGTCGGGCTTGTGCGGCTGTCTACAGCCTTCTACTGAACCCCGTCATACCGACGACCGCAAGGCATCCTACCTACTGTCTACAATGGTCGAAAGCAAGTCCAAGTAGTACACAAACGCAGTCTACAATGAAATTGAAACCAACACCATGCAATCCCATGAATTCCTCCCGCCAGTTTGTGAATCGAGCTACTGTAGCCTCGACTGGGGGGGTCAGAGCGGATGAATGCCACATGTCGGACCCGACCCTTTTTTTATTGCTTCTTCACACTGCCTCCAACGTTGGAGCGGCTGCCTGCGTCTTCCAACCAAGCTCATTGTGTCCCTTCTGAACGAGGATCAGATTAGGATTGGGCTGCTTGCTTTGACAGCCTTATGACGGACGGGACCGGGCAGTGTTACCTTTTCATATTTCTTGCCCTTCATCGGGCCTTCATCACAGAGGATCGATCACTCATAGAGTAGGATTCAGGATCCGAGCTTCCCTCGGAAACGGGCATCCGCCATCGTATGTAGTTGGTGGTGGGTACTTCGTACTATCGCACCCCCTCGCCCTTGCATGTCTTCTTGCATCTAGTCCTTGGTGGATCCGTGGAAGGGAACACACTGATCGGCTTGAGCTGAGCTGAGCTGAACTGAACTGTCAACTTCACCCCGTCTGCAGTCAGTCTGCACGGCACCCCGTCCGACGCAACGCTTGGCCACAACCGGTTAGTGCTGCCTCGCGGGGAGTCGGAGATCACGTGTCAGCATCCGAACCGCCGCCCCGGTTCCGAGATGGCGGATCTGCGTTTGATATCATTTCCCCTTCAAGGTCGATCCCCGTGACTATGCTATTGTTCGTTTGCTGGGCGATGTCAAAATGCTAGTCTGGCTTGCTCGATGATATGGAATCTTCAAACCACGATGTACCGTCTGTACAGGACCTCCTACGCGCCGGGGAGCCATTTGTCCCCTTTTCCGAGTACCTTGCCCAGGATATATGCCTTCTACATGACGAGACCACCGGGTTGATTGACAACAAGCTGCGCGAGGGTAAGCCTTTCGTTATTCGAGGGCTTACTCGGATGAAGGAATGGGATCGGTCCGTCTTGAATAATGAAAGCCTGGGCGCCCTTTCACCTTCAGGAGGTATGTTTGAGAAAACGGCGGGCAGGAGCCAACTCTTCTTATTGACAACCTTTGTTGCAACAAGCAATCCCTGTGAGGAACTGCCATACAGGGCGAGATGTCAAGATGCGGCTACGGGATTTACTGTCGCAGACCAGCCAGCCCAGTACCAGCAACCCCCGAGAGTTGTACGTTCATGCTTCCGAGCGCCGGATCGTTCGACTAACACCATGTCAGTCTATACGCGAAAGACCTCCAATGTCCTAGAGAATGGGTCGCAGCCTTGGAAGCACTCTTACCTGTCCCTCTAAGGCATCTGGGCTCTCTCGACCTATTCCGAACGCTGCCAAAGGAGGTTGCCCCGGAAGTGCTGATGGCTTATGTCGGAACTCGGAAGTCTTTGTGAGTCTGCGGGGAAACTCCACGCCTGCACCATGCTGACGATGCTGCAGCTCTGGATTTCACAGATGCTTTAGTGGAACCGTTGCGCTGAACCTTCTCGTGGAGTCCGAAGGTAAACATCTGATAGCATTGGTCTCAATCCTCTGATAAGCGTGCTGATGAAGCTAGGTACTGGGTCTGGCTCGATTTGCTTCGGAACCGACAGACACTCACAGGTTCAATACGATGCTTATATGGAGGAGCTCGGAAAGTCACCCCACACCGACTGGGCCAATATCTCGATCGCACAGTTGAAGTCCGCGAAGTTCCCGATCTACGTCACCAGCCAGGAGCCAGGAGACTTGGTCGTGTTTCCTTCTACCACTGCCCACCAGGTTTGGAACACCAGTTCGATGGTGACAAAAGTCGTCTGGAACCTTATGCATTACTCCTCACTGGCATCCTTCTTTGATTATGTCCAGCCTGTTTACCAGAGGCAATGCCATGCGGACACTGGTCGAGTTCCTCTGATACCGCTATATGCACTGACCAGAGGTTCTCACAACGCGGAAGATGAATCGCTCCTCCTGGACGTTTTTCGGCAGCTGATTGATGACGAAGACCTGGGAACCGAGCCAACCGTTCCGATTAAACATATTGACCCCCAAGGAGCTGTGGTTGAATGCAACTTCTGCGGGTTGACGATCTGGAACCGACATCTACACTGCGAGGAGTGTGGTGACTTCGATTTGTGCTTGACCTGCTTCGTCTCCGGACGCAGCTGCAAGCATGTCGCTGACTACGCCTGGGCTGAGTTACTTTCACGCGAATCCTGCAGTAAGATCCTCCAAGAGACTCGGAAACCACCGCGTAGTACATTGCCTCCAAGGCCCAAAAGCTCACAGTACGTCGAAGTTCCACCAGTCTTGCCCCTTGTTTTATGTAAATCTCGGTATCCAGAGCCAATTTCTCACCTAAGTTCTCTAGACAGAAGACTTTGGGGGCCTTAGCCGTCGCTGCAGTAGATGCAAGGAAGCAATCCGTGGTACGAGATGACCCCAGCTCTCCATTCGGCCGTGATGATTTGAAAAAGCCATAAACTCACCTGTAGCAGGAACGCCTGTGCCACTTGTGTCGTGATAGCCATTCGACCTGGAAGGGGTTAGCCTGCTCTCAGTGCTCGGCCTTTTTCTGCTTCCGTGGACTGCATAGGCACTTTGATGTGGACTTGATCCCATTGCTTCGAAAGACTGAACCTTGGATCTGTCCCAAGTGCTCCCAGTTTTGCAATTGTCGATGCTGTCACTTCCCACAGCCCTACAACAGTCAAGACAAACCGGCGCGACCTCGGATCAAACCAGTTGACCCTCGTGGGCGCGTCATGGGGTTTCTGGATAATGTGTTTGATCAGAAGAGAGGAAAAAGAGCGAGCGCGGTTGCCCATAGCGCGTCACCGCAGTCTGGGCAGAAACGGCCGAGGCTTCTGGTGGATGATGACAAAGTGGACCCAACACCACGAGGTGCATATGCTACTTTTGTCAATCTCGGTGCCTCTGAAACAAGAGCCCCAGAAACAAGCAAAACCCGTGTCCCAGACATTATTCAGTCGCAGCACCCGGCCGATCCCAGTTCGTCGCGAGGTCTCGGTCCGATAGGACAGCTTCGCATCAGCGATCTGGTCGAGAAGCATCGCCCCGGTGAAGCTGGACATGATCGATCCCCTGTACCATCCCTGACGCCAGAGGATGGCACATTCCGACGATCTAGAGAGGCGGCAAGCGTTCCGCCCGTTTCAGACGACGTCAGCATTGTCGAGCTAGAGGAAAAACTGCAAAAGCTTGGCCAACATGCCAACGGTCTCTTGGAGCTTTCCCTCGTGGAGTCGCACGCCGCGCTCCTTGAGAAAATCGCTCAGCTGCAGAGACAGATCGACAAGCGACGGAAGGCGGAGGCGCTCTTTGACAATCTCGACCGGGATTTCCCAGACCTGGCCAGTATTGCCCGAGAGGAAGCGCGACGGCGAGGATTGTGAGTTTCTAGCTGGGAGGAATAGAGTGTAGATAATTATGATTCTGGGGGATCTGAGGCGTCAAGGTTAGGAGCTGTATATAGAAGAAACCGAAGAATCTGAAAAAATCTGAAGAATCTGAAGAATCTGAAGAATCCGAAACATCTCAAGACTTCCTGGCTGTCCGAGTCTGGTTGACATGGACATGGAGCGGAAGCGACCCAAGGAAGCCGGCGGAGTTCAAGCCGGCGTCGATCCTCGCCGCCTCCACAACCACCACCGCCTCGCCTCGCTCGTTCCCTCCCTCAAGTCCCTCTCCTTCTTTCATCCCTCCTCCGCTCCGTCACCTCGCTCCCCCTCCGTGTCGGCCCCGTTCGATCTGCTCGAGGTTCTCGCCTTGTCGGCGCCTGCTGTACAAATCACTCGACGTCCCGTCTGGTTCTCGTCTTGTTCTCACGCCCCCTCCGGTTCAACCCCAGCTGGTTGGTATGTTATTGCATGTTTGGGAGTCCCATGGTTGGCGCCCTCTGCGAACGCCTTCCTCCCCCCCCCCCTCAACTCCTCACTCCTCACTCCGCGCAACTCGCGGCCCTGCCCTGAGTTCTGCGCCGGATGAGATCCCCTCCGTCGATCGATGCCTGGCTCGACCCTGTCCCCCACTTACTTTGAATTGACCATGCTTGTCTGCTAGTTCCCACCCACCGCCGTGACCCGCCGCCGCCTGTCGTTCCCCCGACGAGGGCTGTCGGCCGCAGTCCAAACAACACCACAATCCTGACCGCCTCCGAAACCCACGACTCACTCTCCTTCGCACGATCCCACGCACACTCTCCTTGAGCCTCTTGTCCCGCCCCTGCCTCACCTTCAGCTCGCTACGTCGCCGGCCCCGAGCTTTACTCAGAAACCCCTCTATTGTCCGAAACCGCGCCCCTCCTCCCGCCCCGCCATGCCCTGCTTCAAAGGTCTCGCCGTGAGTATACACACTCCGGACGGCCCTATCTCGGAATATTCGATCCAACGCCAGTCTCGAGCCTCTCGCATAGCCTGCTTCATCCCCGTGCCGCCGCCCAAGATCCCCGAGTCCGGCTCCGGTCGACCTGAACAATCCACTTTCGCCATCTCCATCACCCTCCTCAATCCCGCCCAGGATGTGCCGTACTCCGCCCCGAAACCGACCCCGGACAACCCCACGCCCAAGCCGAAAGTGGTTGGTGGGCTGCCAGGATCGACTGGGGAGCGGGGTCAGTACAGCAGCATGGTGGCTCCGTATCAGGCGTTGACCAATTCGCCCAACGAGACGGTCGCCGCCTACATCTATTTTGATGGCCGACAAAAGGAAGAGGTGGCTACTTTGCTGCGCAGAGGCGAGGAGACCTGGGTCAACTCCCGATGGGTCAGTGTGCCGGAATCCGAGGGTGGGGGTCTTGCCGAACGCGAGTTCCTTTTCCGCGAAGTCGGGCTCGAGAGATGGCTGAACGGCCTGGATCTGGAAGGGAAAGATGCAGCCGCCAAGATCGAGCGCAGACGGCAAAAGATGGAAAAGCGTCGGATGAAGCGCGATGAGACTGGTGACTTGATGATGGACACCAAGTCGGGCAAGGACGGCAAGGGCATCATGCGCTACGGCAACGATGCGAAGTCCCCGCTGGAAGATATCTCCGACGACGACATGTCTTTCTCCGACTCAGATGACGATCCGATTCCGGAGTCGCAGGGTCAGATCAAGGTGGCTCTCTTCCGTGTCCTGGCCTCCGGGGAGATCAAACGGGGCGAATACTCACCGCAGTTCGATGCCCATGATGACGACGATGAGGGCCAGGGCGGAAATGGCAACGGCGAGGACCCGGATATCGACCATACAACGAGCTTTGCGAAGCCGAAAACGCTCGACCCCAAGACGATCAGCACGCAGACCGTGACTGGAATCGACGCGTCCGACAAACCGTACGCCGTCTTCACATTCATGTACCGCGGTGGACGTAAGTTTGTTCCCCCCCCCCTATTTAATGGGAAAAGCTGGACTGACTAAGACACAGGGCAGTTACAGAAGATGGGGATTGTGAAGGACTCCAAAGCACAGGAGACTCCCGGATCGGCTAAACGCCGGTCATTACAGACCGATTTCGCCAACCTCGGTCCACTGAAACCTGGCGGCACGGTTGGATTTTTGAACTTCCGAGAGAACGCAGAAAACCAGCGCAAGGGCAAGAAGGACAAGAAGGCCGGTCGAGACGATGAAATGGATAGTGACGACGATGAAGATGACTCTATCCTGGGTAAAGCTGATGAGGAAGAGGGCAAGGAAGACGATCTGCATCTCTCCCCGGACGATATCAGGAGACAAGGAGAGCTGGCGGAGAGCATGCGGAAGATCAAGGTCCGTGCGGTTTTTCTTTATTCTAGCAATCACCTTCTAACATCGGAGTACAGCTCAAACGACAGCATTCGTCGGCGTCGCTGGCGACCAACACGCCTCCCGCTGAGGCTGGAAGCCCGCGTGCCGCCGTGGAGACTCCCTCGTCATCCAACGTTTCCACCACGCCGCCGTCTGTTGCCGCCCCCGTCGCCGCCCCCGAAGCCCCCAAGCCAGCCGTCAATCCCCTGAATGGAGGAGGATTCGTCGGCAGTCCGTTGAAGAAGCAACGGGCAAGCGTATCGCAATCGGACGAAGACGCCATGCGTCGACGGATCGAATCCGGTCTTTCGCAGGAAATCACCAACACCGACCCGGAGCCCAGCTCGCACGCGGCCCATGCCCTCGGCGCGAACCTGCACAACCCCCAGGAAAACGAGGACGAGGAACTCTAGGCCTAGAGGGACTTTTACTCTTATGAAGTAGACCCAGACCACGCCATCTCCAACCATGTCGACCACAAACCCAACCTAACCAAACCACTCTTCCCTCTCCAAGCCACACCAAACACCACTCTCAAAATCCTCTCTTCCCTTACTCTTTCTCTTCTTCTTCATGGACACATGACGACGACCCGATGTTAGAGCCCACCAATCAATCGCCCTCGACTTGGTCACATCGCATCATCATCATCATAATCATCATCATCATCATCGTCATCATGTTGATTACGATCTACTTCTCAATCTTCATATCTATGGCTGACATCTATCTACGGTTGTGAAACAACACGGTTGAATATCTGACGGATTTATCATGACTGAAGTCGTTTATCTTTTTCTTACTTTTTCCTTTCCTATTTTTCTTTCTCTTTTTTTTTTTTTTTCCTTCTTCCGTTCTCCTTTTCACACTACCACTACCACTACCACTACCACCCATGACTGACTGCCGGCTGATCTGACTGACTGGCTGGCTGGCTGGCTTGATTGACTGTACTTACTCGAGTCAGGGGACGATGAGATTACTAGTTAGACCAGGTAGCTGGGTAGCTGGGTAGCTAGCTGGCTGGGTAGGGGATGGATGGGGTGGAATGGGATGGGATGGAATCGATCCGGTAGCGGAGGTAATTGATATAGACGCAATGAGTCACGCAAGTTGCACGCTAGATGTGTTTTTTTTATTGATTGATTGATTGATCATTTACCTAGTACCTACTTCATGGCACTCTGTGGGTATAGAGCTAGCTAGCTATACGGAGCACCGCAGTATAAACAAAAAACCTAAACCCAAAACCCAAAGCCCCGTTTTTTGGCCATCTTAACCAAGGTACGGGTTGCCTGCCATGCCATGCCATGCTTTGCCCATCCCTATGCCACTGCCAATATTGCCACCCGTCACTGCGGAATTTGTGGAACTCCCAAGCTACTAACTAACTAATCTACGGACCGCACCGACCTCCCTCCCGCTCCCATTCATTATCCCTCTCCTGTGTCCCGTTCCGTGAATGCAGATCCAATCTACGGAGTACACCATCAGATAACCCCCCTATCTCGCGAAGAAGCAAAGATACCAGTCCTTCCCAGTCCCAGTCCTCTTAGCTCAACCGAGCAGAAATTACGAACTCTTCTCTTTCTTTATTTACTTTTACGTAGAGTATATCCTAGCTAGGTACCTATGCCAAGCGAAATCTTAGGGGGGTATACAGTATATAAGACCAGGACGCCGATACTGGGATTGACTTCCCCTGCGCCGTTGGCAGGGCGGTGGATGTGGGAGGACCTGGATTGGAAGATAGTCGCCGAGGAGGGCCCTGGTTTTGGCTGGTTTGAGACTGATTGATGTATAGAGGAGCGGACATTGAGGTAGCAGCGGGTACTGTACTGCATGCTTGATGTGGGGGGAAGGGGGGGGGTCTCCGGTTCATATCGCAAAGACAAATGGGTATCGGGAGCTAGATTAGCTGGCCGATAAGGTGGGCTGGTTGGTAGCCGGGGCGGGAGGAAGGTCCTACGCATAGTCTGTTGCTGCTGGTTGGTAGATTCGGTGACGATGGTTGTATAGCCGAAGCGAACCACTACCAAATGAGATAGATCGTGGCGACTGACAGCTGGGTTAATCGCATTGAATGCGCGGCAAGAACGGGTTCGCTGCGAGGAGCTGGTCCAAGCCCGCTGGTGCCTCGGTGTCGCTTGATTCCTGCGTGTGGCCGCGCGCAAGTGGGTGTGGAACAGTATGTGGGAGGGAACGATGCTCGGATATCAGGCCGGTGTTAGCATCCCAAAGGAGTTCGTCCTCCCACATGTTCTGGAGGAAGCTGTTCTCTGCCTTCTTTTCTCCCAGATATAGATTGAAGAGTGAACTGGCGCCGACTAGAGTCTCGTTAACGGCAGTTGTGTCGTAATTTCCCGAAACCATACGTAGGGTTTCAATGGCTTGCGGCTGACGCGTCCGTGATTCTCGAGTGTCTATTGTCAGCAATGGGCACAGTGCCTAGAAAGGAACAGTCATAACATGCCACCAGGGCGTTCTTTCGTCGACTAGGGTGGTGGCTAGATCAAAGCTCTCATCGATCAACCGCAGGACTTTATCAAAGACACTATGGGAGACGATACGACCGATAGCATGGAGTCGGCGGTAGATGGACAGTCCGATGTTACAGCGCATCAACTGTAGCACGGTGGATTCCAGACTGAGCCCCACCGTTTGCAACAGCAACCGTTCCAATGCGGTGGCGTCTAGGTGGTTCTTAGGATCCAGAGCGTCGGAGATCTGCCAGATGGCGAGCTGTTCCGCCGACCAGAAGTCTTTGGGAAGGGTACAGGTTGCCCCGTGAAGCTCCACGCGAGGGTGTCCGTACTCGTATGCGATCCACATGTGAAGTTGTTGAGCCACGGCATAGATCCGTCTCCTCTGCTCCGGACCGTAGTGGGCATCGCAGGCGGGGAACCGAGCCTGGCTGGATGGCTCTACATGTAGGCTGACTGTCCCCACCATATGCATCAGTGTGCAACTGGCCAGCCACGTCGCGTGCGGTGACCGGACTTGTCGCAAGTAGATCACCCAGATCACCCACGCAACGTGATGCACCGTCGGAGACTCGAGCTTCGTCGAATATTCCAGCGCGACTCGGGCACTTATTTCGAGGTTGGATAGAAGCGATATCACATAGCCGGTGAACTGACATGTCAGGGCACACAGGCCCAGAAGCGCCCCGTGAGAGGGATCGGACAGTGGTGGCTTTGTGGTGATGACGTGGGCGACCGCGCGGTCGATCATTTTACGTTCGAGAAAGCTGTAGATTGGATCCACTTCGGCAAAGTACGTCTCGACCATTTCCTTTATGTCCTCGTCCTCCATAAGGTCTGTGATGTGGGTGGGATTCTGAACAGGGCTGCTGGGGTGGTGCGCTCGCCCAGATTCCACGAGCAAAGCCGCATGGGGGCAGTCGGAGAGGGACTAGGCCTGCATGTCACGGCGAGCTCCGGTTTCTCTATGGAAGGTGCCAGTTCCAGATGCACATTGTCTGGCTCGGATGGGGACTTGCGATGTAGCTTTGACGCGTGGAGGCATTTGCGGTAGGTGCTGACGCAAGACTGTTGGCCGTTAGACATGCTCTTTTTCTCCCGACAGGAAACACAAGGCTTCCTTGAGGTTCTGGCGGGGGATAATGAAGAAGCCGTAGTTTGACGTGGGATAAGAGGGGGGGGGAAAGGAGATGAAGGAGGTTGAGGCGGAAACGCGCGGGCGGGCGTGGAAATGGGATCGCGGAGGTGGAGGCCTTGGCGCCTTCCCGGACGGGCTTTCGCTCTCAGGCTCGTCCTCTCCGCGACTTTCCCCTCAGCACCGTCGCTTCTCCCCGCAATCCCTGCATCTCACACGAGGCCAAATCTACGGCACACCTCTACACAGTACACGGAATTGACCATCCGCTCCGCACAATGCCTTTGCCACGCTCCTCGGATCCCCTCGTGTGGATCGACTGCGAGGTGCGGCATTCCTCTCCTTTGCTTCTCTCCCAAACCCGGACTGACGATTTCTCCCTCAATCGCCCGTGGATGTAGATGACCGGTCTGGATTCGGAAACCGACCAGATCCTGCAGATCTGCTGCTTCGTCACCGACGCCGACCTCAACCTCCTCGACCCGCAGGGATTCGACACCGTCATCCACCACCCGTCCTCCGTCCTCGATAACATGAACGAATGGTGCATCGACACCCACGGTCGCACCGGCCTGACGGCGGCCGTGCAGGCCTCGACCACTACGGCGGAGGAAGCGGCCAGCGCTCTCCTGGCATACATCCAGCAGTACGTGCCGCAGCCGCGGACGGGACTGCTGGCGGGGAACAGTGTACATGCGGACAAGGCATTCCTGGCCAAGGGGCCCTACAAAGCGGTGCTGGAGTGGCTTCATTATCGGATCGTGGATGTGAGTGCGCTCAAGGAAATGGTACGACGATGGGGGTCGAACGAGCTGCTACAGGCGGTTCCGGGCAAGAAGGAGGTACATCTGGCGCGGGATGACATCTTGGAAAGCATCGAGGAGATGCGATTCTATCGGGGGCGGCTGTTCGGATAGCTGAGTGGCTGGTGGAGTCTGTGCGTGGGAGCTGCCAGTGCTGTGTTGTACATGCCAGGATGGTGAGTAAGTAGATACTACTAGATAGCATGTAGCAAGTCGATAGCTGGGAGGGGAAGAGGGTGTATGGATGCCCAATGGGCAAGGGACTGGCCAGCATTGAGTAAGTGGCGGCCAAACCGGGTCGAGCCCCTCCAAGTGGGGGGTTTTGGTGTCCCTCCCACGGCTGAGTTGGGCGTAGTTTCACTTGCGCCGCCGCTATATTTACTTTCCTCCCCGCTGCTTGTCTTTCTCCTGTCCTGCTAGTTTCTCCTCTTCTCCCCTGAGCCCCTCCTCACGACTGCTTTATATACCGCTGTGATACCCCCCTCTCCTCCCCCCTCCTCCTCCTTTCCATTCAACCTCATCCTCCCCCTCCACCCACAATGTCCGTCCAGACCGTCTCTCTCACCCCCTTCACCGACCAGAAGCCTGGCACGTAAGTCCCCCCCCCCCTAATTGCTCTTCTCTTCATCGCAATCCCACTCACAACCACAGCTCTGGCCTCCGCAAGAAGGTCAAGGTCTTCCAGCAGCCCCACTACTCCGAGTCCTTCGTCACCAGCATCCTCCTCTCCATCCCCGAGGGCGCTCAGGACGCCTTCCTCGTCATCGGTGGTGATGGCCGCTACTACAACACCGAGGTGATCTCCAAGATCGCCAAGATCGGCGCCGCCTACGGTGTCAAGAAGCTGCTGGTCGGCCAGAATGGCATCCTCAGCACCCCCGCCGCCAGCAACCTCATCCGCATCCGCAAGGCCACCGGTGGTATCCTGCTGACTGCCAGTCACAACCCGGGTGGTGAGTACAACGATGCAATCTCCTTTTCCCAGCCAATCTAACCCGGTGTCTCTCCAGGTCCCGACAATGACTTCGGCATCAAGTACAACCTGGCCAACGGCGCCCCCGCCCCCGAGTCCGTCACCAACAAGATCTTCGAAGCCTCCAAGTCCCTCACCTCCTACAACTACGTCGACATCCCCGACGTCGACACCACCACCATTGGCACCAAGACCTACGGCCCCATCGAGGTCGAGGTTGTCCACTCCACCACCGACTACGTGACCATGCTGAAGGAGATCTTCGACTTCGACCTGATCCGCGACTTCCTCAACACCCACAAGGACTTCAAGGTGCTGTTCGACGGCATGCACGGTGTCACGGGCCCCTACGGCGTGGACATCTTCGTCAACGAGCTGGGCCTGCCCAGCAGCAGCACCATGAACTGCGAGCCCAAGCCCGACTTCGGCGGCGGCCACCCGGACCCCAACCTCGTGTACGCGCACGAGCTGGTTGAGGCCGTCGACAAGAACGGCATCCACTTCGGCGCGGCCAGCGACGGGGACGGTGACCGCAACATGATCTACGGCGCCAACACCTTCGTGTCGCCCGGTGACAGTCTGGCGATCATCGCCCACCACGCCAAGCTGATCCCCTACTTCCAGAAGCAGGGCGTCTACGGCCTGGCCCGCTCCATGCCCACGTCGGGCGCCGTCGACCGCGTCGCCGCGGCCCAGGGCCTGCAGAGCTACGAGGTGCCCACGGGCTGGAAGTTCTTCTGCAACCTGTTCGACAACCAGAAGATCTCGATCTGCGGTGAGGAGAGCTTCGGCACGGGCAGCAACCACATCCGCGAGAAGGACGGCCTGTGGGCCGTGGTGGCGTGGCTGAACGTCATCGCGGGCGTCGCCAAGCAGAAGCCCAGCGAGACGCCCAGCATCGCGTCCATCCAGAACGAGTTCTGGCAGACCTACGGCCGCACGTTCTTCACGCGCTACGACTACGAGAACGTCGACAGCGACGGCGCCAACAAGGTCATCGCCACCCTGTCCGAGCAGGTCGACAAGAAGGACTCCTTCGTCGGCTCCACCGTCTCCGGCCGCAAGGTCGTCGACGTCGGCAACTTCGCCTACACTGACCTCGACGGCAGCGTCACCAAGAACCAGGGCCTGTACGTCAAGTTCGACGACGGCAGCCGCATCGTCGCCCGTCTGTCCGGTACCGGCAGCAGCGGCGCCACCATCCGTCTGTACATCGAGAAGTACGAGAGCGATGCCAGCAAGTTCGCCCTCTCCTCCGACGAGTACCTCAAGGACAATGTTGCCCTGGCCATGTCCCTCCTCAAGTTCAAGGAGTACATTGGCCGTGAGGAGCCGGATGTCCGCACGTAAATGAGAATATCGAACCCGCATGAACATAGTAGCTGTACCGAGTGCAGTGCATACATATATCATTCCTGAAAATGCATCTAATCATTCCCTTATTATCCCGTGTCCCATCCGAGGATCTATCCCATCATAAGAATCGTAACAATCATAATCGTAACCATAATCATAACCATAACCCTACCACATCTATCCCATCCTCACCTCCCCCCCCCTAAACCCCTAAACCTCCCTCCCCCCCTCCTCCACATCCCCAAGTTTCCTCTCCCACCACTCCCCCCACCTAACCACCACCCCCTCCCTCCTCGCCTCCTCCGCCGCAAAAACCACCGCATGACTCCTAACCACTTCTTCCAAATCACACCCAACAAACGTCCTCTGCGCCTCGTCGACCTCCCACCCCCAATTGACCACCTTATCAACGGCATCCACGAACCCCCTCGCCAGGCCATAATCGCCACCGCCATGGGCCTTCTCCTCCTCGGGGTTCGGGGGCCGCGGGACGTCGATGGTGCGCGACGACCGGGTCTGGAAATCGTAGATGGTGATGGTGCGGCTGTCGTAGGTGAGTTCGCCGGCGGTGCCGTAGATGCGGCCGCGGCGTTCGCACTGTTTCTCGGTGGCGGCGATCATGTGGAAGAGGGCGGTTTTGGGGTGGAAGGTGGCACCGTTATTGTTGGGCTGTGCGGGGGACGAGGACCAGGTGAGGGTGACAGTTTGGGAGTCGAGGACGGAGTTGTCGGATTCGTAGACGCAGCGGCCGTACCATGGACGGGAGTGGATGGCGGTTTCTTGTTCGGGGGTGGTGGGGGGTGGGTAGTCTTCAGCGAGGCGGGCGAAGAGGTGCGATTTGGGGGAATTGATATCGGTGTTGGGGGGGTTGGATTCATCCGCCGTAGCAGAAGCTGCTCTGACAACATCTTCAATATCCTCACAAACGATATTAACCGGCCAGTCGATGTCGCCCTTCTCCAGATGCATATCATGATAAATCCTGACGGCACTGTAAACGCAGTCCCTCTCGACGGGACACGCCAAACAATTGGTCGCCGGCCCCGCCTTCGCTGGTTTCCTGGCCTTGATGAACTGCGACAACACGCCGGATGAAGAGATGGTGCTTGGAAGATGATGGGGAGCACGAGAGGCCGCATTCGGAGCTGGTGAGCACATCAGCCACATGATGAAGTCGATGTCGTGGCAGGATTTGGTCAGGAGGGAGCCGTCGCCGGTGGGGGTCTCGCGGCGCCAGTTGCCCCGGACGTAGCTGTGCGCGAAGTGCCAGAAGCCGACGGGCTCGGTGTGTTCGAGGGAGATGATGTCGCCGATGACGCGGTCGACGAGGAGGAGGGAGCGCAGGAGGGTGTTGTGCGGGCTGTAGCGCAGGACGTGGCCGATGGAGAAGATGTTTGTGGACTGGTTGGGGGTGAGGATCCGGTAGATGGAGAGGCAGTCGGTTAGGGAGAGCGCGAGCGGCTTTTCGCAGAGGATGTGCAGTTTGAGGGGCGCCAGGGCGTGGAGGATTGAGACGTGCGTCGAGTCGAGCGTGCATATGAAGACGCCGTCGACGCCGATGGGGGTTGGGCTGGGGGTGCTGGTGTTGAGGGTGGATAGCGTCTCTCGTCGTTTCAGCTCCCATTGGAGCCAGTCGCGCCAGTCGGCGAATTCCTGGCCATCCTGGGGAGTGCCATCCTCGCCCCAGATGTAGGATCGGCCGAGGAACTGACGCTTAAAGGGGTGAGGTTCGGCGACGGCGTGGATGGTGCCTTGGGTTGCGGTGGTGACTGCGCGGGCGTATGCAGTGCCTCGGGAGCCGGCGCCGATGATGAGGAAGCGGAGGGGACGGGGGGTGGTGAGGGGATGGGCTCTTTCATGGTCGGAATGTTGAGTGAGGGGAGGAGTGAGAGGGGAGGAGTGAGAGGGGAGAGGAGGAAAGAGAGAGAGAGAGAGAGAGAGAGAGAGAGAGAGAGAGAGAGAGAGAGAGAGAGAGAGTTGATATACTCCGCCAATGCAAGGGATTGCGGGGGATGAGAAAGCCGCGGCGCTGGTTGGTCGAGCAGCAGCAGGGCATTCTTATGTCATCGCCAGTGTCAGCAACTGGATACCTTAGGCACGCTGTAAGTGTAAGTGTAAGAGTCAACATAAAGAAGAGATAAGACATTATTATTCACTATTCACATGGTTATTTTTATCTCCATAAGGACGGACGGATGGACCGCACGACGACGGCACAAACAGAAAATAGATGAATTGGGGTATCCATAAGAAAACAGGCTAGCAAGTAGTACAGATTGCAGACGTGATCAACATGACCATGGCGTATGTCACACAGACCGACAATGTCCCGCTATTAACTCCTCCACCACTACCATAACCACCACCATATGTACAGAGTGCGAGTATATAACCCCATACCCGCTTTAGATACTCTCCGTGAACCGACTGCCCCGGCTGCCATCGAAGCTGGGGTGGCTGCGCCCCAGCGCGTCCGGCCGTTTGGGCATCGTCGGCGACAACGGCCCGGCCTCGGACACATGGATCTGAGGCACCTGCGACACGGGACGCGGGCCCATGTGCTCGCTGTGCAGGCTGGCGTTGGCCGAGGCCGTGCGCGCCGGCGACGGTCGGAACACCATCATGCGGCCCGCCGTCTCCTCGGCCTCGCGGGTGTAGCTGGCATCCAGCGGCATGCCGTAGGGGGTGGCCAGCGGGGTTGCGTGGTGGGCGAGCGTGGCTGGACGGGCGAGCCCGCGGAGAATGTCTCGGACGTCGTCGGCGACCCGGGCTCGAAGCCCCCGCCGTAGCCGTCGCCGCCCGAATGCAGCACCGACGGGATTTTGCGCCCGGCGATCTTCTGGAAGCCGCGTTCGCTGGGTTCCGAGCTCACGCTGTCTTCGGTGCGCGTCGTCATGTGCGATTGCCGCCACCGTTTCATGAACGCTGGGGCAAAGTACGAGGCTGTAAAGAGGGGGTCATTGCTGGACCGCCGCGAGGCCATTTCACCCATGCGGGTGAAGGAGCCTTCGGTCGTCGCCGTGGCAGCCGTGTCCGGGGCCGGAAGGGCGCCCGTCCCGGACGGGAGGAGGCCCTGCATGCCCTTCTTTTTGCGGCGGAGCAGCCAGGCCACGATCACAAACACGATCATCGCAGCCGCGACACCGCCCACCACGCCGCCGGCGATCTTGCCTTTGGCCTGGTTGCTGAGCACACCCGAGCCCCCGGAGGAGGACCCGGACGAGGTCGACAAGGGAGCGTTTCCGGTGGCCGTGGCGCCGGATCCGCCGGCTCCGCCACTCGAGCCTGTGCTCCAGGTACCGTAGAATGAGTCGGTGGAAGAAGATCCCGAAGAGATGTAGGTGTCCGTGGCGCTGGTCACGGAACCGGTGTAAGAAGAAGTCGTAGTCGTCGCCGTACCCGTGGCAGTGTTGGTGGATTGCGACCCGGACCCGAAGACCCAGGCAGAGCCGGAGCCAGAGCTGACTGCCGTGCCCGAACCCGAACCCGAACCCGAACCCGAATTGCTGCCCTGCGTCTGACTGGGACTGTAGTCGGAGAAGGCACTCGACGGCTTGCCAGACACCATAGACGGGTGCGCGGTTGCCGCTGAACCGGCGACACCGAACAATGGCGTGGACGTTTTCGATGGGATGGAACTAGACGCGAGGGGGGCCGTGGATGACGCTTCCCGAGTACTGGTCACGGCCGGGGTGTCCGCCGTGGGCGAGGAATACGCAGGTGAGGGATGTGGGTTGTCGGCAACCGAGATGCTGGCAGAGAGCGATACAATAATGGACTCCGCCTCAGTTGACACGCCAGATGTCGCGGCCACGGTGGACTCGTCGGAGACGGTGGTTGGAGGGGTGGCTGACGTGCCGGAGCTAGCTGCCTGCGAATTATGATCGACCACGTTGATGACGGTTGCTGACACGGTCGTCTGGTCGTTCGCCAATGTGTCCGATTGCTGACGTTTCTCGAGCAACGAGGCATCGGTGTCCTGTTTCTGGTGGTCCCGGTCGAGAATCAGTTCGTCCTTCAACCCGTATACCACTGGTTCCGGAGATATGGCGGTTGGCGAGTCGGGCTGCTGGTCGGCGTCCCCGTACGATCCCGAATCGGGCTGCGATTTCTTCCTCATCATCCGGTTGTAGCGAGTATGACTGGTGCCATGATGGGCCATCCTGCTAACATCCAGGTCTGGCGTCGAACCGCCCAAATTCCACTAAGGGTCCGCCGTAGTCTTGCGAGGGGAAAGAATGAGATGCGAGCACACGGTCTCGGATAAAGCGATAGACTGGAAGGAAAGGTGTCTGCCTGCCGACACGAATGGTGACTGCAAAGGAGTGCGTGATTAAGCCGACGGTGGGTCGACTGGGAAGCGAAGGTAAAGAGCGACGAACAAGGTCGATCTATGCGCGAGATAAAGAGAGACACCGGCGGTCAAAAGTCGAACGAGTGACTGAGATGGAGTGGAATGGCGAAACCAAGGAGCGGACGTCAGCTGGAATATGCAGCCGACAAGGTCAAGTAACTAGATGAAGAAGAAGAAGAAGAGAGAAGACCGAAAGGCATAGACAGAGATCTAAGACGAGTCAAGCGTCAGCATCCCACCAGCCAGCACAGGCAGACCAACTAGATAGGTCAGTCACCCCAGACATCCATCCATACATACCTGCAACGAAAGAGAAACAAATAAATAGAAGAAAAAAAGAGGATGATAAGAAGAAGAAAAGAAAAAGAAAAAAAGACGCAAAACGAAGAACGGCGTCTCTTTCCACCAGACGATGCGATGCGAACTTTCCAGCAGGGACGATAGATGCGAAGATAAGTCAGCTCGACCCTAATCCATACTGGCCGAACCCAGCTTCCTCCGAGCGACTTGGGCGAGAAGTGAAGAAGTGCGCGGCCGCCCGGCGACGGCAGGAGGAACAATTAATATTAATAGTCGAGGGCAGCAGGGAATTGGGTTGGCGTTCCACTCGACCCTCCCACCGGTCCAAGGATCCACGCTAAGACCAAGGTTCCGGACCCAGGACTGTCACCGGTGATCGGTTCTGTTTTGTTTTTTTTTTTTTCTCTTTCGAGATCCTTTACGATGTTGAATATCGGGATATGCCGGAATGGATGAGGTGAGATGATGAGTTGGGATTGCCGGTCCGGGGGGGGGAAAGAAAGAATTGGGGGGAGGGGGGGGGAAGAAGGGAAAGGGGAGGGGAAAGAAGGTGGGGAAAGTAAAAGTGAGAGAGAAGGAGGGGAAGAGGAAGTGAAGAGGAGAGGATGGGATGGAATAATGGGATGGGATAGGATGGGTAGGATGCAGTAAAAGAGCAACGGGGAGGGGGAAGGAGAGAAGGAAAAGAAAGATCGAAAGTCGAAAGTCGAAAGACGAAAGACGGGAAGCGAATAGTGTAGTTAGAGAGACCGACAAGACGACAAGACCGACACCCGCGTGGGAGCATCGATCAGGCCAGGCCTAAGAATAGGTGTAGCTTACTAGCTAGCAGCAGGTTAGCAACCGCCGGGTCTTAGACCTGCAGCGTCACTACTATCTACTAGTCAGGATCCCGGTATTGCTCTTACCGTACGTACGTTCGCCCTGGTAGGACGGGAAATAATACTATTGACAAAATACAGAGATCGTTCTTCGATCTCTGCTGAACAGCATTATTTATTATTATACGGAGTATCCGTAACCCGAGTACTACCTACCATGCTGTCTAGTTACTATGTACCCCTACAAGCCTGATGATTCGCTCGCATAGCTGCAGCTGCACCCCATAGCCGCACTGGGAACAGCACCGTACACTGTCGATCCTGAGCGAACCGAAGAGACAAGAGCAAGAGACAGCAGGAGTAAGTACGGTACCGTACGGGGTGGGGCAGGTTCCCTCCCCTCCCCTCCCAATCGGGTACCGTCTGATGGCATCATTGGCCCGGGGCGGTGGCCGAAAGGGGGTCGCCAAGCGGGAGGTTAATAAAACGCCGGGCGGCGCGATGTTTCGCTCCCCAATCTAACGCCCTCATTAATGCGAAGGCCTTTTTAATTTAAGATGAGCTTTGCCCGAGTCGTGCCTATCAGCTGTCCGTATTGCCCGGCAATCCCTGGGTCTGTCCCGTGTGAGGGGCTGTCTAGCATCTTAACTTGGGAGAGAAAGAAGGTATCTACTATCTCACCCTGCAGGTACAGACTAAAGACTGACTACAGACAGCAGACAGCAGACAGCAGACAGACAAGGAACAGGGTCAACACCATTCCCATCCTGCCTGCAGTGCATACGCTAGTTCATTCCGCAGCGCAAGAAGTAATCAAACTGACAGTGTATCTATCCAGTCCATCCAGTCCAGTCCAGTCTCAAAGATAAGCAAGCAAGCAAGAAAGCCAGAACCAAGAAGCTCCATCCCAATCTCCAACCGCCCAAAAATCATTCCCCCAAATACAAGAACCAAGCTACGACACGGCACAACCAAGAGTAAGAACATAGCTAGAAGGTAACCCAGCCGTAGAAACTCCGGGGTGTTTCTTTTTACCCGACCCATCAATAAATAATATTCCATCCGGGACGGACAGGGCGAGTCGAATCCACTCCATCACGCAAGGGACAAAACCTCCTGATCCAATTGTATCCAAACCTGCAAGGTACACTTTACACTTACACTTACTGCCTGCCTGCTTCGGCACGCACATATCATGCTGCACCGAACTACCCACGGCCAGGTAGGTAGACAATCGGTCAAGCATTTACCCCTCGAAGGTAATAATTAACAAGCTCTAGCTAGCTGGATAGCTAGCAATTGAAACCAACTACTAGATACCACGTAGATACATACCGATCGGTTCCTTATTAGGTTCCATTGGTACAGAAGTATCTATCTATCTAGGTAAGTAAGTAAATAAAGATGGAGCAAAACGTTATCTTAACAGCCCTTATTAAGACCGAAAACAGACTAACTAAGCTCCATGTCCGTCTCCCAGTACTAGACTGACTAGATACCTTGGATAGTAAGTAAGTAGCGCTTTCATGCATGCAGGACACATGCACGCCATCTCCTAACTTCGACTCATCCCAACCCTAACATGAGTATTTCTGCCCGGCACTCTGTGCATAGATACCTCTCCTAAACAAAACCAACCCATCACCAAGAACAGCCAAGTACCACATCCACAGCAACAACACACAAAACTTAACTGCTAGTAACTACCTATTGTACCTACTGGGTAACAAGATACACGCATACGTAACTCCCCCCCCCCTCAAATCCCAATCCGTGTCTCAGAACCACCCACCCCCACTTAAGGCACTCATTACGTTCCTGTTCTTCACTCACCCGGTCTCGACTCTTACACCTACACTTACACTTACACTTACACTTATACATAAACATAAACATAAACACAACCACGACCGCTATTTATATCATCAGTGTATGTCTGCCTACCACCTAAAACTAACTATTACATCAAGCATCCGGAGTTGTTATAAGATCAAGTGCACGCGCCATCCATCTATCTAGAATCCTGCGGCCTACAGGCTACAGGCTATCTACAGGCTACGGCTGTCATGTCGACACTAGGGATAGTAGTACCTAGGGATGGGGAGAGGTAGTACCTCCCTAGAACCGGACTGGAATGTTCGTTGAAGATTCGCCGATTCGAACATTCGAGGAATGTTTCTGTTTCTGTTCTGTATTACTATTCCGTGCCTGGTATGGAACTTGTCAGAGCAGGATCGAAATCGAAGAATCTCTCCAGATTAGATTGATGGCATGGCATGGCGTGTCATGTAGCATTCCCATCGATCTACATTCTACATTCTACATTCTACAACCCGCCATCCACAATCCACGCATCTAGATGACTGACGTATGTACTTAATTATACTATGTAACTGTACTATATCTTGCCATCATCCCGCCCACACTATTGGGAGAGGGGCCGATCGGCGAGGGTCGAAAGAAGGGTCTGGGATGGATCTCAGGTAGATAGAGCTCGACATATCCATCCAAACGTACGACTCATATGCATGCATACCCATGCAGACTGAAGCAGTCTAGCAGCAGCAGAAAAGAGGGGAGGGGGAAGGCCGGGACGGGTGTCGATCTTTCATCATGGGTTGAATCGGACTGGTTGGTTGGTTGGTTGGTTTGGTTCAGTTAACTAGTGAGATGGTGATGCCGTGTTTGTGAGAGGTAGATGGATGGAGAACCTAAGGTACCGACTCGATCTACTTATTTGGCGACCTATCTGCATACTCGATGTCTCATATCTATAGTATCAAGACATTAGATACTTGTGTACCTAGAGGGTAGGTGTCTCTACCTAGGCAGGAATATAGGATCCCGTTCTGGTGATAGAAAGAAGAAAAAGGGGCGAGTGAGTGATGCCGAAAGAGGACAACTACACGCTAGTCACTCACCTACTTTCTATCATTCCGACCACACACACAAACACACACACACACAGCATAAGATCACAATGAAATAGACTTCGGTTAACTACCAACTATACAAAGGCTGTCTGGACTCTGGGGACAAAACACTCTTTTTGGCATCTCACCCACTCCCTCTTACTCTCTCACTCTCTTACTCTCTCACTCTCTCACTACCCACTCACTCCCACCAGATCCATCCCCACTCGCGTTGCCCGGTCTAACGGAAGGGAAAGGAATGGAAGGGAAGGGAAGAGGGAAGGAAAACTAGATAAAGACGATATTGTTGACGTCGTAAGACGACCGGAGGAACGCTTGTGCTACACATGAAGATGAAGGGGGTATTAATAATGGACCAACATTATTATGACGAGGAAGCTCAGAAGGTTTCCAGTTCGTCCGCGACTGCCTCCGCCTCGGGGATCTCGAAGCCGTCCTGCAGCATCACGCGTTAGCATGCCACTCACCACGACCACACTCTACCCAGCCCAATCCTCATCACCCTCCAGATAAGGATAAGGGAAGACATACCTCCGTCGAGTACAAAATGCCCTGGATATGCTTGACGAGGGTATCCTCCTCCTTCTCGAGCTCAGGGTCGGCCTCGATGGCGCTCTGCAGCAGCAGCTCGATATCGCGAAGCTTGGCGAAGTAGAAGTCACGCTCCTTCTCCAAGCCGGCGATGGCCTCCTTCTGCGTGGCGATCTCGGAGGTCAGAGCCGACACGTTGGCCGCGCTGGCCGCACCGGACGCCGAGCGGGGAGCCCGGCCAGCAGCGACGGTGGGCGTGGTGCCGCGGCGCGTCGCGCTGGCCGAGGTCGCTCCGGCGCGAGGACCCGCGCCACCGGCCGGGGGAGCGCCCGAGGCCTTGCGACGGCTGACCGCGTCGTAGTCGCCGCCCGGGTAGTGCTGGTCCCAGTAGCGCTTCGTCCACTGCAGGAACTCCAGGTTGTCCTGCATACGGCATTTCGTGAGCGATTCGACCGGGATCGGCTTATCCACCTGGTGCTTGGCGAAGACGTCTGTAGTGAAAGTAACCCCGGGTTAACCAAGCAATCCTTTATCCTTTTATCCATATCCTTCTATCTATCCATCCTCTGGCTGAGCGGGAGTTGCAGGGTGGGTGCGTACTTTGAAGGACTTTGAAATTCTGCAGGTAGGCGTATTCGGTATTCACGTTGAACCGGACACGGGACATGGGGACATCCACTGGAGAGAGAAGACGAGACTGGTCAGATGGGATAGGCTCGAAAGGGAAAAGGGGCTAGGCCCGCGGGGGGGGGTAGGGGAGGGGGTAAGTTATTGACTCACTGAATATCGAGTCGAAGATCTGGCACAGAGCGGCACTGCGTGAAGTAAGACTGCATCAGTACTGATGATTTGAGGCAGATGCGGCAGACACCATTGAATTGAGGTCCTTGCGAGGACATCCGGTGAATGGTTGCCCTGCGGTGCCATGCGGTGCCATGCTGTCAGGGTGGGTGGCTTACCCAGTTCCGCACTGCTCAACCTTGGTCATGTTCAACTGCAGCAGGTTGTTGATCCATGCCAACAGTTCTTGTCTGGCGTCCGGGATTGTTAGCTGCGCGTAAACGATTCGAGCCATGGGCCCCTCAGAGGCCGCCTGGAATGCCCAACGAACCTGGATTCGCCCATGGTGGGGTAGAGTGGAAGGTTGTGTGAGGGTCGGGGAGGGGGTGGTGGGAGCCGGGAGGATGTGTGAAGACGACGGGGGTGGGGGGGTGAAGATGGACGTGCAAGACACAGGGAAGCAGTCCGAGGCGCTGGGAGGGCGGTGTTTATGTCGAGGAAAAACAAGGCGAGGTCGAGCAGAGGGGATGTTTTGTTGCTGTCGACAAAACCCACGGGACGGATTCCCGCTAGGCCGCTTCGGGCCAATCACAACGGCCGCTCCCCGATCGATCGGTGCCTCAGGCGGAGGCCGGGGGGCGTCTCGGGCAAACACCGGCCAGTGCCTTACCAGTGAGGTTTACGTTCAGGCAAACACGGTCCCAAATCATCATCATAATAATAATAGTACCCAACTGGGCCCCCGTAGATAGATTCCAGATAATAAGTATGGTAAGTATGGTAAGGTAAGTAAGCAAGTATGTGAATCTCTATCGCTCGCCAATGTATGTCCGGAAAGATCCCAAGCAACCCGAACATCCCAAACGCCTCCCAAAACAACGAGTGACTTTTCCATGCGTCAAACCAGATCGCAACGTCTAGCAAATGTATTAATTATTCTTCCAGCAAGTCTATGCCGTCTAATCCGTATCCAAAATCCATGATGACAGCCCGGGAATCCTGGCTGGTGGCGACGATGCGCCGGTAGTCCGACTTGACGCTGAGCATCCAGCTCGTCGTCCAGCCGGGCAGATCGATGGAGAGCTCGCCGTTCTGGGCGTCGAACACCTTGACGCTCATGTCGTAGCTCCCGCTGACGATGCGCTGGTTCATACTGTCCAGGTGCAGCGACCGGACCAGGCCCTCGTGGCCCTTGAGCTCGTTGACCATTTCGCCCGTGTTGGCGTCGAACTGGTAGATCACCTGGTCGTTGCCGCCCGTCAGGATGGTCCGGGCGTCGTCGCTGAACTCGACGCACGCCAGGCCGCGGTCCTTGCTGGGGAACTCCTTGATGCACAGCCCGGAGGTGATGTTCCACAGCTTGGCGACGCCGTCTCCGCTGGCCGAGACGACGAGGTCGCCTCGCAGCTGGACAGCATTCACGGGGCCGCGATGTCCCAGGAGCTTCTTCACTAGGACACCCGTGTGCCGGTCCCAGACACAAATGGAGGTGTCCTTGGAGCACGACACGATGTACCGGTCGTCAAAGCAGACATCCAGCACTCCCGCTCCGTGGCCCTCCAGCCGACGAATGGGCCGGTAGTCGTCCTTGATATCCCACACGATGCAGGTGAAATCCGACGACCCGGTGACCATGATCTCTTCGTCGAACTGGAGGCACAGGATGGAGGCACTGTGGTATTCCGAGCTCTGGTCCATGGGGGCCACGATCTCCGCCGAGCGCGTGGGCGGGGGGCAGATCGTCAGGAAGGGCGGCTTCCCGGCCGACTGCTGCGCGGGGTTGTTGACGGGGCCCACGCCAGCCACATCGCCGGGAGGCGGGCCGATGATCTTGCGGCACGGCCAGGGGTAGTGAGCGTCCCAGACGCGGATGGTCCGGTCGCGAGAACCGGTGATGATCTTGTCTCTGGAACACAGTTAGAATGATGTTGGTACTTCCGTAGGATACCAGGGAACATACTCGTCAAACTGAGCACAGTACACACTGTCCTTGTGTCCGTGCAGATAGATCGCCGCGGCTTTGCCTTCCTTCCACCGATGCTCCAAGGCCCGTCGGACCAGGAACATCTTCTTCCAGTCCTGGTCCGGAAGAGCCTTCCCAAGGCCAGCTGACTGTCTCTTCTTGGACGGAAGCCCGCTGGGGCGGTGGTGTCGGTAGGTGTGGCGGAAGACCTTTCGCCAGATGGCCCGGTCGGAAGCCAGCTCCTTCCACGCATGGGAAACCAGTTCCACCTGCATGAGAGACTCCGGGTCAAGGTAGGAGAACACCTGCGACATCAGCTCAGGGGGGAACCAGGTGGCCGGATCCACCCGCACAACCGCCAGAGCCGGGTCGGACAGCTCGGAGCGATCGCGCAGGTCGATTCCGATGCCACTCTCCGAGTCCTGCGTGAGCTTGGCATCTGACAGCTTGAGGCCCTCACGCAGGGCCCGGGTCAGTTCATTCTGAGCTGCTGCCGCCGCCCGGGCGGCTGCCCCGGCATAGAAGCTGTTCGGGAAGACGGGCGGCTCCAGGCCATTCCCGGGGATGGGGGCGGTCGCGGGGGCGTAGAACCCGTGCAGCGAAGACACGCTGTTAAGAGAGGGCCGACGGTTGATGCTGGTTTCGGTGTACCAGGAGTGCCTCGAGTCCTCGGGGTGAGGCTGGGCCGAGTGCCGCGACGACTTGCTGCGAAGCGTCACTGACAGGCGACGACCCAGGGCGCGCAGCCCGTCGACGGGGTGACGTAGGTTAGAAAAGCTCTTGGCTCCGCGGCGCCTAGGAACAGGCTCGGGGAAGTGGTTCATGTCCTCCAGGACCTGCCAGTCGTCCTCCTCTCCGGAGTCGACGACCGACAGGCCATTCCATACGTCGTGTTCTAATCCGGTGGTCTGAACGGCAGATGTGGTGGCAGTCCTGGGACGAGTGCGGACGGAGACGGAGGGAGGAGCCATGGCGTAAGTGTGATGGAAGCGTGACAATCACAGTCAAGGACAGCCACGCGGGGGCGCTCGGGAGATTGATATAGACTGGCGAGGAGGAGCTGTCCGAGGCTGGGCACACGATCAGGGGTCGACGCAAGGGAGAGACGCGGTTGCGAGATAAATACGTGCTGAGTCAATAGGGGATCTCCGGCGTGTGGAGAGGCTGAAGGGTCGGCAAGGGTCGTGAGCCGACAGCAGGCAGCCTGGGAGGATCGACCAGAAAAGACGGGTCAAGTCGAACTCCTGATAACAACACGGACGACGAACGAATGCGGGGGGGGGGGGGGAGTCGGCGAGAGAGGGAAGCCGAAGAAAGGAAGGAGGATAGCTGGGTTTGGGGGGGGGAGGAAGAAAAGAAGGAAAGGTAAACGACGTGTAGAAAAGGCAGAAAAAGAAAAAACAACGCAACGCGACCAGGAAGGAGAAGAAGAGCTGAGAGGAGGGAGGGGGAGAGGGAAGGGAAATAATCTTTAAGGATAAGTTCAGGCAAAAGGAGGCCCGGGCGGTGAGGGTCTTTGCCCCCCAGGATGCCCAGCCCGGCCAGCCCCGGGGCTGGTCCAGGCCCTTGATTCGACGGGGGAACGGTCGGTGGCGGCCTGGCGGCCTGGCGGCCTGGGGTTTGGCTCAGCAATTTTTCGCCGCCGAACTTTTCTGCCATTGCCATTGCCCATTGTCCGATTGTCCGATTGTCCGATCCCTGTCGGTTTAGGGCAGAATTGCTTACAGAGAAAGTGACTAGCAGGGAGATGGATGCCTGATGGGAGAGGTGTCTCATCCTCCTGCATACCGCCCGTCTCAGGGCGCAATGCAGGATGATAGTTTTCCGTCTAGTAGTACTCCGTACTTACTATCTTACTATACTAGATACTCGGTTTGAAACCCTCCTGCATGGTTATTGCATCCCTCGTCTGGTCGGTGGCATGCGCGGAACCGCCAACTCACCCAAACCCCCGACCGACCCCGTCAGATCGACTCCATCCAGCGCATCCACCTCCGTCCCGCCCCCGTGGGGTCACTCAATCCATCCTTAATCCTTTGCTTGGATCCTGGCCCACCCGACCAGTTGGCCTGGCCTGGCCTGGCCTGCCTTGCCCAATGCCATCCATCATCCAGTATCCAATATCCAATCCCCAATCCCCAATATCCATTTGGACGGCACTGCTCAATAAACGTTTGATTTCTGATTTATTGATAGACTTAACCATCTATCTATCTGTCTGAAACGAAGCCAGTTGAAAGAAATCCTCCTTCTGGGGTATAGTAATCAGGCGGAACGCAATGCACGCATGCATGGAGGGCTATGGCTATGGCTATGGCTATGGCTTTGGCTTTGTGCCTGAGGGACGCCCGGGGCGGGGACAAAGCGGCGGGCGGCGGGCGTGGCGGATTTATTTCTGGGGCTGCCAATTTTGTAGACTTTCTGGACTAGAATTGGGGGTGCAAAGTGTAACCAAGCTAACTCACTCGGGAGGATGGTCCCTTTCTGGGGTTACCACTACATCTATTAATGGGTGGTGTGGGGAGGTGTCATTCGTGGCACCGTGCATTCCATTGTATCATTAGATGTACTATAAATGTAAAGAAAATCCCAATCCCCGGAGGAACAGGGCATGCAATGCAATAAAGAGAGATGAATCGGGCCTCGGGATTACATTCCATGCACGACCTCATACTCGGGTCCTGCTTGGGCCTCCAGCGACAGAAGTCAAGCTGTCGGGCAATACTGGGACATCAAGAAATGCAGCGAAATAAAAAGATCTATTGACTTGACTACCGAGGATGTTCAGTCATGGTATACGCTCAACTCAACACCCAACTCCATCCCTTCACGGCCACGCTGCGAATCAGGAAACGAGAAACACCGAATTAGACCCTACCGGTCCGGGCCAGACTCTCCCCACCCTCCGAAAGATTGAAACGATTATGGGCGAGGCTGCTCAGCCAGCATATCATCGACGCGGATTACTCTTCACAATCCCGTCCACCCCCTTCTTGAACCGCACCCGGCAGTCCGGGCAGTACCACTTGGCCGTCCGGCTGGGCACCTCGGACAGCCCGATGCAGTCGAGATGGAACCATTCGCGATCGCACTGCGCCCGTTAGTGGCGTATATCAGGAAGGGGGGGGGGGGGATACATACGTCTGGGTTTTCACAGCAGATCATCGTCCCGAAGCTCACGTCGCCACACATGCAGTAGCGCGGCTCGTTGGGATCGATCTCCTCCAGCACCCCGTCCTCGTCGATCCGGATATCCTCCCGCGCCAGGGTCCCGTCCTTCAGTCCGACCTCCCGCGTCGCGATCCGCTTCTTCCCGGGCTTGGCCTTGCGCCGGCCGTAGCTGACCGCCGCGCCGCCATCTTGCCCCGAAGATACCGGTCCTGGGGCCGGGCGCTTGCGCTTGCGAGGGGGCGCGCTGGCGCTGGCGGCGCGGGCGGTTTCCGGTACCGGGGTCCGCCGCGCAGGCGTGGCGCTCTTGCGGCGGAGGTCTCGTCCAGAGGTCGCGACGGCGCTGACGTTGGAGGTCGGCTCGAGGGAAAGAGCGGCCGAGCGGCGCGAGGAGGGTCGGGTCGCGGGCGGCGAGGCAGCTTTGATCGCCGTCGGAGGCTGAGAGCGCTTGGGCTCGGTTGGAGACGCCGGTTTTGGCTTTTCTGGGGCCTCCGCGGCCGGGGCTGTGGGGGCTTCGGGAATGGGGTCAACGGGGGTGTGGGAGTCTTTGCTAGTGCGGCGACGCTTCGCACTCCGCAGCGAAGACCGAGTCTCGACTTCCGGGGAAGCGGTGGGGGCCGTTAGAGCAGCTTCTGCTCCGGCTTCTGCAGCTTGACTGGTTTCCTTTTCGGCTTTACTTGCGCCTTCGTTTGCAAATTCATTGACATCATCTGAGGCTTCCAGTGCGGCTTCATCCGAGGTCTTGTCGAATTCGGTGGCTTCAACTGCGGCCTCTTCGACTTCATCTGCATCCCCACCTGCGACTTTGTCTACGGCTTCATCGGATTCACTGGTGGCGTCGTCTTTCATGGTTTCATCCGCTTCATCTGCGGCTTCGTTGGCGACTTCATCATCTGCCACCTCCTCTGCCACCTGCTCTACCGCCTCATCTGCAGCTTCATCTGCAGCCTCGTCCATAGCCTCGTCCACAGCCTCTACACCTGCTGGGGATGGAAAGGGAGCGGCAGTAGAGACAGGGGTGGGAGCAGGAACAGGGGCAACCTCTGTAGGTGTGGCTTCTTCAAACTTTCTCTTCTTCCCCGTTCGACTGGGCTTCGCTGGGTTTTCCTGAGGGATAACCGGGGGCGCCTCGAGCACCGGTTGCCCCGTTCCCTGTTCTTGCGCGGCGGCAGCGGCCAGAGCCGCCGCCTGTTCGCGAGCTTGGTTCTCCCGCTTGAGCTTCTTGGCCTCGTTCAGCTTCATGCCGCGGTTGCTCAGCTTGGTCTCATACGTGGCCTCGGTATCCCCATTGGCCTCGCTGCGCTTCATCAGCTTGCCCGGCACGTAGGTGTTCATGATGTCGTCACAGTCGATGAACGCCGCCCCCGTCGCGTCGGCCTGCATCTTTGCGGCGCGGTAGGCCTCCCAGCCGCGGCCGCGGAGGGCCAGCTCGCGGTGGATCATGACCTCGCTGGGCTGCCACACGGCGTTCTTCTTCATCTTCTTGCGCAGCTTGGTCATCTCCCACTCGGTGAGACGCAGCCAGGGCATATCCGGGCTCCCAGGCTGGGCATCCTCGGGAGGGGGTTTCAGCATCGCCAACGCATTGCTGGTCGACAAGGCAGGGCCCGAGCCGGATGCCGTGGCGGGACCCAGCGCGGAGACCCGCGAGCGTCGACGCGCCTTCTCCTTCTTGGTCGGGGCGGCGCTTGGCGCGGCGGGCGACTCCGAGGACGTCATCTTCGTGTCTCCTTCGACATCGGAGTGCTCGGTGCTGGCGATGGGCGAATCGGGGTGCAGGTCGGCCAGATGCTCCGCGGAGATGATGGAGCGGCGCGTGCGCGACTTCTGCGCGGCGCTGGCACGCGTGGTATCATGGCTATCCAAGCGCAGGGTGATGCGGGTTGTGGTGGGCGGGGCGGCGGCCTCGTCGGCTTTCTTGGAGGCGCGGGCGCGTTTGGAGGCTGGCAGGGGCTGGACGGGCGGTGGGGTGGGTTCGCGCGAGGCGGGCTTGGGGAGGGCCTCGAGCTTCTGCTTGATGCTGTCGAGGCGGTTGAAGTGGCGGTCGATGACCTCGTATAGGCGGCAGGCCTCGGCGTAGGCGGACTCGCGGGCGTTGATGGCGCGGTCGAGATGGGCGGAGATGTCCTTGCGCAGGGCGCGGGGGTCGGGGCGGTCGTCGGCGGGGAGGGAGGGCAGCTGGCCGTATGTGCGGGAGAGATCGTGGACGCCCTGGGCGGCGTCGATGTAGCGCTCGTCGAGGCCGCGGATGAGGGTCAGGGAGCGGATGAGGTCGGCGGGGAGGTACTCGGTGTAGTCGATATAGTCGGTAACGGTGGCCTGGGCGTCGGGGTCGCAGGGGCCGTCAAGGAGGAGGCGACCGGCGTCGTGGAGGTCCGCCATGCCATCCAAGAGGTAGAGGGAGAGGGTGTAGGAGTGGGAGGGGGCGACGGAGGGGACAGAAGGGACGGAGGGCGCGGAGACGGAGGAGCGATGGTCAGAGGACGGACGGCACCATGGGGGAGGGTGCGGCCATGAAGAGGGACTGGTCCGCACTTTTTACATGGGGGAGCTTGACAGACCGGGGGCCTGCAAGCTGCGAAGAGAAGGAGAGACGAGAGTACTAAAGAGGGGATGCGAATGAGGGTAGGGGAGGAGGAGGTGGGCGATGGAGGATGGAGATAGACAGACGGACAGACGGACAGACACACCCGATGGATCGCGAGCGGCGGCTGGCACCGCGCGCCGGCCAATTGGAGGGCGAGGCGGTGGGGCCGATCCGGGGAGATTAGTTGTTCCGGAGAGCTGCTGGGGATCCTCAGGCACGAGGCCCGCCAGGCACCGAGGCATCCAGGCATCCAGGCATCCAGGCCAGCAGGTGTCCAGGTGTCCAGGTATCCAGACGTCCAGTCAACCGGCCTGGAAAATGCGGGGAAGATGCAGCGCAGTCAAAATGGGGCATTCCCTTTGGTTTTCTGGCTCTCTGCTTGTCCCTCCTCTTCCCCGGCTCTAAACATCAGTCGGCACTCATGAATATATACCCCACAGCAACTCCTGGGAGACATCAGATGCTGCAGACAACCCGGTCATGACCCGCCAGGCGATCAGGCAATCAGGAAATGGAGGAGACGACTGGCAGGCAGCGTGAATCGGCATTCACTGGCCAGACGCGGTGAAGAAAGGCCGGTGTCTGTGGTTGCAAACGGGCCTTTCTTCACGTCGCGCCTTCCTCCCTCCCTCTTCTCCCCACCTTCTCTCTCCTACTTTCTCTTTCTTCCTCATCTATTCTCATCTATCTCTGCACCGACTGTTCTCTCTACCAGGATCGGATCTGACCATGGGCCCGGAAGAACGCCTTAAGCTGCTATTCCAGGACGACGAGGCCCTGTTCAAGCTCAACACGGGTCTCTGCCCTCCCGCGCCCCCGGCCCCCATCCCCATCCCCGACCAGACCATTGTCAACCCAACCACAATCACAAAGGAAACTCCACCCCCCGTGGCGCCAGAGAAGACTCCCCGAATGACCGAACCCGTGCCCGCACCATTGCCCGCACCGATGTCCGCCCCGCTGGCCACTGCTGAACGCCCCGCGCCGCCGTCGGACGGGCACTTCACCCCCCTGCTGGTCATAGCAAAATATCCCTACCGCCAGATCAAAGGCGAACTGTCTCAGCAGGTGGCCAGCCGTTTCTTTGACGCAGGCAAGTTCTGGAACCGTCCATGGGACATGTGAGTGCCTTCATCCTTTTTTGTTTCGGCCCCAGCTGACTTTCCAGCTACTATGTGTACACACCGCCCGCTCTGGGCAGCAGATGCATTTTGCTTACCCCCACCAGCCATGTGCGTCGGTTCATGGCGGAGATAAACCGTGAGCTGGAGTGCAGTCTTGTCCTGTCATCCGAAAGGGCCGGATTCATTCTCCCGTTCCAGGACAGCTACCCCCAGCCCATCTACCTCGGGCGCAGCACCTCGCGCGAGACCAAAGACCAACTGGAATCGGGCATCTCGCCCCCCCAGCACTCTGGGCCGAGGGAGTGCGTTGCCGAGGTCTATGCAGCGTTCGAGGCGATGATGGAGGGCGCGATGGACGCCGTCCGAAGCAACAAAAAGAAAGGAGGGTCCAGGGAAAAGCAGATGAAACGGGCGATGCATGCTCGCGACATGCAGAAAATGGTGCGACGGGTGCAGCGATACCTGGGACTGCGTCCGATGGAGACCCCTGACGAGGCCGAGACGGTGGCGTGGGACCTGCCCAACCCGGTCAGCGACCTGCCGCCCCTCGCTGTCGGCCAGGCAGCGCCGCACCCATTCTGGCGCGAGCCAGTGCTTGTCAGCGTGGACGTGGAGTCGAACGAGCACTGCCACGCGCAAATCACGGAGGTGGGCATCTCGGTGCTGGACACGCAGTGGCTGGTGGGGGTGCCGCCAGGCGAGAAGGGCGAGGAGTGGCGCAAGCGCATCCAGTCGCGGCATCTGCGGGTGCACGAGCACCGACACATCGTCAATCGCGACTTCGTGGTGGGATGCCCGGGGATGTTCCAGTTCGGAGAGAGCGAGTGGGTGGCGCTGCGGGAGCTGGCAGAGATGGTGCGCGTGGGGCTGCGACTGGACGAGACGCTGCAGCGGCGGGTGGTGCTGGTGGGCCACAGCCTGGGGTCGGACGAGCAGTACCTGAGGCGCATGGGGGTGAAGGTCGATGGGTTCCGGGACCGGATGGACACGGCGGATCTGTTCCAGCTGCTGCGGGGGGAGGAGACGGCGCGATCGCTGGGGGGAGTGCTGGCGGAGCTGGGGATGGATGGGTGGTATCTGCACAATGCGGGGAATGATGCGCGGTACACGATGGAGGTGCTGGTGGCGAGTGTCGTTGTTGTTGGGGGGGGGTTGGCTGTAGTCCCTGCTGTGTAGCTGGCTTGAAGCAGTATACCGGGAGTTGGCAACTAGTTACTACCTAGTTATCTGATGAATAACGAAGTGATCACCGTGCAGGGAATGGAGTCAAGCTTATGCAACCCTAGGTAGCTGCATCTGATCCATCTGATATCATGTATCCCACAGGATGCATCCAAAGCAGAAAGAAGTAAACAGAGTGACGTACCTGCGCAACCCTAACCGAACCGGAACCTAAAGTTGAAGAAGATCATCCTCCCTCAACACATTTTCTTCCCCCCTCCCCCACCCCTCAATCCGATTGATATTTATCTCACCCTCCTTCCTATCCCAAGACAACCCAACCCAACCCAGCACCCAGCACCCAGCACCCAGCACCTAATAAACAACACCAAACCAAGCAAAATACATAAATAAACTCGCCCAAAATGTCCCCAACCCTAACGACCCACCTCCTAACCCTCGACCCCCCGGCTCTCCAAACCTCCACCACGCACCCCTTCCTGCACGCCGCAGGAAGCGGCACTCTCCCACGCCACACACTCTCGCGCTGGCTCTCGCAGGACCGGCTCTACGCGCAGGCCTACGTGCGATTCATCGGGTTGCTGATTTCGAAGATTCGGTTGCCGGATGTGTATCCTACCAGTACCAGTACCAGTACCAGTCCAAGTGATAGTGGTGGCAGCAGTAGTAATCCCACCCTCGAACAACGCACCCTCCACCTCCTCAGCGCCAGCCTCACCAACATCGTGCGCGAAATGCAGCTCTTCGACGTCCTGGCGCGGAAGTACGATCTCGACTTAAATGTTCCGCCGACGGGGGAACGCGTCCCGGGGCCGGGGGTCGTGACGCATGCGTATGGCGATTTGTTTGCGTCGGCGGGGGGGACGGGGATGGGCTTGTTGGAGGGGTTGGTGGTGCTGTGGGCGACGGAGTACTGTTATCTGTCTTCTTGGGGGTATGCGAGGGGGGTGATGGATGGGTCTGCTTCTGATTCTGCTTCTGCTTCTGCTTCTGTTTCTGCTTCTCATGGTGGTGGTGGTAGTGCTGGTGATGGTAGTGCTGGTGCTCCTGATTACGACAATGACTTAGACGGCGGCGCGCTCAGGAAAGAACTCATCCCGAACTGGACGAGCGAGGCGTTCGGGACGTTTGTCGGGGATATAGCGGGGGTGGTGGATGAGGTTGCTGCGATCGAGATTGGGGATGTCGAGTCGGACAGGATGAGTGGGGCTGGGGAGGCGTTGCTGGGGAGGTGCGAGAGGTGGTGGAGGCAGGTGGTTTGGTTGGAGGGGGGGTTTTGGCCGGATGTTTAGATTAGTCTTTTCTTTTTGTTCTTCTTGCTTGATTTGTTTCTTGTTTTTGGGTGTATTTGTGGAGATGAGATTGGATTTGTGGAGATGGGAGGGAGGAGAGGAGGAAAATGTATGGTGGAGTAGGGGAAGGAGTAGGAGGATTCATCTTGATCTGTCCTCTGTCCGTATGTTTGTCTAATTCTCTATTCTCTCCTTACCAATGTAAAAACCCTTGGTATGTACTTCGTACTCTGTACCCACAATTTCATCTATAAAAGCCTCACACATCTCTCTCTCTCTCCCTCTCTCTATAATACGATCACCTTACGAGTTTGTCTCTCTTAATTCATTAGCAATATCTACATACATAATACATAATCATGACCGTCTCATCAATCTTCGTCTCTTATGCAGTGGCAAGCAAAGGCAGCAGTCCAGTCCCGTCCCGGCATCAGTATCGCAGCAGTAGCGCATCAAAGTATCAGTATCAGGATCAGTATCAGCAACAGCAACAGCCCATCAGCACTATCGCACGTACCGCACGTAGCAAGAAAATCAAATCAGACGACAAAAACTAACGCCCGCCCCAAAGACAAACCAAACCAAACAACCAGCCTTCTATGTCGCCGCACTCGTCCGCGCCGCATTGCTCAGCTGTCGATGGTACGAGCCGATCGTTTGGAAGCCCCTACGCGAGTCAGTCATCCCTCCCATCAATCCCCCCCCCACCAACCACTCAAATCAGTTGACTCACCTCGCTAAATCAAATCCGCTGCCGTCGTCCTCGTCCTCCTCCCCCCGCTCCGGAGCCTCCTCGCGCCGCGGCGGCAGCCGTCCCGTCGCCATCCCCGGCTTGCTCGGGCTGGCGAGGTTCGGCGGCGGCGGACTGCTGCTGGGGATGCTGCCCAGGCCGTCGCCGCCGTCGCCTTTGAGCGGGCTCATGTCCGGGACGGGGCGCGCGGGCGTGCTGCCGATGTCGGCGAACTTCCAGAACTGCGCCGGCGAGCTCATCGGCATGAACTTGGACGGGATCTGCGCGGTGCTGGGCGGGGGCAGCCGGGGCTGCTGGCGCTGCGGGGCCGGCGTGATCATCGAGGACGGGCCCTCGTCGTAGTACGACGAGGACAGCACCGGGGGCGAGCCGACCGCCGCGTCGGACAGCCCGTAGCTGCGACTCAGGCTGGTGCCGTTGCCGGGGTTCTTGGTGGCCGAGCGGGTGGGCAGCGGGGACGGCTCCTCGTAGTCGCGCGCGTGCGGGAGGCGCAGGTGCTCCGCCGCGCCGTTGCGGATGGCCCGCGAGCCGCGTTCGGGCGTGTAGGCCTCGACCGGCGCGACCGGAAACGAGCTGAAGCCCGGCGACGACACCGGCGGCGACTTCTTGGCGGCGAACACCGCTTCCATCCCGTTGGCGCGGTGCGGGTCTTTCGTGGCGGGCGACGACGGTGCCGACGACTGCGTGCCCTTGCGGAGCTGCTTCTTCCAATATTCCTCGCGATACTCGGGGGCGATCTGCCATTTCATGCCTTTGCCGGGCTCGTCCGTGCGCCGGGGGACTTTCTGGAACGCCTTGTTCAACGAGAGGTTGTGCCGGATCGAGTTCTGGTCAGGTCAGTCAGCAAAATGATGGCCACGGGGTTCCGTCCGAAGCAAACGCACCTGCCAGCCGCTCTGGGAGTGCCGGTAGAACGCGTATTTTTCCATAATCCAGTTGTAGATGCTGTTCAACGTGAGCTTCTCCTCCTCGCTCGAGAAGATCGCCTGCGCGATCAGCGTCGCGTAGCTGTACGGCGGCTTCAGGTCCTTGGCCGAGTCTTTGCTGTAATCGATTTCCTCCGTGCTCTCCATCATCATGCCCCGGTTGTACAGCGGCGACTGCTTGGCGGTGCGCGCGCCGACCGTGTCGGGCGACCGCGGCGGCGGCGTGACCTGGCGTTTGAGGAACTGCGGTGCGGGCGCCAGGGAGGGCGGACCGGCCGTGGCGGGGGGGACATCGGTCGCGGCGGACGAGGTGGGCGGGGGATGGGCGTGCTGGGAGGCGTCCCACGTGGGCGGCTCCTCCTCGCCGTTGGCGAGTCGCTGGGCGCGGTCGACGAAACTCGGGTGGATATTGGCCTTGTCGCCCGGGGTAACGAACATCATCTGGGTATTGGCGATTTCAATAATATCTCCGCACGACAGGATGGCATCGGTGCCGCGCTTGAGGATCCCATTATTCAGCCGCACGCCATTCCGGCCGTTGACGCGGATATGCCAGGACGCGGTCTCCTCGCCGTCGTAGAAGATCTCGGCGTGCAGGCGCGAGACGAACTTGCTGGGGCCCAGGTCGACGTTGACCTCGGGCAGGGCGCGGGCGGCGATGGTGACGGGGCTGGACTGCTCGTCCAGCTTCTGCTCGCGGTCGGGCTCGCGACCGATATTGACGTGCAGGGTCTTGACGTAGTAGGTCCAGGTGCGGCCGGCGATCTTGGCGTAGGCGCGGACGCTCTGCTTGTTCTCGGTCTTGGTGTTGGAGTGGTCGCGGAGGACGCGCACCTCGTCGCGCGCGGCGTCCAGGTATGAGATGACCAGGTCGACGAGGTCCTGGTTCTCGGACAGTTCGTGGTCGGGGGAGGAGTGGTCTGCTTCATCGGCGGACTCGGGCTTGATGGATCGGGGGTGGGGGGAGGCACGGTGCTCGACCTAGTCCAGTACTGTCAGTCCTTGTCCTTCACCTTCACGATCTGTCTGGGCGTGTGGTGCGATGGGTGGTGGTGGGACACTCACCTTGCGCTTCTTGGTGGAGGGCCGCGTCGGGGACGAATCCGGGGCCTCCGCATCAGAGGTCTCTTGAAGTTGAATTTCCTTGCGCCGCGCGCGACGGCGGTTGGAAAGCGGCATGGTGGAGAGGGTGAGTGAGTGGGTGAATAAACGGGTGGATGGGGGATCACGACAGTGTGAGGTCGGGACCGGGGAGCGTCTAAGCCGTCTAGTCTAGCGGTCGGTCGGTCGGTTGGTCGGTCGGGAGTGTTGATGTGTTGATGTCAGGAATTCACCCGTCAGTCGCGATGAGGTTCAGCCGGGGAGAAAAGCAGGCGACGGGCGGGCGTGAGCGTGACTGGGGGACTGGGGGACTGGGAGGCAGAAGCGGCAGAAAACCGGAATGGGGAATGGGCAGTCCAGACAGGCGGACCCAAGGGATCGCTTTCTTTGCCACCGCGCTGCAACAGGCGACGCGCTGTGGGAGTGGCTGTTGCGATGGGGTGACCAGCCACCGCGGGGAGCCGTTCGGATGGACGAAGGAGGGAGAAACAAAGGGATTGTGGGAGGGGAGGGAGGGAGGGAGGGAGGGAGGGGGAGAGGGAGAGAGAGACAAAGATGGTTGGTGGCGGAGAAAGTAAGAGGAGGAGAAAGAAGAAGTGGAAGTGGAAGTGGAAGTGGAGGAAAGTGAAGTGAAGGGAAGTGAAGGGAAGTGAAGTGATGACGCCGGAGGACTGGACAATAATACTCGGTATTGTCAAAAGTGCAGCAGTGCAGGAGCGCAGAGGAAAGGTGACCGCCTTCACCGCCCTGTTTTTCTCTCTCTATCAACAGCACCACTTGAAGAGTTAACAGTCAACAGTCAACAGTCAACACAACACAAAACACTCTATCTCCAAAGATAAAGAAACAATAAAGTTGATCGCCTCCGGATCGTTCATTCCACTCCATTTAATATGCGGGCCTGGTATCCAATGCCACCTTGGACCGACTCCCCCGACTTCCCCCCCCCCCCACCGCCGTAAACAGGCTGTGGAGCCGCCCTTCCACCCAGACTTGGGCTGCAAGGGTGCATTCGTCTGATGCAGTGGACTACAGAGTAGAGTATATCCTGAATAATACATCCATCCATACAGACATACAGACATACAGACGTACAGACATACAGACATACAGACATACAGACATACAGACATACAGACATACAGACATAGACATACAGACATCCATCCATCCATCCATCATCATCATCATCATCATCATCATCAGACATACAGACAGTCATCCATCCATCCATCCACCCATCATCATCAGATGAACAGACATCAAGTCAAGTCAACTAACCTCCCCCCATCCATGGCACACCGTCGCATCCCCCCCCATCCCCATCAGGAAAAAGAACACCACCCAACCCGGAAAAGGAAAGGCGAAAGCAAACCAAACCTCCTTTCCTTTCCTTTCCTTTCCTTTGCTGCCAATCCTCCGATCCTCAATCCCACCATCCATCTCATCCACGTCTCGGCTGTGTTTAGCGTTCCTTCTTCCCCATCCATCATCCATCTACAGTACCCGTACCCACCAGATCTTTTATCTCCTAGTAGTAGTAGTAGTACTTATCCAAATCCTCCGTAGTATATCAATCAACAGAAACAGTGTGGGGAAGGGGGGGGGGGGGGGGGGGGAAGAAGAAAGTGGCCCGATCAACCGATCTTCCGCTCTTCTGGCTTCTGGTTCTGTTTGCGTCATTCTCCGCGTGCAGTACAGCCGTTGGAATGTGAGCTGTGCTGAGCCGGGGTTAAGAGGCTTGACTTGACTGGGACTGGGACTGAACTGGAACTGGGACTGAGACTGAGACGGTAGCATCCTCTATTTCTCTTTCTCTTTCTCCGTTCCTCCCCCCCTCTCTTTTTTGTTGTCTCTCTCTCCGGTGAAAACAGTCCCCGAGCTAGGGTTACCCACCTCCCATACCAAGCAGGATCCGCTACATACTACGATTCCAGGGAAGATGTAAACATGTTGGTTTTTTTTTTATTACTCTGCGTAACTCTTAACTCACTCCTACCCTACGTGTGGATCGGGTCCCGAATACGGTGGGTGGTATTCCAGTCCGGTCCATTCCGCGGAGAGAACTTAACTAGCTGTCCGCCCCGGAACAGAAGTCCGGGCGGGTTCAGGAAGAAAGAACACCACGTAGAAAGAAAAAAAAAAAAAAAAAAAAAAAAAGAAAGAAAGGGAAAAGAAAGAAAGAAAGACACCGTCGTCATCATTTACACGACCCTAGGTCGCCCATAGAAAAGAAAAGAAGAGAAGAGATAATCACAAGCGATTCCACGACTAGGTGGACAGGGAATAAGAACGAGCGCCCAGATCATCACAAGCATTAGTAAATCCCGAAGAAGAAGATGTAAAGAGAAAGAAGGCCCGCCAGCTAAGGCATCTTCGAGTCCCCGTCCTCGTCCACCCGCAGGGTCGGATACATCACGGCGTCGCCCGCCTCGGCCTTCGCCACATCCTCCTCCTCCTGCGCCTTGCTGGGGGTCGAGCTCTCCATGCCCTCCATGTGGGTGTCCGGGTTGGCCTCGGGGGTGCGCTCGCCGCTGTCGCTGCGGGAGGCCACCGCTGCCGCTGCCGCTGCCGCCGCCGCCGCCGCCTCGGAGTCGCTCTCGAACTCGCCCCGTTCCAGCCGGGATGCGATGTAGTTCCGCAGGTACTCGATCAGCCGCACCTTTTCCACCCACTGCACGTCTGCGCGTTCTGCAACCTCCGTCGCGGCCTGCGCGGTCCGCAGCGTCGCCTCGGCCTCCGCCGCGGTGCCGGAGAGGGCCGGGTCGATCAGGCTGGCGGAGATGCGGCCGGGCGACGAGGACGCAGCACGCTCCTTGGCGGTGGGGGTGCGCTCGCCGTCTTCCTTGCCGTCGTGGGTCAGGTCCATCTCCTCGCTCAGGGGTCGGGTCTCGGGACGCGCGCGCTGCAGCGTGCCGCCCGTGTAGCGACGACGGTCATCGTGGTCGAAGATGCCGCCCAGGGTCGATGGGGGAGCTGCACTCGCCGCGGTCGGGTATCCGGCGGCCATACTGTCGGCCATGGTGGCCGATGGGAGACGCGGGTACATGCTACCGCCGTCGTGGTGGGGAGGCGAGACACGCGCGGCCGAGGCCAGGGAGACCGGGGAACGGCCCGAGGTGTACGACTGGGCGCTGGAGGGCGGGGTGAGGGCGGGGGTGCCGGACGGCGAGTGTGCGACATGGCCGGGCATCATCGCGCCCGCCGAGGTGGTCGCGGCATGGCTGGGGGGGAGCTGGCTGGGGGGCGAGTGGGTGGTGCGGTAGCCCATGCCGTGGACGTAGTGCGCGCCCGGCTGAGCGACTCCCGCCGCCGCCACGTTGTCGTCGTTGTCATAGATGGTGTCTTGCATCTGCTGCAGGAACTGGTCGATGTTGATCAGGTCGTTCTTGGTGCGGACATTGCTCATGGGTGGCAGGTGGTAGGCCGGGGCCGACGGCGCGCCGCCCGGGCTGTATCCGCCACCCACCGCCACGGGGGCGGGCATGGCCTGGTACTCGGGCATGGGGCCCCCGTTCAGCACGGGGAGAGACAGGTTCTGCAGTCCCATCAGGCGTTGTCCGACCGTGGAGAACGAGTTGGGGTCGAAGTGGCGGCGCTTGACCTCGCCGAAGAACTCGTTGAGGGCGTCATAACCGCGCTTCTTCGACTCGTACGAGGTGGGGCCAGCCTCAGGGGCGTGGTTCAGAGCGTAGTACACATTGCCGTACGAGGGGTTGGCGGGCTGGGGAGGAGGGTGGGACTGGTAGTACTGGGGATGGCCATGGGCATAACCCTGGCTTGGCACGGGGTTCATGGCAGGCTCGAAGTAATGAGTGGCGGTCGCATAGCCTGCACCGGGGGTCAGCAGCTGTCAGCAGCAGTAGCAGCAGCAGCAGCAGTCATGACTGTGCGACAAGACTCACCTTTGGCACCTCCGCCTCCAAACATCATGTCCGGGTTGCGGGCACCGGGCTCCGGCGACCGGACCAGCACGGAGTCGTCGGCATGGGTCTTGACATGCTTCTTGAGATCCTGGGGTCGCTTGAACGCCTTGCCGCAGAAGTCACACTTGTGCGGCTTGAGGGGGACGTGGACCCGGATGTGGGAGGTGATGTGGTCGCGCTTGACGGTGGTGGTGCGGCAGCTGCCCCACTGGCAGGTCAGGTTGAGGTTGTTGGTGCTCTTGCGACCGACGTGACGCTCGCACACATGTTCCTACCGAGGCGGTCAGCCACCATCCATTATCCACACCGATCCGAAAAAGAAGGGAAAAATAGGACCTACATAAAGCACCTCAGCCGACGAGCACTTCTCGGTGCAGCCAGTCCACAGGCAAGGCAGCTCCTCGGTCGGACGGGAGGCGTTGCCGTTCATGGAGGGGTTGACGACCGCCGAGGCCGCCGCCGCCGTGGCAGCCGCCGAGGCCGCCGTGGCCGACGAGACCTGCGCGGGCTGCTGCTGAGAGGGAGAAGGGTCGTGGGAGGTTGAGGCAGGCATGGGGGCGGCGGTGGTCGAAGGGGCCGTCGAGTCTTGGGGTTCCGACATTGCCAAGAAAATCTCTGTCTTGTCCCAAGTCTTGGGAGCAGCGGAAAGTAGACCAAGCGACTCAGCAGGGACACGGCAAGCAGCGGGACAAGACTCTTGGGTGCCAACCGAAGCAGGAGCAGAAAAAGGCCAGCAGAGGATCAATAGCAGAACAGAAGATAGAAAGAGAGAGACGGAAGGGAGGAAAGATGCGGTCAGGTCAGGTCAGGTCAGGTCAGGCCAGGCTGGGCTGAGACAGATGACCACACAGGCAACACACACGTTCACAACAACGCGCCGACACCGCAGGAAGTAGCCGAGGGAGCGAGTCAGCACGGCCAGGGAGCGAGGGAGATGACAGATGGCGGGTGGGAGAGGCTCAGAGGCTTGTCAGGGGGAGGCTGGGGGGATAATAAGGGACGATAGGTAATGATGATGTCTGCGGAGGGGGAGGTGGAGGAGAGGAAGAGAGAGTCGATGGAGAGCCAGAGTCAAGAGTCAAGAGTCAGAATCAGGGGAGGGGAGAAGGGGGGGGGGGGGAGAAGGGGAAGGGAGGAAGTCTTGGGCCGAGAGGGGGAGGCTTGGGGCTTGGGATCCGAGCCGAGCCTTGCCTAGAAAAGGCCGCTTGCACAGCCGGGCGGAGGAGGGCATGACAAGACGCGACAGGACGGTCAGGACGGTCAGGCCGTGCAGGAGAGCTTCAGGATAGGGCACGGCCAGGCCTGGGCACGGCCGGGCCAAGACGGTGCTCGCCACAGCCCCGCACAACCATCACTGAGCATTCGGACTGGGTAACTGTGCAGATGGGTGAGCCTTTCTTCTGATCTGAATAATAAATATCATCATCCTTATTATCTCATCATCTTCTTCATCATCTTCTTCATCTTCTTCATCTTCTTCATCATCCAGTAATAATACTCACCAGAACATCCCCCCCCGGTCATCACCTGCAGCCGGCTGCTTAGGGTCCGGGACCGGGTCCAAGCCCAGCCCAGCCAGCCCAGCCAGCCCAGCCATAGTACCATACCATACATACCATACACTACACTACAGTACAGTACACCCACTCCAATCCCTCCCGTCATCCATCTTGATCCCTCATCCCCTGTCATCTCCCACCAAACCCCGCGCAGCGGCACAATCTCCAACGCAACAATACAGTAATACCACCATAATCCCTCCAAACCAAACCCCAAATCAAAAAAAAAAAAAACCGGGTCCCTTTGTCCCCGACCACCAATAAAACATCCTTCCCTCTAACTCCAAAAGGCAGTAAGTCAGTCAGTTAGTCAGTCATAAGGCAGGTAGTTAGTTAGCGGGCATTCCTGCTCAAAGTCAAAATGTCTCAGCCAGCGGCCAGCAGCCAGCAGCCAGTAGCCAGCTTGGCCGTACTACTCCATACTAGTACTTAGGACTTAGGTTTACCCTCCCTCAAAATTCAGGCTGGGCGCTCCGCGTCTCTAGCCGCCCCCCCCCCTCTTCTTCGCTCCTCTTGGCGCCCCCTTCCCGCTCCGTGGATTGAAGTGAAGGGCTTGGGTGTTGCACGGCGGTGCATCCTGCGCGGCGCGGTACGGTACATACAGTTTGGGATTATTATCCGCGTTGCTCCTGCTGCGGTTAGTCATATGGGGGGTTTTTTTTTTTTTTCATCTTTGGCTGCGTCCTTTTTTTTTTTTTTACATTAAAAAAAAAAGGAACAAAATGGAGGCTTGGCAGATGCAGGTCAGAGGGAGGGTACTACTTACTTACACCAATTATTTGATCTAAGTAAGTTCCGGTATATCTCCGGAGTTGTTCCGGTGGTGGTGGTAGTGGTGGTGGTGGTGTGTCAGCGGCATGTTTGGCGGGTGAGTTGTTATTATTATGATTGTTATTTTACTCTGTGGTATAGAAGGGGATTTTACAGGGGGGGCAGGGCACGTGAGTAGTACCTTATACCTGGGTACAAACATACAAAGTAAAGTAGTATGTATGTATGTTGGTGGTAGTAAGCGCCAAGCGTGGGGGATTTACCTTAACCTCCTGCCTGCCTGCCTGCCTGCCTGCCTGCCAACTTGCCAGGCAGGCTGTCTTCAGTTATATTTTCTGGAATATTCGGGAGATGACCTGTACTCTGTACTACTACCATACACACTGTAAATATATTCAGTCCTACTCATGTGCCGATACCAAGACACTGCACGCACTGCACCTTATTCTACGAGGTAGATACGTACTCCATACCTACGTACCTACGTACTGTATGCATATGCTGCATATGCTGCGTCCTCTCATCGGGTCGGTCGGTCGCGCCGGTCACACAGCGGGCGTGCAGGTGACGTGTTTGTTGGGTGAGATGTCCGACGGGAAGAACCTCGATCTTCGGGGCGTTTTATTACCTAGGTAGGCAGTGATCTGGCTTACCGGGTACATCTGACACAACAATCCTACAGCAAGGGTCCGAATCGTGGTTATTTTTATTTTTTTCTCTTGTCGGTGACAGAGATTCCGAGTGAGTGAGTGAGTGAGTGGTTTGGGGGAAAGATCGGCGGGGGAGTTAGGCATCGACGTTATTATTACTATAATTATTATTACTCTTCTTCTGATTATGCCTCGGTTTAACTACCTAAATACAGTCTATTACGGGCATAGGAGATAGGGGAGGGGAGGGGACGGGGGCTGTCCGTCCACGACTACTGAATCTACCAAGCTCAACCCCCAAACAAGCCAAGTAATGCAAATCCAAATCTGCCAGCAGGTCAATCATCCCTGATCCATATATACGCAGGCGAAGTCTAAAAGTCTATATACAGGAGGATTCTATCGTCATGTCTTTATATGAATGAAAGAAAAAAAAAAACGCCAACAACACACATCATAACGCAATCCACGAGTCAAAAAAGGAAAAAGAAATCATCAGGCGCTCTCCAGGTGCTCCTGGGGGTCATTCTTCTCGAACGCCCCGGGGGTGTCCTTCATCTCGGCCCGGAAGCGCTCCTCCTCCTCCTTGAGCTGCTGCTTGAGCATCTCGTTGGCCTTCCAGACGGGCTTGATGCGGAACAGCTGGTCGGTGGCCTCGAGCGGGATGCCGCTGGTCTCGGGGATGAGGAAGAACGCGAAGAACCACGCCAGGAAGGACAGCGCCGCGAAGAAGAAGTACACGCCGTAGCTCATCGTCGCGAACATCTGCTCCGTGAAGCGCGACACCAGGAAGTTGAACAGCCAGTTGCTGGCGGTGGTCAGCGCCTGGGAGAGAGGGCGGATGTTGGAGTCGAAGCATTCCTGGAGATAGATATGGTTTAGTGGGTTGCTTGGAAGAGTGGACAGGAAAGAAGAAAGAAAAGAAGGAGACTAACCGAGTTGATGACCCAGGGCGTTCCGTTCCAGGTCGGCGTGTAGACGGCCGTCCACAGGTAGAAGAAGAAGATGGCCGCGATACCGCCGCCGTCGAGGGAGGACCGGGGGTGCTCGGTGGGCTTGGTCACGCAGATGTACGCGCCGATCACCCACATGCAGATGGAGCCGCAGATGGCACCGCACAGGAGTAGCTTACGGCGGCCGAACTGGTCGACCAGGAAGAGCAGCCAGATGACCGTGCAGATGGCCTTGATGACACCGAAGATACCGTTGAGGATACCCTTCATGTTGCCCTGCACACCGATGCTGGAGAAGATGGTCGGGCTGTAGTAGTTGATGGCGTTGATGCCGGAGGCGTTCTGCCAGAAGAACAGCATGCATCCCAGGAACAGGCGGTAGCGGAGGTTGGAGCTCTGGGCGACAGCACGGAAGGGCTTCCAGAAGCCCAGGCCGATGGAGGAGATCTGCTCCTCGATGGCCTGGTCCACGGTGGCCACTTCCTCGGTGATGTAGATGTCGGCCTCATCCAGCTGACGGATCCAGCACAGGTTCTTCATGGCCTGCTGGCGACGACCCTTGAGGAAGAGCCAGCGCGGGGATTCCTTCATCCACAGGGAGCCCAGGAACAGCATGCCCGAGGGGATGATCTGGATGGCAAAGGGAATAACCCACTGCTTGTGGCTCTCGGGCATGGTTTGTTCCACACCATACTGCAGGGGTGGGGGAGGTTAGCCCTGAAGCGGGAAGGATTGCGGACAGAAGGAGACGAAGGAATGATAGGAGGATGACTCACGTTGATCCAGAAGCCAACCATACCACCGATCTGCCAGCCCAACTCATAGAAGCCGACCAATCTGCCCCGAATGGCAGGAGGAGCTAGCTCGGAGAGATAGATCGGGATGACGTTGGATGCCACACCGGTGCCGAGTCCGGACAAGACACGGCCAGCGTACAGGATGCCGAGTCCACGGGAACCATTGGCGCCCATCTGCAGGCCCGCCCCGAGGATGAACACCGCCGACGAGAGCGTCAGACTCCACTTGCGGCCCAGGAAGTGCGACACGCCGTAGGTGAGCAGGGCCCCGAAGAAGGCACCGGCGATGAAGAGCGAGACGATGTTCTCACTGATCAGGTCCACGTGGGCGCTGGTCATCTTGTCGAGGCCGAACTCCCGCTCGAAGGAGGGCATGGTGATGGTCGTGCCGATGAAGCCACTCGTGTAGCCGATCATGTTGGAACCACATGAGGCAATGAGGGCGAGGACGTAGACTCGCCAATTGTAAACATTTTTGGGGGTGGGACGGTCCTCAACGAGGTGAAGGAGACCCATTGTCTGGTGTGTGAAGCCAAGGGAGAAAGAAGAAGGGGGAGGGGGGGGAGGAGAATTTTTTTCACACGGGACACGAGAGGAGAGACGAAGAGGGGAGAGAGGGGGGTTTGAGAGAAAAGAAGAAGGAGAAGAAGAAAAGGGAGTCCCGTCAACAGGAAAAAGATGGCTGGATGGGAGGGAGAAAAGAAGGAGGAAAAGCCAGCGGCGGGCCGGGCCATAAGTAATATCTATGTTTCCTACGAGTTCTACGGCCCACGGAGCAACCTAGAGGCGTGTGGATACTGGCATCCCCCTCTCCCCCCTTCCTCCCTTCCAGTTCCTCGAACCCTCTCCACAACTTACGTCGTGGCCAAACCCCATCCGGGGAGGCTATCATGAGGGGGGGAGATGGAACAGCTCGGCTCTGATACGTCGAGCATGCAACTAACGGGCCTAACGCTTCCCACCATGCAGGCGAATTCCCACAATTCGAGCCCCGTGATGTGGGAGACTGGGTCGGGGGAGTGTTTTCCCCAGATGTTTGGGTCTCGCTTAGCCGGCGCGGAGAAGGTCTCGTCAGGGAAACATTCAGCCGCAGATCGGGGGGCCAAAACGCAGGACATATATAAAGCCCGATCCCTCCGGCCTGCTCGGGGCATTTACCCGAGCTTATCTGTCTGACCTCTGGATTGTAAGAATGAAAAAAAGAAAACATCATATAACCCACCCCCTCTCTCCTTGTTGATCCTTGTTGAAGAAGAAACTTCATTGATCCGGAGTCCGGACAGGAACCACTGCATCATGATGCGACCTGGCTCCGCGCCTGTTTCAACCTGGTGTTGACCCCGAACCCAAGTAGGTAGGTGGTAGAGGTAGCCGGTTTGGGATGTGAACCTTGAAGACTTTGCCGGTGGACCATGTCAGATCTAGGACAAACTCTGAACCCTGGTAGGAAAGCCAAAGGCCAGGAGGCAAACGCTGGAGACGAGCTGATCGTCGTCCGCCAGCGGATGATGGAGTCCAGCAATTCGTTCTCCCGCCACCACTCGGCACCCGGACGAACCAGACGCAAGGTGACTCACGTTGCATCCAGGGAAAGAGATTTCCTGCTCTCCACCGGTCCACCGGTCCACCCGTCCACCGGGAGGGGACCACAAGGTTAAGCGAGTGGACGGGAGAGACTGGATTCCCGAGAGGCTTTATCCGGCATTTGTCCAGCGCATTAGTCACGGGAGGGCCATTCAGCGGGCTCAGCGGGCTGGATTCGCCTGGATGAGGCCCGGCGGGCCATGTGAGGTGAGAGTAAGGTGGGCCGGGCGCCGGAAGGCAGCCGAGATGGGCGACGATAGGGGGCTGTTCTAGGTTAGTTGGCTGTGGATCGGCGTCGCTTGGGACGGGGGGGGAGGAAGCTTAAAGCCGGTAGGAATGTTTTACCCCGGGTCGTCGGCTGGGGAGAGAGCACTAGGAGGGAGACTAGGAGTGCATCTCAAACCTGCATAAGCCAGTCCGGTGAAGCCGAAAAAAAAGCCTGGAAACATTTGGGTTGGCCGCCTGGGTCGCCGCCAGGCCGCCAGGCCGCCAGGCCGCCAGGCTCCTGTCCGCGCTAAACCCTCCGCGGTAAGTCACACGAGGCGGTTCGCCCCCCCCCCGGCGCTAGGCCGCATCGGGCCATCGCGTGCCGGCGAATCCGGAGCTGACTGGCGGTCACCTGACCGGGTGTCCCTTTACACGCCGGCGCCGCCTGCTGCTGCTCCTGAACGATACTCCGCGTCTTCTGGAATCCCCCGTGCGGAGTCTCCGCAAAAATCCGGGATATATGGTTATGAGGCTCGCCACGCGGCCACAATGAGGTTGCGACCTGGACGATCCCTCCGCATTCCCAGCATGTTGCGACCGATGACGCCATGCGACCGATCGGCTATTGACACCGATTGACATGGGGTCACTGACACTGACAGCTCAGCATTGCGCAGCCGAGCAGATACAGTAGTTACGTACTGCTCGGACGGGCACGGTCATCCGCCAGGCTCCAGGGAAAGAACATGCCCCGGATGAACGATGCTGACGCCCTTCCCAGTCGACCAAGCTGCTCTGGCTCACCGGGGGCGCTGACAAACGGCCGCCCGGCCAGAGGTGGTTGCTGACGCGCTCGGACCCCGCAAGCCGGAGAAGGGGATACCCAACTGGGCATCTTGTCAATAACCGTTGACTTCGCCCCTTTGCCCCTTTGCCCCTTTACCCCCGACCACGGAGCACCAAACACCGGGAGCCCCGTGACCGGTGACCGGTGACCGGTCGCCCGCTGGTGGTTCCTGAGGCCACGAGGCAGCATGGCAGCGAGGCAGAAAGGGAGAAAGGCATCCAGGCAACCATGCAACACAACACAGCTGACTAACCTGCATCCCACGTCCCGATCCGATGCAGCACAACGCAGCAACGATCATATCAATCTCCGATTCCCGATCAGCCCATCCATCCATCCATCCCCTGGATAGACAGACCTCAGCCACACCCACCACCTCAATGCCTCCCATACCGCAACTCACCGCATAAACAATGCCCCAACTCTCCTTCTCCACCCTCCTCAGCTCCATCTTCTACCTCATCCCGCTATACCTCTTCGTCTTCGCCCCCCTCCTCCGCACGCTCTCCCCCCAGCCGACCACCAACATCTTCGACCCGGACGACGCCTCCATCCCGCTCGACCCCGACACCGACATCTCCCTGGACCCGGAGATTCTCAGTTTGCCGGACGGTATCATCCCATCATGTCCAGAGGACAATTACCGCGTGCACCTCCTCTCGAAGGAGCCCCTGGTCATCTACATTGAGGATTTCCTGTCTACTGCGGAAGCGGACCATCTGCTTGAGATGAGGTACCCCCCTCAATATCCCAATCCCCCATTCCCCCAATCCTCTCCCCCAACAACAAAAACAACAACTAACCCCCTCCCCCCACCAGCTCAACCAACTACACCCCCTCAATAATCTACAACGGCGTGACCACCAAAATCGACCCCTCCACGCGGCTCTCCGATCGCGCCCTCCTACCCCGGGACAACACAGTGCGATGCCTCGAAGCCCGCGCCTCGGCCTTCCAAGGCTGGAAACCGCACCTATACATCGAGCGCATGTGGGCGCAACGCTACAACGTCTCCGGCCACTACGCGCACCACTTCGACTGGGCCGGGTCGGCGGCCCGCGGCGGCGACCGTCTGAGCACGTTCATGGTCTACCTGGACGATGACTGCGAGGGCGGGGGGACGAATTTTCCGAGACTGCGGATGCCGAGGGGTGCTGCTGGTGGCGGGGAGTGGTGTCGGTTTTTGGAGTGCGCGGATATTACCACCACCACCGCTACCAACAGCAGCATGAAGACTGGGGATCAGAATGTTATTGGAGACGGAGCTGTGGCAGGGGGAGGGACAGGGCAGGCCCAGTTCCACCAAGAGAAGGAATCACATTCAAGCCGGTAAAAGGCAACGCGATCTTCTGGGAGAATCTCCGCGCGGATGGCTCCGGGTATCCGGAGACATGGCATGCTTCGTTTCCGGTGACGAGGGGGTTGAAGGTCGGGTTGAATATTTGGAGTTGGTATCAGCCGCCGAGGAGGAGGTGAGCTATCCTTCTTCTTCTTCTTCTTCTTCTTCTTCTTTTTCTTATTCTGCCATTTTCCCTCTCTCTATTGTGTAGAGAAAGAGGGCGGGAGGGGGGAAGGGAGGGGGGAAGGGAAACTGGTATGTATGATCTGATCTGTATGATCTGTTTTGGATATGAAGAGTACTTGGATAAGAGATGGCGGCGGCGGCGAATAGAATAGAATACAATAGAATAGAATAGAATGCCTGGCTGGGGTGGGCTTTGAGATAATCCCCTTGTTGAAGGGGAAGAAAGGGAACGGGGAAAGGAAGAGGATGTACGATAAGATAAACCATGTACGGAGGACAATACTTACTATATCGACCAGATCTAGATAGCTAGATAGATAGAAAATAGAAAATAAAATTAGAAAATAAAAATAGAAAATAGAAAATAAAGAATGATGGATAAGTGATCATTGACACGAACATAAAGCATAGCTACATACATACATAGATAGTAAACACAGAAAACACACCCACACCCGCACCTGCAGCCAGCCACACAAACAACCAACCCTCCAACCGAGCAAGCATCCATCCAACCATCCAAACAAACAAAACACACACAAACGCCCCAGCCCCAAGACTCCAACTCCAACTCCAACTCCAACTCCAACTCCAACTCCAATCTCCAATCCTCAGCGCATATGGGTATTACCTCAATATTTTACTCCCCTCCCCTGCCCTGTTGATAATCGACTAACTAACTCTCCACATTCATCCACTGCGTCCACTCATCGCCCAACCCACCCGGACGAAAGACATCCGCGTTGCCGAACAGATCATCCAGCGGCAGACCCAAATCCAACCCCATACCCATGCCAGGGACAGTGGGACCGGGACCATCCCCATTCCCATTCCCATTCCCATTCGCATTGGGATTGACATTCGCATCCTCAACACCCATACCATACTGCCCCAGCGCCGAGGCAACCGGAACAGAAGCAGCAGCCGGGCAGAATCCTGGGGGTTAAAGGTCGACGGCTGGAAGTTGTAGCCCTGCCACATGAAGGTCTGGTTCGGGAGGGAGACGAGGTCGGGGCTGTTGACGGCCTCGGCGCCGTTGACGGGGGTGGAGGCGTGAGAGTGAGAGTGAGAGGCGGGCGATTGCAGACGCGACTGGGTCTGGTTGGCGGCGAGGCGGGTGGAGATGTTGGGGGGCGGAGGTGCCGGTGCCGGTGCTGGGGGGCCACCACCGGCGAAGACGGAGAAATTGCCGAAGCCGTCGAGGGTCGGGGTGGTGACGCCGAGGGAGCTGACGCCGCTGGTGTCGGTGAGGGACGGGGCGAATTGCGAGGTGACGGGGGGGTCGTGGCTGAAGTGGTCGTTCTCGAGGGTCGAGAGGGGCTGCGTGGGGTAGGCGAAGGGGTCGTCGGAGGGGAACATGATGGGCATGAGGTCGGGGAAGCTGCAGGGGTTGTTGGCGAAGGCGTTGAAGGGGTTGGGCCCGGAGGAGTCGCCCAGGGGCATGGACATGGACACGGGGGAGGCTCGGGTCGAGCTGCTGGCCGTGGCCGTCTCGGACGGCGTCGAGGCGACGGTGTCGGCGACGGGCTCCGGCGTGGGCGTCGATGGGAACCACGGCTGGCTGTGCCGCGGGTTCGGCGGGCCCTTGTTGCGCGCGGCGGCGCTGTCGTCGAGGCTCTTGGGGGTGTTGCTGGCCTCGGACTTGGTCGATCGGTGCAGCAGCTGGTTGGGGAAGGTGCTGGCGCGCTGCGGAGGGGGCATCTGCGAGGGTTTGGTCGTGGCACTTGGGGCTCGCTGATGGTGGTTGCCGCTGGACGGCGCGGACCGCTTCAGGTTGGCCCGGACGGTCGAGCTCTGGCGGTTCTTGAGCAGCTCCGGCAGGTTCTTGAAGACGCAGCTGAGACTCTGCGAGCAGCGGTCGGCCGCCATGCTCTTCTTCGCCAGCCCAGCCAGCGTGTTCTTGCCCTCCATGGCGTCTTTCAGCACCCCGTCCTTGGCCGTGGGCGAGTCCGGGTTCTCGAGCACGAAGAACAGCAGTGACAGGATGGCGAAGTACGTCGTGTACATCGTGAACCAGAACGATCCGTTCAGCAGGCCTCGCTTGTGCATGCCCGTGGTGATGTGGACGATGTTCCGCGACACGCTGACACAGGCCGCCGCGCAGGCGTAGGACCGCCGGTCCACGCCGCGAGCCTGCGAGCCGCTGGAGACGTAGTGCAGGAACGGGCGGTACATCATCACCTGCACGTGGGCGTAGCTGATGCGCAGCAGTTGTCGGACCCTGGCACCGTCAGAAGGAATCAACACACACGGGGATGGGGACGGAAACAGACCGTTCAAGCTGGGGGGAGACCTCCGTGCCTGGCCGCAAAGCCGCAGGTAGCTCCTCCATCCAGGCTTGCAGATCGCGCTCGATCTCGCGGATCTTGGAGTGGCTCACCACGTAGCGCTGGTCCGACCCGCGATGCTGGGCATGCTTCACCGGGTAGATGTACTTGACGACCTTGAGGATGATGCTGGACAGCCGGGTGTGGGCATTGGCGCCGGCCATCAGCGGCGTGCGATCCGAGGGCATGGTCAGAATGCCGTCGCGGGTGATGAACTCCGAGTCGACGGACTCTGGGTACTCCTGGTCGATGTCGTCGTCGCTCAGCATCAGGGGCAGCCCCAGCAGGGTGCTCACGTAGACGTCCATCTTGCGGACCACCCAGAAGATGCGCTTCCGCAGCTCCTGCTCCAGGGGGGTGAACTGCGCCGTCATCTTGCGGTGCAGGCCCAGGCGCAGGGCGGATCGCAGGGCGATGCCCACGTAGGAGTAGCAGGTGCTGAGTTTGGCGGAGGACTGCAGGAAGAGCACCATGAAGCAGATGGCCTGGAGGGACACCAGGTCGCGACAGTCGGTCACCTCCAACAGCTGTTGGCCCGCGCGGAAGTATTGGAACCTAGGTCAGGGCAGTCAGCAGACGCCTCTCAGACGCCACCAGGATCCGAGGAGTCACCCACCCTTGCCCGATAGCACCCTCATAGCCCGAAATATCCAGGGCGCCGGCCCCGCCGTCGGAGAACAGACAGCCGACGGCGATGACGATGTAGAGCAGCGGCAGGAAGGAGTTCTCCTCGTTGGTGAAGTGGTCCAGGGGGGTATCGTAGATGCGATCGAACATGGCGAAGAAGGAGGGCTCGTGCACGAAGCGCATCAGCGAGCAGCCGTCGTCGAGGGCGTTGTGGCACAAACGCCGTGCGACCTCGCGCGGCGGCAGGTCGTGGGTCGGCGGCAAGACGGCATCCTGCGGCGACTCCGACATGGACTTGGGGCTGTCGAACTTGGTCTGGCTGACGGGGCGCGACCGGATCGACGGCGGCTGGATGTCGGACGACCCCAGCTGCTTGCGCAGGCGGCGGATGAAGCTCATGCCCGAGCTGTGGCCGTGGTAATCCCAGTGTCCCTGGTCGTCCAGATCGATGTAGCCATGGTTGTCGACCATCGACTCCAGCAGCGACTCATCGCCGCCGTTGGCATCGCCCGAGTCGGCAGACCCCGCGAGGGCCACGGAACTACGGCGTCGACCGGCGGCGGGGATGGGCGCGGACAGCAATGGTTGTTGTTGTTGTTGTTGTTGTTGCTGTGGTGGTTGTTCCTGCTGCTGCTTCTCGCGGTTGATCGCGGCCAGCATCTGCTCCGAGGCATGGACGTCGAATTGCGGGTCATCGAGATTCAGATCGGGCAGGACGACGCGCAGCAGGGCCTCTGCCTTATGTAGGCGGTTCTCCAGGGCCTCGACATACTGGGGGGCAGGGTTGCGACGGCGGTTGGAGGGCTGGTCGTAGGTGCATTCTGGCGACGGAGACCCGAAAAGCGTCAGTCGCGACCGGACGGGGAAAGGATCGACTGGACTGGACTTACCGTAGCTGTAAACGGTGCAGTGGGTGCACGGCTGCTTCCCATCACACTTGATCTTCTTGCGACGACACTCATCGCAGGCGCGCGTCACCCGGCGTCGCTTTTGCATGGGCAGGTGGTCCTTCACGGGCTTCGCGTCGCCCAGCGCATCGTCTTTGCCGGAGAGGTCCGGGGCGAACTGGTCCGGGGAGACATCGTGGTCGTGGTCTTCGTGGGTATAGAAGAACGAGTCGGGGTCATCCTCGGTCGCATTGTCGGCGAGCACAGGGCTGGGATCGGACGCCATGAGGGGGGGAGGGGAAGGACGAGATAGGGCTCACGGCGGTCGGCGCAACGGCATGCAAGGGGGTATGAAGTGCCTGTGGAACTGGGGGATGGGGCGAGGGAGACTACTAGGCGGACGAGGGATCAGCAAGGAGGATGAACCCGCGTGGCGATCGACCGGAATCGCAGGGCCTCCACGAGGGTGGAATTGACGCTTCTCACAGGTTCATGGAAGGCACACGCAGCCAGGCGGGGGTGGATGCGATGCGTGAGGGGGGAAGAATTGATCGTTCTCGAGAGGAGGTCGGCTTGTTGGAGGATGAGGTAATTGCTAATTTTTTGTTGTTGTTGTTGTTGTTTGGTATGGTTTTACTGTTGTTGGGAAGGATGATGGAATGACTGATTGATAGCCGGAGGAAAGAGAGAGAGGAGAGAGAGAGGATGGGATGGGATGGGATGGGATGACGGAATTTCTTCTGCTGGAGAGAAGAATTGGAGTCAGCGCGAATTAGTCAGACCAAAAGACCCGCTCCAACCAGACGGAAACCTGTCCCAGGATCGGAAATAATGCCAGCACGAGTGCAGACTGCAGACTGCACAGCAGACCGGGGGGGGGGGAAAGGCCTCGGGGATTCGCTCCTCGCCTCGCTCGTCTAGAGGCCGAAAGTACGAGGGGATGAGCCCAAGAATGAATGAGGGGGGGGAGTTCCTGGGATTACGTGGGTGGGAATCAACACGGGGGGTGGAGGTGGTTGGAACACAGCCAGAGGAGTGAATAATACCTAGGAGAAGGGATCCCAGCTCTCTCAGCAGGAGGAACAGCAGCAGTAACTAGCAGTGGCAGCTAGCTATAGTAAGTAGTCCGAGTGTTGGTGGTGATGGGGTGGTGGTGAGGAATTGATTGATTATGGACAGGGCAAAGTTGGACGGACGGGCAGAGATCCACCCCGATGCACAGGATGGATGCACAGGACGAGATGCCCAGACCCTGATTCCACAGACCGTTCGGAGAGGAAAGAGATGGCGACTGGGAGTCGGTCACACAACTGATGAAATGTGCGGGATTAATATCCTTACCCCCATAAGAATAAAAAAATAAAATTGCACAAGTGTCCCACGAGGTAGGTTTAGATAGGGATAGGGCAGTCCAGAAAATCGCTCAATAGGGCTGATCTGGATCCCTTCCCTTCTCCCCCCGATGAGGCCGTAAAGTGTAACGGGCCATGAAGACAAAAAAAGACCTGGAACAAGCGAGTCAGCGACCGCTGGATTGAATTTCCCGCAAAACCACTAGCCTACCTCGTCGTAGTTAGAAGAAGAAGAAGGGGAAAAAAAAAAAAAAAAAAAAAAAAAAAACCAAAAGTCCCGGTTTTTCCGTTCGGCGTCAAGGCCGAATAAGCCGACCGCTGCCTCGGATGTCCGATGCAGGAAACAAGCATTCGGCCTTTCAGGCCCTCGTCCCTCCGTGATTCGAGGATGGGAGATGGCCGGTGGACTTGCTGGAAGGCCCTGGTCCATGGAAGCGCAGCGATAGGGAATTAGGGCGGTAGCCAGTCACCAGGCGCATGGCCACCGCGTCCAGAATAGAATGGCATTCATAGGTGGAGTGCAGCGAGGCAGACCCTAACCAACTGCGCGGCGTCTCATCCTCTCATCCTCCACGCGCAGTCTGACGGCCGGTTTTCCCAGCTGGACCTCCGGCCTCTTTCTCCCCCCCCCCCCCCCCTCCCCTGAATCTGTCATCCAGTCTCCCTCTGCAGAGCTCAAAGTTTGATTGCTGGCAGCCGCCTGGATCCTCAGCAATTAGCTTCTTCCTTCAGTGTCTCCCCCCCCCCCCTCTCTCCGTTGTCATCCTGGTCGTGTGGTCGGACGGATCCCAACTGGGTGACAGCGCCGAATAGGGTTATGCCATACTCCTCCAGATCGAACCGCATCTAGAACCCAAGGGATACATACCTTCATGGATAAGAAACAACAGCGCTGTCGCAGCCACCCCGCCAACCGCACCCAATAAACCCCCCCCAGCTGGGCGTTGGAGGACCATGCCCTATCTTCTCGTCACCCTCTGCTGCCTCTTTGCCACGCTCGGATCCTTTCTGTTTGGCTATGACTCAGGCGTGATCTCCTCGGTTATCGATCAGGACTCGTTCAAGCTTCGTTTCCACAATCCCTCCGACGCCGCCACCGGCGGGATTGTCGCGTCCTATAATGGTTCGGATACATCCGCCGATGAGATAGATGATCTATCTGTCCGGGCCAATCTGACTGATCTGATGTGTCTTCCGCAGGCGGTGCCATCCTGGGCTCGGTCGTTGTCTCCTACCTCTCCGATCCGTGGGGGAGACGCCCGGTGCTCTTCACCGGCGGCCTCCTCGCTAGCTTGGGGGCCGCCTTGCAAGCGGGCGCCGTCAACGTGGCCATGCTCTTCGTGGGCCGTTTGATCGCCGGGCTGGCCGTGGGGATGATGTCGGCCATCATTCCGGTCTACTGTGTATGTCTTCCTTGTTGCGTTCGATCCCATTTGCAGGTTGCGCGGTGCTTACCATCTCCCAGAGTGAGCTATCCCCTCCCCGTATCCGTGGCTTTCTGGGTTCCCTGCAGCAGTGGATGATCGGGCTGGGGGTTGTGGTCGCGGTACGTGTCTGATTCATCCATCCATCTATCTCGACTCTCAGGTCTAATCACCTCCAGCAATGGGTGGGATACGGTTGCTCCCTGCGCGCGGGAGCGTTCAGCTGGAGTTTCCCCCTTGCCTTCCAAGCCGTCCCCGCCGTGATTCTGAGCGCAGGCGTCTGGTTTCTTCCCGAGTCTCCTCGCTGGCTCATTGGGAAGGGCGATATGGACGCCGGACGAGCGATCTTGAATCGTCTCCACCTCGTCCAGGGACAGTCTAACGCTCAGCTGGTCGAATCCGAGTTCGTCCAGATCCGTGACAGCATCGCGGAGGAACGACGGTCTACCGTCCGCTCCTGGCATCAGCTGTTCACGCAGCCCAGCTGGCGTCATCGCGTGCTGCTGGCCTGCGGCATGCAGGTGTTCACTCAGTGTTCCGGCACGAATGTGATCTCGAACTATAACCCAAGCCTGTATCAGATCCTAGGCCTGAGCCAGTCGACCTCGCTCATCCTCCAGGGAATCTGGGGAGCACTGGCCCAGTTTTGGAACACGGTGTTTATCCTGTTTATCGATCGAGTCGACCGGCGCAAGCTCCTCCTCCCGTCATTGCTGGGCATGGGTGCCAGCATGTGTGTAGAAGCGATCATGGGGCAGGTATACGGCAACTTTGAGGACGCGAGCGCAACTAATCCCAACGCGATCCGGGGCGCGATCGCCATGTTCTTTGTCTTCTCGCTCTTCTACACCAGTCTAGGCCTCATCTCCTGGATCTACCCGTCCGAAATTTTCCCCACGGCGATCCGCGCGCGAGGCTCCTCGGTGGCGACGGCCACTAACTGGAGCCTGAATCTGGTCTTCGCACAGTGCACGCCGATCGCCCGGTCACACATGGGCTGGAATTATTTCTACTGTTTTGCGGCCTTCAATTGGGCCGCAGCCATCATCGTCTGGGTGGCGTATCCGGAGACTGCCGGCAAGTCCCTTGAGGAAGTGGAGCGTCTCTTCGTTCTAGACCGCCAGGGTGCGGCACACCAGGTAGGTGATCCTTCGCCTTCGCAGACCAGTATCGAAGGCAAGGATGCTTCTATGATTGTTAGCTCGCAAAATAGCAGTCACGCTCCCGATCATAGACCGGGTGCCAATGCTGCGTCGGTCGGCAGATAAGAATAGCATTGTATAGTATATAGATAGACCAATGATCCAAATTCAATGATAGCTCCAAAATGATACATTCCATGACAGCCTATGTAGACCGCAATGGGCCAAGGTGGCTCGGGTAAGAAGGGAGGAGAGAGAATGAGGACACGATGTACTGTCATATCTCATCGCACGAACTTGGGTATATTAAACAAACAACGCCAAAATCCATGACCAAAATGATAGGAAATATGCAATGATGCATTTCAGCCTAGAGGTATTAAACAAAGCCTTGTCAATGAAGACGACAGGGAATGAAAACGATCACGATTACAGACCGGGTCCAGGCCTGCAGCATGCGCTGGAATTGCACAGCAGGGATAAAAAGCAGAGGGGCATTGCAGAGGGCACACTACCGTCGGGAATCATTGGCATTGCAGAGATGGCATCACATAATTGGTGAGTGGCGCACTTAGAATCTCTTGCAGCAAGTCGTTCTCCCAAAACGAAACAGAGGGTACACTGGTTTGCAACGTGAGACAGGAGAAAAGAAAGTAGTTCACATTCATCCAGGTGTCGAAGCTGAGCCGCTTGGCTACTTTGAGCATCCGGCCTGCGAACCACGGCCGGCCGTATTGGGTCTGCGCAGTGGGTGAATATTGGGTGAAGTCCGGTACGTCAGTGTGGAGACGCAAATGAGATGCGCCCTCAGTGAAGCTGAGCACACCATCATCGCACTCAAGCAATATTTGCAGCAGTGCTTCAACCGAGCCGCTGGTGTTGACTTCACTGTCCAAGACAGCCTGCTCCAAAGTCCTGAGGAAGGTCTCGCTACGCCAGACAGAGTTCCGGTAATCCCACAGACCAGCATTGAGAATGATCAGCGCGACCAGCCGTGCCACGAATTGCTTGCGGTTGCCAGAGGCTGTAAATCGTAGCCCGGGAGGCGCTGCAAGTATCCGGTGTAGTAGCGAGTTTTCCCCAAAGGCGGCATGACGAATCGGTGCCATCGTTGGGCCGATCACATTTCGCTGATAGATAGAATTCTGCTCACAGCGTTTGAGAAAGTCGAGGAACTCGGTACATTGAGATTGAATTTCTTCCTGTGGGGAGAGGGGACGGTGGTGCGTGGTACTTTGCTCGGTAAGTGATGTAATGTATGATGCAGTCTGAGGGAACACCGGGTTCGGAGCGAGCGATTGGACGTAGGGCGCTGTTGGCCGCGTATGTGGAGGATCGTACTCGAAGAAAAAGCTTGGCCCTTCAGTCTCATACCCTGATAGGATATAATCTTGCCAATTGATAAGCATGCCTAGCCGCGTATTTTCAAAAGCCGATGGTCCCCCACGGGCTCGGATCATCTCCCTTGCAGCCCGCATATGAAGCCAACTGATTTCCTTGTGGCCTGGACGAGGATCAAAGTCTTCAAGCCCTGCAGCGCTGAGACACGCTATGATCACCTCGTCGGAAAAGTCCCCGGGGTTATGTTCCCTGTGTTCTCGAAGCATGGAAATGGCACGAGCCCGATGAACAAGGGCAGATTCATCCGGCTCTTCGTTGCGAACCCAAACCCAAGTGTTGGCTGCGTGGACGAGAATGGTATTCTGAAACGCCACCGGACCCTTCATCCCTTCTGGCACAAACACCGCTGTATACCAATTATGCGCCTTTCGTGATCGGAAATGGGAACCGTACGAGCAAGCAGGCATTTCATTGACATAGAAATCGAATAGTCTCTGGCCTTCGAGATCAAGCTCCAGAGGCAAAGTGTTGAAAGGGTCGGTACGTGCGGCACTGAGGACGGTTTTGGGAGACAACGCCATGTCGACTGGGGATGTCGGAGCGGAGGACGATGGTGTCATGGTGCCGGTGTCCGAGTTGCTGCTTTGGGACCAGGCTGGATATCTCCTTGGAGGGTTCGATGAAGGATGGACATGGCTTTGGAAACGTATGTCTCTGTAAGGTAGCACATTAACTGGGTCGGTGACTGGATAGCTCACAGTCCCTGAGATTTGGGTATCCTCGATCTCCTTCAGCTCATGCTGCTTGGGTGAGTGCTCGGAGATAAATCGAGCATTATACTGCTGGTAAGCCTCAGATTTGTCGCCATCATGAGAACCTTCCCTTCGGCTCTCACGTGCATCCTCGGTCCAGCCACTGGCCCTGGGTTGTCGACGTGGTTTCTGCTCTTGATCCCCACTCTCCAGGGCAGTTCCTCCAGGTTCCACTACAGACTGTCCTGCGGCGGAGCGCTTTTGGCGCATATATTCTTGCATTACATGGCGTTTCACTTGGGTCAAGGTTCTCCGGCTATTGTCAGAAGCGTCGATGAACTGCCACCGCATTTGCGAAGATCCTGTGGCAGACTTGCTCGTGTTCCCCGTTTCATCTGGCATAATCAAGGCCGCTCTGATCGGACGTACAAAGCAGGGACCACCCAACAAGCTTCGATTGGTGGGGCAATGAGCGGTGTCTATCAAGAATCGTCTGTTAAGAGTGGCTGTGGCTCGACTCTGCCGTTCTGTGGTCGCACGACAGTTACCACTGTCGATGGGATTGATCGGAAATCAAATATCGGCAGTGCACTGGCTCAGTAACTCAGGCTTTCAATCTTGAAATGTCAATACGTGTAGAGTAGAAGTGCGATAGCGAAGGAGCAGAGAAGCATGAGCGGCCCAGAGGGTTGCCAGCAACCTCGGTGACCGCGGAAAAGAAATTTGGCGGTATCGGACCAGTGGCTTGTGTCCAATCCCTTAATTGGATATGAAAACCGCGATCGAGCTGAACGCTCTGTTTCAAAGTACGGAGTAGAGGTGAAGGCTAACAGGTAAGATGCAGATTAATACTATGCAACCAACCCGGAGAGTATCCGAGGGGGTGACTCTGGTGACCAGAATGATGTGGATCGGGACGATAGCGAAGATCCGCGTAATGACATGAGAGCCTGGTTAGGGGCTAAAAATAAGGGCAGAAAGTAAAAGCGGATGTGGAAAGGTGAGATCCAACAAGATCGGATACTGATTCGTCATATAAGACGAAGAGGGCTGTGCTCTGCTCGCAGGAACCGGGAAGCGCAACGAAAGGCAGGCAGGATTGAACCGATAGGCGTAGGCGAGACCGGGAGGTTTTGAGAGCAACGAGCTTCAGGTTGTCCGGCTAAATCAAGATCAACTCTGAGTTGCTCCACCGACGTTGAATCATCTAATCATGCGCATCTTCGATGTCGGAACCTTGGAACGGAAACTTCGGGCCTGGAGATTCGGATCCCCACTAGATCGCGTGGTCTACGCCCACCCGAAATCCTCAACGAGTCAACGTAGGCAATGCAATTCAAGGACGAGACCAGCAGCGGTTGGTAGCTTGGAGGGAAGGAATGATAGCGTGGCTTGATACGGAGTAGCAGGGACAGGGACAAGGCAAGCGATGATGCCAAAGCATGACCCTGAAGTGCAGGAGCCGGCTGTGGCTACTGGCTAGCTTATCATTATTGGGGTCCGGGTTCGTTTCGCTCCCCAAATCAGTCAACCCCCCGGTGAGTGGGTGCTAGCGTGCTTTGCCACGAGATGCGGTGAATTCAGCCGACGCGTTTTTGGAGGATGTAATTCGACGACTGTTATCCGGTGTCTAGATAAGTCGAAGACGAGTTGAAGTGTCAGTGTTTGGCCCGAGTCAAGATCTGCTTCTAGGCGATCTGGGGTATGCAAAAGACCTGGAAGCTGGAAGCCCCTTGCGGCTCAGCTTTTTGCCAGTACACGGCAACTAGCAGGTCGGGCTCTCTGAGGGACTTTGAAGAGAAAGTAGTGGTGGTAATGGGATGGGAATGTTGTAGAAGTCAAGAGGGGTACGCTTAAGAGAATTGGGGGCATAGCAGAGGATGCCTGGGGCCACCAGGCAGGGAAATCGCACATAGCACAGTCGTGCCGATACTATGATATATGTGTTGATGGGCGGAGGGTGGATGTGGTGGTTAACAGTGAGCAGTTGCTGCTATCTGAAATCAATCAGTCGATTGATACTCCATACCTACGTGCCCTTTGATCTGATTCTATTTAACTATTTACCTGTTGGCTAGACTGACACCACCTTACTATCTATTAGTTGCACACACTTCCCATCTTCAGGCCTGAGGCAAGCAAGACGTGTCCGGCGTTAAGCCACACCGCCCTGGCTAAGTCCGCCGCAGAAGCTGCCGCAACCTCAGGCTCTCCAGTCTCCGCGAATTTCACCTCCGCGTCGCCCGACCGCGCCTCGACCAGCTCCCCCTCTCTCCAACGAGTCGATCGAGGAAGTCCCTCTCCTGCCGGGCTTCCCTTCAATCCTCCCACCCCCCTATCGTCTCATGATACGCCGACACCGTTGCTGGCAGAACCCGCAGTCGAGATTTCCGACCGTCTCGAACCTCCGAACTCCGCCGCATCGCCAGCTGCACGACGGTACCACGCTCGATCCGTCCGTCGCGCTCTGAGTTGCGATCTATTCGTGCCTCCCTGCATCAGACTCTCCAGTATGACCTGACACGACGGAATCAATCTGAACCTCTTTTCATTTCTCTGTTTGGAATACCGCTGTTCGGACTGGACTGGACTGGACAAAGACGGATAGGTATATATTTCCCAGGTTTGCGCCCAACGTCCCCCACCGACGTTTGCGGGACCATCCACGGAATTAGTGCGCTGGAGGCTCGACCAGGCCACTGAAGGGCTCCTGCAATGGCGGAGGATACACAGAGCCAGGCGAATGGCTCCATGAACGATCAAATGCCAACCACCAACCCCTACGAAACGAAACCCGACCTCCTCCCCAAGGACGACCCCTTCCTCGCCCGGAGCACGCAGTACGGTCGCTATGCCCCTCGGGCGGATGAGTTTAAGCCTCGCTACGCCAAGTGGTGCGAATCGGATCCCGAAGCGACATCGTATTGGGAGGGGACTGTGAATCAGTTGTGTACGGCAAAGTATTCGTTGAATGCGCCCGAGGGCAGGGAGGCTTTCGCTGCGGGCAGCGTAATCATCAGAGTCGACCAAGATGTGGATGACACGGCGATTGATAAATACTCGTGCGTGAATGCGAATGAGTTGAGCGCTGCGCGGAAGGCAGAGGATGCCCTCAGGGAGCTGGGTGTCGCGGTACCGGTCATACATTTCTGTGGGACGATCCACGGGAAGAACGTTACCGTCGAGTCTAGGATCCCTGGCGTGACTCTAGAGGTGGCTTGGAGATACCTGACCGAGGAACAGATCGACACATTCAAGCAGCAGTGCCGTCGCATATCGCAACGCTTGGCAAGTATCGATCCATGTCCGGATCAACCATCCTACGTATGCAGTGGGCTCAACTCGCATTTACCGCCCGATGCCGAGGAATCCGAAAAGGAGTTGTTGTTCCACGAGAAGAACGAGAACGAGGCTCTCTGTCTAGTTCACAACGACCTGGTCCCGTCGAACATCGTCGTGAGAGAAGGCAAGGTGGTGGGCGTGACTGGTTGGCGACAAAGCGGGTACTTTGGGTTTGAAAGAGCAGACGAAATACATCGACGGTTCAGGATTCCGGCGGCTACAACCAGCTCAGAGGGGGACAATGTTCCGGATATGTGGTCTGACCTCTACGGGGGCCTTCTCGGTACCGCGCAGGAAGATACCTCCACCGTGAAGCAAGATACCCCAGTCCCTCACGTCAAGACGGAACCCTCCAACACAAATATAGAGGGGGTCCCGTTGGATGGAGAGCCCGAGTCCAAGCCAGGAGTTCCCCAACTCGACGGTCTCGCCGGAGATTATCCGACCCCGAAGAACATCGCCAGTCTGAAAAACAGAGGGTCATCCAGAGCTTCATCATCGGATCGATCATCCCCCGCGACATCCACGAAACCTCCGGGTCGGAAATCAGCGACCAGCGCGACCAAAAAGGGCACGGGGAGAAAAATGGCGACCAAGAAGAGGAAATTGAACGATGCCGACAACCAAAGCGTGGATGGACGTTCCAACACCCCTTCTTCTCGCACTGGTAAGACACCCGGAGGACGGAAACGAGGCGCGGCGTCCGTAGCAGGCTCACCCGCTCCGGGCAACAAAAAGAAGGGCAGCAAAAACGCCGCGACAGAGGAGGTCGAGGAGGAGGACGACGACGAGGAAGAAGAAGAAGAAGAAGACTCCGAGGACAACGACGAGGTGTTCTGTATCTGCCGCAAGCCCGACAATCACACGTGGATGATTGGGTGTGATGGGGGCTGTGAGGATTGGTTCCACGGGAAGTGTATCAACATCGATCGGAGAGACGCGGATCTGATCGACAAATACATCTGTAAGTTTGGTGACTCTTTCCTTAAAATGTACCTTACAGTCGGCTAACTAAGCCCTCCCAGGCCCAAACTGCAAAGAACAAGGCAAAGGCTGGACAACATGGAAGCCGATGTGCCGGTTAAAAGAATGCCGCAAGCCGGCGCGAGTCAACCAGAGCAGTCCGAGCAAGTATTGTTCCGACGACCACGGCCGGGAATTCATGCTCCAACGCACCCGGAATCTCCTGGGCCTGAAGCCCCGCAAGGGCATCACCACCGCAGGCCGAACGCCCACGAGCGGCATCCAGTCCGTTGAAGGCACCAGCCGCGACGGAACCGAGACGCCAGACCGAAGAGACCCAGAAGACATCGGCAGCAAAGGCGGCGTGCTGACGGCCGGCGACCTCAACGCGGTAGTCACGGGCGTGACATCCGCGCAAGAGTTCCGCAAGCTGGGCGAAAACATCATCTCGCTCCCCGCGGAGCACGCGAAAGAAAACGAGACCGAGAACGCGAACGAAACCAGCAACGTCGACGCTACAGCCCAACCGGCGCGCGACAAGAAACTCGGCCTGGACTTCGACGTCGACTGGCTGGCGTACTCACCGGACGAAGCGTCCAAGATCGAAAAACTGCGCAAGCAGCGCGACGACCTCCTCCATCGCAAGGAGATGCTGCGCGCCCGGAACACGTTCATGACGCTTGTGCGCCAGCGGTCCAAGAGCATCCTGGAACTGCTGAAGCAGAACGACCCCAAAGGCGGATGGAAGGACATCTGCGGGTTCGATGCCCGACTGGCGTGGTCGGACGAGGAGTTCGACGAGTGGCGGCTCTCCGAGCCCGGGGCGAAGGCGCTCGAGGAGGGCACGCCGGAGGCCCTGGCGTCTAGCTATCCCGACGCGACGGACGCGGACGGCGACACGGTCATGGACGAGACGAAAGACGACCTGGAGATGCTGTCCCGGGGCGTTTGCACGAAGAAACGCTGCGAGCGTCACAAGCAGTGGCTGAAGGTGCAGCAGCAAGACGATCATTTCGAGGAGACTACGCTTGCTCTTGATCTCAGTAAATGCGAGAAGGAGGCGAAGAACGTGGTGGAGAGAGCGGTTCTGAGGATGTGGGCCGAAAAGGACAACGCGCAGATGCGGGGGCAGTGAAGTTAACTGTCTGTCTGTCTGTCTATCTCTCTGCTTCATTCTAACTTTTCTCTCTTTTTCACCTTTCACAATTAAACCTACTAATTGCTTGGTTGATACCCCCCTCCTTCCTCCCTGTGTTTGTCTGGGAGAAGGAAACAAAAAAGCAGAATGCGAACTGGAGTTAGTCTCGAGTGGGTTTGGTTTGAAAAAAAGGGAAGCATATATCATATCACTATCTTGATCATAGACGGATGGCGCGCATCCGAGGAACTAGTTAGTTAGTTACTTGGTGTCGATAGTAATATCTATCTATCTATTTACTATTTAATCCAGGAAAATAGAATGGCTGTCCATAACAGATGACAGTAAACATATCCCATCCCCCCACCTCCCCCCCCCCTCCCCCTCAACCTCAAGGCCCTGAGATGAGATGAGATGATATAGCCAGCCAGCCAGCCACTTTGATTTGAACACCTCAAGGCTACGTATCACTCACTACCAACCACCATCATCATCAACCACACAACCACACACGCATCAGCCCTCCCCCTCAAAACCAAACCGAACATCCAAATCACTCCCATCACCATCCAAAACCCCCACCACCCCACAAACCCCCCACCCGATCCTTCACCACCTCCACCACCACCTCCCCCCTCCAGATACCCTACTCCTACCCATCTCCCTCTGCCTCTCCCTCTCCCTCTCCCCAACTCCCCCCCAACAACCAAATGCCGATCCACCCCCCATCCAACGTCCTCAACAACAAACTCGGAAACAGCGCCCCTGCCCGAAAAGCAGACTGAATGCCGCCATCACCACCACCCATCCTCGCACTCGCACTCGCACTCCCATCCCCACCACCCGACGAAGACGGAGAGTACGCCCCCACCGCACTCGTCCCATTAACCACCAGCACGGATAGCCAGTCCGCATGGGAGCGGGATAGTTGGGTGAGAGTGCGGAGGAGGGCGGAGAGGAGGGCTGCGCCGCGGAGGGCGTTGGAGGATCGGATGCTGGATTCGGTGAGGGTGTCGAGGCCGGTTAGGAGGAGGAGGGTTTTGTGGGGATTGGAGTGAGGGTTGACATTGGGGTTAGGCGGGTTGGAAGGGTTGGAGGGGTTGGTTGGGGAGGTGAGGGAGAGGGCGAGGGCCTGGGAGATTTGGGATATGGCTGCCGTGGCGCCGGGGAGGTCGGTGATGGGGTAGAGGTGGACGGAGTCGAGGAGGAAGATTGCTTGGGGGCGGGTGAGGGGGGTTTTGCTTGTGCTTGTGTTGGTGGATGTAGTGGTGAGGAGGGAGGAGAGGAGGCGTTGGGGAGTGAAGAGGGGGGAGGTCAGGGGGTGGATGATGAAGGCTTTGGGGTGGGGGTGGGGGTTGAGGGGGAATTGAGGAGGTGGGTTGTGAGGAGGTGTCGGGGAGCTGGGATGGTTGGTTAGTGTGGGTTTATTTTATATAAGTTCTACAATACCCAGCGAGCGTTGAAACGCAAAAAAAGATTGGAGATACAGAAAAGCTCATGGAATGGAAAGTGATGTACATACCTGTCCGACATCCACATCCTCATGGCTGTCCTTATCCGTGCTTCTCAGCTTGGAGAAACCGATCACGATTCCGGTTTGAAAGACGCCATCGTTGCTGTCCCGGAAGCCGGTCTTGATGTCGTCTTTCAGGTTCCAGGCCTTGGTGCCGTGGGGTCGAGGATCCTGCCCCGACTGTAGTGTTTCCCCTGCGTGGGAAACGAGGGAATGGGCGAGTAGTGGTGCAGCAGGTTCGGCAAAATAGCGATGAGGGGAAGCGGAGGCCATGGTTGAGGGCAGCTCAGTATATGTAGCTCGATGTGGCTTGTGGCATTAGAAAATTTAAGCCGATGATGGTACTGCGGTATGACTGGGCAATTAAACATGCCTCTGTGGCAGTTGGTTGGTTGGTGGTATAGTTGAAGAACGAGGCTGTCCACCGAGTGCGGTTGAGGTTCGCTGCTCCACCTGTGTATGCCTGAATCCTCAGGTTGCATGATTCTTACAGCAGCAGGGCGCATGTTGGTTTCCACCACCCAATGATATACTGAAGTGGATTCATGGTCGCTGCATTGGATCCTCACAAGTCATTTACATATACACTCCCGGCAAGGAAGCATCCCAGAGGACCAGAGGGAGAACCTTAGTTACATAGGCTTACTTCATAGAAATGCTAAGCGGGCGTGAGAGAAGGTTGTTCCGCCGTCGGCCCCGAGTTGTTCTTCTCGACCGGCTCTCTGATCCAAGTCCCATGGCCGCTATGCACCCACTTACAGTTTTCAAGGACGTCTCGCAGGATAGCAGACAGCTCCGGACGGAGCGCATCGAAGTCAAAGTCACGAGTGCTGAACTTCACCAGCTGCGCTTTGTTCCCGAGGTCTCTCACAGCGTGCGCAATCAGCGAGTATCCCGTAGCGATCTCCATCCACGGGTCGCTCGGGTCCAGGGATCCTCGTTGCTCCAACTCGGTGGTCTTGTCGTCCTGGCCCGGGGCCAACTGCACGCTGAAGGATCGCAGGTTCGTCATGAACCCCACGGTATCCAGCACCAGCTTCACGTGGTTGTAGAACGGGAAGACAGCCGTGTATCGGAACGAGGTCAGAGATGTCAGCGAGAGAGAGGGAGAGATTTCCTCGGGGAGAGGTTGCAGATAGGCGAAACATCCCCACCGGTGGAAGATGGAGGGAAACTGGAACAGAAAGTACTCGTAATGATTATACGCTCTGAGGGCAGACGACTCGTTGAAGGCCAGGGACGACCACGCTCGAGTCCGCAGCAGGCCCCCAGCCAGCCCTGTTGCTGCTGCTGGACTGACACTCGGGGCCTGCAGCTGCGCGGTCTGTTCCAGTTGTAGGATCTGAAAGGGCACCTCGAAGGCCCAACTATGTTCGTCCACGATACGCGTGTCCAGCATGGCAGCTATGAGCGGAGGGGAAGCGAGGACAGTGAGCCGCAGCGGATTGAGACAGTCGAGAACGGGGCGCCACCAGTATCGATTCTCTTGTTCATCCAGCGGATCGACCCCTTTTGCCACGATGGAGACGACATGGCGACTCAGTTTGCGCTGTGCGACGAAAGCTAGGAACCCCGGCACCTCCTGGATCTTGAAGCAGGCGTGCGCGAAGAGCCGGGGGAGGACCAGCTCCCTGATGCGTGAGGAGGTGCGCGACAGATTCTTTAGATCCCTGGAAGTGGATGTGGTTATACGCGAACTAGGAGGCTGGTGCAGCTTGGCCAGCGAAGGCGGGGGGAGGGAGAGACAGGAGATAATGGCATCCACAAGCTCATTCGGCAGGGACACCAAGGACGACTGCAACGACGGCTGAAACAAAGACATAGTAGCTTCAGGGGCCGGAGCGGGGGACGAGGTCCGGGTCACCCTCGCATCCGGACTATACCAATGGCGTTGGGCGCATTTGAGGTGGTGTTGTGGCAGGTGTTGACGCATGTGGCGGAGAGGAAGTTCGGGAAGAGCCTCGCCGTGTAAGTGCCGGGAGGGCCCCACATGAGGCACGTGACCTGGCCGGGGGGGGGAAAAGGCCCCACCAACCCACCACTTTGCTTACAAGTCACCTCGTCAGTATGACAGCCATTTTGCAGTCAGTCATCTTCCCCTTCCCCTTCCCCTTCCCCTTCCCCCCTCTGCGGAGTCGATGTGGGTGATCACCCATCTGCACCCTCAAAATACTGCAGCGTGTTCATTCCCAGGTCCTCTCAGGGCGTTGCCAGCCGCGAAAAGGTACGATGCATCGTGCATGTGCATCGCGTCCAAGCTCGGCAAATGGTGGGGCTGCATTAGCCCATCCGGTGAGCACTGTATCCCCGCAATGCTGGATGTGAACTCATCCACAGGATGTACGCCGTCCATCAATCATATCATCGGAAGTACAAACCAGCCCCTGCACCTCCCCCTCCCCCTATCTAGCATCTACACAGTACTTACTTCCGACGAGTGGGCCGCTGAGTCAGACGTGAATCCCAGCGGCCCGCCCCACCGCAGTCGATCAACTCGCTCTGTCGGCATCTTCGATGCGCTCATACCCCCGACGCCTCAACGGCGATGCTTTCGGCTCTGCGCGGAATGCCACGGTCGTGCATCTGGCACCATAATGTCTCTCCCCGATGTGGTAGCCCAGGAGCCAATGTCGGGCCCGAAAATCGATCACAATCACACCGAGTTATATGAAGTCCTTGGTCGCTGGCCCCCCTCGCATTGTCCGGGTCTGCGAAATCGGTTCCAGGTTTGTGGAGACTGGAGTGACTTCAAAAAAGGTGGGGCTCGCCTGCTCGGACAAGGAGATGAGCAAGGCCCGAGAACTCGCTTTTGAGCAGAGGGTTTTCCCTTCCTCTCCTTCTCCCCCCCTCTGTCCGCCGTCGTCTTTTTGCCATCCCGTGCCTAAACTAGGTGAGTTTTTTCGTGTCAGGTTGTTGGCAGTGTGAACGCATTCTGACTTCTACCGAGATATTAGAGAATAGATAGATAGACGTTCAAGTGATCCCACCATCATGGCCCCTCAACTCCACCGCGACCCCCCATTTCGTGCTGAGCACCTCGGTTCCCTCCTGCGGACGGAGCAGCTCTTGAGCACCAAGACGGCCTTCGAGAAGGGCGAGATCCCCGAGTCTGAGCTGCTTGCTATTGAGAACAAGGATGTCAAGGAGGTTGCAGAGACGCAGAAGAAGCTGGGCTATGCTGCCATCTCGGACGGAGAGTACCGCAGACACAGTAGGCCAGCCCTCGTTTTCGCGCAGAGTATTCATCCTTGCTGACGTTTGCGACCAGTGTTCTGGGGCTCCTTCTTCCCTGGCCTGGAAGGATTCGAGGAGGTTCACGACATCAACCCCGATGTCTTCCGCCCCTACGCCCCCGATGTTGCTGCGTTCCTCGAGGCGGGCCACAAGCCTGGTGAGAGTGTCATCTGCACCGGCAAGATCAAGCACGTTGGCAGCACCTATGTCAAGGAGTTCAAGTATTTGGCCAGCGTCGTTGCTCCGGAGGAGGTCAAGAACCTGAAGATCACCCTGGCCGCTCCCAACTGGTACCACTTGCGCTACAAGGAGGGCAAGGCCTACCCCAAGGATGTGTACAGCTCCGACGAGGAGTACTATGGCGACATCGCCAAGGCGGTGCAGGCTGAGCTGCAGGAGCTGTATGACGTTGGCTGCAGAAACGTCCAGTTTGACGACCCCAACCTTGCCTGTAAGTCTGAGATGCCCCTCCAAAACCTCCATCCTAACCGATTTGCAGACTTCTGCTCCGAGAAGATGCTGGCTGGCTGGGAGGCGGATCCCCTGAATGTGCGCTCGGCCGACGAAACCTTCGAGCAGTACATCAAACTGTACAACGACAGCATCTCCAAGCGCCCCGCCGATATGCACGTCGGCGTGCACCTGTGCCGTGGCAACTTCGTCGGCAGCCGTCACTTCTCCGAGGGTGGCTACGACCGCATTGCCACCAAGCTCTTCAAGGAACTCCACGTGGACACCTACTACCTGGAGTACGACACGGCTCGCGCGGGCGGGTTCGAGCCCCTGAAGGAGCTCCCCACGAACAAGAACGTGATCCTGGGCGTGGTGACCAGCAAGTTCGCCCAGCTCGAGGACAAGGAGGAGATGAAGAAGCGGGTGTACGACGCGGCCAAGTTCATCGCCGAGGGCAACAACATCACGCTCGAGCAGGCGCTCGACCAGGTCGGCGTCAGCCCGCAGTGCGGCTTTGCCAGCCACCGCGAGGGCAACGCGATCGACCGCGACAGCATGATCGCCAAGCTGAAGCTTGTGCGCGAGATCGCCAACGATATCTGGCCCGGCCAGCTGTAAGATACCCGACTTCCCTCCTTTGGATTCAACAACGAGCGGGTATGTGAACGATGTGACGATTTTGTGTTTATAATCCGGTATTTAACATATGGTTTGGATGTACGTGATAGAATTGGTTTATGATTGGAGAAGTGTTGTTGAGAGGGATGTGAGGATGCATGAGTATATATATATAGACGAGACGAGCAAGACGAGTACCTTGGGGCATATACCGTCAGGTATCGCTTCACCAACTTCCCAGGTTGCCGGCATACTCTACGTAGATGTCAAAACCTAGTATCATTCAGTATCACACCTACTTAGGTGTCTGGACACCTTTTTAGTCGAGTGGTCTGTTTGGTCTGATAGTAGATCATCTCCCACCCTTCTCTCAACTCCGCACACGCTTGATCAAAGATAAAAGTGTGAAACAAATCCATTAGCCCGTGGATAGTATAGTATACCCTATCCGTCACCAAACCGAACGCCAACAAACACCACCCAATCAACTCACAATCCAACTCCCAACAACTGAATGCCAAAGTACCCAATACCTAAACCCAACTCCTAAAAATCCACTAACCCCCCCCAACCCGATATCTCTGATGAGCTTCACTCTGCCGGTCCCAAAATACTACTCTCCTTAATCGTCGACTTCTTGTGCGTATGCGAATTCTCAATCTGCATGCATCCATGGCACACAAGACATCAGCCCAAATCCTTAGGAAGATAGGTAATCCAAATGACAACCCTAAATCCAATCCAAATCCTACTCCGTACACCTACCACACCCTCTCTTCCTCCAATCGCAACCACAACCACAACCACCACCCAATCGCAACATCCACAGCACCACCACAAGAGAAGACACCAAAACGGAACAGGAAACAGCAAGAACAAAAAGAAGCAGAAGCAGAAGCAGAAGCAGAAGAAGAAGTACATACCCCATACCGCAACATCCCCCCCTCTTTTGCAGTTGCAGTTGCAGTTGCACTCCCGCTGCGCCCTGACGTGGTGGTCCCAGACTTTGTCTGCGGCAGGATTTCGCGAATGATGCCGGTAGCGGAGGCGGTTTTGGAGGTGGGGCCTATATATCTAGATCAGTCTGACTTTCGTACGGGGTATAGAGTAGAGTAGGATTGAGATGAAATGGCGAAGAGGGTTGGGTTGGGTGAAGTAATGTGTGTGTGTGTGTGTGTGTGTGCATACCCCCGATCGGCTTATAGCGGACGGTGTCTCCTTCCGTGTAGGTAGGCATTTTGATTGCCGTGCCGTGCAGAGCAGAGCAGAGCAGAGCAGTGTCGATAGTTATTATAATATAGATGGATGGATGGGTAGGATACTTAGTATCACTGGGTAAGTTAGACCGTAAAGGTAAAAGAAAAGAAAAGGTCGGGTGGGTCGTTGTTTGATGTATATAGTATAGAATAGTATAATATAATATAGTACACAAGTCACTCCTGTAGCGAACGCCAAATAATGGAAAGAATATGGCAAGCAGGAAGACATAGAAGGTCAGCTACTAACTAGCGGAGGGGACACCACAACCCGACAGTCCCGCGATATTTCTTTGTCGGGGGCTGTGGGAGCGCGCCACCGGTGTCAGATTGATACAATGCGGGATGCGATGGGTGGATGGGGGCGGAGATGCGCGGAAGGGGCGGTTCTTACTGTAGCTGTAGGATCGGAGGGGGAAAGGCGGACGGCGACTGGTGGGATGGGGGACCCGCGAAGCTTACTTGGACGCTTGTGATTGCTTTGCTTACATTACTTTGAGTTGAGTTGGGGGCCTCGGCCTGTCGCGGGGTAAGTGTACTACTGTCTAGTAAGTACCTGAGGGAGATGGAGGTACGTCAGGGCCACGTCAGGTACGTATATACTGAACATTGGATGTTGAGGTACTAGACTACCTAGATATGATGGTAGGTTCCAATCTAAGTATTATCATTGTCGTTTTGATGGTATGCACAGCGAAACCAGAAGGAAAGAAGAAAAAGAAAGAGAAGACAGATTAGAAAAGCATAAGGGGGAACGAGTTGGCGATATGGTCTGGTCTGGTCTTGTATGTATGTATGTATGTATGTGGTCCAATGTCGTTCTATTTTGAAATGTTTCTACACATGACACAGGGCGGGGGGAGGGAGGGAGGGGGCCGAGAAGCGAACGGGAAGATCGAATCAATCAAATCAAATCAAATTGACAGAGAAGACAGACAGAAGGAGAAACGGAAGCGAAGCGGACGGTATTATTAAGAGGGGGTATTCGAAATGACCCGCATCGAAACAGTGGGGGATATCATGAAGAAGGAAGAGTAGTAGATAGGCAAAGAGAAGCGGGACGGCATGCGCGTGAGAGGGAAGCGAAACTGCAAACACAGGATCCAAATGCTGCGTCTTCTGTCATCAAATCGAACGTGAAGCGAAAGCTGTTAGATGGTGGGTTCAGTGGGTACATATGAAACTGTTGTACACGAGAGGCCGCCAGGGGCCTCGGCAAGGGCGGCTCAGGGGTTGGCTGGGGAGGGGGGGTTATTTCGCCGGTTGCGTCTTGACGTTGTTGGAGAGCCAGGCCTGGGTTGATTAGAAACGGCATTTCACCAGAGAGAGAGAGAGGGTGGGTGTGAACGTACCAGGCCTTCGAAGATACCAGTGCCCTCCGTGGCGACACTGGGAGCCACGTACCACAGCTTGTCCTTCAGCTTGTTCAGCTGCAGCTGTTGGGTCACGTCCTCGGGGCTCATGTCTGTCGGATCGGTCAATTGCAGCTCTGTCGCAGGGGGATTGGGATACCTACGTCCGGGACAGTCCTGCTTGTTCGCAAACACCAGCAGAAGAGCGTCCTTCATTTCGCGATCGTTGATGATCTTGTGGAGCTCGGAGCGAGCCTCCTCCATCCGAGCCGTGTCGCTGGAGTCGACGACGAAAATCAATCCTTGTGTGCCTGCGAGGTCCCCGTGTCAGCCAATTCCAATTCCCGAGGAGGGTGGGGAGGAAGTACCGGAGTAGTAGTGTCTCCAGAGGGGCCGTATTTTGTCCTGGCCACCGACATCCCAGACGTTGAACTTGACATTCTTATAGGTGACGCTCTCGACGTTGAATCCGACGGTGGGGATGGTGGTGACGTCCTGGTTAGTGAGCTTCAATTTGTAGAGGATAGCTGTGGCCGCCCGGGTCAGTGAATCGAACGCGATGGATGGTGGCGTGGCCGTGGCCATGGCCGCACGACTTACTGGTCTTTCCGGCGGCATCCAAACCCAGCATGAGAATCCGCATCTCCTTCGTGCCAAAAATCTTCCCCATAATCTTGGATACCGAACCGCCCATGGTGACGAGAGAGGCGACTGCTCAGAAGCGCCGATAGCTGGCGAGGTCGAAGGAGTGACGAGGGTTGGGAGGAGAGTCAGTCGATGGGGGACGACAGAGCGTCTCGGGTGAAAAGCGAATGAGGGGGGGTGGATTCCGGAGCTGGATCGAGGCGAGTGAGTAGGGGGGTGGAAGGAAGAGGCCAGCGAACTACGGAGGGGGGATCAATTGCTCCGTGCTGCTGGTGGTGCTGGTGCTGGTGCTAGCGGTCCGCGTCAACGGGGCGACTCCATCACGACGACCATGCGCCGTGGATGCAAGGGAAACAAGACATATGGAACTCACCTGGAGGGAAGACAGGGGCGACCACGAGATTGCCAATCTGCGGGATGAATGCAGTAGGGACGAGAGGGAGGGAGAGGCAGAGGAAGAGGGAGAGGGGGGGTGGAGGAGGAGGAGGAGGGCAGCAATCAGAATTTCAGGGTTCACGATCCACACGAGGATGATTGCTGTTGTGCTGGTGGTCTTCAGTGCTGGCGCTGCTTTCTGGTATGGGACTGGCGCTCCGTAAAAGGGGCTGCCGGGTGACTAAGCGCCCCGCGCCAAGGCTCGGGTGTTTCAAACGGGCGGCGCCCCTCAGGAACCTCGTCAGTGCTTGTCGCGGCCCATCCTCCTCCTCTCTTCCTCTTCGGCTTCACATCTTCAGCGTCATATCTTCATCCTCGGCATCCTCCACAGATGCATGACCACCGGGGAGCGCCAATGGACGGACAATGCAAAAGAGCCTGGGCCCTGCCTCGCTTCAGGCATGGTGCCACGGCCAAGGGCCACTAGTCGCCGACAATAGTCTGTCTGTCTCTATACGGCCTCCCTATCGGATGTGCCCGCCATACTATACATGGGGAGATCGCTCATTGTACCTTGTTTTGGGCCGCCGGACAACGGAACAAAGAAGCCACCCGGCCACCAGGAGACCACCAGACACCCCCCCCTAAAGAATCCCTTCGGAGCCAATGGCCAATGGCTCGCCGTCGTCCGTTGTGAATACCGCGTTGTCACCGCCGGCTATCTGCCTCCGCTACGTCATGGTAGGACTGGTGAGGTCATCCCACCACCACCCACGGTCATACAAAGCCCGGCCCAGAATACGATCCTGACCGTCTTCTCTTCTGGCTTTATACGGACAGCCTTCTCCTCATCCACCCCCCTGACAAGAGACTCATCTTCGGATCATCACTGCCACCATGGGGGACGGGGCTGAGCCGTTCCACCGCCGCTCCTCCTTCCACCAGATCCAGCTCTCCCACCAGTTTGACAAGAATTCCTGGGAGGCACCACCGTCCAAGGTAGGCAGATAGCTTCGGATCCAGCTGTGGGGGATCGACGGGTCCTTGTTTTGGTGACTGACCGCTCCAGACTATCTATGCCGGACTGTCCGCCTTGTTCGAGAGCGATGGGGTGACCGTCGCTCTGGCCATTCGCGATACCACCTATCTTCTAGATTTCCACCAGCAGGACCTCGTCGCAGAAGGAGACCGCACCATATGCACGGCGATCACCGACTATGTGCTGAAGCAGTTGTCGGACTATAGCGAGGAGCATCTGGAGAAGTTCATCGGGCTGGCGATGCCCACCTCGGTAGCCCAGAAGTGCCCGGCTCTTTGCTCACGTCTCTGGGCCGACCTCGATGTCATCCCGCTGGTGCTGCCAGAGGAGAGTAACATCGGGTCCGATCACCTCGTCGATCATCCCCTGCGCAGGTCCACCAACTGGGAGCTGAAGAGCATCGACGAGCAGGCGGAGTCGATGGGCCGAAAATGCGTCAGGTAGGCTTCCGTGACGGAACCTTTGCGCACGTGCTAAACCATCCAGGCTGTTTGGTCCGGAAAACATCCCCTTGCTACAGGTCGGGTTCTTGGGCTTGGTCGAGGTCGACACCGCCTTCCATGTGCGCCTCACCAGGCTGGAGGACTTCCAGAAGACGGTCACCCAGAAGACCTGGGATGCGGTGCAGTATTATGCCGACGACCTCAAGAAGCGAAGCACCAAGATTGCCTTCTTCAGTGCGACCCCTCAGGGTGGAGGCGTGGCCCTCATGCGGCACGCTCTGGAGAGGTTTTCCCATTCGCTCGGAACGGACATTAAGTGGTAGGTTGACCATTTTGGGTTTCAAGCAGGTATATCTGACGCATGCAGGTATGTCCCGAAGCCGCGACCTGGCGTGTTTCGCATCACCAAGAACAACCACAACATCCTGCAAGGCGTGGCCCCCCCGGATGAGCGCCTGAGCAGCGAGGACTGGGACAAGGTCATCGACTGGATCAACGAGAATGCGAAGCGATACTGGCTCTCGCCGGGTGGCCCTCTGCGGCACCCGTCCGAGGGAGGCGCCGACGTGATCATCGTCGATGATCCGCAGATGCCCGCCTTGATCCCCATCGCCAAACAGATGGCACCTGACCGACCAGTCATATTCCGTAGTCACATCCAGATCCGCAGCGATCTGATCGATCAGCCCGGGTCCCCGCAGGCAGAAGCGTGGGGCTGGATCTGGAAGCAGGCGCAGCTTGCGGATCTATTCATCAGCCACCCCGTGAGCATCTTCGTGCCGAGCGATGTTCCCTCCGAGAAGGTTGGGTACATGCCTGCTTCGACAGACTGGTAAGACCGCCATGATATAACTCCGATCATCGCTGACATGGCTAGGCTGGATGGTCTGAACAAGCATATGCGTGAATGGGATGTCGCCTACTATGGCCGTGTCTTCAACACCGTGTGCAGAAACACGAGCATGATGACCATCAACTACCCCCAAGGTAGGCCACCCTGTTCCTGGTGGTATGCATACGCTAACATGTGCCAGATGATTACATTGTCCAGGTTGCTCGATTCGACCCGTCCAAGGGGATCTTCGACGTTGTGGACTCGTACAACAAGTTCTACAAACGATTCACAGCCGCGCTGCCCGACAAAATCCCACCCAAGCTGTTGATCTGCGGACATGGCTCGGTCGACGACCCGGACGGCTCCGTGATCTACGACTCAGTGCTCAGCTACATCGAGAAAGACCTGCAAGACATCGCGGACAAAATCTGCGTCGCCCGACTCGGCCCCTCCGACCAGGTGCTCAACGCCCTCCTGTCAAAGGCCAAGGTGGCGCTGCAGCTGTCCACCCGCGAAGGCTTCGAAGTCAAGGTGTCCGAGGCCATCCACAAGGGCACGCCCGTGATTGCCACCAAGGCCGGCGGCATCCCACTGCAGGTCGCCGACAAGCAGAACGGCTTCCTGGTAGAGGTAGGCGATACGGACGCGGTCGCGCAGCACCTGTTCGACCTGTGCACGGACGACGAGCTGTACGAGCGGACGAAGAAATTCGCGCTCGAGCACGTGTGCGACGAGGTCAGCACGGTCGGCAACGCGCTGAACTGGCTATATCTCGCGTCGAAGCTGTCGAAGAGCGAGCCCGTCAAGCCGAACAAGCAGTGGATCAATGACATGGCGCGCACCGAGGCCGGCCAGGAATACACAACGGAGGAGAACCGCCTGCGTCGGATCTCGTTGTAATGGCAGAACTGCAAGACCATCTCCCATCTCATGTCTATCCCATCTCCATAATGTCGTCACGAATGATGTATGTACCTAGACTGTCGCCTCTCTCTGTCTCTCACCTTATTTATCCATAAACACAAGACATAAACCAGTTGGGTATATTGAACACGAACACAAACACACATAAAACCATAGCAGAAACGTCATAACCATCCACCCCCCCCCCCCCTTCCCTCAATGATCAAAAAAAAAAAAAAAAAAACCAGTTTACCTCCCAACAACCCTATACCTCTCCCTCGCCAGTCCCCCTTCCCCCCCTCAACCCCATACCCCTCCCCCACCTCGCCGACAATCCTCGCCGGGGCGCCCCCCACCACACACCAACTCGGCACGACCATCCCCGGCGCCACCACCGCGCCATCCAGCACGTACGCGAAATCCTTCAGGATGGCCATACTCCCAATCACCGCCTCCTTGCCGATATGCACGTGGTTGCCCACCGTCGCGGCCTCGACCACCGCGCGCTCGCCCACAAACACGTGGTCGCCGATCTTGAGCGGGTAGAACGAGTAGACCCCGCGATGGAGGCGCGAGGGCGGACGCAGGATCGCTTGCCGGGATATGTAGCTGTAGCGGCCGATGGTGATGGCCACGGAGGGGGCGGGTTGTGGGTGCGTGGGGTTGGCGCTGGGGTTGGTGGTACTGGTGGAGGAGGAGGAGGTGGTGCTGGTGCTGGTGCTGGTGGGGGAGCGGTAGAGGTCGCCCCGAATGACGGCGTCCGATTGGATTACTGTTTTTCCGCCCAGGATGATGTGTTGGGTTCCGTGGATTTGGGACCGGCGGGAGATTTTGTTGCCTGTGTCCTGTTTTAAGAGGGAGGGGAGGGGTTAGTGGTGGGTTGGATAGGGGATGGGGGAGAGAAGGGGGGAGGGGGGAGGTACGGTTTCGATGTATTCGCCCTTGGGGGCTTTGGGGGGCATTTTTGCGGTGGTGGTGGTGATGGTGGTGGTGTGGTGGGTTGTGTTGGATTGGAGAAGTAATTAGTGTTGATGGTGATGGTGTTGCTATATCGGGATGATGCGGTCGGTGGAAGCGGAGGAAACTGACGGCATTTGGCGGGGGCGGTGAGACATGGGGGCGGTGAGAGCGGATCGATCGGGCCCGCTTTTCCATCGGATGTTTGTTTTCCTGTTGTTTCTTGTTTTCTCTCGCGCTCCCGCATCGCGATCTATTTCCGGAGTACTATGGAGCACCGCGGCTTCATCGCGATCGAGAAAGTAACACATGTTCTTGATCGTGCAGTTTGATAGGCCGGGGACAGAGCTTGTTCGATTGGTTGGATAGAGTGGGCTATGGTATTGGAGGTGACTTGAAGTGACAGGTCTAAGCTTGCCACAGCTTACCTAGGTAGGTTGGTAGCTGCTGATTTAGTGGAATGCTTGGCTGAACTTACTATTCCTCCGACGCGACACATGACAGGTTGTTCCTAGTCACGGAGTATACGGGCTATGGGCTATTGGGTCTAGACTTATTCCCTCAGAGGCTCAGGTCTGACTGCGCACTTTATTGCAGGCTGGGGCGAAAGTACTAGTTAGTCTCGATATGGGGGCTGATATATTCCCACTACCTCACGATGCAACATCGCAACTGGTTGATTAACCTGTGTAATTTAAGGACCTCAGTCACTAAATAAAGGGTAGATGCATGATCGCTCGACCTGGCCCTTCAGAGGCAATACGGAGTCAAGCATACTGTCCGAGTAGCTGCAGACAGACGGTCCTTGCTATGAGAATGGGTGTCACAAAACGTCGTTCAAGTGCATCAATCACTGACTGAGACGGGGGGATTAAAAGCAAAATACTCCGTACTCCGCACTGTGTTTCGCAATGTTGTTGGAGATGGGGAAAAATAAAAAAGAACATGCGACACCTCTGGGACTCGAACCCAGGCGGGCGAACCCACAGGCTGAACAACTATGGCAGTACCGGAGTATTGCTGAATAGCAGGCCTGCGCCTTAAACCACTCGGCCAAAGTGTCTTGATTGGTGGAAGGTACGCCCCTTTTTGCAAGTGATAAGCCGCATTATTATGACTTACAACCCATACCAGATAGCCCCCACGCCTTACTTCTTCGGTGTTGTTTCTCAATCTTCCCTCATACAACTAACCGACTGTCTCACCAAATTGAGCCTCCAACCTCAAGGTTTCATCTGCAGGCCAACATGACATTTATTGTATCCATCAGACAATAGCTCAGTCCTACCTAAGGCTTAATCTGACTACTATGAGCAAAAACGAAGGACGGACTGCACAACGAGTCTCCCATCCAGTCGGTATGGGCTGCCTTGTGGATCGCGCCATGCTAAATGATTGCCACGAAGCTGCAACTCTCGTCATATACTCCGGCACCTGATTGCGCATACAATCCTCAGAAGGAAGACGAATGAAATGCCAGATCGGTCTATTGTTGCTAGCATAAACATGACAATGATACATATATCCCAACACGAACCCAAACAGAAATTATAACAGGAAATCATAACAGTCGCCAATCTCAAACATTAAAGACAGCAAACCATCACTTAAACCTCCGAGGAAACCTCCAGCTCCATTGGCACGGGCGAAAATTTGCGCGTCATGACTACCTGGTCCGAGTACCGATCGCCCCGACCGAGGATGCAGTTGATCTGACTCGGGTGGATGAACTGCAGCACCTCCATCGTGATAAACATGAGCAGAGCATCGAAGATGTAGATGAAGGCCTCATGTTTCATCAGATACCCATTATATCCCTGGATGTACTCCACCACACGCAAGATCGACCGGACGAAGATAAATGTACTGGAGACATAAAGCGCCGCCATGTGCCGACGCCACACACGCGACATCTCAACCGACTCACTGGTCGGGTTCTTGGCCAGACGCTTCTGGAAGATCAGGGCGGTGATGAGGAAAAAGCCAAAGAATATAATCTGTACGAAAAGTCCGCCGATAATGACGTGCTCGCCAGTGCTGGCATCGCTCGTGTCGCTGACCATGAGACCGGCGCCTGTGACGATTAAATTCATGCTAGATGAAATCGAGATGGAAGGAGCCTACCGGACGCCTGCATCAAGAATGACAACACATCGCCCGTCACGAAGATCTTGGTCAACCACCTCAGCCCGATAACCGACTGTTTATCCGCATGCAGCATCCGGATAATCCGGCCGAGGGTCATGTAGATGCTGGCTGCGAGGAAGGCGGGTGCGATCAGGAGCAGGGCACTTTGCATGGCATACGGGCCTGTGGTGAAGTTGGGGCTTTGCTCCGCCGAGAGCAGACGTCCTATATATCCGATGGTTTCGACTGGAGTCAGGTTAGTACAAGTCTTGCAGCGACAACTTGACAAGGCTTACGAATGCCTCCGATGAAGAAGGGGATCATGAACCACGATCTGGTCCCCACAAGTTGATAGAGATGGAGGAGGGTGCTGATGCCGAACAGGACGATGAAGATTCCCGCGGCCGCAGCCGAAGGCGTATAGTAGTAAAAGATGAAGTTCATTGTAACAGCAAAGGAATGGAATATCGATAATAGAGTATCAACAATGCAATGCTATCGAGGTGCAAGGAAGATCCAGAACACAGGGGCAGCGTCTGCTTTTATGGCCTCCATCGTTCTTCGCGCCAAGCAGGCAAGCAACGGTCGCGATAGACGACGCCGTTCGTAATCGGTCCCTGAGCGCATACGAACCCGAACCAGGCGTGGCTGGGCTATTTTCTGCAGTTTAAGTGGACACAGAAACATCCTGGAGGCCAGGATGCCTCGTTCTCGTTGCTTATGCCCGATCGGGGAAGGGGCCTCTGGATCCTTGGGTCGTCGTTTAGGGCCGGGAGGCGATATGGAGCGTCGTACTCGTACCGTTGCCCGGCATAGGCCGGGGTCCAGTCAGGACCCATAGGGCACACTTTTAACATGTCAATGTTCTAATCATACACTTCTTTACTTTAGGCCCTCCACATACTCAAAGTCAAACTGCCTGGGCTCGCTGCTCGCCCTTCGCAAATCCATCCATCGGCTTCAGGTTCGACTTGGCCGGGCCCAATCACCTCGAGGGTACGGCGAGATCTCATACCCAGGAAGCCGCCGATACTGGCAGTCAATCCCGAGCGCCTTTGATTTCTCTTCCACGCGCTGGACTACATGTTGCGTAGGTAGGTCGTAGACTATGCGAAAGCTGTATATTCGGTATCAATGGGCATAAAAAAAAGCTGGACGTGAACGCGTGAAGTGCCATTTGCTGGACCGGGAAAGAGTAATGTTGCCCAGACGCGATCGGGACTGTCAATGCTGCATGATCGGTAACTACATCAGATAACTATACGAATCTAACAATACAAACCCCTGCAACCATTCATATAATCCTGGGCATATTATGATGCCATGGGCACTGAGTAAAAAGCGGGAATCGTAGCTTCAGCTTGGATTGACAGAATCTCCGAGTTCACGTCCGGTAGCACCATCTCTCTCTCTCCCTCTATATCCCCAAGATAATGAGAATCTAGCGAGATGGTGTGTCTTCCAACTGGAATGATATGAAAGAAACCTGACCCGATGGATTTCCAGAGACAAAGGTCTCAGCGTGAATAGTGTAGGTGTCACCCAAGGGTCGGAACTCATAAGGTACCCATATGAGCCTTTCCGTGCCATCGGCTCTCGATATCCACCCGTCGGCCTGATCATATTTGATGGCCTCCTTCGGCTGTGATTGGAGGGGAGCGTCAACCTGAATTGGTACCCTGATGTTGTGACAATTGGTGCATACCCAGCCACCATCACTGGTCTCCTCGAATTTCAAGCCGGTGAAAAAGGACCCCAGGACCTTGATTTCGCGTTCCGAGACTCCTGTTCTTGCGTCCCATACTGTGAGACTGTTCGACTGGGAGGTACAGAGCCATTTACCGTCGGGGGAAAACACCAAATCTCGCCAATCGTCATTTACTTCGTGGGTATAGAGGGTATTCCCTGTTCGGGGGTCCCAGACGGCGATCTTTCCCTCTGCAAAAGATGCCACGTGGTGCCCTGTTGGAGAGAACACCACCTCTTTCACAAAATTCAAGTGAGTACTGGGGCTGTGCTCCTCCTCCTCCTGCTCCTGATGCAGCATGTGGGGCGAGATATCCCAGAGACTGATGCCATCAGGCCACAATGCCGACAGTAAAACCTGGCCGTCGGGCGAAAACGCCAAATCGTTGACGTAAAGAGAGCAAGGCAACGTCCGGATCAGGGTCCATGTCTTTGTGTTCCACATTTCAATTGTGACATCTTTCGTCCCGATCGCCAATAGCGGATCATTCGGGGAAAATGCAATGCCACACCTACGTTCTTGATTCCTTGCCCACTCAAGTCTCCAAGTCATGGTATTCCAGACACGCACTCCCTCAACGTTGCACACGGCCACCAACGGGGAATTGGATGAGAATGTAACATTGTCGATAAAGCCAATTTGATCCCTACCTGGGAACAAAGCGCTTTCAAGGGTTTGTTCCAGTCGCCCCGAATCGGTATTGTAAAGATAGACCTTGCTGCGATGACATGAAGCAACCAGCTGACCATCGGGGGAGAAAGCAAGAGCAAAAGAACAAATGTCGGTTGTCGACCATTTGATACTCGACGTGGGGAGGTCCCATAAACAGAGCGTGTTTTCGGATGCTGAGGCCAGCACTCCGCCGCGCGGCGAGAATGCACAAATCACAAAAGGCAGACGTCCGGCCGACGGGTGCTGCAGAACTTGCCTTTCTCTCCATTTGACGGTATCCCATAGCTTCACCGTCCTAGCATCATCTAACCCCGCAGCCAGAAGCTGCCCGCATGGGGAAAAGTCGACGGAGTAATACCGGCTCCCTCCAAGGCTCTGTACCAGCGTCCCTGTAGCTAGATCCCATACCTCGACCGAGTTGTCTGATCCCGTTGCCATAAGACAGCCATCCGGAGAGACTGCCACATAATCTTTACGCTTCCCTTGGATTGTGTACAATAATGCACCCCAGCCTTTCGCCAGTGGCTGTACTCTTGGGACCCAGCGAGGGATCTCTGATCGAAAGATTTCTTTCACTTTACTTTCTTCCGGTGCAAATGCCAGCGCGGAGACATAAGCCTGCAGTGGTGCTTGAGCAATGACTGACCCGAATTTCATGATAAACCGTCTCCCATCGCGAAGGAATTGTGGAAGTTCGTCACTTCCGTCTCCCTGGAGACTTTGCCATTAGTTAAGTGTCAGTAGTTAACAGCGGGAATGAGTTAGTAGCATACTTTAAGCAAGGAGTGTAGTGTGTTGATTGCATCCATGGCATGGGGTATGACTCGCAGCAAGCTCGCAGCCTCTAACCAATGCAGAAAGTGTCGATAGAGGAATTGGTAAATGATCTCGCTGTCAGACTCCTGCAGCCCACCTCGTTTCAAATGGTAGGTCCAATATTGGCAGGCATATCGAAGTGGATCCAACCGACCTGAGAGGGGAACTTGAACCTCTTCAACAAACACACCATGGTTGGGGAGCTTGTACATATTCCGTTCCAGGTGGCCATCCATGGCGTGTACTGATCTCTCAAAAGCTCCATGATGCAGGTCTTCCAAAGAACCTTCTCTCAACGCGGCATGGTTCTCTCGCAGGTAGTCTTGCGCGGATTGATGGATGAAGTAGACTGTATCTTGCTGGACCGTCACAAAGGATCGACAGTCCTGAACAACAGCTTCCACACTGTCTTCTGGTAGCTTTGCCAGCACTTCTATTTCACACAGTTTTAGGGGTTGGCAAGCAAGCATTATCAGCACGAGAACATCTTTGCAGTAATCGAACTGACAGGCCCGATACGGATCGTTGAGTCTTTCAAGCAGGAACCCGTATAGATCGTGAAGCTCTTTGGGGGCGCGCTCGAGAGTTCTCATCCAAGCATATTCAGGCGAAGAAATGAGCTCCTTACACACCAGCGACACCCATATGAATGTTCTTCCTGCCTTTTCCTTCAACGTATTGATAACCCTATCGACGAGATCAATCTTTCTGGTTTTCCGCTCGAAATCGTGCCGCTTTCGATCGATGTACATGTCGATGGCCCCCAAAAGGGGTTCTTCGTCCAGCTTGATGATCGCTTTGGAAGACACGCTCACCATCTCGATCTCATCGCTAATCTCCCTTAACGGCCGACTGGTGAGAAGGATCTTGACCTTCGATGCTGTCCCGTCTGCGGGAAGCAGCTTTCTTACAACCCGGAAGACATCTTCGCCCGCACCTTCACATTCATCGAGAGCATCAATAAAAATCACAATCCGACCAAGATCAGCATCCTGCACCATGGCCGTGAAAATGGGCAACAGATTAGTAAATGCCATCGGGTCATTGAAGAGCGCAGCCCCGGAATCTTGATACTTCGGCCGTAAGTATCGCACCAGGTCCGGGTTTTGGACCAGAAGGAGCCACATGAGGCCTCGCAGGACTGCTGCCCCGTCATTGAACCCCTTCCCTGTATCCTGGATGAGGAAGTAGAGGATCTCCGGGCCGTGCACGTCCGAGACACTCCGAGCAAGAAGCTCCTGGATGAGGCCCACGGACAACATCGTCTTTCCTGTTCCTGCCTGCCCATTGATCCACAGCAGGTTGGGAGAGTGCGGATCTGCCCAGTCCAAAAAGCTTCTGTACTCTTCGGTGTCCAGGACCCACTCGTACAGTTCCCTGATGGACTTCTCCCTCCGTTCTTCGATGTTTTGGATTGCGGCGCGCGGGTCGATTCCGCGCAGATCCTTCTTGCACTGCCTGTCCTCTGCGATGTTGGCTTGGCTCTGGACGAGAGTCGACAGTTGTCGGATCTCACTCAGTATCTGTTCCTGCTTGTAGGGCTGGAGATCATCTCGAAGCTTCTGCTCCAGATCAGCGATCGCAGACAAATCCCCCTCCCAATCATCCAGCTCCACAAGGGCGCGGAGAAACCCGAAGAACTGATTCCGGTAGTAAAAGCAAACGCTTTTGACCTGGTAGAACAAGGGCGATTGGTATAGATCGAGAACCTTGGTGTCGAGCAGCTCTCGGATCTGCGCCAGACTGGCAGTGTTACTCTCCCGAGAAAGCAGCCGGTCGGTGATTTTCGAATACCAGTGAATCCGCGAGTTGATCTGATTGACGCCGTTGTACAGGGTCGCCATGGATTTTGTCGGTTTCATCAATAGCTACGACCATACCAACTTCTATCAGCGAATGCTCCGCCTGCCTGTCCCGAGAGGAAGGGGGCGCGCGCAACTTACATCCAGACTGGAGGTGACCACCGCCCAAGGTAACGCCGTCTGCGTCAGATTCTTCATCGGAATATCCAGAATATTTCTCACGGGCGTGATGGCATCGTTGATCTTTGCTGATCGTTCAATGATGCTTTTGCTCTTTTCGATCTTCTTCAACCCCTGTTCAACGATGAGTCGAAGTCGGGACTCCTCCATGGATATCGCTGGCGAGGCCGAGTCTTTCTTGCCATCGTTATCTTTCGCAAGAAAAACGGTATCCACGAGCTTCTCATATTCCTCGATATACTTCGCTGTCTGCGGACCCTCTTTCAGGTTGCCGTAGGCTTTACGCCAGAGGGCGTTGTGAATCGTCGTCGGAGACTCCTCATCATCCCCACTCGTCCCCTCGACCGGACCCCCTTTTGCATTGACCTCATTCTCGATCTGAGGAGGATGACCGAGGACGCTCGAGTGCCCAGATTTATCCGACGCGTGGGACGGCCGTCGACCGTGGTGATGTCCTCCCCCGATATGAAGTCTTTCCCGAAATCCCCAGCGGCTCGGCATGGCATCGCATTTTCTGAGAGCCGCAAGAGTTGAGAAGGAAAAGATGCCTTTCAGCCCCTCACCCCATGTAACTACTTAGTCGCCTGGCCCCAGGACTCGCGAGTCGGGATTTGACAGCAAAAGCAAAACAAGCGCTAAGCTGTGGAGCGTCTGCACCAGTCATGCAAGTCGGCCTTTCGATGCCCAACCACAGCTTCCTCAGCTGAGCAACAGGTTGGTTAAAACTGTGTCCTATTGGGGCGATAGCTGTCTAAACTACACCTATTATTGGTTAGAAAAGGCCGAGTGGAGTTGGAAAATTGAGGAGAACGATCACCTGGTAGAAACATATGTCCTCCAGCACCCCCTACCACGGCCGTGTGGCTATATACCTCCCCAACCAAGTAGGTGTTGAGTCAAGGGATGACGGCATTTCAGACATTATAAAGGGCGCTGGATAGATTTCAGACAGCAGATGAAGGAGGTTGAGAGGGCATGTTGTGTGGATCTGCCCCCTGTAGCTTGTTGGGGACATGTGCATGGGCAATCGGCGCTAGATGCCGCTGTAGTGAATGTCTCGACCTAAGATTTTTTTTTTTTTTTTTTTTTAATATTTCCAGCTTGACTTCTCTTCCATGCAGCAGAATACCATTCTTATCCCTCCCTGTACATGGCATTTCGTGACTCCAACAAACTAGATATAAGAGCGATTCGCATACCCTCGGACCTCCTGCTACCACTCCACTCCACTAGCTCTCACAGGGCTAGCTACTATCTAGCTAGACCAGCTTCCTAGTCTTACAGAGCAAAAAGAAATGCGCCAAGCGAGATTCGAACTCGCGTCGCAACCTGACTCCAATGAGGATTGGGAAGGTTGCATCCTAACCACTAGACGATTGGCGCTTCGACCATCGGCGCTGGTGATGGTGTTTTGGATTCGCAGGAGGTAAACAACCCTAACTCGAGTAACTGAACTCACTCAACTTGACTCATGTGCTTACCACCAGGCTTGATCATTACACTACGCTGTGCAATTACTATGCTACTACTTTACAAGGGCGGATTATATCACCTTAACACTGCTTAAAGCAGCCTGTCCTCTATTCACATACCCTAAGCATCCCCCGCCCGACCCTGCCGCCTCTTTCTCTTCTCCTCCCACTTAAAGACAAAATGAATACTGACGAACAAGACAGTCGCCAGACAAGATAGGCCCAGGTACAACTTCGCCCCGATATGCCAGTTCGGCGCCTCTGACGCCGGATACGCCGCGATGGGGAGGAACGCGCTGAACAGGTACGAGAAGAGGGTACCCGTCGCGAATAGGACCGTGCGTACCTCTGGCTCCGTTTCGAGGTGTGCTGCGGCCCAGGCGCAGAGGAGCATCGTGGAGACGCTATCTGCTGTTAGCTGTGTTTTGGTGGGATGACGTTCCCGTGGATGGTGGGTGACTTACGCGCCGACGTAGTCCATGAACCAGCCTGCCATGTATGTGTGCTCGTTGCTGGGGCGGATGACTAGGATGACGAGGGAGGTGATGTTGATGGCCTATTCGGATTAATCCTAATCAATGAAACATCTGAGAAACCTACTGAGTGCAGCAAGAGGAAGGGCAGTCGGACGCCGAAATAGTCGCTGAATCCGCTGAAGAGGATTTCGGCGACGAGCTGGATCGCCTGGCCGATGATCGGGAGGTAGTCGAGCATTGCGACGGAGCTATACTTGTCAGTCGAGGTACGAACACCAGGTGGTGGGTGACTTACTATTTCACTGTCCCGTCAGGGTTCTTCAACGACTTGAGCCAGAGGTTGAAGTAGCTGGTCGGCGTGGTACCGGTGCCAATCGCCCAGGCAACTAGATCATGTCAGTATGGCAAATTCCCGTTTAGACGGCGAGAGACGCACTCGAGAACAGCCAGAGATGCCAGAACCGGAAGCACCGCAGAAAGCTCTGGGGCTTGATGCCGACCTGCGATTTGCGGCCTACTCGTTTCGTGCGCGCGATGGCGGTTTCTACCGGGTCAGTATGCCCTAGGATAGGAGGAGACGGGTCAGAGACGTACTGATATGCCGAGGTCTGAGATAGAACTTCGACGACGGGTTTTGCTTTTCAGGCTGGGTACTGTTAGCATAGCTCTTCGCGGGAATGATATATGCGTACAAAGCCTGGGAGAACGGCGAAGGCGACTAGCGCGATGAATATGGTGCAGACGCCCTGGCTCAATTAGCTATGGTCATTACAGCCTGGAGTCTGCCTACGTTAATAATGAACGCCCATCGCCAACCGCTCCGTCCCAGCGCGCCATTCAGGTTGGTGGAGAGCGCACCCTGCATGGCGCCGGAGAGCATCGCGCCCACGGGCTGGGCCATGTTGTATAGACTCATCCGCAATGCCATCTCGTGAGGCAAGTACCATTGGCTGCTAATGTCAACTTCCACTCCTGACCATAAGTCCAGGACATACCTAATGATAGTGAAGTAGCCCGGCCAGGTAGCGCCTTCGAAGAAGCCGATCAAAAAGCGCAGCCCATACACCTATCTCATTTAGTCGCGAAACGCAAGATTCAGGATATGAACTCACCTGTTTTGCAGAGCTAACGGTCGACAAACAGCAAGTGAGGATTCCCCAGAGAATCTAGCCGGGTTAGAAGCCAAGCTCTTCGTCCCAATCAATTCTTCGTCTCGATCATCCATCACTCACCTCACATGTAGGCAACCAAACCGACGGCCCAACATGAGAAATGATCACGCACGATGGATACAGCATGACCATGTACCCGATACTAGGCATCATCAGATCAGCTATACTCAAGTTCATCCGGCCGGGGAGGACATACTTGAAGAAAGTGGTAAAATAGTTATACTCATTTCCACGCAGGTCCAGATCCGTCTCCATGCCGGAGACATAAGCATTGCTCTGCGAGTTGTCAGTTTCGTTCGCGATACGACAGTGCGGGACTTACAATGTTGGTCTGGTCGAGGTACTTGAACGCGTACCCTAAGAACCCGACAACGAGGAAAAAGGCATCCAGGCGCCAGACCTGCCGTGCCGTCAACCAGTCAGTCAATAACCCCAACAAACACCTTCATAAACAAGAAAGAAAAGAAAGTCCAGATTGAAATACCAGTGCCTTCTCAGCTTCGGGGTCAATCTCCTCGACAGCATCCTCATCGACGACCGAAGAAACCCTATCCGTAGCCGTCTTGTCCACGCCCTCGGGAACAGCCATCTTGATTTCTTTCCTTTCCTGTCACTGCCAAAACCGACAGGATTAATAACAGACACAGGGGTGTTTTATTGTTATAAACAGGAAAGCAAACCGGACGCCGACTCATGATAAGGCAAGCGCAACCCTGACCCTGCTCTCGTTGCGGAAAGGAATCGGAGAATGCCCGCATGGCATCAACGCGGGAGGCGAAGGCGTGCTTCGTCCCGCAGCCAAGACAGCCTAGTAGTACCCATCCATCCCTGCAGATGTCTGCAATCTGGACCTTGTTTAGACAGACAGTCAGATAAATCGTGACAGTATCCCGATGCTGACGCAAGGGCAAATCAAAATCATCTGCTGGTGCCACGCCACTGAGGGGCTTGATTGTTCGTTATGACGGGCATCAGCTTCTGATGATATACGCCGGAACACTCTCTGGAATCTGAAGTCTAGGGCAAGTAAGGAGGTGCCTCAGACCACAATCTAATCAAACATTGGAGTTCCTTGGATCTCAGATCAACCCCGGAAACCATCTCCGGCACGACTCACGGTCCTCCCTCGGGTTACATCGGGCGGCTTTGTTCACGCTGTGATTTAAATCTTGACTCTCAATGATCAAGTTAAGCACTGTGGCGGATCCTCAGCGATAAGGGTGATAGGGCTGGAGTGGAGTTGAGGCTGACGCTCTGACAGACATCTGAGATGTTGATATGGAGATAGATATATATAGTAGGAAATATTTTCTCTCTATAATCTTCTTTTCAGCCTCATTGGCGGTCTTTGTTATCATGCAAAATGGTTACCAGATGGGAGGTAACCTTTTTTACTGTCCAGACAAGCATGCGGATGGAGAAATACCGTAGAAGAGATAAACTAACATAGAATTCCGGGAACCCCTGTTAGCCGTCTATGAGAAGATATCGAGCGAGGTTACTTAAGACCTTCTCTATTCCCGCATGAACGATAGATGCATTGCATCCTGGCTGGTGGGAGAAAAAATGAGCCTATCATCGACTAGAGTATTGAATTTATCTATCTGTGGGGTAGTGATATATGATCAAGAAAACAGCGCAAGTCTTCCTGTGTACTGATATAACATTGTGAACAGACTTTATGCAGGCACTGCGTCCTTTTGACCAAGTGGGTGGGTGGTCTTGACCTCTCGCCGCATCCCAATCATCTCCAAGCAATAGTACTCTGCGCTGTACTATACTATACACAACTATCCAAACCATTATCATACCTACGAACCCCCCGAAACAGCGACCTCTCCCCCCTCCTCGCCCTCCACGCATCCGTCGAGGCAAACAGCTCCCAACAATCCCTGACCACCCACCCCCACAGCCTCACAAACGTCTCCGTGACCTCCCACCCCTCCGGATCCCACGGATCCTTCCAAACAATCACCCCCGTCTCCCCAATCCCCACACCCCTCGCCCGGGTCCCATTCCCACACATATCGCGACACAGCTGCGCATCATCCACCAGATCCTCGACGAGAATCAGATTATCGCGCATCTGCGGCACGGGGATCAGATCCAGCCAGGGATGATGCGGGACGGTCCGCTGGACCAGAGTTGGCTGGAGGGCTGGCGGGAGGACGGATTCCCGATCGTGGGTGCGCGGACATCGTGGCCCGATCATGCTGAACATGGATTTTGCGTCGTCGGGGGCCATGGCGCTGGGTTGGTAGCCGAGGACGTCGATGTTGGTGTTTAGGGCGCGCAGGAAGTTGAGGCGGGTGATTCCGAGGAGGAGGTCGGTGCGGGGTGAGCCCGTGGCGAACTCGGTGTGGATGAGTGATTCGAGGTGTTGGATTGTGAGGCGGGAGTTGGCGGCTTTAGGGCCGAGGATGTGGAGGTTGTCGAGGTGTTGGAGGTGGAGGGCTAGAGGGAGAGGGAGAGGGAGGGAGGGTTGGGGTTCGGAAGTCGCCGGTTGCGCTTGGGACGCATGCTGGCGTTGTCCTGGGTATTTGGTTAGCTTTGAGATGCACATTTTGTCCGTGGAGATGGCTTACTTCGGGCTCGCTGGTTCAGCCGGTTTTGTAATCTGCGTCGCTCCTTCGGATCGGTGACGCCGAACCACACGTCCTCGAGCTGGACTTGGATTCGAGGCGAGGAGGAGGAGGAGGAGGGGCAATGACCGGACGCATTTCCGGCGTTCGATTGCCGATGGGGATCCTGCATGGCTCAACTCGATGGAATGTGCAGAAGCCGGAAGGTCGATGCTAGCAGTTTTAGGATTGTGCAAGGATTGAGACGCTTCTTTCATCTTTTATCTTTCATCATCTTCTTCCCCACTGTTATGTCCGGGCTTATCTCCGGGGGTCTACCATGGACCAGATCAGGGGAAGTCCTCCAGAGTCTGCCTGGTACCTGACATCTGTCAACTTGCGTTGTGAACAGAAGTGTAGTCCAATGTATCGAGGGTCAAGTTGAAAGATATGAAAGACCGAAGATTGTATGAAGTGATCTCCTGCGGGTGGTGGATGCTGCCAGCATGCTGTTCCCTTTCCTGGCCCCCCTCACCCTAGTGAATGCCACGAGGGCGTATGACTATGGGAACAGACGCCTTGCATGTTTGAAAAACCTTTCAGTCGAATCCTATCTTTTTGTCGACAAACCTGCGTAAATATCAGTGTTGCTAGCTACCCCTGTCCAGTAAAGAGAGGGTCGGTGCCAGCCAGACTCAAGCCATCGCTCTTTTGCAATCCAACGCTTCTACGACGTGATACAACACGATCAGTCAGCTGGATTGGGTTTCTTCGCGTGGTGCTTAGCGCAAGAAAGGCGCCTCCACACCCAGCCAATCCCAAGTTCACGCATGTGGCAAATATGAGCCATATTTTCGAACAAACGCGAATCGATGTGTCAGAGAATGCAATCCTGATGTCAGACGAACACCAGCACAGCCTTTTATTGCATCCCCCCCTGTCTCCAGACCCTGCGCTATGGGAAAGGAACCTTCTGAAGTAGCCGCACGGTCGGACTCACCCCTGCAGGAAGGCATTTTCGGGAAGCCGTTAGGGTGAAGGCGTCATCTGACGCCATTGAATCCGTCGCAGAGATTGACAAGGTTGTTGACAGAAGGTCCAATCCTGCTGCAGGATTGTTCGAGCGATCGGTGCAGGATCAGTCGACCCAGGGTCATCTCTTACCCCGGTTCTGGCTCATCGTGCTGCAGCTGGGAATCCTACCATGGGCTAAAGTGCATCGGAGCTAATCTACCAGAACCCCAACCGACAGTCCCGCATGGCTGCTTTGTCCCAACCATGAGGAGGTGCTCCGTTGATAATGTGGCGGTTGCAGTCCGTCGGCGGGACTGCGATGCGTTGGCTGCAGCGACATGAAACCGCAGTCGGATCCGCCAGAATCATTTACCGTCAGAAGGTAAGAGTCATGGCTTCGGTGTCCTGAGTATCCGTAGGAAACACTTCCTCTCTTGGGACATTGCTCCGGGAGAATGACGAGGAAATACACGGGCGGGCCGACACTCTGAGTCCATGCCACAGCCGAGTTCGGAGAAGGCAGCTCTGACCTTCTTCTAATCTCGACGCGATTGCCCCAGGTGTATCAGGATTGAGGATTTTGGCCCAGGAAGCGGCGAAAGTTCCAGGCTGGCAATCAAGCTCGGTGGGTCTGTCTTCAAGGCTAGCCGCATGGTGGTCAGCCCGATATCTATCTATCGCCTGAGAGATTGTCGTCTGACGAGGAGAGTATCAATCAGGGCTCCGCGGTCCTCAACCCCAACGTGTCGGTTTGTAATGCATCGCCTCTTCTTCGCCCAGACAGACCCCAGAAAAAAAAAAGGACCCAACCTCCCTCAATCCAATTCCACACGACGATCCGCTGCATGGAACCTGGGGGTGGGAAAGAATATTCCCAACTCACGATACCCACGGAGGAGACGATGCGGGAAGGCGGGGAAGGTCGAGCCCATGCTTCGAGGCCAACGGCCAATGGGGACGAGGCCAATTGGAGATAAACGCCGATGCTATCGCAGCTAGCTCGAAAGAGGAGGGGGATTCGGTGCTTAGACTATGGGCCTAGCAGCGGCTAGCTCCATGCCTGCTCCACGCGGTCCATCGCCGTCGTGGGACGGTGGGAGATAAGGCCAGTCATCGCGGCCGGGCAGCACGTCATTTAGGGGGGGGTGAGGGAATCAACACATCGGACCACTTCCCTTATACATAGTTACATATACGCAAAAGTTGGCCCCAATGGTGTTTGGCCGAAGTTTTCACGCCTCTCCGGTTGCTGCCTGCAGCTGGCCATGCTTTTTTTTTTTTTCTTTTGCCCCTCTTCTGGCTCGACTCTCACGCGGTGTTCCGGCACACCACTGGATATGCACGACGGCAGCACGGACTCGGACCGTCCGATGGAATACTAGATACTACTATAGACGCGGATAAAGGCAGGCCGTGCGGGTTGGCTGCGGGCTTATCGGGAGCCACTGTCGCTGGTAACACCGTAACACTGCATCTGCTAGAGCTGGACTGTCGCTCTTGGCTGTCGGGGTTGGCCGAATGACAATGACACTGCGCAGGCGGAAGGGGGATGGTGTGCTTTCTTTTGGCGGTGTTATCATCGGGGTGGGTCTATCACCAGATGCACCTGCCTTACTTTTGCCATCCAGGCCGGTGTTGGCTGCCATGGTTGGCGACAGATAAGATGTGCTGATCCGTGGGTTTCGTGGCGGGATGTATAAGAGAACCATCCCAGCGCTGCTGATATTGGGCGCAGAGCTTCTTGAACGGTCGCTGCTGTGCGAACTTTGCTCTTGACTGCGACTCAGATGGCCGAGAGCATGGCTTCAGCGCCTGTCCCAGAGAGCGCCACCAAGGATGTTATTGAGACCAAGGAGGCCGACGTCGACGTCGACGGCGAGTTTCTCGAAGATAACGATGACTTCAAAAAGGATCTTCTCAGGGCTGAGCAGAGGGAGCTCATTCCCAATGAGGCCTTCAAATGGAACGTCGATGGAGATCAGTCGCCATGTGAGACCGGCTTCTCTGCCCGACATGATCGACTTGCTGACGTGGTTTAGTCCCTGAGGTGGCTGCCTGTGTTCCCAACACTGATGATCCTTCCCTACCATGCAACAGTCAGTCTCTCATACCCACATAGGGACAGGAAGATGCTGATGAACCTACAGCGGTCCGTGCTTGGGTTCTCCTCACGGTATTTGTGATGGTCTTTGCAGCTGTGAATCAGTTCTTCAGTCTGCGCTATGTACGTGGAACCCGAGGGCTTTCAAGATTTTCAAAAGCTGACTGACCAGCCATCTCTCACCGTTCAATATGTCGTCGCCCAGCTGCTGGTTTTTCCCATTGGACGGGCATGGGAAAAGCTTCCTCGGTGGAGAGTGCCCCTGGGACCGTTCACGTTTGATGTCAATCCGGGGCCGTTTAGTATCAAAGAGCATGCTTTGATTGCCATTGTAAGCGAGGTCGATCATCCTGCATAATATACGTCTCTGACAGGAATAGTGCGTCAACATCAGTGCCAGCACGGCCTATGCGTCGAGCTCGCTGATCGCCATCATCATGCCGCAGTACTGGAACTCAGACTACGGTGCTGGCTTCTCGTTTATATACCTCTTGACCTCGCAGATGATGGGGTAAGTGGACCCCTTACTGGCAGCAAGTGCTCGACTGACCTACTAGATTTGGCCTTGCTGGTCTATCCCGTCGCTGGCTGGTTTATCCCGGCGCCCTGATCTGGCCCTCATCGCTGTCGTCGACCGTCCTGTTCCGGGCTCTGCACGAGCCTGAAAACCGGGCACCCGCCAATGGCTGGACCATGAGTCGGTATCGCTTTTTTGGATACGCAACTGCGTTTGGCTTTGTAATCTACTGGTTCCCGGATTACATCTGGACGAGTCTGAGCACGTTCGCATTCGTCACCTGGCTGGCGCCTCACAACCAGAAGGTCAACACTATCTTTGGGGTAAGTCAGGCTGATCACTCATGTGCTGTCCAGAGGCTCACCGACGTAGATGAACTCTGGTCTAGGGCTGCTGCCGATTAGTCTGGATTGGACTCAGATCAATTACGCAGGATACCCTCTCATGACGCCCTTCTACATTACCTGCAACGCCTTTGCGGTGGTCGTGTTCTTCTACCTGTTCCTCTCGCCCATTCTGTACTACAAGGATGTCTGGTACAGCGCATAGTAAGCAGTCAACTTTCCTGTGCGGATGACAGTGCTAATCATCTACCAGCCTCCCTCTTCTGTCGTCAGACACGTTTGACAACACCGGTGCGGAGTACAATGTCTCCAGGGTCGTCGACTCGAACTTGGACTTCGTCTTGGCCAAATACGAGCAGTACTCTCCAATGTACCTGTCCATGTCTTACTCGCTCACCTACGGCTTGTCCTTCGCAGCCGTCACCGCCATCGTGGTCCACACCTATCTCTACAACGGGTCCGAGATTTGGGCCAAGTTCAAGAACTCCCGCCACGGAGGCGAGGACATCCATCGCCGCTTGATGCGCACCTACAGCGAGGTACCCGACTGGTGGTTCGGGCTCTTGTTTGTTCTCATGGCCGGATTCGGAATCTTGACTGTGCAGTATTGGGAGACCGGTCTGCCTGTCTGGGGCTTTATCGTGGTTTGCTGCGGCATGGGCGTGGTCCTGATTATCCCAGAAGGCATTCTGGAGGGAACCACTAACCAGCGTATTTTCCTCAATATCATCACTGAGATGATCGCCGGTTACGCGTGGCCGGGTAAGCCGATTGCCAACATGATGGTCAAGTGCTACGGGTACAACTCCGTCAAGCACGGCATGGACTTTGCCCAGGATATGAAGCTGGGGCAGTACATGGTGAGTTATTCGAGGCCAAATCAAGTCCAATACTGACCTGTCCAGAAAATCCCACCCCGTGTGCTCTTCTTCGGTCAGGTGTACTCGAGTATCCTGGCAACCATGACCCAGACTGGAGGTAAGTACTCATGACCAGTTCCAAGGCAGCAACTAATTGAAATAGTCATCCGATGGATGATGGGCAACATCACCGGACTTTGCGACACCGACAACAAGCAGAAGTTCACCTGTGCGGGAGCCAAGGTGATGTACAACGCCAGTCTGATTTGGGGCACCATCGGGCCCCAGCGCATGTTCCAACCGGGCCAGGTGTATCACTCCCTGATGTACTTCTTCTTCATCGGGGTACGTCTCATCTCATCTTCCCGGATTCTGTCCTGGTGCCGTGGCTAATCCGAAGTAGCCCATTGTCACCGGTATCGTCTACCTCATTTACCGACGCTATCCCACCAGCTGGGTCCGGTACATCAACGTGCCGATCTTCTTCAATGCCGCTGGCAACATCCCTCCTGCCAACACAAGTGAGCCTTCTCCGCCTCCCCATGCCCCCTATAGCATGAACGAAGCTGACAAAAGATAGCACAATACTCCCTCTGGTTCATCTTCGGTTTCATCTTCAACCACCTCCTCCGCAAGCGCGCCTTCAACTGGTGGAAAAAGTACAACTGTGAGTTCTTCGCTGCGTACTGGGCTGAACTCGAGCTAACAGCCTTCCTGCAGACCTGTTCCAGGCTGCCATGGACACGGGCACCGCCATTGCCACGATCCTCATTTTCTTTGCGCTGGGGTACACCAACACCACGTTCAGCTGGTGGGGTAACAATGTCGGTTCGAATACCGATGATGCAAATTCGGTGCCGTGGTTGACAGTTCCTGCCGGCGGGCATTTCGGTAAGGGACCTGGGGAGTTTTAATGTTGATAATCGAAGCGTGCGTTGTTTGAGATGTTTAGATTCTTAGCCTGAATGGGGTCTGTGCCTCGGAATGTCATGTTCATGAGCATGTTGTTCGAGTAAATCCTTGAGTGGGATGGTCGAGGAAACCGGAAGTAAATCATCGGGTAAATCGCGGGTAAACCAGGGAGGAAACGGTTAGTAAATAGTTAGATTTACGATCTAGTAAATCGCCAAGTAAGCAGTCAAGTCAACCATCGAGGTCCTTGTAGGTCTTTGGGGGTCAGGTGATCGGGGCCCGTGTTCGTGCGTGTGTTCCCCCGCCTTGTTATATATCTCGATTCTCACAGCGTCAGCATCAGCCCCAGGCTCCCACATAAGTCCTATCAGATCAAAATAACAGACGGTTAGCATTCTTCCGCTCCGTATGTTGGCCCGGGAAGCATTCTGCCATCTCCCACGTTCCTTCGCAGACGCGTCGAAGCCATACGGTTGTCAGTTGTCGGCGTCTAACAAACGCCATAGAGTAACAGATCAGACGATAAGCCAACAAACAGCCCAGGACATCGATATCGGACCCGACAATGCCAAGCCAAAGCAATCGTCCACCAGGGCCTATGGTACTGCTTTCCCGGGCAGCGACTACGTTTATACCTGCGACGCTCCACATGGTTGACAGCGACCATCACAATCAAGACCATCCTACCAATGGCAGTCGCAGCGTGGCTAGCCGTGCACGCAACGATGACATCGCATTTGCCCAAAACCCCCTTATCAGGATGAATGCGATTGTATACTAGTATAACTACTAGCTACAAAATTTTTCAGAGCCCGAAAACCCCCGAAGGCCGGCTACGCGCGGCTGACCTCGGGGGACGCCACAACGCCGAGGCTCCCACGCGGCCACGCGCCACAACGCCGAGCGTATCCGCTGTCACTTCGGAACAACGGCTCAGGGACAAGGCCCTTGATTGGCGGCGCTGGGCCCCAGGCACGGCGTTGTGGCTAGAGCCGCAGCGGAAAGAGATGGATCTGGCCGTCTTTTCCCTGCTCGTGGACCAGGGCCTGCGGCTCGTCTGGCTGCGACAAGTGGACTCGCGAGCTGTGTGGCCAGAGGGCACCACGGCGTAATCGCGTGCGAAGGAGAAAATTTGATAGCGAAATCCCTAGTCCGGTGGGTATGTTGGGCCAGGATGGGCTGCTATATCAGGGTTTCATCTCCCAGGGGGAATTTCTCTGGCTCCGATGTGTCCTGTATATCGCTGTTGCTGTTCTTGAGCCGCACGCACTCGCAGAGCGTACTCGGTTAGAATGGAGCACGGAATGGACCTCGAGAAGACGCAGTCGCCTGTTATCGACAGTGCCAGTGATGAGTATGATTACTCTGATGAACATGAACATGAACATGACCATGACCATGACCATGATCATGAACACGAACATCCCGACCCGATCGAGCTCTCTCGCATCAAATCATACCAACTGCAGCAGAAGGCTACGGTAGGGTCGACCCGTGCCCCTGAACCGAGAGAGCAATGGCTGCCTATGGGTGCGGGCAAGGAATACCCCCCGTTGCTGCCCGCTCCGGAGAGATATGTGGTGGAATTCGACGGTGCCGATGACCCCATGCACCCGCATAACTGGTCCATGTTGCGCAGGTGAGCCTATACTACTATCTCTCCATTACCCCCTCTTTCCCCATCAGCACACCCCTGACGGACCGACCAACCCTAGATCCATCCTCGCCGCCATCCTCTGCTACGCCACCTTCGCTGCATCCTTTACCAGCGCCGTCTTCTCGGCCGCCATCAGCTCCGTCAGCAAAGAATTCCACGTCGGAACCGAAGTCAGCACCCTGGGTGTAACCCTCTATGTCTTCGGCTTCGCCGCCGGCCCGACCATCTGGGCCCCAGCCTCGGAACTGATCGGACGGCGCTGGCCGCTGTCCATCGGGCTCCTGGGCTGCGGCATCTTCACCATCGCCTGCGCGACCGGCAAGGACTTCCAGACGATCATGCTGGGCCGGTTCTTCGGCGGGCTGTTCGCGGCCAGCCCCGTCTCGCTGGTCCCTGCCGTCTTTGCCGATCTGTTCAACACCGCCCAGCGCGGCATCGTGATGTGCACCTTCTGCATGGCGGTGTTCGTCGGGCCCTTCGCCTCCCCCTTTGTCGGCGGCTTCATCGCCATGAGCCCCCTCGGCTGGCGCTGGACCATGTACGTGCCCTCCCTGATGGTCTTCCTCGGCTTCATCCTCGTCTTCTGCTTCCTCGACGAGACCTACCCCCCCGTGATCCTCGTCCGCAAGGCCGCCATCCTGCGCCGCCAGACCCGCAACTGGGGCATCCACGCCAAGCAGGACGAAGTCGAAGTCGATATCAAGGAACTCGTCCGCAACAACTTCACCCGGCCCCTCACCATGCTGGCCACCGAGCCCATCCTCCTTCTCATCTCCCTGTACATCTCCTTCATCTACGGCCTCATCTACGCCCTGCTGGGCGCCTACCCCGTCGTCTTCGAGGACGTCTACGGCATGAGCATGGGCGTCGGCGGTCTCGCCTTCATCGGTCTCATCCTGGGTGAACTCCTGGGCGGCGTCTTCGTGCTGTGTCTGCAGGGCTCGTATAAGCGCAAGCTGGACGCGAATGGCGGCAAGCCCGTGCCCGAATGGCGTCTTCCGGCCGCGACAGTCGGGGCCGTGGCCTTTGCTATCGGCATGTTCTGGTACGTATTCCTCCCAACCCTCTCTCACGGTCAGAAACAATGGCTCATATTCCTCATCACAGGTTCGGCTGGACCGGCTACACGAACAAGATCCACTGGATGGCGCCCACCGCGTCCGGCGTGCTCACTGGCCTGGGCATCTTCTGCATCTTCCTGCAGTGCTTCAACTATATCGTCGATTGCTATCCCACTCTGTATGTTGTTCTTCCCCCCCCGATAAATCTTACCCCACCACCCAACCCTCCAAAATTCGATCGATATGAGTGCTAATATCAATGGATGAATAACAGTGCCGCATCCACCATCGCCGCCAACACGATCCTGCGCTCCCTGGTGGGCTGCGTCTTCCCGTTGTTCTCGCGGCAGATGATGATCAACATGGGGGTGCAGTGGGCGGGTACCCTGCTGGGGTGCATTGCGGCCGTGATGATCCCCATCCCGATCGGGTTCATGATGTATGGGCCGTGGCTGAGGAAGAAGAGTAAGCTGGCGGCGTCGCCGGTGTATGAGGTTGGGGAGGAGAGGAAGGGGGATGTATGATGTATGATGATGATGATTATGATGGATGGATGGTTGGTTGATGGGGTGTGATGATGAATAGATATATTTAATGGATGTATATAGTTATGTTATGTTATATAATGTTGATGGATCTCATGAATGCATTGGAGTCTAGACCAAGTCTTAGGAACTATACCTTCGCCAAGGGAGAGAGTTGAATCCTGACATAGGAGATAATTGATCTTGAATTTTTGTTTACCCTCTGATCTCCCACTCGTATCTCATCATGACCATGACCATGACCATGATCACCACACCCACCCCTCATGCCCTATGTTAACCCCCATTGGCAGATCAAATCAAACCGCACGGGAAGGAAAGGAGAGTGGATGCATCCCCAACACTCTAATCCAATGGAACCAGTGGACTTGGCTCGGGAGGGTTCTTCTAGTCCGGTTATGGATAAGACTGGATGGGGGTGGTCATTTAGGCACTTCAGCAGGTTATCATCGGTGTTGTTGTTTTAAATTCGGTCGGTCGCGTCGCGGTTTTTAATCCTGTGTTGTGTGGCATTCTCACCGCCAGATAGATAGACCTCAATGGCTACAGCCCCGAATAATCCCCACTATGTTCTAGTGTCTAGCTTGTAACAGATGCTCTAATCTGTCTAGCTGCGAGGGGAAAGTGGAAATTGGCCCTGATCTGCTTGTGTTTATTCTTCCGGGCGCAACTTCTCCTGACCGGACATTCACACTGTCGCTGTTTGTTCATTCACTCCCCTTCCGAATCGCAATTGCAATCACAGCCATGCCACCCTTTGAGATGCTCAAGGGGATGCACAGTCCCTTGCCAGGTTCCCTGGAGAGTATGTCTTGTTACCCTCCCAGCTACAATGCCTACACCTACAGCCTACACCTACACCTCCACCTCCCTCTCCACCACCCCACAACCAAACCACAACCAAACCACACACACACACACAGGCTAATACCACCACCATCACCACCAGCTGAATGCAACAAAGCCGCGCAAATCCTCGACACCTTCACGAACCCCGATCGCACCGACGGGCCCGACAGTCTCATTCCACCGAAGATCCTCTCCAGCGCGAAGGTGCGTTCTCCCCCTCAACTCTCAACCCTCAACTCTCAGAAACCACCTTGATCACCGCCCTAACACCCTTATCCTGGTCCGAAACAGGGCTTCGCCATATTCTCCATCTCCAAACTCGGCATCCTGGGCTCCATCCGCCTGGGCTCAGGCATCCTGATCGCGCGCCTCCCCAACAACGCGTGGTCGGCGCCCTCGGCCATCGCGACCGTCGGCATCGGCATCGGCGGCCAGATCGGGGTCGAGATCGCCAACTTCGTCCTCGTGCTCAACACCACCAGCGCCGTGCGCACCTTCGCGCAGATGGGCAGTCTGTCGCTGGGCAAGAACGTCTCGTTTGCGGTCGGGCCGTCCGGACGGTACGGCGAGGTCGGCGGGGTGATCAGTTCGGGCGGCGTGGCGGGGATATTCTCCTACGGGCAGAACAGGGGGCTCTTTGGCGGGTTCAGTACCGAGGGCAGCGTGGTGTATGAGCGCAGGGGGGCGAATAAGAAGTTTTATGGCCGCAAGGTCAGGGTCAGGGAGTTGGTGGGCGGGTGTGTGGATGTTCCCGCGGAGGCCGGGGGGTTGGTGGATGTGTTGAGGGGGGAGAGGTTTAGGATGAATGTCACTGAGGGGATTGGGAAGGGGGAGAAGGGGGAGGACAGTGTGGGTGTCTCCGAGTTGGATGCTGGAGACGAGGCTGTCAAGATGCCGGCCGAGTTGCCGGCCGAGATGGTTGCGGAGATGCCCGTCGAGTTTCTGGCCGAGTTGCCGGCCGAGGTCGTCCCTGATTCCTTTTTTCTGGATAGGAGGGGCGGGGAGGAGGTCAAGAGGAAGCCGCTGCCTGAGTTGGCGGAGGAGGTGCCGATCAAGATGCAGACTTGATCAGCCTTCTTGGCTGGTGACGAGGGTGGTGAGGAGGATGATTTACTCCCTCCGCCTCTCTCGGCTCTGAGATCGTCGCGAACCCTCATGCGCGGTGCCCGGATGGATCGCTGCGAGGTGATTCATCCAACAGCTCTCGGATTGACAGCCAGTCGATGCACAGACGTCTGCATCCTGCCGTGCGTGGCGTCGGCACAGACAGACATCTCACTCTCAGGGTAGGGGGATTGGAGATGGCAATTGCAATCCCAAGCTCGCGGACTCGCTCGGATGGCTCCAGGTCCACATTTATGGCGAATTCTCGGACTTGCTGAGTCGAGTATCTATCTAGCCAAGCTGTCAACACGAGCTGGACCCATCCGACGGTTGAGAAGAATCTGCCGCGTCTGCGGGACTACGTTTAGCCCCATAGTTAGCTCATAAGACCGCTCATATAGGAGCGGTGGAGGAGGATCTGTCATATCCGTGCGACTGCATCGGTCCTTCCATCCAGTCAGCCTTTAGATCAGGGCAGGGGCACGGCTGAACGGAAACATCTTCAGCTGCTGGTCAGAGTCGGACACCTTCTCGAACAGTCCCCTCTGATGTCCACCAACCCCACAATGGGGCTTGGACGCCATGTGCGAGAGTGCTAAAGGAATGCTTAATTTAATTCTCGTACACTGCCTTGCTATCCAGCCCTAGTCCAGCCCTAGTCCAGTTCCAGCCCAGTTCCAGGACGCTCTCTGTGCCGCTCCCGAAGAAAAACAAACCACGATAGCACTGGGATCGTCCATCCTTCGCAGCGGTCAGCCAAGCCCTGCTGTCCAAGCTCGAAGATCCTTCCGGCTGGTCCAATCAGCCGTGCCCGACTAATCCTGCGCTAGAGAGTCCACTGCGGCGCAGTCAGCCGTAGTCCCAAACGGCTTAACGCAATCCAAGCGAACAACCCGAAACCGAGCCCGATGCCCCCCCTTCTCGGGTCATAAATCATAATTAAAGACGCCCTCCCCCACTTTCACGATGCGCATGGATTACCTGAATGGGTTAACGTCGCGGAAGGCTTGAACTTTGGGGGCCGAAGTCTATGAGGCTGTGGCTGGGGCACTGCAGGATCACTGCCCCTGCTGATTGGGGTGGACGAACCTTTGGTGGACACGTTGGGAGCCTCATGAGCGCTTAGTCTGCCTCAGCTGGGTCCACTGCTGTTTGGGCTCGGGGTGATAAAGACTGGAGGAGCGTCGGTGGTGGCAGTTTTCTTTCGGTGGGTGTCTCTCTGTTGTGGCTTTTATACCCTTGCTCGCCGCGTGAACTTCCCTTCTCACCCTGTTGCCAAATCCAACATAAACCTGCAGGGATACGAAATATTCGCCGAGTATCGCTCTCAGCGTCAGCATCGTCAAGATGGGCCTCTTCCACCACCACCACAGTAGCTCCAGCTCCAACCACACTTGCCCGTCGCATGCCGTCTCCGAAGGTCTGTTGATTCCTCCTCGATGCCAAAACGACCGCCATCTCACCATACTATCCTATCAGATGAAACCTCCAATCTCGTGGGCAACCTGTCCTTCTACCACTTCAACATGATCATCTCCGGCGCCAGCACGGTACTCGCCTGTCTGATCATCCTGGCGCTCATGATCCGCCATACCCTCCACTTCAGCAACCCCATCGAGCAGACCCGGTATGCAGACATCACCAACCCAACCCAACCTAACCCAACCCACTAACACCCCACAGCGTCATGCGAATCAGCAGTCTCGTCCCCGTCTACTCCATCTTTTCGTTCCTGGCCGTCTGCTTCCCCGCCGGATACGTCGACTTCACTGCCTGGCCCGACCCGGTCGAGGGCGTCGCCCTGTACTGCTTCTTCCTCCTGCTGTGCGAGTTCATGGCGACCGACGACGAGCAGCGCATGCAGCTGCTCGCGGCGCAGCAGATCAAGAAGCGGTTCTCGAAGAAGCCGCCCATGGACGGGTTGACTTGGTTCAAGGTTCGTCCCTCACCCTCCCCCCAATATAGTTCATAACGTGAACTGCGAAACAAAATGTCTAACAAACCCAGCGCACCTATTTCGCCATTGTGCAGTACCCCTTCGTCGCGCTGGCCTGCACCGTCATCACCTGCATCACCCAGGCCGCGGGCGTGTATTGTCTCGATAGCAAGAAGCCCTACTTCGCGCACATCTGGGTACGCCTCCCGCCCTCTGTGACCATCAACAAAACCCCCAACCCTCAAACTGACGAGAGTATCTAGATCACCATCATCAAGAACCTGTCCCTCTCCATCGCCGTCCCCTGCGTGCTCAAATTCTACATGCAGCTGAAGAAAGAAATGGAAGGCCGTCGCGCATTCGCCAAGCTCTGCGCCTTCAAGCTCATCGTCGGTCTGACCTTCGCCGAAAGCGTACGTCCATTCCCTCCCCCCTCCCCCCTTTCCCCTGACCCCCAACAACTAACAACGAACCACTAGATCCTCTTCACCATCCTCCGCACAGCCGGAATCCTCAAGGCCACCTCCGTAATGACCTACACCGACATCACTGTCGGCCTCCCCGAGATGATCATCTGCATCCAGATGGTGCCCCTGGCGCTGTTCTTCCACTACGCCTACAGCGTGAGCCCCTACAGCAACTCCCCCGGACTCCTCCGCAAACGCTACGAGCCCGTCGATGGCGGCGACACCGAGATCAAGTTCCCGGTCAAGTACCAGGGTGGCATCTTGGGAGTGAACGCCTGGCTGATGTTCTTCAATCCGGTCGATCTGGTCCGCGAGTTCCAGTATCCGATTGCGTTGCTCCGGATGGTGGGGACCGGGGGCGCGGACCACGAGATTTTGACAACGGAGATGCAGACGGAGAGGTATGAGGGGCTTTAGATTTGGGGTTCGCATGGTTTATGATCGGGTGGGTGGTGTTTGTGGCGTTTAATGATTTTTTTTTTTTTTTGCTATTGTATCTTTCAGGGGTGGTGTTGGCGTTGGTAGAGGCGCGTGGATTGGAATGGAAAGATGGGGTGGGTTGTTCTGCTTAGATGGGATGGCTCCTTGAGCTTATATTTATGGTATATTTAACGCCTGTCTGGATGAGATCCATAGGGTTAGTTTGATTTATGGGTACTCTGTAGTATATAAGTATTTAATTACATCGCCGAGCCTAGGTCCCTATGGAGATAGATCCTAAAGACGATGGGCAAGAGGCCCTAGATCAGGCTGATTGCTGAACAGGTACAGTGGACTGGCGACCAACCCATCTAAGAAGTCGTAGAATAGCCACAATGACTTTGCCCTATACCAATTTTTCGATGTTATTTTGCTTTCGAGTCTTGGTTCCTGGTGTTGATGGCAGAGGTTGTTTCGGGATCCCCCGGCTTTCCTGTCCGTTCATCGATGCTCTGTTCTTCGAGTGCTGCCTTGAGGTCTGCCATGTCTGCTGTCGGTTCGTCGATATTTCGATCTCCTTTCGCTGTATCTAGGGGTATATCACCGGACGATTGGCCATCCATAGTGACATTGTTTCCCACCGCAGCCGATGCATCCAACAGCGGGGGAGAATCATTGCTTTGACGAGCCAATGCAGCCAGGGTCGTCAAGACCGGAGACTCCAGAATTTCGTCCCGATTGAAAAGATCGGCCACCGTAGTCTCACGAACTTTGCCAGCCTCATAAAGCGCTTTATAGCCATATTCCCAGATCTCGTTCTCAAGATCTAGCAGGAACTCCACTGGACGGCGTTCCTTTCCGAAAAGAAACCGAACCACATGCAGGCCACGGCGCATCTTTGAGGTCAACAGAACTTCGATGCGGGCGTCAGCTCCACGTTTCAAGGCTTCTTCCAGAAAGAATAGATTCCCAGATTCATAATCGGGAACATCGGTGATGCGATACAGGATCAAATGGTGCCAGATGCTGAGCGTTACTTCCTCATCCGATTTTGTTAAAAGAGAAGATGTGCTTGGTGATATATCCGTCGTCATCGTGTGAAGAGTGTGAAAGGGTAGGTCTTCCCAGCCCCTCCATTCTGAATCCTCCTCCAAACCGTGGAAAACACAGTAGAACAAAAGAGCGACGTTGTTTCTGTTCTCCAGGAATGACGGATCCTGAGAGAGTTTCCACAATACGTATCCTGAATTCCCAACAACGGCAGCAATAAACACGGGTTTGCAGATATAATAACTGTTTTTCCCATGTGGTTTGCAGGTTCCGATCTGATAATTTCGTTTGCGAATGCCAACTTCGGCGCCAAACTCGGCGCGAATACCTATCGTCTGGTAGTCGTGTTCCCCGTCGATATCCAAGTCTCCATTCCGAGCTAAAGCCGCCTGTAATTGTTCCTCGAACATGAAAGGGTGCCGACTGATCTTGGCTCTGCTTCTTATCTGCGCAATACGATAACTGAGAAAACTCATGTATTCGAACTGCCCACCGTCGGCTCTCATCTCCCACAGATTGATCAGGAGGAGTCGAGAGATGGCACTTTCCAAGCAGAAGCCATTTAGATGTTCCTGCTGGGCTGGGGACCTCACTGAGTCCAAGAATTCTGGGACTGACCGGTGTGTAAAGGAGATCACAGTTTCAGACAGCTCAGGTGATAAAGTTATGTTCGTGGGCTCGAGCAAGCCCTGGCAAGTACGCATCAGCATCTTGTGTGCCTGCGCATGCCGGTCGAACTTGGACATTTCACCCGATCCCCCAGCCAGTGCAGGTATGGAATCATCTGGCAAGTCGGACGAACAATCATCGAAGAAGTAGTAAGAGTCCAATGGTATAGTCAAGAATCCTCCGCCCCATCTGGTTTCCTCATTCAACTTGTTAATAACGGCAAATGTTCGGTAGGCTCGCCCTTGATCAGAGGGGTGGATCGACTCAAGGAGATAGCGGAGGAGATCCTCCAGTCGATTTGGCATGATGTCCATCTCCCTTTCCATTCTCTCCAAGGTTTCGCCCCTCTCATTCAAATCACACAGCCGTCTTATGACTAGCACAACCCAGAGAAAACTCCCATCGGCTCTGCTGCCGATACTTCGCAGTAGCCCTTCTTTACCTGGGCCTGAAATCTCAAGTTTATCGCGCACGAACCGATCGATATCCCACCGGGTGAGATCTTGCATTGTCAGGCGTTGGATATTCGAAAACCCATTCAGAATGACGTTATCTTCCCGACTAGACACGCAGAATTTGACGTTTCCTCTGGACGCCCGACTCCAGTCCGAAATTCTGTCAATCAAAGCCGTATAATCCTCCATCCCACTATCATCGAACTCATCGAGCGCATCGATAAAAAAGCATATCCGGTAGCGCTGGGCTCCGCAATTCTCCACCAGACGGCCAAAAGCTTCGAGGAGCGTGTCAAGTGTAAAGTGATTGTACACGATCATCGGCATGGATTTGATCTTGTCCCATTTCTCAGGAAAAGCCACCTTCACCAACCCCGGAGATGATTTGAGGCACTGGTAAAGGAGTGAGTGAAGGAGATCTCTCATCGGGTCTTGACACAAAATTGGGGGCTTCGAGAAGAAGAGCCGGGCCATGACGAGCTCATGTTCATCAGCCCATTTTTTCAATCTGCTCTCCGTGCGGGCGTCGCGGCAGATCAGCTTCATTAATGTTGACTTTCCCGATCCCAGCTTGCCGGAAATGTGGAAAACTCCATCGCCGGACAACAGCCAGGAATTGAAGGATTGACGGTATGCGAGTCGATATGGATCCATGCCATCGTTATCATCATCTTCGTCGAATATCCACTCGAAGGTCTTGTCATGCGCGCGGGCAATATCGTCAAAACGCTTGTCGATGCTGTCAACCTTGAGGTACGAAACAAAGCGGTCGCTGAGGAACGTTTCATAGGAGTCTTCGGAAATCTCGAGCAAGCCTGATAGATGGAGCTGACAATCCCCAGATAGAGTATTGTTCAAACTCCGAAGGCTCTCGACTTGCTTTTGCAGCTGCACTATACAGTCGGCATTTTCTTTGGAACTGGCAATAAATAAGTCCAACCCACTCTTCATGTCAGCCCTGGAAAGAATCAGCAGAAGTACGCTCAAAAGTCATGACTGGCAGCAAACCATGTGGCATTATTCAAGTGCAACCCCAATTGATCTTGACAGATCTTCAATCGGCCCTGTAGTTCATCCCTTCTCTTCTCGAATCTCTTGCTTTCAGTTGCATTGAAAACATTCTGGCTCGACGACCCAGAATCATGAGGCTTCACCTCATCCAAGAGCTCACCGATATCCAGAGCCAAACCCCTGCACTGCCACGCAAGGTCGCAAATGAACTTATCGTTTCCAGTTACAACTCCATTCGCTGGTGGGACCAGACTGTCACCGAACTCTTGTATTTTCTTCGTCGTAAACTCACGATTCTCGTTGATCTCTGTGGCCCCGGACGCGGACTCGTAAATCTCACGGGCATCGCGGAGCAGTTTCACCCCCAGGTCAACAAACTCTATGATGTTGGACACGAGGCCGATGGCAGTTAAAGACTCCATTCTGCCTTGACTCTTGAGTGTGAAGCAGAAAGGTCAAGGTTGGGCAGGGGCGAAAGCATATTTATTCACAAGGCTGGACGGCGGGAACAGGGGCTGGATACGACTGCCTGCCAGGCTCCAGCTGAGTCTCAGCCTCGCGGCGCTAAACATGCATGCCCCGCGCGGATCATCGCTTTTCCCCTAGTATCCGCCCAACGGTCTAACTAGAATACCCAACGCTGTCGGGAGGATCGGGGTTCAATCAGAGTCATTTCTCCTTTCTACCTGTAAGCCCTACAGGATCGGGTATAGCCCTGCGATGGATATAAGAATAGAGAACCCAACCTGCAACGGACTACAGAGAATCAGTAAATTCCTTGGCTTGAGAGTACATCCGTTCAATCATTCAACATTCACAAATCAACACTCATAAAGATTCCCAAGAGACCACAACCAGAAACCAATAGGAAGTACACAAAGATCACAACACCATACACCAACCCATATCGAACATACTATCATACACCGTACCAACCAAAGACCCCAATATCCCATCCCACGATATAGTATTCAAGCCTTGCGCTCAGGATTCGGCGCCCGGGCAATCTTATTCTCTCCCGTCTGACCCCCAACCATAGTCTGGGCTTCCTTCTGCGTATACAGCTTGTCCTCCTTACTGGGCGACTGGGCACGGAAGAGGAGCCAGCTGCCCGCGAGCACGCCGAAAATGCTGAAGATGGCCATGTTGCGGGATCTGCAGGAGTCAGTACGCTTGTTGCCATATGTAGCTCGGCGATAGAGATGATGATGATGATGATGATGATCACATACCGTACAGATTGCGGGCGACCGCCTGTAAGTCCTCCTGGGTAGGCGACCATTTTGATTGCTCTGGGTTTTGATGAGGTGGGTTGATTTGTGTGTGTGTGTGTGTGTGTGTGTGTGTGTGTGTGTGTGTGTGTATCAGTATATACACAATTAATTCGTAAAATGTATTGTGTAATATTCAACAAGGACCATCTCGTCTTATTATATGCTCTGGTCGCGATAGAGCCATAGTGACGTCAACTGCAGCATCCGTCGGGAGCACAACGCTGGGTCGCCATCCGCCGGATAAGCTTATAAGCTGTGGAATATAACTCGCGGGTAGTCTGCACTGCTCTCTGGGTAATCGATAATGTTTGCGTCAGGAAGACGTTGCGTTGGCTGCAAGCTGGATTTGCCTCTTCGGATCGTGATTTGCGTTAGGGCTAACTTCTGACTTGAAGTCTGGCCGTTGGTCGATGACAACGGCGCAGGTCGTGGGAAGACCGATGACAGAATTTGAGGACAGGGGTCGCCACTGTTATTAAACTTCTATCGTGATACTCTTGATGTTTGACGTCGATTTGCATGAGAATCAAGTTCTCTGCTATCGATTTGCCTCTAGTCAGTCGAGAAATATTCAAAGTTGAGAGGTAGAAAGGTCGGGGAGACGAGCACTACCCGAATCACATGTAGCTTTTTTTGATAAATCGGTGGAGATAGAAAGTATTTACATTTTATTTTGATAAAGATCGAGATAGCCTCAGGCTTCAAGCACCTGGAAGTCTTATATAAAGTTTCCATCTTTAGGGATGTATGCGATGATGACAGGATTTGGTCTAGTATCGAAGCCGGAGTGGGTTAGAATCATGGTGAGAGATATATTATGTTGGTATGCTAGGAAATCCTAATTGCTGCGAAAAGCAACCAGTGTTATCCAAGGTATCTAAAAGAAAATAATAGAATTAAAGCTACAATTTCATATCGTCCTATCACACCCGGGGATTGAAAATATATAACTGTATGACCAAGTGACACCGAGAAAACCACATGTCAGCTAATCAATCTCATGCAACAAGCCGGTCGATCAAAGCTTAAACATCCCCCCCCTCTTCTAATTATAACAATGAATAATCAAGAACTGAATAGACCCTCCACAGAGTCGCAGTAATAAAGCCGAACCACGGATTGACCCGACAGCTCCAGCCCACCGATTCAAGTTCAAGTGCGGCGGCGAGCTGTTCGATCCTCAGCGACGTCATCGCCTCCGCCTCCCGTCGATCGATCGATCGCGTCTCAACGATTCCAATTCCAACTCCAATTCTCAATCCCACAATCTCTCCTTTCTCTGCTCGAAAATACCGTCATCTCTCCACCATTGAACACCACCAACCACACAAAATGCAATATACACCCCAATCGTCACCCTACCTCTTCGGAGGCACACGGTAAGAACACCCCCCACCCCTTCCTCGTACAAGCACCAAATCTAACCACCAAATCTCAATAAAAACCAGCCCCTGGACCCCCTCATCCTGGACCTCAACCGACGACCGCGTCCGCGGCGGCGCCTCACACTCCTACCTCACCATCCACGAAGCCCCCAACACGGCCACTTTCCACGGTACCCTCGACATCACCGCCCTCGGCGGCGCGGGCTTCGCCTCCCAACGCACAACCACGACCTCCCACGTGTGGGACCTCACGCCCTACGACGGTCTCGAGCTCTCCGTCCCGAAATCCGATGGCAAGAAATACACCCTCACACTGAAGGACGAGCTGTTGCCGCGACGGCCCGACGGGCGCGAACGGAGCGGTCTTGTCTGGGAGTACGATTTTCGGGTCCCCAAGGGAGGGGACAAGTTGAGGGTGCCGTGGGGGGAGTTTCGGCCCACGTATCGTGGGAGGGAGGTTAGTGGGGTGAAGCCGTTGGATTTGGGGGGTGTGAGGCGGGTGGGGATTATGGTTAGGAGGTGAGTTTTCAGATATTTCCCTTGTTGCGTGGGGTGGGGAGGTTAGGACTGGGAAGGGTGCTGACGTGGTGTAGCTTTTTCGGAGAGCAGGAGGGGGAGTTTGAGCTTGTGGTGGAGTCGATTAAGGGGTTCAAGAAGGAGGAGGGAGAGGGGGAGAGTGAGGGGAGGTATAGGGATGATCCAGAGGATTTGGGTGAAGATGAATATGAGTTCGATGAGAAGGTGTGGGATGAGAGACACACGAAAGGATTGGGATGGTTCTCTTGCTGCGGACTATTTTGAATATGTGAGTCCTCGTAGTACGTCGCAAGGACGTACGAAAAGCCAACTGGACAAAATGCACACGAATGAATTTCAAATCTAACATGAATAAATGTTGATTACAAAAGAATTTCTCTAAGATGATCTGATCTGTACGATTATAATTCAGCGCTGACAGCACACTCCCCTGTCTCAACAAATGTCTCAATCGCCTTCACCAACCGGCCCAACCTGACACTGTCCTCTCCTCCCACCGTAACAGCACCATAGCTGGACTCCCCACTGGAATCATGCACCCACGCATTGATGATCAACCGGCCATCCGCAATCTCCGACGCGAACTGCGCCTCGAACATATCCCGCGTGCACCGCATCATCAGATGGGAAAGCACCGCCGCCTCAAACATCCCCCGTCTGATAAAATGGCCCTTCAGAAACCCCAAATGGTACGAGCCGGTCACACGAGGATTGACATCCACGATCATCTGCGTCCCGGTTTCATCCGTCATGATATCCGCCCCAGCGGGACCGTAGTAGCCCTTGCTGTGGAGCTTCTTCGCCAGCGTCTCGATAGTATTCCAGTACCGCTTCTTGTATGCCGGCTGCGCGAGATACGAGACGCATCCGCCCTTCCAGTGTCCCTCGTCGTCGAACCGCTGCCGCGAGGCCGCCAGGTAGACGACGCGGCCCTTTTTGGTCACAAAGAACGTCACACCACAGGCCTCCCCGGGGATTAGTTCCTGGATGACAAGGCTGGCGGGGTACAGGCTCTGATTGCTATCGTGGAGCTTGTGGAGGGTCTCATCGAGAACCTGGTCCAGCTCGTCCAACGCACTCTGGCGATCCGACTCGCTGCGCACGACGTACGTGCCCCTACCGGACGTCGCGATGGAAACCTTGACCACGAACGGCAGCGCACGCTCCTCGACGTGCCGCAGCATGCGCTTGATCTCCGCGTCGGTCCCATCGGCATGTTGCTGCTGACCAGCGCCCCAGGATTCCACCGGTCGGGGATCCACAACTGTGGACGGTGGTGTCGGTAGACCGCAAACAGCGAGCCAGCGCTTCGAGAGGATCTCGTAGTGATCATCCGGATCCAGAATCTGGGGCAGCTCGCGCAGATGGTCCTGGGGGATGATGAGGGCCGTGCGGAGGGCCGTTCCGCCCTGGACGTCCTGGAGGCTTTTCACGAACTTCACGTCGGGCCGTTGATCGGGACACAGTTGCTCGTACACCCGGTATGCGTCCCTGGTTGACGTGGAGAGGATAGCGGCTAGGTCTTCGCCTCCGTCACCGCTCAGATCGATCATGATGACCGGGGAGCGGCCAGCCACGAAGGAATAGCGCTGCGCCACGCCGCGCTTGTACAGGTTTGGGGTTTCTTCCTCCGCGCTGATGCCGGGGAAGTTGGCCGAGTAGAGGAATCGCCCGGGCCCCGTGTCCGTGGATTGATCGCGAGGGAATTTGCAGGGGTGGTCGTAGGCGAGGATCACGGGTTCGGACGATGTGTCGTCGTCTAGGGTGTATAGGTCGCGCAGGGTGCAGTCCAGGGTGATGGACTTGGCTTTCTTCGGGGGTTGGGGCGATGTGTATGACGAACGGGTCGGGGCGATGTCCACCGGGTGGAAGGATGATGCTGGACGCATCGGTTCGGCTGATATCTCGCCCATCGTTGCGTTGCAAAATGCTCTGCTATGCGCTTAACTGCTCACTTGTAGATCTGGGGGGAAAATGTTTGCTTTGCTGGGGAATGGAAATAGGTATCCGTATGTAGGTAAGTAGAAATAACTACCAGACCACCCAGAGGATTTCTCGGGGAGGATCTGGAGTTATTCTTCCTTCTGGACATGGTGGCTGTCTGTTGTCGCGTAGACGTCAGTTGGCGTCATGGAGGGAAGTTTGAGTCGTTTCGCATGTCCGTTCACGCTCGAAATATCCGCGGCATTCGGAGCCCAACCAGTCAGCCCCAAAGTTTGCTTTAAGCTATGCTAAGCTAGGAGAGCTATCAAGCTTTGGGTGGGTCATCCTTGAAGCCATTTTAAGCTTGTTCCGGGTTGGTGAGTGGCCGGACCAAATTCCGCCCGCTGATAGGGTTAGCCACGGTTCAATGCAACCTCAGGAGTTGTTGACTCGGCTTTTTTCTTGGGTGGACGACATTCCGTGGATGGCAGATGAATCAATATGACAGTATTTGACAGTATTTGACAGATACCCACGGTTGATCTGCGGAGGGGTCGTCACGTTCGACTTCAACGCACCGCGTGATGCTGGGGGGTGTGTTAAGCAGGGGGATATCCGATGCAGAGGACAGCTGTATCAGAGTTAAGAGGCTGAATCTAGGTGGAGTACATCCAGATCCAAGTTAGCTCGACAGATAGCTCCCCACGAAGTCCGGCCTGCTCTGGAAAGATCCAGGTCTTGAATAGCCCAATCGTTCGCCACCTACGTGAACGACATTCGGCCACCTCGGCCCGTGGTTTGGAGTCCGTTGAAGACAGAGTGAATGAGTGGTAAGTCCAGAGTTGATCTCCCTGTCATACTCTTCACTCCAGCCCCGCTGTCCCCGGACATGGTTAGTCTACAGGCTGTAGTGCCCTTAGATTGCCCCTGCTGGCACAATGGCGACCTTGCTGCTCGAAATAGAGTAGCCGTCCCATGGAGCTTAAACAGTTTCGGCTCGGATTTGTATTGCCTGCATAACGACTCCACTAGACTTGCCGAGTCCAAACAAAGGGTCTCTTGTCGGATATTGTGCCGAACATGTACTGCATTGCTTGACTCTGCCGTATGCACATGGCAGGCACTGTTCTTGCCCTCTACCACTGGGAATCCACATCGCTGAATTTCGATCAGTCATATGATTGAAGCTCTTCTTCTGTGTGACAGACAACCTTCAGCCGCCTGAGCATATCATTCAATGCTTCAGTGCAGGACCCTACGAAGCCTGAAGCGTATACCTAACGGCGTGCTGTCACCTTCATGGCATCAAACACTCAAGCCGTTGAAGCGATTGCTTTAGGCTTTAGAGCCATGCAAGCCGCAGCACATCGCAATCGTATTAATTCTCCGGAATTAAGTCACATAGGACCGAAAGCAAGGGCGCAGTTTGTTTGAAAGTAGGCAGGTATAGGGCCGAGTCAGCTGCCCCGGAGAGCCTAGTCAAAACGGGCAATCTTCAACAATCCCATCTTCACCAGCCAGACACACCCCTTCTCGAACACAGAACCCACTTAAAGTTCTGAGCAAAGCCACGCCCAAGCTTAAGATCAAACATCTCGTATCCCGCCGGCGGGTAGGAAGAATGCCCTTCGAGCGAGCGTGCCTCCATGGTAGCGCCGAGTGGCCCGATCCCTGATCACCCCGTACCACGCACACTTAAATGTCTCAGCCGAGTATCTAACCAAGGGGTATAACAGCATCGACATTCAGCACAGCCTCTACCAGCGCACCAATAAACCCTTAACGCCGAGCCGAGTCCCCCACATCCGCAAAGCCCTCATGCAACCTTACTCGCTAGTGCTTACTCCCTCAGCCCGCCTGCAGCATGCCGATCCACCACCACTTCCTCCGGATGTTGCACGAATCTCTGGATTCCGGGGAAATGTGCGACGCGGGGCTCCATGGAGCGTCTCGCCACCTGGGCAATATAAGCAGATCATAACGAGACAGACGCCATATGATCCAGGGTGGTATCAATCAGGATGCGGAGATACATGGATGAATACCCTCCGAACGCTACTCTGGTACAGATCGCTGCGAAAAGGGGTGATGGACAATGACACATTGTGGGACGAGTCACCCCGCACTTTTGATCCAGGGGAAGGACAACAGAGTCCCTATGACCGCATATAAATAGCACCCTCTGACTCGTTCTCGAAGACATCATCCACGACGGCAATTGCGACAGACAGCACACAGCAGATCACAACATTCTATCCAGTTGAGGACAGCACGTCAAAGCAATTACGTATGCCCCGACCTTCCCTTAAACGCCACACATACCCTAACCGCACAACCTCCCCCACAGCATCACAACCATGAAGCTCAGCCTCCTCGCCCTCATGACCCTCCTGGGCCTTGCCATGGCTGTTCCCGCGGAGGCAGACACTGAAAGCACCCAGGTCTCCGACGGAACTCTCGGCGTATGTTCCCCCCCCAACCTTATCTCCCCTGCGCACATGTAAGTAACATCAAAACACAACCAGATCGACTACTGCGGTCAGCGCTGCGAAGAGGACCGGGACTGTCGTCGCGGAGAGCGCTGCCATGATTGCTACAAACGTCACGATGAGGTAAGTCGGCTGCTTCTTTTTTGGGGATCGTAGACACTGTTAACTGAGCTGGACAGCATTATGGCCGCTGCCGCGAGCGTCATTAGGCAGGCTGTTTTGTCTGGCAAGAGCGCGGTAGGTGGGTAGGTAGGTGATGAGTGGTGAGTGGGAGTGGGCGTGGAGATCGGTAGGATCGGGAAATTGGCAGAGAGTAGTGTACCGTGACTAGGTGAATCAAATTGACCTTGGCTTTTGGGATTCTTTCCATCTTGTAAATGGGTGGACTGTACCTTCTGGATTAGAGTTACCCCGAGTCTCACTCTCAGCATCACTCAGTCGTCACAAGACACCTAGAAGAAACCCTCCCTCTCCTCCCTTCGAGGCAGACTATCCAATCCAATCAGACCCATAAAGCCCAGACCAGTGAAATTCAGCTCACCGTAATCGGACTCAACCTTGTGATATTCCGAGGATAGTACCATGTCCCAATGATCGGTGCGGATCAGATAAGATGCGCGGAGATTCCGCTCAGGTTGCGGATATATTCTTGGAGTTGGCCGGAGGGGATGAGTTAAACCGGTTTGCACGTCCGGTCAGCTGCTCTGTCTTGTAAAGATAATTTCTCGACCCTGTTGCGGCTTTGCCTTTCAGTCTGTCAACAGCATTCACCTCCCCCCCTTCCCCTCTTCCCTCCCCAATTCCACCATACCTAGACGAGACCCACGACCCATCCATCTATTCACTACCACCATCAACACACATTTTCCCACCTAGCATAAAAAAGCTTTTGAAAAAAAAAAAAAAAAAAAAAAAAAAAAAAAAAAAAAAAAGAAAAGAATGCTCTGCTCACTTCCCCTCCTTCCATGAACCTCACCCCCTAAACCATTTACCACTTCACTCTCTCCTCCCCGTATCCCTAATACCCCACCCCACTCCTGTGCATAACCTACCACTCCACGCGCTGTCTCTGCCCTCACTAACTCATCCCAATCCCAACCCAACTGGATACTTGAATGCCGCCCCGGTTCAATTTTAGATCAGACCAGCCTACCCTGAAAAAGCGTCTATTCCGTACTCTGTGGCGGAGACATCGTGTGGGTATCGTGTGGCTGGACCAGAGGACAAGGGAGCCTGCTTTCGCGAGTAGGGAGTTAAGAGAAAGGTGGAGAGGTTCCTGAACATTTGGAGAGAGGGTGAAAAGGGCGAGGAGGGCTGTTACTATTTTTGGGGTCGGATTCGGGGAGTGGGAGCGGGAGGGACGCCGCTGTTGTTTATTCCGGGGAGGAGAGGGGCGGGGCGGGACGGGACGGGGGCTATCCCGTAGGGGGTAGGGGAGGGGGGTATAGGAGGGGAGCTTGGAATAAGGGTGGTAAAGGAGGTAGAGGTGGGGCTTTGTATGGTGCCTCAGGAGAGGGAGGTTGATAGTAAGTAGTGTTGGTGAGGAGAGGGTGTGAGGCGTGAGGTTGGAGGGGGGGGGAAGTGTGTGTGTGTGTGAGTGTTTGGTTCCATTGATGTTGGTTTTCTCCGTCTGTTTGGAGATTTGCTAATGAACTTGGGGCAGATTGGGTATATTAGCAAGAGGATAAGCTCAGATCTCATTGGAGAGATTCGTTCCCATTTCCGTTTCGCTTCTGAACTGGACATTTTAGCGTTCGTCAGACGCCGAAGCTGCAGCTGAAGCTGAAGCTGGCGGATTGGTTACTCGTTCGATAGGATCTAGTTATGCAGCGGGGGATGGGATTGAGATCAGGACTGCTCGTTAGGAAAAGATATTGAAGACCCAGACATCAATCCACAGTGGAAGTCCGGGCCAGACCTTTTGTTGAGACGGAATGCGACAGGTCATAGTGCGGTGACTGGGGACTTCTGTATGGGTTCGGAAGTAAGTGACACATCAGGCCCGGAACAAGATACGTCCGCTCAACACAAGGAGGCGAGAATCAGGGGTACATATAACAAGCACGGAAGATCTTCAGGTCATAGTCCCTGGAAACCCTCTCGCACCCGCCCCCAACCACCGGTAGAATGCGCGTGTACTCGTCGACCGACCCGAACAACTCTCTCGCCTTCCACAGCGGCCGAGTCTACACGATCGATCGCAACCACCCATGGGCGGAGGCATTCATCGTGTCGCCGATGGGCATCATCGAAGCCATCGGCAGCAACGAGAGCATCCTGGAGATCGCGTCCTCCCGGGGCCTGATCCGATATGACCTTCGACATCGGTTCGTGATGCCGGGCATCCACGACGCGCACGCCCACCTCCTCACCGCGGGCCTGCAAGCCCTAAACGAAGCGCGCATCGGCTTCAACTCCAACCCGGACAACCTCACCTCCCGCCTGGCCCACGGCTCCTCCGCCTGCTCCTACGCCAACGCCACCGGCGACTGGCTGATCGGAAACTTCTACCAGGCCAGCCACTTCCCCAACGGCGTGCCCGACCGCAAATACCTCGACGACCAATACCCCGCGCAGCCGGTGCTGATCCGCGAAGTCTCCTGCCACCGCATCCTGCTCAACACGGTCGGCCTGCTGCGCGTGGGCATCAACCCCAACGGCTCCCCGGACCCAGAAGGCGGGTACTACGTGCGTCGCCCGGACGGGAGTCTCACCGGCGAGGTGGTCGAAAACGCCATGACAGAGGTCTACGAGTGTCTGCCCATCCCGCCGCTCGCGCACGTCAAACGCGCCATCCACCACGCCGTCTCCGTGTGCCATCGCTTCGGAATCACCTCCTGCCAGGAAGCCTCCGCCAACACCGTCTACATGCATGCCATCCGCGAGCTGGAGCAGGAGAACCGTCTGGACATGGACGTGCACACGCACGTGATCGCCGCGCCGGTGTACTTCGCCATGGAGCCGCAGGATAGTCTGGCGGGGCTGCTGGATGTCGTGGAGGGGTTTCGCAGTCGACACGTTCATCCCCAGTTTGTGAAGTTCTGGCTCGATGGCGCTTCCCTGCCCCCCGAGTTTACACAGGCCGATCTGGACGCCCGGGGCCAGCCGATCACCACTAATCTAGCGCTCGATCCGGAGTTTCTGTTCGAAGAGATCAGGAAGTACGATGCCCGGGGCATGACGTGCAAGGTCCACGTGGCGGGCGAGGGATCCGCCAGACTGGCGCTGGACATTATCGAACGGATCCGCGAGGGAAATCCATCCGGACCGAAACACGAGCTGGCGCACTGTAATGCTGTGCATTCGGGTAGGTACTTCGGTTGTGGTGGGGGGGAGGTGGTGGTGGTGGTGGTGGCTGATGCAAGGCTAAGCTGATAATCCCAATCCCGCAGATGACATCGCGCGATTCGCGCCGCTCCGAGTGACGGCCGAGATGTCGCCGGCGATTTTCCACCATCCGGTGGTGGACGAGTACCCCGAGCTGAATAAGTGGGCGTTCAACGGGGTTTTGGCCTCGGGGGCGCTGATGACCATCGGGTCGGACTGGATGCTGCCGGAGAATCCGTCGTTGTTCGATGCGTTGGCGGCCATTGTGGAGCGGATACGCTACTTCCCCGGCGGGAAGCCGAGGAGGCTGGCGAACGGGGAGACGGCGCGGCAGCGAGGCGGCGAGATTCTGTGCGCTGTGTTAACGCTCAGTGGCGCGGAGGCTGTCGGGATGCAGCATCGCACGGGCAGTTTGGAGGTGGGTAAGATGGCGAATTTCATTCTGGTGGATCGCGATCTGAGCCAGGGGGAGTTTGAGGGGGCGACGGTGTTGGAGACGTGGTTTGAAGGGAGGAAGGTGTTTGAGGTGTGAGAGTGAGTATGAGTGTGAGGCTTGAGGCTTAGGAGGCTGAGGCCGAGTTAAGGCTTCTCTGGACTGGATGGGGATGGACTTGGAAAGATAGACTGTACAACATTTAATATAACTTCGTTGCCTGATCGATCAGCCTCGTGCTTATCTTCCTCCTTTCTTCTTCATCCGATCGCATATCATCTGTTACAGTTCACAGCCATGCCGGATCATACCCACCTACTCGAAGTAACGGCCCAGAGTCGCTTCCATCGACGATGCATCCTCCCATGGGCCACTTGCCGTGACATACGCGGATATCGGGCCGCGGGAGACGGACGATGGCACGCCCACGCCCACCATCCTGATTGTCCCAGGGATGGTGGGAAGTCAACTATGGTGCTACCACAAAGATCACCTAGCAAAGACAGTTGGGGTGAGGATGATTTCTATCGACCGGTACGTCGACCGTCTACCATTCGCCCCTTAGTACTGTGGTGAAGTGCCAACAGCTCAGCCCTGGAATCGGCGGCTCAATGTCCGTAGCAACGCATAGACGAGTCAGCATATGGCTAGAATAAGTATCGGCGCTCTTGACGCATCTTTCCATCGCGCATGTCGTCCCCATGTCGCACAGTGCCGGGACAGTCTATCTCCTGAACCTGCTGGCGCAGCGCCGTGATCTCCTCTGGCCTGAGGCACCCATGGCGGTCCTGTTGGGTCCGTCAACCCTAAAGCCATCCCATCAGACGAAGCTGACAACCAGCAGCCCCGTGGGTCGAGCCAAAACACTCCGATGTCCTCTCGTTGCAGGTGGCGCAGATGCCTCCCGACAGGTGCCTTCGACTACTGGAACAAAATAATGCGTTTCGCGGCTACGAAAGCAGGACCCTCCTTCAGTGCCAGTACAGGCGTGGTCACCAAGATGGCGAATGGGCTTTCTGGTGCGTCTAAAGATTCAAATGCCGGCAAGGATGGGTTGGATATCAAGGCCGTGGAAGCGCCGGACCGTCTGGCGATGGATGATATCTTCCTGGAAGACACCACCGGCGTGAACGAGGAAGCGGTCCTCTGTCTCCAAAAGGGGATGCCGGGGCTGTGTGTTGCGAGAGATCAAAGAGAGTGGAGACAATCACGTCAAACCTGCCCTGTGATGGCGTTTCTCCAGATTGAACGCGTTCTTTTCCCTTCTTCGGTCGCATTTCTAAGCCGGCGAATGCGGCGAATTTGTCAGCACAGCACAGTTTCCCTCTCCTCGTATTGCTCATCGCCCTTCACCACCTTCAAAGTTCAACATATAAACAACCCCCCGCCCACCCCATGCCCACCACGCCTCCAATCTTCCGACCATCTCCATCCATACAGCCTCTATCGACATCATGGGCTCCGTCAACCCCCCCGCCGTGACCAAGTCCGCGCACACCCCCTACTACACCCCGCCAACAACGGCGGCGCAGCGCTGCATCCCACCGACCCCAGCACGCCCACCCTCTTCCGCCCCCTGACCATCCGCGATGTGACCCTGAAGAACCGCATCGTCGTGTCGCCCATGTGCATGTACTCCGCCGAATGCGACCCGTCGTCCCCCTTGGTCGGCGCCCTCACCGACTACCACATCGCCCACCTGGGCCACTTCGCCGTCAAAGGCGCGGGGCTGATCTTCGTCGAGGCCCAGGCCGTGCAGTTCAACGGTCGCATTTCGCCCAACGACGCCGGTCTGTGGGACCACTCCCCGGAGTCCGAACAGTTCAAGAGCCTGCAGCGCATCGTGCGGTTCTGCCACAGCCAGGGCGCCAAGGTGGCCGTCCAGCTGCACCACGCAGGTCGCAAGGCCAGCGTGACGGCGCCGTGGGTCGCCACGGAAGCCGGGAAACGCAGTCTGAGGGCCGAGGCGAGCGTCGGCGGGTGGCCGTCCGACGTCGTCGGCCCCAGCGGCGGACCGGAAAATATCTGGGATGGGACGGGCGAGGGATACTGGACTCCGCGGGCACTGACGGTGGAGGAGATCCAGGACGTGGTGCAAGCGTTCGCAAAGAGCGCCGAAGCGGCCGTGCGGGCTGGCGTGGACGTGCTCGAGATCCACGGCGCCCATGGCTATCTCATCAACCAGTTCCTGAGCCCCATCACCAACACACGGACGGACCAGTACGGCGGCAGCTTCGAGAACCGCACGCGCCTCGTGCGGGAGATCGCGACGGCCGTCCGGGCCGCCATCCCCAGTGGAACGCCGCTGTTCCTGCGCATCAGCGCGTCGGAGTGGATGGAGGGACACGATGTCGCGGCGGAATCGGGCACTTGGAACCTGGAGAGCTCGCTGCAGCTGCTGCCGCTGCTGCCGGAACTGGGCATCGATCTGCTTGATGTCAGCTCTGGCGGCAACCACAAGGACCAGAACATCGTCAAGGTGGTGGCGAACACGAACTACCAGATCGATCTGGCGGCACAGTTGCGCAAGGCCATCCGGAAGGCTGGCGCCCCGACCCTGGTGGGCGCCGTCGGGTTCATCACGGAGGCCGAACAGGCGCAGGGCCTCGTGCAGGGCTCCGACGAGGCCCACGCCATCAACGACACGGTGTCCGGACCCGAGGCCACGGCCGATCTGGTGCTGTTGGCGCGTCAGTTCCTGCGGGAGCCCGAGTGGGTGCTGAATGCAGCGAAGGCCTTGGGGGCCAAGGTCGACTTGCCCGTACAGTTCAGACGTGCTATCAACCTGTGATGATGATGATGATGATGATGATGATGATGATGATGATTATGACTGTCAATGGGGCTGTATAGAATAGATGCCATGAATGTGTAGACTCAGACAGACATTAGACATGCAATTTACGAAATTTTACGATTCAATCTCCCCTGAGATGCCTCCGTTCCCATCGGCCCTCAGCGGGTCGCGGAGAACGCCGATCTGCACGGCCAGCCATCGGCTTCGTCTCGAGCAATCAGATCCCCTGTCGACGCCACCGACTAATCGATGGTGAAATCCATCGTGCAGAATCCTTCCCTGCCAGCCAGCCAGCCAGCCAGCTAGCTAGGCTAGCTGGCTAGCTATTTAGGAGCTCGTCCCCCCGTACCCCGCAGTTCCCCTCATCTCTTAAAAACAAACTCCCTCAACTCTTCTTTCCACTTCCACTTCACCTCCCACTCCCACGACCCTAACACTCTCCCTCACAACCACCACCATATTCACAACCCCCCAAAATGTCTCTCAAAGCCGGCGACTCCTTCCCCTCCGACGTAGTCTTCAAGTACCCCTCCCTCTCATCCCACCTACCTAGACAAAACACTAAGCAAAGGCAGATACATCCCCTGGACCGAAGAATCCGGCGAGATCACCGCATGCGGCATCCCCATCAACTTCAACGCCTCGAAAGAATGGGCCGATAAGAAGGTGGTCCTGTTCTCCGTCCCTGGTCAGTCCTTCTCCCCTCCATTCCATTACATCCGATTCCATCATCAACCCCAACAACTCAAAACACCCTCTCACTACCTGAAACCAGGCGCATTCACCCCCACCTGCTCCGTCAACCACGTTCCGGGCTACATCCAGAACATCCAGCAGCTGAAGTCCAAGGGCGTGCAGACCATCGCTGTCATCGCGTCCAACGATCCCTATGTCATGAGTGCGTGGGGGAAGGCGAATAAGGTTACTGGAGATGAGTTTGTACGTTTATCCATACCTTGATGTTTTTTGTTTATGTTGATGTGGATCTCTTGGGGTATTTTGTGAGATCGGCTAATCATCGTGGTGTAGCTCTTCCTCTCCGACCCCGATGCCAAGTTCTCCGAGTCCATCGGCTGGGCCAACGCGGGGCGCACCGGGCGGTATGCGATTGTGATCGATCATGGGAAGGTCACGTATGCGGAGATTGAGACGAAGAAGGGGGCTGTTGAGGTATGTTTTTCTCTCTCTCTCTCTTTTTTTTTTTTTTTTTTTTTTTTTTTTTTTTTTTTTAAGAAATGGGGGATGTTCTGTTGTGGTTGGAGTTTGCTGACTGGGTGGATAGGTTTCCGGCGCGGATGCCGTGTTGGCTCATCTGTAAATTATTCATTGGCAGTGGGGAGATTGAAAGGCACTGTGATGTATTCAGGGATTCCAGACAGCTCGATGGACTGGGGGATTGTGGACTTGACCTGTCCTACTCATACTGAGAGTATTCCTTGGACTTTGCTTGAACGGAAAACATATCTTTCTCCAATATTCTCCACCCTTCCAAAGTCTTATCGTTTGACAGCTAGTAGCTTCCAACCACAATACTAAGTTTTATCACGCATTCCTTATTCTGTACATAAAAGTTGGAATATGAATAATAGGCCAACCCCTGGAAGAGTCCGGGCTTTGACATCGGGATCTGCTTGCTCTTCCCCAGCCTATGAGGACCCTGGGCATGGCTCCCCGTCTGAGACATTTTCCCGGCCTGTCGTGTAGATATCCGCATCCAAGAATTGGGAGTCGCGGATAGATTTAGAATCGATTTGCGGGAGCAATAACTCCCACTTCATAACTCTAATTCGAACACTACTCCGTACTCCGTACATCTTCCGTATATGCGGACGAAACAGAAAGAAAAGACGCCCCGCGTAAGCCCCGCGTAAGCAGCCAAACCCGGCATGCATACCCGGGGATAAGGATCTAGAATCCGGATTCTGCGCCTCCCCACCCGCCACATCTGCAATCTCCACCCCGGAAACGGCCAGGATCATGCAACTGAGGCCATACCACACCCCAAACCGAGCAATGGAAACGCAGAGAGAGGCACGGAACCCTGATTGGTAATACCAGCCAAGCATGTTTCCGGCGGACACTATCCCCAACACAGGCAAGTTTCCTGTGCCCCGCCGATGCGCGCTGAATAATCGTCCTTCCCCACCCCAAGCTTCTCCCGCCTTGATGTCATGCATTTCCATCATTTAAGACCCTGACGTACGCCCCCTCCACTAGAGTGTCCAGAGCTGCAAACCATCACAGCTTTCTGTTTTACCGTCAACATCAATTGATAACCCTCGTTCAAAAACCAGATCTTCTCTCGCAATGGCTCCTAAGGTCCTCGTCGTTCTTACCTCCCATGACCATCACAATGCCAACGGCAACCCTACTGGTTGGTTCCTGGTATATACGCCCTTCCCCTTCTCTCGATCGCCATCACCATCACCTTTCACCCCAAATACCCAAACACCCCACTAACATTTCAATCAACACCAGCCTGAATTCGCCCACCCCTGGGATGTCCTGCACTCCAAGGCCGAACTGGTGATCGCCTCCCCCAAGGGCGGCAAAGCTCCCCTCGACCCCTCCTCCGTGGAGATGTTCAAATCGGACCCCGTCTCCTCCAAATTCCTCAACGAGCAGGAACCCATCTGGACCAACACCGTCAAGCTCTCCGACGTGGCCTCCAAGGTCTCTGAATTCGACGCCATCTTCTACGTCGGTGGTCACGGCCGTGAGTCCCCCCCCCCCCCTCTTCTCTCATATATCCCAACCACCCATCCCCAACCACCCTCCCACAAACAAAACACACCGTGACTAACAACGCTACACAAACCAACAGCCATGTACGACCTCTACAGCGACGCCACCTCCCTCTCCCTGATCCAATCCTTCGCGGCGGCCAAGAAGCCCGTCGCGGCAGTCTGCCACGGCCCGGCCGTCTTCGTCAAGGCGACCACCCCCGCCGGCGAACCCCTGCTCGCTGGCGCCGAGGTCACCGGGTTCTCGAACACAGAGGAGGACCAGGTGCAGCTGAGCTCCATCATGCCGTTCATGCTGGAGGATGAGCTGAACCGCGTGTCGGGCGGGAAGTACGTCAAGGCGACGGAGCCCTGGGCCGAGAAGGTCGTTGTTTCGAATGTCAAGGGGCTCGGGGGGGTTATTATTACGGGCCAGAACCCGGCGAGTGCGACGGGGGTGGGGAAGGCGATTTTGGAGGCGTTGGGGCTGTGAGTACGTACTTAAAGTAAATATGAGATGTGGATGATTGTGGTGAGGGGGAGCTTAATTAATGAGTGTTTCGTGTGTTTGTTTGTGGGAAAAAATTGATGTCGGAGAGTGAAGGGGAAGTGGTACTGTATATTCACTCTCTTGCTCACATGGTGTCGGTCTTGGTATTTACAGATTGGTAATGAGATAGGATATCTGCCTTCTTTTGCCGGAAGACTTGAGTACGGAGTATTGTTTTAATCTTAGTGATTTTTTCTGTCATAAACTCCACCTGGGAATGAAAAAGGAAGGAAGTGCCATAGACAGACACACCGCGGACCCCCCCCAAATCCCATATAGGAAAGAATATATGCTTAACCACTAATCAGATTATAATCGGATTAGTGATCCTGTCAATGGCCTTGATGAACCTATCATCCGTTGGATTTCAACCGGAAACTCCGTCCCCCCGGTCCCGCACCGGAGTATCCGTTCCAGTTCCAGCGACGGACCTATACGAGGATCCTTTGTTTGTACTGATAGTCTTGACTGGAGTTCAGAGCCATAATTTCTAATCCTCTCGAACCCTAAATCGCGCATGCACTATCGCATCAACAGTCCCCATAACACGTTGCCCCACAAAAAACCACCAGCCACACTAGCTAGCTAGTACCTACCTACTAGCCAAACCCAGTAAAACTACTCAACAGAGCATCCCACTGAATATCCTCCACGGGAAACATATCGTCCAAATCGCCGTAAATAGACGGCCAGGCGGCCTGGAGCGGCGTCCCAGCACTCCTATCAACATTTGCATCAACCCCCATCATAGACGTATCCTGCCCCAAATCTCGCGACACCGCAGTTCCAACTCCAAATCCAACTCCCACAACCGCCCTGACTTGATACGGATAACACCGTGCGAGCAGCCGCATTTTCGAGCACAGACTCCCCACAATATCCATCTCTCTGTCTGCGGGGGACATTCCCCCGAATTTCGTTTCCAGTGAGGTTGCAAGCGCGGTGATGAGAGCGGGGTAGTCTGCTTCATTGACGACGGCTTGCACCTGCACCTGGGCTTCCACTGGGTCAGAGGAGCCAGTGGTGATGATATTAAGAAGAGTCATTACGGCACTGGGCATATAGCCCACCGCGGCACATATATGGGCGCTGGTAGGGATTGTGATCTGGGCGATTTCTGATGCCGGGAGGGATGTGATGGCGTGGATGAGCTCCTTGCTGTGCTGGATCATGCCCATTAGCATGGTGGTTCGGACGGGGTTGGCAGGATCGGTGGTCCATAGGTTCTCGCGGAGGGATAGTTCCTCGAGGCGGATCGCGATGAATTCGATTGAGGTGTGTACTGCGTTCGCTGCGATGATCTGTCAATTGGGACTGACAACTCGATAGATATACTTTGGATCCAAGACGTACCTGTTGAGGGAGGACAGCCGGGGAGGTCTTTCTCTACACGTTTCCTCACGATGTCGAATTGCCGCTGTAGAGAGCCGCGCGTAACTGGGACGAGTGCCATTCCACCACTTGCGTGAATCGAGGCGTAGACGTCATCGATTGTTGAGAGAAAGGACTGTAGGTGGATGAATGGCGCGATCCACCGATCGGATGGTTGTGCGGTAGATGCCAGACTCTCGATGCACTCATCGGTTCGAGCATCATGTTTCAAGGTAATCGGCCGTCCCAGTGTGCCGTAGAAACTGATCGTAGTTAGCCCAACTCGGATCTACCATTTACTATACCACCCAACGTAGACAGCCTCACCCAGCTGACAGCCAATACGTCCCAAGCAGCGCGCGCCGCTCATCCGCATTCAGACCGGCCTTTCGATGCAGCCCCAAATCATACAACATCGAAATACAAAGCTGCACCAACAGCAACAGGCGCGGGTGATATCTCTCTCCAGGATAGGAGTACCATGCACTATGAACGAGCAGACCACGGAGCAGTTCGAGATTCCTCTCAGACCGCACGACAGCCCTTAAAGTAACATGCTTCATGATCTCCTCTGCGACAGTATGGCGCAGAGTATGCGCACTGCCCATGGTCGCTGCCACGATGCACAAGAAGAGGAAGGGCTCTTGACATCTAAGACGAGCAGCCGTCTCGCCATGTGCCAACAATACGAAAGGGAAATTGTGCACAAAGTCAAGCCGGAAGGTCATCACCAAACGTTCCGCCTCTGCTGCGCTCAAAAGTCCTCGATCGACGATCGACGGCTGGCCCTGCAGAACAGAGCCAGTCGGCGGATCGAGGCCATGAGACGGGTCTTTAGCCGCATCTAGCAGGGCGGCAATGGCTGTTGAATCCGGCTCGGGATTGCGAGGTAAGCCCAAGTCATTGGTGGGCGGGTTAGAAGCAGATGTAGAAGCAGGAGCAGAAGTATCATCGGGCGGTGTCTGCCCGTTCTGTCCGGTCAAGGCAGCCAGCTGCGCCATCAGCTGGTCGACCTTCTTCTCGAGGACCTGCACACGGCTGCATCCGGAATCAGTACTACAACGAGTGTCATGTGTGTGGGGACGGAATACCCTGGTGCACCGGCAGCCCGCTGCTTCCGCTTTGTCTGCGGAAGGTCCAGGTAGGTGCATGACTTGCCCAAACGAGCGCACCGCTGGCACATGTTGACAGCCTGTGGGGTGCACTTCGCCTTGGCAGCCGTGCAGGCCACGCAGGCCCGCCTCTTGACTGCGGATATGGTGGCGTTCATGAGGTCGTATCCGGGACGGGGTGGAAAGGGAGAACGGAGCGGCCGGTGGATGTTGGATGGGTGAATGGCTGAACCCCGCAGTGGCTCCGCCAGGACCGGATCTTCCGCTCCGTCCGGTTTGTTTGTCAGCCGTGGAATGTAACTAGTTATATAAGGAAGTAAGTAGAACAAGGAAGTAAGTAGAACAAGTGTTGCAATATTCACTGGAAAATACTTTCTACCTTGACCAAAAATCAAAACCAAAAATCAAAACCAAAAATGTCTTCATACGCCATCACCGGAGCCTCCAAGGGCCTTGGTCTCGAGTTCACCCGCCAACTAGCCACCGCCAACCCAAGCAACACCGTCCTGGCCATTGTCCGAAACCCTAACTCGCGCGACATCTCCTCCCTCGCCTCGAACCACCCCAACGTGCACGTCATCAAAGGCGATGTTACAGACCCCAAGTCCATCCTCGAGGCAGCCTCCGCCGCAGCGACCATCACCGGCGGTAAACTCGACGTGCTGATCCACAACTCCAACGCCGTCGACATGGCCACCATGGCCTCCAACCCAACCCAGCTTCCATTCGACGCTGAAGCCATGCATGCGACTTTCGAGCCAGCACTTAGTACGGCGATCTATGGCGGTATCTGGACGACAAACGCCTTCCTCCCTCTCATTGAGAAGGGCGTCCAGAAGAAGATCGTGCATATTTCCAGCGGCATGGCAGATCTGGATTTCATCCGGAAAGCCGGGTCGAGTGATGCTGTCCCGTACTCTATCGCGAAGGCCGGGATAAATATCCAGGTCGCCAAGTATGCGGCGGAGCTTGCGCCGAAGGGGATCAAGGTGTTGGCGTTGAGCCCCGGTTGGGTGGATACGTGGGAGGGTAAGTGATTCTCTGATCTTGAGTTGCCGTGGTGGTGGTGATGGATGTGATGCTAATGTTCTTATAGGAGAGAAGCCCGAACCTGTGGTTCAAGCGATTGATTTCATGCTGAAGCAGTTTCAGGCGGCGGAGCCGGACCTGAAGGGGCAGATTCAGCCGGAGGAGAGTGTTAGGAAGTGTCTCCGGGTCATTGAGAGCCTGGATGTTGGGACTAGCGGCTTGTTTTTGAGCCATAATGGGGATCAGAAGAGGTGGTTCTGAGTGCGCTGGAGGTTGATGCGTTGTATCAGAGGGTGTATTAAGCTTATATAGTTGTTAATTGACCGGATACCTGACAAAGCATGGCGAGGAATATCTAGTACAAGGATAGGATCATGGCCCAGCCTCTCAACGAGTAGTAGAACAATCTTCTACCAATTGAAAGAAGCCTCTTCTTAGATACCTTATCCGCAGGCAGGCAGGCAGTAACCAGGGTCAGGAAGCATGTATTCCCGCTACATGGTGTAATGAGAATTCTCATCCTGTCGCTTTCTCAGCTCCAGCACATACTCCACAACCTCAGGTGCACTTTTGCCCATATCGCCCCTCGCTGCAATAATCACATTATCCGATATCACAAGGTGTTCCCGTTGATACTCATACAGAAGTTGGAGGCTTTCAAGTCCCGAATGGGGATTCTTGGCCGCTGCCATGAGCACGTTCTCTGATACAGGCACGAGGGACATCTTCCAAGACTAGTATCATCTCATCCCACATCCTTTGCCTTTTTTAGCTCCGCTCGTCATTTTCGGTCGATGATATCGAAGTGTCTGCGGGCGGTAGAATAGACGGACGGCTGTTGTCCGGGTCCTGTCGAGCCATTCCCCAGTCCCAGACCATAGTTAGGTCGCGCAAACAATCTCCATACAAATTCCTGTCATAACCATTACCTTTCTCTATGAATCCCGGTACTGCTCGGATCATGTTTACCTGAAAATATCCCCCCCTGATGATTCGGATAATGCTTGGTTTGCTCAGCCCTTCAAGAAGACAGACCACGTCATTTCTTTCGATGGGTATGGTCGACTTTGGAAGTACCCAGCTGGAATCATATTTCAAGGGCAGTTGACGTGTCTTAGGTGTGGCTTGAAAAATAATGTCCACATGTTGTCATTTGAGCTAAGGCTCGTGTTCCACCTTTTCCACGCTGCCCACAATATATATCCTTTACATCTGATGACTGCTGTCTGCTGATCATCCCTACATATACATGCTAGGGCCGGCTAGTAAGTCCGTACGAGGCAAGTGGGAAATCCAACCATAAACAAAATATTTTAAGGGTGTATAAGCAAGACAATACGAACGAGTGTAGTTGTAGCATGACCAATACCGATACTGTGTTTATGTCGCCGTCCTCAATCTATTAATACATACAGGCTACGCACGCTCCTCAAGAGACAAACTATCATACAGTTTACGACCCAAATCACAAAACAACCCCCCCCCCCCCCACCCCCTACCCCCACCCCTCAACTACAACCCCTTCAATCCTTCTCCCCCATCTCCGCCTGCACCTCCAGACTATACTTCGCGAACCGACTCTGCGAACGAATCCTCTCCCCATAGAGCAAAAACAACACCGGCACGATACAAAAAACCGTCGCCAGCGCGGCCAGCACCGACGCAGCGACATTGGCTCCCAACCCATCAAACATCTGTCTCGTGAACAGCGGAAACGAGCCCGACAGGACTGCCCTGAGCAACTGCACCGCTGCCGTCCCACTCGCCGCATAACTCAGATAACTATCAGACAGATACCCATACAGCACCGTATCAAACTCATTCAAGGCATATCCGACCAGAGCGAGCGAGATGGTCGGCACCATCCACGACACATCTTCGACGCGGGGCGGGATCGTCCACGCGAACCACCACAGCCCCACCGCGAAGATCGGCGCCCCGATCGCAAGACCGATAAGTTTATCTTCCGGCTTGACAGGCTGAGAGGCAGCGTGTCTGGAATCGAGGATCCGGAAGTCGAGGATCCGGGTGAGGGTGCTGAAAACGACGCCCACGCCGATGGCCAGGAATGGGAGGGAGGCGTGTGAGGGCGTGAAGCCCATGGATTCGTAGATTGGTTGCAGAGCCTCGGTGAAGATGTAGATCAGCGCGAAGGAAAAGGCAATCATCATGGCGATGGTGAAGATGAGCAGTTCCCCGAAGAAGAGCTGCAGGGGCCGGAAGAGCGAGACTTTGGCGAAGGTCCGGAAGTCCGGCGTGTGGTCGTGGTTTAGGGCTTGGAGGCTGTCGTGCCCGGTTTCTTGGCGGATGCGGGTTACTTCGTTTTCGAGCAGCAGGGAGGGACGCGATTCCCGGATGAGGAGGAAGAGGGTGCTTAGTACGCAGAGGATGATCGTGTAGATGTAGAAGACCCAGCGCCTGGTGTGGTTAGTGGGGGTTGCTGTGGGGTTGATTCTAGGTTGGAGTAGGGAGTGGGGAGGGGAGGGGTACCAGGAGAGATTTTCGATGATAGCGATGCTGGTGATGGGTCCGAAGATCAACCCGATGTTGGATGCGATGGTCCAGAAGAAGATGGTCCAGATGCGGTCTCGGATGTCAAACATATCTTCATTGCTGCCGCTGCCGACGGTGTAGGGGATTGCGCTGAAGAAGCCGCCTGCGATGCGGCAGATGATGACGGCGGAGAGGGAATGCACGACCCCGATGATCAGACAGAAGAGAGCACTCGCTGCGCTGCTGATGATATAGAGCTTCTTGCGGCCAAAGGACTCGGAGCAGGGAGGGAAGACGATAGCCCCGACCACCTGTCCGAGGAGGAATCTGGGCAGTTAGCATGCGGACAGTCTGAGCAGGGGGAGACATACAGGGTCACGAAGCAGAAGGTCGACAGCGTCGTCCCAATTTCAAACTCATGTTGGGCCGCTGTCGCGGCGGATGCCTGCAACGGTCAGAAAGGGTGGTTGATTCGCAGACTGCGAGACATACTCCGGCTGTACTAGTAGCAGTGCTGGGAATTGTCAGTAGTTTCTCAGCCATGAGGACAGTGGGACGTACACAATCAGATCCAGCATAAAAATCAACCCGATATCGAACACCTTGCGGGTTGTGCTCCAGTTGCGAGGATGTTTTTTGTTGTCCTTCCCCCATCGCACGAACTGTCCGTCGTTCGTGAACTCCAGATCATTCTTGAGCAGATACTCATCCAGCGCGGTGGTCGCGACAAGGACTTCCTTCATGTTGTCGGCTGAGCGGTTCTCCAGTCAGTCAGTCTCTGTGGATCTGATTGCGAGGAGCGAGAGGTCGTCGTCGGAACAAGACTTGCAAACATCAAATATCATGGTCCGGGTCGGTCGGTCGACAGAGATTGTCGTCGCACGCTCCGCGGTCTCTCGCAGATCCTGACCGACCCCCCTGTGCGGTGGTGGAGTGGAGTGTCCTGCAGACGTAACGACTAGACTACCTAGGTCCCTGGCATGGTGTGTGATAGAGATGATCGCCTACATGTCACGCGTCTGGGTACTCATTCTGGGGAGGATCGTCGAAGCCCGGCAGATGTCCTGCGTATGTTGCGTATATTTTGTGCAGATAACCTGCAATGACCCTGCATGGAGGGGAGCTTGTGTGGGTCTGTGGGGTCAATCAAGGGATGAGGCCTGACCGGTAGACAGGTATGTGCGTGGGTCAAGGGGATGGTGATGTAGCCCCGAGGGAGCGAATCGAGGTGCTGATACGAAGCGGTCCTTTAATTAACCATACACTGAGATTGAATGTTGTGTTGGGGTATTTTGAAGAAGGATGTTGTGGCTTTGGAAGGGAAAAAGAAAGAATGGTGGCCGCTGGAACCTGGAAATAACGGCCGTGCAGACGGAGTGCATGTCGACGATGTTCCTATGGAGCATTCCTGCTTCGTACCCAGTCCAGGGTATCCCTTCCCAGTTGTCCAGAGTAGTGGCGACAGACGCAAGGGGAGTGTGGTGGGCATGACAAAAGTCCACGTAGAAGATTCCTTCCCAACCTTGCTGGAATCCATGCATTGGCCTTATCAGCGAGAAGGGTTGCCTGGTGAAGTAGTGGTGTCTTTCTAGGGGATATTGCTCCCAGTCCTAGTGATTTACCGCCATCTCGCAAAGGGGGTGTATTCGCTGCATGGACTGATATGGGAGTGTAAAGCTCTGATAATATACCCGAGAGTCTTGTGGTCTCGGGAGTAAATATAAGTGACCGTCAAGAAGATGTAAAGCGAAGAGAAAGATAATCTTGGAAACTGGACTCGTGGAGCATCGGAACAGCTCCCGTGGCCGGTGACTTCCCCTCAGGGTGCGATTCACTTTCGATCTCCATTCTCTGGGAAATAATCCTGATTGATTGAGCCGATTCCCTGAATGGGCGTCATACTGGCCCAATGAGGCTGTCGGGTTTGCCAATCCATCCGATCAACTCGATGTATGTGAATGAATCTTATGATTACCAGATGATGTAGTCACAAACCAAGCCACGTCCTGGAGCAGAACATTGAAAAACAAATTAAGATGCAATGGAGGCAATGAACCAATCCTTTACAGCTCACATATGGACTTGTAATTGCGTGTCAGTATTATTCACAACCAAGAGGCCCAAGCAGTTGTATAGACTGCAAATGGCAGAGCAAGCCCCCGCATGACCACCTCCAACCCTTGTATCAACTTTCGTCCCTACCAACAACACCCATCCCTCCTTCCCATCTCTAACAGTAAATCAACGTCACTACAGAATTGCACCATCCTGGGCCAGTGCCAATTTCGGATAATGACCCCCAAGGTTAAGCACGAACACGTTCCTCTGACGCGCGTCAATCGTAAAAGCCACCCTATGCTCCTGGCTCAGCCGGATGGTATACACATCCTTCAGCCTCCCGCTCAGCCTTTCGAAGTGCAAGTCTCCGCCCATTGTCCTGACAGCCTCAGAGGGATGTGAGCCGGCCTTCACAAGATCCCGGAATTCGTAGTATGTGTTCAGATGTGTCTGTTGCAGGGAGGAACGGTCGATGCCTCTGAGGACACGCGCATCATCCCACGTCCAGGCCAGCCGTTCGACGACCGTCTGCGTGGTCTTTTTGGCAGCCTTCTTCCCTGCCGGGGCCCCTCCCCTCAGGCCCAGCACGGGCAGCCCCTTCCGCAGCCTCTCCAGCACCCATTCGGGCACTTGGACAGCCCCGTGGGTCGTCGCCGCGGTGGCCCTGCCCGCGGCTGTCTCGGTGATGGCAGCCACCGGGGTGCGGAGGGCTCCTCGAATGACCCCCGGGGCCTCCCGTCCGATATACCGCACCGCGGCCTTCCCTGCGTACGCGAGTCCCCTGCCCAGCAGCTCGCCTCCAACTCCCCCGATCAACCCGAACAGGGCATCCGTGCCCACGCTTCCCCAGGTGGGGGCCTTTCCGCTCGCGACATCATATATCGCGCCGGTGACCACATCCGAGGCGACACCCGCCGCGATGCCGATGCCAATGCCTATGGCCACGCCGACTCCCGCGGTGAGAACCCCCACCGTGATGCCCACCACGACACCCACCACCCCCAGCACCAGGTCCCTCCAACTGAAATGCCCATTCGGGTCTGCGCGATTGATCGGATCGCCCAGGCAGTACGCGTAGGGATTGATCTCCCCAGAGGTAAACGGGGCCCACGAGTCGGGACTATGGAAGAGCTTCAGCCGCGGGTTGTACACGCGGTACCCGTTGCCGAGATGATACCACCCGGTGACGGGGTCTCGCCACTGGCCGGTGAAGCCGATCGCCGTGCTGCCCGAGCTGAAGCCATACGGGGTGTATTGCTGGTGGTGGGCCTCGCCGTTCTCCAGCCAGCTGGAGACGGACTTCTGGGCGTCGGAGGCCCAGAGCTGACTCTTCGTTGAGCCGCCATCCCGGGTCACTTCACCCCAGTACTGACCTCCATCGGCGGAGAAGCTGGTTTGCTTGGTTCCGTTGGTCACTGCGATGAGGATATTGTCGCGGTAGGAGAGGGTGGTGTCGGGTTGGTTCGGGATCTTTTGGCTCATGAGTCGACCGACTGCGTCGTATACGTACTCGCAGACTTTCTGGCCCTGGTTGTATACGGCGGCGAGGCGGCTCGAGGCGTCGTAGACGAGGGTCCGTCCTTGCTCGTCGCGGGTTAGGCAGCCGTTGGCGTCGTATTCGAGGTTGATTGTCGGGGTGTCTTGTGGATGGGTGTTGGTGATGCGGATGAGCTGGGTCGGGTCGGAGGGGCTGTAGGTGTAGCTTGCAATGTTATCACTGCCGTCTGCGAAGGCAGTCCGGGTCTGTGTGAAGCTATCATAGGAGTTAAAGGCAAATCCCTGGCGTCTGATGGAGCGGCCCTGCTCGTCGACCGGTGGTTGAGTGCCTTGGCATTGATAGTCGGTTAGACGGTTCAGATTGTCGTACTGGAAGCTCTCCAACCGAATGGTAATCCCATCCCCGTCTGTGCAGTCTCGCGCAGTAACCAGACCCGTGTCGCTGTACGACTGGACGGTTTGGTACAACGTCTTTCCACCTTGTTGGACCACGCGGCGGATCTCTCGGCCAAATTCATCGTAGGCGGTGTCGGTGGTGAGGATCGAACCCTGCGTGCCATCTTGGACGACGCTCTTGGTTACGCGGTCCGACAGGTCGTAGCCCAGTGTGGTTTTGAGCGTGCCGAGGGTGATCTCTTGCGGTCGACCGTATGGGTCGTACTGGATGGTATGCTGCTGGCCATGGACGTCGGTGTATTTCTGAAGTCGCCCGGCCTGGGAATAGACATACTGCGCCGAGTTTGTCGAGGGTGTTGCTTCGTTGGTCTCGTGGGAGAGGAGACGGGATGGGTAGTAACCCAGGTCAGTGGTCATGGACGAATTAGCCATGCGGAGGAGATCCGCTGTCTGCTTGTCGTACTGATATGAGCTTGTCGCATCGGTCGTGACCCGACTGGTCAAGGAAAAGTCCAACGCGGGCTCATGCGTGAGCTGGGACTGGCCTCCCTTGGGACTCGTGACGAGGGATGGGACCGGGGCGACGCCGGCATAGGCGTTGGTGGTGGTGCGTCCCCCGACGGTGCTTCGGATAAGGCGGTCCAATCCATCGAATGTCTGCGTGCTGAACCCTGATGACCCCTTGAGATTGATAGCTACGGGTAGAGCAGCAGTACTTTGGGCTGCGTACTGGGTGGTTGTGGCATGGCCGTCGGGCCAGGTCGTCTGGATCACGCGGTCGAAGCTGTCGTAGGTATACTGGGTGACATGACCAGAATTGTCCTTCATCTGCATGCGCCGGCCTATGCCATCGTACGCATACTCGACCCTGGTGTAGGTCGATCCGTCGCGTTTGAGGAGTGTCTCGGAGGCCGGGGTGTCGAACGCATTCTGTTGTATCTTCGTTTGGCCTTCCCCTTCGGCACCAACAGTCTGGGTCATGGTAATGGGATCAATCGCGAAGAGATTAACTGCACCGTTGTTCTTGGTGATCCGACTGACCTGACCCCAGTCGTCGTATGTCAGGGACCGGGTACTCCGCTGCTCGGTGGGATGAGCATCTGTGCGAAGCCAGTCAATGTCCACCTCCTCGATGCATTGATCCTGGGCATTGTAGCTGCGCTCCTGGATGGCACGGAAGGTCCCTGTGTAGACACGATAGATGTCCCATGTACCATCGTCATCCTGCGCCTCAACACGGAGCAGTCGCTCGAGACCGTCGGTGAAGTACCGGGTTTGCACCCCCTTGGGATCGGTGACAGTGACAAGGCAACCGACTCCGTTGTCGAGGAGGGAATAGTCGGTCCTCTCTGTTGACGCGAAGATTGTGCCGGGAGAGGTGGTGGTCTGAGTGAGTCGACCCATATGGTCATACTGATTAGTAGTCTCGATGCCGGAGTGGTCCTTCTCCGAGAGAGTCAAGCCGGAGAACAAGGACGAAGAGATATCTTCGTGTGTTGCGTGGCCATCAAAGGTGGTCATCTTGGTGGCTTTCTTCAGCGTCGACGAGTTTGTGTACGTGTAGGTAAACTCGTGCGTCGTGACATATTGATCAAGTAGACGTGCGACCTGTCGCTGCAAACGACTGTGATCCCTTGCTTGAGGCTGGTCGATATACATGCACTCAGTGCTCGATATATTCTTGCCATCCTCAACTGTGTGCAGCTGCTGAGTGGCCACCAAGTAACTCGTCAGTGCATTAGCCGCGGCCGAGATCTTGAGATACGTATAGCGCTTGGCTCGGGTGGGGGTCTGATAGTTGCTGGCAGCTGGGGTGACGGCTTCGAGCTTGAGGTATCTCTGGAAACCGTGCGGATCCGCAGGACAGAGGACTTTGCCTGTGCCCGACTCGATTTCCCCGGCCGCAGGATAATACTCTCGCGTAGTGGTGATGCCACTCGGGTGCTTTTCCCTGGTGGGGTTGCCCCAGTTGTCGAATTCGTACTCTGTGGTCTCTGTTCGAGAGGCTCCCGTTGAAGTATCGCGATATGCTGTTTGCGCGGTCTTGGGGAGCTGGTACTGTGCCGGTTGGTTGGCAAAGGCAGTGTTGCTTAAGGCGTAGTATGCTATGGTTTGAGTTGATGCTTTCGTGCCCTGTTGCTGCTGCGTGCTGACGACCAGATGGAATTTGTTGTAGGTATACCTCGTAGTCGCTCCGCCCACAACCTGGACGGTGGAGGTATACTGGTAGCTCGCAGGCATGCGATACAGGTTGTCCTCTCCATCTCTCCAATCCAGACCACCGCCGTAGCCGAGGAAGTTGAAGTCGGAGTAGCTGTATGTCGTGACGATAGGGGGTTGGCCACCAAGAGGCCGCGCTGTGTGCGAGATCACATACGGAATGGCTTGAACAGGTGCCCCCCTGGGCAACAGGTGGCCATTCGCCTTGTACGAGATATCCTCCACGCCACCTGCAGGGTTGGTAACATTGGTCAGGCCAGAGGTCCCGTAGGTGAATTTCCAGGATGGCGAGCCAGCGAGAGGGAGACGGAGTTCCACCAGCTCACTATTGCGTTTCACCAGGGTGAATGCAGCTGACTCATTGGTGCCGGGGGCCTGTGTGATGGTGACTGCTGCATCCGTGTAGTCGATCGTCACCAGGTCCTGGGAATCCTCCTGGACCTTGCTCAGACGCGGCTGGTCGCCTGAACGGACCCAGACGAGCTTCAAAGAGCGACCATTCGTCCCGTATATATCGGTCGTCACGGTGGTGTTGAAGACATTGTTTCCGTTGGTCAGAACCTCAATCAGACCCGACTTGTGCGTGATTTGATAGTTCGAGGTGCTTTTTTTCTGAAACACAAAGTTCTGCAGCTTTTGGTCGTTCACTATCACGGCGCTCGCTGATTCAGTGACGTGGTAATTCTCGCCGGTTGAGAGGGAAAGGGTTTTGGCGTTACGGTGGTCATAGGAGGAGAGGATGAAGGACCACCCTCTGCCGAGTCCGATGTCGTTGCCGTTCAAGGGATTGTAGTGCAGGACCAGTTTAAAGGGTGGACAATTGCGGACACTGGAAGGAACCTCATAGAGGGCAATGGCGCAAGTGTACTGGCCTGTACGAGGGTCGACGCCTTTCTCGACGTAGGCGTCGAAGTTGAAGCCTTGGGAGTAGATCATGATTGCGCTGTAGAGTTCTCATACGAGAGAAGCCGATGAAAACGATGTCTGAGTGCTGGGTCTACGTTCCTGTTCACTCGGGGGTTTATATTCCCATTTCTTTGTCTCGGGCCTTATTTCACCGGGGCAACAGGACTTTCCACCCTTGGATGGAGGGGTTCAAACACCCTCATCTTGATCCGATCGTCCGTCTCGGAGGACTCTGTCGTCCAATGCACCTCGATGCTCGATTCGATTAGTCCAAAGAAGAGGGGTTTCTGGGATCTGACGGGTGGCGAAGAGCATTCCCCTCGCTTTCCCCCAGCTTTTGGCGGACTGAAAATGTAAACGCACGTCTGAGGCGAATGGAGGCTGGAATCGAGGGCTACCTTCCGCATTCGACGCGCCAAATGCTAAATGTACGCTTATCCAAGCCCAGGATACCTCATCTTCACGTACGCCGAGCTGAAAGACAACTGACGAGGTAGTAATGGGTCTGCGTGACCGGCGATGCCCGAGGCATAGCTCCCGTGCTCAGAGCAATCACAGTTCGTCGAGAGCATTTCGGGAGGAGGTTGATGTAGCTATTGGTAGCTTGAATATGCAGGATAGTCCGGGCTGGGGTAGTCTGGACTGGATCTGCTTAACCCAATCTGTGTGTTCGTGCATCAGTTATGTACCTCGCAAGAGGCGGATCTGCTCATTCACTAGGGCTTTCTGCCCACCGACGTAGGGAATGGCGTCAGTGGGTCCCACTTCCCCAGCAAGTCAGCTAGCCACCCCTCATCACGAGATTTGCTGTTTGCTATGGTCGAGGATAGAGGCATTTGGATAAATCAAACTGGATTAGTGACAGTGAAAATAGCAATACCCCTCACAAGGAAGGAGGAATATTGCCACACTGACTGGGGTTGGAATCAGCTCGTGTGGGCCCGACAGGCGGGAGCATCCATCCGTCCTCCCATTTGCCTCCGCTCATGCAAGTGTAAATTACAAGCTGAAGAACCTGCGCAACGCCCGACGGGAGTGTGATTGAACTAATGCGAGCGACAATAGGCGCTAGACTACTCCGTACCATCTTCCAAAGTACTGTTGCCACCCGGTCGGTCCGTGCCCTTCCAGGATGGAAAAGAGAAGCGCTTCCAATCACAGATCCAGCCGCACCCTGCAGGATGCGGGTCCATATCGACAACTATTATACTTACCCCTCTTCGGGGCACTCGACGTACACATCCAGGCAGGAGTCATGGGCTGGCTGAGCTGAAGGTGGCAGCCATCCTACCATTCGCCATGGGTTGCGACGAGCAAAGGGCAGGTTGCCCGAGCCAGAGTATCGCATCACTTCCTAGAGGACTGTGCAGGAGGACGGTCATAGTGAAGAAGCGACCCAAGCAGTTCGTCTGCTCAAGCCCGCGGGGGGGATATAAATGTCCCTTTGAACCGCCCCGAAAATAAACCATCAAGCCTTTCAATCGACTACATTTCGTCTCTCAATCCATCTTTGACAATCCCCCAATCCGTCATCCATCATCCACAATGTCGACCAGATGGGAAGTGACCTCGTTCTCCGTCCAGACAAGCACTGCGGACGGTCGGTCGGACGCTCTCTATGCCAATGGCAGGATGCAAGTTCCTGTCATTGTTGTCATCAGAGCGGTTACCGAAGGGACTTTCAGCCCGTACCAGTTGACCACCGCGGAGCTCCAGAGGATCCTCCTGGTTGACTACCATAATACCGCGAGTGAAATTACTGGGGACTGGTTCTATTCCCGCATCGAGAACGAGTTTGCGCACACCCTGACCGGTGGGAGAGACCCAGCACAGCCCATCCTCGAGCCTGGAGCACAAGCTGTCTTCCTATGGGTCTCGACCACCAGGATCGCAAATAGAAACATCGGGGCGCGAATCACCCAGCCGAATGGGACAATTATTACCACGAACAGCTCCAGCTTCAACTCCCAAGTGACACTCACCGGCATGACACCCTTGTCCTACAATACGAACAACGTCAGCATTCGACGTGAGGATACGGAGGAAGGAACCTGGAGATTTGATATCGTCTCCTCGGGGACGGTAGTCTCAAGCAGTGCAAACCGCTGGGACCAAGACAACTACTACATCACCCTAGACAATCACCAGGTTCTGCTGAAAGCCGACGTCTATGGCTACGATGCGACTGGAAGTCAGAATGGCGTGCATAGTGACCCTCGCTTGGCGAACTCTTTTGCCTACTACAGCGAAGCGAACATGAACCTCTCGATATTCTATTTCTGGCCGGTTGGTCCAGAAGCCACCAAAGCAGTCGGCGCCTATCGGGAATTAAACTGGACTAGCTCCTATAAGTTTGTCGCCAATGCATTCGCCAGTATCAGGGTCAACCAGACGAGAAATGCACTGTGTCTTACGCGCATGCTGTTCGTTGGCGGCAGCAATGCTCTGTGGGGTCAGGAATGGTCGATGGACACGTGGTTCAGGCTCTATGACCAGTTTGGTAACAGCGGCGACTTTGCGCCAGTTATCCACAGCAAGAACACCCTTTCCCTGGAGAACAGGAATATGAGGTCCGAGGGCGCCAGATCAGAGGCTAAGCTGTAGGGCCAGCAGACATGCTTACTGATATGTATTTGCGAGCCCTTTTTATGCCAATCCTTGACTCGATGAACGGGCCTGATCTCGTCTGATGGAATCCTGAGTGTTCAACCGCTAGGGAATCGTCTCTGCGATTAACAGTGTGGAGAGATCAAGACGATCAAGCCTAGCCACTTGAATGGCCGGTTGTGAATTACCAGAGTTGAATGCAGTTCAATATCATAGTTTCTAAACCCGAGATCATAAGGCCAGTAGAAGTATTCATTCCCTCGTATGTTCAGGCCAGGTATATCCCTCCTTCTCCGAGGGTTTACGACTGTACTTTCCTGCGTTGGGCTATGGTATGAATTTCCTCCCCGCCATGCTCCCTCCGCACAGGCATAAAAACCTCCCGCCCTGCAAATGTACAATGCCGATTGCCCTCTGCATTCCTGGCCATCCTGGTTGTTATCTTGCAGGAAATGCCAGCCCCGATCCCTTCGATATATTGCAACAATACCGCCTTTCAAGAGATAAAATGAACTTCTCACGAGCATTCCCATGAACATTTCATACTTGATGCAACATCCAGCATTCGCAGTACCCAATTCCAAGTTGACTCTACGCAGGAATCAAAGATACCGAAACGAGGCTCCCCGGAATCAATCCAAGAACGCATATCCCTCCCTCCCGGGAATTGATCACGAATTCTCCTCACCGAACGCCATAACTCCATACCTCAAAGGCTGAGCTTCTATCGCGATTATCAATTTGCCATTTATCATTCCAATGGCCGTCACACACCTCATAGTGAACCAAATGACATGACCAAATGTTCAATAGATCTCGACCATCACAAACAGAATCAGTATCACCCATCACCAACGAAGACCCAAACACTCACCTCAATTCATTCAAGTTTCAACCAACTATCCCATCTACCACCTCCCACCCCCGCGCCCCCCTCCAGGCCCCCAAACCCGCCACCCGGACCACCCCCACCACGACCACCATGATGATGATGATGATGCCCACCAAACCCACCACCAGGGGGTCCGCCGAACCCCCCACCGGGCCCCCGAACCCACCCCCGGGCGGCCCACCCCCGCCATGGTGATGTCTCCCCGGCCCTCCAAACGTATTCATGGGCATTCCGCCGCCGCCCCAACCACCCCCGCCGGGAGGATAGTGTCGACGGTGATGGCCCATGGAGAAGCATGAGCCCATTTTCGATGATTTTATCGCGAACCTCGAACTTTAGAGTTCGGTTGAAGGGGGGTGATCGTGGAATTTGCGAAGGCGGGAATTGTGGATCAAGATTGCAGCTGTGATAGAAGTATGTGTAGAATCCGTGGACTGTGTGGAAGGTAGGGAGATGTGAAAAATGGGTGAAGTGGATGGAATCAAATGAATAGTGAATGGTGCGAGTGCTGGGAGCTATATACAGAAAAGAAAAAAATCCGGGGATCAAGTCATGGCGTCATGAACCGGGCCGTGACGTCAGCGAACAGAAAAAACCCCCTTGACTTGACCCCAGCACCCCCCCCCCTGGGAACTGGGAAAAAAATAAGCATAAATGTTAAGTGTGACCCTTGTATCTTAGTCCAAGGTTGAAAAGTAAAAGAATGAAAAAAAAAAATTTAAAATAAAATAAAATCAACCCCGCTAGCCAACAATCTATCCAAATAACGGTAACCCTAAATCTCATCTAATAATGATACACAAACTCCACCTCCCCATCACCCGTCCTCACTCTCCGCTCATCCACCCTCTCCCCGGCAATAATCTCCTCCTTGACGCGATTCTCGCGCTTCAAGTACACCGCATGCGCAACAACGACCCCCTGCGCGACGACCAGCGCGCCCAGCGAGAACGCATTCCCGAGGACATACGGCGAGGAGCGATAGATCTGGCCCGAGACGATACCGGCGCAGTTGCCGACGGTCTGCTGCAGGCCGATGGCCAGGGCGCGACGGTACTGCGGTGCGACGTTGACGTTCAGCCAGGTGAGGTTCAGGCCGACGGAGGTGTACACGGCGATGCCGCAGAGGAAGGTGGCGAAGTATTTGACGCTGTTGTTAGTGGTGGCCAGGAGGAGGATGTAGCCGATTATTCCGAAGATGTTGGCGGCTAGGATGAACTGTTCATCACAAGTATTAGCCTCAATTACATTTACCATTTTACATTCATATGACGTGCAAGATGGGGAGTAGGGAGTGGGAATGGAATGGATGGATGTTAGAGGAATAGAAGGGGAGAGGAGACGGGACATACGCTCGAAAACCGCGAGTACCGATCCGCCGCAAAGGCCACCGCAATAAACACGACCGCCGCCCAGATATACACCGGGACCGTGAGCACATTGCTCATCAGACTATCATACCCTAAGCTCTCGAGGATAGTGGGCAGGAAGGTGCTGAACCCGTAGAGCAGAATATCCTGACAGAACTGGGTCAGCGCGCTGAAGAGCAGCTTGGGGTCGCGCAGGGCGAGGCGCATCTCGTCCCAGCTGAAGTGCTCGCTGCCCATGTATTTGGCGCGCTGGGCGTTGCGCACGCGCATCATGTGTTTCTCGTCCGGGGTGAGGAAGTACGCGTTGCTGGGGTCGTTGGGGAGGCCGAACCAGATCAGGATTGCGATGATCAGGCTGAACAGGCCTTCGATTATGTAGACCCATCTTTGGTATCATCGTTAGTTTGAGGGTAGAGATTGCATTGGGGGGAAACGGAGAGGGATGGTACTATACATACCTCCAACCAGCCTTCCCGCCGATGCCGTCCATCTGGAGTAATCCGTACGCCAGCAGGCCTCCCACGGCTCCGGAGATGGCCGCGCAGCTCATCAGGTACGAGACGCGCCTGGCCTGCTCCTCGCGACGATACACCATCGTCAGGTAGAGGTTCAGACAGGGGAAGAGCCCGGCCTCGCAGGCGCCGAGGATCAGACGGGTCGCGTACAGCGAGGCGACGTTGTGAATAAATCCGGTGAACACTGTAGTCATAGACCAGATGATACACAGCCCGGTGAGAATGTTCCGCGGGGTCAGCTTCTTCATCGCCACAGCCCAGGGGGCTTCTAGCAGCACGTAGGTCGCGTAGAAGATGGACACGGCGGTGGAGTACTCGCCGTCCGAGGCACCGATGTCTTTCGGCATGCCGGCGACTTTGACGTTTCCTGCGTTCTGTCAGAAGCTGTACAGCATTCGGTGTAGTGCAGAGCAGGGGATGTACCAATGTTACTCCGATCCAGAAAACAAGACAGATACGTCAACATGATGATCGGCACGAAAGCCATATCCAGCTTCATGAGCAGCTTCGCCTCCTTGGCGGGGTCGAGCTGGACATCTTCGATCTCGCCGAGGGCGGTTTCCTCCAGGACTTTGGCGTCCGTCGACTTGCGGAGCGAGTCTTTCCGCTCGAGGGAGAGGTCCTGCTGCTCGGTGGTCATGGTGTATGTAGTTGGTGGTGATGCGGGCTGCCAAAGGAGGGCAATCCGGGGTTAAGAACCAGCCAAACCACCTGCCAGACCACCGTCCAGTCTCAGCCCACCAGGCTTGATAACCCTCCATCCAGCCATGCTATCTCCCAGAGTGCCGCAGCGCCAATCACACGGACGTCCAGCTGCCGAATGGACCCCATCGGCCCGAAGCCCTGATAAGCGACGGGGTTAGCCCCGGTTGGTATCTCGACGAGGCAGCCTCATTGGGCGTGGGCGCTCTTATCAGGGGCCGGGTTGGAGCATTTGGAGCATTTGGAGCAACTGATCCCCGCATATCGGAGGCGTTTGCCGATCAAAACATGGGGTAGAAACTGATACTGAGACTGATAACTGGCGTTGGGATAGGATATCTATCTGTATCTGATTATCCGGGTGGGCTGTTACATATGGAATCTGATAACCGGGCCATCACCATCTATATCGATACATAGCCCTACCTAACATGGTCCTATAGTTCACCACCACCACCACCACCACCACCATGGCAGAACCATCAAACCCAACCGCAATGCCAACAACAGCCTCCGTAACAATGACACAGACAGAAAGTCACCAAACTCGCCCCCTCAGCCGCTCCAACACCATAACCAACACATCCGGCCTCTCCCCCTCGACCCTACAAGCCAACCTGCTCATCCTCCCCGCCCGCCACAGCACCGACTTCCACCACCTCTGTCTGCGCAACCCCGTCGCCTGCCCCCCTCCTCGGCATCACCCGCACCTAATCTCGCCAGCCCCCTGCATCCAAACGCCCGACTTCGACGTCCGCACCGATTGTCCCCGGTATCGCGTCTAAAGACACGGAAAATGTATTGAGAAGGGGAGGGACGATTTGTTGGATTTGTGGCCTGATTCATCTCCTCCCTTCAATGGTGAACAACAACAACAACATGACCATGACCATGAAACGCATACTTATAATGATAATTATGATTATTTCGCCTTCCGAAGGACGTGGAACGGGTGGGGGAACTCACGCGACCGTATCGGGCGACGTATGGCGAGCCGGTCGATTGGGGGTGGGGGACGCTACAGAGGTTGGGGATTCGGGATATCAATACGCCTGATTTTGGGGACGCGCAGGTAGGGAGGGAGGGGGAGGTGCCGATTTTTTGGGTATGTTTTTCTTTTTCTTTCTTTCTTTCTTTCTGTTTATTTTGTTGGATTTGTTGGGTTGGTTGTAGATGGGAGGGTTGGGGTTGGAAGTGTGAATGACGGCTAATGAATTGAAGGCGTGTGGGGTGACGCCGCAGATGGCGGTCGAGGCGGCGGGGGGAGAAGATCCAGGGGTTGGTGTTTGCGCATGAGCCGGGCCATATGTTGGTGACGGATTGGAGGGTGGAGGGTTTGGAGAGGTTGAAGAGGGGATTGGGCGTTTTTGAGAACTGACGGGAATAAACGGCGTTTTTGTCTATCTCTGGATATCTCTCAGCCTGTGTCTCTCTGTGCCCCGGTCTGTCTCTGCTCCTGTCTTTCTCTCTGTCTCTCTCTCTGTCTAAGTGAGTGAGTGAGAGAGTAAGTGAGTCTGTGTCTACACTCAAAAACAATCCTTCATGACACTCGACAACTCCTCCCCATAATCCACCTGCCCCGGTCGTCCCGTCCAAGCAGGATCAAACCCCTGCGGCGCCATACCCATGATCTGAGTCTCCAGATTCCCGACGGCCTCGAACCACTCCATCAACTCGCGGGTCATCTGGGCGCCATCCAGCGGCGACTGTTCCTGGCCCAACGACTGCGCGGGATCCACAATGCCCGTGACGGTATCGCTCTCCGTCGGGACCGAGACGTGTTCCGGCTCGGGCTGACGATGCATGAGCTGCGGACCGAGCTGGCGTAGACTGCGAATCGACTTCCACAGGCGGAGCGAAATATACGACCTGGTCGAAAAGCCCTTGATCAGCTCCAAGGCCATGTAGAACTCCTCCTTGCACTGGGTGCTGAAGGGGCCCGGGGCCTGGGTGACAGCCAGGAAGACGACGGCGACGGCGGACACGAGGAACCAGTTGAAGGTGATCTGCTGGAGGCGGTAGATGTCTGTTGTTTCGTTGAGGCGGGTGATGAAGCGGATGGCTTCCTTGGCGAGGTCGACGACGGTCTGGGAGTCGGACGGGTAGCGCGCGATGTGTCCGGCCGAGTGGAGGACGGGGCGATGGATGAGCATGCGCAGTTGGATGGCGCGGAGGTATAGGAGGGCGCGGAGGCGACGAAGACTGCGCGGGGCGGGTTCGACGGAGCGCGATTCCAGGCGCAGCACGTCGGGGATGTCGCTGGTCCAGCGCTGCACTTGCCAGTCGAGGTAGTTCATCTCGTCCTTCTTGATCTCGTTGGTGTTGTTGAAGGCCGTGATGAACTTCCACACCTTGGCGGCGATGCGACTGTACCGGATCATCACGCGCAGGTAGGGCGTTTTCTCCTCCGGCTCGGGCAGCCACGGGTCGATGTCGGTGTCTTCGAGCGAGAAGGGCATCCCTGTGCCGAAGCTCCATCGGATGTCGAGGATGTAGATCGACCAGAACAGCCGCAGCACGCGGTCTCTCCCTGCTGCCACGATGCCCGGCTGCGTGAGGGTTTCCCGTCGGTGCAGCCCTCGTTCGAGACACATCCGCTCCACGATGCCGATCGTCCGCCACGCCAGCGTCTCCTCGTCGATCTGGAAGTAGAATATCGCCTGTCGCCGTCTGGATCAGCTGCTCTGTCCGAGTTGGTTTATCCTCCCACCCCCATCAGCGGGATACTCACCACCAAGGTCAGAAAGATAATACTCTTGATCTCCGCCGTCCCCCAGACACAATTATCCGCCACCTCGCGCACGCTCTCGAACAGCCCCATCGCCAACTCACTACTGCCCCCTGCCTCTGCCGTCAAGGCACACGCCAGGACCAGTCGCAGGATATGCACATCATCGCGCTCGACCCCTCCCCGTCCCCCAGCCCCAAAACCACCCCCCGTCTGATCGCCAAACAACCCCTCCACCCAGCCCAACAACTCCCTCAGCTCCAGAACGGGATACATCACGCCCATCTCCTCCTCGTACACCCGACACAGGCGTAACGCCTCCGCCTTCCCAATCCCCCACAGTGGATCACCCGCCCCTCCCTCGCGGTGCACCGACGCCGGCCCCCGGGTGAAACCCTCATCGTCATCATCCTGCTCCTGCTCCTGCGCCTGCTCGTGGTCATGCTCCGCCTCCACGATCCCCCGTCTGCGGAGACTCGACCTGGCCAGATCGAGACTATAGGCCGAGGTGGTGGGGCCCTGAAAGGCAGCCGATCTGGACCCTGCCGGGCGGCGGACCGGGCGATCGCCGCTTCCGCGGGAGGTGCTGCCGCTCATGCTCATGTTCACGTTACTCCGCGTCAGGGCCTGCACGGTGTTGGTCAAAGTGCTGATTTGCTCCTGCATGGCTGTCATGGCGGTGAGGAGGCGGGTGAATGATTCTCTGCGAGGATTAGCGTCGTCCGTATGTGCATATATGCATCTATCCATATCCATATCCATATCCATATCCATTGCATTCATTCACCGATTCCTCCACTTCAATTATTGATTTTTTTTTGTGCGTCTTTTTTCTTAAACTTAAAAAGAAGGGCAGAATACAGAAACAGCGGGGGGGAAAAAAAAAAACTTACTGATTCCCACCCATCCCATCGTCCCCCCTGGGCGGATTATCATACACGCAGTTGACGCGTTGCCGGCCGCAGCGCTGGCAGGGCGACTGCCCGTTGCATTTGATTTTGCGGCGTTTGCATTCGTTGCTGTGATGGTTAGATAGTCTGTCTCGATCTTCTTCTTCATTTCCATCTTCATATCCACCTTCACTGGACTGGGAAATAATGCATGATGTATACTCCGTATACATTTCTTTTTGCATGGGGGTGGAGGTAGGTACAAAGGTACGTAGGTAGATAGATAGATAGATAGATAGATAGATAGATAGATAGATAGAAAGACAGGTGTGGATATAGGTACAAACGAGTGGGGAACATACCATGCCTTGGCGATGTACTTGCGACGGCGTTTGCGCGGGCGGTCATCATTCTCGTCATTGTTATCTCTGGTTTCCGCGTCTCCGTCTCTGCCTCTATCCTCTCGGTCGCTGTCCTGGGGGTGGCTGTGTTGGTGATCCCAAGGCTCCATGGTTGAGGAGGGATGGGAATGGCAAATTGAGTTTGAGTGGGAGCGTGAATTATCACTCTCCATTCAGGGGGGATGAGTGTGGGTGAGTGACAGGGTGACAGACAGTGGACAGTGGATGATAATGATGATGTGGAAGACAGATGGCGGAAGTCGGCAGGCGGCGGTGAAGGATTCAGGATTCAGGCCGGAAAGGCGCGATGATCGGCGGTCGGCGGGGTTCCGCTTTCCGCCATCCACTTTTCGCATGCGGAGAGAGATTATTGGAATAATAATATGCTTGCTATTCTCTGTGTTCTGGTTATTTTGTGGGGGGTGGGTGTATAGTAAGTATACAGTGTACTGTGTAGTGCTGCACTGCTACGTGGCCGGTCACACTGCCTTGTACCTGTGTTACCTTACATTACATTCCTGGACTGGACTGGACTGGACTGGACTGGGAATACCCTCAATTTCCCCGTTCCCCCCCGGTACGGAGGATAAAATATCGTCCCCACTGCCAGAACACCACCAACATCAACATCAACATCATGATCATCAAGACAAACAACAAAAATAAGGATAAGGATAAAGAATGATCATAAAATATCAACACCCAAGGTCACAACCCAACCCACAGCTAATATATACACAGACCCACAACCCCCATACCATATCTACATCATCCCTACAAATCCCGCGTCCGGACCTCACTCTCCTCAATCCACCTCTGCAACGCCGCCGGATCCCTGGGCTGAAAGCTCACCTTAAACGGCTTGGGCTCGGTGGTCAGCGCCGTAGCATGTTCATTGCACTGAATCGCATCGAGGATGGGCCGATCCTCCTGCTTCCTGGCCGGCAGCATGGTGAAGGCCGTGATCAGGCGCACGTACGCGGTGTACAGCTCGCGGTTGCCCAGATGCGAGCCGGCGCACATGCGCGAGCCGGCGCCGTAGCCATAGTGCGGAGTGCCCGAGCCCTCGGCCACGTCGAGGAAGCGCTCCGGGAGGAATTGATCGGGGGATTTGAAGTGCGTTTCGTCGTAGTCGGCTGCCCAGGCGTTCTGGATTGGGGGGGGGGAGTTGTTAGTTAGGGTTTCTCCCTTGCGTGGGGGGTGCGGAATGGAGTGGGTTGGGTGGATGGGTTGTGACGCTTGAGGGATGAGGAATGGAGGGAATTGACGGAGGAAGGAAAAAGGAAAACCCACCATGAAGAAAGTCGTGCCGGCGGGGATAGTCGCACCATTGTAGACAATATCCTTGGTGCTTTCGCGGGGCAGACAGATGGGGATGACGGTCCAGAAGCGCAGGGTTTCCTTGACGAGGGCCGTGATATAGTCGACCTTTTCCTCGAGCAGACATCTCTCCCATGCGTCGCCGTCCGGGTACGCGGCCATGATCTCCTCGTAGGCCTTTTGCTGGATGCGCTGGCCGTCTTCCGAGGCCAGGTACGCGATGCCCATGATCAGGTTGCCGGGGACGGTATCCAGACCCGCGGACACCATGGTCAGGCAGATGGATTTGATTTCGGCTGTGGGAGTCAGCAGTCAGTATGCGTCTCTAGTGGCAGCTAGCTGGGTTGGATTGGGAAAGGGGAATAGCTCACCCTCATTGAGCTTCGCCTCAGGATCCTTGAGAATGTTCCCGGTGATGCATGGCTGATCGGTGCCCTTGGCGATACGGTCCTTCAGAATATCCAGCAGGTAGGTGAGATACTTATCGCGACGGGCGCGGAACTCCTGCGCCTCCTCGGTGGCCCTGGGCAAGATGCGCAGCAAGGGGATATAGTCCTGCCAGTTGTTGCTGGTGCTGCGGAAGTTGGCGACGCCGCGCTCGACGTTGACGATCTCGTGCAGCAGCTCGTCGTTGACGTTGCCGGCGATGCGGAAGCCGTAGTTCAGGGTCAGACTGGTGTTGAGGGCGAAGCGCTGGAAGTAGGCCTTGGGGTTGATGTCGATGGCGCCGTTCTGGCTGTCGGCGAACAGCTCCTTGATGCTGGTGGTCGATTCCAGGTCGATGATCGGCATGTACGACTGCACCGCCGGCCGGTTGAGGGCCGTGGCAGCCGCCTTGCGTCGTCGCTTGCAGGACTCGTCCCACGGTGACGTGCCCACGGTGAAGCCCTGCGAGCTGGACACGACGCTGTGGAAGGTGTGGAAGGTCGGCCGCGAGATCAACGCCGACTGGTCTTTGATCCAGAGTTGGCGGACGGAGTCGAAGCTGTTGGCGAATACCACGCGCTGGGGGAGGGGGGGGGGGGGGGTCAGTACTTGCCACTTGCCTTGCCACCACTTTTCGAAAGAGGAAAGGAAGGGTACACACCTTGTTACCCATGCGCACTTGGAAGACAGGGCCGAATTTCTTCGCCCACTGCCGTGCGACGACAGCATGGCGATCCCCCAATTGGAGCAGGTTGCCGAAGATAGGCACTCCTGGGATTTCGGGCAGGCCCTTGATCTTGGGGACGTCAGTGCGGTTGAAATAGCGGATGATGAAGTAGACGACCGCGATAGCGGCCACAAGGATAGTTTGGACGGCCATAGTGAGGGAGGTGATGGTCGATGAACGTGTCGAGCAGTCAACAGTCTCTCTCTCCTCAGCAGTGCAGACCTTGGGGGGCTTTATAGGTCTTTAGTGTGCGTCTGCTGGTGGGTGCTGGATTCCCTCGGCTGAAGCCAACTGCGCTATCCCCTCCGTCGATCTGCACGGCCGACGGAGCCGGGGCCGGTGACGGTGACAGCAGGACCCCGTCGTCATCCTGCGGGACGGCGTCATTTCCGAGCGCCATGGGGGGGCTCTTCCTTCCCTTGTTTGTGGTGATTCCCCGCACCGAAGGAAGGGCCCAGTCATCCACCGGCGGTAATCCGCGGTCATGCATTGGTCCCTCCCCGGTGCGGTGTTTCGGAATCGCGTTTCCGTCATCCGCGGCTGGCCGCGGAACGGGCGGGATGGAGTGGGTTGTGGGAGAAATAAATATGCAGGGGTACAGTGGGGGGGGAGGGGTAGATAGGGAGACCAGTGAATAATTGTTGCTGTTGTCATTCACTAGTAGTTGCAACTAATGCCCGGATGGGAACAGGACAGTGTGTAGCTGCAATACCATCTGAGATATATAATTAGGGCATCCGCGCGGGATTTCCTTAGTGCCAGGGCCATCTCCACCACTATCTTCCTCCAGATTACGCCTCATTGTTACTAACAGAATTGACCATTCATATCACCATTCGGTACTAAATCTCACTGTCTATATATCAAGATTGATACGGTTCTCTGCCTTATGTCCGAGCTGAGGCGAAATGGATGTGTGGTCCGCGGAGACACTATCCTTCTGACTGGTGGGGTTTGGTGCGCCAGAAGATACAACTGATATATACTATACTTCAAGATATCACCGTCTCCAGATCGCGAGGAGCACGTAGTAGGCATATCCATCTCATGCCCGTGGAAATCACCTATCTACGGGCGAGATCTCCTACTTGACGATGTACCCGAAGCTCAATGACCCTCAAAGCAATAGTATTAACTAACTCGTCTCTCCCTCCTCCCTCCCCATACCATGACCATCCCATCCCACCAACTATCAAACAAAATTCAATAACCAGACTCAATCAGTCAATCACTCAATTACTCAACCCACCCAACAAGAAGCCCTTCCTAAGTCGCCACATCCCTCATCCTACCATCTCCTTCACCACATATATCTCCAACCCCCCCCCCCAGCAAATTCCCTACAAAGTCCCCACACAAATATAATACCCCCACCACAGATTCGTACAGCCCGTCCCGACGGCCGGATTCCACGAGATAATATTCTGGACCGACACGCCCTCCTTCTGCGCAATAGTGGTGCACGTATCCCCCGTGGCGACCAAATAGAACGCCCCGCAGTTGCCCACCATGCCGGACTGGGTGGGCGAGGGCGTGGCGACCGCCGTCGCGGTGGTGGATGTCGCCGGGCGCGTGGAGGTGGGACTCACGCCCGTGCAGACGTAGTAGCCCAGCCAGAGGGTGTCGCAGCCGGTGCCGACGCTGGGGTTCCAGGCGTAGAAGTTGGCGAGGGAGATGCCGGCGGCGGCGGCGATGGTCGTGCAGGTTTCGCCGCTGGAGACGAGGTGGAAGGCGTTGCAGTTGGCGGCGATGCCGGGTTGGGTGGGCGAGGGGGCGGCGGCCGCTGCTGCGATGGCGGGGCCGGCGGCGGCGGAGATGACGGTTTGGAGGGTGGTTGGGGTGGGAGTCGGAGGGGTGGAGGGTTCGGTTTGAGCGGTGGTGAGGAGGGGGAGGAGGGGGAGGATGAGGAGATTGAGGAGGTGCATTTTGTGTGGATGGTATAGACGGTTGGTTGGTGGTGCTGGTGGTGATGGTGATGTTGAGGGGATTGAGGGTGGATTTGGGGGGTTTATATAGACGGGGTGCTGAACTGAGGGGCTCGATATGATATCGCATGACGAGCGATGATCGGAGAGTGATTGTGAAGCGATGCAATGGGATGCGATGCTGTGGATGGACGCCTAGAACCATCCTGGCCCGTGATGTCGCATCGCAGTGCTCTCGTGCATCGTGGTCTCAGTCCAGCGGACAATCCGGGTAAACTGGAGTAACGAGGGTCGGATCCGGGTGAGACCTGGTGCGATGAGGCCCATGACTCTGTCGTCGACGTCTGCTGTCGCCTGCTGTCGCCTGCTGTCACCCGTCGCGGTGTTCCCTGTCGGGCTCGTATGAGGCCGGGTGGCCCATGCTGGACGCTGTCTCCGGGGTCGAGGCTATTTCTGGCTCTCGCAAGCTGCAAGATTACCCGTGGGACCCTTTCCCTCCTGCGGGCAAGGCTGACCACTCGCTGGATGGCATGGATGTTGCTGGTTCAGGCGTCCCATTGCCGGATCCTTCGGAGCAGGTGAAGAAGGACTTCTGCATGTCTCACAAGCACAGGGTGCTGACTGGAGGGCTTTGTACTCCCTGGTCTAGGTCGTGCCGAGCTTGATTCTCGACATGTCGTCGTCGGGCTATCTGACCGCTCCCTGTGTGAAGAACATGTCCAATAGTGACCCCTGTTCCATGCATGTCATCTCGAAGTGGCAACAGAGCACTCACTGGCTTGGTGCCCGGAGGAGATTGGCCTTGAATCCTTGGCTGCAGGGTCCAATGCGGGGTTCCGGTCAGATGCCCTGATGGACCTGTCAATGAGAAATCGTTTCCACACGAGAGCTGTTCCTGTACAGAGTAAGAGTCAAGTCATATAAACATTCCGATATCCACTAAATAGAATTCAGGCCACCAACCTACCAGACGGCCCGCCTGATGCGAATCTCGGGAGTCCCCCAGATGACGTGAGATCTCGCCTTCCCCTCGGTGGCGTCGATAGTTTGACTCTCTGTTCCTAGCCTCGTCGCACTGCAGGGCTTGACATCATGATAGCCGAATTCCTTCATGACATCAGCCCACCACCGCATCGTCAAGCAGCTGAGGCTGAGTGCGGGGAACCCGGGATCCCTTCAGCCGGTCCAGCGATTGTCTCGGAACTGGGAAATGGCAGGGTAGGATGGCAGAAAGTGGTGAGAGTGGAGTTACAGTAGGAGTGAATGTCGAGGAACCTCGTGGGTGGCCGGGTGGGGACCTCTGGCGATAGTCCAGTTTGTGTTGCATTCGCAGATGTTGGGAGGACGCAGGAAGGAAGGCATGATCTGAGCTGCCCGACTTGAAATTGTGATTGTTAGCATCATGGGATAAAAATAGGACATGAAGCCATCTTCGATAGACCCTGGTGTTGGGGGAGGAATGAAAGCCGATACTTACCAAGCAGTAAATATCCATCGGCATCCCTTGAGCAGAGGCCATTTCTCTACATAGAAATCAGACCATAGATCGAAAATACACCTTAAATTAAAAGGGGAGCAAAAGATCAGATAAAAAAGCAAGTTCCAAAAAGTAAGAGTAAAGGCAAAGATCAACAAGCACAATCCGAACACAGGATCAAAACACCAGGAAAAAACAAGAGGAAGAAAGAACTAAGACCACAAGAAAAGCCACTGAAAACCACTATCCAAAAGAAGGACCAAAAAATATTATTAAAAATGGTGACAAAAGCAGCCCTCCATGCATCATCTGGGTCTCCCTTTGGTCGCGACCTCCGGATGGGCATGTCGGCTTTGAATCTGTCGGCACATGACATTCCTCGAAATCCCAGGGAATGGCACCTTGCGCTTGTAAGTGTGTCCGCAGTGCTTTGGAAAATCTTAGCTTTTCCTCTCTGAACAGCGATGTGGATGGAAGGCGCCACCTGCAATAGAACTCTCTATAAGTTTGAGGGGTGAATATATTCCCGCACACTTGGATGAAAAGGCTGCACAGAAAGCAAGCATCACTGCTCGAGCAGACGACTCTGGGACGCCGAGGCAAATTCTAAAAATCCTGTTGAATCCCTCCAGAATAGGCTCGATCACCCTATCGCCATCATTGAATCTGGCCCTGTTGACAGCAAATCCCACGTCCAAGAAGCCTGCTGCCTTGTGCTCCTGAATGCACACTGCTGGAACGTATTTATCTTTCTTGGTGTTAGCAAGTAACCCCAGAATCCTGCATATCTCCAGCTCCTCGTCGAACGGCTTGTTGTTCAAAATACCGGGTAGGGCCATTTTGACTACGCTGTGGAACAGTTCTACTCAGGATACCTCAAGTGAGACTACGGACCAGTAAGATGAAAGCATAACCCCCGAACCCCAACCCCGACACCGACACCTGGTAAAGCAAACACCAAACACATCATGAGACAGACAAATGAAACATTATCGGAATTAGCCATTAAACTATCAATATGAAAAAAAGGGTATCTATGCATACGTGGATTGAAGGAGAACCCCGCCCCGCCATCATCACACACCACACACACACACACACACACACACACACACACACACACAGCCATCGCAGACAAGATAAGACCAAGACAAGACCAAGACAAGACCCTACACCTTCTCCCTCTTCTCCGACGCACTAACCTGACTCGCCCTTCGCGTCTCCTTATGCCGCTGCCTATCCGCCTCTAAAGTCTGCGCAAACTTACTCCTGGCGCGAATCTCCGGCCCCTTCCAATAGAACACATAGATCGGAATGGTAACCAAAATCGCCAGACAACCCAGAATCGTACTCGCCCATTGGAGATGAAACCTGCCACCGATGTTGCTGTACATGGGGGTCGCGTACATGGCGGACAGTCCGGCGAGGAGATCCCTAGCGAAGCCGTTACCGCCCGTCGCGGACGCAGAGTATTCGCCGTAGGCGGCGACCATATAATCGATCGTGGCCATGTAGATGCCGTAGTTTGCGATCGCGATGAGAAACACGAAGACCAGGGGGACGATCCAGTGCGTGTACTCCGGGCCCATGGATGTCCAGGCGAAGCCGAAGAGGCCGATTGTTTCGAGCGGGGCGATGAAAAGTAAGAGAAGGAGGCGGCGTTCGGCAACGCGTGACGCGGTGCCTTCGCGGTGTCGGATCTTCTGTTGGCGGCGGATGTCCGGGAGGAAGATGGCGTAGGAGACCAGATAGCCGATTAGGATGGCGATGAAGCAGCAGCCAGTTTGGACGGCGTTGAAGCCCCATTGCGGGAAGACGAGGGAGAATGATTCGATGCAGGTGAAGATGAGCGCGTCGGAGAAGCCCGAGAGCAGGGAGAGGAAGAGTACGATCGGTTCCCGGAAGAACATCTCGAATGGTCGCCGCCAGATGTGCATGACCTCCTTGAAGTTGAGTCGAGAGGCTTTGAGCTCGTTCGGGCCGTATACGTTGGTGTCCTCGCCTGATTTGCGAAGCCGTTTGGCCTCCCGGTCGAGGAGGATCGAGGAGCGCGTTTCTGTCACGAAGAAAAAGTGGAGAATCTGAGTGGCGCCGCCAAATATAAGCTGGATCCAGAAGTTCCAGCGCCAGTCCAGCCATTGTTGCATCATTCCACCGAATATCGGGCCGATCGTGGTGCCTCCGACCGAAGACAATACCACGTAGGCTACCGCGAAGCCCTGGTCATCGGGTTCCCACATGTCGGCAGTCATCCCGAGGGTGACTGAGCCGCCCGCTGAGCTCAAGCCACCAAGACCACGACAGACTATCATCGTCCCGATATTCGGGGCCAATGCGCAGGGGATCTGCCAGATGTTCACGAGCAGGAGACTGGCCTGCATGATAGGCCACCGACCGAATTCCTCGCTCCATGGGGCCCAAAGTTCGCAACCAAAGGCGTATGTCACGAGGAAGATCATTTGGCCCACGCGAGCAGCCTGTTCGCTGATGTGGAAGTGTTCTGATAGTTGCGGAACCGCGTTCGCGAAGGTACTGCTGTTGAAATTCATCGACATCTGCACCACAAAAATCACGGTGAGAATGGTCCACTTCTTATACCACGGGAAAGAAAAGCCTAGCTTGTCGTAGCAGTCATCTTCCGTGAGTTCTCGTTTCCCATCGCCGGTGAATTTGCCGCGGATTTCGCTGTCGTTATCTGACTGCCCGGCATGCTCAGCATGGGTTTGTCCAGGCTGTCTGCTGGGACTCAGGGCAGGTGCCGGTCTGCCTTCTTCGGGCTTCTCCGGATCCGAGCCCGAAGGCTTGGAAAAGAATTCATTCATAATGGTCGGCGCGATGCTCGTGGAATCTGCCGACTCAACACGGTTCGGTTGTACTCATGGAAGAAAGTCGATGTATGCCTTGATAGCAATATGTGAAGGCAACTCCCGAATAGTCGAAGAAAAAGTGGAGCCGTCCCACAGCCTTCTTCGATAGTCAGTGAGTGGTAAAAGACGATGGGTTGTGGGTATTGATATAATAGCATATGGAGAAGAAGACCGCATCAGGAACAGGGAAATAGACATCTTTATAAGAATTGTCCACCCTGTGTCCACGATAGTCCGATGGAGATGAATATGGGGCTGAACGGACCGCTTTAGGAAGGGCATTGGGAACGACGTCATGGACTCGACGGACCCGAGGAAGCATTCACACTGTGCAGCAGTAGCGGGGACTGCAGCCTGACATTGATCGATCATCATGGGTCCATGGACTGGACAGTCAATCAGACTGCGCAGACACCATTTACAGTTTGGCTGCTTCTGCAGGGTCTTTGTATGGCCAAGATACGCATGACGATATTCCAGCCCAAACTGTCTGCCGGTACGTTCCTCAGACTGTCGATAACGTACTGTTGGGACGGTCAAAGAATGCGAATAATGCTCGACTATCGACTGCGATCGGTTGAACATGAAAGTTGGGATATCCAAAGGTCGAGCTGCTCGGAACAGCAAGTGGCTATCGCGCCAATCAGGGCTGGTCGAGATCCCAGAACGGAAGTCTATCCAGCCACCCGGGCCACAGCCGCGGACCGTCTTTGGTCGATGGCCTCTGCGACACCCGGCGATGACGCAACGCCAGAGCCAGTCGCTCGACACATCCGGTTTGCTGTGGATTTTCCCAATGTCCTGTATGCGACCTCTTGGTGATACCGCTGCCGACCCTGCTCGAAGACCAACCAGCATCAGCCCAGATGGCGAGCTTGTGCGGCACTAGGTTCAGTTGTGTATGGATGACATCAAGTTATCAGCACTCCGGGAGTTATGCATTGGCGAATTCCTGGGCCTGCTTGCACTGCCAAATTCCACCCCTTGCATTATCTCCCGACCCCTTACACGGTGGGGAGGCAATTGTCAAAAGTACCCCCGGACTCGTGGCAACTTGAAGCCATTGGGAAGGAGAACATAAACCTGAAAGCAAATTAAAATGACAAAAGCTGGAGGATCAGTCGCTTCTCATGATGCTGCCAATACTCTGCCCACTCTTGGCACATCCAAGCCAGAAGTTCACGACGCCTTCCGCCCGGAGAATGTTGGCGTCGCTGGAGCAGCATTCCTGACCTATTCCGACCGAGCCGAAAACGTTTCGGGCCGGCACGACTGCAGCAGATATTTCTCCGATTGCAACGTTCCCGGGTATATTTAGCAGGATGCCCTAGTCTTCGAACTCCTGCCCTGTTTCAAGCACGGTCTGGGCAATGTAGCATCGCCCTCGGGTGGTGGAAACGAGTCCCATGACCCCATCTCTCGAGGGAATTGTAGCATCCAACCATGGCGCAGTCTGATTCTATACATATTCTCGCATGCTCACCAGGCTGTCGCGATCATCGAGTGAGTCGAACCGTGATTCTTCATCAAGACCGACGGAGTCATTTTCCGTACCGTGGAACGAATGAGGTCTGGTGGTGTTCGGCGATAGGCAGGTTGCATTTTATCAGAATCGAAGAAGTCTTTTGGATAGTGAGGTCGCCTCCAGGGAAGGGCACGCCTGGATGAGAACCATGGGGAGGAAGCGCTGAGGAGAGACTCACTCTGGGCGATGAGATGGTGAAGTGAAAATGAATCGATCCACAACCGATTGATGCCTCGATCGCGCCGGCGCTTGTGGTCGCTGTGCCCGCCCGGAGACCACGCGACCAAGCGCCCCGAAGTTCTCCGAGGGCGGGTGTGGTTCTTTTCTTGTTCTCTTCAAGATATTCGGGGACGGCATCTCCAACACTCTGTTCTATCATTCCCTGACCATATTTCAACGTCCCCGACGAGAATACGGTCCATTGAGTGCGTACTGGACCCACGCCGGCAGCTATCCTGTCGCCCGAGCGGGTGGCTTTCCTCTTAGCTGCCTCGAATCAGGCTAGCTACCGTCGGATCTTCGCATAGGAAGCGAGGAAGCGAAAGCGCGAAGCACATTGAAACCTTCAAAGTGAGACACGACAGCAGCCTTAATCTGGCCATGCCGCCCCCGGAGTGTTACCGAAGAAAGCCGCAATTTCTTACCGGGGTGAAATGAGGTCGGAGAAATTAACTGCAGCACAGTACGGAGGATTGCAAGTAGTGTCTAGTATCAAATAGTCACATCCTTCGAGATACCTGTATTGATACAATACGGATGACGGTCTGGGTATCCTGCAACAAAAATGGGCATGTCATCCTTTCAGTCAGGTCAGAGATTCGAACATTTTATGATAACCGCCTTGACTAAACACACGGCAATTAAGCACAAGAAACCGAGATAAAGCCCAGTATTACGGAGCACTAGCTTCCAGCTCACCAGTCTTGTTTCAAGCCAAGGTCTGGCGATGTGCAGATGGGCAACATCAAAGTCCTCCAGTTGAAGGACACATTCACTCGGAGTATCAACATGGCTGTTCTCCGATTTATTCGCTCCCAGGGAATCTTCCACGGCAGCATGTCACTTGCGTGGTGAGAGTCGTGAAAGACTCCCCTCTACCAACTTTCGTCTTCCAATTCACAAGGTCAAGTTTCATCGTTGATGGAAACAAACAGCTAAGCAGACCCTCTTCTCGGAGGAATGCTCAATTCATCGGTCTGCTGCGACCCGTATCGTCCAGTAGTATACTCCCTAACCCTAGCTAATATCTCCGCACTCCGTGGTGTGTACGTACAGGCCATGAGTTTACTTGCTGTCTTGCGGAACCTGCTGTGTGTTATTACCAATCCACTGTGCGATTACCACGAGAAACCAGGACGGGGAGAACCTTTTTTACTCCAGGGATCAGGTATACATGCTCTTGACGCCTCAAACATCAGATGGGAAACCCAACCGCCACATCCAGTCTGTGGAGGAGCAAGAGTCGTGCTACGGAAATACGGAATCGGGCGCGTAATCTAGACCCTGACCGCTGCCCTGCAACGGGTATTCCCCCACCGTCTCAAGCCCTTCCCGACCCGCCCGAGGGGTCGGGCTTTTGTCTGCACTAAGCCGCATTGGGGGTGGGTTTGCGAGTGGCCCGCCGGGCCAGTGCGGCACTTGCCTCGATCCAGCATTAGAGGCCGAGGCACGTGATCGGGACTCGGGAGCCAATCCATCACGAGTGCCGATTGGCCGCGTATGTTCCATCGTCGAAACTCTTCAGCCAAAGTAGGCCAGACTGACTCCATCTCCTTCATTTGACCATTTAATCACCTCAAGCATCACCACTTTCAGCGTATGTCAACACACCAATTTTTCACCTTTGTTCCCCGGGCCGAGAGGCTTTCCCTCGTCTACCTACCCTACCCACTTTGATTCGATTCCCGCACACATGGTCTTCCCCGGGAGACTTAGCACCGGGTGCTATGTATGTCGTAAACGTAAAGTCAAGGTATGTCGTGTGGCTGGCAGAGAGCTGAGCAAGCAAGGGATCGTCTCCTGGTCCAGTAGTAGTTGATCAGTCGTTCGGATAGTGCGACGGGGCCCGACCAAAATGCCGGCGCTGCATCGCTCAAGGACGGGAATGCACTGGCTATCCGGATGCATTTGCTTTTCGACCTTAGAAAACGAACTGGGAACCTCAGCCTTGCAAGGCTGAGCCTAGGACAAAGACCAAAAAGAGGCCCGATTCGACACAGCCGGTGAGAGTGAGAACACCGTCACGAACATCACCATCACCATCACAACAGCCACCGGTGCCCGTGCCGAGTTCAAGATCCGATCTCATCCCCTCGTCATTCGCCCCATCCAGCCCTCCCAAGGCCATCATCCCCTGCCTCGAGTGGCAGTCGCTATGCTATTTCTTCCACCAACATGTACTTCACACCCACCGATCCCCGTGTGAGGGACATCTTGCGTTTCTGCCTGAACTGTATCAAGAGAGGGGTAATGCGCCCTGTCTGAGGAATGCCATACTCAGCGTGTATTACCTTTCGCTCTTCAATGCCTCCAGGATGGACGAGCTGTATGTCAGCGCTCGGAAGCATTACGGCGCTGCTTTGAAGTCCCTGACCCAAGCACTCAACGATGATGAGCTGTCAATCCAAGACGAAACCTTCGCGGCAGCACTGTTCATGAGTATGTTCACAGTAAGTCACCTGTCTGTACCCCCATACCCTGACATTCATCACTGACTCCAGACTAGGATCTGAGCGGCGAGACACAAGGCGCAATGAACCCCCACCTACCCGGAATCTGCTCCCTCATGCATCTTCGAGGCAGACCACAACGCAGCAGCAAGTACGCGCGCAAGCTCTTTGGATAGGCCTTCACACAGATTGTAAGCTTGGCCCTCTTTTACCCATAACCCCCAAAACCAAAGACCAGCCAGTAACCCGTTTCCAACAACCAGGAAATCCAAGCCGTAGCCAGTAACCTGTTCTCCTACGCCTGCCTCCCCGCCTCCATCAGCATGGCATACAACCCGGATTACGTGCTGCGCTTGGGAATCATCACCAGCATGATCTCCGAATTCTGTCAATCATCCAGCGAGTTCCAACGAATCGAAGCCGAGCGGTCCCCGAAAGCATGCGCCAGATTACTCCACTCGCTGCTGGGACGGGCGTCGTGCGTGCTCGACCAAATCAACATCTGGAACGACGCACTCCCTCCCCACTGGAAGAACCAATACTGTCTTGATTTTTTAATATATTAATTTTTTTTCTTATTTTCTTTATTAACTAATAATATTAGCAGAGACTAATATTATTCTTAAGAATTTAATAATTATAATCTTTTTATATCTCTCTAATTAAAGTAACTAAAATATTTATAAAATTACTTATTTATTTTAATTATTTAAGCTGTCTTAATCTTACTATAAGACCCCTACACCCCTGAAATCCACTTCACTACTCAATTTCTAACTTCTAAGATGAACCGGGCTTATAACTGTCAGTGATATAGACCACTCGACTAAAAAGATGTCCAGACACCCTAATAGGGCGCGATACTATGCCTAACACAATGGCACCAAATGACATTCTCTGACTCACTTCTAGAAAGAAAAGGCTAGGAGGGACAAGAGTAGACAGAAGTAGAATGTTCCAGATTGAATCATAAAACAAAAATTTGGCTTGTGATATATATTAAAGGCCATCCTGGAATCGCTTCAAAAGTTCAATCTTGTTATATTTATTGGGTTTGGACAATGTACTTAACACGATAATTTCTCAGGGCACTCGATTATAGACGTAAACATCGAATCAGCCCTCTACTTGAACCAGACCACTGTTTTGTAATTCTAATCAGAAATAGTAACCTGCAAGTAGAAACATACCCTCCGGTAAATCCAAAGATCTCCAGCAAGATCGCGAAATATCAACCGCAAAATGACTTTTCAGAAAACCCTTGCATGGAGAAATCCCTAGAGAGACATCATTGCCCAAGGATACTCGGTGCGCTATCATGATACAGTAACAGATCAAAAGGCATTAGCAGCTCTATTCCCGCTCCCCTTTACCGTCCAGTCCATTCACCAACTCCCCCTTCGGATCAACATACTCATGCCTGACACTCCACTGATCCGTCCTCTGAATCGACATGGTCAGATCCCTCCATACACCCGGCTCCCTCTCCCCCGGCGCCGTAACCGCAAATGCAGCGGCCGAGGTACCCAGCCCCTCCGCCTCATCCCCCATGAACCGCGACAACCTCGCAGACTCCTTGATCCCTCTGCCCATACTGGCCAGTGCATACGAGTTGCCACCAGAGTTGCTCTGGCTACCTGCAAGGTGATGGTGGAGGGTAACGCTCAGCATACCGGTCTGAAAGGCATCGAGGAAGGGCTTCAAGCATGGGATGCAGGCTGACATGAGGCTGACGCATAGCACGCATTGCGTGGTGATGGTGGTTTTGAAGCCGGAGTAGGTCATATCCGGGGAGGGATAGCCGTCGCGGATGTAAATGAGGCGGATGATGGTTGTGAGGATCACGCTGGTGCAGTTTGTTAGAGAGATGTGGAATGAAGAGTTGGGGGAAGGGGGGGGGGGCTGTACAAGAGGCGGAAGGAGAAGGCAACGACGACGGTTACTTTCTTGCTCACGATGACTTGGACAGGATTGACGATGTATATTGGGAGAATGAAAATTATGAGCTCCGTTATGATGTCAACTGGGGAGATTGCGACCCAGAAAAGGAACTGTCCTAATTAGCGAGAATTAAAGGGTAATTTGCGACTGTGCAGTACTGATGTCCGGATAGGGATCTAGTAAAAAAGCGAGTTATGGCTTACACTATTCATACAATGCCCATTCTCCAATTTCCATGGATTATGTATACCGCATCGGAAGACCAGAACAAAAAAGGCTGGGATTGTCCACATAGTGACAAGAATCATCGCCCAGATGGATATTCTTCTGTGTAATGTGTTAACGGTCAATCGGCTGAGAAGTTGTAAAACTGAGATTTTGGCAATGCTGAGAGAAAGAATATAGAGTAAATCCGAGGAATATACAATCTATACAGTTGTCCCGAAATTAGTAAATTGCAAAGGTTCTTCGAAACTATGCTTGACCTTTTCAATGGTGTTGACTTCATACTCACTCAGAGCGGATTGTTGCTTCCCAAAGCCTTGCTTTGTTGCTTGAAAGATCGCACTCGACTGCGCGATGGCGAATATCTGATCCCTGGGTAAGTAGGTGCGAAAATACAAACAGGGATTTGATCAAGGCAGATATCACGAAGGGGGTGGGGGAGAAACCACACCAGAGAGAGGGAAATCGCTGCGTCATCCCATTGTAGTGAGCGAAGGATATACAAACGAAAGGAAAGTCGGATTAGAACAGCCATCATCATAATAACCATCAAATAAAGGACCGCAATAGCAATGCCATCAACATAGTCCGAAGCGACCTGTGACTCTGGGTAGTTCGCACGGACGTCGATAGTGCGCATTTCGAAGTGATGTGTGGGAGACGAAGGCCATGAAGGCAATATCACAATAAGGAGTGCATTTGAAATTCTCACCCGGGAGTGAGAGATACGACGAGTGGGATTGTTTCCAGATAAATGGAGGTTTATCACCCTGACCAGTTACGTCTTGCGCTGATAGCCTGGGTCAATCAGCACATGGCAGAGACGCTACGACTGGGGTTTGTTACTTTGCATCATGTCGCACATATCCTGGTACTCTTACCAGAAGCTATTACACGGCAGGGTAGCACCACTTACCCCATGCTGTAGGCAGTCATGGAAAGAAAAATATAGCTCTGATTATCCCGGGGGGTGGCTGGATCCCTGAAGGGAGGTACGCATTGTGCTTGTGTGAAATAAGCACTCTCCCAGGAATAGAATCCTTTGTTGACAAGGAGTGGTACGCTGCGCCGTGTGAGAGATGACATCCTTGGTAAGGAGTATTGATTTAGGGCATTCTTAGGGTGGCCGCTAGCAGGGATGGGGACCGCGCCGTTCCTTGCACATATTTCACTCGTAGATTAAATCCCAGGCGGAGGCGCTGAAGTAGTCAAGAGGCCTAGACAAAGGATTTACTCGGGGCAGATTATCACGATGATTAAACAACGTTTCCCAGAGTGAGCTGTTAGGGTTTAGCGTCTGAATGCAGTCGAACGGACAGGGTGGACTGGCCGGAACTGTAGCATGGTCGTCGATCCGTAACTGGAAGGATCCTCTGAAAATCTCAAAGAAAGTTTCTTGTGGCTTTCTGTCAGATCCAGGAGTTACGCTTCCTAGTCACCTTGTGGGATCGAGACCCAAAGGCCTACCTGCATGGAAGACGGGATACCGAGTACAGCCGTATGAATGAGATTAATACTACCTAAAGAAAAGTCGAGCTAAGACATACTCGGTCGCTCTAATGTATTGAGACCAACATACTAATATAATACACGGCAAAATATCCTTGCATTTAATATACAATTTACATGCCCGAGTCACGCACTTTGTACGTTTCCGAAATTGCTCGAGAGGCAGATAACTTTCGCCAGAACTGAACGTGTACTTACCTTGCAAAGTGAGAAAGAGATGTTGATGGAGTCAGAGTGTTTTTGCAAGATCCATCTAAACTGGAAGATGATGATGGGATTTGTCTTATGCTGGGCCACGAGGGGCGAGATGGATAGAACAAAGAAACGCACGAGAAGGGGGAGGAGCATGCGGCCGTGGATGCGGAGTCGAGCTAAGCAGTAGCCATTATTGCTTAGGTGCATTAGGGTTACTTCCGGGCCGCGTCCGCCGCCCCGGGCGAACCAAAGCCCTCCATCAGACCCACCAGCAGCGCCGCTGGTGCGATAATCAAGGCAAACTACATGCAGCGGGACAGTGTTATTCCTGGTTTAATTAACGCGTTATCAAGCAGCTCCGTGGCCCAATTGACGAGTCTAGAATATATACCACGCAATGAGTGCAACTAACGGGTAGAATGCTTATCAGCGGCGTCTTATACCCACGACCCACCTCGGAAGCAAATCCGCCATCCTAGACTACAGAATTTCTGAGATCGTATGGCGGATGCTCGCTTGGTCGGCCGGGGAAATGGGAATATGGAAAAACTTTTCAAGCGCCGCAACCCGTTCCTGCTCAGAAGAGAAAGTCTCCAGGACCTCCGACGTTGCCCCCAAACGTCGTTTCAACTGGTTGTTAAACAAGGTCAGTTCACCTATTATCTTCTCCCCGTCGCCATCCAGAAGCATCCGGACACACACAACATGGAACGTAAACCAGCTTTCCCGGCTGGTGCTCATGAAATAGTTGATGATTGTGAAGTCCTCGGGTAGAAACTCGGTTTCGGTGAAGCAATAGGCAGGAGTCCATGCTCCAGTTCCGTTGCGGATTTCATAGTGCCAGAGCAATTGGTCCTTGTTCGTGTGTTGGGCGATGGCCCCAGAGATGAGTCGACCGGACTGTTCGCCTACATTCCGAAACTCATAGTTCTGGATCAACGGCACAGGCTGGTGAGGTCCATTCGAGCCAAATCCAACGTCGATAAGGTACTTTTGCTTCCCAATAGTGACTATATTGACCATGTGGTTCCTATATCCGCACGAGTCAGCATGGATTCAAACCGTAAGGTTTAAGTGGGCCTGCTTCGAGAAACCGACGGGGATCAGGAGCTGAAAGAGGGTCTCGTATTCCAGGTCTGAGAGTGGGATCATACCATCCGTCGAATTTGGGTCCTTTCCAATTCCTCGAGGCAGACATGGGCTGTGCGGCCTCGTTGACTCGCCCTCCGACCGAGGTAACTTCGTATCCCAAACTCCGCAGCACAGTCCCGAACAGAGTGCTGTTTTCCATACAGTAGCCTCCTCGGTGGGACTGCGGGTCCACTATTTTATCGAAAAGTCCTTGGGGGTCGATGGTGATGCCCCGATGGACTGCGTAGTGGAGATTGAGATTCTCAAAGGGGACGGATGCAACCTGGTAGCGCTGTAATACTCTCAAGAGAGCCAGAGCACCTTCATCGTCCAGATTCGCACCCGTCTTCACCACAGCAGAAGCGCGATACTGCTGAGGGAGACTGATCCTGTCGAAGTATTGCTCCAGCTGCTGTGGGGTGTAGGTTGGACGCAGGGACCAGTTGATGGCGCTGGGGGAACCCATGTCAATTCACTAACCAGAGAGTCAGGGTTCGACTGAATTGGTTTCAAGTTGACAACAGGATATTAAAAGCAACCGGGATTGTGCTGGAAAGGGGGAGGGGGAGGGGGGGCTTGGATATCTTCCGGGGACTCCAGCATGAGGGAAGAGCGAATCGCCCTAAATACATGACCGAGGCTGCTATCATCCCAATAAAATGACCGGGCATGCCAGGGTATCTTGTTGACGGGCCGGGGATGCACTGTCTTCGCGGGGCGGGATGCGTGGGATTAGTGTCGCTCTAAGGCCAGCCACCGACCGGGTTCCCGCCTCGACTCCGGCCAGTCGAACAATGCTGCTCTCTTAGTGCTGACCCCCCACTCCCCCTTGGCGCACAACTCTGGCACTGTCGATCAGAGTCTAATACAAAACTTCCTGGATTGGTTGCCAATTCTCTACATGAAGTTCGAAGCCTGGCCTCACTGTCCCCTACCACAACTTGCAACAACTGGTATAAATCAGATGATCCAATGTCAGATCGCAACCCCACGGCTCTATCTAACCAACAACCAAGGCCGGAATGAGGGTAACACATTAATTTGCACGGTGTTACAGCAGCGCCTCAACGAGTTCAATTCTGCCCTAGTGCATTGAGCAGGCATCCTGCAAATATATGCATGGATGTGCACAGTCAATACTGGGGTTTAGCTCCTTGATCCTTGTCTTATGGGCCAGTTAATTTTGCCCAGTTTCCCAGGGGCGCCACCACCATAATCCCAGATGCAGCGCCAGCCTGGCACCGAGGCAGCCTACCGCCCGTCAGGAGATTAGCTGGCCTCCTATTAAGCCCTTCTAGGTATGCCTGTCTTGGGAAAATCTCCGAGATAATCAAGCCTAGACTCAAGTGTATTGGTGCTTGGACTTTCCCTAGCCAGGCTGGCCTGCATTAGAGCGGTTCCGTTCCCTTCTACTTCAACGTCTCTTTTCCCCGGGTATTCTTCTTTCGACCCTGTGCGTGACATTTTGTTTCTTCTACCCGACAGCCAGCGTCAATATGCCTTTCAAGAATGGGGAGATGGCGGTGCAGGAGCTGGGCTCCAGTCCATACAAGAACCGTGATGATGCAGACATGGCGAAGCATGGCAAGAAGCAGCAGTTCCAGGTGTGCTTTGCTCACGACCTCACTGGACCATACTTACTAACCATGGCAGAGGAACTGGGGCTTCTTGTCCATGCTGGGCTTCACGACTACCATGATGTGCACCTGGGAGGCGGTACTTCTGTAAGTGACATGCTCCAAGCCCTTTGCTCGTGTGGAACTGACCGTTATCGCAGTGCCAATCCCTCCGCAATGGTCGACGGCGGTCCCGCAACCCTCGTATACGGATACATCTTTTGTTGGATAGGCGCCCTGGTGACAGCTGCCTCGCTGGCTGAAATGGCTTCAATGTACAAAGACGCCCCCCCGCGACCGGTTGAAACTTAGCACTAAGAGATCGCAGGGCCCCTACCTCCGCCGGACAATACCACTGGGTGGCCATGCTTGCTCCCGAAGGCCAAAAGGTCTTCCTCAGTTGGGTGACAGGATGGGTGGACCTGATCGGATGGTGGGCGAATACGGCTTCGGGCGTCTACTTCAGTGCGACAGTCACCCAGGGCCTGCTGGTGCTGAACTATCCCCACTATGACTTCCAACGGTGGGAGGGGACCTTGCTCATGTGGGCCGCATTGATTATTTGCGTGTTGGTCAATTCCATTGGAGCCAAGCTGCTCCCCAAGATCGAGGGGCTGATTCTGATCCTCCACACCATGGGGTTCTTTGCTATCCTGATTCCCCTTGTCTACTTGGCTCCTCACAAGGACGCTGAATTCGTCTTTGGAACATTCATCAACAGCTCTGGCTGGCAGAACGCAGGTCTTACCTGGCTCATCGGACTGATGGGCACGAATCTTCCATTCATCGGTACGATCCCTCATGATCTGATAACATCTTCATCTAACCAGCTTTTACACAGGCTACGATGGTCCCTGTCACATGGGTAAGTACCGATCCATGGTATTGACTCCAACATTATGAGACTAGCCACTAACAGCCCCAAAGCCGAAGAAGTTGTCAACGCCTCCGTCATCGTCCCCTGGTGCATGATCGCCACGATTCTCTTGAACGGTGCACTTGGCTTTGCCATCGTCCTCGCCTTCCTGTTTTGCATTGGAAATCTCGAGGCGGCTTTGGACAGCGCAACTGGCTACGACTTCATCGAGGTGTTCTTTGCCGCCACCAAGTCCCATGCCGGGACCTCCGTCATGGCTGCCATCCCCATTGCCCTGACCATCTGCGCGTCCTTTGGCTTCCTCGCCTCCTCATCGCGTCTCACCTGGGCTTTCGCCAGAGACAAGGGGGTGCCCTTCTCAAACTACCTCTCCCGAGTACGACTCGCCCTCCCAATCACTCCTCGTATCTCTGAACCAATATACCAATACCTAACCCAAATGTCCTACAGGTCAGCCCCAAATCCGCCATCCCGCTCCGCGCAGTCGGCATGTGCGCGTTCATGACAGCCATCACCTGCATCATCAACATCGGATCCAGCGCGGCGTTCAACGCGATGATCTCACTGACCACCGCGGGTCTCTTCTCCTCGTACGAAATCGCCATCGTGCTCATCACGCTGAAGAAGATCAAGGGCGAACCCATCCCCTACGGCCCGTGGGCCATGGGCCGCTGGGGCATCCTCGTCAACATCGCCTCGATCTGTTTCTTGACCATCACCATCGTCTTTTCGTTCTTCCCCGAAGAACTCCCCGTCACTGCAACCAACATGAACTGGTCGGTGGTTGTGTTTTTCGGTGAGTTCTTCCTCGGTTTCGGGTGGTATATTGTCCGCGGCAGAAAATCGTATAATGGACCGATTGTGGAGACGGGGTTTACGAGTGCGGATGAGGGGTCGAATGTGGATTCCCAGTAGAGAGAGGTTTCGTTTCATTTCAGGGGGATGTAATTCTTGTGTTCGATGATCATAGACTTATGCGGCCCAGTGGAGGTTTTAATCGGTGACCATCGGAGATTTATCCGCTGCGTAAACGTTTCACATGATAGGCCGTTGGAGTAAAGGTAGTCAGGCTTCATGCTCAAGGCCACCGGTGAGGCGAGCCTACGTAAAATCTTTTAGTACTGTTGATGCATGCGTCAGACATTGGCTAGGCCATACTGTGTGTTGCAGACATGGAATGACTGGCAAGCTGATCTGGTGAAATGAACATGGAAGAAAGCTCATCTGACCTGTTACGTTGGTGGTCGGTAACCTTCTCTCCTGGGGGCAGAAGTAAGGGCAAGCGAAGTTAAAAGCTTTGTTGGAATCTGTTTCTATTGTCAGTATGCGTCGTGGGTATTCCTATCTGATTTATTTGAAAGAATTTCATGGATCAACACGGACGGGATGAACTTATTTTCAGATAGCGCCATAAAAGAAAAAAAGGGCTCTGCTTCGGGCATGATGGTAGAACTGTCCGGCATTACAGGGGGCAGTCCGATTCCCAATATCAGCTGCTAACGCACGTGCGGGCTTTGGGGTCTCCTGCAACGAGCTACAGCGACTCCATGTATCGGAAGATCATTTTAGAGTGTCGTATACGATCTCCGCTTAATCCGCCAGTTCTTCACCCTTGTAGTGGCCACCCTGCTGCCGATAGGAGCAAAGTTTCCGATTCGTGAGGAGGAAATCGTGATTTACCGTCGAAGAGACACGCCGACTGAGTCCCACTGTCTAGGATATTAAAGAAGCTTCAAAGCAGCGTTCAGACAAGGGCGCTGAAGAGCAACCATTAGCCTTGAACGCTCACAAATGTGGTCAGTTGACCTACCTGGGGACCTGGCGAATGAGTTGAACTAGCACGAGATCAATGGACCCACCTCTGGCCGCTCAGGCATCGTTGCCAAAAATGCCCTCGAACACATACAGGCCCCTGCATAAGGTGGATCGGAGATGCGGCGAGTGTGTGCTGGTTTTCCTCCGCCTTGAAGTGATCCAGTTGAGGGTGGCGACCCAGTGAATGGCATTGGCGTAACTAGAACTCCCCGAGCCGTTCAAGTCCATGCTACCATAGCCTGTCGAGTCCTCGTTTCGAGCATATACTGCATGGATATTCAACCTGGAACCGCAAGTAAGGAGCATCAGACATAGTATTCGGAGGCCATACTTTTGAATCACACATACTTGCGTCGTGTACACAGGTTACAGGATGGTTGGGGCTTCGCACGACGCCTACCCACTGGGGTGCTCTTTGAACACACGCTTTCTTCCTGGTCAGGCATATTGTGTTCTCTTGGTCGATGCTTGACTGCCAAGTTCGGATCAAGATGAGACGACAATGAAAGAAGGACATCGCCATTTGGCTAAGCCGCGCTTCGAAATACACTCAATGCTTCCTCGAGATGAGCCTCCAGATCCAAGTCCCAAATCCACCACATCCTCTCGTCCAGATCCTCCCGGAACTTCTCAACATCATCAAACACATCCTCCTTCTGGCACTGATACAGCGGCCCGGCATCCCGACTAGTGATGACCAACCTCTGCGTCCTCGACCTGCGCACGGCATCATAAGCCCTGAAAGCCCTCTCCAGATCCCTCTTCTCCTTGACCTCGCCCAACAGCCTCGACAGAACACAGACATCCTCAAACGCCATCCCTACCCCCGCCCCCTGATGGGGGGTGCTCGCATGCGCCGCATCGCCCGGAATGCATATGCTCTACGTCCTCGCAGGAGGATGATCAAACAGGGCCCAGATATCCGAATTGCGCATCAACGACAGAATAGCATGAACATCCTTCCCTCAACCCTGAAAACCTCGCAACATCTGGTCCTTATCCCCCGGCAAAACCCACTGCGAGCCGTGTTCCCAAAGCCCATCCTTCTTCGTGTGAAACGCAACCACATTCATCGTCTTGCCATGCTCGATGGGAAACGTCAGCAGATGACCATCATACCCCCAAAAAAATGGTTATTCCGCGCCGTATACTCGCCCAGCGCCTCAACAGCTTCCTCCATGGGAATCAGGCCCCGATACGCATACTTGCCACTAAACACCGCATCGGCCTCCTCCTCCCAATGCAGGAGAATCTGTCGCACGCGCGACATGACCCCATCACACCCGATCACCGCATCAACCACCACCTGCGTCCCATCCGCAAATCTCACCGTGGCAGTCCCATCCCCACCCCCATCCTCATTCCCAGTCTCCTCAATTGCCACCAACCTCCTCGCAAAACTCACATAATCCCCCTCCGCCGGAAGCAGTGCCGTCATGGCCTCGAGAAAGCGCGCCCGATGCACACTACTCCGCGCGACCGCCGCATGCACCTCATGGATATAATCCCCCTCCTTGAGGGCATTCTTCGGGCGGTCCTGCCCGTCCATGCCCATTCGATAGCTCGACCAGAGCTTCGTCTCCCGGGCGCCGGAGTCCGGCTGGAAGGTAGCGTGCTTGCTGTACGCGGCGACCATGTCGCGATCGATGAATTCCATCGCGCGCATGGAGTTCAACCCGAAGGCGATCCCGGCCCCGATCTCGGAAAATTCGGGCGTCGCTTTGTAGAGATGCGGGATGAGGATCTCGCGGGTTGTATGATTGAGGAGAGCTAGCAGGAGCGTAACGCCCGCGATGCCCCCGCCGATGATGGCAACGCGGACGGGGTGGGGATTATTAGCGGGTGTTGGTGTTGGTGTTGGTGTTGTGGGTCTGGTCATTGTGGATATGGGTATTTTGTTGGGTTTAGCGCTTGTTTTTTGGTGTCTTTTTTTCCGACTTCTCTCCCGTTGGGGGAGGGAGATGCAGAAGGTCTCTAGTGTGAGATGGGGAGTGCATTCTGTTTCTTTTGGGTTGTGCGGGGCAGGTGGTGGTCGTGCCGTTGGGCGCCCGGACGACAGGTGAGGCTGCAGATGAGATGATCATTGCCTCATCCGTCAGGGCTATAGCATGCATTGCCATCGCTTTTCTTGGGATCGTTCTTGGGCATTATTCTTGACTGCGCAGGGCCTGTTGCTTGGAAGTTGGCCCAGGTTAGGGCATTGGTCCGTCCGCCGTCCGGAAGTGATCCGTGAACTCCCCGCGTCTGCTCGTCCCGGCTCTTGGCCCCCCTCCCAGTGGGATGATGGAAAGCTTGTTGTCACGATTTTCACAGCATCATACTATCAAGGAATCATCCTGCGATCGGCTTATCCGGGGGACAATAATTACCTGAATCACAAGGACGACGACCCGTCCTGCAGGCACAGAACCAGACCATGGCACTGCGGTGTTGGTTATATCTCAGTCTCCAGCCCCACTGGCCGGGCAGCGAGAGAGGGACAATGTGATTGTCTGGCAGGTCGTCACCTCAGGCGCTTAACTCCATCACGGAGATCCCGCTCCAACTCAGGTGGGATGATGTTGCATACACCATCCAACAGTTCTGCATCCAGCGGGAAACTCCCTGCGGTAAGTGGGAGTTCGGTCGGCTCGAAGACACTTCAATGGACAGCAGTGCGAGTGGATAAAAGCAGATGCGTGCTGGACGGCGGTGGCTGCATAAGGGCCGCCAGCAAGCAGTGTGACGTGAGGAAATTATTATTAACAATCTATGCGGCGCTGTCCGGCGGCGATTTTCCCTGTCAGCAGTCACCACTCACATGAGACCTTGGGAATTGAGATAATATAGCCCTTCAGCTAACGACGCAGATCCTGGTTCGCGGACTGACGGATCATCACCCCCCCCCCCCCCCCCCCCCCACCACTTTGCTTACTGTCTCTTTATCCACTTAGACATAGTTAGTCGAACCCCAGGACAAATGAGAACGAAGACAGCAAATGACTCTTATGAATTGGGCTAGATAACTGGACAAAAAAACAAACCCGCCGCCAGAACCAATGACTTGGAAAACGGAAAAGAGGAGGCCGTGGGATTATTCGTTCGCTATGGGCGGACGTAACCCCGGCAGGAAATATGCACATTTTGTTCAATCTCGGTGATGATTTCGATCTGCCCGAGCCGTGTTCCTAGTAAATCCGAGTCATTATCGCCCCCCGGTCGCATTCGAGCCCCGTCGGGGCACGAGAATATCTTGTTGGACACTTCCGATAGCTGGTGGGATCCTCGCGCGTAGCTGGAATAGGAAGAGTATCCCGTGTCGTCGCTTTTTGAAGGCTTGTGTCTTCTTCCCGGCGGCTTTTTTCCTCTTATGCGTGTGACGATCGGCATCAGACTGGGGAGGCAGGAGACAACCAGGCCGAGGCTGCTTTCGATCGCCGTCCAGAGATGCGAATATGTATCCGACCCTGGGGTGGATTGTTAGAGAGATTGCTTGACAGAGATGGAGCGAACCACTAACAGGTGATATCAGTGCTGCTAATCGCGATCAAATTCTCAAGACGCACACTAGAGATCGCACATACACTGTGGGACTTGGTCAGTAACATTTCCACTTGGGAGGGCATCGACGGTGGCAACTGTACATGATCCCCAGCGTGAAAACTATCGACAATCCGATCTTCTTCCCCGTTGGAATCTGGAGCTTCCAGATCTCCCGCGTGGGCAAAATCAAAAGTATGACGTCCGTGCAGAGATTCGTTGCCGCCAGTGTGATGACAAACGGGACAAAGTCAATGCACTTTCCCTCTGTAGCTTTCTTCGTCCAGTCATGGTAAATCGGAGTGCATTGGAAGGTGGCGGTGGTTTGGAAGGCGATGTACCAGACCAACAGGAAGGCCATCACTGATTGGCAGGCAACCACCATAGATCGGACCGGGAAGATGCGTTGGTAGAAGAGGACAATCGAGAGCTTGATGACAGGGAGGCAGGTGTTCCAGAACAGCTGCATCACGTATAGATTCTAGGCATCCCACCCTCTGGTCAGTGGGTCGTCCAACTATTTGGAAAGTGAACAATGTGGGCGAGTATACGTACCAGGGAATAGGCTTCGACGGTGGCGGCCGAAAGGGTGCCAACATGCTCCCCCACCCCAGCGTGAAGACCTTGATAGCTTCGTGAGCAACCTGATTTTGCCTTTCGGAAGTGGACAGACATACTTTGATAGAGTAACGCATTGACGGCAAGAGACAATGTCTAGGGATCGATCAATCGACGAGTCAGTCCAGGCGCTCTAACAGTTAAGGGACGCGCTCCCTAACCAAAGCAACAAAACTGAGATAGTCTTCTATGAAGAGGTTCAGGCCCTGGAGCTTCCGGGCCCAGACCCGGAAAAGAACTGCAGTCACGGAGAGGACAATCAAGAGACTATTGATGATGACGATCTGAAGTTGCCTCTTGTTATACTTTCCCGTCGGTGTGAGCCCCATAGTGAACAGGAATTCATGGACGGGCTCTGTTTTGCAGTCCCAAACCCGATTGATTGCCGAGGAACTGCGGTGGACATTTTCTACATCAATCCAACCCTGGTGCCACCATGGGCAGAAGGATCTGGTTTTTATCAGAGAACCACTTTAGCTGTTGACACCGGCGTAGGCCGACTTCGTGCGGGGAATATCCAGGGACTAGGTACAAGACTGCACTGCGAGCAGCCAACTCCGAGGCTTTAGACAGGCGGGCTCGCCCAGTCGAACCCACCGGGCCAGCACCTCATCCTGCCCTAAGCCTGCGTCTTAGCGCTTAGAGCAGACCCCTGTTCCTGTCGCCGGGGTTGAGTGGATCAAGACCGTCAAGGGCACTCTTAATCCTTGTACCCTTCTGCCTAAGCGTGTGCCTTCTGCTTTGCGTCCTCTTTCTCTCCCCCCCCCCCCCCTGCTGCTCTCTGTTCCCTTTCACCTGCGGGATGCTTGCACCCTCGCGACGGGAAACCATTGCCTGCCAAGCCCTTTTGGGCGAACCAGATTGCGACATTGTTTCTTCATAAGAAGGATGTTGGCGATGAAGAACTCGTGAGTAAATGCTGCTGGAATAGCCTCCGCCCCTTCCCTTCTCTCCTCCCCAAGAGTTCCATTTTTGCCCGCCTTCCCTTCAACGCTGGTCTGGGACTCTTATCGACACCTTTCAATTGGCGCCTCTTGCCAGGTTTGCTGTAGCTCCCAGCTGGTCTAGTGTATGGGTGCAAAGGCCATTCAGTAGTGTCCATGGGAGGCTGGGGCTTTAGACCACCAGCCTACCCCTCAAATAACCGCCATTTGTGGGTCTCTCTTTCACCGTCGAGGACCATTCACCTCTTGTATCCATCTCACCGAAGACCAACTTCTCTCCCGGGTTTGGATTGGGTTCTGACAGATCATGCAATAAGACGGAGTAAAGGGGACTAGCAGTGCGTAGCCAGTGCATCGTGACTGCTGTTCCGCTACACGAAGGGGAAGTAAAGGGAAGATGGGGGGGGGGGGCTCGCTATCTCCGACTTGGACGAACGCGACCGTGCAGGAAGCGCTAGGCCCAACTAGGCTGATTGTCTAGTAATTAGTTTTCTGGCAGGAATACTTTGGGGGAATTTTATCTCTGCAATAATATCTGAATTTTGTCCTAGATTTGTTACACGCATGGGAAAGTTGTCTCGAAGTATAATAAGACTACCGGCTATACTCCCTTCTTTTATCTTTCTTATGGAGATAGCCCTAGAGTTGGATATTTATTATATTTCAAGAATATATATATTGAATCAGATATTTTTTAAAATACATCTATATAAGAGTATCTATAAGTACATTTCTTATAACCCTATCATTAACTTTCTTAATAATTAACACATACTAGGGGCCTGGTTATCATAGTGTGATCCGGATCCCGGACCTGCACCCTGGCACCTGCCTGTCCTGTTCCGAAATTCCTTTATATAGCGTGCGCAGTGTAAAGCTACCGGCTTTATATACTAGTCCTTTTGCTGATAGTGCAGCAGTTAAGTGTCCGAATGTGTACTTGATGCCGCACTGTGACACTGGCAATCATGTGTTATGAGCAGGGGACTAATATTGTGTAAAGATAGATAGAAAATATAGAATAGTAATATTACTAGGGGACTAGACAACCAAAGTCGCCTAGAAGGCGTGCAGAGCGAAGCCATATAATACTAAGCTATATAGATTAAAGTCACGCAGGACAGATTAACTAATATAAGCAGATTACAGCCACGCAGATTCAAGTCATCTAGATTAAAGCAACACAGATTGAAGCCATGCAGATAGAATAAGGTAATACAGGCAGGTTAAAGCTACATAACTATTAATCAAAGTATTACTATACGAGGCCACTCCGGAAACCAATCATTATAGATACTTGGTATCCACATTTTCCGCCCTTTTGACATATAGACATGTTACTCAATTAAGGAGACACTGTCGATTGAACCACGGGGGTGTCGGGCGAGCGAAGGGGCGGCCCTAGATTTAACTTTATCCCTTCCTACTTCAGCCACAGAGATCTAACCCCAATTAGTAACCGTGCAGCCCTCTAATTAGGTGAGTTGCTTGCCTCTTCTTCCTGTACGTAGCTTGACTTGTATGATCTCATCATTTCTCTATCAATCACCTACCACCTTCTTGAGCCTTGCTTTTCTCCCACACATAGTTACAACAATTACCAATCGTTCATTATGAACTTATGCATGCTTTACTCAATACAGTTATTATTCTCAAGACACGAAGCCCCTTTAGGTAATGGGGGGGGGGGGGGGGAGTCGGCCGAACCACGGGGGAGTCGGCGGAGCAGCGCTCTATATTAACCCTGTTTCTCTTCCCCATATCCAGGCCAAGGTCATCTACTGCCCTCGAACCAGGGAACCATCCCGATGTAATCCAGAACTTAATTCTTGATTCACTATATCACGCAATTCCACATCCCCAAGGAGGCCAGTGTCATTTTCATTCTCCAGTTCCACCTGGTCCTATTACCAATCCATCATCATACTTCCTGTCCCCATCATACTGCTCTACACCACCATGGATCACATCAATCACACCTTCGCCGAGTGCAAACGGCTCGGTAAACCCGCTTTGATCACCTTCATGACAGCCGGATTCCCCTCCCCCGATGAAACGCCCGCTATTCTGCTCGGAATGCAAGCCGGAGGGGCAGGTTCGTTGACCATCCATCTATCCATCCATATCTCCCTCGGAACCTCCTAACAAGGTGCTTACTTCGCTCGCCAGATATCATCGAACTCGGTCTTCCAGTCTCCACCCCCACAGCAGATGGACCCACAATCCAGGAAGCCTCGAAGCAGGCCATTGACAACGGAGTAACAGCTCAGTCGACTATGCAAATGCTCCGAGACGCAAGAAGCATGGGCCTTCATATCCCCGTAATCTTGATGGGCTATTACGCCTCGGTGGTCGAATACGGAGACGCTCGCATGGTCGCGGATTGTCGGGACGCGGGGTTCGACGGATTCTTGATCGTGGATATGCCGTGCCAGAAAGCAGTCGGTTTCCGTCAGCTTTGTCTGGAGTCAGGGTGAGTAGCGCTTTACTCCCTTGGTCGGATACTGTCGAGGTGGACATCACCCACCACCAACGCAACATCAATATCCCTGACTTTCGCGTCATTTTCTTAGGCTCTCCTACATCCCCATAATCCCGCCCTCTGCGAACGACTCGGCTGTCGCGGATCTCTGTGCCATGACGGATTCGTTTATCTACCTCATCTCCCGTGTGGGGGTCACGGGGCAGAAGACGCAGTTCGATCGGGAATTCTTCCAGCGTGTGAGTAGAGTCAAGTACCTGGCTGGCTCTCTTCCGGTGGCAGTTGGGTTTGGGATACGGACTCGTGGGCAGGTTCGGGCTGTGGGAGCTGTTGCTGATGGGGCGGTTATTGGGAGTCGGATCGTGAGTGAGCTGGCTGCGTCACCACTGGGGAGCAGGGCTCAGGCTGTGAAACGGTTCTGCGAGATGGTGAAAGGGAGAAGGGATGGTGGGGATATTGTGTTGCCAAGTGAAGGTGTTGATGTCGCTGAGGAGATACGGGGTGTTGTTCGCACATCCAAGGCTTAGGGGGTTGGTGTGGTGGTTATTTGCAACTAAGGTCGTTTTGTGTTAGTTTTCTAGGCGGAATGGAGATAGAATTGCACTGGAATGGAGACAAATCTCTTATTCCAAAGTCAGTGGTAGATTGCTCCCCCGGAGTCTCTTTCGGGACATTGGTTAAATACAACTTTCCTGGGAAGGTAAACCCCACCTCCCACATCACAGCACACCACCAACCCTTGAACACAAACTCTCCCAAAAGCTAAAGAAATATCTGTCATAGAAGATGAAATTGCCCGGAGCGATGAGAGAGAAATTTCCCAAGTTGAGGAACAGCCGCGGAGGCGGATGGTCAATTGGTGGATGATCAGAGGATCAGAGGATTAAGCAACTCGCCTTCTCCTAAACGGAATGGATGTCTATAATGTAGCCACCTAGCTTTGACAGCCAATACATTTTGTTTAACGTTTAATGATTGTTTTGAATTTGAAAACTAAGCACGGAATAATTCTAGACCCAGTGAGCGCCGTCCATCCCTCGGACAGCGGCACCTCCCAAGGGATCTACGCTTCGATACCTTTCCAGACGCATTTCATCAATTTCACTAGAAACCGATTTATCGAAATCCACTTCATCCTGCCACTTCAATTCCCCCCCCCATGATCCAGAACGCCGCTTCTTCCCCTCGCGATAACCGAAAGACTCCTCAAGGATTCCCAACGTTATTATCATCATACTCGACCGCGTTAGTATCCACGCCAATGGTGATATATCCAACCATCCCCTTCGTCACGTCCTCACCATCGATCGGAACGACAGAAACAACAGGATTATATTCATTCCCAAAGTCATACGGGAACACCGCATCCGCTGCATTGGTGGTGCGATTGATCGCCGTGTGGGAGACGTAAGGCTCGATCGCCATCAGTTTGTCCACCAGGTCCTCATTGAAGTAAATCTGGCCGGTGCTGACGGTATTCGCGGTTTTGATGGTTCCATTGGCGTGGAGGGTCCAGTTGGTGTGCACTTGGACGTGGATGTGGATTGTGCGGAGGACGTAGAAGCCTGTTAGCCAGCAGAGGCGGTTAGTATACAATCCTTTGAGATCGGACGGGGCTGGTCTGACCGGGGAAGATGGTTTTCATCTCCATCACACCGTTCTTGTCAGTGGGCCACATCCCGCGCAAGAAGGTCGTGTTATCGGTATGGAGGTCAGTCTTGCCGATTTCGAAGGTGCTCATGGGAATGCCCAGCTTGTCGAGGAGCTGGGGGAAGGGGGTGTCGGGTGACAGGCCGGTGAAGCTGGAATAGGAACCTGTCGCGTTGCAGTGCCAGAAATCGACCAGCACGTTTGGGAGGGGTTGGCAGGTCGCCATGTCTACAACGCCGACGTCTAGCCAGAGGGGGACTCCGGGCTGACCCTCCGTCATGTCCTGACGCAGGGTCTGCGAGCGCGGCCAGACGTAGGGTCCCTGGGTGACCTCGGGGGTGAGGACGTAGGTGTCGTTGTGGATGATCTCGTAGTAGGGTGCCTCCGTGGTGACCTCCACGGTCGTCGTATTGCCGTCATGCCAGCGACGCGCGAGGTTCCGCTTGTAGCGAGCGTTACCAACCTGACCCACGTTATCGGCACACATCATCGATAGAGCTGCATGGTGGGCGACGTCTCTGGGGCTGGGGTGGCGACCGAGATGGGCGAGGGCTGAGACCACAAGGGTCAGGATGAGAAGAAAAGGAATCTGCATCATGAAAGGTGGATGCTGAAGAGCTGTGTTGAGGTCAAAGCTTGCTGTTCAAGATGAGTAGAAGGGGGAAGAGATGGTCAGGAATGGGAGAAGATGGCTTCCTTTTAAATTGCTTTGGTCGAGTTCCTTGCCCTCATGAGTGAAGTGAAGAAGTGACGGTCAATTTACCATCACTATCCCCTTCTTCCCTCTTCCTGGGCCAATTCACGGATTGGACCCTACAAAGCACCTGTCCCCTTTGTCAGATAACAGTATATTGCATATCAATGCAGGGGAATTATGTACTGTGATTGCCCACCATACAACTGCAACTGATCTCATACTCTTGGCCTAAAGGAAATCTTACAAGTTCAGTGTTGGGTTACATTGTTGTTAACTTATCGTGACAGCGACCGATATCAAAGCAGACAAAGAGATCCACTCGGGGCACCAGATCGCATGTCATCACTCAATCTTCTGTTAGATTTGCAAGAACTACTCAAAGGCCTGCTCTTTGCCCGACAAACTGTATTTTTCAGCACTAACTGTCATATTGCTGTGAACGTAAATTCCGATCCAGCAAATACCCTGAGAAAGATCTTTATTTCAACAGAGATATTGATTATTTAACCCCTGTGGAATTCCTGAATGCCTGAACAGGGTCGCCACGAAATTATTTTTATGACTTGGTTAGAAATCTGCATTTGAAGCACGTGGATGCGAGACTTATACCCTTAGATCGACCTATTGAAATAGGAGACTGAAAATCCCACAGGCTGAATTCCGAACAGCGCCTGGGTGAATCCCCACGTTGTGGGTCTGCCCCCCCAAAGTCCGGGTAGTGTTACTCCCTCGCCTATGCGGGACCAGGCACCACTCGGGACAATGTTCCATCCACTGTTGAAAGTCCCGTGGCATCCCACAGCTGTCCGTAATCAATCTAGACCCCCTATTCCCGCATTAACATCCCAGGATTCTTCCGGATATAGACAGAGTGTTTCAAACAGTTTGGTTTACCAAGTCCATGCTAGATCTTGTTTACCTGTCCAGTAACAGTGCAGAAATTGGCATCCAGCCTAGTGAACAAAGTGAATAGATCCTGCGGACCAGGATCAAATCCTCATCCCTGTTAGCGTCGTCCGCAGCACCCCACAGGCACAAAGATTCTAGATTAGACCCTTGGTACTGCCAAGGGGGAAGGCGGAAAGAGATGGCGATTGCCCCTTTGGGTAGTTGCCGCGGCAGAAATATCAGCCAGACAGATCATCTCTTCACCTACAAATTCCTGTTATCTAGTTAATAGAGAATTAATTATTATTTTACTAGTATCTTACTATTTATAAATAGCTTTATCTAATATCTTTATTATATAACAAGAACTGCCTATCTGCAGTATACTATAGCAAATTAAATCATTCTTACTATTATTAAGTATAATAATTAGAGCCCAAGCCGCGGATTAAGAATAATTATTATCTCTTATATTTTTATATTCTTATACTTGTTTATCTATCTATTCTATACTTACTTTATTAAAAAATAGGTATTACTTCAGTCTTTATAAGAGAAGTAGTTTGTTATCTAGTCTTTAATAGTCAAAAATAAAAAAAAGACTTTAAAGATTTTAAATTAAAGCAACTGCAGTTAATTAATTAACTGCAATCAAATAAAACTAATTAATTATAAATAATTAATTAAATATAAAAGATTATAATATTATATATAAGTAATCAGCCGATGTTTGCCGATAAGCCGGGTGAAAATATTAGACTGTTTATAAATTAATATTATTATATATAATATAAAATATCTAATCTTAAGAATAATAAGCTAAGTAAAGCTAAAGCTATAATAATAATATCAAACTTACAGAACAAGACTTTTTAATTTATAAATATATTATCTTAAGTTAATTAGCTGAATTATAATATATTAAGAACTCAGCTACTAGCTAGATTTTCTCTAAGAGAATTAATTAATAAAATCTAAATAGTAATAAGCAAGATAACTAATTTATAGTAAGAAAATTAAACTATTAATAAATATATTAATAAAGTAAAAAGTATTAACTATATAATATCTACTAATTTAAAACAGCTTTAGAGATCTCTGATTATATAATTTATAAAGAGATTGACTAATAAGACTGTCTGTATTATATTATTAATATATATAAAAATTCAGATACAGAGAGTAACTGCTGCAATCAGAGTAGTCCCGGCTATTAATATTATTAATAATAATATAAAAACTAAAGTTATATTATAACAAGCTATCAAGATCTTGCAGATAATAAAAAATAATATAAATAAGATTAAGACTGTTTCAAGCTTATAAATAAATAATAAGACTATAATAAAGATTATAAAGATTTAAAATTATTTTATTATTAATAAACTTATAAAAGAGCTGAAGAGCTTAAAAATTACTAATAAATCTTAGTTTTAGTCCTAGTCTCAGTCTTATATTTAATAAAGCCAACCGCAATTTTATCAGTCTTTTAATAATATAAATAATTAAATTTATTATTATTACAGAAAACAAAAGTATATTACTTTAATATATATAAATCTGCTTTTATTATTAGAAAATCAAAATTAAATACAGCAAGAGAACAGAGCAAGAGCTAATTAAATAAGATAGATAAAAGAGATAAAAGAATAATACTTAATTTCAAGAATATTTTTAAATATAGAAAATAACAGTAACTTATTAAAATAGATATTAAATAAAAAAATAGAACTACAGGCCAAGCCTGCGCTGTTAAATAAAAAATCTTAGTCTATATCTTAATTAATAAATAGTCTAAATATTAGTTATATTAATCTTAATAATAATATAGTTAAAAAATAGATTATAAACAGAAGCCATACAGTTATAAATTCTTATATAATTAACTTAAAGACAGAGATTCGGCAAGAATATCAGTCTAATATATTAAAATAATTATAAAAAATATATATAATAACAGAGAAGAAAAGATAATAAGAAAAATTTAATAATAGTAAGTCAGAGAAGATTATATCAGTTACTCTAGAACTATTCACTAGATTAATTATTATTATAACAGACACTAAATTCTCTAAACAGAGGCGTGCGGTAAGAAGATAGATTAATAGATTAAATAAAGAAGACTTAGATCTTTGTAAGATCTTTAATAATATTATAATTAAAATATTACTGACTTAATTGCTTGATATTATTCCAGCTGCTTATATTAAGATTAATAAACTTATAAAGCTTCAGACCAAGAAGAGTGATATTACTAGATTAAGTAATAAATAAAAAAGAAAGAAGCCTGTTAAACACATAAGACTAATATATATTAAGAAATTAATATATGCGGCTGATCCTGAGTATTATAATAACTATTTATAACCGGCTCATCCTAAGAAAGTCGCCTTATTTTTTATATATACTAATCTACAAATCATAATAACTAATCAGCAGTTATAGATATTATCAGTCTATTATACTCTAATAAATAATAGCTCAGAATATAATCTTATCTCTTATTATATAATAAAGACCTTGAAGACTAAAACTGTCTTAATAAAAATAATTAATAAAATAACTATAGGACAAACATTAACTTTTAACTTATTAATATAAATAATAATAATTATATACAGAATAATATATATTATAGCTATTCTGGTAATTAACAGTGTCCCCGGTTATATAATTCTATTAGATAAATATTAGATAGTTATAATTAGTATAAAGAATAACTATATAGATAAGACTTATATTTTATAAATTAATAAAAATAAATAAATAACAGTGTTACAGTTAATTATTTTTAGTAGTTAAGATATTATAAAAAAATAACTAGAGTTGACAAGAATCACTCTGTTCTTATATATTAAATTTAAAAAAAATACTATGCAGAAGCAGCTTCTGAAGATAATTAATAAAATCTAGAATTAGATAATTAATAAAAAGAAGTATAAAGCAGACTCTGACTTATTAAACTAGATTAATCTAGTATAAGCCTGGGACTGCTGAATAAAGACTTTAATCTGGAAGAAGAAAAAGAAAAGAATATATTAACTATAAGAATTAATTTAATTATATAATTTTTTTATATATTAAAAAAAGATTTACTGAAGAAGAAAGTAAGAAAGCACAGAAGTATAAAATATTTTATAATAGATTAATTAAGTAACTATCAGAGATATATATTAACCGCAACAGTAAAGATATATATATAAATATATGATAATACAGAATTACTGGATAAACTAGTTACAGAAGAGAATAAGTATTAGAAAGTAGTATTATTATTATTTTTTACTTGAAGAGATTTGTTTATATTAGATATATATAATATATTAATAATATAGTTTATTAAATATAGGATTCTGACTTTCTTTAGAGTTATCTTAAAATAAGTAAAATTAATATTATACACACAGGAGGAAATTGATTAGCAGTTAAAGAATTTATTTTTAATACTAATTATTAATATTATTGTAAATTATATATTATTCTAATCAGCGAAAACAAAGTTCTTACTAAAGCCAAGTGATAATTTATTATAATCTTTAGAAAAGCTATAGATGATTTATTAGTATATATAATTAAACACAGCTATTATTAAAATAAACTATCTAATATAAAGAATTGAGCCTATTTTAAATTAGTTATTAAACCCGCGGTGAAAGATATTTAATAAAGCTGATATTATAAATAGTTACTGGGCTATATTATTAGTATTAGAATATATATATAAGACTATGTTCAGTATTATTATAAATTAATTTTATTATCTATAGATAAGACAAGGTCTGACAGAGGCTTCTGATATATATTACTAATTAAAGAATCTTATTATAAGAGATATTTCTAAATCCCAAGAAGAATCAGCTTTAATATAATCATCCGCAGTTATCTTTAAATATTTTATAAATAATAATCAGTTGAGTACTGAGATTATTAAGAATATAATTAATTTTATATATTTTAAATATTTTCCTCGACTTGTGTAATTATAATTAATATTAAATTTAATAAAGACA